GAATGTCGGAGGGAAACTGTCTCTCTGGCGGAGCTGATCGGTGATGATGTAGGTGCTGTCTCCATGCTTCACACCCCAGAGTGACGCTAGATTTGCTGACTTTAGCATGTAGTCATACATAGTTTGCCTTGGTGAGGAAAGGTCGTTCTCAGATATTGGGTCGGCATCACGGTCCAAGAAAGGCACGATTGCAGCCTCGTCCAAACGACTCCCCTTCGTAACCGGCTGGGGAGTGGTGAAGAATTCGCCCAAAGGGTCTGTGATCGGGTAGATGGGTAAGACGACTTTGGGCCTAATCTTGGAGTACAATCCTATCAGGAGCGCAAGATATCCACCGGCTGAAGATCCTGAGACAGCGATGCGAGAAGTGTCGACTGTCACTCCCGAAGCGGCGATGTGGTTAGGCAATTCGTCCACAATCCAGCTCATACAGTCGAGCGTGTCTCCAAAGATTTCCTGTATGGCCACTTGCGGCGCGAACCTATAGTCCGCAGATATCACGACGTATCCGTATTTCTGGGCGCTGGCCACCGTGTGGGGAGCAATATCTGTGCGGGAGCCCTGGAGAAGACCACCGCCATGATACCAAAGCAGGACCGGCACGTTGGTCGCTGGCGTCCGAGGCAGATAGATATCCAGCTTGATGGCCAGAGGTCCAACCTTTTTGAATGTAACAGTCTGAGGTACCGCCATGCTGTGATTACAACTGGGAGGTTGAAAGAGCCGAGGTTCACACGGTTTTGGCCAGACAAACGCAAAAGCGGAAGAGAGCGACACACTTACATAGCTTTCCGACCAGTCGATCTCTTTATATCACACCGCAAATCGGGTGCAATTCTCTATCGAAGCGAGGCGTACGCTCATTGGGTGCTGCTTGTTTGTTGACCTTGCCCTGCGGGGTCGTTCTTAAGGAGTACCTTAGGTAGTATCAGAAAGGTGATGTTGCTTGACCTTTGGGCACCGCCAATAGCAATTGTTTGCGACCCCTGACAATTTAGCTCCGGCTGATAATTACAGTATTCCAGGGTAATTCATATTAGTAGGGTCCACACTGCACGTGATGCGAGAGAAAACTGTTCCGGGCTGCGTCAGGGCTGGAATTAGGTGGCCTTAACTAATCCTTAACTACATATAGGTATTGGAGTCAGGCCTGGTCCAGGCCCCGGGGGCACGGCTAGGGTAGTAAATTGTTGGCGCCAATCAGCAAGCCCCGGATACTGCACTCGGCCCGATGATTGGTTGAATATCAAGAAAGGTAAAGCTAAATTTGGTCTTAAATTGATAGGGAAAGCGGCCTGGATTGACCATTCACTGGCTCAGTGGCCGATAGAGCTGATTCAGTTGAAGGCGATTGCCGCGTGGTGGAAGCTGTGAAGCCTGAGGGCAATGCTTTGTTGACAAATTCATCTCCGTGGACTGTCAACCAGGGATCTTCACGGAACGCTATGTGGCCGGAGCAGCGGTGACGGCGGAGTTCTGAGCTCGAAGAGCGCGTCAAGGGTCTCAGAGATGGATGGCATGATTGACACAAAGCGGTTGTCATCCTACGGTGCGGAATCTCACGAATCTGATAAGCGAACAGAGACAATGGAAACGTATTCGACGAACTCAACAAGCAGTACAACAATCCACTAGATTGCACTATCTATCAAAGATATGATACTAATCACAAGTAAATCCAAACGCTCTGCGGTGGGCGTTCTGTCACCTGATTGGAAAACTCCTTCAACTTCTTATGCGCGGGACATTCCTTATCGTAAAACTCAAGGTCTTCAAGTGAGTCGAATGTTGTGATTGCAACGAAGTTGTAACCGTTGTCGAGGCGATTAGCGATTGTGGGCTTCGCGATGATGGAGCGGATCTAGTGAGATATCAACTCCAATCCTTGGGACAGGGGGAGCTACAGGGGGAAAGAGGTATACATATGGTTTTCCATCCTAACAAGATAATTAGCCTCACGTCACCATGTGATGAAGGGTAGAGAGTTGTAAAGTACTTTTTTATTGGTCTCGCGCAGGATGTTGTATTTCTCGATGAGGTCGTCATTGTGCGCCTCGGGATCAAAGACCTTGAAGAATGTCATTCGTTGGGTAGCCATTTTTGGTGTGTCTTAGATCTGATTGTGAGGACCAAAATTGCTGTGAGCAAGAGATTTCGAACAAGGTAATGTAGGAGGCGACGAAGTGCACACCTAAAACGTTGGGTATGGAATGATTGCGTTTTTATTATGTATCGGAACTTGGTCTTCTGCCACAAGTGGATCAGTGGAACGTCCGGAAAGGGGACCAACATAGCTTCGTAAGCATCAAAAGGTGGGATTGCTGACGCTTTTCCTGACCAAAATCACTCTGCCCACCGTAAAACACCTGTGTAGCGCATAATGATCTGTCCTATGTCTGCCAGCAACAGTTTCCGTACTTTAAGAAATCGTTCACCCACTAACCCAAGACTACCGCCAACATGGTCGCTCGACAATTCAACACACCCCTACTCAAGGATCTAACAGCAGACAACGTCACCAACAATATCAAAGCAATCATTTCGTAAGGCGATAGTATAAGGAGACGGAATTGATATCGCCCGAGTTATACATCTCCGTTTGAGAAGGCAGGGTACGATCATTGAGTACGTGAGGATCACTAGCTATACAGCAGTGTTATCAATATTTTACCCAACTGTGTTATTAGGGCATCATGACATCCTCTAGGTACAATGAGGGAAACGTATCTATTCTTTATGTACATCAGCGAGCACTGCTGCGATGTGTGAGAATAGCTCTCGATGACCGACCCTTGAGTCAAATATATGTAAGAAGGGGGTCTACTGTGAGTCCAACTTCGACTTGTACAGACCGGCCTCCTTGACATCCTGCTCAAAAGTCTTCCATTCAGGCCGAGGAAGCTCTATGGCCTCCAAGATTCGGCCATAAGTAATGCCGCCTAGTCTTGCCATTGGCCTAAGAATCTAGATGCCGTTAGCATGATCGCATTCAGATCTTACTGGAAACTGCGTCTTCACTCACGTTGGGGTCCAGGAAACTCTTATCCTTATTGATAGCATCCTCTCGAGCCCAGAATCTTACTCCCTCAATGGTGACCAGGGAAGCAGACTTTTGCCCTGGGTTGGCCCGTGAATCAACTTCTTTAGCGTCCACCAGCTTGCCCTCTATACTGAAGATTGCTTCGGCGACTCGATCGGCTTTAACGTCCTTGCTCGGCGCTGGTGTGAGACCCGTGAAAGCCCATTCCGAGACACCATATGGCGCGACGGTGCCTGCTGCGTTGGCTGCTTCGAGAAAGTGCTCTGATACGATGTTGATGGTGCATTCTTGGCTCTCTAGCAGATTCTTGAGAGTGTCTTTGGAAGTAGCAAAGCCGCCCGTGAAGCCAATAACGAACAGTGGTGGATCGTGGGTCATCATCTGTGCGTATGAAAAAGGAGCGAGATTTGTTGTGCTCCCATCCTTACTCCTTGTGCTCACGAATGCAATTGGACGAGGGATGAACGTTGAAACGAGAAGCTTGTAGTTCAGAATTGCTGCGCGGCCGTTTTCGTACGGCGCAATGTCAATGTGCTTGTGATCTTTCCAAGCACCACCGTCGTTAGCACCGTCTCCTGGCATCCAGCCGGGGTCTGCTGTCTGCGTGAACTGCCATTGCGCGTCTTGCCGCCACTTGGGGCGTGAGGCTTCGACACCTCTGAATTCAGGTCTAATGCTCCCCATGGCGTCGCGGTATACAGTGTTCTTGTTTGCTCTCCGTGATGAGTAGATTGTAGAAAGAAAGTTTAGGAAGACAGCCGTGCACGATGAAGCTAGGGTCACCTATCCTGTAGCTGCACCTTTTCAACACCTTTTCAAGCATCGATTTTCGACCTCGGGACAGTACTTGAACCCTTGTACTATTGACGGTTGTCCTGGAGAGGTTACGTTCCGAAGAGGCACAGTATGTCATTATCCTAGTCGACAGCATCTTAGAGTTCAGCCAATCAGACGATCTCGGGGTTGCACCCTCGGATATGGCTTCGGGCCTGGCTTAGAAATATACTGTAGCTGACCTTGCTGACACCATTCTGTCGCATAACATCTTACTCTGTTATTGCGTGCATGTTGATCTGACGTCGTGGCAGTAAATACAGTTATTAATCGTTGTTATTGTACCAATTTTTAAAGGTTCATCATTCATGTCCGGATTTACTTCCACTTTAACCTGATCAATCGGGAGCTGTCCGGCACACGTCCTCAATATAAGTAGGATACGTTCCATTCACCTGGGTAATTCGTCTCAGATCGTCATAACATCGATAGCAAAATGGCTTCTGCTCTGATCAATCCTCCCAACCTGCCGCCGAAGCCCAACTTCTCATACGTCCAGAGGACTCCAATCTCACCAACCGCATCACTGATCACCGTAGCGGGCCAGATCGGCGTCGATCCTCAAACCAACATCGCTCCTTCAACGTTTGCTGAGCAAGTCCACGTTGCTCTGCAGAATCTGGGAACTTGTCTCGCTGCGGCAGGTGCCACGCCAGCGGATATTGTAAAGGTCCAGCACTACGTGGTCAATCTGGATCCGAAGGATACTTCGAGGGGGGAGGCTTGGCTCAACTTCGTAAGTTGAATGTTGTGAAACTTGTCTCAGTGGACACTGTCCTATCTAGTGTCCAAGTCCTGGCGTTACACGCTCTGACGGCACCCTAGATAGGTGATCACCGACCACCGTCCACTCTTTTGGGTGTAGCAGCGCTGGCAACCCCTACTCTGTTGTACGAGGTGGAAGCGATGGCCATTATTCAACGAAAGTGACTCTACTATAGAAAGCTTGGGCGCTCGGCTGCTCTCATGACCGCTGAGAGGTACTAGAATCATAGCCTCCTCTTTGCGTGCTTCATCCAGTTCCGCCGCATGGACAAATAGAACAACAAAATGTGACCGTTCACTCGATCTAAAACTGATCTGTTGATTTCATGTCGCATTTGACATAAACTTGATCGTGTGACTTTCAATCCAAAGTATCAATGGAAAGTAGAGAGTTTATCTGAGCCTGTAGTCTTGCGACAGCTGGTCTCGACAGAGGGACTGGAGCGCCAACGTCAAACAGCGGCACGCCGTCCAAGGCCCGAACTTTCCAACTTGATACAGCAGATTCAGCGTATAGACATGGAAACGTCAGGAAGAATTCATCATCGAGCTTCTGAGTATGGAATTGATCATATTCGAGATCGTAGGCATCAAGGACGGCTTTCACTCTCGGTGACTTAAGGATTGCCTTCCTCTCTAGACTGGAATCTGCCAGAGGCTCTGTGCCGTTGGCCTTCTCCGAGCAGATCAGATCCCATATACGAAATGAGGTGTTATCCTCGACTCCTGAAGAGCGTGCATACTCCAACGAGGAAGCGATGTGCCCAGGTTTGCGATGAGCAACGACATTGTGAATCGCCATTCGAAACACCGCATCCATGTCATAAGAGTTCTGATAACGAATAAGTAGATCTCGGACATCAGGCCACGGAAGCCAATCGATGTTGGGCGGATGCGGTGCAACCATTTGCGCTCTGGTCGGGCGATATTCAGGAGGCAGCTGTCGGTACGTCCGTTCAGACGGGAAGTTGCGCCACAATTCCACCGCCAACAGTCCACGCAGTGTAGCTGTCATGTTATAGTAGCCTTCTGCGGATGGCCAAGCCTCCCTGACCACCCACAGAACACCCTCGGCGCTGGCACGACGTTTTCCGTCGTTTTTCACCGAACTTGGCAATCGCGTCGATCTGACCACCTGGCGCAGCGCTGTGATGTACCTGTCGACATGCGACCGCGATTGACCAATGTTGTAACCCATGGTCAGATGAATGCTGGAAAGTCCGCTAAGGACTGCCCTGTCAAAGACGGTCGCTGCCTCTAAACTGCGAGAGATACATGTCTCCTCCTGTACGAGCTGAATTTTGACTGCATCAGACCTTCGTCTCCTATGCTTTCCCGAAGCAGATTTCGAGATCGGAAAGTCGTGGATGTTGGAAGGTCGAAGCGGTTTTGGAGCGAGTGGACGCAGGCCCACCACACCTGACACCGTCGCTTCTGGCCGAGGGTCAACGGCATGCGCTGGAATTGGTTTGGGTGCGAGGAGGGGTAGTTTGTGCTTCGTGCGTGCTGATTCCGTCCTGCCGACGTCGTAGGGCTCTGTGCCGTGACTGGATTCAGATAATGGTGTCGGCGCACAGTGGAACGGAGCTCTGACTATCTCATGCGCGTGCTGGGACCACGAATCTAGGATATGATCCACGTCTGAAGTTTCAAAGCATAAGGAATGGCCGGGACGAAGAGGCAAAGCTGGTACGCATGTCGGCGGGTTGTCTCCGTAGCCACCGTCTTCATCGTTTGCAAGCACATCGATGTCGTCTTCCTCAACGAAGCAAAAGCTCTGGTTCGAGTCATGCAGCCACTGACCAGGCATGACGCTCTGTTCTTCGGATAATAGGAGCGTCCACCAGGCTAAGCAGCCGGTCGTCTTCCGTTAGCCTTCCAGCACAGTGATATTTCGGCACATGGCAGGGATTCAACGTAGCGGCAACTATTGAACATGTTGAGAACCTCCAGAGATGGGCACGAATCACTGAATCACTTCAGGATTGGAAGAAGACTTGCAAAAATGTGTCATAGGAACCCGAAGCCAGACACTTCGCTGCCAAGCATTGTTATCATTGCCTGCCAGTGCAGTGGGGAAGAGCTTGAACCATGATTACCTCGCCAGATATTGATTACCCCGCAGCAAAGAAACATCGTGTCTGTGTCACACGATACGGACATTGAGTACCTAGCTCGCTACCTAGGTAGGTACCTACCTAGGTACGCAGCACTCGAGACGGGCGTCCGGCTGTCTTCCTCCGAGGTCTAACCTCGTCCTCCACACACCCTATCGCTGATTGGCTCAAGGCTCTTCTGGCGACCAACCACAGCAGTCTTCGGATCGGTGCAGACAATGGTGGCGGATCTCGCATCACGAGCAAAATCGACAAGGGGTCGTCCGAACCTCATGCTGAATACTTCCCTGACCCCCCGTGCCCCGGCCCCCTGCTAGACGGCCAATCGGGAACACACTGGAGGCACCAATGAACGGGTGGGAGAATAACGATTGTGGCACAACATTGGTGTAGCTACTTCTACCCTGATCCGGACAGCATGTCTCGCGGGAGCGCATCACATCCTTTGAACAGGCTGGCCAAATCGTGCTGGGGATGCTGTTATAAGATGTCCCAGCAGTGTTGGTGCTCGAACGAAGCCTTTCCGGTCGCTAGGCTTTCGGAGGAAGCACCATTAGCAACATCTGAAGAGTCAAGACTGTTCCAATATGAGTTTGACAAGTCCGGAGCGATCAGACCTGGAGGTCGACGAAGTTGATGTCCTCATCGTTGGCGCCGGCCCTGCAGGCCTGATGATGGCTAACTGGATGTCGCGATGGGGCGTGCGCACACGAATTGTTGACAAACGGGGGACGAAAATCTACAATGGTCAGGCTGATGGGCTGCAGTGTCGAACCCTGGAGATATTCGACAGCTTCGATTTTGCTCATCGAGTGTGGAGAGAGTCAAACCACATGCTAGAGATCTGCCTTTGGAACCCACCAGAGGACATGGATCCAGCAAACCCATCAATCGTTCGATCAGATCGCATTCCCGATACAATACCCGGCCTTAGTCGCTTCACAGAGGTGGTCCTGCATCAAGGGCGGATCGAGCGCTTCTTTCTTGACAGCATCAAGGAGAATTCCATTCGTACGTCCTGCAACGGCACCGGCTTAGCTGGCGAGATTCAAGTCGAACGCGGAGTGCTACCGATATCATTCAGCTTTGACGAATCACTCGCGGAAGACAATGCCGCATACCCAATCCAAGTACGTTTGCGGCACCTGACAGAAGAGGAGTCCACGCCGGCACACAAAGCAACCAGCAACAATGGCCAAGCCGTTCAAAATGGCTTGTTCCGGTCCAATCTTGCAGCAGATGACACCCAGGACCTCATCAGGCAATCAGGGGTGCTGGGCGCCAAAGCTGGACGGGAAGAAATTGTGAAAGCCAGGTATATGCTCGGCGCGGACGGAGCACACTCTTGGGTGCGACAACAGCTAGGTTTCAAACTCGAAGGCGATAGCACGGACTACATCTGGGGAGTGATGGATGTTATACCAATCACCGATTTCCCTGATATCCGAATGCGCTGTGCTGTGCACAGCGAGAGCAGCGGTAGCGTCATGATCATTCCGCGAGAAAACAAACTCGTCCGTTTGTACATCCAGCTCACAACCACAAACACCGCTAGCGGCCAGAAGGTTGATCGCAGTAGCCTTACGCCAGAAGCCATCATTGCATCTGCACAGAAGATTATGCGGCCTTATAGTATCACATATAAGTACCTAGATTGGTGGACAGCATATCAGATCGGTCAACGCGTGGGCGATAAGTTCTCTCTGAACGAGCGAGTCTTCCTCGCAGGCGATGCTGTCCACACTCATTCCCCAAAAGCTGGGCAGGGCATGAATGTCTCAATGCAGGATGCCTACAACCTCGGGTGGAAAATAGCAGGCTGTTTGAAAGGGCGCTGGGACCGCAGTGTGCTCAAGACCTATCAGTCTGAACGACGGCGCATTGCTCAGGACCTAATCAGCTTCGACCACCGCTTTAGTCGCCTGTTCAGTGGGCGTCCGGCCAAGAACGCCATGGACAAAGAAGGCGTCAACATGGAGGTCTTCAAGAAAGCATTCGAAGAAGCCCATATGTTTACAACTGCTATTGGTATAGACTATGGCGCAAGTTTAATCGTTGCGAAGGAGGGGAGCGCCGAAAAACAGGGAGATGGTACAGACGTCATTGGCGATGCGTCAACACGTGTCTTCAGCAAACAGGACCGTGCGAAAGACATCAAGGTTGGTATGCGCATGCCCAGTCTCAAAGTCTTGAATCAATCAGATGCTCGACCCTGGCACTTCCAAGAATTACTTAAGAGCAATGGGACATGGCGCGTGGTTATCTTTGCTGGCGATATTCGCAACGCAGACAACAAAGCGAGGCTGGATGTCCTTGGTCAGAAGTTAGCTTCGGCAGAGTCTTTCTTGAATCGGTACACGCCAGCAAACGAAAAATACGACAGTGTGTTTGAGCTTCTGGCTGTGCACTCCGCACCAAGAAGAGAGATCACCATCTTCGATTTCCCGGAGCCCTTCCGACCCTGGTCTGATCAGGATGGTTGGGACTACTGGAAGATCTTTGTTGACGACGAGGTGAGTATCGCCGCCACATGCACCCAAACCTGGGCCTGTATACTGACATCTGGACCAACAGAGCTACCATGAGGGACACGGCCAGGCCTACAAGAACTATGGCGTCGACCCGTCCATCGGCGCCGCAGTTATTCTTCGACCAGATCAGTACGTAAGCTGGGTGGGTGACTTTGACGACTATGCTGCGATGGACAGCTTCTTCAGTGGCTTCATGCTGGTGCAAAGCCCATCGCATATACCTACCACTCAGCGTGGCCAAGCGAAGGCATTCTCAGACAACAAGCAGCCTTTGTTTCTCCTAGAGCAGAAGCTGACATACATGAACGGGTCAAAGAATGGAGTGACTGCTATGCAGCAGGGAATCTCTGTCGTGAATGGTGCGCTATGAATGCTTTGATTGCCCACGTACATGGGATTAGAAGTTGTAAGCCACGCTGGAGAAGGCGAAAGGTCAAGCGGTGAAAAGTGTGCTTTGATCGGGAGAAGTCTTGCTCTGGCCGTGGAGTGGCATGTGAGTAGCATGATTATCGTTGAGCATTTGAATGGACTCCAGGCTGGGTTTGGGTGACACTTTCGGACTTGAGTCCCCCTCCCTTTGTGGCTCCGTAGATTGACGAGCATCGAACAGTCACTATGGGATGGAACCTAGTATTCTAATGCCTGGTTGAGCGTCTGGACGGACTCTGCGTGCCTGATCGGCCCCGACGTGAGTATGGTATCCAGGCGTATTCAAATGCCCGATTACTACATTCAATAAAATACCTAGTTACCGCGGTACGATTACCTCTCCCACAAAGCTGTGAGAATTTTATATAGACTCTCATTCTTCTACTATCTTATACTGGCCTTGAATCAAAATGGGCTCCATTGGTGCAGGCACGCAATGGGACGTGATGACGGTCGGTAGTGGATCCCAAATTCCGCAATTCCACTCTCTTCGACTCCTAGCGCCATAAGAAGCCTGTTACTTAAAGCTCCAAGGACGCTGTTTCCCCAGTGCTCCTGGCCATTATGTACATACGATACGAATGTGGCCCTCCAATTCCGAATAACTACAACAACTATCTTTCTCGCCCTTGCGACCACGCACGCCTCTGTACCGCACCAGGAATACAGCATCAGCATCGCCTTGAAAACAAAACCATGCCACCTCGCCCCCTTATCTCGTACCTCACTTTTTCAAGTGAAGTGGTTGTAAACGTATCACGATTCCATCTGCCTTGGCTCGAGTCTTACATTGGACCTGTTGACCGACTCCACAGCCAGAAAATGCTCAAAACTTTTGACTCCAAAATAGGATTCCATATCCCAATTCCTCACCCGAACGGGTGATGATGTGTGCGGATCGCCGCAGCAAGGAGTCTAGCAAGGAGTCTCCCTTTTCTCAGTCTCACACCTGACCACGCTCTAGAAGCCGCTTTCCGTCTCCGCAAATAACACTCGCGACCCAGATCTCAGGCTTGAGAAGGGGCTGGCGTGACGCTGGTGGCTTGAGGCATCTGATAACTTTGGCTGTCGGCAGACTCTCTCCAGCTGGGTCTCCAACCAAGAAAGGCAAATTCAAGGCGACGTCTCCATCTTGTCGATACTGCTCCCATTTCCAAAACCCTGTGCTGCCGTATTCGTAGGACCATGCCTTGTAGGAGACTCGGTCCTCAGCGGAAAGAACGCGTCGAGCCATCGTTGATCAGCTTCCTCCTTAGCTCGTCGACGCGCCGCAGCTTCGTCGACCGGAGCTGGGCGAGCTTCTTCTACTTCTTCGTCTTCTTCTGGTTGTTGTTGTTCGGGCGCCGCCTCGTGGACATCGAGGGTGTCGCCGTTCATCATTTTAGGACTAGAAAGGTCAGGAGCAGAAGCCATATCTAGCGCTGGATCGATAGGCATTTCAATATCGGAAGATGGTGGCGACGACGTTGGCGGCCTATTCAACGGGAGCCACCGTAGGGCCGGATCAATGTTGGGATCTTGGGTAGGAGGAATTTCGTCATCAGTGAAGCTGTCATTGAAGGACCCAACATCCATGGATGTCGAGCGTGAGGTATGTGTTGCGTGGCCCAAAAATGCAAGTCTTCTGTTGATGAGCTCCTGTAATTCAAGGAGTTGATCAAGCTCGGTCTGTTCGACAGCGTCCACCACATCAGCGGGAGCTTCGCTGATTAGTTGATTTGTCAACTCTGCCAATGCATCCCCAGAGTAGCCGTCGATACCCTTCTGGGACATTTGGGCAAGATTTAAGACGGCTTGCTGTTCTCGGATCGATCGTCTCCGCAAGGCGACGTTTGCTTTGGCCGTCTCAGTGATGGCCAGAGCATTCGCACCAGTGAAGAAGTCGGGTTCTCGAATCTTGACGATGGTCTGTTGAGGTGGGTGGTGAAGAACAGCCCCATCAGGACGATACTTGCGGTTTCGTATCCTCTTGGGGGCGTCCATTTGTCTGGGAAAGGATTGGTCTTCGTACCAGCTCTTCTTGACTCGATCAATGAAATCCAGTCTAATACCCTTCTCTGGAATCCGGTAAATTTTGCCATGCATTTGGACTTCCTTAGTTCTGTCAAGCTCGGGCTGGTCTTTCTCGAGTTCGACCTCGATGATGCCGTTGTTCCTGAAACCCCGACTTAAGCTCACATCGAGGGGTACTGCATTCTTGGGCTTGCGCAATCGAGGCACGCGACCGAGCTCACCCGGAGCCTTCTCAGTCTGCCGGCCAACAGCCACCAGGTCATGTTCAACATGGAGAGGACATCGCCATGACGCGCCAGGTTTATCACCCGGGCGGCGACGTGGCGGAACGGCCAGGGGCGGATCTATACAATCCAAATGCCATCGCGCGGGGCAGAAGTCACAAGGGATGATGTCGCGGCCGTTGGCAGTCATATTGCAGCGGTAACATCTGATGATGTGGCCTTTGCTGTCGCGAGTCTCCTTGTAATTGGGCTCCTCGATGAAGCCAGCTCGGTTCATCTTCGCCGTGTTGTTTTGGGTGCGGGGGAGGGCGACTTCTTCATACTCGCCCTCGTCGCCTGTTCGAACCCCTTCAAAGTAGTCGCGGATGTCGGAAGGAAGGGTGTAGGCTTTCGGGATAATATCGTCAACACGGCGGATCACCATACCAAAAAGCCCTGATGGATGAGGGACCTGCTTCGTTCGCCGGGCAACACATCGCGGACAGAACCATTCGCCTTCGACCTCCTCATCCGGATTCAAGGGTGGCTCTAAGCAGGCATGGTGGAAGGAATTCGTACAGCCATCACAGCAAAGAAGCTTCCCTTCGCCACCGCACGATGCACAAAACTCGTCGTTGTCCTGAAAAATCAAGTCAGTGATTGATAGGTGCAACATCAATCACTATGATAGAAAGAGGGGTCGAGAATAAAAATAGATCAAGAATGGTCGAAGCAAAACGGGAGCAGGCAACAGAAAGTGGGCAGGAACTCGGGATCAAGGAAAAAGAATGATGAGAACGGGGATTAGAAGAGGGAGACAGGGTGGTAAGGGGCGATGATGAGTTGGAGCCAATCGTGGCAGGACGAAAGCCTGGTTTAGGCCGGGGGGGAGAATAGGTGGAAAAATGGAAGAAAATTGGGTTGGGCTGCCCAGGGCTGAGGGCTGAGGGCTCGGAGCTTGGGGCTTGATTCTTACCTCTGCGCCCGAATCAGTTCCATTCAAATTGCCGATCCTAGCATCACGCACAGGCCCCGCACGTGCAATTCCTGCCGTGATTCCGCCATTCTTGGGCTTGTTGGGCCTATAGGTCCAAAGTCAGCAAATTTATCCCAAGACGAATATCGAAGAACGATGGCATGGTTTCCCCAGGGGCAGTCTTTCCAAACAAGTTGGCATAAGCCCCGACATGAGAGCCCTGGCAACCCGGATTATCTCAACATCCACCACCCGAGATATATCTCACTTGGGGCATTGCATCAGGACCAAAGAGAATCGAGGGCTGTACGTACGATACCATGACCCGCGCAGACTTGCGGGTTTTCTGTCCTGGGTGAAGCCTGGTCGCTCTTGGGGTCGCACCCCGTGGGTGAGCGTTTGCCACGCCGGGCGGCGGCGGTGGTACAAGCAGCGGACCAGGAGAGGACGAATCGGGGGTCGTCTCATCGAAATCATCAGCGTCCACCTCATCGTATCTTCTCTTGCGGCCGGTCCCGTTGGCCAGGTTGTTGTCAGGCGGAGCCTGAGCGCTCACGAGAGACGTCAATGTGGCGGTGGGAACGACCAAACGGTTTGGATGAATAACTGGGGGAGGGGGATTGTCAACGGATATAGGTCGCTCTGGATGCGCGTGGACAGGATCTCGTTCGTGGCTCTCGGGTCGAGGAATGGTGTTGTAATCGTGGAAGCTGTCATCCAGATAATGCCGCTTCCGCCTGGAAAGTTCATCAATATCGAACTCGGTCTCTTCTCGCGATTTCTTGAACTTTTTGTTCGAGTTCGTCTTCGAGGAAGTTGCAACTTCTGGATAGGATTGTTTGGGAACAGCCTGAGAAGGGAGAGTTGTGGCACTGGCAGCTGAACGGAGTCGGTTGCCAGCTGCCCCCCGGCTTGCGGCTTGGCGCTGTCCAGCTGATCTGGATCGGCCAACCCCTGCCGGCTCATCCCCCTGTGGCTCCCAGGGAGGTGGTATTTCATCAGTGTTCGAGGGAGCGGATGAAAGCGACGAGATCGTAGACACGCTCCCCGATCTTTTTCGCTTGTGCGGTGACGAATTGGAGGCGTGGTGGATAGATTTTCCGCCTGGTTCAGCGACTTCCACGGAGCGCGAAATCGTCGTGGGTGACACTGGCGCTTCTTCCGAGCCATAAGTAGCTGCGGCGCGCGGGAGGTTGAAGTAGAGGTTGATTCTGGGAGGTCTCCCTTCGGAATACAAGGGTGTGTTGGCGTCTGAGTGGTTAGCCTTCGGTGAGCGTTCTCGGTGTTCAGGTGAAGCGAGGTCGTTGAATATTTGAGGAGAAGTTTGATATGGGCTCCCAGACATTTGACTTTCTCTCCTGTGCTGCTTGACGCCCGACTTGATGTAGCGCTTGAAGACTTTGAACTGCTCAGGGCTGGGGGATTTGTTGATCAAGGCCTCCAACACATTCCACAGTTCCGGATTCAGCTGAGCGTCGTCGCAGATTCTCTGAAGCCCACGTACCAGATCTGGCGTGTTCCTCTGGTGCGCTTCGTGCACAGCACGATCGACATGAACACGAAGTCGATCTTGTCGTAGTTGCTGCTGAATCGACAAGGGTTTCGGCGAAACATGAGTGGTTGGCGTAAAGGATAAAGTGACAGGAGACGGCGACACGGTTCCTGCTTGAGGCATCTCTGCAATATCCCTCCTAGGAGGCCGACCACGCGGGGGACTGGAAATGACAGCCGCATCAGATAGCCGAGGGGGAATTGATGGGATCTCGGACAACATTTCAGGCTGCTCGGCCTCAATTGTCTCTGTTGTCGCAACCACGTCCTGGTCCATTGGTGAGGCCGAGTCCACCTTTTCAGGTTCTGCCACGGGAGTGACAACCTCCTCCACCTGTGCCGGAGCTGGTCGTGGCGAGGGGCGGACGTAGTTCAATTTGAGCTTTTGTAGCAGTCGTTGAGAAGGCGCCGTCCCCAGGGGCTGCATGTTCTCGAGCACGCCCACCCTCTCGAGACCTTTTGTATCTTCAAAACTGGGGACCGCAGGTCGCACAGCCGGCTCAACCCAAGTGTCCAGACTCGTCTGTTGACCATTTCTTGTCGAGAGATCCTCGGCGGGCTTTGGTGCAGCGTCTTTTTCCCCAAAGGTTGCCGGGCTGGAGTACCGGCTCGACCTGTGCCGCAACGATCTGGTGGCCATCCTGCCTTCTTTTCTCCGCGCCGCACGCGCCGACTGCTTGAGAATCAGTTCAGGGACGTGTCATAAGGTGCAAGACGAAGACTTACTGTAGCCTTTGATGCGGCTCAACGGGGAGAGGGCGCAGGCTGTGACGAGGTGCGAGAAGGACAAAGTCACAGGCGCATGGTGTTGTGGTTCCGCAAACGAGGAAATGCCAGAATCCCGTGGTGACAAAAGAATCGGGCAAGGGGCACTTAGCCTTAGCCCACCGAGCGACCAGCTGCCAGCTGCCAGCTGCGCTCCAACTGCTAGCCTGCCACCCTGCGGCCCTGCCCAGTGTCTCCAGTGTTGCTGCTCCTGCCAGTCGCCCGCCGGCCTCGGCACTGCCGCAGCGGCAACTAATTACTCGGCTTCCTTTGCCCCCCTAAACCTCTTGAAGCCCCCAAGGCTGAGAGCTCCCTGTTTTTTTAATAATCCCTTTTTTCCTATTACCTCAGGGTATTGTACGTTCGTGCCGACCGTCCCGTCGATGCTGTGAGAAACCAACTCGTGGCCCGCCATCGACCTCTTAGATTTATTTGTATGGCTGAAGACAAGCCATCCATATATCTGTTGTCGTCCTGAGGTTAGGCAACAATAGTTGTCTTCGCCATGACGTGGCGACGTGTACAGGGCTGCCTCCCCTTGCTAGTGAGGCTTTTGCCCCTCTTCATCTACAGCCTAATAGGAAGAGCCCCATTACGGTAGCCCAGGCAGAATCACAAAAAAATCATCATTGCAACAGTTCTCTCGTTGATTGTTCTCTGGGTAGTAGTCATACTTTGCTGCTCGTTTTCCATTCATTCTCATTGCCTCATTGCGGCCACTGGAGCGAAGGTTACAAGCACCATGATTGTGCTCTCCTTCCTGAGGTCCTCCCACCGGTCTGAAACACGCTTCTTCTCGGTTGTGAGCATAGGTCGCGTCTGATACCCAACCAGCTCCCATGCATCTTGTGGAATTGTCAGACGTGACTTTCCCCAGCGGGCCATTGACCTCGTTGCCAAACGACTCCAAGACCTGGTAAGAGCATTTGGTGGCGTTGGGTAAGGAGGAACTGTTCATTCTTCGTCGCTGTCATCCTCGTCATCATCATCGTCGTCTTCCTCAGTGGCAGCAGCAGCAGCCGCCTTCTTGACTGGCTTCTTCTTTTTCTTCTTGTTCTTGCTCTTAGAGCCGGTGGATTTGCTGAGCGGTCGCTCGAGAATTGATAGAACCTCTTCATCGTCGATCTTCTTGTCGGACTTGACGGCTTCCAGATCCAGCGGAGGCGGAGCTGCTAGGCGTGTGAGACCATTCTTTGTGATTGCTGCAAAGAAAGAAAACCAGACGGTCAGCATAATGCGACAAATAAAACACAGTACGATCCGACTTACCAATAGTAGTGAACAGTCTCGAGACCGGAGAACCATCCGCCTCTGCAGCTGGCTTGTATTCACGTAGGACCCCTGATCTGATGCACTCGACGACGCCAACTTTGCCGGCTCGCTCATCGTCCAATTGCCGCAAACTGAAAGGGAAAGTACCGAACTTCTTGACGATTTCAGAGAGAACTTGTCTCGAGCTCGGCCGCTTCAACCCGTAGGTCGTAGTGGTCCGCCTCAGCAGAGTCGAACGCTTGTCCAACTCCTTGACCTTGCCCGATCCCAGACTCATGCCCATCTCGACCCCCCACACCTCGCCGACGTCCGCTGAGCCTTCTCCCTTGGCGCCATCAGCAGGAGAGAGGATGATCTTCTTTTTGCCCTCGATCTCATTTTTCTCAAACAGCCAGGACGTGGTGTGCTGGACAACGTGGACGTCATATGCCTTTGCGACCTTCTCAACCAGCGAGATGATCTTGGTCTGTGTGGGCGGCTTTTCGGCGGCAGCCTTCTTCTTCTCTTCCTCAGTGCCGCTTGCCAACAGTCCCGGAGGTACCATGAGTCGGAGCAGGAGTTCATTGGCATAGTATGTGGCGAGCAGCAAGTCTGCTTCTCGGCCCGTGATCTCTGCCTTTTTCCCTTTCTCTTGTGGTACTACAACGGTGTCCCCGACAATGGCACCGTACCCGTCAATCTGTGCACCCAACTGAATCTTGACCAGCTCACCAGCCTTGATGGTCGTGGCGGCGTCCTCAGCGTCTGAGACCAGGGGGGTGAAGGGCGTGACATGAGAGCTCGGGGATATCGTGCAAGGCGTTGCAATTCCTTTGTTGATGGACTTTCCTTTGTAGACTACAGGGTTTGTATGTTAGTCAAGGATGTTCGAGGTAAGTCTTCGTCCGCAGTCACATTCGAGAAGGGATTACAACTTGTAGCGCGAGAGGGAAGCCTCACCTTTGCTGAGCTCGGCCTCGAGAAGTTCGTCCCCTTTGATGCACAGGTCGATAATCTTTGCTCCTTCAACCAGCCATTTGGAAACTTCCTCGAGGACTTTGTGGCTGATGGTTGCGGCGGTCTTGTACCTGAGCCTCATGTCAGTGACGGATACCTACAGTCGGAGAGTGCATGACCTACTTGGTGAGGTTGTCTGGATTGTTGATCCCTTCTGCTACTGCCGCGTCGGCCATTTTGAGGAAGCAGAGTGTTTCAAAAAAGAAAAGGCACGCAATTGCACAGGTGAATCCGCCAACCTTCAATTCTGTGCAAGGGATATTTAACGTGGTAGTTGGTTAGTGGGGTGCAATGCGAATTTCCATTGTGTGGATGCGGGGACGCAAAGCTAGCGAGGCAGCAATGCCTTTCTGTGTGAATCTTCCAAGATCACACGACCAAAAGGAACGTCCTTCTCGCCGCTATAAAAACAGACATTCACAGGACGTTTTCAAGCACATCAGTCGACAAGGAAGCATGTCAAGGAGCAATATACTGGTTTCTCGGGATCTACAATAGTACACGCTGCACTGTTGTCGCACGGTGGCAGGCGAGAGCACTCAAGGAGTATCTTTGAATGCATATCCAGGGCCTTTGCTTCAACCAGCGTCTCTGTCATCGTGCACCTTCGTCGCCCTCAGTTCCTGGCTCCGACCATGGCCATTCCGCGTCCGGTCGGCCTCATGCATCACCGCAACATAATGTGCCGGACATTTCCGGTCATTCAATGGCGGTTGCTTCCTGCGATCCTCTGATCAAATGCTAACAGCAGGGCAATACCTTGCTGCATCGAAGCATCACCTTCTTTTCCGTATAGCGTTTCGTCAGTATTGAGCTCCTTGACTTTGCTCGAAGTGTCCAACAAACAGATTGTGTGTACCAAAAGGGAGCAGTGCGCTCCACGTGACCTCAGCCGTGTGGAGGATTCCAAACTCGTTGGGTTGGACGCATGTACATACGAGGCGTGAGAATCAGACGGTAGCAAGCCTCGCGTGATGTGATATCATAGATTTGAGCAGATCATGACTCCTTCGCCAGCCGGTCGTCCACATTTGATCTGTGGACGCGGTTCTTGAGATGAGACTCGAAATTCGTGGCACTCTGCCCTTCGCCGGGTAGGTAGACTTTGCCCTGTGGACGATTGTCAGCTCGGATCAATGCTTGGGATTCTGAATGAAACTGGCTGTTCGACAAGTAGGAGAGGGGACATACAAGGCAGTCAGAGCATCTGATGCGTGGGACGTATTTGTGCGGGAAGGAGTGATTCGTCTCATTAGGGGCAACAAGCTTTTGAGTCTTTGGGTCAATGGCTGTGTGCTTCATGAGAGCCTCGAAGCGGTCATTTGGGTATGTCTTCCGCAAGCGTTCCAAATCTCGAACAAGCCAGTCAGGCGGCGGAGGCTAGGAGCAGGAGTGGTAAGCATAGGTCCAAGTTTAGTAAAGGCAAGAGAACTCACGGGTGGATTGATCGGACTTGGCGTTGCATCAACGGCACCTGGAATATCTGCGGCTGCTGGGACTGGCGATGGCGGAGGCGGCATGCCTGCGAGATTCAACGGAGCCGCAGAAACAGATCGAGAATGGCTGCCAGGTCGTGGGCTGCCTTGATTCGACATATTGGAGACATGAGCAGCCCTATCCTTGGCTCGTTGCGACCGCATCCACTCTCGAAGCTTAGCTTTTCCCACTTTCAATACCACAATCAGTTTGCCCGAAGTAGACTCTTCGTCGCTCTCTTCTTTGTAGTCTCTCTTCCGAGCAGAAACTCGGCCATCGTGATGTGAAGGTGCGACCGACTCCGGTGTTGCGGATCTCACCGACGCAAAGCCGCTCAAATTCGATCTGATGCCAGCACTGGCAGTCAATGCCGCATTCCTGATACCTCTAGTACGGGCAGTGCCTTGTTGTAACAAGTGAGTCGGGATGGCTGGCGAATCAGGAGCCGAATCTTCACTATCTGATTCGTCCGAATCTTCGAAACCGTCTCGTTGCCCGCGTACTAATTTCCGGCTCGCCTTCGTAATTCTGAAGATTCGACTCTCCTCCATGCTCAGAGCAGCCCCAGGAATGACGGACGAAACAACAAGCGAGCGGATTGTGCGTTGGCGGTCCTTGAGATCTGGCAAAGCCGGACCTCCACGACGATTCGTTGAACGCTTCTGCCTCCTCTGTTCACGAGATATGGATAGCTCAGTGCGCTCCAGGTCCGCTTCGTTGAGTTCGTACAGGTACGGCGTATAATCCTTGGCTGCTTGATAAGGACGAAACGTGGTTGGTAGGGGTGACTGCAAGAGATTCTCCCTCAAATCCGGATCTTCTATCAGCCGGCCATCGAATGGATGACCCGTGATATGCAAGGATTTCGAAAACAATTGACATTGCTCACGTATGGAGTGTGCAATCGCAGTGGTAAACTCCCCGGCAAGCGATAGATCGCTCGTCATTTGACGTGCAAACTCTTCGGGAGAGTTGAATGGATTGTTGATTTCCCACTCGAATTGGTCGATGAGGGTGTTTTGGCCGATGGTGATATTGAGCTTGACCAGAATACGCATTTCGTCATTCTTGTAGGCAAAATATGGTAGAGATGGCTCCCATGGCTCGTCGTCTGCATAGATCTGAGGACAATAGTCGACTATCTGCTCGCGCATATGGTTTGCGACCATTTGAACGAGGGGCCGGCAGTTCTGGACTTCGAGGCCGAAATCTTCCACCAACTTCTCGGCGAAATAGTCGACGGAGGTCGTTCGGTCGTGCAGGTTCCAGGTGAAGGTATCCCGCAATTTGATCTTTCCCCAGTCTATGTCAAGCCGGATAGGCACTAGCTCCTCGTTCTGTTCCGCTTGAGAGTTGAGGTCTTTTCGCGACACTCGAGGCGGTAAGGTCTTCTTCTTGCCGGGCCTCCTTTGTCGCGGATATATTATGGGGTCGCGGAGATTCTTCTCGTCTGTCCTGGGATTGCCATACCCGGCGTAGCCGTACCCGAAGATGGAGCCAGGGTCATGATCCCTTCGTTGTCGGAGGCTCTGATACAAAGCTAGCTCTTGTTTTTTCTCCTGCGGTACCAACGGATGAGCCAGCTGCTCCGCGTAGAGGGCCTTGTAGTGGTACTCGTGGTCGACATAAACAGCTGCTTGGAGACGGTCTATTGGTGTTTCGCGCTTGCGCTTTCGATTGGTGTTTGGGCTGCCATCGTGGCCGTTGACCTCGGGCGCCGAATCCTTCCTCGCGACATCGATACCAGACGCGGCGAGAATCTCTTTTGCCCTCTCCTTGCCCTGCGCGATCGACTCTTCGTTGCTGGATGCTGAGGCGGTGGCTTCAGCAGGCGCGGCTACCGCACTTCCACCGTCGTCGGGGGTATTGCTCATGTCGACATCTCACGCAAGGTACAACAAAACCACAGAGTGAGGGGCCCACAGGGGTTGGACGCGTGTCTAAGGATAAAATTAGCCATCGCGAAGGACATTGAGATGAGGTCTGGGCTGGGAAGAGAGAAGGACATTCGGATGGGTGATTAGAAGTCAGCCACCAGGTATATTAGCCATCGCCAAACCCACGGCAGAGACAAGGGACATTATCAAGTAGGATAGCTCGATACATACCAGATGCGGCGGAGCTGGAATCGATGCGCTCGAGAGTCTGTATGGGGGTCTGGTTGGTATGGAATCAATGTGGACTTCTGGACTTTGTCGGACTTCAGGCGCAGTTTCGCGTCCTGGCGCTAATGGCTCAATCGGGCTTAGCCTCCAAGTCAAAACCTGCCGAGTGCCCTGACAAGTCCAGCCGACATGTCGCCAAATCCTCCTTCGCTCCCATGGCCTCGTCCTTTTGCTCGCCCCAGGGAATGCCACTTCAGACGTGGCTCAGCTCTACAGATTGGTTCCAGTAATTCCCAAATACATACGGCAGAAGATGCGAGTGACGTTTCAGAAACATTGAAACGCCCCGAGGCCCGTCTGACGAAGGAACTGTGCCCTCCCCTTTCTGATTGTTTCAATACGACAATGAATACCGGGTTCAAACGAAGTGGTGTGCAAACCGCAGGTACGGTAAGTCAGCGTTTAACCAATTCTGACAAGTTAGGTATGGAAAGAGCTTTTTGATGAAGCCGATATCCAGTAGCCAGCATGACAGACAAACAAGGGACGACCGTGTATCTTCAGGTGACACTACATGAGGTCTTCCAAAAAGGCGGCGGGTCAACCATGTTAAGACATGCACTCATGCTGTCAACAACCTTCTCTGTGATAGAAGAATGAGGAATCGAGGTATACGCGCAGTGTCACCCAAAATCACTTGGACAAGGCACAGAACACCAACATAGTTGCTCTGCCGTGAAGACTCCTGCATGGCTCACCAAATGAAGAACTGCAGAACCCCGTTCTACATCTTTTTCCCTACCATGGCATCCACAGCCATACATGTGGAGGGAAGCGAGAGCATCTTGCCACCTGAGCGGCCTGTTGCCATGATACCTACCTAGGTAGGTAGGCTATGGGTGATGAGGGTGGCACTCTGTTAGAGGGATACTCGGCGCCATGTGGCGCATATCAAACATGCATAAGGGGTGCTCGGTGGTCCATCTGAGAATCTCACCCATTACCATGCAGTGCCTCTGCCCTTCCCACCGGCCAATTACTTCGCTCGAGGTTCTCCATGTGGCTGCACTCGCTGACCACGGATTTCATGGACGACCATTTAATTCCTCCAAAATGATGTCATTTGAAATGTTCGGATTAGCGCGGCGTGTGCGGCTCGCTGTTTGGTTGTTAATGCTTTGTTCGCTGGCATGTCTGTGTTTCCCAACGGTTCAGTCAGCTTCGTTTGTTACTGACGATCGTCTATCTCGCCCTGGCCCATCCTGTCACGTTCTCACAGGCGAGGCGTGTCAGAAGAAAGCTAATTCCCTTTCATGTTGTGATACGCGCGACATCTCAACACAACCGGTCGGAGGACCTGTCACTTGGTAGCGTATTTGTTCCGCAAAGAACCCTAGTATATCTACCCCGTTCCGAATAACTCAATAACCCATTCGTAATAGATCCCTCAGAAACGAATAGTCCTAGGGCTTGTGAAAGAAGACTGCATTTGCAGCAGGAACGTCTTTTCCTAAATTTACATCCTCAAGCATCCCTTTGTCTCCTGGCCATCTGCATTTGCTTGGTATTGCGCAACGAATTTGCATAAATATACGTCCTTCAACATGGGTGATGCCTCTTGCCCACCAGAGCTGCCGGAAGAGTCGTCGTCGGCCCTGCTGCCGATCAGGATCTTGACTCACAACATACGCTTTGCGACCGACACACCCGACGAAAGCGAGAAGCTGTGGCCCGACCGCTTCGCTTACCTCTCGAGCCACTTCAAGTACCACACGCGTCCACATTTCGCTCCCCAGTCGACGCTGGTTTGCATGCAAGAGGTCCTCCACGGACAGCTTCTGGATTTGCACACCCAGACGTTCAATACTTCGACGACGTCGTCGCTGCAAGCCTCCGGGGACGACGACAATGACTGGACGTACGTCGGGGTCGGGCGCAACGACGGCAAAACCAAGGGAGAGTACAGTCCCATCTTCTTCCGCAAGTCCGCCTGGAAATGCATCCACTGGGAAACAGTGTGGTTGAACGAGACGGGCGAAGTGGGCAAGAAGGGCTGGGACGCGGACAGCATCCGCATCCTGACGTGCGCCGTGCTGGAATCGGTCCTTGTCGACAACAACACTGCCTCGGATGGACAAAGAAACCAGCTCATGCTAGCCATGAACACGCACCTCGACAACGAAGGCAAAATCTCGCGGCGAGAATCCGCCAAACTCATCCTCCGGGTCGCTTCTCGCTTGCGATCAAGGTACAACCCAACCTTCACCTTCCTGACGGGCGACCTGAACAGCCACCCGGACGGAGACGCGTACCAGATCCTCAACGCGGCCGGGTCCGGCTTCGTCGACACCCGCCGCCTCGTTTCGCAAAGCAACCACGACGGCAAAATCTACGCGTACGGCAACGAACTCACATTCACGGGCTTTCCACCCGACCCCGCCGCCGAGGGCAGGGAACGCATCGACTTTGTGCATTTGGGCATTCCGCTGCCGCCGTCCGAGGCCGAGGCAAGTAGTCAAGGGGAAGAAGAGCCGTACGACCAAGTCAAGGAGATGGTGCAAGGGTACGGCGTCCTACCGAATCGATTCGACGACAAGGTGTGGATGAGCGACCACCGAGCCGTGGTCGTGGATTTGCTGGTGAGATTTTGAAATGGTTGAACAAGTCGCAATTTAGACAGCGAACAGGATAGAGAGCTGGACCGCCACTGGAGACTACAGGCGCCTAGCATATCATTGGCAAAGGGGAGGGGAAAAAAGTTATTATGGCAATCTACGCAGAGTAGATATCGTGAGGACTTGGTTCTATTGGCATGGGACAAAGTTGGACATACACCTCTCGAGTACGTACGTGCTTTTGGAGAGTTTGAGAGTTGAATAATTAGACCGAAACTACATTCTGAACACACTGCATTTATGGCCTAAGTGAGGACAGATTGAAGAGACGGATATTAAGACGGTGAGATACAGATCATCCCATCCCGTTTCCTCTCCTCCCATCTCCTCTCTTCCTCTTCTTTTCTAGTTACTTTGGCCTAAAAATGCATGAATCAACAAGAATGAAGAGATGGTATCATGCTGGCCTTGTCTGCTCCTTTTGGGCCCTGTCTATACTGTACAGAATATCTCCCTTCTCGATTTACAGCTAGTAGATACTACACGGAGACTGTCGGACGCCTTGCTCCATTCCCGCTCGCCCTTTTGTAGCCACAGGCTCATGGATCTGAAGGTGAGGAAATAAATTCATCTTTCACGCACACCGTTTTCTTTCCTTCTCCTTTCTGTGCGCGCAAAGGGAATTCCCTCGCAAAACGGCAAAGGTGGTCTGGCCCAGTTTATTCCACCGCGGCTCTGAATAGAGTAGATGTTCGAAACCTGGCAGCGTTGTTTCTGCCTCCAGCTCCCAGATATTGAGAAGGTCTGCTGTACCTCACTACGCCACAAGCATGTTCTTCACCCTGATCCAATAATCCGGATGCACATGCTCCTCCACCTCGTCTTTACTCAACCATTTGAAGTCTTCGATTTCATCCAATCCCATATCTACGACGACACCTTTTTTATCCCTAGCCTCACCCTTGCTGGTGCCTGGAGCTGGAGTATCCGTCGAAGATTTTGCCTCTTTTCCATTTGCATCCGCGTGGGTAGTAGAGTATGAGACGTCGGCTTGTCCCGCCATTATCCGTGCCTTCATGAAGAACGTCTTTTCACCGTCCACCAGGGCCTTTGTTGCGGCAAGGTCTTGTTTCAAGGGTGTTGACTCGCTAGCCTTCTCAACCTGAGTCGTTGCTAACGAGGAAGGATGTTCCATTGATTGGGAATTTGCTGAGGAAGTTGATCCAGCGATAAACAGAGGGGCCGAAGATGGACGAGGCCGTGGTGAGGAGAAGCGCGCCACGTAGTGGCCAACAGGGTGGTTGCCGACGAAAAAGGTGTTCATGTTAGGGCCTAGTGAGCTGAATAGGATGCGTTGCGCCGCCTGCAGTTTTCAGAGGTTTTCGGTTAGCTCTGTACCCTTAACCGTGCATGCGAAGAGCTGAAGGATATTCGAGTACAGCTCCAAGCAATGGGAAAATTCGTGCTCGCTTACCTCTTTTAACCCTTCAAACCCAACAACCGGCCCAGAGGGGAACCTCCACAGCCATTTCTCACTGTCGCCGCCCACGTCCTTCTCTTTTGCTTGTCCGCCCTTGTTCTTTAGCTTTACTAAGAGATACAAGGTCCTCTGTAGCCTCCTCTCTAGACTCCTCTGATCATTCTTCTCGTCCGCCTCCGTGAGCCTCCTCAGCCCCGCAAACCTCGGATTCCCTTGCCCAGTAAATTCGTCAGCTCTGCCCTCCTCGGAGACAAGTTGCTCTAGTATTTTCTCCGGTTTCCCCGTCTCATCGCCCACGAGTACTTCATCGTTCCATGCCTCGGGACTGTACGCGTTGTACTTTCCGATGTCGCGTGTTGCGGCGCCACCTCGCTCGCGGCGGTGTTTGCGCCATTGTTCAAATGCAGGTGTGTTGCGGCGGTAGTAGAAGTACTGCGTGAAAGGCAAGACAAGGCGCTCGTTGAGACGGCGCTGATAGAGATGGAAAGCTGTTTCGAAGGGATGAGGGTCTGGCGTGATCAGGGGCGGGCGGGAAAGGACAATCCCAGCTTTTATTGTATAGAGTGGCTGTGGTGACAGGGACGCCTCAGGTCCTGACGGGGACAGTTGAGTGATAGGCGGAGGTAATTGGGAGTCAAGATTTGCTTTGGCTGTTGCTGCAGAGGCGTAGCTCCGTTTGGACAGGGTCTGGAGACAAGAAGAACAGACGTGGTGGACTGAAGGAGACGCTACAGCGAGGTGTCAGCTTTGCCATGAGTCGATGCCCGAATGTGAAGAACATACCAAAGGCATCCGCGATGCGCTTTGCACCTCTTGATCGAGGAGCCATTTCCCAGGTCTCTCCCACTTACCGCAGGTGCTGGTTGCGGGAAGCTCAATTGTCCAATTCCTCCAGGCCTAGAAAAAGTTCGGGAAACCAAATGAGGATCGAGAAACAGACTGAAACCAGGAAGGGCAAGTTTTCCGGACAGCAATATAATTTTCCTCCCACCACTCCAATGAAGCTTGCTTCCTTCGTCCCTACCTTGTATGACCTTTGATGTAGGCCGACATTATGTATTTTGATTGAGTATGAAAGCGGACAGGGTTTGCTCGCTCTTCCTTTCACCTCAGCCTGCCTGGATGGAAGATTGCGTCTTCATTCAAACCAAATTATCCAGGATTCCAGTCACTCTTTAGCTGGAGTCGAACGCAACCAGACGGCGCCAATCCCTATCATGAACTGCTTTGTCTCTATGGCTTCTTCATCATCATACGGTGCCCAGAATGAATCATTCCCGAGGGGAGTCTTTTTTCGCTAGCAGGACCGATCTATTTTCGTCGTGCAGGTACTGTTAGATAGTCACTCCCTACAACGAAGTATCCCAACATTGTGGGGTTCATCCATGATTCTGGAGAGAATGGCTTGTTTATGAATGCGAGCTGCTTGGATTTTTCGAGCACTACCCACAACCAAAGATCTGGTCCGATCTTTAATTTTTCCACACATTGTCCGCCAATCATTTTGCGTTAATATGGCATTCGCTATATGGGCACCATCAACGGACACATGACACTGGCTCCTCCATCCACGACCATATTCGCCCCTGTGATGTAGCTGCTAAAACCCGAGGCCAAAAAGCCAGCAACCCTTCCAACCTCTGCCGGTGTCCCCGCCCTTTCGAGTCCAATGTTGTTCTTCTGTGCGGTCGGGCTTTGGAGAGCTGCAGGAGGTAATTGAGTGTTGTATCCCATCAGAGTAGATTTTGCGTCGAAACCATTGAGGCTGACCCCGACATCAATCTGCCCGGGGGAGATGGCGTTGATGCGCACGCCCGTGCCCTTCAGGACCGCGACACCCGAGCGGACGACGCCTAGGGCAGCGTGGCAACTCATTGTAAAGCACGGTCCCCAACATCCTCCATACGTGCTCGCTGTGGATGTCACAACAATGATACTTCCATACCGCTGATCTTTCGGCGCCGCGTTGGGATAGTTCCCCTTTGACGCGGTCTTCTGCATCGCGTGGGGCGCATATTTCAAGGCGAAGAACGGTGCGAGACTGTTGGCCTCGAAGCATTTCTGCAAATCTTGCGGTGTTGTCTGGTCTATTGAAGGCGGGCCCAACAGGCCAGAGGAACAGACCCACGCGTCGAGGCGACCCCAGGCGTTGAGGGCTTCGTCAATGAGGACGAGCGTGTCTTGTTCAGAGGAGATGTCGTACGGGTAGGGAATGACCTTAGTGTTTGGATAGCGTTTAGACAGGTCCGATTGAAGACTAGAAGGCTGGTCGTCTGCGGCGCATGCATATATACAGGCTGCTCCGTGTGCTAGTGTTTGCCGATGGGTTAGCCTTGGAGGGAGCTGATTTTGGTTTGAAAGGATTGCATACCGGCCAGTTCTGTCACGATGGCAGCTCCAACTGGCATGTTTGCGCCCGTGACCACGCAGACGAAACCATATAGCTTTCCATCTGTTCGGTATGGTGAGAAATGATCTGATTCTTCCTGCAGAGTCATTGAACTAGGCATGTTTGTAAGAGTTGTGGCTCGAGCAAGTCAAGAGTAAGGGAAATATCAAAATCTTCGATTAGCAAAGCACAGACTCAAGGCTCCCTGGATAATGTGCTTTGTTGAGCCTGACCAGAGAGAAGGGGGGAAGCGAGCAGCCCTAGTCTGAAGCTTGAAATTCATCAAGGCAGCTTGTGACGACCAGCATGCACGATGCAAGTTTGGAGTCGTGGTCCATTTTCGTTTCATTATCAGCCCAATGATGACAGCAGTGATTTGGTTTGCAGGTCTACAATCACTGCACCCACAATCAATTTTCGAGTGATGTCAATCAGCTTCTCCGCGCAAATGCAAGATTCAAGTTGGGAGGAACAAATCGTTTGGCGCGTTTGATAAGGCTTTGTTATCAGCCCCTAACTATTGGCTCTTTGTCGACGTCGGGACTTTTCTTATGGGGGCAGGGGTGTTGCCGCTCTACGAACGGGTACATCACTTGAAGCACTGTGTGCCATCGTCCGCTCAACTCCTTCACTGATTCTATAGCATCTGAATCGCCCGTAACACTTCGCAAGAGATGAAAAGCCGAAGACTCGTAAAAACTCTGGCATAGCATTATGTACTAAATCTCCTCTCTGCTTTCAGGTACAGGGCTGCCCTCCCTGCTCTCGACAGAGAAGCAAACCCCCAGCTCTCCACCGTGTCTCGACTTTCCGGATCCTTTGCATTCTCCCGTCTTTCTGCGGGTCAACCAACGCCATTGACGACACAGAAATTACCTCTTGCTGTCACGGTACCCGGGCATTTGTCCCCACATCTTCCCCTAGAATTTGTCTGTGTAGATGCCTACAGGCCTCGTGACAAACCGATTGCTCCTCCTCCTCAACTCATCAGGAGTGCCACTCCCACTCTCGCTCACGTCTCTCGTAGCACTTTCGGTTCCCATTCCATGGTTGAGGCCCCGCGAGCTGGAACCGGCGCGCATCCTCGCCTCCAGAATTGCCAAAGCATGATCCCCCGCCGCTCGAGCAACTTCAGCTTCTTTCAGGAGACCCTTGCGAGTTAACTCTCTCTCTTCTTCGGGCAACACGAAGCGGTGGATCGTGCGATGATCCAAGACGCGTTCTTCTGGGTCTCCTCCACCTTCCACCCAAGTCCCCTTTCCACATCTCCCTTTTCGCCTGTATGCACTGTACTCGGTTGCCTGAGCACTGTTCTTTTTACCCCGGCCATTGCCCTGAGACTTGCGTTCAAGCAATTTGCGAGGATCTGGGTCTGTTTTTGGCCAGGGAAATCCATAGAGCATACTGTGACGCTCACATCGTGGGCACTCGCGCCTCGTCTGGTATCCGTTGGGCTGGATGAAGAACCCAAGACACTTGTCGTTGTGGCACTGTACCCACCGATCGTGTGGTTGTGCGAGTAGTTTTCTGGTGAGAATGTAGTCGCCGGCAATGCGGATGGTGCCGGTCACTGGGTGGACCGTCAATTTGGCCACTGTTGTTGAGGCATTCATCGGTTCTATGGATGGTAGCACACTGTTTTCCTCGACTGTAGCGCTGGAGGACTGAATCACTTGGACCTCCTTACTGACGGTTGTGGTGGACAGAGTGGAAACAGCGTGAGGAACAGCCAATGTAGTGCTCTCGGTGATCGGGCGAATCTGTTCATGCTGTTCTTGTGATTGGCGAGTACTTTCACTAGGAGTAGCGTGAGGAACTGCCAATGTAGTGCTCATGGCGATCGGTGGAATCTGTCCATGCTGTTCTTGCGGTTGGCGAACACGTTCACTGGTTTGGGCAGAATTCCGCCTCGACGGGTAGATGATGATTGTATCCTCATCTTCCTCCATCTTTGTGATCTCGACAGACTCGACCTTGATCGTGACGGCTGTATCGGGGTGAGGAGCCCGGGAGCTTGGGCCGCTCAATGGGCCCGCCTCGGTAGAAGAGCCATGACTAGAAGGAGATGTCGGAGGCGGGGATAATGGAGCACGCGAGGATATTCTGCCTAGAAGTTTGGCTGCTTTATTGCTTTCACTCTGATCCGCTTGTCCCTTGGACGAACCGGGCGACTTCTTCCGTGGCTCATGATCATGATCCGTACCAGTTGCAGGAGCCGAAAACTCTGGTTCCATTTCGACTGGCGACTGTCTGGACTTGTGCTTTTCTGATTCGGGAGGACTACGAGGTGACGAGAGTGTTGTTGCTGAAGCCACAGCCAGTGAATTCTCAACCGGTTCGGACTTTCGCTCAACAGGGGGTAGTGGCGTTTCCGCATCTGAACTGTCCGACGGCGTCCAAGAGTGTTGCAACTTGGAAGGGGACTGCACGAGCTTAGCATGCTTCGAGGAAGGAGGTGCGGAAGAGTATGAATGGTTCGAATCTCTTTTCCGTTTTAGGCCGCGTGGTTGGACTGCTGTTTGGACTGCTGTTTGTGGTTCATGAAGCGGAGTGGAGGCGCGACTAGGAGTGTCAAGGATGCCAGCCTTGGATGTCCAGCCGTTCCGCTCGAGTTGTTCACACGTGTGGCATAAGCAATCGATATTGCCAGGCCCGAAGTAGTCATCGCCATATGAGACAGTGATCTCGTCGCCGACCTCAATGTTCTTCATAGCAACGACTTCCATGCCATTTTCTCCACGCGTCACAAGACGTCCATTCGCGTCGCAATCATGGTTGGCGAAGCGAGCTGGACCCAAAAAGATGGACGAATTTTTCTTGCGACTAGAAACGACGATGCTGAAATTTCGATTCGTCAAATCTAAGTCGGCCGACTCTTCGGTGGTCAGAGGGACTAGTGTGCCGGTGAGATATTTGATGGTGTCTCCCTGTCTGATGCGCCTCCTGGCTGTGACGGCTGCCTCATAGGTGGTGATGGTGTAGCGATTAGTGGTAGACACTTCCCAGGCGCAATCGGTCTGGTACATATCTATGTATTTTCTCAGGTGGTTCAAGAAATGTTCCTGTTCACTTTTGCTGCGCAAACTCTTTTTGTATCTTTTCAGCCCAGGAAGCGCAAGAAGAGCCTTCTCTGCGGCCTTTACATCTTTGTCCACAATAACCTTGTGTAATAGGATCTGGGGGACCTCATCTTCCTTGATGCCGCGGATCGGGAAGTGCTTGGTGCGATTCTTTCGGATTCTGGACTTGTAATAAGCCTGTTGCGTGTCAGCACGACGAATCTTCTCATCAATTCCGATGTTACCGACATTATCTATCATGACATCTGAGCACACGTCGTCATGAGCGGCCAGCTCAGCAAGGGAAAGCCGTTGAGTCTTTTCAGGCTCAGCTGCGCCCTTCCCGCGAGCCATGGTCGCGTGTGCAATGAGGACCCAACAACCGAGACTCGGAATCTTTCAAGAACATAAGACGATATGAAAGGTTGAAAGCGGATGACACTGGGATTCGGTATGTATTTGATTTAGCTGAGGGCGGTTTGGAAGGAGTGGAAGGGGCTGAATATCGTTAATTGGACACCTGGAACGCGGTCTGGAATCAGGCCAGCCTGAGTGAGGCGAAAACGAGCGGAACGATGGTAAAGAGAATGTGTACACGTTGCGACATCATGGTCCGGTAAATTAGGCACCTGAATGATGCATGAGTTGTCTGCGAAGCTGAGAAAGAGAGAGAGAGACTTTCAGCTTGGCTTCACTTTGTAAAAGAGGGAAGTCAAGGGAAGGGCGACGGAAGGGTTGACTTTCGAGGCTATGGAGAGGGGGAAACGTCGGCGGCGGCGGCGGCTGGACAACCAGGGAGGGTGACGGCCACTGACGGGCCAAGCGGGCTTAACGAAATTCAGGTAGGCGAACCCCCAGCGACCGCTCTGTTTGGTTGGTGTGGCCGTGCGTGCGCTTCGATCGGCAGCAAAAGCATGCGCCCATCGGCCACCCCATGCGCATCTTTACCTAGCATCCACCTGAGCACCCAATTGAATCGCTATCCACTTCAATATTTGTCTGCAGCTAGATTCATCCTCTCTTTTGAATTGCTCCCACACCCTCGACTCTGCGTGCTCTTTACGATAGCGCGCATGATGCTGCCACGATGATACAACTGAAGGTGGATATGCCCTGAACCTCGCTACGATGCCCGTGTCTTAGGCTGATGATGATGATTGATGCTAGACGATGCTTAACTGCATCGACAACTCCGGAGCTGCAATTGTCGAGTGCGTCGCAGTTATGAGGAAGAAGAAACAGCATGCGAGAATAGGTATGATGGAAGCACAACCAGTACTTATATCCCCTTCTCGCTGACTTCTCTGTCTGGGTTCAGGTGATAGGATCATCGTCGTTGTTCAGAAGCAAAAGTCCTTCGGCGCCGAGACTCCCGGCGGATCGAGTTTGAGTATCGCCAACAAAGTACGGAGAGGTGATATTCGACACGCAGTGGTTGTGAGAGCGAGGAAAGAAGAGCGCAGGAAAGATGGAAGTCTGATACGTTTCGACGACAACGCCTGTGTCCTTATCAACAAGAACGGTGACCCCATTGGGACGAGGTTGTCGAGTATAGTGGGAGCAGAACTACGTGACAAAAAGTGGTCAAAGATCTTGTCATTGGCACCGATGCATGTTTAATTCAACCGGTGAGCGTGATTCCATGCTTGGGCAAGGTGGAAGGATGGATAACCCCTCGCCACGTCTGATAAAATTCTTGTACAAACAGCCGGAGGAAACAAAATTCTAAGACCCAACACACTCGGTACTGAGTTGTGTTTGCGTGCGTGCGGCGGTGCTGGCTGATCTGGAGCCTTGTCTCTCTTTTCTTTTTCTTCTTTTTTTGGCTCGTCCTATCCATCCAGCTCTCGTAAAATCGTCCCAGGTCTCCTCCCATAAACGCCTCGAATGCGTGGGTATCATAACCATGATATACCAATTCATGCCACCAACACCCTGCTTAAACGACAGTATAGACATGATTGCAGGAGGTGCAAACGTAGTACAGTTTCTAGATCTCAGTCAGAGCGCTCAGGCTGAATGTCACGAGACAGTGCTTACCATTCCCGTGTCTGCGGCACGCTGCTGCGACTGAAAATAGACGGCTTCCGTCTCCCGGCATTTTGGACATTTCTTGGGTGCTCGAGGAAGCTGTACAAAGTGTAAAGCAAGCCGTCAGCCAAAGGTCTCAAAAGCTAGACGCAGAGAGAAGAGGAGAACTCAAGAGACCTGATGCCAAAGTCTTTTGAACTTCCCCGTGCCTTCTCCTGCTAAATGGCGCCGCATGTGTTGCATCTCAACGGCTCCCCACAAAGGGTACAGAGAGGTGGCAGCTCAGAGGAAGCAGTACCCACCGTTGGATCGTGTGCAACATCAGCGGTTGTTCCCGCCGTCTCTTGAACATTGGCGCCGAGTTGTTGTCGATAGGTACAGGCGGAGTCGTGCTGCGAAGTCGCGTGGCATGCTTTGCAAATGTAGAGGAGAGTAGATGTTGCACGGTCTTCCTTCGGGTACAGAAGGTTCGAGCTGGGACAGACAGGTCAGAAAACGTGCGCTGAGAAGAGTTCGGAGGCTTACCATTCCTGACAAAATCTGTAAGAGACCTCGCCACGCTTGCTCTCGCCCTCGCTTGGAGATGGGGACGCCGCCGCAGACATGTTGGACATGCGAGGTTTGAGAAGGCTCGTGGAGAAAAGGAGCAATATGGGACCGTGGCTCTGAAGGTGATATTCCTCGCGATAAAACGCGCGCCGGTGGGTGTTGACTCTGATGTTAGGACACCTGGGTGCACCAAAGGGAGATGTTCTTGCTGAATAATTGTGTGAACAGTAGAGAGGCACCTAAAAGGAAGGGCGAAAAGCTGAAGAGTGGGATAAATTAAATGTTACCGTATTGACCGGGCGTCAAGGTGACTCAACACGTCCAGATGGCGAGGCGGTGCAGGTTGTGTTTTCAAAGAAGTGTGAGAAGCAAGTGCACAAAATGTTGCTCCCCGCGATTTCCCTGTCAACCTGTGTCCACCGTGCTCCGTACTTGTACCGAGTAGAGTTACCTTAGTAGTCCAAGTCACACCATCCCACCCAAACAAATCGACCAAACCCACCAGGAGTCTGTGTGATGTCGGCCTTCCCAAGTGACTCTTGTTCTTCTCTGGCAGACTGCTTGTACATTCACTCATCAGGTACTTGAATCAGTCTTTGCTGGTCTAGTGACCTCTGACGTCCTTGAGGGTTGCCCACCTACTCTGTCTTGTCTGACCTCTTCTACCAGTTCGCGCTCGACCAGTGAATCTGTGACCGTCCAGACCGCATAAGACCAGCCAGTCAGGCTCCTGTTCCTGTCCATTTAGCCGCTGTCCAGCCCTATGCTACCCTCCCTCACCTCCTCCCTCACGGGCCCATTTCTTCGTTGACATTATTGACCTGCTGACGAACGACAAATCCACTGCCCCACCTTGGTCGCGCCCTCCAGTGCGAGCAACACCAGACACCAAACACCGACTGGGGCATCCCAACAATAACTCATCTCCCCTCCAGTGCTTTCATCTACCGGATCGACACCTCGACAAGGAACACCTCCTCCTACGAACAGTACTGCATCAGCGGAAGCGCTTCAGAAAGCCATGGTACGCGAGTCGCACACCCGTTGGACCTCATCACCCGCGCATGCGAATACCTACTGATAATCTTTACAATAGACCGAGACTGATACTGGCCTGCCCCCTGACTGGGAGGTCCGCCACTCCAACTCAAAGAATCTCCCCTACTATTTCAACCAGAAGACGCACGAGTCAAGATGGGAACCCCCTGAAAATGCCGACACGGATAAGCTCAAGATCTACATGGCGCAGCACCACAGCTCGTCTGCGAACGCCCGCATCGATGGAGCTGCCAGTGAAGGCAAGATTCGTGCTGCCCATCTCTTGGTCAAGCACAAGGATAGTCGGCGTCCCTCCAGCTGGAGAGAGACCAATATCACCCGCTCGAAGGAGGAGGCGATTCAAATGTTGAAAGGTTACGAAGAGCAGATCCGCTCCGGCGACAAGACTCTGGGCGACCTGGCCGTCTCCGAGTCCGACTGCAGCAGTGCTCGGAAGCGTGGCGACCTGGGTTTCTTTGGCAAAGGACAGATGCAGAAGGAGTTTGAAGATGCAGCGTTTGCCCTGCAGCCAGGCGAACTTAGTGGCGTTGTTGAGACTGCTTCCGGAGTGCACCTCATTCAACGGTATGTGTTGGTTATTGTGAAATCCCTTGGTGTGTGATCGCTGATCCGTGGTGCAGAATTCAGTAAATTGTGAAATCGATGTCTGGCACGTTGCGACATTGTCTCCCCATTGACGTATTGCCTCTAGGATCGCGCCGAAGATTTTCCCTGGGAGTTCGGCGGCTTTCGTGGGAATGTATGCATGGCGGAGGAGACACATGTCACCCCCACTCAAGCGCGCCTTTCGTTATTCGCAGGAAAAGTTGAATAGAACTGGCGTCACATTATGCTTTTTCTTCAGACGGATTTCACCATGGCCCACGCGGTGCTTGCGGATCAGCTATCCAGGCGTGGTTGGAATTATGTGGTGGCACTCTGTCGACGTACTCCGTACAGGATCGGAGATGTCTGAGGGAAAAGTCACGAGGTGATTGATGCGCTTTCCAACACCCGCTGTGGCCAGAGTCAGGCTCCCAGAAAGAAAGGAAACATGATTCCTTTGTTCTTGCTGTATCACTGACCTACGTCATATTAGTCGTTTCCTTGTCTCCAACCAATGCAAGCTACTGGAAGTGATTCTACTGACCACCTACGGATGCGTTCTGGGGAGTTTTCTGACGATATGGAGTTTCCACTTTGCGACGCAGCCTTCCGGGCCAATCACAACCACCGCCCCTGTACCACTACCCAGGCTGTTATGGCTCTATACGGGCTGGATGCATGGCGCATATAAAAATATTCGTGGCCTGATCTGACTATACTGTTCAAGTATTCGCTCCGCCAGCATCCAAAACGTCCTGCGAATGCTGATGCATATATATACCGACGTGCATCCTCCAAGAAGTTGCTGCTGTTCCCTCAGCATCCAACTCCATCTCGCTCTTCAGCTCTTCGCTCTCGACGTCTTCAACCTTGCCAGCATTGGATCCTTACCCCAGCCATTCTTGCACCCCCCACAATCACCATGAAGTCCAGTCCCATTGCTGATGCTCTGTTTCTGGCGCCTCCCCATTCCCATGATCCCAGCAATGTCTCCCATGTCGCGGCACTGCCAGCCTCGATGCTAATGCAACTGCCGGAGCCTGTCCAAGACGCTCTCTGGACTCTTCAAGAATCTACCTCGATTGTCTACGCCTCGTACCTCCGATTACAAGATCTTCTGGAGGAGCGTTTTGACCGATTGATCCCTCTGCCAGGCATGCCTGGGTCGTGTAAGTTCACCGTCCCTACTGCCTGACCACGAAGCCCTTGCTCTCCTCTACCACTCGATTTTCTCGGCATCTATCAAGGCGAAGCAGTGGGGTTGAAACTAATACGGGAGGGGTTTGTTCCAGATTCCGAAACTGCATTCTTCAACTACATGAACGCGCTGTCTGCCGAACGGCGCTACCTCCTCGAGGATGCGCACCCAGATTGGAAGCACAAGGCGTCCCGAGCCGGGCTGTCGCAATACGGAGAGCTGCTACTCACTTGCCGGGGCAAGGAGATGACCGTGGCGGAATGGTTCGACCAGCTCCAAAGAGCCGAGCAGCTCTGGGTCCAGGAGGCTAAAGACGCAGAGCTGCCCGACTTTGAAAGCACCGTGACCGAGTACCAGATCTTGACGGATTCGGAGAGCTCAACGCCGCCCAGCGAGGTATCCGAGGACGATTCACCCGAGGGAGGCAGGAGCTGGGATGCGCCGGTGCCAGTGGGGCGAAGACCCAAGGCGGATCCCAAGGGCAAGATGGGAGGCCACGAACTAGGACCGGAGCGGATCGCGAAGGCTCTAGAAGCGCTGTGAGGGTGAGGGCGAGGGCGAGGGCGAAGGGCGAAAGGCAAGGCCAGGGATAGTGCCTACTACTACTGGGTATTGGTGTTGCATGGCCAAAGGGTGTGGATGCATGCATGGGCATTTGGTGCATGGCGCGTCTTGTTTTCTCCGTTTCTCCTTTTGTTCTCGACTCTTTCTTTGACGCACTCCTCAATTTTTATTTGTTTACTGTACAACCCGGGAAAGAGCGAGCGCGCTGCAGGTGTGGTCTGACGGCTCTCCTGAGTGGCTGACGCATCGCACGTTGAGACGTGGTTCGATCTCGATCTGCCACTCATTTGTCTGCGCGCTCTCTGTTGGGCCCCTTTTGTTGGAAAGTGGGCTTGGGAAGAGGGAGAGGAAGAGCTGGAGCGTTGCCGCGAGTGGCCATACACCAAAAGCACCATTCTTCTTTGTACTTACCTATTTGCCACCCCTTTTTGTCTTACCCTTCTAGATTCCCTGACATGTGTTAATTACCTAGGTAGTTACTACTTAAAGAGCGAGAACGAGAGAGAGATAGCCCCTCATTGCCTGCGCTTGGCTAACCTCACCTCACTTGTAATATGACGAATGGAGCGAATCATAAAGCAGCCTACTCAGTACTCAGTACTCCGTATACTGCGGACTTTTTTCTTGATCAACCAAAAATCCTTGCATACACGCAGCGCATTGCATTGCATGATAGCACAGCATACCTAGGTATTTGCATTTTGGACATTTGCGTTTCGTGTTTGCGTTGAATCTCTTTTGCCTGATGAAGGCCATAGCAAGCCCCGCCGGAGGACGTGCCAGAAGAATGAGCTGCGAAATTTCTCGAAGGCTGCTCACCCTGCATTTAACTTGGCACGACTGATTGCGACTGACTGCAACTTGTGCGACGTGGTGTATACTCAGCACAAACACAAGGTTTCCATCAAGCTTCCAGGCTCACAGTACTCGTATTGTACCCTACAGTACCGTAACGAGTAGAACTCTCCACCTGCATCTTTGAACACAAGAAAATCATCAGACTCTAGACCGGAAGTGGACTTCCGGCCGCCCCGTTGGCGGAAACTCTCAGCGTACGAGTAATGGACTCTGCGAAGTACCCACAGGTACCGTCACCTCACCGTGAATGCTAGTAAGATGATCTCACTTTAAGTACCCAGTGCCGATCTGTAGCGAATACTTCGATCGATATGATCGACAGGAGAAAGCCAAAGAAGTTCCTTGAAGACTCGAAGGGACTCGGAATCCAGGCCTGGTGCCCCAGTGGGTGCCAGTCCTATGCCGAAATCAACAAACTCAAGGCAAGTACCTAGTACGAGGTAGCGACTACCAGATACTGCCAAATGTTTCAGATTCTGGCTACCCCTCGATCATGCCAATGCTAATGCCGATGGGGTATCCCGCTCTCTAGGTACATACCTAGGTACCTAGGTACTACTTCCACATGCACATAGCGTAAATCAGCGAAAGAGTGAGTGAGTTTAGTGACCGACTGCCTGACCTGCGGGGTTGAACAGAGGTGGAAAAGGAAAGATTGATTTCCAGGTAATTTAGGGTTTCCCGCATGTCTGAAACACGGTGATGCCTGTGCTCCCAGGTTCCAGGTTGTTTGTAAAATTGCTTTCAACCTGCATCGTCACTTGCTAGTAAGTCATCATCCGTGCATCTATCCACAATGCTGGGACAAAGATTTACCCACCTACTCTACCTACACACGCCGTCTACGCAAACACTGCGGTATTTCCTGGCTTGCCACCACAAAGCTGCCTACTGTGGCTACGTTACTGCCTGGTGCTGGGTGGTGACACAACACCTCGTCTCTTGTTTCTCTCTCCGTCTCTGTCCCTCTCTTTCCGGCTTTCTCGCGACCTTACAAAAGCATGGCTGATAGCGGCAAACCCCCAAGCGCATTTTGGAGCCTGCATACCGTAGATGGCTCATCCACTATCTCGCCTCCGTCCATGCGAGGATGAAACCACAACTGTTCATTTTTCTAGTCTGTCCTGTCCAAAGCTGCCACAAACCTGTGGGCTTACGACGAGCGACCAGAACTTCCTTCTCGAGGGATTCATTTTTCTTGGAAGCGGCCTACCTAACTCACTTGCATAGTCCCTCCTTTTCATGAAACAAAAAAGAACAGCAACGCCATCGATGCTGTGTAACCGCAAAGAATTCTACGCGGGACAGAAACAATTGCCGAGGATAGCCTAAGGGTCTCGAGTTGTAAAGAAATCTGCGAACTCTCGTGGCATCGACAACTCACCATCCTGGCATTATCCCACCAATTCTTGCCCGAGGATGGGCCTCGCTTAGGGGTCAATGGCGATATATCACTCGCAACGGAGCCGCCGGGCTTCCTTCCATTGGCTAATGTCTGATCGATGCTGCCCGAAGCTGTTCGCGCAGTAGTCGGCGGGAATATGTCAGAAAGTCTGCCGTCGCTGCAAGATATCAGCTTGATGTCTTCAAGTCTGCTGCCTCCTCTGGCCTAAGTCCTCGCCCCGACCCTCCAGGGCATCATTTCGGAAGGCATCCGTGTTACCCAAAGTTCAGTCCATGCAGACCAGATCCCCCTTAGCCTGGTTCCCTCTCACCTCGACGTCCTTAGCGATGCCGCAACCTACCTTCTAGCCCCGCTCCCCGGCGCGTGCAAACAGAAGAGCTGGCAAATACGAGTCTCATCCATCCCCGAGCTGGCAAACCGCACGCGTTTCTGGGAAAATGTAAATAGATGTCCCCGCAGAGGCCGGCCTCGACCTTGTACTTCTGGAACATCAGCTTACCAACCTTCACAATCCTACACGACTCAACATCTCCCGAAGGTCTACTCGGGGATGCGAGTCCGAAACGCATCCACCTGTTGCACAGGCCGTGACTCACCCTTCTGCACGCATGTCTGCCCAAGAGATGTCTCGTTCAGGCATTGAAGACCCTGCTGCTCTGGCCCTCGACTTTTCTCGGCGGGTGGCGGGCGACGGGCCATGTGATCAAAAATCTGTCTGAATCAAAGTTCGTCAATGCTGTGTATCCATCCTCTTCGCTGGTTGTCCAATTTTCCTGATCCAACATGATTGTCCGGCCGCAGTCCCCTCGCCTCTCCTGCTTGCTCAAGGCAGACGAAGACACCTCGAAGCACCTTAGCTTCCCGCAGTGCTTCGCGTCGCGGGTAGACGGCACCACGTCAACTTCACAGGCGTGTCCAGAAACTTGGCCAGTGGTGGTCTGCTCAAAGGTGCCGCCAACAACCCCTCCAGTCCGCTCTCCGAAACGTACTCTCGGAGAGTGTCCTGAGTTCAACAATGTCTTCTGGAGAAACGCGACCTCGAGGAACATTGATGTCGATGGAGCAGACTGGCTGAGTTGGGGGGCAAAGTCTCAGCAGGGGATCCGTGGTGACATGGTTACGCAAGGAAAGTGTCGGATGACTTTACTGCGCGCTCCCCCGCCGCCTCTTCCCTCTCCAGAGAAATTGACCAGACATTGGCATCAACGTGGCTTTGCGCCTCAGCATTGTGCTGCTGACGATCCTTCAGGGGCCCTACCCGCCATGCCTGCCGACTCGATCCCCGTCCTGCCGACGACAAGCGGTAAGTCCGATGGTCACCGAGGGGCCAACCCCGCCCGTGTAGATGTTTGACAGGAGGCAAATTTCGGGAGAAATCAAGCCGTTAGGAATGTTGCAAGAATAGAGTGCGCCCAGACACGGTAAGAAACCCTCCGCACGTCAAAAAGGCTCGCGGGAATTAAAAGCAGGATATGCTCTAGCCAGAGACAATATGTGGTCATCACCAAGGGTCGCCCACTGGTTGAAGAATTGCAAAGATGGAATAGCCATAGCAAGGTGACTGCCCCAACATCAAGGCCAGGACGATCGCGCGGCGCTCTGGTCCAGGCATGTATCTTGTGGTGTAGTCTCTTCAATACTATACTCTATGGCAGAGATATTCCAAGTCAGGCTTGCAGTCGGCGTTGGAACTGAACGATATCCTCGAACGGAGAACTACGATCCCGCAGCAGTAAATGTAAGGCTGAAGGACTTGCAACCCTCACATCCTCACACGGAACCTGGCGAGATCTCCACGCTTATCCATAACATCAAGCAAGGCTTCCCTATCTACTACGCGCCAGGAGCACCTTCGTTACATACCATCCATCCCTTCAAACCGCATCCTGGGAGACTTGTAGCATGGCCCAGAAAAGGCCGAGCGCCTTTCCATCCCGTGGAGACGGTTGATGATGTCCCCTTTTATCTCTCGATGATTCACCCCAGAAGAGGGTTGTAATGGTGTGAGAGGCGGGGAGGTAGAGCGGACAATCCTGAGTCCCAAAGAACGTCGGTGCAAGCAACCCTTCAGAGCATGAGTTGTAGGGCAGAAAGAAAGAAGCATCCAACCGTGATATGTACCTCGTGGTACAAACGCTGCAGAGATGTGACTTCGGGCTCGATCCGGTTGCGCTCGTTTCAAGGGTCTTGGTACACAAGATCGCTTCCCTACCTAGGTATGTAATTAGGATATGTATATGTGTGTGTATCTATGCCATCAAGAGATCCGAAATTATCTGAATGCTCACCTCACCTTTTTGTGACCCTGGGTATTTCAACCCACCGGCGAGGATGGCGCTGGGCAGGTGGTCCACACCCTACCTCCCTTCATGCGCTTTGCCCTCCCCTCGGCCCTCCTCCTTGGTACACTGGTCCAGAAACTCGTCCAAGGCCTCAATAACAACCATATGGTCCTGATCCTGCTTGAGTCCGCTCACGACCACCACCCCAACAATGCCCTCCACACCCTGTACCCTCACGGGCACACCGCCGCCGTGAATCGCATAGGTCCCCGCCGCCTCGCCGCCCAGCATGTACTTTTTCGAGAAGGCCTCTTCGTCGCCCTTGAACTTGTTGTGCATGAACCACGTACTCACTCCCCATCTCAGCACCGTCTTTCTTTTGCGCGACACCCAGATGTCGTTGTCCGGTTGGATGCCCGGGCGCGAGACGGCGTGGAACAAGAGGTTGGACGAGTTTGCGAGGGAGATGGAGACCACAGCCGCCAAGGGGGAGAGGGACCGGAGACGGTTGCGGATCGAGAGGCCGATCTCGAGGGCGTCGTCTGCGGTGAAGTGGGGGAGGATGAGGGATTCTTCTTGTTTGGCGATGGCGGAGAGCTAAGGGGCAAGACGAATAAAAGTGAGTTCGACCCGCGCAAACAAGTGGGAAATATGCGGATTAGGAGAGACGAAAATGCCCCCGTCCCATTGCCTAACTGGGGGCTAGGAAGGGCTCAAAAACAAGTGAAATGGAAGGAGCGTACGTCTCGCGGTGCCTCACGCAAAGGGTGGCCGGCCATGTCGAGCACTGCCCAATGTGACAGGCGTAGTGTAACAATAGTAATATGGTTCGTTTTGGTGGGCTTGAGGCTCTGTCGAAAATTCTGTATCCAGAAGATCGAGAGGGGAACTGAAGCATGTGGTTCCCCGCACTCACATGTGTCCGGCTTGGCGTCAACCTGCCTTGCAGTGTTGAGGCTGTGGTAGCGCCTTTCGAGTTTCACTCTCAAAAGGCCTTAAAGAGTTTTCTAAGCCGTGAAGCTCTGTCAAGATTTGGCCCTAATCAACCATGACTCTTCAATCTTCACTTCTGAACCGATGACAGAGCCAGTGCGCGCGTTCCCGGCCATCACTGAGCAGGAATTTTCTCAGGCGTGCGGCGTCCTGGAACAGAGGAGCTCGGACAAGATCAGCGATACGGATTGGTTGAGCATAAGATGGACAGGCGAAGAACTGTTGATCAGAGAGAAACGGAAAATAATCTGCAAAAATGCCAATATCGAAGCTCCCAGTGATTTCAATGGCGCGGACGACCATGAGCTGATTGAGACTGGCATAGAAGACTGCATCGACAGCAACAGCGTATGAGTCCCCACGGCACCCATGAACATAGCCACCATTTCTGTTAACATGTCGCAGTTTTTGCCGAGGATTGACAGCTCGGTGTTCCTCATTATTGACTTCTCCATTACCTTGTCTCCAATCTATTCTGTACCAGTTCTTTGGTTTGCATGCCGATATGGCCAAGATAACAAGGCGTTGACTCTGGAGCAAGTGTATGCATGGTTGGTGCCGAAACCGTCACTTGCTTCATTGCAAAAAGTTGGCGTTATGGGAGGTATCAGTATGGCGGTAGGTCAAGACCGCTACAATACCCTTCAGGCACTGACTCTTTTTGCAGCACCATCCGGTCTCAGATCGGCCAGCTTTCTTCGTACATCCATGCAACACCCAAGACGCCCTTTCAGCTCTTGAACCCAAGTCTCTCACTCCGGAGGAATATCTTATACTTTGGCTGGGGCTGATTGGGTCTGCTGTGGGCCTGCACGTTCCGAGTAAGCTTGTGAGCATCTAGGACGGAAGCTTGCTCCCCCGAACCTTTCACCTATCTTCAGTATGAGTACCTGCTTGGTATGGCATCACCTGGATTGCAAGCACATGTTTGATCCGGCCTCCAATGCCCTCGGGCGAGGGTCTTCGAGAGCCTTTGGAATGCCGTGACGGCTGCAGGGCTTGGCGATGTTCGATTGAGCGAGACTTGCCAGCCTTTCCTTCTAAGCCGGCTTCAGTCATCCTCATCCTCTTCCATCGGCGCATCATCCTCGTCTTCTTCCATTTCCACTGCGCTGTCTTCTTCCTCCTCCTCTTCCTCTTCTCTTGGTCTTTTTGTGCCGTGAGGGACACCGTCGGGAGTTGTTGCAGCTGGTTTCACTCCAGTTTCGGTGGGCTTGCTGGAAATCCCAGTTGGTGGGGCATTGAAGATGGAATTCTGTAAAGCCGTGGCGTCAGAAGCAGCGGTTGCTGTAGCGGCTGGAGGTTCAAAGGTGCCCCGAAGTTTAGAAATTATGTGCGATTGGCCTTTGCCGTAGACAATAACCTGTCTCGAGAGTTTAACTGGTGAATTTCATCTTCAGCACTTGGGCGCATTCATACCATTTCCCTCCCAAAGAAATCAAACCCCTGCAAAGCTCGCATGGCTTGTGTGCTCGTCTGTATGTCGCGAAAGACAATATGGGCCTGTCCTCGCATGCTCTGTCCTTTCGATCCAATGCGGTTCGTGACAATGTCAAGGACGGGGCCATAGGTGGAGAAGAGCATGTACAGAGCGCGCTTCAGCTCGTTCTTGTTGATCTTTTCGGGGAGGTTCTTGAGAAACAGTCTATGAGACACTCGTCAGTCATTTTTTACGCACGCAGGACTGGGGATGTGCCCACGTCTGGCTAGGATTGCCCGCGTTCTGGGACTCTTTCGGCGGTTTGGCCGCCATCGTTGTTGCAGGGAGGGCCGGCGTAGTTTACTTGAACAAGTCTTAATCAGGAGCCTTTGTGCTCCCTCATTCTGCCTTTAGGCTCGGCAATCCCAGAAACCCAAGCTTTGTCTTGCGATACAGGATCTGCTAAATTATGTTTGGTCGCTGCATTAGATCTGGGGAAGCCCTGCGGAAATTTTGGCTTGGCAGGGCCAAGCAATGATGGAAGCTGCTGCCACTCCTGGCGACCACTGCATGATTGACTGCCCTTGTGCTCGTGCCCAATTTCCCAGCTTGCACTTTTCGCCGTTGACAAACACTCCCTGCACGCCATTTGATTCTCGAGATGCGATGGTCCATATCGAGTACATTGCTTATTATTGCCCGCAGATGGTCTCGAGAGATGGAGCCGCTTTGCATGTTCGCTCGGACATTGTTCAGGCGTAGAGCATTGCTCCTCGGATTATGCCCCCAAACGGTGTGCTTTGCTTACATATGCTGCAACAAGAGCCTGTGATCACAGACAACAGGCTCTCTGGTTGCTGATATGTCGACAACTCAATGGAGCACTCCTGCTGATGCTGCTCCCATGGCGTTCATGTGTGACCATACATATCCTCTCATCCCCAACCAAACAAAAGCAAGGGGTATATAACCAGGCAAAACTCTCCCCGACTGTGATGTACCATAACATCTATCCAATTGGTAGGCTGTGACTGCTGAACAGGAAGCGGGATGGAAATGACATAGCTCTCGAACTCTCTGGAATAAGACAAACCCCAAGATAGAGTCAGAAGCAAGTAGAAGAGAAGGTCGCTTCTCTCGTATGATCATGAGACGCGGCGGGTTATGCAGATGGCTGAATCCTATCTCTTTGAACCTGCGTCATTAGCGGTGATTTGGTCCTACTGACAGGCGAGTTGCGCTGATCATGTCAGTTGAGCTGGCCAGGCTGACCACAAGGCTGCGTGTCGTGTGAGGCTCGGTCCCTAGGCACCTAGGGACCTGGCGAGGTAGGTAGGTAGGCACTGGGCGGCGTCAACCTTCTCCCAAAATGGTAGGTATCAAGGAGTGCCCTGAACCTGAAGGCTGAAATTAAGCTCGGAACGCTTCTCTTGGCGAGGCGCCCTTTGGCCTCAGGCTCTGCATGTCCTTGCGCTCATTGCTCGTCGCTGGTGGCGCCCGCATATGCCTTCCTTCGCTTGATTGAACCGTCTCACATCGAAGGCGCAGCACAGCGCAGCCTATGTCGTCTACAAGTACCTCGTACGGCCTTTCCCACTCGACAAATCACATTCTCAACTCGGTCATTTCTTCAAGTCACTCTCTCAATTTGATCTGTACATACCTCAGCACCCCTCAAGTATTGCAGTCTTAGCATCAATCTTTCCCTCTTCCTTTTCTGTATCGACAGCTTTTCTCTAGTCCGCGACGCCTTCTGCGAACCCAAAGACGCCCTTACGACCCGTTTACCGCCCATCCTGGCGCATTCGAATTCCCGAGCCTGAATTGCAGGCAGTCAGCGATGGGCAACATTAGCAGCAGACTTGACGATGGCGCCCTGCTATACCTAAAGGACCAAGCGCGCTGTATGTGCCTTCTTGCCTTTTCCCCGCGACCATGGCTGATAGCCGCCAGTCTCCATCAGTTCTATTGTTGTCAGCAATGGCCGACGGAAAGGTCTTTTGAGTCTTGTGCCCAACGCCTATCCAGCATTGCGTCTACTTGGAAAGCCAGATGCCACAGACTACAGACCCATTTCGTATATCCAGGTACGTAATAAAGCCCCTCCAACAGGTCGGTTCTCCTCTAACATCTCAACAAGGATCCTGATTCCTCCGCCCTTTCTTTCCTTCCTAGGCTGGATCTCGAAGATGAACTTGAAATCCACTTCACATTTATAACGCGACAGAACTCTGGTCCCCTCCCAGCGACTCCTTCTACGTCCACCGCAGCTGTTGACACAACAATTTCAGGGTTGACTTTCGCCTACGCACAGAATGCCAAAGAGCTGGATACTCTGGTAACACGCGAGTTTCACGCCGATCCAAATCTGCACAAGAATTCCAACGTCCAATTCATCGGCGACTTTGGGACGCATGGGAGCCCTGCAGTAACTTACGAATGGACTTGGCATTGGAAACCCCCGAAGGCCCAAGAGGACAAGGGTGGAGGTTGGCGCAACTGCTGCAGTTTCCTTGAGTATGATTCCAGAGCGCACAGACTTAATACCCTCGCGTCTTTTTCATTCTGGGTCCAGAACACCACCTTCACAATCGGAGTACCACTTGCTTCTCCGGGTCTGGAGATACCGATACCGCTTCATAGGCATAGGATGCCGTCGTCGCAGTCATATCAGTCCGCAGTCAGCGACTCGGAGGGCCCTTCAGAGCCACAAATGCCGGCTTCGCCGCAGATGCGGCCGAAAGACTACAGCTTTAGTGCGCCAACCTCCGCTCCTTCGCTGCCTGTCATCGACGTTCAGTGCGCGAGGCCGGGAGAAGATGTCAGCGCAGTTGAGGATGGTCCGGTTTTCAGAGCCACTATGAAGGCGCTAGAGCAGAAGACGGGGACTATGAAAGTCCAGATCAAGAAGGTGCTGAAGAAAGCCGAAGCAGCACAACAGGCCCAGGTGGAGTGCAACCAGGCCATGTCCGAATTCTTAAGAGCGCTTCAAGAGGCTTCCATGTCCAACGCAACGGCCTTCAAGCCAGCCCTCGACCATTATTTTCTGAACATTGCCCAACAGATACACAAATATGAAAAAGGAAACAGCACGTTATTGCAAAAACAAATCATCGACCCCATTTCAAAGCTGTATAATATGGACATCAAACAGGTCGAGGCGAAGAAGAAGGACTTTGACGACGAGAGTCGAGACTACTACGCCTATGTAGGTCGGTATCTCGGTCAGAGGCAGGACTCTCTGAAGGACAAGAAACGTGCAGAGAGTGATTCCAAATATCAGTCAAAGAGGAAAAACTTTGAGCTCAAGCGATTCGATTATTCGACCTTCATGCAGGATCTTCACGGCGGGCGCAAAGAACAAGAACTCCTCTCGCAGCTCACAAAATATGCCGACGGCCAGGCAAAAGCATTCCTTGCTACTGCAAAGAAGGTGGAAAGCCTAACCCCGCAGTTAGACGCTCTTGTAAAGGAGGTCTCCGAGGCTGACAAAGAATACAACTTGCAAAGGACGGAAAGAGAGGAAAAGAGAAGAAACCTCGAGAAGAACGGGCCGATTACTGCAGATTCCGATCTGCATCACCATCCTCCAGCGCTTTCGACTCAGATGGTGGCACAAAACGGTCACGGCGGATATACCTCCGACACTGACCTTAGCAGGGCCGATAGCACCAGCTCTCAATTCGGCCACGCGTCAATCAAAACATTGTCGCCTACTACCAACTCAACGTTGCCTGTAGGCACTGTCCTGTCAACATCGCCGAGCGCAACCTCAATAGCGCCGACGCCCAGCAAGTTCAAAGGTATCCGTGATCTTGATGAAAGCTCGACATCCACAGCCGACAAATCTTCCGTTGGACAGTACCGGAAAGAGGGACTGTTGTGGGCATTAAGCAAGCCTAATTCCCATATCGACCCTAAAGGAGCCTGGCACAAGTAAGATCTTTCGCGAATTGCTCTGGACGTAATACTAATCACTCCTAGATTCTGGATCGTACTTGATCAAGGAAAACTCTCAGAGTACAGCAATTGGAAGGACAAGTTGGATCTGCACCGTGAGCCAATTGACCTTCGCATGGCTTCCGTCCGCATTGCCCGAGATGCAGAACGCCGCTTTTGTTTCGAGGTCATCACACCTCAGTATAAGCGAGTTTACCAAGCTACCACTGAAGACGAGATGAATAATTGGATCAATGCAATCAACAATGCGCTGCAGAGCGCCGTGGAGGCGGGTGGGCAAGTGCCTCAGCAGAGCCGAAAGGAGCACCATATCGGACGTGAATTTGGACAGATGTTCACAGGCAAGAGCTCGTCACAATCTGGCCCTCACGGCTATTCGCAGAGAAGTGATGCAGGCGGAGTGTCGCGACGCATCACTGTCGGTGCTAGACCCACCTATACCAGGACGAGTAGTAACAGCTACGAGGAGAATCCGTCCAAGCTGCTCGATTTGATCAGGAACAACGACCATGGAAATCAGTTCTGTGCTGATTGTGGCTCAGCATCGAAGGTCGAATGGGTATCTCTGAACCTGGGGATCATTTTGTGCATCGAATGTGGCGGGATTCATCGCTCACTGGGTACCCATGTGTCCAAGATTCGATCCCTGACCTTGGATGTACACTCCTTCACTAACGATATTGTCGAACTTCTCATGCTGATCGGCAACCGAATCAGCAATATGATCTGGGAGGCACGCCTCGATCGGTCCCTGAAGCCAGATTCAAACGCCTCTCGCGAGCAGCGGCTGAAGTTCATAACCGCCAAATACGTCGAGCGGGCCTACGTCGAGCCTGTGCCTCACTACGGGTCTGCTGACGACACATTACTGACGTCGATTAAGAAACATGACATTCAGGGAGTCCTTCAGGCCATCGCCCAACGGGCCAATGTCAACGCCCACGACCGATCCAGGAATACCCATGCGGTGTTTCTTGCTCTGACAGCTGCTGACCCAGCTCGTCCGGTATCCTCCCACTCGAACACACCAACGGGAACCGTTAAAGCTTTCCCAATGGCCGAGCTATTAGTGCAGAACGGAGCTGAAGTTCCTGTCGAACCTCCAGCTATTCCCTTGTCAGCCGCTGCGCAATTGTACGTTGACCAGAGGACCGCGCGCGCAATACCGAGTCATGGTGGCCACACAGACACATTAGGGCCTTTGCCCGTCGTACACAGGACTGTACCATTGTCATCTTCGTCAGACGGGTCCAACAGGTTGCAAAAGCGCGGTAGTGCTGGCGCAAGGTTTGCCGGTAAAGTGGCGAGCCTGTCGGAACGATAGTACCGTTACAAGTCGAGAATGGAAGTCGATGTCATGTCCCCAATGCTTTGTGATTCTTTTGAGGTGCTGGACATTCCTACGCAGACTAGCTTCAGGCCGAAAGTGGTGTTTCTGGACAGTGATTCCTCTTGAATACGATTATATGATGCACGTTGCCATGATCTGGGATGTTTGGGAGGACTCAAAAGAGGTCTTGGGAATGGCTCTGGCCAGTCCATACCTACTCTTCGGTAGTGGCGGGGATCCACCATTGCTGGAGCTACAAAATCTATGCGGCATGGGCGGTTGGATCTTGAGTCGGCCTGTTTGTCAACAGGCAATTGGCAGGGACGCAGGCAGGCAGCTTCTCAACTGGCCAACTTTGTCGACCCAGGAGAGACGGGAACAGAAAACTTGGATAAAAGGCGTTGGATGCGCATAAGATCATGCAGATGTAATGTAATAATGAGTATCAAGTACTATTTAGTGAATTCAACAGAGGCGTGCTACCCTTGGTTTTGATGGCTCGTTTATCTGCTGGAGCCAAGTAAGGTCCGTTGTGAGACGGCTGGTTGGATCGCGCTTTTCTTCGTGTATTCGGTTTCTCCTTCCTATCTCCTGGTGGAGTCTATCATCGAGGTCTTTCCTTGTTGTGGATGGTCATATATCTTTTGGGGGAAGGAGTCGTAGGAGACGTAGGAGAAGGAGGAAAGCTTTGTAGCCGGTATTGTTGCCATTACCTGCCGTCTAGAAGGTTATCTTTGATGACATTTTTTACCCTTTCGGCCATGTTCATGCAAGTTGCAGGGTAGGGATACAGCGACGAGTATCAATGTCATGAGAGTCACATTCCCCAAGCATTCTTGTGCATCGGTCGACATTGTCGTTTGGCCTGGACTCGGGCTTGCTTGTCGCTGCTGCTGCTGCTGCTGCTGCTGCTGCTGCTGCTGCTCGTCGAGATAGAACGAGTGTCTCTCTGTGATCACCGGCAGGGAGCGAGTAAAGCAAGCAGTCTCGCATTGCAACTCTTGACGCACCAAGGGAACTGGCTCCTCCAATTCCAAAAAATAAAAAGAATAAAGAATAAAGACAGCAGCTTTTTCGACATGGAGCCCCGACACAGCGAGACTTTCCCTCGATTTAGGACATCGAAATCTGCCATGGCTACCTAACGTCGTCAGTCTCGTACGTACCACGCCTCAGTGGAGGTTCCTCTTCATTTGGCACGGGCAGGCCCTTCTCAAGACGAAGACGCCAGGAAGGGAGGTCTATAAAGCGAGAAGCGATGGCAAAGGACATGGCTGTGGTTTACCGATCTTAACAAAGGGAAGCGGAAGCGGAAGCGGAAGCGAACAGAGGAGGATGGAGGCTTTCGTGAAAAGCGTGGTATTGTCATTAAGAGAGAGAATTCTCTTTGGATTATGCTCTGGTGTTCACATCCTCGAGCTTCTGTCCTCTTTGGTTCTTCAAGTTAGGACACTCACTCGGGGTATTCTGCTCTCTTTCCTCGAGCGTCTGTCCAGCCATCAACGTGGAACGTTCGGGTATGTGCTCTCTTTCCTTGTCTTGTCTGTTTGATCTCCTCTCAAAAGGAGCTCTCACTTTCCCGCTCCATGCCTCAATCAAAGGGTGATTAGGTGTCTCTTCCAGTCCGTGTCTTATTTTGGTGATCGATCAACTTTTGCCAAGTTGATTTCACTTTCAGGAGCCGGGATTGAGAACACCCTGAAGACACAGTCGTAGCGCCTTTGCCCTTTCTTCGGCGGTCTTCCTCTTCAGGGGGATCTAACAAACCGCCCATGTGTAACCATGTGGGGAGAGATGCATGAACGGCCAGGACGAAACGCGTGAGAGGAGTTGGCTCGTGTTTTCACAGCAGGCAAGGACTTCGGCGTCTCTGGTGGAAGTAGATCGCGATCGAGATTCAGGGGTCAGCAGGAAACAGTGGGAGATTGGATTTCAAGGCAAGTGCAGTCAGACGTTCGCTGAATTTCCACTGCGACCCCTTGATCGAGAAGAGCATGCTAGTGCCAGCGAACCCAAGCGGGCCATGATGGGAGAGGACGCAATGATTCAGGGGGATTTTTGAGCGATTATGCAGCTTGCTGGGGTAAACAGAGTTTTTGATAAGGCAAGGCAAGGGCACAACGCAGTAAACGCTTCCACGACGCAGGAGTAAGGAGTGGCGGTCATGCATCCCGCAAGGGAAGGTGACAGGAATTGTGGATGGGGTGGGAGTTGATACGGCAAGATTTGGAGGAGGAGGGACGACAAGCGAGCTTGCGGGAGCGTCGGTGGTCCCCCAGGAGCAGCAGAACTCCATCTTCTGAGAGAAAGCACCAATAACGCTCCACAACTGCCCGCATGGCAATCTTCACGACGCTGCCAGACCGTCCGCGAGATGGACCGAACCTTGCTCCGTCATAAGTTCACAAGACAGCCAGAGTTTCTGGAGAGCCTGTCCCTGAGTTCAGTAAGACCAGCGGTACAAGAGCGGGCCAGAGAGGCCCGAAACAAGGGCATGACATGGACTGATTGGTGACTTTGATAAAGGACCGTTAGAAGTCAGAGCGGGTAGAGCAATAATGGCGGTTGGATCGCGAGATATAGCGCCCATCGGACATGATTCCATTTTGCTTCTCCTCACATGAGTCGAAGCAACTGCATGGCCTCTCCTTCTGCGCGACGCCACTATGTCGAGGAGAATCATGGTTCGATGAAGCATTGGATGGCCACGTTTCTTGGAGGCGGGCTTTAAGCCCTGGGAATATTTCTTTGCAACTTTAGCTTCACAGGCGATGTGCTGCTCGAATCCCTGCAGGCCCAATCAGACCTCCAAGCGAAAGATTTGTAAGAAACTGAGGATGCTGCACAACTATTCGTCTCGCAGAAAGACACAAGAACTGTGAACTCGCGAAAGACAGAATGAATGTTCCACTTCCACAAAGAAGCAACCAAATGCTTGCCTTCTCGAAGGGGCCTATGAAGTAGGCTCTTTGCAATACCATTGGTGTACTGTAAGACTCGGAGAACTGCAATAATTTAGCTCAGTGGGGAGCCCGCCACTGTCAAAGCAAAGTCGGGGGTTCCTGCCCTCAAAGAAGTCCCTTCCGGAAAGCTGAGGCAGTGACGTGAGAGGCCGAGACAATGGAACTTCCCTGTGCGAGGCGAGAGGCTCAGATACATTCTCGAGCAAATAGATTGATAGAAGTGAGGATCAGCCCTAGCGCTTCTGAGAACTGGCTGCCTCAGGCATCCAATGAATTGTATCTTGGATCGATCACAAAAAAGAGGCTCTTCTCAAAAGCTTACCGTGGTGCTCTGATTGGTTCCAATGTCATTGCCCGAAGAGACTGGCATTAAAGCCGTTGATACTCGACCCATTTGATTCATCCAGATATTGTCCATTCGCAACGACAAACACCAACACCCACAACGCTCGGTGCCATTGTGGTGCCTATGTGGATTGTCCCGATAGTGGGTATCTCCAAATTTTTCTAGAAGACGATTCTGTATGATGATTGGGTTGGCTGAAATGGCGCTGCTCACTGTCCAACGACATTATTGGCTGTGAGTGCTTTGCCACAATAAGTTCCACCGGCACCAGAGTATGGTCCAAGAACCTGATACGTATTCTCGTCGACCACAGCATGGCGTACAACGCCGCTTCGGGCCGCTGAGCTTCCTGCGCCGGGTGGTGTGACATCTCTTCGCAGCGAGAGCATTTCCACGGCAGTTACATTGTCTTTCTTCGTTCCTGCACGGTCGCCGAAAGTACCTTCATCACGAAAATCTCTGTACGAGGTGTCCTACCCAGGAGCCCGAGAGATGATCATTTCCCTTTCCACAATTGCAGAGAAACACTGTCGGAGACTCCGACCTCGGGGTTTGATGATCGTATCCCGAATTAGCATGTCGTTTCGTGAAGGAAGAATGGGATGTATTTCGTATAGGCACGATGCCGAAATTGATTGTTCAGGATGCCGGACGCTGCTTAGCGCGAAACGCGTCCAACGCTAGCTAGAGACAAGTGGAAGGGCAACGTCGGCTTGGGCAGGGCATTGTGGATAGATCGGGAGAGCCAAATAGCGGGTGGCGAACGCAGGGGGTCCTGAAAGAATGAGTTCAACGGTTAGATCTGGGACAGGCCTTATGGAGATGGGGCAATGGTGCAAGGTTGATTAGCTCGAATCAGCATGACCAGTCGGAAAGCTGCCACAGCGTAAGAAAAGAGCCGAGGGGAGGGTGTCTCAGTCACCTCTTCGCCAGTCAATAGACGAGGGTGGACGACACAGGACCCTGTGGTTCTAATTATGGCATGGGCAGGGGCAAATGAAGAGATGGCAACGAGCGTCGGCGAAAAATTCCAGCTGCTCTTGTGCTAATTTGGCGTGTTCGACCGTCGACGACAGTGTGAGAAGCCTTCAGGCAGCAGAGACACGCTTGGGAAGCCCAATTGGGCACGTTTGTCGGCTGTGGTAGCGATCAGCGTCGCGAACGCAGGAAATGGAAGTGATAGTCAGTGATGAACAAGGGCGATGAAGAATGAGGTTGGAACAAGGACGCTTGTGGTGCCAAGACCATGACGCAGGGCCAGTGCCCGTGAAATAGATTTTCCGTTCCGCGAGGCTCTATACCCTTTACAGTAGCTCTAGCAGATGGGAATTGCACAACAATCGCATCTTCATTTCCTGTTCTCCATTCTTTTTTTTGCTTTGGGTCAAGCAAGGACCCTGTTCCGGAATCCTGGAGAACGAAGCTGCTCAGCCACAAACAAGGGTCCAGCCACTCACTAGGACCGTATCTTCGGATCTTCTCTTTATGACCCAAGACAAGTTCGTTAGTAGTGCTGTTCCCGCCACATGATCGACATCTGCCGAAGAGACGTCGTTGTTGCCACCCAACTTGGGCCCAGCAGTGACATTCAGACATCATGCCACGAACTCGGGCCAGAACTGATTGCGTTTTGACTTGGGACGGTCTGCGCAAGGTGATGATCAATTCTGACACGTTCCTGCATCGTTCTAACAATAGCAAGGCACGCCGTGCATAGTGATCGTCTGGGAATGATGCTATCCTTCCGTCATACTGTGGGTTGGGACAAACGAACGCAACTACTTGGGAAAAAAGAATTTTTCTCTGTCCAGAGTCATGGATTATACCTATGCCCGGCCCAAGAGCGGTGGATCCACGAGACTGTCACTGCCACATAACGCCCGTTGTTCTCTACACCCAGGGATCTGAGGAGATTTCCCGGTTAACGGCAGGGACTTGTCCCACAGTAATGGACGGCCCTACTTCGTAGCCGATCGCGTGAGCTTCAGAGCAGTTCCATGGACGAGCATGATCTGATCTGCATCCAAACAGCAGTCTCACATCTTAGGGTTTGCGGTGAATACAACGAGGCGTAAGATAAGCTCACTGTGGCACAGCTGTGGTGCAGCTTCGATAACGAAGATCACTTTCCTATGACGTTTTGAACCATTTGGAGTCGTTGTGGACTCCAAACCAGCCCGTCGCAGTTTTCGACATTGTCCACTCGCTCCCACTTGGAGGGGATCCAGATCGCCGCAGAAGCCGAGTAGTGGAGCAGAGACTCGCACCGTTTGGAATGTGGCTTGCCTCTTCTTTGGCGGTCCAGAACATCCCAGAGAGCTCAATCCAGGATTTGCTTGCGCCAACCTAAGCCCCAACCTCCGCACACTGCAGAAGAAACCAGCACCATGCAATTGTCAGCTGAAAGTCGCAGCGAAAGATTGCAATTGCTGACGGCTCCCGGCACTGACCTTGGCTGGAACCTCCTAGCTGTCCTAGACATGCAGGACCGCTGCCTTTCCGTCTCGTCGCCCCGTTCTGATGGGCACGCAATCACTACCGCAAACAGGCTTCACACTGTTTAGTGGGACCGTACCCGGGGTCTGTCCCTATTGCAATAAGCGATGGACAGGCCACTCACCTATCGAGCGAATTGCAGGCCACGAGGTATTGCTCTTCCGACTCTACTACCCCTGTTGAACGTTGCCACACATCCCACTAGGGGGTTCGTGGCTCAGCGGATCCCCCATACGGGTTCCTAGCACCCACTAGTATTTTTCCAGTCTGTTCTTTCGAGCTCCCCTTTCGCCTGCCAATACCATGCTCCGTCGTCTAGAGAGACGAACCAAGTAAACTGGAAAAATCCTTTTGGATCGTCCAGAGGCATGGGGGCCCTCCCTACCGGAAAGAAATGGGACAAGAATCCACACACGCCGACAATCTATCGCACTGATCCACTTGCCATGCTAACCTAACGGTACGAAGGACTCCTCCGTACCAGCGCTTCCAGCACTGCGGACCTCACAGGTTGGTACCCCCTTCGTGGTGTTGTTCTTTCTACGAACCTGAGCTAGGGGACGCCTTCCGGGTGGTAGCTGAGGGAAAGAGCATTCTTGTAAGCTGCTCCCCTGGGCCTGGGTCCAGATCAAGTGCCTTTCGCCAGGACTGGTTGTCGCGCGTTACCGCCGTCTCGCTCTATATCCACCCTTGTCCTTCACCGGTATCCAGTACCGCATATCTGTTCCGAGCCAATACGTGCTCTTGATCTCGACTGTTCCGCCCACCGTTGACGAGCCAGCGAATGCGCGCCCTGTCGCTACGCTGCCGGGTAAAAGGTCCTAGGAATATTCTACTTCTTGTGAAAGAACTATCGCTCCTCGGCATCCTCTCAGTCTCGGGAATCGCCATACCGTTGGTCGTCTTTTTCAGTCCTGATCATCTAAGCCCTCAACAAGGGCTCTATCCCCGCTATCCCCAATCATACCGTGGCCTGTTCTATTAGCCACCAGCTTCCAGTGGACCCCGAAGCCGTTGTCGAATTTTACTTGCTGTGTGCCAAAGGCTTGAGTAGAATGTGCGTCGCTATGGCCCCCCAGTCATTAACATCCACGCCGTCCAAGCCAGATATGAGACACGGTTGGATATGAATCCCCTTCTCACCAAAGCTCATCTTTTGCGAACCACCCCTCAGACCAATAGTTCTGACTCCTTCTCTGTCTAGCCCTGTGAAACATCCCAAGGACCCTTGTCAAGCACGTTCATTTCCAAATTTGGCGCCGAGTTGGCTGTTTCATTTCCTTTCTCGAACAGACGAACGAGTCAAAGGAATTCTCAACAGAATCCCTCTTAGGAACGAACGAGATCATTCGGAACCCTCCTGATCCGTGCTCAGCCTCCTGCTCGGTTCGAACAAGATCGACTTTGGCTTCAAGCTTAGGTATACCTATTTGAGGTACGCTCTTTTGGCGCTTAATCTGTTTTGTGTCTCACCATCCGGGCAATATGGACTGACCGATGGCTGTCTTTTGGGTACAGCACTACTATACACTTCCGATTATATTTGAGGACTTCGGTATGGGCGACGAGCCTCCGCTTCGACAAAATCCTAGATTGCGTGACTCCGACGAACATCTTTCAAGAGGTCAATAACTCCCCAGCTTGATGGTTGACTGGACTAACTTTGGCAGACCGCCCTCCACAAACTTCTCTGCCCGCCACAACCCCCTTATCGGGACAACCCGCAAATATGGAGTTTGAACCATATCCTCGACAACAGTTTCCTATTGCGAATTTTGCAAGCACGGCAGCGCTCGACATGTCGAGTGTTGCAGCAGCGTTGCCAGAGTACCAGATGCGCCAATTCCAACAATCACCATATACCCAACCTTACCAGCATTCTGCTTCCACCAACCCGTCAATGATGTACCAGTATCACCAGGGCGCGCACTTTGCAGGTCAGACTGCCGCTCATACCAACCCGTCTTTTGCTCAGCAGTACCCGTCGCAATATGGACAAGGCGCGCCTTCGCGACAGCAGCCGCAAGGAGCGGCTTATGCGCAGTTTCTCGGCAATCCAGGAGGTCCCGGGGGTCCTCAACCGTACCCAAATCAAGCGTTTGTGGTACAGCAGCCCATGATGCACAATCCCGGCGGGACAGCTCAACCTCACCAACATCCACAGTTTCCACAGCCCCATGGGACCGCCTATGTTGCGCCGTACGCCTCCAGATTGGCAAACGCCTATCCGCTACCACAACTGCGGCTCGACAACAGCCTTGCACAAGCTCAGACATCGAGCATCTATCCACAGTCAAGTTCTCAAGGTATGGAGAGTCTCACCGCTTTGAAGGTTCTGTGAGTGACTGACCCCTTTGATCTGCTCAGCAGTCAGGAGATCCAGCTCGAATTCGTCCTTGCAAACATCTGTGCTCAGAGGCCCGCCTAGGAAACCAAGGCAATCTGGCCATGCTCTTTGGGTCGGCAATTTGCCGCCTGCGACACACATAATTGACCTTAAAGATCATTTCGCAAGGGATGCGACAGAGGACATAGAAAGTGTCTTTCTGATCTCGAAGAGCAACTGTGCTTTTGTGAACTATAAGACCGAGGCTAGCTGCGCAGCTGCTATGGCTCGCTTCCACGACTCTAGGTTCCAAGGAGTGCGATTGGTTTGCCGATTACGACGTGGAAGTTCTTCGACGGCAACACCATCGCAAGCTGCGACCCAACAACCAACGACGTCTCCTGAAGCAGGAACCGAGGTCGATGGAGCGGCCAAGGAATCCACCATTGTTGACGGGACAATGTCAGCAGAACCAGAACCTATGGAGAAGGCCAAGGAGAGGTTCTTCGTGGTGAAAAGCTTGACGGTTGAGGATTTGGAACGCAGCGTTGTCAGCGGAATATGGGCAACGCAGGCCCACAATGAGGCTGTGTTGAACAATGCCTATCGAGTGAGTGTGCACATTACGGCCTACTGAGTTCCTTTGAAGGCTGACAGATATCAGACGGCAGAGAATGTTTACCTTGTCTTTTCAGCAAATAAGTCTGGCGAGTATTTTGGATACGCTCGGATGGAGTCGGCGATCGACGACGAGTCCGTCGCGAACATCGAATACCAACCACGACCAGAGGCGCGAGAACCCAGTCCCGCAGATCTGCCTTTGACCATACCAACACCTGCTACGGCGACCGCGCCCAAGGGACGAATTATTGATGACTCGGCTAGAGGTACAATCTTCTGGGAGGCAGACTCAGAGAGCAAAGAGAAAGAGGAGCAACATACAGACGATGAGGCCGGCAATGTTTCTGGAGAAGGTTATGAATCAACCAGTCCAGCCACGCCACAAACTTTTGGCAAACCCTTTCGGATCAAGTGGATGTCGACCGATCGTCTACCATTTTACAGGACGAGGGGCCTTCGTAACTCTCTGAATGCCAATCGCGAAGTGAAGATTGCGCGAGACGGTACAGAGATTGAACCTACAGTTGGCCGAAAGCTGGTCAATATGTTTCATCGCCCCCATGTGGCATCTGCAAGTCCTGGGGCTACTCGACCACCACCTCAACAACCTCATCCAGGGCCAATGGGTGGGTTCATGTACGGAAGGAGTTATTGATATCTTTTTTTTTTTCAGTGATTATTTGTGTTTTTACAAGATTCGTCATTGTGATGTTTCATGTTTGTACGACGACATGATGCGACGACAAGAAAAGCAAGGGTCAGAGCAACAATACGCGGTGCCGCCGGCGAGGCCGCTGACACAACATTCTTCTTTCTCATGCCTTTTTGTTTCCCACCGAGGAACAGAGAACACGATAACGAAGCTTGGCAGGCCGAGCCTTCTTTCAATTCATTTTGAACGGGGGATATTGGGTTGAAGAAAGGCTGATTTTGGAACGGGAAGAGAAGAAAGTAGAGGCGGTCGATGGATGACGGTGACGGACGGACACGCAGGACGGAAAACATACACAAGGCATGAAGGGGTCTTTCATTGACGGAGGTCGAGGATTGACAATGCTTATTAGATGGGAACATCATCGGCTTCTCGAGTCGAGTTCCTGGATCAATTCCACAAAGTCCTCATCGCCTGCTGCGGCCAATTTCCGGAACTCGTCCATGTTTGCTTTGAGCCACTCGTCTTCCTCGCCCACCTGGGTCATCACAGATTAACATGAGCCAAAGCCACAGCGGCAGAGGAAACAAGCGGGAGTGAAAAGATTGTTGGAGACTTCCGAGACTCACTTTCGGCCTGGCAATGCCACACTCGACAGCCGTGGTCAATGCCCCCAGTACCCACACTGTCCTCAGCCCCAGCTTCCCATCCTTTCCCACAATGTCCTGCCAGATCCTGATAATGTCCCGACAGTGCTCGTCGTACAGTTCTTTGGAACGTTGTTCGCCCGCCCTCGTGCGCAGGATGATGCGGTTGTAGACGGCTCTCCGGCCGTTGCGGAACACGACCTGCTTGCTAACGTCGGTGAATCGCACGTTGAGGAAGAACCGAGGCGTCTTGAAGCGCGACGAGTGTAGGTCGGTAAAGGCCACGGCGAGGGATTCTTGTTGGTCTGGCGTTAGGGGGATGACGTGTTCGACGTCGTAGAGAGGCATCGTTGATGGGGGTGTCGGCCTTGGTTTTTTTTTTTTTAATAGATGGGCTCTTATACCTGAGTGGGCTGGTTTGCTAGGAGGACACAAAAGACCTCTAGATACGCGGCAAGGCAGGGTTGACGGTATCGAGTCAAAACACATATACATGCACTACGACTAATCAATGATTTCGAGAAGTTCCCGGGGAGAGCGCCGATGCCGACCTGGCTTGCAACTGCCCATATTTTCCGGAATATATTTAGTCAGTCAATCTCTGCCCCTGGCTTAGCCAATTTCCTTCCCGCACGTCTCTCCTGTTTTCTGCTTCCTCGTTCATGAGCCAAGCTGTTTTTTAGAGGAGTGGGGGAACAATGAGGAAAAAATGTCGTACACTGGTCTCTGTAAGTTACTTTTCCTCGGCAAAAAGGTCAAGGCGGTTGTTCGAACTTGAGATCCCCAACTACCTGGGCAAACCCTTGGCTACAGAACGCTCTGTACGATGGCCAGGAACCCAACAGAAGGACAGAAGATGTTGTTGCAAAGTTATCGGTGATCATGACTACATCCTAACACGGTGTCGAATCGACCTCGAGGCCTCTGATCCGAAAAGTGCGAGAGAGGCTTGATCTTCTCTCTTTCCTGATCACGATCTCTGGCTGGGCTAACCCCCTTCTATATCACAAGCTCTGCATGCCTGCTTCTGCTGAGTGGCTAGCGGTCATTTGATGGCGTAGATCTGATATGAAGCCACCCATTCGTTGAAATCCACCTTCTTGCCGGCCTCGACATTTGTCGTGCAGCATGCCTCGATGCCATTCTTCTCGACGCAACAGGCGCTCTCTGAGCTTTTATCACAACAGCTCTTCGACTCCGTCTCTTCCATACAACAAGGTGCGGTGCCGTCCGCATCGTGATACACGTTCAAGTCTTTCTCAGTGTTGATGAAGGCAATACTCTCCTTTCGGAACCCGGCTTCCTCCATCCAACGCCGATATTCGTCGACCAAGCTGGCACCCGCCACGCAGCCTACTAGCAGCGCTGCGTCGTGGCGTACATGGTGTGGCATGGGCTTCTTGGCGAGAAGATCACTGATCGCGACTCGCCCGCCCGGCTGCAAGAGTCGGTGGATTTCTTTGAAGACAGTAGGCTTGTCCTCGTCGTGAACTAGGTTGATGACACAGTTACTGACTACCAGATCGATTGTGGAATCTCGCAGGGGAATGTCCGTAATTGGTGCTTGGATGAATTCGACAAGGCCTTCCGGCAGGTTCGCTTCCGCGGCGTTCTTCCTCGCCAACGTAACCATCGCCTCACTCCTGTCGATACCGTATATCTTGCCGCTCGGGGAGGGGCTCCCTGTCAACATCTGCTTCGCCGCGATAAGGCAGTCAAGACCACCTCCGGATCCGAGGTCTACCATATTCTCCGCAGGCTGAAGGTTCGCTGTCGCCAATGGGTTTCCGCATGAAAGGCCAAGGTTCGTTCCGGTGGGGAGAGATGCCAGATCCTCGGGCGAATAGCCAAAGGACGCTGCGATGCGAGTGCGTTGGGATGCCTGGGCTTCACCCTCGTTCGCATGAGAGGCGAACTCGGAATACTTGGTGTTGACAGCCTGATAGATTGTGGCGGCGTCCATGGTGGCTCTACGCTGAAGCTTGATGCAATATTGAAAGGGCTATACAAGGCAGGCTGGCACGGCGGACCACAGGAGCTCTCAAGAGTGTCACAGATTGCATTGCACAGCATTCCATTCGGGATTGTCATGCTCAGAATTTATGCACATAGCGGTGTGTCACGGCCCCTTAGCTATTGGCCTGCAATAAGGGGGAAGAAGCTGAACATGTCACAATCAGTCATCAAGCACCTGAACACGACCGGCGTGAAGCGGTAGGGACAAAACATTCAATCTCATGACAGGTAATGTTGCCTTAGGATAAGCGAGACAACGAGCTGGGGTCCATGGAGTTGTAGAGGCGGGCCATCGATTTGCCACTACCTACCTAGTAGTACTGGGAAGCCATGGGAACCTTGGAAGCCTCCAGCGGACGAATCAAGCGGCGCCGGTGACAGGATCTTGGCACCCCGCCGCTTTAGGCGTCTTTTCGCTACTCAAATGACGCAAAAATCACTTTGTGCCGCTGCAGCCCGCGAACGACAATTTCCCCCTCCAACCAGACCTGCTTCCAACACCTGTCCACGTACCGTTTTTGAGATTGACGCTGTAAAAGGAAGTTCTTTTGGCCGATTGATCCTGGAGTCTCGTCGTGACTATCCACGTGAGAGCGGAAACGCCCCGCGAATGAGATGATGAACTTTGAACAATGAATCCTTACACTCCGCCCGAGACAGGAACCCAAGGATCCTTATCCCGGCAAAACTCCAGTTTCCCATCCATGTCAATGAGTCCTTCTTCGCGGCCAGTACTGCCAATGGAGGTCCCCCACGCCAAACGCAACACAATCAACCAGAGGCGTTGCCGCGCCCGACGGCAGGTGTACATTGAAGACCTCGAGCGCCGGATACGCGCTTACGAGGCTCAAGGCGTGCAAGCTACTACGGAAGTGCAGACAGCAGCACGGAAGGTCGCGGAGGAGAATCGCGCCTTGAGAGAGGAGGTCAATGCTTTACGGGGGCAGAACGAGGCTTTGCAGAGGGCATTGGCAGCGTGTTCCGGTGGCCTGCAATCGAAGGAGAACAAGCTGGACGGCAGTTCCTCCACGGACGGACGAAAGAAGATCAGACGGGTCGGCCCAACGAAGAAGAGCCGCGCGTTTGATGGCAAGGCATTTGCGCAGGGCCCTTCCTTCACGATCTTCAGAGAACCATCTCATCAGGATCCTGAAACAGACGCGACCAACATCCAAATGGGTGTTCCGTCGACTCCCACATCTTCTTCTCGCCTCCCACCGATGCTCACGTCCGGACCGGCTCCAAAAACATTCACTTTGCATGATATCGCAGCAGCCGACGGCCAAGAAGAACGTATCTGGCGTCCAACCGTCGAAGAAGAGGACGAAACTTCGGCTTTCATACCTTCGCCTCCACCATCGACTTTTACCACTTCGGACCCTGAAGACCTGTCGGCAACAGCACACCATCCCTACTCACCTCCACCGCCCGCCGTCTCTTCCTTCCAATCCAGGTCAAAAATCTGCCAGCCCGTCAGCACTGCCAACAGCACGCCCTGTCTCGAAGCCGCCCTCATCATCGCCAGCATGCGCGGAGTCCCCTCCGACGACATTACAGTGGAAACAGAAATCCTGCCCGAACTCGGTTGCTCCGGCCCCCTCTCGCGGCCGAGATGCATATCGCCCGAGGATTGTAGGGGACACGGCCACGGCCACGGATACAGCCAGCGCCCCAGATCGGGGAATAGCACTAGTGCCATCATTATCGACGACAGAAATAGGGGAGAACTGGAAATTTCTACGTGCGCGGTCGACAATGGGAGATTATTTGGCATTCTCGCGCGGGACGGGTGAAAGCACCTCGAAGGAGAATGGCAAAATAAGAGAGACAGGGAGGACAGGATGTCTTCTCGTGGAAATTGTCTCCTGCAAGTTCTGGCTGGTGCAGAGACGGAAATAGAGGCATTCCAAGGGAAAGCAGTATGATCCATACATGCACGCCCAGAAAGAAACAAAGGATATGCCAAGAAATGTGTGTGTGAGAGAGAGAGAGATGAGAAATGATGGATGTAAAGCCAACAAGGCCACGATCACGATAATCTACCTATGACCAAACCACCAATGCATTTTAGTGACTTTACATGTACCTACGTATCCCGCGGGAAGGGGGTAAGGGTGTTTCGTTATATTTAGCTTCCCTTCCTCACAGCCCTCCTTTTCTGTTTCAGCCTCGCATGTCTAGCCCTTTCGCAGCCCCGTCTTGCCGACTGTGTTGGGTCCTTTCCTGGCTGCGTACTTACCTAGGTACCTAGGCACCTACCTAGTTAGTTAGGTAGTTGTAGTTCTGATCCCGAATCCGTTCGGACATGGCCTTGATATGGGAGGAAGGGGAGCAAGGACCCCGAGCTCCATAGTGTCGAGGTCCAGAGTTAATTAAGGCACACAATACGTCGTAACACATCCGTTCCAGAGGCCGGACCTGCTACATTCAAAAAGCTGGCTTCTGGCTTCTGGCGTGTGACCCTGAGCCGACTTTGCCGATCACATACCTAGCATGTACGCTGTCATCTGGCTGGATTTGTCGTCACTCGTCTATCGAGTCCGTCGCTTCAAATTTCCCCGTCATTGGAGTTAGCACCCTACAGCACGCCGGAAGACAAATCAAAAACTCTTGAGCGGATCAAATGGAATGGCGCATGTCTTTTTGATTGCACAATTAGCTCTATCGTTATCTCCTTCTTGGGTATCATTGATTCTCTCATCCCTCAAATTAGTTCCTTTTCGGTCAAGGCTGATGTCCACACGATATCCCGCATGGACCTGTACATGATTATATGCCGCAGTCTAAAACTTTTCATAACGACAGCCCACTAAGCCCATTTGCCAAGCAGTGCCATCAATCCAGCACCGAGACACATGGTGACGAAAGCTGCCATGACTGTTCGTACGCTCGCTTTTCGCATAGAACTGCTGAACATGAACTCGTGCGCCATCAACTCCACCAAACCCGTGTAGATCAAGATGCCGGCCGACACCGAGTCAAAGACGCCGTTGACGATGAGTGTCGTCTGGGAATTAGGGGGATAGCTCTTCCTCACGCCTAAGCCGATGGCGATCGCCAGAGGAGTGCTGAGGCCGTAGGCCAACGCCAGGACGTACGGGGTCCATCGTCGGTCTTTCGGCCACGGTGTCACGGCGAGCCGGGATCCCAGGCCCAGACCCTCAAAGGTCTGGTGAAAAATGATGACGATGAAAAGAGTGTCGAACTCGCTGCCGGCCACAGCAAGGGTCAGACCGATGAAGACGCTGTGAAAGACGATTCCGAATTCGAGGATAAAAATCGCCGTCATTTGTGCTTTGTAATCCTCGAGACTGAATGGATTGGCGGCTTCCTCAATTTCGTTGTGCTCACGAACATGTCCCATATGATCTTCTCCGGGCACATGCGCACTCTGAGGCCGAGACACCCGAGTAGACAGGGGCAGGCTCATCGACACGGGAGTGTCTTTGTAAGGCAGTGAATCCGGGGCTCCAGTCATTTCTGTGTCGGTAGTAGACCTGTCCAGCTCAACAGCGTGTGCATGAGCATGAGTATGGGCATGGCCATCGTGGTCGTCATCATGACTATGTCCTCCGCCAAAGTTCCCATACCTCATGACCATCAACTCAACAAAGAAGAGTACAAATATGGTCATCAGCACGATACCTTCGACCCAGTCATATTCTGTGATAGCCCCGGTAAGACAGGGATTCGTTAATGCATCATTCGCGGGCGCTAGCAGGTGGATGAAGGCGGTTGCGATGATGACTCCAGACCCAAAGTACTTGCAGATGAAAAAGACCCAGTCTGGCACTTTGAGCCCTTTGTTCCTGTTTGCAAAGATGGGAAAGGCGGCGCCTAACGAGGAAGTGACCCATATGATGAAGAGCGCGGCTATTCGTAAGCCGATGCGGCCATCGTAGTCGTTCCCCGTATCACACGCCGGGGCCGCTCCAGCGTCATCTTGCCGAACCACCAGATGAACGAAGGACTCGAGGTTGGACATTTTGGCACGGTTAGCGGCAGGTGACGACCGTGTGGCGTCAAGGAATGAAGCTGCAAGGAACCGCACGAGATACGCGAGCTGTGGCTAGCACGATCTAGATCAAGTATGGGTGAGCGACTGTGCTTTTATGGGATGGATGTGAGAAGCTGAGGACCTTACCAGGCGAGGTTCCGAGCTTGGAGAAAGACTCAAGTGACCTTTGGAAGATACGCCTACAATGTAGAGTTTGCGGACTCCACCCGATGCAGATCTCATAAGTGAAGGACTGGGTGGGAGGAGGAGGGAGAAGGACTAACGAAACGGAACAAAAGGAAATACAAGAGGCAGTACCTAGTGGTGAGAGACCTTCTCAGTTTCTTCACAGTTGTTCCACCCCCGCTCCACTGGGAGGAGAGGGGAGGAAGTGGCTGTCGGATGCCACAGCTTATGACAAAGCCGACTGCTACCAGCTATGGGTGGCTGGTGAAGCAGAGCAGAGAATGAGATGGCAAGATGGACAACAAAAGTGAGGACCTTAAGGATGAGGAAACACCGCGGTGCTGATTGGGTCAAAGTCGCAATCGCCAGGCACTTGATCGGCAGGTACCCGTCGAGGCAGTCCACTTCTTATTGACCAGCCAATCAGCGTCGACATATTAGACAAGGCTGTCTCCTTGGCATTTGGTCATCTTAAGGTCCTCACTTTCAACTTTTCCCGCATCATTCCCCACACGGTAATCTTCGGTTCGTTACTGGAGAGGGATGTGGACGAGGCAGCATATTCTACCTCGTACTACTACTGCCTGTGCTCCTGTGTATGAGTAGAGAAATTGTCATCTTGTCCCTCATCACAACCCCAGAAGCACTCCTGCTTCGCCAAATCCACGTCTTCGCGGCGCAGAGCGTCCCCAACGAGGCATTGGTAGCAGGCCTTGATACACCAACCATGCTACCAGTCCCATCGTCGTCACCGTTGACGCCACCACTCCCAGGTACATGTCGCGCTGTCGCTGAAGCCTCGCCAACTGCAATTGTTTCTCGCGGTATCGTTCTCGACCTGCTCCACGCGTGTTGCCGATCTCCGAGATCCCATGCAAAGATCCTAAGGCGGGGATCGAACTAATGCACCCGTCGACCACCGCCTGCAAGACTTGTGAGAGGCTCCTAGACGCAGGTACGCGCCATGGTAATGGTGACTGGGCAGTGGCAAACCCTGGCGTCCGTCCCAGAGCCCAAGAGGCATCGACCGGCGGACCAAACATTTCCGCAGCCCGACTCTTTGCCCACTGGTCCAGATTGGTATGTTTCGTCTGTAGAGACTCCCGCAGCCATTCGTGATCCAGTGCAGGCGTCTGCATCAGGGCCAGGTAGCCAATCGCCAGACAGTCAGCGCTGCTGGCCTGTTCCCCCAGTAGCCAATTCTTCTCCCCGAGCATTTCACTTAGTGGCTCAAAGAAATCTTCGGTGACAGCATCCAGTCGAAACCGATTCTTTTGATGATTCCGGCCTAGCAGCCCTGTGACTGTCTGCTTGGGCTTTCTGAGAGACTTTGGTATGTGCGCAGTCAGCCCTGCGTCTGCTTTCTTATTCTCCTCCTGTGTACTGTCCACGTCCAGACTGCTCAGGCCTAAATGTTCCGATCTCTTCTTTGCTTGTGCGCGCCATTGGTGAGGTAAGTTCCAGCTGTTCGGCCATGTCAAGATATCGCTGAGAGCTTGCCTTGTGCAATTAAGATAATTGTCACTGCTCACGTAGAGGCTGAGATCGAGGAGAGGTTGACCGCGTGAGGTAATGAAGGCCGAGAACGCCGCGCAGTCTGCTTGTTGCTGGGCACTAAGGTCTTTGTTTAGGTCTCGTTCGCCATTGGAGATTTCTCGTAGGTAGTCGACGATATTGGTGAACCCAGCGACCCAGGTCTCACCATCGCACAACGCAGGGAGTTCTCCGAGAGGACTAACGCGTGCGTCACTCGAGGGAATCAGCACCCAGCTGTCGGGTTGCAGACATTGGCGCAGGTAGAGGATTGTAGCTAGGCATTGGGCATCGATAGAAGGAAGCTCGAACGCTGGGCCCCAGATATGTAGTTCAAACACCATCCTCGAGCAACATTTTCTGCCGTGATTCGAGGACAAGGTCGACCTGCGATAGAATTGCAAACTGCGGTTTTGGGGTTAGTGAGTACGGTGGACTACTTTCGAGACTAGGTGCAAAATGGTGGCCTTTGAGCCTGGACAAGGTTGAAGCCGAAAAGGGTCTCAAATGGTCTTGTCCACGATCAATCGCGCAGTAGAGAGTGTCTCGATTTGTTGACAAGTATTTTTCGTGAAACTTGAAAGGGTCATTAAGCCATCAGATATAAGGTCGACGCAAGGAAAGCCCGTAGAGGGCAAGGACACGTCAGACAATGAGACAGCCGCATCAAAGTAGGGCAAGAAATGCGGGTGAAATTTCCGTCAGACCAAAACTCCGCCTTCTCTGGAGCCTTATTGCTCGGCTGTCCTTCCCCCAACACCCTCCCTCTTTGACATCACATATTAATATCCTAAATGACCCCACGCCTCGGAATCAGCTCTTCTACATCCACAGATCGGCCGTAGATGATAGCTGTCGACGAGGGCAAGAAAAGCCGTTCGAGCCAGCCTGGCTGATGCATGAATCAACTCCGTTTAGGCCAGTGCGTGGGCACGGTCTCGTCGGCGACATTCAGGCGAAGTCATAACGAGAGCGTGATCCAGAGCCTCGGTCATCGGAAAGACATCACTTTCGCGTGGGCGCGGACGGAGCCAGAATCTCAGTCTCAGCAGGATGGCAATGCCGGTCCAGCAGGAGGCAGGGGAGGAGGAGGATTGCCGCCGCCCTACATTGCTCATCAAGCCGGGGTGAACTGCCTCGCCATCGACGGCAACGAGGGTCGGTATCTCTTTTCAGGAGGAGCAGATTCCGCCATTCGGCTTTGGGATCTCGAGGAGCATGAACCGTCATCGTCGCCGCTGTCAGCGTCACGAAGTTCAGTACTGACGAAATACACACCCAAAGCAACGCTGTCGAAAAGCACTCCGGACTCACATACGCATGCTCTGACCTCGATCTCAATTTACCCGTTCGACCCTACTCCCTCGACCCTTCTCACAACCTCGTATGACAAAACCCTCAAGATCACATCGATAACCCCCTCCGCTCTCAACCCCGTCCACACGTTCTCCCTTGACTTTCTCCCTTACAGCCACTGTCTCTCCTCGCTCCCGGATTCCTCGCCCTTGATCGCCGTCGGAACAGCCCATCCGGCCATCCGCCTCCTCGATCTCCGCTCGGGACTCTCCACGCACTCTCTCGCGGGCCCCAACGGCGCCGTCTACAGCGTGTGCTGGTCGCCCAAACAATCCCACATCCTCGCCTCGGGCTCCACCGACGGACGCGTCCTCTTCTACGACATCCGCCGGGCCAATGCCGTCTTTGCCAGTTTGGACCTCGACGACGCGATCGGCGTGATCGGCGCATCCCCGACCACCGGCGCAGGCGCCCGTCGCGAGTTGTTGGACTTCAACAATGCCGCTCTCGCGCACAATGGACCCGTCACGAGCGTGCAGTGGTCCCCCACGGGCGACAAGATAATTACTACCGGCCACGACCAGCGCATTCGCGTCTGGGACGCCGCCTCGGGTCGCAACGACCTGGTGCATTATGGGCCCAGGATCAGGAACGAGAGGCAAGGCCAATTGAGACCTTTGATCTCGCCACGCGGGTATCACGGTGTGGGCCAGGAGATGCTGTGGTGGCCCAACGACGACGGACGCGGCATGGTGTTTCAGCACCACTTGCGAGAGGGGAATCTGGTCAGGATACTAAAGACTGAAGGCATCAGGGTCTCAGACGCGCAGCGGGCGAGTGCGAAGAAGGGCAGCTCCAACAAAGGAGGTCCGTCCGGCGGCAGTGGAAGTAACGTCGCGAGGTTGACTAGTGGCGGAAGAATCAACGCCATGGTATGGCGACTCAGTGCTCCCGTGGGCGAAGGGATAGAGATGTACACGGCCCACGGGGACGGGCGGATCTGTTCATGGATGCCTCCTCGAACACCAGAGGAAGCGGACGACAACGACGAGTCCGGAGCACCTGCAGGATCCACCTGGGCCGCTGAACCAAGCAATAATAATGGCGAGACTACTACTCTGGTGCTGGGGGACGAGGCCGAACAGAGAAAGAAACGCAAGCGAGATCTCGTCGAGGATTTGATATCAGGCTTGACAAAGAAGCCCATCACCTTTTCCTAACTTTACAATATTAAAAACCAACTACCTAGGTAGGTAGAGCCCGCGCAAGACTTCGACGGGGCAAACCTCCTGCAAGCTTGAAAAGAACCCGTATCCATGCGCCCTTTACTTTCCGGGTATATATACACAACTGAGTTCCTCTGGGTATGGCCGACTGTGGCAGTCTGGTTCCGCCAGCCGTGTGCCAAAAAAAAGAGGCAAAGAATAAACGCACATTCCTGAACGTGGGGGTACCAGCCCTTTCATCTCGATCCTCATGATAGCGTCATACTGTACAATTTTGCGGCCGGGGGTATTTCTTCGTTGCAAGGACTTAAGCTGTGCAGATGTAACACAAGACTTTCCTCCCTGTGATTATATTGGTAGCCAAGAGAGTGAGCCAGACGCCGTCAAAGCAATACACCAGAAAGCGCTGCAACTTTTTAGACCCTGAGTGTCATTCGTTCATGGTTATTGCCCTGGGGTAGTTGAGCAACAAGTCAAAACATTTGCATCCCTTTTAAGGATATCTTTTTTTCCCAACTCTTTTTCAAGCAGGCCTGATCTTCGGGCCAATCAACAACCTCGATCTACAAACGACGTGCCTCGAAGGACAACCACTATCGCTTTGGCACAGTGAAATCATCCTTCGTCGCGATTTTGAACCTTGTGTTAATCCCCGCGACCATGTCTGCGGCGGTTATATGCCCCGTCATGATTAGCTGCTCCTTTGTCTGTCCTGCGGCCGTCGTTGCCACCGTATTTCCATATGTGCGAAGAGGACCAGGAGCGGGTGGAAGGTCGGGTCCCACGACATATGCCCCCATTGAACCCACGCCATAAGGGCTATAGGCCATGCTCGCGGGCAAAATTTGCTGGTCATAAGCATGGGTTGACGGCATCGATGACACGGGAGTCGCGACGAAGTTGCTGCTGCCAGCTGACCAGCTCGGGCTCATTTCCACTCTATAGAAGCCCGGCATGCCCACATTTTGCGGGTAGTATGGTATGGGTCTCGGGGCTGGCAGCTGGCGAGGCGCTAATTGTGGTGGTCCACCTCTTTGTTGGTGTTGAGGCATTTGACCTTGGGCTGGAGTCAATGAATCTGTCTGGGCTTGCTGGTGCACATTCACCGACGGACTTTGCATCGAATTTGTGCGGAAAGGTTGCGATTGAGACTGATTCGTCAAAGGCTTATCCGAGAACAGGGGAGGTATCGCGGAAGTTTCTTTGAACTTGTTGGTTGTTGATCTAGAGCTTTCGGCCTTTGCAGCGCTTTCAGGATGAGGTATGGGTGCTGCTGCGACCGTACCTACGGGTTTCGTGGACATCGCCCCGTGATTTTGTAGCGGATCTTTCAATCCTGCATTGTCCGTAGCCTTTTCAAGGAACTCAACAATTGGTGAGGAGAAAGGAGATTCAAACAAGGAGTCATTATCGTTCGATTGCCGCCGCTCACTGGTATTTTCCGTTGGTTTGATTGAGTCTTCTGTCGCAGGCGTTGAGGGAGACTCGGCCACTGGAGTTTGCGCATTAAATACAATCGAGGTCACGGGTTTCACTGTTGGTGTGGTCGACACAGACCGTGCAAGGGGAGGATTAGAGCTGCTCTGTGGAGGTGCTTTTGGCATTTCATTTCGACCGTGTTGAGGCTTAGGCTCATTTGCCGATTGAGTCGCTGGAGACTGAGACAGTCGATGTTCCCGTTGTCTACGAGCCCATCGCTCTCGGTTGCCCAGCTTCTCATTTTCCGCCCTTTTCCTAGCGATCAACTGGGCTATCAAGTTGGGATGCGTCGCTAAGACGGGCGCTTCTCCTGGCCTGAGCGGAGGTTCCTCGGCTGGAGTAAACGTCGAAACGGTGGCATGCAGCGTCTGCGGAGAGTGAGAATTGTACACCGATACAGCAGTTGTGGCTTTTGGGCGGGCTTGGGAATGAGTATTGGACTGTTCCCCATCTCTTGACACCGGCTTTGAAAAGGGTGGTTGCTGGACGGATCGAGAATCATGCTGGGCCTCTGATAAGGAGCGTTTGAGGGGATTTGCCTTGTTGGTAGCGTATTGGCCTGCACGAGGAGTAGTAGAGAATGACGAGGGGGCGTGTGAGGAGGATTGAGAATTCGGCGCGGGTTGCGACAGCGCGTTTGCAGGTGTGAATTTAGGCGACACTTGGGGGATCGAAGTAGTCTTCGAGAGAGGACGATTATTATAGGAGCCCGCGCCGGTCGCCATGGTCGCGGCGAGGGAGCGTGAAATGGTAGAGAACTGATGTAGCGAGGCGGGGATCTCAAAGGATCCGGGGATCTTGGAGAGTGAGGATGGCGGTGGTGAGGGCCTGCCCTTGCGACGCGTCATTCTGATCGTGCGAAAGCTTTGGGAGGCATCTTCTATGGTCGAAGGACAAGTGCACAGAATGACTCCTGAGAATGAAGGGCATCGTTGATTGAGGCTGGCTGCGCAAGGCGTTGGAAGCGCTCAGGTGGTGATTGGTAAGTGGACAAACACTTGACGAGTCTCGTAAGGTGAGGGCGCCGCTGACGAAATCTCAATCTCCATCTCGTCGACGGTGAGAAGGTGCTGCCGTCCTCCACAAGCACACATTCCCACTCCAGAGACCAGCTACAACTCCTCGCAAGGTCTATCTATCTACCTTGGTATCTAAGAAGTCGACATGGTAGGTATACAATTCACCGTAATTACGCTACAGCGAGTCCACTTGCCCCAACTGTCTCCATGCTCATTACAAACCTCGACTGTTATCCTTGACCAAGCTGCTCCAAGCGAGAGGATCAGGACGGACTCCCCATGTTAATCCTGTGGGGAAAGCGTCAAAGCCATGACTGCCCCAGGTCCTAATCCTATTCAGTCTGTTCCAGCAGGATCAAAACCTTACACCTTCGTCGGAACCAGATGCACTGGCGCTATGAGGCTTGACTGATCGTCCCTTCTTTTGCCTGCCCTGGGATAATGGGCTGCAACAATCGACGAGTCAGCTATGCTTCCCCATCATCAGGAGATTCGCTACACCGTGGCAATTCATTCCCCTCAGTGCTTAACGTTTAAGGCAAGGTCATGTCGCCTGATAAGAACATAGAAGCCATACATCGGTCCATGGGAAGTCTTTAGGCCTTTCTGAGCGGGAGTTAGCCGAGGATAATGGACCCCATATCATCTTCGAGCCTGAGCTTCCTGCAGCACAACCCCAGTCCAATGTCTAAGTTCCCAATCAGCTCCTCAGATACGCCGGAACCCATTGCTGACCCCAGATTCTTCAATTCCATCTGGTCCGCATACTTGGACTTTGAGGGGAAGCGGGGATTTGCAATGCGTGACCAGTGCCAAATCAGTCGGCTCCCCTTTCGCGGTTCCGCTTCAACCATTGAGGAGGCATGGCTTCAGGTAAGGGGATGTGGTCTCTGCATGCGAGTGAAAGGAGGAGAAGCTGCTACATCCATTCCACCGGATCCCCAGCTCTTTGGTTCAGTGGGGTTTGCACATATAAGGATCGCGACAACGTTTGAGCACTGTGTCTGTCAGATTGCCATCACCCCAGTTCGACTGCTTATCCGTTCCCACCTGTCCACAGTCATACGTAATCAACATGGGAGACCCATCTGAGCCCAAGGAACTGCCTGAACGCATCTTGAAAAGAGATCTCTACGAGTTTGGCCGGCGACGCAGAACTGACGGCCCCTATGCGGACAACCTTGATGTCGAAGTCTTGATCGTTGGTGCAGGGTTCGGAGGCACGTACCTTCTGTATGAGATGCGGAAGGCCGGCTTCAAAACCGTTCTGTATGAAGCAGGTACCTCGTTTGGGGGTACGTGGAGATGGAACATATATCCAGGTAAGAGCCATTGAGTCTCGAAAGTATATGATGCACTCAACTGAACTTGTCCTAAGGCGCCCGCGTCGATTCCGAGGTTCCCATCTATCAGCTGGCCATCCCAGAGGTATACAAGACCTGGACCTGGACGACCAATTACCCAGACTGGACTGAACTTCAAGCGTATTTTGACCATGTAGACAAGGTCTGCGACTTGAGCAAAGATTGTGCCTTCGAAAGCGTTGTCACCAGCGCAGAGTTCGACACGGACTCGGGGAAGTGGAACATCAAGACTGCTGACGGTCGCAACGCCAAATGCAAATTCCTGGTCATTGCCGCCGGATTTGCAGCCAAGAGATACATCCCCGACTATCCTAGCATGGAGAAGTTCAAGGGAATAATGCACCACTCTTCATTCTGGCCCACAGAGGGCGTTGATGCTCGCGGGAAGAAAGTCGCCGTCATTGGCACTGGTGCCTCGGGAGTACAGATTATCCAAGAATGGGGACCTCAAGTCGAAAGTTTGACCGTCTTCCAGAGGACACCCAACCTGGCATTGCCTATGGGCAAACGAGACTTGACCAAAGAAGAGCAGCAAACATTATACCCGGCGTACGGCGACCTCCTTCGTATGCGTGAGAAGACCTTTGCCGGCTTTACGTACGAATTTGAAGAACGCGAAACCTTTGAAGACACCCCTGAAGAGCGCGAGGCCGTCTACGAACGCATGTGGAAAAGAGCGGGCTTCGGCCTCTGGCTAGGCTCCCATAAGGACTACCTCTTCGACTTGAAAGCGAACCGCTGCGTCTACGACTTCTGGCGCAAGAAGCAGGAGACCCGCATCAAGAATCCCGAGAAGCGCGCTCTGCTCTGCCCCGTGGAACCACCACACCCATTCGGTGTTAAGCGGCCTTGCCTCGAACAGAACTACTACGAAGTCCTCGACAGCGACAATGTCAACATTGTAGACATTTCCGAAAAGTCCGGCATTAAGATTGAAGAGTTTACCGAGACGGGCATCAAGACCAGTGACGGCAAGCACCACGAATTCGACATCATCGCCCTCGCGACGGGCTTTGATATTACCACGGGAGGAATGACGAATATGGGGTTGAAGTCCATAAACGGCACCACCTTGCACGACGAATGGAAGGAAGCGGCATACACTTATCTGGGAACTACTATCTCAGGGTATGTAAGCAATATGCTATCATATGGGCGGTTGCATTAACTTCCAACAGATACCCGAATATGTTCCATCTCTACGGTAAGAACCTTGACCGCCTATCCTTCTTCTGACAAAACGCCTGTATCCTCGATGTCCGGGTGCCGAGCTAGGCTCGTTTTATTCCTATCGTCCGGAACACGTCCTTTAAAACCACCCCACCCATGAACTGACGTCCCCATGAATACAGGTCCTCACGGCCCGACCCTCCTCGCCAATGGCCCCTCGGCCGTCGAAGTCCAAGGCCGCTGGATCCGCGACGCTATTAGGGATATTGACCGCCAGGGCGTGAAGTACATCAACGCCACCCAAGAAGCGAGCCGGAAGTGGAAGGACCACATCAACGAGTTGAGTGACAAGACATTGCTGCCAACTACGAGGAGTACATGTAAGTACCAAGATCCTCTGCCGGGTCTATTTGCCCCCTTTCCAATCTTGTTGGGGACTTCGGAAAATCCCTGATGCCACACACGACGCTAACCTATGATCTTCTTTCGTCCTCTTGTTAGATATGGGCGGGAGTGTCCCAGGCAAGGCCTTCGAACAGGTCAACTACTCAGGCGGCATCCCAGAGTACGTCAAGGAGATCCGCGCCGTGTTGCCGGCTTTCACGGGCTTCCATGTCGTCAAGGCATGAAGGGTCATGGAAGAATGGTGAGGATCCACCTGGCAGGTACGATACATGCTTGCGTTTTTGATCGAGTCGGCGGCTCGTCTAACCTCGAGAAAGAGCCGAGCATTACAGGTGGCAGTCCATGTGACGGAATGGGGTCAGCCTCTGGTTCTTTGACGATATGGAATACCACCTATACTACCGTGAGAGATCACTCAAAGACGTGGTTGTGGTTGCAAGTGAGCTTTTTGTAGGCGAGTGGGAGATCGAGGTTCCAGCCCTGATCAGTCAGTCAGTCAGTCAGTCATTCGCTACTGCTCAGTCAGTCAAACAGTCAGTTAGTGAGCCAGTCCATCAGACAAACTAGCCAGTAGTCCAAGAAACTTGTTTGAAAACATGGTTGAACAAGAGTCCAACACCACTGAAAGGTGATATTGATATTGGAATTGCTAATGAGCTGATTGCAGTTGAATCATAACACAAACTGTTCGAATCCAATTCGTCCACCCACCCACCCATGACTTGTCAACGCTGTTTGTTGGTCATTCCAAGTATTGCCCACCCCGGCACAAAGTACAGCAAAAGAGTCGTAGTCATAAATCTCAGTTCGCAAAGTAAGGGAAATCCAAGCCCAGCCGTCACAGTCGTACAAATTGCACCTCTCTGCCCCATCACCCTCGCATTACCAGAATACGATAGGTTCTTTGCCTGTCCAGCCTCTCAATCATTTCTTGTTGTCCATGTACATCTTGGTCAGGCTGGTGATGACCGGAGCCAGGGTCTTGTAATGTTTCTGGCCTTGTTCGACTAGATCATTGATGTTGTCGAGTGAAAATCCCTTCTTCTTGTCTCTTCGGTCACGGTCACGATCACGGTCTCGACTGTCGTAGCGATCCCTATCTCGGTCACGATCCCGGTCTCGGTGACGATCTCCGCCGCGGTCAGATTCGTAGCGCCGGCGATCTCTGTCCCGGTCTCGGTCGCGATCACGGTCACGGTCACGGTAATCTCGGTCTCGGTCTCGGTCACGATCGCGGTCCCTCACCCTGTCTCGGTCGGAGCGTCCGCGATCCGAGGCATAGCCATCGTCGCGACGGGAGCCACCACCACCACGGTGTCTGCGGTCATCGTAATAATCATCATCCTTTCTGTGTCGCGGAGCGTCTCGAGGATCAGATCTATATCCTCGGTCGCGGTCTGAGTATCTGTCATCTGGACTGCGGTGTCGACGGGGTCGAGGTGGCTCGTCGTCGTAAGGATCGTCTCGACGGCGACGGTCTGGTTCCCTCTGTGTGTTGGCGCGGCGGGGTGGAGGCGGTTCAAAATCGTCGTCATAGTCTCTGCGTCTGGCCGACCGAGCTTTATGGTTCTCGCGGTCAACGACGTCTGGTTCCGGAATGGGTTCGCGGTATCCTTTGGAACGACCGTAGGCCACTCCATTTCCGTTACCATTTCTTGGGTCCCGACGAGCTGCATCGTCTTCATCGTCGAAGCTTCGTCTTCTCCTTGGTGCAGCAGTGTTGGATTTGCCTTGCCTAGGATCCCCATCCTCACGATATCGGGGAGGGTCGTCCTTCACATCACGAGCGGCTTTGGGCTCAACATCTCGAGGGTCAACGTCTTTCTTCCGCCGTGGTCCGTCACGAGGGTCGATTGGAGTAGGGGATGATTCGTAGCGAGGATGGCGGGGAGCCGACTTTCGAGGGTCGGCCAAGTCATCATCATCGGGGTAGCGGAGACCGCCGTCAGTGTCGTATCGAGCACGGTCTCGGCGCGGACGTGAAGCATAGTCATCGTGGGAAGACATGGTGGGTTGGTGGAGTCGAAGTGAGAAGAGCACAAGAGCTGAAACTGCAGGTGTGCGAGTATATGAAGAATTGCCTCCAAGGAAATCAGCAGGACGGGGTCGAGGCCGCTCTGAGAGTTGAGATCATATTGCAGCCCAATGACCCACCGGGCACAAGGGGCTCGGGACTTTGTTAGGTGGCAGGCTGCGTGATTTGGGAGAATGGGAAGATGGAGACTGCACGCGATGGACCAGGTCTAGTGAGTGGTTCAGCTGGGCACATGTGAGAGCTGATTGTTCTTTTCGAGTGTTGGAGTTGGTGCTCGCGGGTTCCGTGCTGGGTGCCTGTAGCCTACGAGTGGTGACTGGGTGGTGACTGACTGGGTTGGTAGGCGGCGAGGGGATGCTTTAGGCGGGAGGCCACACGGGCCATGCCCCTAAACGACCCCCCGGTAATTTGTTGCGTCATTTGACTCTCAGGCTAGCACTGTAGGTGGCACCAGATCCGGCATACCCCTCTCCATCTGGCGCCGGCTGCCTCTCCTGACCCTCCTTTCCAACCTTTCTCAGCTGATGTCGCTGCTGCAACGAAAATTCTACGGCAGAAAAAGGCACCCCCAAGCAAAAGCAAACAAAACAGCGTCCACTCTCCAGCCACCGAGCCACGTAGGACCCCAATCACCCCGGATTTCCTGCCTTGCCGCCGCCTGCTGCCTGCCCTTGGCCTTCAAAGTTCCTGCATAACCCTCGTGTTTTGAGGCTCAATAACTGGGTTAAGCAAGGAACTTGTGCAACCCCCTTTCCAGCTAGGGAGGACTGAGGTGAGAAAAACCAGAACGTTGACCAAAGTGCATCCATTGTCGGTTCGCGAACAGGACGAGTTTTTCCAGGCTTTTGCCAGTCGAGCAAGGGCCACTTCCATGTTATGAGGCTTTTTGCTCCTTGTTGATCCCTGTGTCCGACTTATCTCCCTGTCACCCGCCGCAGAAGCTGCCGAGCCTGGGAAGACAGACTGAATCAATCCAGCAATGTTAGAACAGACCTGCATCAACGGCTATTGTCCACGTTCCATGGTCCATCAGCTGCTGGCACAAACCTGGTTCCTCAACCTCGCTCCTGGGAGTCTTGCTAAGTTGCATTTGGTGAGAGGTTTAAAGTCAAGGCTAGAGATCCCTCAGCGCTCTGATGAGCTTTGGAGTCTTTAAGCACAAACGCAAGTATATTCGGCGGATGTTGAAACCAGTTGCAGTGTAAGTTTGCAATTGGACCATGATATCCATGATATCACTTTCGCAAGAGCGTTTCAGAAGCTACACGCATAAGCGAGGAATACTCTACGTTGGGCTTGAGTCCGATTGTGGTCGATCTGGTTGAGCTCTCCCGATGCACACAAAGACCGCTATCAATCACGCAATGATATGGCAGGATCTTTGACAGCTCCTTACCTTCCAGCCATCGGACTTCTTGACACTGAAGCAGGATATCCACTGCCATCCGGAAGGCTGCAGCTTGGAGTCGGCTTCCACCCACGAGACGTATATCAGCCAAATTTGAAATAACAATTAATGGAGTGGCCGCCATCCGCTGTCACCAGGATGAAACGACTTTCATCCTCAGTTCGATGAAGCCGAAACAGCGCAGTAATCTCAAACGGCCTAGGCATTCAATCATGCTACTGAAGGCTATGCAGCTACCCTTGGTGGCATTCAGCAACCACATTTGGTCACTAAAATGGCATCCTCATAAAACGTTCTTTGTTGACTGATAAAACCGGTTCAGGATCCGGCAGCCACGCGACGCATGACTTTAGATTGTGCCCACATCTGCGCCCGCAGTGGATTGAGATGCTGTTCAGATCATGTGGCTACCCTAAGAGACAAAGCTGCTTCCACAAGCACTGGTAGGTACAGAGGCTCACCTATCATCCTTACTCCATGTTTCTCCTTTCTTCTCTTTGCCACTACTAAATCCAGTGATCCTATCCAAATGGCCGAGTACACTGCTCCGTTTGATGACCTAGATCTTGAGACAGCTGGTTTGATTCTTAAACTTCAGCTTGAGGATAGAAGACCTTCGAACCGCCTCCAAGGACAAGAATCGGGATGGCGCTCTCAACGATGCCCAAGTGGCACTCTCCCTGTTTGAGGAAAATCTCGAAAGCATACGCTCAGTCTTCTCCGACCGACAAATGACCCAAAGCATTGCAGATGCTGTACAGGCAGACGCTGAGGTTATTGCCAATACTATTCGTGAGGAAGAGGTTGCTTGTGAAGACTACGCCCTTGCACACCGTCTGAACGGATCCAACGTCACATCAGAAGTCCACCTCCAATCCAGTGACCTGAACTGGAAAATCCTTGCCAGACTTGCTGCACTTTACGTGTCTGAGGACGTCGGCCATGAGCTGTTCAAAGATACCAAAATCAGCACGGAGCATAATTCAGATGCGGGTGGTCAGGCCGAGAGTTCTAGCAGAGTGTCTGCTCGTGAGCAGGCACCTCATGGTACCGACAGCCTCCAATGCATTGCCTGCCACGAGGTCAAGAAGTACTTTGACGTGATCGAGGTGTCCTGTGGCCACGGTTATTGCAAACCATGCTTGCAGCAACTTGTCGATTTGGCCACCAAAGACGAATCGTTGTTCCCGCCGCGCTGCTGTCGTGAACCATTCGAAATGAGCGGGGTCAACATCTTCCTCACGAAGGAGCTCCGAGACCAATTTGAGCTCGCCAAAGTCGAGTTCGGTACTCGCAACCGGACGTATTGTTGTGGAGAGACATGCTCCGCCTTCATAAATCCCAGCAATATTGAGGGCGATGTAGCAACTTGTGGAAAATGTGGTACGATGACCTGCAATACTTGCAAAAAGGTCGCTCACGACGGCCATTGCCCAGAAGATCCTGAATTGCAAGCCACGCTCAGCCTCGCGACTCAGAGTGGGTAGCAGCGATGTTATGGATGCCATCGCCTGATAGAACTTGAAGTTGGATGTAATCATATGACGTGAGTCTCCTTCTCCTTTCCCGGATTTGTATCTCTGACTCAATTAAAGGTGTCGATGCGGTGCACAATTCTGCTACGTCTGCGGGGTTCCATGGAAAGAATGTGCCTGTGATCAGTGGAATGAGGACAGATTACTGGCTCGAGCAAACACCCTCGTCAATCGTGATCTCCCCAACAGGGCCCAAGGTGATCCGGGGCGGGTGGAGAGGGCTGTGCGTGATGCGGCCAATATGCTGAGAAATAGGCACAACTGCACACATACCAGCTGGCGATACATTCATGGGCCGCACAACTGCGAGGAGTGCTTCCACAACCTGCCTAACTATATCTTCGAATGTGTTCAATGTCGGATTCAGGCTTGCAATCGATGCAGGAGGAATAGGCTTTGAGGGATTTGGGAAATCTTTCTCTCGGAGCAAACGGAGGACCTAGGTAGGGTTGGGAAAGAGCCCGTCTATACCACATATTCAGAGGTTCTTTTCGAGATGCAGATTGGAGGCAGAAATGCAATTGCTAGATTACACAATTGGCTCCATGGTTCCACCCAATATGTGATATATTGGCTCATCATTTGATCTCAGTGTACTCGGTACTTCGTGGAAACTTTGCAAGGCTGAGGTCCTTTCAGAATGACGTCGTCTAAAGCCCTGGGAGCGCTAGCTGAGGTTCTATTGGCGGAACCCGAAATCTCCGCCGCCTTTTCCAAGTGTTACTTTGTTGCATGGTTTCCAACAAGTCAGTTGAGCAAAGCACCGTGCTTCAGTAACCCCCGGAACTGTTTCCCTATTGCCTCACCGTCTCGCTGTTCGCCCGCCCGCAATCTCACCTCACTTCAAATTCCTGCAATCCCAATCACATCTCTCCCATATGCGCCCAAACTTGGTCCGCTTCGCCGTCACAAGCACCACCAGTACCATCAGGTCCGCTACCTCGTCTGCCTCATCGTCCTCGTCGTCTCGTTTCCGAAAGTCCGCACCACCCCTTTCTCTCGACCACTTCATCCAGCGCCAACGTGTTCTCTCCCTGTACCGCGACATTCTCCGCTCCTTGTACCGGCACATGTCCCAGCCTCAAAGAGGGGAGAGCATTGCGTACGCAAAGGGAGAATTCACACGGAATAAGCATGTGCAGGAGATTGAGAGGATCAGGTATTTGATCAGTACTGGGAAGGCGGAATGGGATGGCGTCAGGAGGGGGGTGGAAGAGATGGGGCCTGGGAGAGGATAGAGGTTGAGGGTTGAGGGAACGCGTGGCTTTCCGGACAAGAAGTCCTGGGCTAGCTATTTGGCTGTGAATCCTACAGTGGCCCACGGGAAATGGATGGGTACATGCCATTTGTCCTACGGGGGGGGGGGGGAAATTGGTCAGATGAAAAGCTCGTGAGTCGCGCATTGGCGATATACTCAAAGCCACGACGGTCGAAAATGCCGTGGCCTGGCATGTCTGGACCAATGCGAAAACGTGGGCGATCTTCAGACCGACGCCTCACTCTCATGAGGGACGAAACAGAGAATCCGCCAGTCGAGATTGGATGTTACGACACCAGGGAGGCATACAGACACCCTAGACTCGGGAACAGCAGGAGCTCAGCTCACACAGATTCGGCCAGGAGCCGAGGGTACAAGCATTGCAACTCAGATATTTTGTCCATAGTTATGCCCAGCAAATATGTTTGACTTCTTACCAAGTACCGTAAAAGGGAGTGGCGACATTCGTGAACTCTCATCCAGAACCACTTCCCCAAATACATGAAATGACTGTCTCAGAACCTCTTCCACGCATCCCTCGTTCTCTTCGCCCACATACCGGGGCCCCAGCCATCCTCATTGACCTCCTCCAGCACGCTCTTATTCCAGATAGCCCAACTGCTCTTCTTCTTGTCTCCTGGCCCAGCGGCTTCGGGGGAGGAGGTCAACTGTTCCTGGGCCTTCTGCAGGCCCTCCTTCCCGCCTTCAATCATTCTGTCCGCCTTATCCCTGATATTCTCGCTCGTCTCTTGCGCCATTCGACTCGCCTGCTCGATCTTTTCCCTCCACTCCCTATCCTCCTGATCTCTAGCCTCGAGTTCGGCCAACCACTTCTCCCTCTTCTCCGCGTTTCTTTTCTCTTCCAATTTCGTCTCGAACTCCTTCCTCCTCATCCTCTCGTCCTTGTAAAAGATACTGCCCGCCACGAGGGCCAGTAAGGTGAAGCCCTGGGCGTAGATTCTCGCGCGGAACATGCGATTGGTTTGGTGATGGTCGCCCGCGCGGATGGATTTGGTCGCCATGTACAGGGCGTAGCATGTCGCCGCGCAGCCCAGAGGAATCAGTGGCTCTTGACGCAGTTTGCGCCAGAGCTTCTGGAAGCGGGATTCTTCGTAGAATTCCGGCGACGAATCGAAGCTGGAGGGGATGGCGGTGGCGGCGAGGGGGGATGGCCCGGCCGACGTGGATGGATCGTTGGACATTGTGAGTGTTGCCTTGGAGTCGGAAGCTTTCGGTTTTGTAGTCCTCGTCGATGATGGGCTGTCCAGCCGCGACTTGGAGCGAGGTTGATGTTGATGCTTGGGAGCTGCTGTGTTGTGTGGAGTGTGAAAGAAGTCAAGGTTGAAGTCGTGACGTACATCGGCCTAGTACTAGCAAGCACGGGAAAATGTGCTCGTGTGCGGGCTCGAATTAGCCCAGCAAGGGCTTTTCCCCTCTGTCTCCCACGACTAAATCTCGCTGCAGTCGACACAGGCCTGCTCGCACGGCTCGTAGCAAATGAGCTGTAGGATGAATAGAAAGAGGAAGTAAGGGATATCGTACGAAGGAGTCGGTACTCCCTGGGACTTTGGAGCTATCGAAAGCGTGACTTCCTCTAACCCTCATGAGCAAGGCGGGATGCGGGGACGAGAGCTCCGGAATTTTTTTGGCGGACATCAAAATCCAACGCTCCGCTAACTTACAGGCAAACATTGACCTACAGCGCAATTTACGACCTTCTTACCCCATACACAGGTATCCAGCTACCATAAGCATCTCTCAACGACGCCATGGACGACGCCGACCCTCACGTCAATGGGACAACAACTCCCTCGACGCCCAAGCGGTCCGGCCTCGCTTTGACAGAGTACACCGCCATGCCCACACCCCCATCCGAACGAGCAGATATTCCTACCTACGAAGTACCTCGAGACTTCCTCCTGCCCACAGGCTATCCAGACTATTTGCGACTGATCCTCACCTCTCGGGTCTATGACGTTGTCAGCGAAAGCCCTCTCAGCCATGCCGTCAATCTCTCCAACCGTCTCGAATGCAAAGTCCTCCTGAAAAGAGAGGACCTGCTGCCTGTCTTCTCCTTCAAGTTGCGGGGCGCATATAACAAAATGGCCCATCTTCCGCCAAAGATTTCATGGAAAGGCGTGATTGCGTGCTCGGCTGGGAACCATGCGCAGGGCGTGGCTTACTCTGCCAGGCACCTGAAGATCCCTGCAACCATCGTCATGCCACAGGGGACGCCGGCCATTAAACACATGAACGTGAGTCGCATGGGCGGGAATGTGGTGCTACATGGAGCGGACTTTGACTCGGCCAAAGAACACTGCCATACCCTGGAGAAACAGTACGGCTTGACCAATATTCCGCCATTTGATGATCCATATGTCATTGCAGGACAAGGCACGATAGGCATGGAGTTGTTGAGGCAGACATCCCTGCAAAAGCTCAAGGCTATCTTCTGCTGCGTCGGTGGCGGTGGGTTGATAGCCGGTATTGGGGTGTACGTAAAGAGAATAGCCCCTCAGGTCAAAATAATTGGCGTCGAGGCCTCCGACGCCAATGCCCTGGTCGAGTCTCTGAAGCTGGGCAAGCGAGTTTTGCTTCGGGAAGTCGGTCTCTTTGCCGACGGTGCCGCTGTGAAGACGGTAGGAGAAGAGACTTTCAGACTTTGTCAAGAAGTGGTGGACGAAGTCATTGAGGTCAGCACAGACGAGATATGTGCTGCAATCAAGGACGTCTTCGAAGACACAAGATCGATCCTGGAGCCAGCGGGAGCTTTGTCACTGGCAGGTCTGAAGAAATGGGTCGCGCAGAACCCATCTACGGATACCAGCCGGGAATTGGTCGCGGTTGCCAGCGGCGCCAACATGAATTTTGATCGCCTGAGATTTGTCGCCGAGCGTGCGACTTTGGGCGAACAGAAAGAGGCTCTCCTGACAGTCACTATTCCAGAACGTCCAGGTTCATTCGCGCAACTTGTTGAGGCCGTCCTCCCCCAGGCTGTTACAGAATTTGGGTACAGGTATTCAAGCGCCGAAAAAGCACATGTGATGATGGGCATCACAGTCTCTTCAGCCGGCGCAAGGGCGCGGGAACTCGATTCACTCTTTTCGCGGCTTGCAGCTGAAGGTATGACAGCCAAAGACCTCTCGGAGGATGAGCTCGCAAAATCCCATCTTCGATATCTTGTCGGTGGACGATCCGGTGTCAAGGACGAGAGATTATACATGTTTGAATTCCCGGAGCGACCGGGAGCTCTGTTCAAATTCCTGCGGACAATGCGACCGGGTCAAAGCATAACACTCTTCCACTATCGGAACTACGGTGGTGACGTGGGCAGGATCCTTGCCGGCATTCAATGTCCTGAGCACGAGAGGGATCAACTGGAGGATTTCTTGAAGGATATCGGATATCCATTTAAGGAGTGCACGGACAACGCCACATACAAGATGTTCTTGCGGGATTAGAATGGGGGACTAGTAGATATATGATATGGTATTTAGACTTGAGATACCCTGGCATGGCGTTGAGAGAAGACAAAAGCTGGCCTTCATTTTGTACAGAGATCAAATCAGGTTTTAAGACCCAACAAGACATCTCGTATGCGGGATTCTGTGGACAATTCGGACTGCATTCCGTTTCTATCCTCCCTTCTCGTGATGCTAGATGCAATCTGAGAGTCAACGTGAACATTAACCTTCCGAACTCCTCACTACGCTGTTTGACATCTTGCGCTACAAATTATCCGCAAGCCTCTTCCACATATCCGGAGGAGGGGAATGTCCTGTGTAAAGTGACTTCTCGAGTCACTGCATCTGAATTATTGTGGAGCAAGTTACAAGGCCAGGCTTTTCAAACCCGTGTTCCTTCGCGCTCGAACTTTCTGAGCAAGGGCATGTGCAACTTTCCACGCCGGGAAAAGAAACTTGTTGGAACGACGTCATCTTGAAAGTTGGGACTTTGGCCGATGGGCTATTCTTCAATGCATCAGAAATGGATTCGGATTCCAGTTACGTGGAGGAGGAGCGCGTCGAGAAAAAAGCCATACCGCCGGATCGAGACGTCTTTCCATCATCGCCCCCTCGACGAGCAGCACCCCATGTACCACTGGACAACACCCACACATCGCCGTCGGGAGATCCGATAGCCTTGCGGCACACCGTCCCAGATGTGATATCAGACAACCCATTTGCACAGGGAGAAGGTAGCAAAACGTATTTTACCCGCCCAAACCGCTACTTCGGTCCCGCGTCGACGTGGTACTCTTGGACCAAGACGGAAAGGACCGTCGCGCTGAGCCTGGATCGTGTACGTAGTCAGGACCTCAGTATTCACCTCATCAACGCCTTTGGGGTGAAGCGCAAGCTGCAGCAACAACAGGGCGGAAGGGAAGCAAAGAAGCGGAGCAAGAAGGGGAAGGAGAGAGCCTCGTCCGTCCTCTCCACGGATGACGAGGCAAGCCTGCGACGGCGAAGTGGAGGGAGGAATGGCCTTACCAAATCCTGGACGGCTTGGCCCATGCCTCCCGACCAGGTACCTCGGGAGGAATTACTGCCCAGAATGGAGGGAGACGGCGAATACTATCGTATGAAGCCCGAGTCGAAGCCCAGTGCCGATCTTGAAGAATGGTTGATCGCAACTGCGACGAAGATTGCTAGAGACCAATGGAACGCAAGGCGGTGGGAAGACAAAGATCCAACCCCAGCCGGCGCAGCACAGACAGGTATGAAAGTCGACCACCACAGAGATGCTGAAGAGGACAACATGGCCGCAGAAGTACCCGGGGACGAGGACCAAGAAGAGGTGGGCGAGGCAGCAGAGAGCCCGCCCTCGCCGGCAGGTGCAGAAGAAGAGCCAGTCTTCTACTCCCAACCGTTCTCATTCTACGAAGATAACGCGGAACAGGAGGCTTCCGGCTCCGGCAAGGAGGGAACAAGCGATACTGATACGAGTGATAGTATGGAGCGACGCCCGGTTCCACTGGTGGACGATGAAAAGGCGCGCGGATACTTTCTTCCCAGCGCCCGACACATTCTGAGCAAAGTCGACGACTTGCTCCTTGGTCTTCACAAGGCTAGATACGCATACGCTGCCAAGCCACAAAGTAAACGAAGAAGGGCAACGCATTCTCATACCCCGGAGGACGACACAAGTGGGGATTTCACTCGAGGAAGAAGCGGTTCACGGCCTCCCCCTGTAAGGCAGAGCAGGGCACGTTCCTCATCCGCATTCACCGACGTGTCGAGCGCGTCGATCATCTCTGCCGGGTCTGGCGCACGGTCCCGAAGGGTAGAGAATCTCGGCTTGCGGAACTGGAGCGATGTGATAGGCATGGCTGGTCTGACAGGTTGGGACCCTTCAGTCGTGGAGCGTGCGAGTCGACGGTGCGGGGAGCTTTTCAGAGGGAACATGCTCTTCCGCACGTTCTATGAGGGAGAAGGTAAGGATGGAAGGGAGTCGCACTTTACGGAACACCTCGCTCGTGAGAGTGAAAGCAGCCGAACGCCGTCTCCGACTGGGGAAGGAGAAGAGACAGATTCTAACGAAAATGAGCGTCTATCAATTCGCACCTCGAGACCATGCGAAAGGTGTCAAGCCACAAAAGCCGACTGCCAGCCCGCTGCGGACAGCAGCGAACCTGGAACATCAAAAGCCTGCACGAACTGTCTAGAGACGGGAAACGCATGCTCCGGGATCCAAGTAGATGTGGTGATCCAAAATGAGCGAACTTGCCCACATCGATCTTGTCCGAGACATAAGATCCCATTTCGGAAGACGTGGCATCTTCAGCGCCACTTGGAAAGTGTACATGATGGGCAGCAGAGAGGAGGAGGTTCACGGGCCATGCCCAAGAGCGGATGGGAGGGCTCGCGAAGTGCCAGTATCAGTGCCCACAGTGCCTATACCGACCACCTCGACGACGCCGGCAGCGAATCAAATGACGAAAACGACGACAATGACTCAGAGCACCAAATTCTCTGCCCTGTCCCATCGTGCCCACGAACAAGACAACCTTTCTCCAAAGGCAAGAAACTCTACGAACACATTCGACGGATGCATCCAGAGGTCGATGTGGATGAGGTTAAGAAGAGTGAGGCGCGGAGAAGGGGAGAGAGGAGGGGTACGTGGAGAGATGAGAGACGGACGAGGAGCAAGAGCAAGAGTAAAAGTCGCAGCAAGAGTCGTCGTGGCGATCGAAGTCGGAGTAGTCAAAGTCGGAATCCAAGTTGGCGGGCTGGTAGCGCAAGGGTGGATGATGAGGAGAGTGAGGGCGACGGTGAGCATGGACGTGCGAATGCGGAGGATGCGGAGGAAGACGAGGAGACTATCAATGAGACAAGCTAAGTATTGAAGAGTTGATTAGCATGGGGCTGATATTGGATGCAATCCCCCATGGCACCCTCATGATGCCGGCAATGCCAAGAATTCCGCTTAATAATGCCGACGTCAATGATCGAGGCGAGGCTCCGGCCGGGACAGGACAGGGTCTTGGCCCGTGCATTCGCCTTCTCAGGCGCCCGTTGCAGTCTACTATTCCGTCATTGCACCGTCGGGTTGGCTTGGTCTCTTTATTTGTGAATATCGCTTCGGGGATTCGCCCTGTGTTAGGCCGTTTGCATTTCTGGGATCCTCTGATAGAAAATTATTCCGCGCATCCCTTCCTGCTGGACGCCTTATTCCCATCATCCGTCACACTCGAGCCTTCAAGGTGACAAACCCTGGAGTCCAGACTTGAGTTGGCAGGATTCAAAGCCCAGAGAAGATAATGTTGGCGGAGACTTCAAGCACTGTTCAAAACGGTCTGGAAGAATGGAACACTACCCCTCCGCCTCTAAGGCAGATGCGGAAGGGCACGAAATCGTGTCAAGAATGTACGTATTTCTGGTTCTCTTCTGAATTTTTGTTATTTTCATTCATGGTTTTGCGACGATCATGCTTCATTTCTCTGCTTGAGTCTCCACCAGTGTTCTATGCGATATCGGTGACATGTGGTCAGCCTTCTTTGGGCTGGCATTGAGCGCGGTCTATGCTGCTTAGAAGCCTTTGGAGATAGGGGGAGGACAAATCGGATGAAATGACAAAGTGATCCGCGACGTGGCCTGGGACTCGCCTCAAGTCTCTTCTGACTCTGATCAATTCCAAGCCACGGTCCAGATCAGATGGTTCTTCCCTGCTCAAGGCACACATCTCTTTTCCTCCTCAAGTCTTGCATTTTCTCTGGGCCTGTATGTGGGGTCGTCCCCATGTCGACTTTTACACCCCGAAATCCCAAGATGACCAGCCGATCTAACACGAAATTCACTACCAAGGTCGGCGCCGAAAGATAAAATGCATCTACCCGCCCACGCCACCTTCTTCTCCCTCACAAGTTACGGATACGACAAGTGCCCCAGAGGAGAGGAAATGCATCCACTGTAAAAAGCACAATCGCTCTTGCCAAATCCAAGGCTATGTGGCTTTGAAAACTCCTCCTGAAGAACCCAAGGAGGTTTCGACTTCCACCAAGCCAGGCCACCGTCAGCCGAGGATTTACAAAAGGCGCCGCGAGGTGAAGGGGCCAACTGATCATCCCAACGACGATGAGGAATACCCACGTGTGAAGGTCCACGTTGACAGGATGGAGTCTGTAGTTGCGCGGCTTGCCCGAGAACGGGAGAAGCAGAGGAATCAGGACGGGGTGCTCCTCAGTACCCTCAATCAGCCCGGGAGCGACAGCTTTACTTTCTCGGGTAGTTCTGCAGAGCTTGCGTCGACGCCAACCCTGAATGATGGACACGGATTTGATCGGAGTTTCGACCTAGATGCAGAATTCGGCCTTAGAAACGGGAATGCATTCATCAATGCCTTGAACTTCGATCCGGATTTCGGAAATGGAAACCCGAATGGCCATTTCGTATATAACGGGCAGGGAGACGGCTCTCGACGAACCCAGCCCCAGAATTTGCTGGGACAGGAAACGGCGAACGGAATATCGGCTTCTTCGTCCATGTTCGATTCTCGCCCATTCCTTCCGACGGACCAGCAACCTCAGCAATCAAGAAACATACACGGATTAGGCGAGGTCTGCGCTCCAGCCGCCATGGACTCAGAGGAGCATTGCAAGACACTCAGTCCCTTGCTTTCACAGCTGTTCAACAACGAGATGTTTACACAGAGCAAACCCTGTGCTTCGTCAATCCTGGCCGAAAGGGTTGAGTTCATGAGCTTTTCCGATACCGCCAACAACTCTGATACTTCGGATGCCGATAAATTACTGTCCACAATCTCCTCCGAGCCGTATGTGCTCGAGGTGCTGGATATTTCCATCAAGTGGTGGATTGCATGGAGAGACCAGGCATCGGCACTGCAGGATGTCTCCCCCTTTTTGAGGGATGAACAGCACCAGACACAGGTTCATGGCAGTTCGATGTTTCAATATGGAGTGCCTCCCACAGGACCCGGAGCTGACGCCTCTTCGTTCTCTTCAACGACACCAAGTTCAGCTATAAGGTCCGGTACGACAAGCCAACCTAACGAGCCCCCATCCTTCCGGGATTTTGTGCTCACCAAATTGTCTCGCACACAAGAACCTGTATCGCTTGCCACAGGCTTACTTTGCATTGCGCTGTCCCTCTACCAACTGCGCCCCGGGGTTGACGACCAGAAATTGAATCTCTCGACATCTCCTTCCGAACTCGCCGACCGAATAGTGCTGGCCGTGGACACCATCGTTATCTGTACCCCGTCGCAGTATAAGCACACGCGTGACCCCAGTATCCTCTTGCTCCTGATGATACGTGCAAAGATGTACGCTGAGAGCAATCAACTGCGCAAGTCCTGGTTGTGCATTCGCAGAGCTTTGGAGATCGCCAAGGATACCGGGTTCGCGGAGCCGAAGCTACCGTGCGACGTTGCCCAGTTTGCGCCAAAGGTGTGTGGGTGGGAACTGACGAAGCTCTTCCACCGACAACGCTTTGTCGGCTCGATCATGGAGCTCGATCGACTTATGAGCATGGTCCTGGGCTTCCCGCATGCAGAGGATGTCAAATTTACAGATCGTCTGGCGATGGCCGTGTTGAAGGGCGAGACGGCCAGTCAGGGCGGAGCGTCGGTGTCAATGCATATCCGAATGCGTGCTTTCAGGCGGGTGGTCTCTATTGCCGCAGGCCGTGTGAACGATCGCAACGCCAGTTCTGATTCGGACCGGGTCAAGCTGCAGACTACAATGGACATCCAAGCAACATTGAACGAAATAGCGGCAGCCATGCCTCCAGGATGGTGGGAGGTGGAATCGCACCAGGACTCGCCCGATGCATTTCTGGCGCACGAACACCTCATCGCTCAAATGTGGTTCTGGCAGGTCCAGTCCTTCCTTCATCTGCCGTTTATGCTCAAAGTCAACCCCAACCTTGGTGCGCGCAACCCGGACTTGGACAACATCAACAACGACAACAAGGTGGATCCGTACGAGGTGAACAAATACCTCTGTCTGCAAGGCTGTCGCGGCATGCTTCGAGTTTTCAACTTGCTGCGCTCCGACCCTTCCCTCGCCGTCTACATCTGCAGCTGCGAGGACTTTCAGGGACTATTCAGTGCGTGTATCCTCATGGTCGGCCTGCTGATGCGCCTGTCATCCTACTGTTCGCAGTCTTCTTCTCCGCTTGAGTCGTCGGAGCCCGAGGGCATGATGGGAAATATCGCCGAGGATCTCGCCCTGATCGAGGAGATCAAGGATGTCTTCCGGTACCGCGCGACCCAGCAGGGCGGCGGTATCAGTAGACAGGGCCTCAAAGTGTTGGAGGAGTTGGGGTCTTTCTTGTACGAAGACGGCAACTGTTCCTACAGAGATGACGTGAAGCGCCGCACCGTGGTTCTACCGTACTTTGGGGCCATCCATCTCGAGTTGAGGCCGCCACGAAATCTGTGCCACAACGCCAATGGCAAAGCTAATGTGCCACAAAACGGTATGAGGACGACTTCGGAATTGAATGATATAGGGGCACAGATGGCATCCCAGAACTCATCTGAGCCAACAACTTCTAAGGAGCGCGGTGGAACGATATATCCGGAACAGGCTGAGTCAATGGGCTTGCCATCATCTATTTGGGGTGTCGGAGTCAGTGCTGATGCCGCTGCCGCAGCCGGTGCCAGTACAGGCCCTGTTGCAGACTATGATACTGACAGGGCCTTCGAATTCTCCATGCCTTCTGCAGAGCCGAGTTTGAACTGGGATCGGTTCCTCTACGGCAGCGAGCTCGCTCAGAGTTGGAGCGCGGATCTGCCTGAATGGCCCGCTAGTATGGACATGCCGCCCTGACGAGGTAGACACGGACCTGCGTCCTGAGTCAATTGCGTACAGAGAAAGGGTTGAAGTAATAGTATAGCAGCATTGATACTTTTTGGAATTGAGCAGTGGATACTAGCTAGGAGTGATTTCAACTCGCCACTCAAGATGATATGACCGCCATATAGTTTTCAAATTTGCTCTTCGCATCCATTTTATCGGCGTTGAAAGGGAATTCCTATTCCGGACCAACTCCGTATCGTAAGATCCGGTCCACGACTCAGACGTGGAATGATCTTTCGAGACTTTGGAGAAGGGCCAGGCCGTCCATTTCACAGCACAGTCTCATATATCACCGTCCGATGATTGCTCTTCAAAGGAAGAAAAAAAGAGGACATGTTCTCTCCATCGCAAAAGATGTTATGACCCGCCATAATGGATCTCGATTGAAGAGGTTTTTTGGGACGGTGTAAGGCCGGGACAAAACAGCCACCCACTCTGTGTCTTCCAGGGGGAGCGGCAAGTGAGGAGCAAAGGGGGGGGGGAAGTCCGAGAACAAAGATGGTGGGTGACCCCTACCCATCTCGGCGGCCTTTCCGCGCCATTTCCCGGATTGCATCTGCGTAGAGAAGCTCAGAATCTTCCCTTGCGTGCCGACGATGGGGGTATCCCGATACACTACCGGGGACGAGAGTAGAGATACTGCTCGGGGCGCGTTCGATGGCGTCAAATGCCGATGAGTTCTGTTTCCGGTCCTTCTCAGCGTCTTTCTCCACGTCGTCAATGTGCCTGGTCGGGCTCTGCTTGAGCATGTCCGCCCACTCGGATCGCTGCGATTCGCTTTCTTCTGTTCCGGACAAGCGCTCCAAGTTTGAGTTTGCGGACCTGGGGTGGTGGTGGCCTCGGTCAAGGACGAAGTCTGCGTTGTCGGTCACGGTAGGAAGGCTCTCGGCCATGTCATGGGAAGTGAGATCGAGAGTATTGGTCAGGCTGACCGTCCTCGGGTTCTTGATGCCTGCCACCTCCACCAGTTTGCTGAGGACCCCGAACTCGAGTTTCAGCTTCACCGAGTAGCAGAATCCCTTGAAGGCAACCTCTGGAATGTGCAGGTTTCTATACTCGATGACGAGCAGGGCGATGTCCAAACAGATGATGACGATGTTGATGGTGAATAGCTGCCACATGACACGATGGACACGTTTCTTTTTCTTCTGCTCAGATGTGCTTATCGAGGAAGCGGCCGGGTGAGCTTGAGCCTGGACTATGTCCATCGTCTTCCACAAGTAGAGGCCGGAGATGATGAATTCCTGAATGCAGAAGCCCGTCATCTGGATCTTTTCCACGTACGTGTAGGCGCTAGAGAAGGGCGCCTGAGCAGGTGGCGATGCATAGTAGGACCCGAAGACGACCACAGTTGTTGTCGTGTGGAAGCAAATCGCGTCAATGATGATCATCCATTTGACGTACTTTAGGATTCGGTCGTTGCCTTTTCCAAGCACAATTCCCAGTCGCGAGTATAGCACCACACTCTGGCCCGTGATGGCCGTCCACCAACCATAGTCTGCAACTTCTGTCAGCCAGGGCCGAACATGGCGAATTTGACGTAACGAGCAATTCGGTTGGGGAAAAGGGCTTCTCCTAGACCCGCCATGAGAAACTCACTGTTAATGACTAGGCCAGCGACACTGGCGGTCAGCTGGAAGTAGAGCAAGATGAGCCCGACGACATAGGGGATCAATCCCGTTGTCGCTACGAATAGCGACCAGAAATACAGGCCACGGTAAACGGCAAAAGTCGTGAAGATCAACAGAATCAGCTCCAAAGCGTTGTATAAGGTCAGCGCCGAGGTGATGGTGACAATGATGGTAGTCGCGTCGAATTGGCCTATATAGTAGCTGTTGCTCATCACGTCGCAAGGTGTTGTTTATTTCGACGAGAGCAAGGTCTTGACATGACGCGAGTTTGGACGAAAGCAGTGAGCGAAATGTCGTCAAATTGTAGTAGTGATTGGGCCGAGTCGCCGTCGTCCAACGGATTCTGGCGACGGTTGATGTCGTGGTTTCGAGGCAAAGAGACTGAGTAAGTTTGAGTAAGTTCGGAGCAGGGACGAGGCCAGCATATTGGCAGAACCAGTGCCGGGGTTTAGTTCAGACGGCGGGGCTTTTTGAACCTTGGAGTCTGAAGTCTGGAGACGGCGACGGCTCAGGGTGGACGTCACCGGAAGTAAGGCACGATGAAGGTCAGGGATCCTGGAAAGTTTGTGGGCTAGTATGAGGAGGCGGCGCCCCGGATTCGACGCCTGGACGCTAGCATGGAAGGATCCGAATCGTCGGGATGAGCTGCATGGGGATCGTGGATGGCGTTACGTTATTTTAACAAGTAGCCACCCAGTAGCCATGTTCGTTACCTCTGACGCGAATAGCAGCTTAGCCCGTCCGGGAAGGAGAGGTGTCAAAGGATTTGTTAGTCGACCAAGGGGTTGGGCCGTGTGTTTAGAGATGACGGTCAGAAATGGGCTATTTACATGTCAGACCACGGGTCGACCATATGGAGGATTAATCATCGAAGGACGAAGGTGTCAGGCTTAAGATTTGGAGGAGACGAAGTTACAGAGAACGGTGAATGCGGTATATACCATAGGGGAAGACGGTTGGCTTAAGAGACACTACCTACCTAGGTCCTATTCCACGCCATGTACCGAGTACCGAGTATGATATGGTCTTGCATGAGATAGCCAGAGATGGCCAGAAGAGTCCTTTTGGATCAGCCACACCGACTCGCGTGGTCAATGACGGATTTGGTCAATACACTAGCGAATAGACAACTGTTGTGACATATCGTCCCTATCCAGCCACGCATCTGCCCGTCCCGATCCGATGGGATTTAGTGTAGGTGTCGCGGTTCATGAATACTGAATGCGGCGTATCGATACTACTCGAAAAAGGAAGAAGAAAGGCGAGGAGGATGTTCAAGTTGTTGATCTATTTCACCGGCTGCTGCTCGCTACTACTCGCTGCTGCTCGATGATTGGCTGCTTAGGTCGGCAGCATCTGCGCCGAGGCTCCGGTCCTCGAGCCCTGCTCGCCCTGACTTTTTCGCGCGCAGTTCAACGCTCAATGTGTTGCGCCCGCATTCACCTGCTTGGGTACACATCCTCATGAAGCCGCCAACCCCCCTCCGGACAGCTCGTCGCTCCCTCTACGTCTGCCAAAGCTGTCGCCGTCACCTTCGCGAGCGGAATCCTCCGTCGATTGCATCTCAGCAAAGATGGATCGCTCGAGCCCACGTGCGACGAATCCAAGAGGCCGAGGAAGAATGGCGTGCAAAGGCCAGAGAAATCGAAAAAGGCAACATGAAGTCGATGGTTACTATACTTGAGGAACGGGGATATATCAACCAGATTGTCGGGTGAGGGTCCCTGCAAGCAGGATCAAAGATGTCCTGCTGACGACTTATAGCACAAGAGAAGAGCTGGACAAGCTACTCACCCATCGCCGAGTCGGAGTGTATGCTGGCATAGACCCTACTGCCCCTTCGTTGCATGTTGGTCATATGGTCCCTTTCATGGTCTTGGGTTGGTTTTACATCCACGGTTACAAGGCCAATTTCATCGTAAGCAATGCCGTCCACATTGACCATTGTTCACTGAGTCGCTGACGTGCATTAGTTGGGAGGATTCACCAGTCGCATTGGTGATCCGACGGGCCGTTTCAAGGAGCGAAAACTCATGTCTCCTTCAGAGAGGAAAGCCAACATGACAGCCATGCATATTCAACTGAAAAAGCTGGGCGCTTCCATCGAAAAATACGCTGAACGGAAGGGATATATGCGGGAATGGGCTTGGCGCAGATCTCTCGAGAACAATAACGCATGGTGGTCTAAGACCACAGCAAAAGAATTCTTGTCCATCCTCGGTCGACATATCCGTATAGGTCCAATGCTGGGTCGAGACACGTGAGCATACAATACCTGATGAATCTCTCACAGATTCCTTGGCTGCTGACAACAGTGTTTCAGAGTGAAAAATAGACTGGAAAAGGGAGATGGAATGTCCTTTGCCGAATTCAGCTACCCGCTGGTCCAGGCATGGGACTGGTGGCACCTGTTTCAATCCGGTTGCCAGCTACAAATTGGCGGTGCGGATCAGTTTGGAAATATCCTTGCGGGCGCCGAAGCTGTAAAGCAGATTGCCAAAGACACGCACGAGTACCAGGTCCGCTTGCGGCAAACTCAGATGCTCGATCGAAGCCGCGGCATCGATCTCAGTTCTGATCCAATGGGATTCACTGTGCCTCTCCTGACTACGGCCTCAGGAGAAAAGTTCGGAAAGAGCGCTGGTAATGCCGTCTGGCTCGACCCAGAGATGACCAGTGTCTTCGATCTATACCAGGTATGACCTTGTACCCTCCGTGGAGCTCGACGAGGCTGACACTAGTCAAAGTTCTTTTTACGATCTTCAGACTCGGACGTCGAGAAATATCTAAAGTTGTTGACTTTCCTGCCCTTGCCCGAGATCAGTGAAGTCATGAGAGAACATGAGAAAGACCAATCAAAGCGTGTGGCACAACACAAGCTCGCAAAGGAGTTCGTGGAGCTCATCTACGGACTAGATGCTGCGGAAAAGGCCGAAAGTGAGCATCGTCAACTTTTCAACAAAAGCATCAGCCTCGGCGATATGAAGGCGAGCCTGGCGAAGACCAAAACAACGGACACACATTCTCCGGAAATGCCACTGTTCGCGCACCCTTCGTTAAACAAGCATGCCCAGCCCTTGCGACGCGAAGATAACGTATCCACGCACATCAAACTCCCACGGAGCGTCATTACCCAGAAGCCTATGAGCAATATTCTCTGGTCGGCAGGCATGGTGACGTCGAAAACGGAGGGCCAGCGACTTATTAACGCCGGAGGAGCATACGTAGGAGGAACGTCCGACGCAAGAAATGAAATGGATGATAGCGTCAACTTTACACCTGTAAAGTCGTCCGACTGGAAAGAGGTGCAAAAATGGATTATCGATGATAATTTGCTCATTCTTCGAACGGGGAAGTGGAGGATCAAGATCATCAACATCGTCCCAGACGAGGAATATGCGGAACTTGGGTTGACATGCCCCGGGTGGGAGGGACGCCCGGGGGGCAAGGAGATTCCGGATTTGGGGGACAAGGGAGATGAGGCCCGGGTCTTGAAGGCATCGTGACCTTAGCTGTAATAACAAAACAGCCTGCAACAAGGCAACCTTGGAATGTGTAATATCAGTATCAGAAGATTGACTCCTGAAGCCACCGCCATATATGGACAAGGCTGACAAGCGAGGGGCTGGTGAGGCTCCCCATCGAGCCGTTACTTTACGCGTCGGTGTTTGACGCGCTAGCGACTGGGTATTTCTCCACGCGGTTGCATCTCTCCAACATTTTTTGGGTTTCTCGCGATTCGATCAATCCGTCCAGCAACTGATGGTATCTTTTGTTTCCGTATAGAGTCCTGAAGCGTCTTGTTACCTCCTAACCATGCCGAAGAAGTCTGTATCGACGCCTGCTTCTACGCCTGCGTTGAAGAAATCATCCTCTGCAGGTGGACAGAAGACCCTCTTGGGCTTCTTCCAGAAGACGCCTTCGACCGGCTCGCCATCCACATTACCTGGTCGATCCGCAGCTGAGACGCCTGTCCCATCCAAGGCTCGCACCAAATCGGTCGGCACGTCGTCGAGTTCCCTGACACCTGTTCCCAGCAGTGACGCATTGGAACCTGAAGATGAGGACATCATCCCCAAGGCGAGTCTGCCTCCTTCCAAAAGTCTGCCATCGCCAGTCTCAGCTGACGATGAGCAGACTAATGGCAGGGAGGAGCTGACAGCCCACGGGACACCTTCGCGAAGGGTAAGGTACCTCACGCGTCTGTGACTGCGGTGTACTAACCATTGAGGTGACAGGCCAAAACCAAGAAAATCAACTATGTCGAGTCCGATAGCGAAGGCACCGACGGCGACGACGTATTCAAACCCACCCCTGGACGCCGCTCTCGACCTACGAAACGCAGGCGAGTCTCCGATAGTGCGGACGAGGACGTCTACGAGCAGGAGAACGAGGCGGAGGCAGAAGATGGTACATACCTCGTTCGACTAAGATGGGTTTGTGCTAACAATACAGAAATGGATGACTTCATTGTTCCCGATGACTCTGAAGATGAAGTGCGCCGGCCTGCTAAGCGCAAGCGGGCGTCCAAGAACACTTCCCGAACTGCGTCGTCTCATTTCACCCCTGCAGCGGATGATGTCGAGGTTGGGGCTGACCTGGAGATTCCTGAGGGTACTTCGACTGCCCAGCAGTGGACCTACGATCCTGAAAACCCTCAGCCTTTGCAGCCACGACCTACCAACATACCACCTAAGCAGCGAAGTGGAAAGAAACTGAAAGCCCACATGACCGAACCGGAACAACGCCACGCATGGCTTGAGGATATCAGGGATATGGACCGCAACCCACCTGGCCATCCCGATTACGACCCACGCACCTTATATATTCCACCTATGGCGTGGAAGAATTTCTCTCCGTTCGAGAAGCAGTACTGGGAAATCAAGCAGAAGTTCTGGGACACGATTGTATTCTTCAAGAAAGGCAAATTCTATGAACTCTACGAAAACGACGCCACTATTGGTCATCAACTGTTCGATCTAAAGTTGACCGACCGCGTCAATATGAGAATGGTCGGCGTTCCAGAGTCGAGTCTCGAACTCTGGGCAAATCAGTTCGTTGCAAAAGGTTTTAAAATTGCTCGAGTTGACCAGCAAGAGACTGCTCTGGGTAAAGACATGCGCGAGCGGGACGAAAAGTCCAGCGGGATTGCCAGCAAGAAGAGCAAAGACGACAAAGTGATCAAGAGAGAACTGGCCTGTGTGCTCACTGCAGGTACATTGGTTGACGGCACGATGCTGCAGGACGACATGTCAACGTATTGCGTGGCAATCAAGGAATCCGAGGTCGATGACATGCCTGCATTTGGTGTGGCTTTTGTTGACACCGCCACCAGTCAATTCAACATATCAGAGTTCGTCGACGATGCAGATCTGACCAAATTTGAGACGTTCATTGCTCAGACAAGGCCTCAAGAGATCTTGCTGGAAAAGGGTGGTGTGACGACGAAGACATTGCGTATACTCAAGAACAACACCAGTCCGACGACTATCTGGAACTACTTGAAACCTGGCAAAGAGTTCTGGGAAGGTCACATCACTGCCAAGGAGATCGAGGCAGAGAACTACTTTCCCAACGAGTGGCCTGGGGCACTGCAACAAGCGAAAGAAAAGGATCTCCTCATGTCTGCTCTGGGTGCTTTGATCCAGTATTTGAGGTCCTTGAAGATCGAGCGGGATCTGGTGACAATGGGTAACTTCACGTGGTACGACCCCATCCGGAAAGCGACGAGCCTGGTTCTTGATGGCCAGACCTTGATCAACCTGGAGGTCTTTGCCAACTCTTTCGACGGTGGAAGTGAAGGCACGCTCTTCCAGCTCCTCAACCGCTGTATCACGCCGTTCGGCAAACGCTTGTTCAAACAATGGGTGTGCCATCCTCTCATGGACACGAAAAAGATCAATGCACGGCTGGACGCTGTCGACTCGCTCAACGCCGATGCCAAAGTCCGGGACCGATTCACTTCTCAGATGACAAAGATGCCGGATCTGGAGAGATTGATATCTCGCGTCCATGCCGGGACCTGCAAAGTTCAAGACTTTGTCAGAGTTCTCGAAGGATTCGAGCAGATTGACCATACGATGTCCCTATTGCGAGATGGTACAGGTCGAGCAACGGACAGCGAAGGTGTCATCGGCCAACTCATCGCTCAAATGCCGGATCTCGAGCCCAATCTCAAGTATTGGGACAATGCCTTTGACCGCACAAAGGCCAAAGAATCAGGCATCTTGGTGCCCGAGCGCGGAATCGAAGAAGAATTCGACAACTCACAAGACACCATCGATGCCATCAACAAGAAATTTGATGACCTTCTCCGCAAATGGCGCAAAGAGCTCAACTCCAATGCCATCTGCTACCGCGACAACGGCAAGGAAATAATGCAAATGGAAGTACCCACTCGCATCAAGGTGCCCGCCGCTTGGGACCAAATGTCCGCCACGGCGAGCGTGAAACGATACTACTTTCCCGAACTGCGGACCCTTGTGCGGAAATTACAAGAAGCGCAAGAGACACACTCCCAGATCGTCAAGGATGTAGCCCGCAAACTCTACGCCAAGTTCGATGAAGATTACGTTATATGGCGCACGGCGATCACGATTATCGCCCAACTAGACTGCTTGATTTCCCTTGCGAAAGCGAGCACGTCTTTGGGACACCCGAGCTGCCGCCCTGAGTTCGTCGACCCGTCTGACAGCGATGCCGGTGGTCGGTCGACCTTGGAACTCGTCGATCTACGCCATCCCTGCCTTTTGACCAAAGTCGACGACTTCATTCCCAACGACGTCGTTTTGGGCGGGGACTCGCCAAACCTCACTCTGCTGACAGGTGCGAATGCAGCAGGAAAATCCACCGTCCTCCGAATGACCTGTATCGCAGTCATCATGGCTCAAATCGGCTGCTACCTCCCCTGTGCGTCGGCTCGCCTCACCCCTTTTGACCGAATCATGTCACGCCTGGGAGCTCAAGATCACATTTTTGCCGCACAGTCGACCTTTTTCGTCGAATTGGCAGAAACGAAGAAAATTCTCAGCGAGGCTACACCGCGCAGCCTTGTCATCCTGGATGAGTTGGGCAGAGGGACGTCGTCACACGACGGCGTGGCAGTCGCACAAGCCGTGCTGCATCACCTGGCTACACACGTGGGCTGCTTGGGTTTCTTTGCAACACACTATCACTCGCTCTCTTCGGAATTTGCACACCATCCAGAAATAGCGCCAAAGAGGATGAAGATTCTTGTGGACGACGCCGATCGACGGGTAACTTTCCTGTACAAGTTGGAGGAGGGCACCGCCGAGGGGTCCTTCGGTATGCATTGCGCCAGCATGTGCGGCATCTCGAATTCAGTGATTGAACGGGCCGAGGAGGCGGCCAAGGAGTGGGAGATCTCAAACCTCATGGCGCGAAAGCAGCGGGTTAGGAGTGGCGAGACACGGGAGGCAAAGGACCTCGACCTCGAGGTGCACGATGAGAAGGACGACGAGAAGGAAGTCGAAGTGCCGCTAGGGATCTTGAGTGATCTTGCGTGGATTCTGAAGGGGCGAGAGGTGGATGATCGCGGCCTCGACGTGCTGGTCAAGTGCATTGAGGCTTTGTGAGCGCTGGACCCCCATCTGTTTTGAGCGATTGTCTCAGCCACCTGCAGGATGGTGCTATTGTACTTTTGTCCTGTCCTGCTTCCCATTTCGCGGTTTCGCGGTTTCTTTATCCCGGAAGGTATGGATTGATGGATTGATTGGTTGATGGTGTTCTGCTACAAGTGTACAGTGTATAGTGAAGTGTATGGAGTTGCAGGATTGATTTCTCGAGGTATTTCTAGGTAGGCGCTCAAAGCGAAGAGACGGGTAAAATAAAAGAAAGAAGCGAAAGACCATCATCCATTTACATGATTTGACTTCTGTTCTTCACGATTTTGTCCCCCTCCTAGTCACGAGAAACTTGGGCAATATCGAAGACATAGGTTGTCAGGGGGCAGCATGAATAAACGTTCGTAGTCACGTAGAATGCTCCGTATTTTGAATGGTACTGGAATTCTCGATCTGAATTGACGTTCCCCCAGCTCTGTACCTAAACTAAGCCCATTCTTCGTGTGATTTCCTATCCTGACCTTGAACTGAAAGGGGACCAAGAAAAACGTTCTCGTCGTCGTCGGTGGACAGGTCCAACCAAGCCTGGCCGGTCTTTCAATGATACAGCACCCACCACAAGCTCACAGACCTCGGATGTCAATCAGCCCATCACCAAGCTTACCACTCCAAAGCTTCACTGCGGGCTTTGCAGGTACCAACCCATGCAGATCCTGCGCGTACGTATGCGTGTCCCATGTCTGTTTCTTTCTTCTTTCTGATCTTTTCGTAGTGAAAAGGCACTCAAGCTCCGCTCAATTCTCTCTTTGCCTTGTCGCCGCGTTTCGCCATTCATCCATCGAGTTGCAACTCAGAACACGACGTTGAACGATTGTCATGTTGAACGAATGCTGATGGTGCCCGTCACTTAAAGCTCAGACTCCTGACCGTTTGCTGAGTCAGAGGGTGAAATCAGTTTGTGAGCAGTCGCGGCAGCGGCCACAACCGCTTTCACTTCAGGGGCGTGTTCACCGATATATCCATTTTCGGGTGTGTTGGCAGTCCTAATGGGACAGAGTTAGCACGTAAGGAGAAACATCTGCAATGGAGAAACGAACCCAGTAGAAACGGCAGGAACGGCAGGACCTGGCTCTCCCGAAGTACCATTCTCTTCTTTCTTCTCGATGACTTCTACGGTTGCGAGTTCTCCCTCACCGGAGCCAGCTTGAGTCGGGGCTTTGTCAGTCGCTGGTGTGGCAGTTTTGCGCGAAGCGGCTGCCTTCTTTCCTTTGGCAGCAGCAGCTTTAGTCTCGCCCTCGTTTTCTCCGTTGACCTCACTTTCGGTGGCCTTCTTCTTGGCCGGGGTCCTACGCTTCTTGGCTGGCGGCTTCTCGTCTTCGTCGCCTTCGCCAGTCGCCGCTTCACCGTTCGCCGCAGCCTCAGCTTCCTTTTCGGCTTTGGTTTTGCGAGCGCGCTTCTTGGGTGTGGTAGGTGTCTTGGGAGTAGTTCGGGCTTCTAGGAGAGCACAGCCGTTAGAATGCAAAAGGATAATAAGGTAATGCGATGGGGTGGGAAATGTGGTTTGCACGTATATGTTTGAGGCTTTGCTCAGACTGACCTTCAGATTGATTCACTTCACCGTCTACAGCACCAGCAGAGGCATCATTGCTCTCACCATCAGCAGAATCATGGTCACCAGCTTTGGGAGCTGCCTTGCCTGACTTCGGCGTAGCGGTGTTCGGGTCTTTGGCTTTGCGAGGGGTTTTGGCCTTTGGAGCAGTGCCTGGTTCATCAGTGGATGACGCCTTTGCCTCGATCTTTCTTCTGACTGAGCACCAGGCCGATCGAGCCGAAGCCTCGTTTTTGAAGCCAAGTTTGTTGCAGAGCGCCGAGTAGTCAATCTGAACAGGACTCAGTCAACGGGAAGAAGCGCAAGACCAGGCAAGTGGCCAGGAAGACAAAGGCGACTCGGCCAACGACTGTCACAAGTGAGAATTTTGAGACTTACCTGGATCTCACCACCTTTGACACACTGAAGAGCGGCAAGGGCGATTTCTCCGTCACGAGCACTCAACCCGCCTGGGGTAACGGTCATGGCCGCCGCGTCAGACATGGTGGATGGACGTTGATGATTGAATATTGCGAGTAAGTCTGGCAGGTTCAATTGAAGAAGGCAAAGATGTAAGAGCAGTGGCGAAAGTAGGTATGTTTTGTGTCGAGGTAGGAAAGGTTGACAAAGTGGGAGACGAGGGCAGTGAAGGTCATGAATAGGACACACAACAGTGACTGCTAGACTTGGCGACGAGCGCGTTTTGTCAGTGAATATTAGAGTCCAAATTCTGCCAGACATTTGTTTCCAAGTGAAGTTCATATGCCGGTCACCGCCGCCATTTGGATACAGCACTGCTCTCGACTCCAGTCAGTCGTTCGTACACTTTGCTCCAGATCCCCGGCGTGACATCTCTTGCTGCTCTGCCACCCGCCGATTCAGGCCGTACATAGAATTGAGTCGGGTTCGGTCTCAGCAAGCCACCGCGTTCCACCATCGGCCCAACCCATTCAAAGCTGACAGGACGAAAGAGGCTTCGCATCGGTCTGGTGTTGGCGATCCTCAATGTCACTACGTCCGTGATGGTGAATGATCGCATAAATCTTAGGTCGAGCGTGGCATCTCCTGGTAGGCTTTTGGCATAAGCCATTGCTACTTTGGGGGATGTTTGAGCCGATACTGGAAGCCGAAGAAAGATCTCTGTCACCATTGGTCTTAATGTCCAGTTTACGAAAGCAAACGGCATCAAGCCTGCCAGCCATACTGCAGAAATCACGATCAGCAGGCTGATATTGTGCGGCGAAGGAACACTCACTGCCAGCTACAGTCCACAATGAACTCCCATTAACCCAGTGAGCAGGAGCCACTATAACGGTAACAAAAGTCAAGGCAGCAATCGTGGCGAAACGAAGGAAGGTGAGCATATATATCCTTCCGTTGCCGGCAGTGTATATGCGTAATCTCTTCTTATATACTGTACCAAGTTAGTGCATCTTCGACTACTGAAAGCTGTGAGAGACGCACCCTTTGGTTCAGGCCGAGGAGGTAATCTTCTTGTCAATTGTTCAATATGGAGTCGTTCTTTGGGAGACAAGGTCAAATTTGGAGCGATCTCGGCCTTTGGAATGACCTTGAAAGGGACCTCAACCTTGCGGCCTGTGTCCAGAGACTTTTCCTGCTCTTCCTGGGGTACGAGTTCCTTGCTCTCTGGTGTACTTGGGGCTGGCGGTATCGAGGGCCGAACAGGATTCGTTTTCTGGGCCTGCAGCTGGCTGTGGACAACTTGGATGGGAACATTGTTGCTCTTCGGCTGCTGGGAGCTTTTTAGCCTTTGGTGCAAGGTGCTGAATTGAGTCCTTCTGGAGGCAGTATACTGCCTCGAGCAAGATTGAAAGACATAGCGGATTTCGGCCACCAGAGCTGGTGGCAGGCTTCTCATCTGTCTCGGTAGCGTCGAACTGCGGTCAATGCCTAGGTAGCTTTTTGTAGAATTTGAGAGACGCGGTTACAACGGCGCATTGAAGTTGGAGATGCGCGATCCGCGCGTCCTGCGGCGGAAACTGCGCCGAGAATTCAAAGATGACAACCCCGACTCACTGTGGCCTCTCCTTCTTCTGGCAAGCGACTCCTACCTGGTGCTTTGCAGCTGTTGTGATGATGTCTCGATGAACGTCCTCTTTCTTTGTTTTCTGTGAAAATGCGGTGCTGGGCGCCGACATGGCTCTCGACTGTGGTATCGTTGATATCTCCATGGTCAGGAGTCCTAGCATATATCCCGCTGTCCGATGATACCCTTCAACATGGTCTTCCTCGACCAGATACTAGCGATTTCGATATACGGACCGGCAACCTTCTAGCGCCCATACTGATCCCTCGAGTCCCCGGCACAGAAGGCTCCAGAAAAGTCCTCCAGCACTTCGTTGACTTCTTCCACACTCTGCCGGAGTGGTCCTTGTCTTTCCAGAATTCGACCTCAAAGACACCCACCCACGGAGATAGCGAGGTGCCGTTTGTGAATCTCATTGCCACTCGAGATCCTCCGTGGTCGCAGTCAGGCAATGTCGGGCGCTTGACCCTGGTAGCGCACTACGACTCAAAGTACCAGCCAGATGGATTCATTGGTGCAACAGATTCCGCGGCACCATGTGCGATGATCATGCACGCCATCAGATCTATAGATGCTGCTCTGACGAAGAAGTGGGCCACGATGCAAGAGCAAGGGTTCACTGATCCTGACTTCGAGGAACAAAAGGGGATACAGGTGCTGTTTCTCGACGGCGAGGAGGCCTTTTTCAGCTGGACAGCGACCGACAGTATATATGGAGCGAGATCGCTTGCCGAAGAATGGGAGCACACCATGCACCCAGCCACGAGTATCTACAAGAACTACCTTGATTCTATCGAGTTGTTTGTTCTCCTCGATCTTCTCGGCTCCCCAGAAGACCTGCCGATCCCTTCCTGGCAGCACACGTCTCATTGGTCCTATGTGAAAATGGCCGAAGCCGAGCAACGACTTCGCAAAGTGGGCATGTTCAGAAGCAACCCATCACACACTTGGCTGCCGGAGAAGAATAAAAGGGAGACTGATAGATTCAACAGCTATGTCATGCAAGACGACCATATCCCTTTCATTGCCCGGGGAGTCCAAGTTTTGCATCTCATTCCTGGACGGTTTCCTTCCGTCTGGCATACCATGAACGATGACGGCGAGCATCTAGATATTCCCACTGTTGAAGACTGGGCTCTCCTTACTACTGTGTTTGCGGCAGAATATATGGAGCTGGAGGGCTTCTTCGAGGGCTCGGCAACCAAACGTGTCAAAAGACATGACGGTCATACAAGTAAGGATGAACTATAGCCACCTTTGTTGCCAGCGTCGATGGTCTGACTTGTGGACTTAGAAGGCTGAGCAAATCTGCGCATCGCACCCAGCGAAGTGCGATGCTGGGATGAGCAGCTCCCGGTCGTGCGCCGTCCTCCATGTGTTGGTTACAGCATTGCGACCAGCTTTTAACGTACGATGGCACTGGATGCTGAATCAGAGACTTAAAGTCTGCCTTCCAAAGTGGGTTCTAGCTGAGAGATGGCAGAAACCCGATCTGAGAGAATCCGGTTCAAACACCGAGCCCCGAAGCCCAGACCTTCAACCATAGTCGACAGTGAGCAATGCCTGGATTCTTTTCTGAGTGACGCCAAAGGATCATTTGGAGAAGACACGTCCCGCTGTCGGTCTACTGGCGCGAGAGAGGGACAAGGGAAGGGACACCCAAAACGACAAGCGCGAAAAGTATTCGCCTGCGTTCTGGAACCTTGGCTGCAGAATGTGGCTGGCCACTAAGCTTCAGGTCTCTGATTTCTTTACCCGAAACCTCATGGGTTGCTTCCGGAAGATGTCATGTAATCTGCAGCCTTGTTGTTTGATTCTCTGGGGAACAAGGCTGCACCTCTGACGCTCCGCGACCTGACGTTGGATTTCTCTGAAACGCTGTGTCCCTGTGCATTGAGGGATCGGTCGAGGTATAATACTCGAGGCATTCCGTGTCAGATGACCACTCGACGAGTTGAAGCCACAACCGGTATGATTGGGTTTGGCTTTGCCCAAAGCATTGTGTCAACGCTTTCCTCTCTCGGACGTCTTTCTGTTTCAACATGCTATACGAAGCCTGTTCACTCTACGACCTCCTGTACGCCTGCCTCTTTCAGCCCTGCTGTTCCAAGTATGTCAGCGACCTTGGTCTTTCTTTGGTCTTCCTTACGGCTTCATCTTCATATACAAGACACTCACAACGGTTTCCTCTCATGGACGCCTTCCGCTTTCGGTTTACTCTCGTCGTCAATCCCAGCCTTTCGTCTCTTGTGCCTTGTTTCTTTGTTACGGATGCTTCATTCGAAACGCCTTCCCTTTTGGAACGCCTTCCTTGTGTAGAACGGAGTGTTTCTCTATTGGCTCTCTCAGATCTGGCCAAGCTGGACGCCTGCTCTTTGCAATACAGTCCCTGCGCCTTCCCTTTTCACAACGCCTTCCTCTTTCGACATGGTTTGCGCCACTCCTGTGGCTCCCCACTCCTTTGCTCTCCTATAAATCCTCTAACCTCGTCTTATGAATGCACTGCTCTCTCTTCTTTGCTCGTCACGCGGCGTATGGGATAGCGGCACTGTGTCCATCTGTGCTCTGCCTGAGTTCTCTCCCACTCCACACCGTCCTCGCGTCTATATCGACCCAAGCCGTTTCGTACAACCGAACTATGTTCTTGGCCCTGATGTCTCTCCTTCCTCGACAGCCATAAGCTACCTTGCTCGCTCGCCGCAGAGTCAGTTCACAGAGAAATAGCAGTCCCTTGGGGGCCCAGGCTGCCTGGGGAGCAGGAAAGACAAGCGAGACCAGCTTATTACGAGACGTGGCATCCCTCAGGCCCAAGCACATGCCCAAAACCTCCATGCCCAACAAGTCAACAAGTCCAAGGCTGCATGGATGTGTGAATGCATAGATGGATAGAGGTCGCTATTATCATCTCATGTCATCATTAAAAAGTAGATACTAAGCTCCGTGAGGCTGTGCGAGTGACTGAGAGAACTGAAATGCTCCCGATCATCCTATACCATACTAAACCATACCGCGCCGCGCCGTACCATGCCATGCCATTTCTTTTTCAATCCTTTTTTTGTCTATTATGTACGTTGGACACTTGAGTGCTGCCCGCTCAATGCCTTCTTCTTCCCCTTTTCGCCGACGTCTTCCTTTGCAACGCTTTTTACCTACCTAGGTAGGTAGAATTACTCGGATCAGATCCCCCATCCACCGTCCGAATCGTCGTCGTCGTTGTTGTTGTTCTCTTTTCCCCCACCACTGGTGCTCGCTGTGGCGTCGGCGCTGGCACTGGAAGTCGCTGTAGCAGGTGCAGGTGCAGGTGCAGGTACAGGTGCACTTGTCTCTGCTTTGCCTTCACGGCTCTGCTCTTCTTGGTGTTGTTCTTGGCCCTGCTCTTCCTTAATATCGGCACCGGCGCTGGAGCTGGAGCTGTTGATACCCATGATCCTCTCCAACTCGGCCCTCTCACCACTCATCTCCACCATGCCCCTAAACACACCGCCCTTCCTCCGCATCAGCTCTTTCGGGTTATCAAATTCAAGCACCTTCCCCTCCCCCATGACCAAGATCTTGTCAAAGTCCGCAATCGTGCTCAGCCGGTGCGCAATCACAATCAATGTCGAATCCGTGAATTCTTCCCGGATACTGCGCTGGATCAGCGCGTCCGTCTCCATGTCTACTGCGGATGTGGCCTCGTCCAGGACCATGATTTTGGGCCGTGACACGATGGCTCGCGCGAGACACAAGAGTTGGCGTTGGCCCTGTGAGAGGTTCAGACCCCCTTCGGAGATTTTGGACGAGAGGCTGCGGAAGATGTTGATGTTTGTTGTTGCGGCTGTCGGATCGGCATCGGTATCGTGCTGATGATCTGGAATAATAGGTGTCGCACTTCCGCTGGCCATAGCTGACGAGGAGGCCGTGACCGACGATATCAGATGTACCCGCGCCAGAGCCTCTTTCAGTTCCTTGTCTGTTTGCTGTTCAAATGGGTCCAGGTTGCTCCTGACCGTGCCCGAAAAGAGGACAGGGTCCTGTGGTATGATCGCCAGTCTCGAGCGCAAGTCGTACAGCTTGATCTTGGAGATGTCGATCCCGTCAATGTAGATACTTCCACTGCGAGCCTCGAGGAATCGGAACAATGCGAGTGTCAGTGAGGATTTGCCCGCTCCCGTACGTCCGACAACACCAACCCGCTGGTTCTTTGTCACTTTGAACGTCAACCCCTTCAACACCGGTGGAAGGTCGGGCGCGTAGCCAACTACCAGATCGTTGACCTCGAGGTTTCCCTCGGTGGGCCACGCGGCTGGTGCGTCCACGCCTCCTTGATTCTCCGTCGTGATGTTGCTGTATTCTACGATTCTCTCTGTGGCGTTCATGTCCAGTTCCACATTCGAGTACTGTCGTAGGAACCATATCACACCTTCGCTCAACCCGAGGGCGAAACTCAAGGCAAACCCGGCAAGACTTGAGTCAATGCTCGTAATGGAGACGATAAGTGCTGCAGTGATGGCTGCGAAAAGAGCACCGACCATGTACAACCGCCATCCCATCCATCGATTGAACAGCCAGAGATGCCAGTATGCGCGACAATGTCGGTCGATCTTGGTGTACATCTTGTCGAGGTAGGCGTCCGACTTGTCGAAAGCACGGATCGTCCCAATGCCCATGAGCACCGAGCCGAACTGCTCGAAGACGGGAGACTTGGCATTGCTTTCCAGTCTCTTCACCTCTCGGGCGCCAGCGAGATAACGTAGTGCGTAATACATGCAGACTGAGAGAAGTCCGATTGCAAAGACAATCATGAATGGCGACACGAACACTCCGGCAATCACGACAGCCAGGACGTGCATCATGTTGTGGAGCATAAAGGCCAGATCCATCGCTATCCGCGAATCGAGCATATTGAAGTCGGATGTGAAGCGATTGAGGATACGTCCAACCGGCACAGTATCGAGCCATCGTAAGGGTGCGCGGAGAACTGCAAAGGCAAGGGCTTCAAAAAGAATCTTGGATGCACGAATTGAGGCAATGAAGACGAACAAATAGCGGATTGTGCCGATCAGCCAGGCGGCGAGGGAGATGCCAAGGTAGACGCCCAGGTAGTATCGAAGATTTGGATCGATGGCCGCAGCAGAGTACCGAGTGTGGAGGTGGTGATAGACGGTGCTCAGAGACTGCGAGACGAGCAGCCTATGGGGAGAGACGTGCTCCGTTTCGGTGCGGTATGATCTCGTCCATACACTGATCCAATACGACCTGCCCAGGTAGATGGCGACCCAAACACCAAAGAAGGCCAGGATGAACAACCAATATCCGAACCCGCCAGAGGCCCTGAGATAGGCCGAGTAGATCTTGTACTTGACTGCGCCCGTCTCTCGACTCTCTTCCTCTGTAAATTTCTTGGGGGCGTTGCTGCGGCTTTGCTTCGCGTCGTTGAGGCTCGCGCGCGACGGACGTCGCATGAGATTGTCGCCAACATCACTGAGAGCAGATTTGCGCCTCGAACGGCGTGACTGATTGGTCAACAACTTCTGGAGACCGCCGCCGTCATCGACCGTGAGGTGTCCGACAGCTTCCTCTTCCTCTTCCTCATCCCTCTTTTGCTCTGCTTCGTCTTCTTCCGCAAGGATTGATTTTAGTTTCCCGCTGCGCCGCAGCTCCTCTGTTTGACCTGCTTGTTCGACGGTGCCGTTGGACAACAGAACGCTGTAGTTTGTTTTGGGGAGGCACAGGGCGACATGATGTGTCACCAGGATCCTTGTTCTGCCTTGGCCAAGCTCTCCTACAAGGGCTTGCTCGAACAGATGTCGACCGACGTGGGCGTCCACTGCCGAGAAGATATCATCCAGCACGAGGATACCTGCCCTCGAGTACAAGGCACGAGCAAATGAAACTCGCCATTTCTGCCCACCGCTCAAATTGATTCCATTTGCGCCAATGTCGGTGAGTTCTCCATCTGGCAGCATTTCCAAGTCCTTTGTCAAAGCACAGGCATGCAGGACCTTTTGGTAACGGTCGTTGTCTAGAGGGAGTCCGAAGAGGATGTTGTCTCGGATGGTAGCATTCTCAATCCAGGGGATTTGAGCAACAAAGGCAATGGAAGACTCAATCATCCAGTTACTTCTGTTTGCACCCGAATCATGTCGCTCGGCCGCAGACGGCGGTCTGGGGACGAAGACTTCGCCTCCAAGAACTTCGGCCTCGCCGATGATGGAGGCAAGGAGCAGGCTCTTTCCAGACCCTGTACGACCTGAAATGACACTCAACTCGTTCTTGGGGAAGGCGAGGTTCAAGTTGCGCAATGCAAATTGATTCTCTTCGTTCTCTGGATTGTCTGATGGCCAAGAGATTGTGGCGTCTGTGAATACCACAGTGTCGCCAGGCTTGGTGCTGTCAATGCGTTCAGGCGCGTCAAGGTATTCTTGAACTCGATTCGCAGATACTATAGCATCAAGAAGGTCGGTTATCATTTCAGGAATGACAGCCAATGTCATTTCAATGGCTTCGAAGACGGAAATGGTCGTAAACGCCACTGAAGCAGTCAGTTGCTTGTAGATCAAAACATACGTTGTCAGTGAAACGGCAGCCAGCATGACGGGCCCGAAAATCCAGATGCTGATCAATGTAGTGTCATACACAAAAACTTGCCACTGCGTCTTGAGTTCTCTCCTCCGGGTCTCGAGGATCTTTTCGTACCAATCCCTCTCAAGGGCACTGAATTTGATTTGACGGATGCCCTGCAGAGCCTCAGTCACTACTGCCATCTTCTGGTCACGATATTTCATCAGGTCGTCTTGGGCAGTGGCATATCGCTTCGCGGCTATGATGTTGATAGGCGTGATCAGTGCAGGAGCCGCAAGCCCTGCAAGTAGCGGGATGGGCCCAATCAATTTCGACAAGAAGCCGATGGCAAATATCAATTTGATGGCAGATCCGAGAAAGATGTAGTTGAACGTCGCAAAGTCCGAGATCCGCTTCGAGTCGACCCCGACTAAGTTGATGGTGCTTTGCTTCGATTTTTGAAAATCCCCATCTTCGTCCTCTTCCGGAGCTCGATCTTCCCCCTTTTGGCCAGCGTCGATGTTGACCACGACTTCACCATTGAGATTGCCGTTGGCATGTTCCTGTTCCTCTTCCTGTTTCTTTCCTGTGCCTTTGACATCTTTTCGTCGAATAGCTTTTCCAAACACCACAGCGGACAATTGTTCGTAGATTGGGACGCCAATCTTCATGAATGTGACAAAGAACATCCAAGCCTCGAGCCACGATGAGAGCGTGATGGATAGACCGAGTCCGATCACTAATAGCCATGACGTGAGCGCCACGTCTTGACCTTCATCTCTCGCCTCGAGTGTTTTCAAAATAAAGTACAGGGCGAGTTGGGGCAGGAAATCCGTGATGGAGCATGTTGCTTGCAAAACCCATTGCTGGATGAAGGCCCATTTGTGCGACCAGAAGAGCGTCTTCCATAGTTTGTCTTTACGGCCGACGGCCTCGAACTTGGTTCTTAACTCTCGAGAACGAGCATCGTGGTCAATCTCGTAAAGATCTTCGTAGTCCAGACCCTTGTTTTTAGCCGCCAGAGACAGGATCGTTGAAGCCCAGGAGAAGGTGAGCTTTGATAGCGCAGAAACGGTGTTTTTGCGGTCGACCACTTTATCATTCCAATAGACATCAGGCCGCCGCGGAATTAACAGACCCACGACGAGAAGGAGGATCCCACAGATGAATTGAACGAGCGACAGGGTAAGGTGGGCATTGCGCGGAAGCGGGGTGACTTTCGATTGCCATAGGGAGATATTCTCTACCGCTACAGCGATGGCTATGAGCAAGCTCGACGAAGCTGTAAAAATCCCAAGACGATATCGCTGCGTTGAGGAGGGCGTGGCGTAGATGGCGATAGTTTGAAACAAAACCAAAAACTAAAAAAATGTTAGACGTTGTGGCACTCGATCATCCGGTATCAACCGCTCGACTCACCCAGGTTGCGAATTGGAGCCATTGTTCAAGCGTGAGTGATAGATGCGGGCGAGTAGTTGTCAGAACAGCAGTGGCCAAAGCATCAAGGAACGCGATGGTAGAGATTATGATTAGTATTAACCGAACGACAAAGTCGGAATATGCTTGCTGAGATTCCTCCGTGGCCTTTCCATCCTTATCCTCATAACACCGAGACAGCTCTTGATATTGGTCTTTCTTTGCTCGAAGACGAAGGAGAATCTGACGGAATGCTGGGGTTGAGAGAGCGCCTACAGCGGCAAGACATGCTATTGAGATTGCGACAGATGTTGATGTATGATGCGCCGTCATGATGTGGTGGGACATGCAAATCGGATCAGAGAGTTGGGCGTTTGAGGGACATGGCATTTGACATTGACAGGGACTCGGATGGAAAAAGGTATATGAACGATCTTGTGTCCTGCTTGGAGGGACGAGACAGATATTAGGAAAAATTAATGGCAGAGGCGGCGGTAGGGCAGTGCGATGTAGTGCAAAGCGGGAACCGGAACCATGCAGCTTCGCCCAACAACTCCACCTGATGGCAGTTGAGATTGTGCGTAATTGTCCCTGGAGTGCCTAGTTACTGACAAGACTTCTGCCTCTTCTCGTCGTAGATGACTATTGTGACTATTGTCATCCGTCGAAGCTGAACTGTGGCGGCAAAACAGAAACAAAACTCGTATTCGGACGGTGAAACAAGATTGGGCAGCTCGATAGCTTCCTCGCTACTCGTTAAACACCATGTTCATCAACCTATGTAATTATCTCAATAGCCATTGGCAGGGACCATGGATCCCTCCTATCTACCGAGCCACCACCACTACTACCTCGCTAGTCGCAGATCCCCAACCCTGTAGAGTTGGCCATGACTCACCCAGATATGGATCCTTTACGGGGTGTGCATGATGCGTCAAGAGATATGCCACCAATGCTGGGCGCAAGGTTCACGCATTTGAGGATGAACAACGTTGTTAGAGGCAGATATAGAAAGTATTCACTCAGATTCCTAAAAGCTATCTTTAAAATGCCAGATCAATCCATACTCCTGTGTTGTCCCATTCGCTTTTGGCCCTTTTTTATTCCGAGTCGATAACCACAACCTCGGCCTCTGCTTCTCCAACGCTTTCAATCTTGAGCATGTCACCCGCATTGACATGAGTCACATATGCGCCATCTCCTTCCTTAAGTATCGCGCCCTCTCGTCCGTCCAGCCGGATCTTGGCCTTTCCACCTTTTGTTTCCGGCAAGTGGATGTACACCTTTCGGTCGGATTTGGATGTGACAAGGTCTCCGCCGCCCACTTGGTAGGTGAATGTATTGTTCGTGGGGATGATGCCTGCACTAAACACGAGATCGGCGTGAATGGGAATGGTGCCCTCCTTGGTGGGGATGGCTGCCTTCTCGTCCTCCAGGCTCGCGTTGGGACCCGCCTTCAACGGAGTAATGATTGTGACAAAATCTTTGCGCTTGTCTTCCTCCGAGAAGGTGCTGGTGTGATAGATGGGAGGCAAGTTCCTCTTCCACGGCAGGGCCCAGATCTGGAGGAAGTGCACCCAGTCCTTGTTGTGTTCATTGTACTCGCTGTGAGAGATGCCCCGTCCGCCCGTGGTGAACTGCACATCGCCGCGGTGAAGGCGGTAGAATTTGTCCTTGTCTTGAGATTCAGCCCCTTTCTTCTGCATCGAATCGCGATGGGTCAGTTCGCCCGACAGGACGTAGGAGAAGATTTCGGCGTTTTGATGGAAGTGTGTCGGGAACCCTTCGCCGGGCATGACGCGATCTTCGTTCAAGACCCGTAGGGATCCGAATTGCGAGTATCTGGGATCATACCACCCGGCAAAAGAGAATGTATGTTTGGTGTCGAGCCAGCCATGGTTGGCTGCGCCTCGGGTTTTGGAGGGGCGGGGGACTATCTTTGCGTGGGAGAGATTCGACATGGTTGCTTTCAGGACGGCGGCTGCTCTCATGGAATCCGGGGTGTTCTTGGTGGTGGTGTTGGTGTTGGTGCTGCTAAGCATGAAAAACGCTGCGATTACTGTGAGAAGTGCTGTTGATGTTATGAAGACTTGTGTTTCTTGATGGGCCAAATGAGAGAACATCGAGTGGGAACGAAAATTATATACTTAGACCTGGGTGCCGGGCAGAGCATGGTAGACACCTCGAGAACAGCCTCGTGGGCGCATTATAATAGACTTTGTAAGTCAATGGTCAAGCAAGAAGGAGTAAACAGCTTGTGGTAAGCGAGAGGAAGTGGTTATCCAATCCTTGGGTAAGCGAAGAGTTGCTGCAAGGCCCGTCCACGGGCCGCCCGCCAACCAGCTGCACGCTTTGACTCTTTGTCATCAGCGGAATTGTGGTGGTGCACGTGGTGATAATGGCTTGGCAATGACATCATGCACCGAATGGCACTCGGTCTTGGGCTTTCCCTTTTGGGACTCCGGCTTCAACCACCATCTGCCTACCTAGGTAGGTATCGTGGTATCTTCCTCGTCAGTCGCCTGTGAGATGCTGTCCCGCTTATGTTAATGAAGAGACACAACCCTGATGCAGCTATAGAGGACTCAAGTGCTCATGCAGAAACAAAACATTCCGAATCGGATCTCGCTCTGCCGGCATCCCTGAGACGATCCATCTCCCCTCCCCTCGCCAATCCCCGGCGTCTGAGCCGCATCCCGTCGACAACCAAATCGACCACAGCAGCTGTCGAAGCTGGTGAGCTCGAAATCCACGATCATGTGTCTTTCTTTTCTTCCAAACTCCTCGCGGCGACACGCCCACCCATTGGAGGCCAGCCGCGGCTCTCACACGCCGACTGGCTAGCTCTGTACCGCCGAAATCTCAACGACAGGGGGCACCATTTCGTTGTTCACCAGCACGACCATCCCATCGCAGGCACCCACTATGATCTTCGACTACAATGTAATGCAACGAGCTCAATCAGCTTCGCTATCATGTACGGCCTCCCCGGCGACCCGAACAGCAGGAAGTTAAACCGCAATGCCACCGAGACCCGAGTGCATAACTTGTGGAATCACCTCATCGAGACCGCCTCACATGACACGGGAACGATGTTGCTCTGGGACACTGGTGAATACGAGGTGTTGGCCTACGATTCTTCCTCGAGAAAAGCCAGCGCTGCCGACGACGCTACAGCCACCGAAGGCTCAGACCTGGACACTGACGGCGACAGCGATTTCCCATCCACGAAAAGGGCCGAGTCAGAACCATCAAAGCTCCACCGCGCGTTCCAGAATCGCAAGATCAAGCTCCGTCTGCACGGTACACGGCTACCCAGGAACTACACTCTCAGCCTGAGACTGACTCACGACAACAATCGAGTCGTACAACCAGAGGCGCCAGCGTTCAAGCGACGAAAGAGGAACTATCAGAACTCATCAACCGGCCCAGCGCGCCGGAAATCGCAACTTGAAGCGCATGACACGACAGATTCAGACAGACCAAAGTCTCCAATGGCCGAGATATCTTCAGATTCCGACATCAACCGCCACAGTTCGAGACGCTCTCCCAAGCTCCGTCGGAGCGTATCTTCTCTAATGCGCACAGCATCTCCACCACACCCGAGGCGGTCTAATTCTGTCGCTGGAGACCAATATCAAGAGCAAACACCAACCAGACCCGCAGCCGCAGCGAAGGAGGAGCTCGACGAAGAAGCCTCGATCCGCCGCAACAACGCGTACCCAGGCGCAACCAACAGCATCAACTCGATCCACCAACGGAGATGGTTCCTCTCCCTCGACCGCGCCGCGTGCGGTTTCCGCCCCACGAACCAGACCGCCTTTGGACAGAAGGTGTGGGAGCGACCGCGTCTATCCTCCTCGTCGTCCTCGTTCTCGTCCGCAGCAAAGGCGCGAGATGTCGGCGCCGGTGGAGAACAAGGACAAGGACACGAGGAAGGCAGTGCTGAGTCGTTGGGCGGCTTCCACCCCTTCCACGTCCTGGGCAGGGACGTTGAGGTGAGCGTCCTGACAGGCCGCACCGCCGCCGAGGTGGCATCCGACGAGGGACTCGTGGGATATAAGCCGCGCGGAGGGTGGAGGGGCGTGGTGCAGTGAAAATAGTAAATCCACAGTGGCGAGCATAAATACTAGAAATCAAGAACCTTGACCCTTTTATTCTTCCGTAGGAAGTATCCCCGGATATCAATCAAATATCCAATCTCTCCCCTGTAGTACAGTAGTTCGCCATACGCCGTACCGTTGAACCACCCCTCCTGACAGGCAAATCTCGTCCAGGTCAATACGAGGTATTAACTCATAGAAGCAGACTTTTAATCGCGCCCAAGGACGAAGGAGCAACGATTCGATCGTTGAGAAATTTATAAATAATAGTGGCCACATGTAGGTATTCACTCGAGCCCAGGATATCCCCCCAAACTCATCTCCGTATGCGCCGCACGGCAGCGGCAGGCCTTTCACTGTCCCTGCCTGTCCTGTCTGCAGGTGGTCACGGATGGCGCATTGTAGTCCACAAATATCCGTAGAAGCCATAGTACTCGGTACTGTTTTCAGCCAGGGCTGAGATCCCATCGTTACATGTATGCCTGGGTTGTGCCGAGCTCATAGCCGGCATACCTGGCATATACTTTAAACTCCAAATCATTTCCTGTTCCTTTTCCAGATCCTTTACTATAGTTGTCACCATCGCCGCAACGTAATAACCCAAGCCTCACACGGACTCCTGACCATAGTTCACCCCCAGAAAAGTCTTTAAACGCCCTGCGGTCTGAATGGCTCATAAGCGGCGCCTCTCTGCGGCGCATATGACTGGGGGCCAAGCGTATTCAGCGGCACGCTCTGCTGATCACTTGGGCCCATGTATGGACTTCCCACCCTCTCATACGTGTAGGGCGTCTTTTCCGCTCTCGTGCGTCTGGCCTCTTTGCTGCCTGGGTTGTAAGGGCTTCTTCCACTGCAACAGCAGACGCTGAGTAGCCAGAAGAATGCCGCCCCAATAGCCAAGGCGCTGCCGATCCACGTGACCGAGAACACAGAACTGCCCAAGGTGGTCTTGATGCCGTAGTCCTTCTTCAAGGTTTCGTTCAAGGCGGCTTTTAGGACGATGTAGACAGCGGTGGCGGTGATGGACCCTGCCACGAGAAGCAGAGCCATGGCAGTAGCGCAAAAGGTCGTGAAGAAGGAGCCCCATCTCGAGAAGATGGCCGAGATGCCCACAAGAAGAGTGACGCACGAGGCGATCAGTGCACCAAGGTACAAGTAGAAGATTGCCTTGGAGGCGTCGTGGTAGACATCCACTCCATCTCTAAAGCTCTTGGGCAGATAGTCATCCACGGGGACGCCGGTATTGTTCAAGCCCCAGATCTTGATCGGATTGAACCAAAAGTAGGATTTGGGGTCCGTGCAGTTCGCGTAGGTGTCGTTGCCATTCCAACTGCAGTAGCTGCGGAGATAGATTGTGTAGAAATCTTTCATACCCAGAGATTGCTTGGCCGCTTCGAGGGCACCACCCAACAGGGTCGTGTTGGAGTTATCTCCGAGAAGATTTGCAGAGGAGGTCAATGTGAGGTTGGTCATGTCGATCTAGAGGTGCCATCCATGTTAGATAGAGCGCTCGTAACCTCTCCTCATAACATTGCTTACCTTTACAAAGTATAGGTCGTCGAATGTCTTGCTGCGGTCGTAGTTTCCCCCGATGAAGACCAGTACCACACATATTAGGACGCCTACTGAGAGAAGGAATGGCGCTGCTATGCAGCAAACGCGGCCTGGGTTGACCATGCTGATCTGATGTTCTCTGGCACTGTGGAAGGTGGTGTGCTCAGAGGAGTGAGACGAAGTCGCCTTTTTCAATTCTCGTTCAGCTGAGGCTTATTGGAGAGGAACGGTTTCAGGTGCGGGGAAGAAAGATCAGAGTTCGAGACCCTGTTCGATATCCAGGGCGATAGCAATAGTAGCAAACGAGAGACTTTTGTGAAGAAACTGGTGTAGAAGATGAAGAAGGAGGAAAAGAGTTTACAAGATGGACTTTTTTTGTTTTGCTCGAGAAAAAGGGAAAAGAGAAAGATAATGGCAAACAGCGTGAGATGTGACAGATGGTCGTTGGGTCGGGGGCCGTAAGATTATGGGGGCAGTTTTTGAGCTTTCAGCAGTAGCAGTAGGAGTCTGTGCAGGCTCACTAGCCTAGCGGTCGCAGCGAAACCCGGCCTAGGGTTTTAGGATGAGGTGGAGCTGCAGCCACAGCCGCAGCCGCAGCGAGCAAAGTCGAGGATAGGCGAATTGCCAGAGACGGACAATGTGCAGGGGACCAATCCTGACTGGGTGAATGGAGAGTGGATGGCGATGGCGATGGATGAGAGAAGACGCAGGTAATAATAGAGACTAAGGAAGAGTAAGCGAGAGAAGAGCGAAGAGGACTTGATGAACAAGCTGAAGAGGCAACGAAAGTCAAAGGAATTAGTAGTGAGAGGTGAAGCGACCATCGTTGTGAACGAACTCATGTCGAGGCTTCTTATTTTCCTTCAGGTGGCACAGCAGCCCGTGGATGAGGAGGAGTGAGTGGCTCAGCCGTTGCTTGGTGTTTGACGGTTGATGCTTGAAAGCTTGGAAGGAAACCATCATACCAGGCCAGGGCGCAGGCGCAGGTGAAGGCGCAGGATGGCCACAAGGGACACACAACGCGCAACCGAAGCGGCTGAAATTTGCCATGGGCGGAGGGATCGTCGTCGTGCTGACTGGCGTTAGTTGGGGCCCGTTATGGAGTATTTCTTTTCCCCTTCATTCCTCCTTCTCATCAAAAAGGGTGAATTGGCCCAATATCTCTTTCTGGTACGAAGGCAGGTTGATAGTACCTGATAGAGCATATGACCAACGGCTCTTCAGATGATGCTCGATCGGAGTAATCATATATATTCTCTCGATCAAGTAGTGACCACGATGTATGTATCTCGTACGGAATACCACTCTCCTAATTACCTAGTATCCTTGACAAGTACTCAAAGTCAATGTCCATATGTACCTCATACCTTGGGAACCCAAGCAAAGTACGCATATCACCACACCTGTCCACTTATCGCTTGAGTAGGAGTTCTCGTAAAGCCAAAGCTGCAGTCTTTGCCTTCCCTGACGAGTAATTTCTCCTGGCGGGAAGGAGCGAGCCTCTGATCCTACGACGACTATTGCCGTTCTAGGCGAGCAGGATGAGTAAAAGCGCCTGGACTGCAGGGTGCTCGTGGTGTTGGTACGAATAATAGTGCCGAATGCTCTACGCCAAATCCTCGTCTAAAGGCTTGGATAAGCAAGTCCGCTCAGCTCATGGGATAGTCTATTTATAGACGTACCCAACTCGTGCTTCGTTGCTACGGCCCACGAGTCAAGTCGTCGCTGGCTGAACACGCGATCACCTTCCAGACGGCTGCCACGTGATGCTGCGGGCTACTCATAAGTTGTACCGAGTACGAGATGCCTACCTAGGCAGGTATGCTTCAGAACGGCTTCAATTGCACGAACATATACATCCATACATTTTCATTGCACCAAAAGACAAGCCAGATTCTGCTTCCATTATTATTACTGCAGTGGAACAACATGTCATGGACTCCCTTTTCCTTTGTTTTGCTCCCCACACGATTTCGGCGACGACGGTGTATTATCGCGGATTCAGAAGACAGAGACAAAAAGACCGCAATTCCTCGGGTGACAAGTTCCTCTGCTGTGTCCACTCGCCCGCGTATCGACTCCGGATTTCCTGCTGCGCCATCCAATGGGTACCTCGCGGGGTGATTCGTCCATCTCCATCGGGACAGTACTCTCGTCGCCCACTTCATGTCTCTCAGCCACGTTCCTCCATCATCTTCATCGTCGTCATCGTAATAACTTGGTCATGCCACCCTCGTCCGCAATCTGGTTCGTGGTTGTGGAGATCGCTATCGGTCACTAAGCGGCAACGGCATGTTGACCTGTTGTGAACTCCGAGTTAGCACCTTGGGTCTTATGTCCAAGTTGTTGGTAAGGGCCGGCGCATGGAAGCACCGCTCTCAAGAACTCACCATTGGTCTGCTGCGGTCTTTCTTCTTCTTCCTCTTCCTCCTCCTCTTCTTCCTCCTGCTCATACTCGCCGTGTTGGCCCGCGGGAACCCAGCCGTCGCGATCGTTCTTCATGGGGGGATCCTGGCTGGCCAGATCAACTCCCTCGCCCTTGGCTTTCCTTCTCTGGCTGAGAGTGCGTGATCGCGTGGAGAGCTTCGCGCTGACCTGTGCTGTCGATGACACCCAGTTGGTCAAGGCATCCTCGCAATCCTGGATGATGGCCTTCGAAGCCTCATATCCGTCATATGCGTTACGAGTTTCGCCGGGCGTGACTGGAGTGTCGTCGATGAGAGTCAACAGATGCTTTCCGTAGCCAGCAATGATGGCAACCTTTTCGCAGTGTTCGCGGATCGCATCAAATTGGTAATTGAAAGCAGCCTTGAGCTTCTCGCGGGTGATGTTGGAGAGCTGCGCTTCGGCGACCAGCGATTCGGCCTCGGCCCGGACAAGTTCCTGCTCGAGGACAACAATACGAGGGCTATTGGGTTCTTTGTATTTGAGCTGCGCAATCTGGTCCGTGATCTTCTGCTTGCGGTCTCGCGACGGCTGGACCGAGGCCTCGATGTTTCGGATCGACTTGATGGTAACGCGGTATTGATCGTAGCGGTCCACGAACTGATCCTCCAGTTCGCCAATCTCATAGATCAAAACACCGAGCTTGTCCGTCACATCACTGACATCCTCGTCGCAGCCTTCACCCCAGATAGAGAGTTGTTGCTGTTGAGCAGTCAGTGAGACTAGAAGACAGCTAACAGTAACAACCAGGCTTAGCTTACAGCAACTTCCATTCGTTCCCGACCCACAAGTTCCATGCTGCGCATGACGTTCTTCTCCATCTTGACGAGCTGGGAAAGCTTCTTGGCTAGATCTGGCCCAAACGCGCCGGCGGTGCCCTTTCGGAAAGCATGTCCTATTTCTTTACATCAGCACTGATCGCTGCAGTGTGTGACCATAAGGTCCAAGGGTATTGTATACCAAAGTTGCCTCGGCCGAACAGGCGCCCACTTTTGGTGGAAGATGGCGGAGGGGGAGGGTTCTCAATCTGAGAAGCTGTAGGAGCGCGCGATTGGCGCATAGAGTATGTTCGATGCATCTTGAAGGGCGGGAGTAAGGATGAGAGTTTTGATGGTGGTGGTGAGTGAGCGAGTCAAGGGAGGTGGTCTGAGGGGGGGCGCAATCGTGCTCAGCTGGTTTACAGCGGGCAGAAAGTAGAGGTCGGAATCCAAGCGCTCTCTGTGCGCGATGTTGCGTTAGCAAAGATTGAAATGGATTTGGACAAAAATAATGCCAGCAGCTTAATATGACCAAATGATTGTTGCGAGGAAAGTGTGTAGAGATAAGAAAGTCAGCGAAGATGTCAGTGGCACCAGCAGCATTGTATGCGAGTGATGAGGGAGTTCAAGGGTCAGGGCCTGGATGACGTCTCGGAATGGTGCGGGAGCCGTGGATGGAGTGGTGACGGCGACCAAGGCTGGAGGCGCAATGGAGGGCGCCCAAGTGCCTGGGTGCCTGGGTTGTTTCCAGCCCCCAAGATTGCCCTTCGGCCCTAGGTCAAGACTTCTGGACTCTGGAGTGGTGACGAAGAGGGAGGCAGGGAGAGTTGGTCGCAGCGACGGCGATGGAGACGGGGCCCGCCACAGCGTCACTTTCCAGCTCCACCGCCGAACCATGGCCTTTTTACCTCGTTGGACGACTCCGCACTGGGCCGTCAAGCCAGCGAAAGGGAAATCAACAGTATCGACTTACCAAAGTTTTAAGTCCAGCAAAAGTGACGGCGGGATGAGGGTGGAGGATAGATTGGCAGGGGAGGTGAAATATTCAAGCGACGCAGGTACAGACGAGAGGAGAATCGATCTTTTGGAAAAAAAGGTCGAAGCTCTGAAGCTTGGGGAAGCTGCAGGTTTTTGAGCTGGAGCTGATCTTTTGGGGAAACGGGTGACATCCAGGCACTTGAAGATGGATGAATAAGGGCCGAGTAACCGCTGCGACCGCCAGCTAGCTAAGCAGCTAGGAAGGGAGCTAATATCTAGGCGGTGATAGGTGACACGGGTAGCACCAGGTGGCAACTGGGGGGCTCGGGGGGTGGCACAGGGGAACAAGCTCCCACTAAATCGACTTGCTGCTTGCCGCCTAACCTGCACCGAGTAACTAGAGCAACTGGGCGGGGCTAGCCATCACGTCCACGCCGCTCACGTCATCGAATTGCATCAAAGAATCAAGAAGATAAAGACGTTTTGAAACATCCATCAGCTTCCTCAGCTCGCACGACTGACGTCCTTTGTCCTGTACCTAGGGTTGGCGCACCAGGTACCGAGTACAGGGGTTAGAGTGCCGAATCAAGCTATCTACCTCATACCATCACCAACGCCGCAACCACCTGTCTAACAGGCTAATGGACTGTCAATCGCTCAGCTACGTAGGTACTGTACCAAATGAGGAATGTAGCACCGCCACTGTCCAGCTAGCTTCTCGTGGTGACTAACCTTGACGGAGTAGTTAGCACAGAGATCATGCCCGTCACGCAAACCCTGCAGCTGGGATGAATGCTGGTCCGTCCAAGTAGTGAACATCAGTTCCTGTCATTCGCCGCAAGCTTCCATTGTTCCTGGCCGATCTCCACGAGGCACATCAATGACCCACACAAGGTCATGACCCTCGTAGCGACTCCATATCGAGTACTCGTACGGAGGACTGCTCGCTTGTCCCTTTCCTGGGGCGGGCGTCTTTAACGTCGCATGCGCTGGTGCCGATGGGGCTTTCTTCTCCGTGAACCATTACTCGGCCTCCCAATTTCAAGTTCATCATCCATATCACCATGTTCAGAGACGTTGCCATGACTCTCATAGTCTGAATCCTCCGGATCGTCGATTTCGAGCCCTCGCATCATCTCCTCTCCTGAGCTGTTCGCTGCTCCTTCATTCGAACTTGACCCAGAACTCTCAGACTGCCGCCTCTTGCGTTTCTGCCGCGGAGGCACCACGGGAGACTGCGTGCTCCGCTCCAGGCTGTTGCGCTCCTGGCTATACCGCTCCTGGCTGTTCCGCTCCTGACTGTTCCTGTCAACGCTTTCTTCTGCTAGCATATTCGTTCTGGTGGTTCGTGCAAAACGGTCATGAGAGAGAGGGATCCGTGCTCTCTCATTTGACGCTTTTTCTCCTGGCTCCCAGAAATACTTGACATGTTCCTCGTCGTAACCATACTTCCACAGTAGCTCTTCTCCAGCCTTGACCCGTCGTCTCGCAAACAGTCCGATCCGCACCTGCCCACTGCACAAAAGACTCCTGGGCACCACATTAATAAACTCGTCCTTTTGTGAATTGTTCATAAATCTCATCTTGTTGCCGTTTACAGACGCGTCGATCTCCTGGGACGCATTGAGGGCGAAGAGATATTCCTGGTTTTGGAGATGATAAAGTGCGCCTCTTCTGTCGGCTTCCTTCTTACTGACAATCTCTCCGACATATTCACCAATGAATTCGCCCTTTGGAATGTCGACGACGCTGTAAAGCCCGTAGCCCTGGACCTGGCTTGGAGCCTTGGTCGTCTTAGCAGGCACACCCAACTGGATGCGGTTGTTTCGGCAGCGACCTTGTCGAATGTCGTTCCTGTACTTGTTAAAAGAATCCAGAACATCAAGCACGCCACATTTGAGGCAGAGATGAGGGTCGCATTCACGATTGAGCTTCCAGCATTCGCACCTCGAGTCTTGAAAGCACGTCTTTTTCCCAGCAGCTTTGCAGTTGCACCCCCGGAAACGTCGTTTGCAGGACTTATCACACCCGCAGAACCATTCACAATGTACCTTGGCTTCCGCACACGAGCATGCCGGATTGTTCTCGCAAGGCCCCTGGTGGGAACAAGGGATGAACGGTTTACGCTTATCCAATCCCATGCTTTTCGACACATCGATTGTGTGTACCCGACTCCTTTTTTTCTTGCCTGTTGTCTGGTCTGTGTCTGGCTGGGCAAGGCTAATCTCAGCTGCCGCGGGGAGTGGATCGTTAGAGTGCTCGACTCTATAGATCGAGAAGATGATATGGTGGAAGATTTTCATGCAGCTTACGTCCTTGAGCACTCGTGAGATAAGGCAAGGACCTCGTTGACTGTGGAGGTAGAAGCCCATGAGCTTCTCGACCATCTCTTTTTGGGAGTGCGACACGAAGGGCTGGAATTTTACGTCTGATACCATGGTATCAAGACGGTTGTTGACATCCCAGAAGCACGACGAAGAGCAGAACTGGTCGTCCGCTAGTATGGGCCTACTGTGGTTTTCCTGCATCCGTCTGGTGCCCCTGATGGTCCCGTCGGGGTGTCGCCCTAGAAGCCTTCGCAAGTTTGTTGAGGGCTCTACGCAGAATATTCCGCATAGGTGAGTGTCCTTCTCAACCTTAGGCTCGGCGCTAGGCCGCGACACGAATTTGCGTATGTTACGGTCAGACTCATCATCGTTGATGAGTGCCCTGGATGTTCTCAGATCTTGCTCTTCGTCAGAGGGTTCCTCGTAGGCACCGTGATCCGGACATTGGTGACGAAAACAAATTAAGCAGAAGCCAGGATCTTGCGCCGTAGCTGCCTGAGATTCCGCATATCGTGGTTGTATGATCTCGCCGAGGGCAAGATGCCACAGACTTGACCCAACGATCTCGTGGAAGGCATAGGCCACCAGTCCTGCGAAAACAAGCCTTCGATCATCGGGCCGTGGCAGATGCTTGAAGTCTTCAACCAAGTGGCTCCGCCGGCTCTCTGGATCAGCCAGGCCGCATATTTTGCACCTACGCTTTTGTTCTTTTTTCCATGCCGAGTGGGAACGCTCCGACCAGTTGAAGTCGATTTGGCGGTCAGGTTCAAAGTGGTCCTGCACAAAGAAGTAAAGGATGTCGCTCTTCAGCATCTCAAGCCCGCTGAACATGTCCTCGACCCAGGGCTCCCAAAGCCATATCAATTCTTGGCACGCACGCTGTTTCGCCAGGCCCGGGAAGTCGATTTTGTGTCGCTGTTCGAATTCTTCATACTTTCTGGAGGCGTCTGGATCATCGACCTCGTCTTCTACGTCGTAGGCTCTGTGACTGGCGGTCCGATAGTTTGGTGCAAGAAAACTCGTGCTTACCCTGCCAATGGACCTGAATTTTGGCAGTATGGTCGTTTCGGCCAAGAGGTCCTTTTGAGGTGCTCGAATCAGCTCGTCGTCTCCATCTGCAGTTGGTTTCCCGTTTTTGCCAGCTCTCCGTCTTTCTTCGGTGAGCGCCTTGAAGGGGTCTGGGAGATTTGAGTCAAGGTCGGGACCGGGACACATTCTTGCAGTGACAATAGCCTGGCTCACCTCGGCTCGGACACTTGTTTTCTGCCACTTGCGTAGATCTCGACGTAAAGTTCTCACTAACATTAGGAAAAACTCGACGTTGACACGGATGGTAATTGCATCTGCCGAGGGCATCGAAGACTCAGACGAAACACTGTGGATGTCGACGTCTTGGCCTCCTTCATTCACGCTGGACGATTGTCCGACATGTCCGTCTCCTTCACTCACGCTGGACGATTCCCCGACATGTCCGTCTCCTTCACTCACGCTGGACGATTCCCCGACATGGCCGCCTCCTTCAATCACGCTGGACGATTCCCCGACATGTCCGCCTCCTTCGTCTTCCATTATAATGTCCTCTTCAAACTGCTGGCCCGCGGGCTCTTTTTGTTCGCCGTCTGGATGCTGTGGTTCCGGAAGCCGGAAAACGAGCCTGAGTGGCTGTCTTTGAGCGTCGTCCTCATCTGACTCACTGGATACACTTTCACTCGATGATCGCTCCTGCTCCAGGCTCGGCACTTTGGTGGTCTCTGAAGTTGCTTCTTTGGTGGCCCCTTTCAACGTCGACACCAAGGATGGAGACCCCTGTGTAGGATTGGGTGTACTTTTGTCGTATTGGCTATTGCTCGCAACGGAAGGCGGCACATGTCTGCTGTCCATAGGAACCGAAGTATCCGCGGATCCGGAAGGCGATCTTGATTGTTTGGGACTTTGACTTTGAGAATCGGATGTTTGGCGATGCGTGGACGACTCAGTATCGATCAGATCAGGGTGTTGTTCAATGACAGGAGATGAACTTTTGGACGAGTTTGTACTCTCACTCTCAGAATCCGATGACCTGTCCTGGGAATTCGATGGTCTGCTCTGGGCATCTGATCGCCCCTCGGCAGTCCCTGCTGCAACAGATTCCTGGCCTTCTTCTCTCAGCAGTGAGACGGCAGGCGTTTGTGTTCTGTGGAGAACCTTCGACCGTGGAGGTGTTGATGCATAGGCTGGTAGCGAGTCTCCTAGCTGTGTGCGCGCTCGCTCTGGGCGCATTGTTGTTTTACTCGGTTGTGGTGCATATGCGGGCCGCCGATTTGCTGTTGGTGGAATTCTTGGTCGATTTGAGGTCGAATGAGACGCAAATTCTTCCAAGGTACTTGACGTCGTATGTATTGATGGATCTGGTGTTGATCGTGCCGGTAGTGGCCGAGGTGTCGACATTCTTGACCGGGGGGTTGGCCTTGAGGTTCCTGGTTGTAAATTTTGCCGTAGCATCTCCGGTCGCTTTGACGAGGGGTTCAGGGATGACTTTGTTGTCGATGATTTCGTCAGCGTGTGGTGTAGGAGGCGGGGTGTCGATGGCCTTGGTGTCGATGGCCTTGGAGTCGACTGTCTTTGTGGTAGAGATGGCGGTGGCTGTGGTGGTCCTTTCTCCCGCACTGCCTGAAGTGGCTGGTCGGTATCACCATTGCCAGTCAATCCTTGTTGCGCAGTTCGAGCGCTCCTAATGCCTTTCTGATCACTGGGCGACTCCTCATCTGAGTCGGATAACATGATGACCTCAGGCTCTTTGAACTGCGGCCTCTTGGGTGTACGGCCTTGCGTGCTGTCGATGCCATCATGTGGTTGCCTTGATGGTTTAGCAGGTGCCGAAGAGGAAGGCGACGACGAGGAAAGATGGCTTTCCATCTTGAGGGAGGAGTGCACAGAGAGTCTGCTGAATCCGCCTTTTGCCTCCCGTCGAGATGCGACAAGTGATGTGACAAAAGGTAACGTTGTATAGCCCGGTCAGACCAGGCCCTGGTGATTCCTGGAATTTGCTTGGAGTCGTTTATGTGGATGCGCTAGCGCCCGATGCTATGCTAGATCTGGCCTGAAGATATGTAACCGGTTTCGTGATTCTGGTAGAAGATTCATGTCAACCCTAGGAATGAAGCGGAGAAGGCCCCCTGCTTTTCTTTTTTCTGGCGTCTATCCAGCTGCTTCTAATGGGGCTCCAAAACCCCATCTGGTGGTGAGAATGTAGATCCTGGACCGTCCGTCGCCTAAGCAAAACTGTTACGGGGCTGCGGGCTTGCAGATTTGAGGTCTATAAAATAGGCGACAGTGAGGGCAAGCAGCGTGTGCGAGGAGCAGAGATATCAGGCAGACATTAACCGAATTTAGATCCGTGGTCCAGCTATGTCGCCGTCCGGAGGGATTGCCTGGCGGCCGATCCCAGAGAAGAACATGGTCACTGTCAAGCCGTACAACTTTCAATTCTTTTCTATCCGCCTATTTGAGACTGAAAGAAAATGCGGACGTCGACCCAAGTCAAGGAGAATACATGCCACCGAGGTTGAGTGTCCCTTGGTGACCTCCTTTATGCCCAACAACGTCCGCAAAAGCTAAAACCAGGTACTTTTCTGGCATCCTCAACTTGCCATCCTTTTCTTATCATACGACCGGGTTTTCATTATCCAACCACCGCTTGAATGCCTCATTCTAATATTCTGTTCCGCTCTGCCGCTTGTGGGTTGAACTCCTAGTGGAAGAGATCAGCCAGATCCGGACGCTCCTTCATCAACTTCCTACGTGATTCCCATCTCGGAGGGACTCCCTGGCGATACACGTATAATTGCAGCTCATCATCCGGCCCCTCAGTACGCCTTTCGACCCGCGTAATCTCGTTATACCTAAGCCTCAAGTGGGTTGCCATTTCAGTCGATTGCTGATACTTCAACGGCGGTTCTGGCTGCTTCTTCCCACGCTGGGACCCAGATTCAGGACACCATTCTCCTTCTAAGGCGGAAGCTGGCTTTCTCTGAGCCGAATCTTGTGGAAAAGATGGAGTTTTCTCGTCACTCACTTGTGATCCTGGAGGTACCCCTAGGGACGTTGCAGGCCGTCTATCGGTGGACAGGGTTTGCCCCCCCTGCACAACAGTTTCTGTGCCAGCTGGAACTGTTGTCCGATGGAGTTGCAAACGCCGGTGGTTGATGCGTATTGGAATACGGCTCGCACGGACACCCAGACGAGCCGGGGTTCGTGGGGAAGAAGTTGGCGCATACTCTGGGTCCGCGGCTGGAATGCGGCTGGTATCCTCTTGAGCTCCAGAGAGAAAAGGTGGTCTGTACCCGTGTAAATGTGACGATTGCCGGCCTTGCATCCTCGTTCTCATAGTGTCAGAAAGTATTGACAGAGCTTCGCACAAGTCGGCAAGGTTCAATTCGTTCAACAGGCTTCGAAGACGATAGGACGGAGGTAGGTCGTTCGTCAAATCGGAGATTTCGAACTCTCGACAACGAAGCTCGTGCTCTCGTTCACGCAGCTGGTGTGCTAGCTCGTTGACAAAGTCCTCCTTTTCACGCAATTTCTTTTCTCGCTCGTCGAGAGAATCCGCCCGTTCACTCATTTCCTGTTCTCGCTCGCTTAGAGGCCGCTCGCGTTCGCGCACCTTACGTTCTCGCGCTCTGAGAGACTCCTTCTGGACTTCCATCTCTTGGTCTCTGTCATTAAGATATTCCTCATGTTCGCGTACCTTGCGTTCTCGCTCTGCCAGACATTCCTTCTGTACATCCAATCCTTGTTCTTGCTCATTGACAGATCTCTCCCGTCCCTGCACCCTTTGTTCTCGCGCTTTGAGGCGTTCCTTTTTCTGATCAACGGCCTCCAGATTGATGTCGTCAATAGTTTGTGAGTGGTCTGGAGACGCGAAGAAGAGGAGACTATCGCTTGACGGTGTTGGGGGAACCGCCGATGTAGACTCAGACTCAGACTCAGGGGGCTTTTGCTCTTCACCAACTTTCGATCCCGCTGTGAGACTTTCATTGGTAGGAACAGCCTTGCGGAAAATCAGAAGACTCTCACACAAAGGCGTTGCCATCTCCAAATATGGCGATCGGTAGGTGGGCTGATATTTTGTATCATCAAACATTACCCATTTGCCGTCATTCAAGCGCCCGTATCTCCTTGAAGGGGGCAGGTTTGGAAGAGACAGTGCATTCTCCTCCTTACCTAGACGAATGAATGGAATGTAGTGAGGGGGGCTGTGAAGATAGAATAGCGCCCCAACCAGATTGTATCGCAAGGACCGCGGCTGATAGTCGGCAGGGTCAGAGAAGATACGCGGAGTCCAATCTTTCATATCAAAATGGTCATAATTCGTGATTCTGCGAACATCAGTCTCACCAATCTGAGTGTGGCGTCCGATTTCGACCATGAAAAGTTCCGGTTCATTCGCGATCCGGCTCCTGACTTCCACCAGGCGCCCACGTTGAGATGGAGGTTTATCCGCACAGTAAGGGCAGCTCGTGCCACCGCTTTGCGTTGTGAGTCTGTCGCTGAACGAGGCTTCACGGAGATCCGCGAAGTCTAGAAATCCGTCTTCGTTTGCTTCGACGTTGGCCGCAGACAGTGTGATGTGCCATGCAAATTCGAATTTCCGCACCACGCGTCGACAGTCAGGCTTTTCACACTGCGATTCGACGATCCGCTGCACGGTATGAGTTTCATCAATGTCTGAATTGTAGCCGGAGTTCTTTCTAGAAACCCAGTGACCATCAGTATCTTGGTCTAGTCCTGGCAGTGAAGCACCGGCGGCTCTGTCCCAGTCTCGGCTGTTTTCCAAAAGAGCCAGGGGGGTGGTCTTCGCCAAAGGATCTTGTACACCCGAAGTATCCGAGATCTTATTCAGAGTTTCGAGTATAAAGCCCAGGAATTCGACAGAATCCGAGTCCTCGTCTTTCCAAGGACCGGATGATCCCATCAGTGTAGCAAGTCCATCACAGGCCATCCTAAATGCCTGTGTATGTACCGAAGGAATCTTGTTCTCAGTGTTGGCGTAAAGGTCGAGCAGTGACATGGTTGTCTGGAGACATTTGAGGAAAGTTTTGTGCTTGTTCAGATTGGCATCTTTGGCAAGAATATCGGCGTTCTGGTCTGTAACCAACTTGATGTTCTTCAGAATGGTGGCGAACGGATGCACGTTGTGTAAGATCTGGAGAGCCGACGAGACATAACACGTAGACTTTCCTCTCCCCAGGTTGGCTCGCAGGGGTCGCTCATGATTTGTGTGGACTGTCGGCTTTTCGGGAATTCCGAGTATCTCTTCGAGGGAAGGCTTCTTGTTGTTCAAGTTACCGCCACATGATATGCAATACCCGAAGCTTTTGGTTGCATTGATGTGCCGCCAGCCGTGCTGAGGACGAGGATTGCCTTTCGTCGCACACCCGTAACATAGAGATATATAATACCCTGGTGTCGCCATGGAGGAGAGAAGGACGGCCTGGCAACTTGCAAGAGAAGTCTGGTTTTTCAAAATGCAGTAGCAATAAAGGTTTGAGCGAAACAAAGGGCGCAGGCAAGTTTGTCACTGAACAGTGAATATTTCCTGCCAAGCACAAACTTTGCTCATCAACTGGCGATATTCACTTGATATCTTCACCCGTACACCTGAACCTCCACTTACATCTGACTTATATCTGATGCTCACCTGAACTTACATCTGTATTGTCAACCTTTACTCTCATCTGACTTTCATCTGACTTACACCTGACTTACATCTCTTTTTACCCCTCTCAATTGCTGAAAGTGTATCTCAAAAACCTACCCACGGTAGCACGCTCACCTAGCACCTTGCTCATTCAACACTTTTCCTCAGATACCGTCTGCCCATCATGGATGAGTTGGCACACGAGCACAAGGCCCGATACGACGACGTAAGTCCGCTCTCCAGGCTCATTGTTGGTTCGAAACATGCTGACCAAGACTAGGCGATGGAATGGGCTCGAGCTGGAGTCAAACACAAGGCTCTCGAGATATGCTGGCAACTTCGCTTGGACAGGCGCCTCAGTAAATACCGCCGTGTCCTCCTCAACTTCCTCCTGGCCTGCCTCGTCGAGCCAGAGGAGCGACTGAAGTTCGCAGAGGAGAGCTTGGACATCATCGACATCATCCGGCAGGACCTTGGTGGCCGCATTCCCGACTACCTGCAGAAGGTCGAGACACTTGCGGAAGAGTATGTCGAGCAGCTTGAGGAGCAGGCGGAGGAAGCACGTATGAGTGCCGAGTCGAACAAGATGTTGTTGAGCGCCTTACCAGCAGACATCCCGGCGCTATCATCGCCACAGGAGCCGGGAGACAAGGATGGAGCTCGCCTGCCCACATTCGACGAGCATGTGGCAGCTTTGTTTGCTGCAAAGAAAAAACGGAAGGCGACCTGGAAAGCCGAGCTTCCCATCTTGCAACGCACCACAGAAGAGCCTAGCGAACCACCTGCTCCTCCATCCACTGCTCCTCCATCCACTGCTCCTCCATCCACTGCTCCTCCATCCACTGCTCCTCCATCCACTCCCACACCAGCTGCCGTTTGCGGATCTCCATAAACATCGCTGGAGTGCGCCCAGAGCGCAAGCAGCTTGCGATGCGTGTTGGGACAGCAGAGAAAGCAGAGACAGCAGAACGTCGGATTTGGGGATAAGATACTTTAGTGGCTTGGCAGCGAGGAGGCACAAAGGCCCAGCTACTTCTAACGCGTCTTCATCAGAGTCGAGAAGTAGAGGGGATCGACATGATGAGAATCGAGATAGAACCCGAAAGGTCGAGGCAGGAGACAGTGAGGATCGAGAGAAGAACACTCCAACCGAAGGCCAAGGAGATCTCTGGACGATCAGGTTGGGTTCACCAAACGAGTGACTGACTGGTAATGCTGTAATGATGCTGTAGCCTAGGTACCTGGCACCGAAGTTTTCTGGTCCAACACTGTCCACTCCATTGCCAAGTCGTACCGAATACTACTAGTAGAAGATTAGGAAGTACCCAGTACCACCTAGGTAGCCTGAAGTGCCTAGTGGATCGCCAAGAAGCAATTTACTCAGGGTATAAATATCCTTTTCGAACCCCGGCGTCTTGACGCCGTCTTTTCTTTCCTTTTCCCATCCTGGTGCACGGGCATTACGTATCGAGTGAGGTTTATGTACGTTTCTTTATCTCTTCCTATGTCCACAAAAGAACAACAACGCTGACTGCATTTAGAACTGACGATACGTATTTGCTAGTTGAAAAGTGAGTCAAACCTGATCAAAATCAAGAAGTTCATTTTTGCTAACTTTCCTGTTCTTTTAGCTACATTTTTGACTGCTCCAAATGGCCTTCGGGTCGCTTGGGAATATTTGGAACCACACATTACCTTTTCATCATTATCAGCGCCTTGAGCGAAGGTACGGAGAAGAGGAGATATACCTAGGTAGGAAGAGAAATGAGAATCAGGAAAGTTCGTCGTAGCTGGGATTGGAGGCTAGAGCAGGGTCATGATACCGCAGTGAACAAGGCAACAGCGGCAGAAGAAGCTGAGCTGTTTGGGGTTCAAGGAAGGAGTCGGGATAGATATCGTGCCAGGAATGAGATCGATTGTTTGGGATCGCGATTCTGTATTCATCGCTGCCAAAAATCTAGAGCCGTATGACCTTAATATACAATAATCCTCAGTTGGTAGGGGGAGGGTGGCCGGGAATACCTGGCTAGGTACCTAGGAAGGCTCTGGTGGTTGAGGTCAAGCACCTGCGCCCAAACAATCTCCAACTGCGCCCTCCAATTCTCATTTCCACCTCCACCCACCACTTCAAAATGCCGTCTGCGCTCATCACGGGCGCGTCAGGATTCTTGGGCCGACAAGTGCTCAAAGCCTTCTCGGATGCTGGCTGGAATGCCACAGGAACAGGCTTCAACCGCGCGTCCGAGACCGTTCGCAAGGTGGACATTCAAGATGCCGATGCCGTCAGCAAGCTGATTGATGAGGTCAAGTAGGGTGGCTTGTATACCGCGGTCGAGTGACAGCAAACTAACACAAGGCTCAGACCTCAAGTCATCGTCCACTGTAGAGCGGGATCTCTGCAAGAACTGGATCCAGAGCTAACATGACGCAGGCGCCGCAGACAGACAGCCGGACTCGTGCACGCGAAACCCAGAAGCAGCACACAAACTGAACGTCGCAGCAACCGAGCTCCTCGCCTCCTGCGCAGCGAAACGTAATGCCTTCTTCATCTACATCTCCACCGACTACGTCTTCCCTGGCATCCAGGGTCAAGCCCCCTATAAGGCAGCCGACTCTCCCAAGCCCACAAACATCTACGGACAGACCAAACTCGATGGCGAGACCGCAGTTCTGAAATCCACCAATACAGTAGTGTTGAGAGTCCCCGTTCTGTATGGGCCGACCTCTCCCAAGGACAACAATAAAGAGTCGGCGGTCAACGTCCTGATGGACAGCCTATGGAAGTCGCAGAATGAAAAGGTGAAAATGGACGACTGGGCAATCCGCTACCCTACAAACGTGGAAGACGTGGCAAGAGTGTGTCTTGACATCGCCAAACTCTACACAAGTTCACCGCATCCGGAGGAGCTTCCACGCATTCTGCAGTTTTCGAGCGAAGACCGCATGACAAAATACGAAATCACCCAGAAATTTGCAGAAATCATGGGCCTACCCTTGGATGGGATTGTGCCCGACAAAGATGGAGGCAAACCGGGACCAGATGGTACCCTGAGGCCGTATGACTGTCACCTTGACACGAGCGAACTGCAGAAGCTGGGAATTGACATATCGACGGTGGATTTCGTGGCGTGGTGGAGAAGATGGGTTGGTGCTTATCGGCATTAGAATGGTGTCTACAGGAGGAGCAACGAAAGGCATACGAGCATGCAGACACTCAGGCCAGGATGAGCATGTTGGTATGCAAGAGGCGGCAACAGCGACAAGGGGCCGGCGCGATCAGTGCTGGCATGAAAAGAAGAAATGATATGAACGTTTATGGACGATCGATTCTCCCCGCAATTGAATGTCCACAGACAAGCGGCCTTTGACCGACTGCTTTGACCGACCACTCAAGTGTCTCAAGACACCGCAAGTGCGGCAGGGCAGTCCCAGGCAATCCCCAGCCGAGTCTTCGTTCCACAGATCCAACTCCTGTTTCTTATTTCATGACGTCTGTTTCTCCGCCACTTGAACGCATTCCGCTTTCATAAGAGGCCTCGCAAGTGGGATTTCGATCCTTGTTCAAAGACCAACAGCGCATGCGGGCACACTCGTTTTGTGACGGCATCGGCGACCTGCCTGGAAGCCAGCAAGAGTTGAATACTCGGCAATATCCTGCCGATTCCCACGGTTCCGCTGACCATCGTTGCTTTGGTACAAGATAAGCCAGCGAATGAGGGACCAATCGAGACCTGCCCTATTTCACTGGCCGTCTTCTCCATTTGAGCAAACCTTCGCTCTCTAGCTTCAGACTTGCCACAACAGGTTCTTCCCAAAACAGAAGTTGCCTTAAGTCAGCAGGATGTGGATCTCTCATCGCCAAAGGAAGGCCACCGTTACGCACTGCGTACTCGCTACCTCGATTCAAAGGTCTCTCCCCCGGAGAGTCTGCGGCCTCGCTTGTGGTCCATCCACCCCGAGGTCTTGTGGCCCATATCTGCTTTAGCTAAGGCGTTCACCCATTTCTCGAGAGAGCTAGTCGTCCCGCACCGAGAGGCCAGAAGCGTCTGAACTACCTAGGTACCTAGGTATGTACAAGTTAGTCCTATGTGCTCCGCGCCGCTAAATGGATGATTCAGCCTGCATGCATTGCAAAGTCTCTTGATTTTCCGTCAGCGGAGACTTTTGTGAATCCCGATACATTTCATTGTTCCCTGCCGAGACCTTGGTAGAAGAGGGCATATTCCGAGGCAGAACGGGTGATATATGTGCCTGGCCATGGACCACGGACGGGGGCTGAGGGTCTCGGTCTCTTCTTCATGTAGGTAGCCCTACGACAGTGTCCGAGCTGGACATCACTCCAGGATGCTTGTCGCGGAATCCCAGCATCATCAGGACCAAGCCTCATGGGGGAAGACAAGGCAGAATCTCCTCCAACAGGGCAGCCTGTCTCGGTTCCGGCTGGGAACACTGGTTCAGAGGGAGAGTCGACGAAAGGCTCCTCCCACGCATCATCATCACTATGCGCCGACAACTGCCCAGCCACCACCGCGCATCCAGGATACTGGCCAACTGGTTCCTATCTCACAGCCAGATCCATTCCTGGATCGGACATTTTTAGGCCCCGTCAACGCTCAACAGCATGCTCTTCTACAAGAAGAAGATGAAGAAGTGCAAGCAGCGGCAGAGACGGTATATATCCCTTCAAAACTCTTGCGCACTGTGCTGGACACGTACAGGCGAGAAATGTTTGCCTCGTTTCCACGAATCGTCCGTGGTCCCGAGCTGGAGGTTCTTGATGAGTGTAAGCCAAGCCCATAGATGTTTTCGTTCTGCTTTGCGCTTTGCGCTTCGTCATTTGAATGGTCTGATATAAAGAGAGACAGACATCAACCTCATCGTCCGAGATGAACTGCCCTTCAAGGTGATACCGGGGATCCGTGCGGTGTCCGTGTCGTTTTTCTTTCCCATATCCTTCCAGCACCAGGGTCTGTTCGAATGTACCATGGCAACAGCGCGCGGCATGTTCGAAAGCCGCCGGACACCACCGCCCTTCAAACCCAGCACGGCCGTGTTCGGGCAACGTGCACGAGCGATACGCTCCGTCCGTGATCTGCTATCTCAGCCCGCGTCGTTGCAGGATGATCGTGCACTGATCGGGGTGATGCAATTGATGGGGACGCATGTAAGTCCAAAAAGGCTTGTCCCCCGAGGAGAAGAGACATCTGACGCGGCAAAAGATCATCACCGGCGATATCGTGTCGTTTCAATCGCATCATAAGGCTGTCAAACAGATGATCGAGCTGCGTGGCGGCCTGGGAGATACGGATGCGCATCGGGCGCTTCGAGGCTTTCTTGGAATGTGAGATACCTATCGTCCTAATCCTGTCCCCGAAGGTCTTTTCCCCTGGAAATCTCATCCTGACATGACCTCTCTCAAGGAACGAAATGTTTGCCCTGATGTTGAAATACATGACCAGCACCATGCCTGCCGCTGCCAGGCCCTCACAGAGCACATCGCAAGCACCCTCAAGCACCACGACACAACCTCCTCCCAATGTTGGCCAGACATCATCCACCCTACAACGTCCGGGTACTACTACTCAGCAACCACCTTCGCCACCACCAGCGATACCCCAATTGAAGCTGGACTACCCCGTCCCTCCCTTTTCAGAGCATCTCAACCGCATGATCTCCCGGCTGCCCCCGGGTCTCGCGGCGCTATCTCTCACGGGCACCATTTCGACACAGATGATCGCGCTCCTCGCCCAAACCGCGCCCTGGGCCGCCCTCACAGCCGGTACCCCCAACCCGTCAGCCACGGTCTCTCAGAGCGACATCTACCGCCTGTACTGCGAGCCCATGGAGACGGCCAGAGCCGCCCTTTCTATTCTCCTCGCCCTGCCGCGCATCTCTGACGAACCCAAACTCGAACACGCACTGTGTATCGGCCTGTGCCTCTCGATCCGCGGCGCGAGGAACACGGCGCGCCCGCCCGCATTGCATATCAGGTTGCTTGCGGATTTTGGCGCCGTGGTGCGGTCGCTGATGACTTCGACCAGTAGCAGCAACGGCAGCAACAGCAAACCCCGACCGCTATCGCAGCCCGAGCAAGACGCCGTCGTATGGATCTCCTTCCTCGCCGCCTATGGCAGCGGCCACCCGGCCTTCCAGCGCCAGGTCGACGATCTGCTGGATCTGGTCCTGCGGAGTTACTCGTACGGCGGCCCCGCGCCGATGCGGGATTGGGGGTACTTGGAATCCTTGCTGAGAGGTTTCTTCTGGTTCGAGCCCCTGGGAGACGATTGGCGGGAGTTGTGGCATCGTGTCTGCGTCACGAGGATGCCGCCGGTGCCGCGTTCTGGGATTCAGTAGTGCAGTATGAGGTAAATACCTACCTAGGGTACTGGGGATGCGCGGGCTTGTCTTCGTGAGGCTCTTGCTACGAGTATAAATGGACGGAGAAGGAGGTGGAAGAAGAGCAGGTGCTGTCTAAGTAAGGTATGTGTTATGCCGTGGCTATGACCTGGTGTTAATATACCTGTCTATGTCCGACCAGGTATGGATCATGTTACATACCCAGTACATGCTATGGCTGCGAAAAGTAATATAGCTCTCTTCACGACCTCGTGACTTTGTTGCTCTCAAATGATCGAGACTGGTAACTCAAACTGAGTCAACTCAATGAAACGCCCTCTTGATGGCCCGGTCCAGATTACTCCTCTGGCTCGCCGCCACATTGTGCCTCTCCATCTGCAGACACTGCCATCTCAACCCACTCCACGCGAGGACTAGGTTAAAGACGCGATCCCGATCCACGGGGTGCAGGAGGACCGTCAACTCTGCATCTCCAAGAAAGAAGAACTGCAGCGCCTCGGCGGACTGCGAGTGCAGGTGCTGGAGGTTCTTCAGGGTCGAGGAACTGGAATTGACGTCGACGCCGTCGAGCTTGCGCATCTCCGTGAGGGAACGGAACGGCCAGGTTTGGTCCTTTTGTCCGCTCTTGTAGAAGAGCGTGAGGCTTGTCCTGCTGACGACAAGGCGAGCGCGGCCTTCATTCTTGTCGTAGACTCGGAATGTATAACCATCCTGTGTCGCTCCTCCCGGGGGAGACTCGCTCTGATCGTCATCGTCATCTTCCGCTCGATGGTCGTCATCACTCCTCAATTCAAACTCGCGCAAATCTGCCTCTTCCTTTGCAGCCACCTTTTCTTGCAATCTCAGAATTGCCAGTTCTGCATGCGTGGGGATGTTCCAGAACACCCATCTGAATTGTGACAATAACAACCTGTACTTGGGGAAGTTGGTGGCGATTGGGTAGGTGAGAAAAAATCCACCACCAAATACGAACCATACCAGCTTGACGCAGAAGGCCATGTCGGCACATAACGTGATGAGAAGACAGCAGGCGAAAAAGAAGAGACTCGCCAGAGTCAGATTCGGCCGTTCCCACCGGTGGAAGTTCAGCATGATTTCGAGGAAATTCGCCAGGTCCCCGAGCTGTAGCTGGATGATTGGGCCGATCTCGTCCAGAAACGGTTCCAGCCAGTCATGCTGCCCGTGTCTCTGGATGAGCTCACCCCAAGCTTGCACGCGCGCTTCTCGGTCAAGGGCTCTGCTCACGCTCTCTCGCACTGTCCGCACGGAGTGTTCCCGAAACCTGTTTCGCAAGGTGGAGTAGATGATGTAAAAGTACAAGAAGCCCACAATATGTTGGGTGTACCACAGGACGCAATATAGAGCCAGCCATTTCGCCGTCCGACGGGGTAATTGCCACATGTAGACGTGTCGGACGTTGACAAGAAAGGACTGCCAGGGCGCCGACGTGATGGCAATCCGTTCGATGATGCGCGCGAGGTCTTCAAGATCAAACGGTGGGGAATCAAAGTCGTCAATGTATCCGGTCGTAAAGTCCCGGGTGTAGTAGAGGGCCATGTAGCCAAGATATCTCTCCCACTCGAATCTTTCACCATTCCTGAACTGGGAGCGGTCGGGACGAGATATTGGACGAACGGCTTTCACACGGGAAACATGACGCCCTAGAATCCAGGCTGTTTGCAAGCTTTCCCTTTGCTGTTCGATCTTGCGCACGCGGTTGTGGGCTTCGTCCAGCTCAGACGCGACGGCACTGGTGTCTGCTTCCGAGTAATCGCTCGAGACTGCCTGAGCAAGTGCATCGTGGGCATCGAGTAATTCTTTGTTGTGGTCGACAGTCAATGCCGGGTGACGCTTTCCAAGTTTCCCGGCCGCAACGTGAGCAGCCTTGCTGCGCATTACCCGGCGCGGGTGGGTGGCCAGGTACTTGACGCTTTTGAGATCATCGCGGACTGCTTCGCCTGTCGATCTGGTTTTCTTTGGCGAGGAGTTATGAAGGACTTTCGCCGGATCGAAGGCTGCATCAGAAAAGATGTCCCCTTCATCATCAGAAGATGTATCGGGCTGTGAAGGAGAAAGCAATCGCTTTGTTTTTGCTTTGGCCTTGTCTTTCACGTGAATGGCACTGTCAACAAGGTGTCCAATATGGTGCTCGGTTTCAGCTACACTGCTTTGGGGACTTAAGGACATATTGTAGAGAAGCTGCTCTCAGGCACTGGGTGATTAGAATACGCCAGAGCCGAGGGCTTCTTTTGAGAGCTCCATGTCAAGGTGAGCCCAGCCTGAGGGTGAGGAAGGAACAGGGACAACATCTGCTTTTCAGCCACAGGAGAGACAGGGGACAGGGAGGGAGTGGCTTGGGCAGTGGATGCCATGGCATAAGCCAATATCGGGACATCGTGGCACCACGAGCACGATACTCGGTATTCGTAACTGCACCTCACCTCAGCCCAGTTGATCTAGGCGGTTCTGTTCCAAGTTTTTGACTGTGCAGAGCGGGAGCGCCGACACATGTCGATTGGGTGGTGGAGAGGAAGAATGAGCGAGACCGAGGCGAGATCTCGAAAGTGGTGGCAGATCGAGACCCGCTTGTATCCGCCACCACCAGCCACTGACGATGGTCGAGGAGAAGAGAAGCTGAGATGATGGAATGTGGAAGCGAGCGAAGCAGAAGCGGATTGATCGTTGATCGCAGATCGCAGTCGCAGTCGCAGTCGCAGTCGCAGTTCGGAAGGTGAGCTGCAGGCTAAACGCTGCGCCGTAGATACTCCGTCTATCTACGGGGACGCATTAGAGCTGCAACTGCAAGACGCCAGCACCGACCATCAAGCAGACACGCAGACAAGCAGACTCCTCAACCTCCATCATCTCCACGATCTTCGACGTCCTTGTTGCAGGAAGATCAATCACCTCACTAGCTACATCACGGTTGATACACTGCAGTCTCGGTGGAAACTCTTACTTTCACTTCGAGGAGGCCGTCCTCGTCAACGACAACGACCCTCGCTTCACCCAGGTAGGTCACCAGCCCAACAAATGAATCCAAACAGGTGAATATGATGGCAGGATTCTGCCTGACCCCTCGAGTAAACAAACAGTCGCGTCTTGATATTGTTCTCTTTCTTATTCATTCTTATTCACTGCCTGTTCACTCCAGCCCTAAGTCACAATCACTTGGACTGAAAGTTTTGCCAATGATCATTGTTTTGGATTTCTCTGCTTCCCTGTCATCCTTGCTATTTAGCATTCTCTGTCACTCGTCAGTATGGACGACAAACCTCCTCCAAAGAAGAAGTCGCGCTTCTTCAGTAACGGCAAAAGCAAAGTCGGCAACATCTTGCACCCATTCAAAAAGCAGTCCCAAGCAGCGCAAGAGATATCCCCGGACAACAGCACTGATGATAGTCCTCAGTCCGCCACCAATAACCCCCTGTTACTACCCAACATCCATACTCCTGTCGGTTTGCAAACGACGAATCCAACTCTCACCCAGGCCGGTGTTGCGAACTCCGGCTTTGGTCTTTCAAGGTCAATTCACCAAACCTCAAAGCCCCCTTCGCATGGGTCTGCAGCCAGGACAGACCCCGCAGCCAATGTTCAACATCAAGGTGATAGACAAGGCAAGCTACCACAGCCAGATGCTACAGAGAGTGAAGTTGAAACAGACTTGGAAACAAGTTCTGGCTCTGAAGATGATCAGCAAGAACAAGATGAGAGCGACCAAGAGAATGTCAAACCAAACACCAATCCGCAGTCCAACCAGGCTGTATCTGGGTTGGATCAAATGAGCTCAAAACACAAGCGAAGAAATGCCATCTACGGTGTCGAGAATCTCCTTCCACCTGGTTCACCCAGATCGAATACCAATGGGCAACACGCTGCTCAGGGCTCAACGCCAATCTCTGCCCCTGCTCCCCCGGGCCCCCTGGGAAATAGCTACACTTTTGGCGGTGTCCCTACAAATCCCTATGTTATCCCAGCTGGGGGACAATACCCCTTCAACTTCCGCACCGCGCAGGTTGCACCCATGCCTTCGACCGTGGAACGAGCTACAAGCGATAGTCTACGGCACCCACTTGGCTCCGGCCTAGCACGAATCGCGCAACAAACCGTCCATCCAGATACTGGTCCTCTCCGCCAGCAACAACGACCAGTACCAACAAAGCCCTCAAATAATGGCACTCCTGCTTATGTGGACTTGGATCGCGATGAATATGGTCGTCGGCTCCGGAACTTCCCTTCGCGCATGGCACGTCCTATAGCCCATCACGGCATCTACGTGAGACCAACGATCCACCCGCACCTCGGTTTGAATCCAGAATCGCTCGTTCCAGAAAACTTCCACACGGCTCCCAACCGGATCGAACACGCCCAGGAATTCGCTCGGCTATCCCGTAAACGCAAACGACCTGAAGCAATCCTTCCCCCTCAGTCCTATGTCTACCAGCACACGGGTGACCCGAACTTCAACATCTTCCACGGCTTCCTGCTGTACCCGGAACTCTGCTTCACACTCGCGGCACACCTCCCGGTCAAGGATCTTGTCAGCTTATACGCGATCAGCAGGGACTTCCATACGATTCTGGACACGCGATTCACCACGGTAATCCTCTCGCAAGCGACAGCCAAAGCCCCAGAAAGCGCCCGTTGTTTCATGTTCCGCAGCTACGCACACCTCTGCCGGTCCGACCCCGCCGCACGCATTCCTCACCCAAACGCCCTTCTCGCGCTGCACAAGGTCCCTCGCCGAATCCCGTCCTTCCGATGGCTCAAGATGATTCTTCACCGCGAAAAGGTCATCCACGAGATCATGACCGTGTTCGCGGAAGACGGCATCCCTCTGCCCGCGAGGTGTGCGTTGGCGCTCAAGAGGCTGTGGTTCATGCTGGACATACCGGACAACGCCCGACGCATTGGGTACTGTCACAACAGGGGCATGATGACGGATCTAGACCTGTACTTTTCGGCGTGCTTCTTCATGAAGCTGGACATGAGGCTCAACGACCCGGTCTCCTGGGAGAAAAGAGACGGGATGAGAAAGCTGCTGTTGGCTCAGCGCAGTTTCTTCACAATCCTGCGGGTGCTGAAGCGCGACATCTGGACGACCAGGTTCGACGCGCTGCGTGAGTGGGTCAAGTGCAAGTACACGCCGGCGCCGGACGAGGTGGGGTTGAGCATTTTTGGGGTCCCACCGCATCGGATTGGTAAAGGCAGGCTGGAGTACTGGGGTTTGAAGGGTGCCCAGGCACTCGGTCGACAGCCTGAAGTTTTGCTGAGGCCGGATCAGTTGATCATCCGCGAAGCGTTCCGGCGTGGGATCCGCTTCGAAAAGCACTACCTCAGGTTCATGCTCTACGGGTATATTCGGCCGGACACGCTGGAGGACTACGCCCCGCGCACGTACGGACGCAGGATCGGCGAGATCAAGGACGATGAGTACGAGGTGGACGATGTGGTCGGCGGAGTTGCCGCTCTTGGGGTGGATGATGAAGGGTTCGATCCTCTGTTAGACCTTGGGCAACCACGACAGGTGAGTAGACTGACTATTGTCAAGGAGGAGACCTCGAAGCGGGAGATGGAGTTGCGCAAGGCTGAAGAGGAGCTGTTGAAGAAGTGTCATGAGTGGTGGGAGCATGAGCAGAAGCAATTACGAGAGAGTCAGAAGCAAAAGCACGGTGGTGGTGGACGTGGCTGAGCCGGTGAATGCTTCAGGTGATGTGGTCAAGGCTCCTGAAGACGACGGTGGTATCAAAATCACAGCTGAATGGAGAGGGTAGCCGATGGCTTGTGTGGTTGTATCTTGGGATTTCGAGCACAGGAATAACTACCTAGGTAACGTCAGTGCTGTGGCGTCATGTATCGAGCAATGCGGAATCATTGGATTCGCACTGGTGCGAGAGAGGAGAGGAGGGGGCCGGCCGTGAGTGAGCTGGCAGATAGATGGACTGACCGAAATCTCCTCTCTCACTCCTCACTGACTGATTGAATCAACAAATCAATCAATGAACCAAGCTTAAGAAAAACCCTTCACGATAGACCACAATCTGATCTTGTCTGAAAAAAGACCCCCTCCAGATGGCTCAGGATGACCAAAGCCACACGCTGCAGACAGACGTGTGCCGATGCCCATGCGGTCATGCCGATGTGAATGTCAACTCGAAGCCCTGATACGAGGTAGACTTTGAGATAGAGGATAGTGTAGGCACACGCTTTGTGTCTCTGTTTAGTATGCATCAAGTACCTTGATAAGTTGTAATGCGATGGTGTCCTTTTTTGATGTAGTATAATAGTATAGTATAGTACCGGTACAGTCTAGGATATTCATAACATGTACACACACACACACAGAGAGAGAGAGTGTCTAATCAATCTTTCTTTTCCTCCAAGAATCCCAGCTCAAGTTGCCAAAAAGGCCAGAACAAAACCAAAAGGGTGCTTCGACTTTTTGCAGCCCCCGCCGCACAAGCTGGAGCTTGGACTGTCCTGATCTTTTGGAATTCGATATGTCCTGTTTGCTGCGCTGGACATTCTCGACATGTATCCTCCGTTACGTGGTGGCGCTGTGGGGTGGTGTAGCTGGCTTGGCCGAAGGGGGGAGAGTTGTCCGTTCCACACGAATATAGTATCTCTGCTAGGCTCAACATGAGGGATCTGGGTTCAGAGGTAATCAACGGTGCTACCCTCGCGGGGTCTCTCTTCATGTGGTCCTGGAGAGCAACCAACCATTGCCCTTGGTCAGGACTCGAACCTGTCCGTGAAGAAGTTGTCGTGGGTACATCGTACAGCTGTCGAGTCCAGTCTTCCCCATTTACCGTATTTCGAGTTCCTCAGGAAACATCCGTCGTCGGCAAATGCACAGAGTTCCCCATACTGTACTCGGTACGAGGACACTTTCCTATCGGGATCTGCAATGCGTTGTTGTCAATTGACAGAGCAGGTTCCGATCTAGGAAGTCATGCCCCTAGCTCGGTGGATATTTCATGTCGAGTCAGCATTTAGACCGTGGAAAAGCTTGCAAGGGCTAAAGGGAAGGGGGCTCCGCTCCGCTCCGCTCTTTGATAAAGCCACTTTGGCGTTCTCCACTCCTGATGGGATCCATGTTCTTCGCCGGTTCAATGACCGGAGCACAATGTTCATGTTGCGCTCCAACAATTTCAGATCTTGATCGGCTTGTGCGTTTCTGAAAATCTTTTTTCGGGGAGCTTTCTATTTCCCCCAGCGAGAAAATTTGCTCACAGTGGGCTGGGACAGGTCTGCTAAGGCTGCGATTCGGGAATGGATTTGATGTCCAGTTTTGCATCCGATCCCACAAGGGTCTTGGTCTCGGATGATACCACGGTCTTGATGTCGTCTTTTTGCTGTTGCTGCGAGGGACTCGACCCTTCCATTTCTGAATGTGTGTAATCGCCGGGCAGTTCTTGTGGATCTGGCCAGTTCGCATCCCCAGGAGCTTCCACGGGCACCATCATTGCCGATGGCATCTCCACTGGTACCTTCTTTTCGTTGGGAGGCATTTCGGCCGAGTACGAGTAAGGGGGCACAGCCGGCGTAGAGTCGGCTTCCAGGATTCTCTGCTCCGACTCCATCATGTCTCGTCGTTTGGCGCGGTTGTTCCGGACCACCAGGAAGACCATCAGGGCGACGAGAAGTAAACCCCCCACGGCTGCGGCAATGGCGATGCCGGCTTTGGCGCCCCCGGAAAGACCTGTGTCAGCTGAGCTGGAGGATGAGGATGCTGTCGACCCTGTAGTAGGGTTTGCAGCTCCAGTGGGGACCACCGAAGGCACGGCAGTTGTGGCGACCGACAAGCTCTGGCAGTCGACGGAGAATTGACTGACGTTGGTTGCCGTCATGCAGTTAGAGAAGGGAGCAAGGAACAATGTTGATGAACTGCAGTACGGGACATCGCTGCCGTATACCGTGACTATATTGCCAAATAGATCAGCTTAACTCCCAAGACACTCCGCGGTTCACTGCGCTCACCTGCACATGTCTGATCCAAACTGGTGACCATGAAACTAAGGAAGCCCTGCGAGTTCGTCGGGAAAGGTGTACAAGTGCCATCGTCCGGACCCGTCTTCCAACTCAAGAATTTCGAGCACTGGCTGTCTGAATAGAAGGTGACATTGGACAAGGCTATCACATGGTGGAAAAAGAGGACAGACCACGCAGCAGCCGTGGTGGCCAGGCCGAGAAACTTCATTGCTGCAAAGGAAATTTCAAAGGTACAGGCATGAATTGCAAGCAGTCATGAAAGAAAAAATGAGTGTGTTGCTCGCACGCAGTATCAAAAGAGGGAAAAAGAGAGACGGACCTACTATGGCGTGGAAGGACGATCAAAAGGACTTTTGTGGACAGTGACGATGCCCGAAAACAGAGAGGCCTCGGGCAACGGCTGGGAAGGATTCGGTCTCGCCACGGAGGCCGTGAAACGTCAGATAGCGCAAGGACCAATGTGGCCATAAGCAGAGGAAGCGAAATGGACTGAGTAACTACAGCGGGCAGTCGCTTGCTGTCGAGGGAGCGAGGCAGGGAGATTTGGCTAGTGCTAAAGGCTGATCCTGCGACGCCGGCAGACGTCGTTCTTTGGTGACGGCATCTGAAGTGACCTCGATGGATTCGACTATTGGTCAACAGGATCATTCCAGATACACAGCGAGGACAGACAGCTGGAGGGGGCTGAAAGAGCCCAGGGCCATAGAACAACGAGGCCAAGAGGGTCGAGGTGGACGGGACCAAGTGGTTTGATGGCGCGAAGGATGAATTGACATAGATTGCCCTGGAGGGATTTTCAGGGACAAAGAAGACAAATCTCGTTAACTGTCGCACAAGCCCTTGCAGGAATCAGGGGGCTGACGAGCTAGTCAGCCCTACAGAGCACAGTGACCCAGATAGCAAGCAGAGCAGATCTTAGGCCGTTCGAGTAGAGACAGTTTTGCTGTCAAGTAATGCAAAGTTCGGGAACGAGGCGCGGAACATCGTCCGCATCACCAGCCTCAGGGCCAAATGTCGTCCTCATTGAAAGCATTCCTACGCACCACGCGCCATACCTTTGTATGCGTGTGTTCTGGATTCCGCATGGCCAGCTCGTGCGGTTGGTATCAGAAATGTGTTTGGCCGACGTAGGGGTACTTCATAGTCTTGCTGTAAATGCCTCCTGCCTGTTCCCACGAAAGCTAGGCTTCAAAACGCCAGTTGATTCAAATGCCCGGGTATCACAAGGTGTGTGGCCTTTCCTTTTCCTTCCCCAAACCTCCATGACCTCTCCAACGCCTGGCTGTCTACATCCAAATGCTTCAAGATGCCCTCCTGCCCATAGGAACCCCCAATTGTATTCATAATCCCACAAGGTACCCCTCAAGCACCGCCCTTGCGAACCGTGTGTCTCCCGAATCCGCGATCCTTCCTCCGATCACTTCTCCCAGCTTGTCAACCAGCCGAGCCCGTAGGTCGGCAGCAGATTCGGCCGAGTGTCCATTCATCATGGGGATATCATCGTCCACCAACGTCCCGAGAGCGTTCAGGATCGCACTGACGACCTTTTCTGCCTCAGCCTTCTTCACGCTTGACTCTTGGATGTCCTCCTCCAATAGCTCCCCATACGCTTTGACATTGGGCAGTATCAGCTGCCGGACCACCTCGGGCCCGCCAATGGCTTTTAACCCAAGAATGGCACCATAGTGGCTGCCGTATGGCTTCTTCGGATCCAGGAACGTCTTCAGACAGGATCGTGCGAGTCGAGGCTTGAGGTTGTGTGAGTATTTGGAGTATTTGTTGCAGAGATGACCTAGAAGGGACCCAGCAAGATCGCGGAGGTCGTAATGATCGAGGGCTCCGATGCCGGTGCCCAAGGTGCGTCCGATCAAGCAGGTCAGTACGGGAGGGACCATCGAGGCAACCTGTCACCCAGTTAGCCACAGCGAACGCAATCTGCTTTCTAATTCTGAGGCACACACATAGGGAGTCAGATTGAGTTTGTCGTTCCGAGTCAAGGCATCCGTGACCATCATCATCTGCGTGAGCACGAATAGGTCCTTCAGGTTGTGCGTGACCTTTTCCGCCACGAATTGCACAAAATAAGGCACAAGCTGATGTAGACCGGGATCTTCTTTCAAACTGGCCAATCCTGCCGCTCGATACTCTGGTTGCGTCTCGTCCAGCACCGACGTGCACACCTTCTCAAAGTATAGTTGTAGTTCATTCGATAGGATATGTTTGACCTGTGGTTTCGTCGTGGTGTTGTCGGCGCCACTCATTGCAGCCAGGGCCGGGTTCGCGTTAGGTCCTTTGGGGACCAATTCGAGATTCCTTGCTTCGGTCGAGGTTGGATTTTGAGGTATTGAAGGTTGAACGCCCTCCACAGCCAGCCAGTGAGCTACAACACACCCAAGTTAGCCAACGCCCGCACGAGCTTTCCAACGTTGAGACTCCTCCGTACCTGTAAATGTGACTTCTCTCGGTACCCTGGGGAGAGGAGCGTTGATGAGCTTTTCAAAATCCATCTCTTCATCCTCGACGTAGAACAGCGGCTGCCCTGGTCCCAGTGACGCCTCCCCGTATTTCAACGGTCGCGTTGACTCGTAGCCATAAAGAGGTTCGATATCCAACACGCGCAGTGCTTGTGAGATGTCTTGCGACCAAAGGATCGTCCGGCGGGCATGTTTCATGAATTTGAGGGCCTCTTGTAGGACTTGGGAAATGCGGTATTCGACGTCGCGGCAGAGCGCTTGGTTGACTTCTTTGTTGAGATTCAGGATGCCCACCGACTCGGCGACATCCCTGACCGTGTCTTGTCCCCAGAGAGTCATTGCGCGGCTCTTGGGCTGGTCTGCGTTCGAAATGGCAGGGGTTGAGCAGGGAATGTAGGAGAGGAATAACGAAAACTAGAGAGAATGAAGAGATGCCTTTTATTGATCAGGGGGGCATCACGGGCCTTGAAGAGTTCGACAAGGAAAGGCGATAGCATGAAGAGGACTACTCCAAACTGCAAGCATGCAAGGAACTTGTCGTTGGTATCCCTGCGCCCTGCAAGGTCTCCTCAGTCGCAGTGGGGGTTGCAGTTCGTACGGAGAATTATTATTACCTGCTAGCAGATGGTCCTAGCGTTGACGACAGCAGCAAGCCAGAGGTACAGCATACATCTCGTGTTCATTACACATTTACATGCGCAGTAACTCCTCCTCTACCAACATCCTAGACAAGACGACTCGGCCTTGTTAGTAGCCTCTTTCCCAAGGTTCAGTAGATGAAACCTCCCTCCCTCTCACGCACCATCCGCGACTCGCCATACCAATCTCGCGCCACTCACCTTCTTCTCCCGGAGCATTCTCAACGCTTTCTCAGCTCTCTGCAGCATTGTTTCCCCTTCAACAATCACTTGCTCGTTCGCCTCAATAATACCCCTGGCAAGACATTCGGGCATGATCTCGCTTTGCAAATGTTCCGCGAGGAATTCGTTATCCAAGTAAAAGTGCGTTCGGACGCCTACTGCGTCGACGCCCTCCGGCCACTGGGCCGCCTTGTTGACGTCCATTTCGTAAGTAGGTCGCACTCCCTCAGCGGCGTCTTTGACGATGATTGGGAGGAGAATCGCCACTTTTGTCCTAAATTTGGGCCTGACTATCCGCGATATAGGCACCACGCTGCCGTTGAGGCTGCCGATACAGTCGAGGACGAAATCGATCCCTCGGGACCCGGCCTGGGCATCCGTAAAGTCCACAATCTCCTGTTCGACTGCTGGATCTCGGTAGTCGAAGCACTTAGCCGCGCCGTAATCACGTAATTTCTCATGATGTTGCTTGCTAGCCGTGGTGATGATATTGGTGTATCCATACCACTTCAGGACTTGCAACGCGTACTGTCCCACACTGGAACTTCCGCCCCAAATCAATATCCACGAATTCTTCTCCTTTGGTATATATCCCTCCGACTTCGGCCAGGGCAACTCGAAGCCGAAATCTTTTGTGAAAGTGTGCCATGCAGTCACAAAGTTGTTGGGGACCGTCACCGCCTGTTGCATCGTGACGTTGGGAGGAATCTTGCCGAACAAGAATTCCGGCGCAACGGCGTATTCCTGGTGTGCTTTCTCCGCTGGAGTACGCCAGGTGAAGCCAAATACTTTGTCCCCAACCTTAAATTTGCTTACGTCCGGTCCAGTCTCAACAACGGTGCCAGCAATGCCATCGCCTAATATGTGTGGATGCTTGACCAGAAGACCTCCGTCGGCTTGGTGCAAGTCGAGGGGAGTCGAAGCGGTCCATTCACACCGAACCCGAATTTCGTTGGCAGTTGGTGCAACAGTAGGAACTTGATGTACTTCCAACGGGAGACCTGGACCAACAGTCACCACAGCAGGATGCGTGCTCATTGTGTAGGTCGGCAGATGGTACGTTAATGTCGTCTCTGAGTCCTTTCGCGGTGGTGTTGTGATAGATCTGGGCGTCTGGTGTAGCTATGGACATAGATGCCGGGTGCACCATGGCTTTATATAGACGACGGTCGAGTCTTGTCTGGGCCAACACGTCCTGAAGGACGCCTCGACATGTGCTCTTACCAAAGCTTTGTCTGCTCAGAGAGCTCCTTGCGTAGATCGTACTCCAATCATTTGACTCAGTCGTACGTTTGCATCATGCCCATTACTAAGGAGCGGAGAAATACGGTGGATCATACGACCCAAAATTTCGTCCGTTGCCTGGTCTGGTGGTTTGAGTATCGAACACGAATGCGAGGACATGCTATCTGGGCCCTTGCTGCGATTCTGCTGTGCCGCTGAGTGAAACGACGTGCCTGTTGGAACATTCTGGAGTTGGGGTCCCAGTGGGGATCTATTGCTGTACCAGGGAAGGTTTGGAGCTCCCTATTGTACCCGACTTGGCTCGTGGTTGTTCGATTGCATTGGGAATGACTCAAGAAGTATAGCTTTCGACCAATTTCTAGACTCGACAAGAGCTTCGATGCCCTCGCAGTCTAGTTGTAAATGTTTCCCTTGGGATCAAAGCGCGGGATATCCGAGGCCATCCTCATGTGCGTATCGCCGATTTGATGGAGTTTTCGCAGTACCCAATCCCTCTCTTGTCCGGGTTCGAAGACCATCAAGCAGAGTCTGAGAGCGAAGATGATGAAGAACGGTCCCAGGAATGACGATGTCAGCATGAAAGGCGCAGTCCGACACATATCCCGTGCAATTTCTCGATTTTCCATAATATATAGCTCGTGCTTCTCGGGCGCGACATCCTTCTCGATGCCCTTCAAAATGAGGTTAAGCATGACCATAATTGTCCAATAGCCCACGTGTGTAGATGCAACAAACACGTTGACAAACACATATTGCTTTGGGAAGACGGGGTCCATGGTTTCCATGGTCGAAGTCTGGAGCCCTTGTCTCTTAAGTGCAGCTCGAAATCTGAGATTGATGGATTTGAGATTGGCTCTATGCAATCGTGTCCTCGCGAGAAGGGCCTCTTCATGAGCGGCATATAGGTCAGGCGGCAACTCTCGTCGAGCCTCTTCCAGATGCTTGGCATCTCGCAAGGTCGTCGGGATAAAGATGTGCTCCAGGTAGAACTCTTCGGCCAAGTCGAAAATATCCATTCGTTCGCCGGGAACGCCGGAATTTCGGAGATCTTCGTGGATCTTTTTGGACATTTCTACCCACTGAGGCTCGGCCAGAAAGCAGGCTTCGTCTCTCATAAAGGCTTCAATGACGATGGTGTGGCGGTAAGCAAGGTAGACATCTCGATCTAGACCTGATAGATGACGAGTTGGCCCACGAATGCGCATCAACATCCCCGCACCACCAGCATGGCGCACCCAGGACTGATTGGAGTCGGAGGCAAACATCTCGTAGAACGATAGCAGAATTGTGGCCGACAGCGTCTCCGTCGACATGCCCTTAGTGTCATCCATCAGCGACTGATTGAGAAGACGCAGCGCCTTGCCATAGTGTTGTCTTGATTCTTGCACAAACAAATCCGTCCGCTGCGATTGACCCAAATGGACCAAAGAGACTGCGCGCACCGCCGTGTCGAGAAGTTTCGAACCAAATAGGCCAGGCAGTTGTACCAGCCAATTCTGGTGGTTCCGCATCTGCCGAGGAAGCAACAGTGAACCATGGCCGCCTATTGATGAAGAAAAGGTGTTGAGAAGTTGTTCTTGAACTAGACTGGGGGAGTAGATGGAGTCATTAAGTGTCATCTCGATCGGGACGTCCAGGTCCATCGAGTTGTCACCTAGAAGCCCACCCCATCCGGGCGTTGACGCTGGCGCAACCAGATCGGCATCAGGATATATCTGGTTTTCGAGCATGATCCAGAATGGATTCCGAGCCGGTAAGGCTTGGTGGGGTCGATAGTGGCGCACTTCAAGGTCAGGTGTATTGGAACGGCTGATCAGGTCAATTGATTCTTCAGGTGATGACTCTGTTGATTGACTGTTATTGCTGGTAGAGGGCGACGCGCTGTCGACCTCGGTCCTGGACTCGGCATCTTCGATTTGGCCAAATCGCTTTCGGAGTTTGTAGCCTTCATCGAAAATCCTCAGATCGGAATCGTAGCCTGGGCATGGACGGTTGCCTCTGGCACAATTATTGCAGGTTGGGCGCGTCAAATCACACCGAACTCGACGCTTGACGCATATGCGACAGCCTTTGCTTCTTGGAATGCCGACCATGCCTAATGTGATGGAGCGGGCATGAGGAGGACGAAGTTGGCGGGGAAGAGAGGTTGTGGCCTCCTGTACCGAGTAGTAATGGTGGCGAAAGAGATACCTAGGTATCTAGAAGAGAATCAGATTTTTGACGAGGTCGTGTCAATGCGAGCGACATTCTTCATTATCGCAGAAATCGCACAGGTGTACGAGGGTATGAAGCGGGAGAAAATAAGGAATGTTGATGCCTGATCAGATGGTGAAACTACCCACATAATAAGAGGTACGAAGTAGCTACATGGAGTGGATGCCGGCAGCGACAACATGGGCCCAGGGAAACGGCTCAATGGCCAGGGGATCAGCAGGAGGAGCAATCAGGTATGACGACAAGCCTAGTACCAAGTGTGGCAGGGCCGCCGGAAGTCACATCGTTGGGAGGAAACAGGGGCAAAGCCGCCCGCAAGCCCTGAGAGTCCAGCCAGCTGAGGGGAGCCTGGGAAGGCCCAAAGCCAGTAAGATGGGGTGTCGGAGAAGGGTTTCCAGGCGCACACTATGGCGCAGCTTTAACAGCAAGTGCACGCGTTGGGTTGCTCGTACAGAGTAGATCCTCAGTGCCCCTCCCACTGTGGCCCTGCACGGACAATCCTGCTTGCGCAGCCACAACCTCCACCGTCCTAGGAACATGTCCGAGATCCGCCATAACGCTGCGAGAAACCAATTGAATAATATTTCGAGTCCTTTGCTTTTGCTATCCGATTCGCCTCTCGAGGTGCTGGTTCCCTGTGAAATGACCCAGCTAAGGCCACCCATAGCGCTTTCGTGCCCACTTTCGAGCCCCCAATGCCCTATCATACCTATTACGCAAAGAATCTGTGCCAGCATCAAATCACGCCCAAGGAAAATGATGGTATGATACACCAGAAATGCTTCAAGTTTGGTACAAACCACCTTTTCCTCCGTCAATTTCTGACCCCAGGCCTGAGAAGGCCCAAGCTAGACTCCTCATCACCTGACTAGGTATAGTTGGTATCGGTCAGCCTTCCAGCTCATTCATTGGGACGTCTTCATCATCAGGACCAACGATAGCCTCGGCAGCCTTCCAAACCTGGATCAAGTTGTCATCCGCTGCACTGCAGACCACCCAGGGAATGTTTTTGTTCCAGGAGAAGTCGCTGATGCGATTGGTATGTCCTCCGTGCATGAACAGCAGCTCTGGAGGTCCATCTTCGCTGTCTTCGGGGGTCTGCTCCTCGCCGACTTTGGACAGATCCCAAAACATGATCCTTCGATCATAACTGCTTGATGCGAGAACCGACTCTTCAAATGGATGCCACTCTAACGTCGTCACGCTGTCATTGTGCCCTTCGAGGACGTGCAACTTGTCCTTGAGATTCCGCAGGTCCCAGATTGCAATGGTCTTGTCAGCGCTTCCAGTCGCCACCACAGTTTCCACTGAGAGGTTGAACGCAATAGCATTGATTGCATCCCGGTGCTGGCTCTCGCTCTTGGCGGCCGATCGCGTAGTGTCACCCTGTCTCAGATCCAGTATCTGCATGGTGAGATCGTCCGACACTGTTCCTAGCAGATTGGGGATAATGGGATGGAACTGTACGTCGTTCACGATGCCCCAATGGTGGGTGTATTTGCGAGACTCGCCGAGCAACTTGTTGGTCTTCGATGCCTGCGTAATGTCCCAAAGTCGGACTGTAAAGTCTTCACTCGCTGTGGCCAACTGACCCGACTGGTGAGGATCCCAGCTTAGACCGTAGCCCTCCTTGGTGTGCCCACTAAGCTCTATTGTGGGGTTAGGCCTTCCTGAAGGCAAGCCGGGTAGTTTTGATCTGTCCCAGATCATGACTCGCCCGTCGGTGCACATGGTTGCGATAACATTCGGGTTCTGTGGCTGGTATCGTGCCTTGTTGACCTCGCCGGGATGGTCAATTTTCTGGACAATGTTGAACTTGACTTCAATTTGACTTTTGCCCGATGAGCCCCCTCCATATCCACCAATTTCTCCTGTCTCTTCATTGTAGTCTTTCACATCTGGTTTCTTGCGATTGGGTAACTGGACGCTGGCCACTTCTAGGTAGTTCGGTTGACCTTCAGCCGTATGTGTGCCGATCAACAGACGGTGTTTTGAGTAGTTGGTGTCGGGTACCCTGAGCGCTTTAGTCGCTATACGAGATCGAAACAGTAGGACACGTCACTTACGCTGTCACATCTGGGAACCACTGAGTTGTAAGAGTAGGCCAATCTAGGGCCGTGCTGAGGATCATATCATAGAGGAAAGGAGCGTTCTTCTTCCACGTCTTGTATTCTTCATTGATGATTTTCTGTTCAGTCTCGGCGTCTTCGTTGTTGACCTCTTGGTCGCTCACTTGAACATTTGACGGTGGTTAGCAAACGGACCTGCGCTCTGAACAAGGCCGCCTTACTGTTATCGTCGTCCTCGGCCATTTTATCTGTTTTAGATCAGGCGTAGGAGACTCGGAGATGGTGATGATGATGGTGTCGATGTAAGAAGAATGGGCAGACGACTGGGATTGCTGATAAGTTTAGGATTGCTTTTCTGTGCTCTTTCAAGCTCGTGATGAAAAGACGCGCCCTCTCCAGACTCAGAACCGCACTTGAACCGACGCGTAAAGTGACCCGGCCCACATAAGGCTAGCGCGCCAAGACCCCCGGAAATGGCTGGTCCCATTTCGTGGCCGCCAAATCCTCGACATCAAGCCTCGACTCATCATCGATCCCCCAAGAACATCGCCTATCCTCATCTCTGTAGGACATCCTCGTTCTCTCCTGCACATCTACGACCAGCGCTCTCGCATGTAAAATCCAGGGAGTGGCGGCCTGGTATAATCTCTCTTCACCGATATCAACAACCCTCGTTTGGTTCTGCACCCACCGCCACCATGGGTGTTCCCAAATTCTTTCGATGGCTCAGCGAGCGATACCCTGCAATATCACAGCTGATTGCCGAGAACCGCATCCCGGAATTTGACTGTCTTTACCTCGACATGAATGGCATCATTCACAATTGTACCCACAAGGACTCTGACTCCCCATCTTTCCGGATGACCGAGGACAAAATGTTTATTGCCATCTTCAACTACATAGAGCATCTTTTTGGCAAAATTAAACCCAAAAAGCTGTTCTTCATGGCTGTTGATGGAGTGGCGCCCCGCGCCAAGATGAACCAGCAGCGCTCACGCCGTTTTCGCACCGCTCTCGACGCAGAAAAGGCTCGTGAAAAAGCCATCAGAGAAGGCGTGGAGTTGCCCAAAGAAGATCCCTTTGACAGCAATTGTATTACTCCCGGCACGGAATTCATGGCAAGGCTTACCAAGCAACTCAAATATTTCATCAGTAAGAAGGTCTCTGAAGATGTCGACTGGCAAGGAGTCGAGGTCGTGCTATCTGGTCACGAAGTCCCTGGGGAAGGAGAACACAAGATCATGGAATACATCCGACAAGCCAAAGCGCAACCTGGCTATGACCCCAATGTGCGTCACTGTCTCTACGGACTGGATGCTGATTTGATCATGCTGGGTCTTCTCAGCCACGACCCTCACTTCTGTTTGCTTCGCGAGGAGGTCACTTTCGGGAGACAGTCGCAGAAGAAATCCAAGGAATTGGAGCATCAGAACTTCTACCTTATGCATCTTTGCATTGTCAGAGAATACCTGGAGCTGGAATTTCAAGATCTCAAGCACGAGGGCACGCTTGATTTTGATTATGATATGGAACGAATCATTGACGACTTCATCTTGATGGCCTTCTTTGTCGGAAACGATTTCTTACCCAACTTGCCCAATCTGCATATCAACGAGGGGGCGCTGGCGCTTATGTTTCAAAAATACAAAATGATACTCCCAAAATTGGGCGGTTACATCAACGAGTATGGTGTGATCAATATGAAGCGTCTCGAAGTCCTTTTGAATGAGTTGGCGGAGGTGGAGAATCGTTTCTTTGAGGCAGAATATGCTGGGGCCAAATGGATCGACGCGAAGCGGAACGGACAAAATGCAGACGAGCCACTGACGACTTCCCGTGGTCCTATCAGGGTCTCCCCTGAACAAAAGCAACTCTTCAAACAGGTGAAGAAGTACTTTGTGTCACCCGTCAACAAGGACCCTGCAACAAAGCAGCCATTGAATCTCCCTTCCACTCTTCCAGCACGGGATCGTAAATTTGTGCAGCAACTCGCGACCGACTTGAATCTGCAGTGGTCAACCAAAGAAGACGGCGACGGCAACCGCTTCATTCAGTTGGAATTCCCAGCCAAGGGGGAACAGGCCGAATCGGACGAGGAAGATGAAGAGTCGGAACTAGCCATAATGCGGGTCTTGAAGCGATATGAGAATGCAAAAGTCGAGGAGAGTACCGACGAACAAGCCCAACAAGACATGCAGAAAAAGTATGACCAAAAGTTCCAGGAATGGAAAGATCAATACTACAAGGATAAGTTTGGCTGGGGCCTTGAGAATGAAGAGGAGTTAAGAAAATTGGCGGAGAACTACGTGCAAGGTCTGCAGTGGGTCCTTTTCTACTATTATCGCGGCGTCGCTTCGTGGCCTTGGTTTTATCAATACCACTATTCACCAATGATCTCGGACGTCAAGAGAGGCCTGGGCGCGGACGTGAACTTCCAACTAGGTCAACCGTTCCGGCCGTTTCAGCAGCTGATGGGCGTTCTTCCGGATCGCAGCAAGAAAATTGTTCCAGAGGTTTACCATGACTTGATGACATCTAAAGATTCACCCATTATCGACTTCTATCCGCGAGATTTTGAACTCGACATGAACGGCAAGAAACAGGAATGGGAAGCTGTCGTCAAGATCCCGTTCATTGATGAGCGGCGGCTTCTCGATGCTATGGCTACTAAAGATGGTTTGCTGACTGAGGACGAACGGCTGCGCAATGATTTTGGGGTCAGTTTGAAATTCACTTATTCCCCAGAGGTCGACTACCCGTATCCTTCCTCGCTTGTCGGAATCTTCCCAGATCTACCGCACTGTCATTGCATCCAAAATGAATTCGAACTTCCTACCATGGATGGCCTGGAGCCGTATGTGGGTCTGGTGGAGGGTGTCAAAATTGGCGCCGCAGCTTTGGCTGGCTTCCCGAGTTTGAAGACCTTGCCGTTCACGGGCTCGCTGGGATTTCACGGCGTCAATGTCTTCCAGCAAGACAGTCGAAATGAGAGCATGATCATCACCCTGTCGGACACCGAGGCGCGAACCAGAGTGGAATACGCCAAAGTTCTTTTGAATAGGCGTGTCTATGTCGGATATCCCTTCTTACAAGAAGCGAAGATTGTCAAGGTTTCAGACGAGCTTTTCGACTACGTCATGGCGGATGACGGAGAAAGCGTGCCTCACCATATCAAGGCGATTGAGCATTCTGGAAACGAGATCGACCACTTCCGGAAGAAGGCCGATAGAATCGAGAAATACTACAGTAAGAGACTTGGAATGTTGATCGGCGAGGTTGAATCTCTGGTTCAAGTTGACATGCTCAAGGGGCTCAAGAAACTGGACGATGGATCGACCGTCAAGGAATTTGCCGAGCTTCCAGGTCTGGACACTGTCCATGCGACACAGCTGGTAGTCGAAAACGTGATCAGCGAAGACGTCCGTTTCATCGAGCAAGCAGCGCTGCCCATTGAAGAAGAGTTCCCAGATGGTACTAATGCCTTCTTCCTCGGTGACTACGCTTACGGACGCCCTGTCAGTGTTATTGGCCATGAGAACGGCAAGGCCAAATGCATGATTGCACTCTCGAAAGCACGCCAGGTGGAATTTGGGCGAGAGATTGCCCGTCAAGCAGAAAGGCTGTCACCATATACGCCTTCATACCAGGTGGCTCAGAGTCTTAACCTAAATCCACTCGCATTGGCAAAGATCACCTCGTCATTCTCCATCACGGTGGACGGTACAAGAGTGAATCTAGGGCTTAATCTCAAGTTCGAGGCCAAAAAGCTCAAAGTTCTTGGCTATTCGAGGAAAGGCGCGAGTGGATGGGAGTTCAGTCGGGCAGCCATTGAACTGATCCAGCAGTACATGATTAGATTTCCGCAGTTCATTGCCGGCATCCACAGGAACCCGCAAGGTGACATGTTACCCGCGACAGCGTACTTTCCTGGCAACGAAGAGCAGGCTAAAGCAAAAGTCAAAGAGATCCAAGCATGGTTGAAGGAGATTGAGTCAAAGAGCTTTGAGAAGGTCCCACTCGAAGCCGAGCAGTTGGATTCGGAGATTGTGAAGCGGATTGAGCAAGCTGCGGATGAAGCTCTTCGGACCGAACCCCCTCCGTACAACAAAACTATTGGGGGAGTGCCTCGTAATGGACTTCTCAAACCCTCGGATGCGCAATGGCGGCTTGGAAATCAAAGATTTAGTCTCGGAGACAGGGTGATTTACGTGGCTGACTCGGGCAAAGTTCCGATTGCGTCCAAAGGGACCGTTGTTGGTCTGACTCAAACTACGAGGGAAACTTGGCTTGATGTGGTCTTCGATGTTTCTTTTATGAGTGGGACGTCGTTGGGAGACCGCTGCTCACCATTCCGAGGATCCACCGTACCGACATGGTCTGTTTTGAATCTCAGCAATCGACAAGTACTCGCTTCGTCGAAAGCAAGCGCGAATCGACAGACCAACGGGACGGCGCAGTCTCCGCTCACCGTCCCGGGTTATGGCCAACAGGGTCAATTACGTCCAGCAGGGACGCCTCCAGCATTGAGAGGTACATGGCGTGGAGCTGTATCTGGACATCCATCTGGTGGACGAGGGCAAATGAACGGCACGCCGGGACGGGGCCAAATGAACGGGACGTCAATGCCAATTCGGAACGTGTCGGGCTCACCTGCCAACGGTCACCGGGGCAATGCGACAAATGGTCATTATGGTCGTGGTGACCGCGCATCGATGGGCCATGTCAGTGCTCGAGGAGGGTACACGATCGTTGACCGAGGGGATGCTCAGGCGGGTGTTGTTCAGCACAATCCTAATTTCCGGCCCAAGTCGCAGAACAATGTGCCTCCACCTCCCAGCTTGAACCACCCTCCCACGCCACGAGGTCGTGGTCGAGGACGAGGCGGATCGTCCAGAGGAGGACGAGGTGCAACGCCGCGGGGAGGATCATGAGTTGATAGTGCCTATCAGTCTGCAAATCTGTATGATTAGCGAAGGTTTCCCAGCCTTGGACAGATGTATGGGTTTGTCTTCAAGAGCATGTGGTGACCCAAGGTTGGGGCCGCACGAGATATTAGTGAGTAAAGGGTTTCAGTCACGCGGAGGAAGCCGATGTTATCGCTCCAGCTGAATGCACCGGTTCAGCTGGAGTCGAGGGCGACTGGATCCTCCCGAGCAAGGCTAGCAATCCTTGCAAGCTCGTTATGCAGCAAAGAGCCCCGCAGTTCGAGCGCCCAGCACCCCTCCAGTCGATCAAACAAACTGCCACATGCTTGAATGGAAAACCGTTCAGAATACGAGGTTGCGGAAACGATCGACATGAGAAGCGCGGCGCGCCCGAAGAACGGCCATAGATACGAATTTCGGAACGATGGCATCGATTGCAACCAAGTACCACGATGGCCAGTTCGTCCCAACACTGTCTCCTCTGTTTCCCTCTCTTTCTCCAAGTTTTCTGTGTTGCCCTGGATGATTGTTCAAGTCCGACGCTTGCGCAATAGAAGATGCACGTCATCTGGTGGGCCGTTTTGCCTTACTAACTACTACTAAGTACCTAGGTAGGGACTGAGTACGGAGTATTACGAGCTATGAGTTTCCTGTTACGGCTTTCGCGACTTGAAAAGGCCCCGCCTTGTGCTTATGTGCTTCGCCGAGGGCATCGTCGTCAAGGTTCACACTCACCCGAACTCCTCGAACTCGGGCTGCATATCTCCCGTCCCTAGGACAGGGTAACCCCCTCTTTCCCGGTGGCTCTTGTTCAAGCTGATTTGATGCAGTTGTTGCGTTCCTGGCTGCCTCTCCACGCCAGGCTGTGGCACCACGTCAGATCTGTTCGTCAAACCCCTCGACCGAGTGCCTGCTACCCCCACGCTATCCACCGTCAGACACGTTTTCTGGCCGGCGGGCTATGTTTCCAACATCAAAGTTGATACCACCATCCCCACAATCTCAATCCACGATGAAATTCTGCCGTGCTACCACCAGACCATTGCCGAAGGGACCTTACTGCATGCTCTTCCGAGATACAACACATGACCCCAAGCTTCGACGTTGATAGACCCTGTTGAAACCGGGCGACTCCATCTGTGGCCGGCTAGCATTGGTTGGGGTGCGGAGAGCAGGTTCCGACGCATGAACCATGCTGTGTGACTCTATTATCAGCTCCCAAGACTCACAGAAATCCATGATACAGATCACCAAACCCATTGACATTGAAGACGTTCCCATCTCTCCCACATTTGTTATCTCATGAGACCTAGTCAAGTATTGGGCTCCGCAACAATTCCTTTACCAATCAGCTTAATGCAGCGGTCCAGTCGAGGATCCCGCTTTCTTGCACTGACAGACGTCTCCATTTCTCTCATCATCTGACTTTGTGGATATCTCTTTTTTCCCTATTCTGCCTCTTTTCTCCGTCGAGCCCTAGGTCCAATCTCAACAATTCTTTGGCAGACGATTCATCATGGAGATTGTAATTAAGACTTTCTATCGACCTCTCTCGATTGTCAAGTGAGGTCCTATTCGCGACTGGCTCTGGCCAAGGCAACCCAAAGCCAACACGAAGTTTCCTTATTTATTTCTTCCTTCTCCAGGTCCAAGAAGGGACATTGAATCCTGAACAGAGTTCCGGAAAAAGGCTACGCGGCTTCGAGTCTCCATTGGAACCGGCACCAAACAGAACAAGGAGCGAGCCTGATACTTTGTCCGGCCGCCTTGAGGCTGTAACCATCGTTTTCTTTCTCCCAGAAGTCACATAATGCTAGAGTCTAGACGACATCAAACATGACGGACTCGATGAACCTAATCTCTGCGCAGATATCATTCTTGGTGAGTCGTTCCGGCTACTGTCCCGGTCATACATGATAAAGATGCAGCAAGCATCAGACCCTGCCTTACCTCGCTGAGGACCAACCTTTTCCGAAATCTACATCCGCTTATTATTCTCCTAGGAAGCACATCTCGCTCTGATCCACATCCCCATTGAACTATACGCCTTATCTCTGCAGCCTATTCTCCGGCTCCTGTTTGGGGAAGACCACGACGAAGACGCCGCAAGAATCTCTTGGACCAACCACCATGACTTTCTCAACATTTCCATCACTGCCATCGAATGCTCCATCATATGCTCGCGACATCTTGCAGAGCGATTCATGCGCCCGATCGCCGAGGTTCTCAACAGACTCTACGCCAACAACAAGAAGGGGAAGTCGAAGGGGGAGATCCAAATCGGCAACGAAGACTATACAGTAATTCAAGTCGACGGACAAGGCCTGGATGCTGGTCAGAGGGTGCTGGAACTGACGTCGCCATTAGCAATGGCCGGAATGTAGGGCTCCCCTCGATCGTCTCTTTTTCGTTCTTGTGATGTTTGGAAAACTGATCCGATGCCCATGATTCGAACGCTTTACAGAAGCATTTTCTTTATCACGACCTATTTCTCCGACTACATTCTCGTTCCCTTCCGGTCGCGGGGTACCGTCACCAGAGCCCTTCAACAGCGCGGGTTCGTCTTCTCCAAGACCGCCGACGCCTTCGTGTCGCAACTTTCGCCACAATCTCCCACTTTGCTGCAGGGCGGCGGCGTGAGACCACCACCCTCACCGTTCTACGACAACTCGGCTCCGACCACCCCGCCGGCCAAGGACATCCCTGAACTCCAGCTCCGTACGTTCAGGAAGCTCAAGCGGAACAACATCAGCCCGTTCGTGGACGGTAGCATCCGTCTCGCAAATTGCGCCGGCAGCCGCGAGTACAACCAGGCCAGCGAGGAGCGTCTCAAGAACGATCTCCTCCAGGTCCTGCTCGCCACGGCGGCGCCCACGGGCACAGGCACGTCGACCTCGAGACAGCAGCCGGCTGCCACGATTTCGCCAACTACTGGGCTGGGCCTGGGCACTACGAGTAGTCCGACACCCACCACAGAGGCGCAACCGCCGACGGCAGCCGAACTCGACTTTGGGGCCAAATTCCTCTCCCTGACCATCACGTCGGGCGAGCCCATCTCAATCCTCCTGGAGCACAGACTGCTCGACCGCCTAGGCCATTCACTTCTGGGCGCCAAGTCGGCCGACGACGCTCTGATCCCCATCACGCTCGACCTGCGCGACCTCCCGCTCGACGCCACGGGCATTGTCTGCGGCGTGGCCGGGCGGCTGGCCCAAGGAAGCACCGATCTTCCCGACGACGAGGTCGTTTTCGCCGAGACGGCCGAGACTCACGCCCCCGCTAACGACGAGCCCGTCGAGATCTCCTTCCTCAGCACCGCCCGCGCTGGCACCGTCATTGTCCGCGCTTCGCAGCTCGAGAAGGCCCTCGAGGCCCTCGACTATGGCATGAAGAGGGTCGGGGATGCGGATCGACCGTGAGCGAGCGTGCGAGCATGGATCGAAATAACACCGCAAGTCCGCGCTTTTAACTGAGCTAATAATCAGAGCCCACGAGGAGGGAAAGGCCCCACGACTATTGCCACTTCCCCCATCGTCGCTACGTACGGCTCTTATCTACATGCATCATATTGGGGGAGACGAAAGAATACCTACCTAATCAGGCATTGCATTAAGGACAGAGAAGGAATGGGACGGGACGGGACAAAAGGGGCAGGAGACTGGACCGCCTCACGCCGCAATCCAGTGGACGCGGGCATGTGGTATTAGCGCAATTGAGGTATCTTCGAGAAGAACGACAAGATGGGGGAAAAGTTATATGCATCTTTTTTTGTCTCTTTAATCTAGTTCTCTTTATATATGCCACCCATCGTTTTGGATGTCGTTGGGATCAAAAATAGGGTGGTTTTTTTGAATAAGAAGAAGAAGGAAAAAACGATGAAAACCAACACTAAGAAAAAGACTGAATGCTTGAAAGCTACGAGGTCGTATATACCGCAACACCCGTATTCCATCCGTATTTTCATCCAGCGCCGTAGATCTTGACGACGCCATCTGCGCCTCCCCCGGCCCAGAGACTCTGTCGGGCCTGCGCCTGGCTGCCTTCTCTCCATCTCACGACGCTCACGACGCGGCCAGAGTCGCTGACTTGAACTCTCCCGGCGCTCTTGCCAGAGAGGACATCCCAGGCGCGCACAATACCGTCGCTCTCGCTCCCACTCAGCACCATGGCCTCGTTGGCGCCGAGACAGCTCCTCAACCGGAGACCCTCATTCTTGTACCCTTCCCTGGCATCCTCGGGTGGGAAGGCCCTCAGACACGTCCCGTCCCCGCGATCCATCAGTCGGATCCTTCCGTCGAGACACCCCACAAGGATCGTTTTCGCGTCTCGCGAGACATCCAGACTGGTCACGCTTCCTGGCATCACGTCCACGGCCACTTTGCCGGTGCGAATATCGTAGGACCGTACCCTGCCGTCTATACTCCCTGCGACTAATTCATGTCCGTTCCCGGGCACCACGACACTCGAGATGCCGTCTTTGGCCTCTTCGAGGACCATGAGTGGCCGTGCATCCCGGCTCTTGACATCCCACAGTCTCACGCTCGTGTCATCACTCCCGCTCGCGAGCACGCTGTCCCCGTCCCCCGCGAACGCCACGCATGTGATCCGACTGGTGTGCCCCTGTGTGGTATTGTTCCCGAATCTCCTCAGCGTGCCATCCGCGGCCTGCACGTCCCACAAAAACACGGCGCGGTCGCCGCCGACCGATGCAAAGGTCTGGTTGTCCTGTGCGCAGGCGATGTCGAGAATGGGGTAGCCGTGGGCGGAGTACTTCTGGATCGGTACGGAGGAAGGGTTCTCTGGCTTGGACGGCTCGGTGCGGGTCAGTTGGACTTGTCTGTCTGAGCTGCCGGTGAGGACGTAGGTGCCGCCGAGAGAGGAGAATGTGATGGCGTTAATTGGGCCTGTGTGCGAGGAGATGTGGTTCACCAGGACAGAGGGCAGTTTAGGTGGTGGAGGACTCATGACAGCGCTGGCGGTATGGGACGATGCTCTAGGTTATGGCAATGCATGCAGGACATTCTTTGGTGGTTGATGGTATGAGAGAATCGATGAGAGAGTGACAATGGAAGAAGACCTTACCGTCAATGAAGGCATTATTTACGTCGTCTACAGCGCTGTAGGTTGTCGAGGGGTCGAAGGGTCGAATGCAGCAGGTAGGATGGAAAGTAGACCATGGATGCAGTCGTCCTGACCAAAAGCGTACGCTGTGCTTCTGCCTTTGCATACAGGTACCTAGGGATCTGTGTCACTAATAATTCCCTTAGCAATTGGCAAGTCACTGGGAAAACAGGCACCAGCGACTCCAGTAGCTCTTGGCGGAGACTAAACTCCTTTAGTGCCAGACTAGTACTACCTAGAAAAAATCATGTGTCTTGGCATCAACCACCAAATCCCCCGGCTATATAAACCTCGACCTCTCTCCCACCTTTTGATTTTTTTCTTCTTTTCCTTTCCTCAGCTCTCTTTGCCAACTGGCTTAGATCAAGTGTAGTATCTGTTCTTTTCAGTTTAATCTCTGAAATGTCACTACGGTGACAAACATTGATTAAATTTATTTTTGCACCTCGCTTGAGTCTCTCTGTGCTTGCACAGAGGTCTCTTGCACCGTGTCCGAGGCCTTACACTGCCGCCTTGTGACGCGAAAACAACACTTTTCATCATGGACTGTCTTTTGCCTTGTGCAAAGCCTTGGAGAAGAGTTTTGATCTGTCGTGTGCCAGCAGAGGCTGAGCGTTCCCCAAGTGATGAGAGGCAGGCTGTTGAATTGCCTCCCTCGCTCCACCGCTCCTTGAGTGTCGCCGCCACTGGATCTGGCGAGACTGCTGCCTGCTGGCAATGAGGCGGAATTCACAATTGACATGCGCATTCTTCGATTCCGCGAAGCAGGATTTGTCGAGGTCTTTTGATTCCACAACGACATGATGAAGAGAGAACTCGATCCCTCCCTCCAGTACTCTCCTCGTACATTATCGTCGCGATCAAACAACGCCACTCGTCCCCCATGTTGGCACCCGACGAGCGTCGAAAGATCACCTTGTCTCTTCATCACCTTCCAAGTGGCCTTCTCTTAAGGCAAGATCCATAAGCCAATCCCCCGAGGGGAAACTCTTAGAGGCTAACAAGCTTATATGGCGCCCATCGTCTCCCGCAGTTCAGCTTCGAACATCGATCTTATGAATTATTGTCATCATTTGATATCCAATCAAGATGGAGAGTGGAAGAAAGAGGTGGACCGGGCAAGACGATGAGTTTCCAGAACCCATAGTGGCATTCAAAAGGGACTGTGAGCCTTTCGACACTCTACAACCAGCGAACCTGGATGCTCCTCTGGGAGGACACAATACTACAATAGTCCTCGCGTCTATACACCTGGCGCTCCTAAGCCAGCAGAACTGTATTACTGGCTCACTCTCTCAAAAACAGCTTGCAAGTCCAGCGCTGGATCCTCGTTGTCGACGACTCCGAGAACTGTCGTCGGCTTCTTGTACCCGAGAAGCGAGAGCATCTTGTCACTCATGGCGAGCACTTTGCTCCTCGGCACTGCCAGAAATTGGTTCTCTTCCGTCCGCAAGTTTCCCCTGATGAAAAACAGACCGTGGATCTTGCGCACTTCGTTGGGCACAGAATTATGGCCGCCCCCGTGGTAGCAGGAAGCGAGGAATATCAGCGCGGAGCCCGGTTCCATTTCTTACATTATGCGAACTCTCCATCAGCATGTGGTCTCGTTTCAAGGACATGGCGGGTGGGCTCAGAAATCCTGTGGTGTTTTGTGTTGCAGGAGAATGATTACTCACCGGCAAAGCAGACTTCATCCGTCCGTGGGCGTCGAGTGTCGTCCCATTTGTGAGACCCCGGGACAAACATGGTGGCACCGTTTTGGCGAGTCGTCCTGGATCCAGCGATCAGACATCCAAACTGGCTGGCCTTTTTGAGGTCGAATGTCCCTCCGTGTCGGATTCCGTGCACGTTGTCGTCTCTGTGCAGCCTTTGTCGGGTCGCACCGTGGCCGATGTAAAGTGTGATGCTGATGCTCAACAGCGGGTCGATAATGTTCTCTTCTATAATGTCCTCGCGGATTACCTTGAACTTCTCCTGCAGGATGGAAGTCCGCAACTCCTCCAGCACGGGGGATTCGCATATTTTGGCGACGGTCGGGGACTTGCCAACGAGTCCCGGGACGGCTAGCGTTTCCTTGGGGATAATGTGCAGTGCGCTCTTCTCTGTCGACCGAGTCTGTGCTCGATGGGCTTCGACGTCGCGATCGATGGCGGCAAGGTCTTCGGCCGTTGCAAATTCAGTCAGAATCACGCCACCGTCCCGTTCGATTATCCTAAGTATCTCCTCTATCGGTGCGCTGGCTGATATTGAAGCAATGGAGGTAGATGGCCTGTATGATTCATCAATGGGCTCGGGAGTCCCAAACATTGAGATTCCCATTTTGACTTGTTCAAGAGATATCTTCTCGATGGGCTTTCACCACCGACCAGAGGAAATACTAAGTAGTTCTAGGGACAATGTTTTCCGTTAAAGAGCAACTTCTCTACCGAAGAAGTTACAGCGGAATCAAGGGGTTTGCGGATCAAGCACGGCACAGAGGGTGTGAGAGTCTTCTTTCGTACCCAACCAGAGGCTCCTCCAGGGCGTGGGACTTAGTTTCCTCTTTCGTTCTCGTTACGGGGATGTGCGTCTCTCTCGACCGCCAATCCAGAGAAGGCCGGCGGGGCGGTAGAGACTTGATTGCTGCAATAGGAATGCTCTCACGATAATTTCAAACCGTGGAAGCGATGGGCAGCGAGGACGGTCCGATAACCAGTTCTGTCCATGTCACAGTTGAGATATCAATATCTCTTATCAGCCCGTTAAGGGAATGCTAAGTTCGAATTAACAATTGTACAAATTATAACTGCTGTCTTCGAATTTGGATTCATATCAGATAGAGACTGAAATAAGCTGTACTACATACTACTTATCGCCAGGAAGCAATGGCCATGGCGCAGGTCGTTGTGCCTCCTGTAGTACATACCTCTAAGATCAGGCCTATCATCAGCAATCAACTTCGCCATGCTAGCACAAGACCACGCACAACCTTTGATCCTGAGAAGCATTTGGTGTATCGCGAAGACCCCAAGGTGTTGATGTTGAAAGACATCGGGCTTTCCGAGAGTGTGGGCATCTCGCCAGTTGCCATTTCCGAGCCTTTTCCTCTCTTCAGCGAAGAAGCCATAAGCCATATGAGGGACGAGAGTTTCACAAATGAAGTCTGGGACAACTGTCTGTACAGCACCGATTTCGCCGGGTGCCAGCTCAGGGGCCACTGTCCGAAGTAAGAGACCTTTCTTTTCTCCTTTCGGTCGTGACCAATATCTCCGGAGAGTTGGGGCTGGCGCTTGTAAGACTGTACCCTTGACTAAATTTTTGTGCTCGCAAGGTATGCCCCGTTCATGTACGATGCCTGGAAAAATCCCAAGACACTGTCCATTGTGTCCAAAATTGCTGGCATTGACTTGGTGCCCGCCATTGATATCGAGGTCGGAAACATCAACGTCTCTGTCCAGGATCCTCTGAAAGGCTTCCAGAAGCAAGAGAATCAATCCGACGACGACATCCCAGTCACAAAATGGCATGTGGACAGTTACCCGTTCGTGTGTGTCGTCATGATGAGCGACGCTTCCCACATGGTCGGGGGAGAAACGGCCATCAAGACCGGTGCTGGAGAGATCATCAAAGTTCGCGGACCACAGATGGTGAGCGTGTAGTCGTTCGTAAATCTGGGTGAGGTCTCGCTCACAAGACAACAGGGCAGTGGCGTGGTCCTCCAAGGCAGGCACATCACTCACCAGGCATTGGGCGCACTGGGAGGATCTGAGCGCATCACCATGGTGACGGCCTTTCGTCCCAGGGACGCCCTCATTCCAGACTCCTCGGTTCTCACCACCATCAGACCAATCACAAATTTGTCAGACCTTTACTTCCAGTGGACTGAATACCGGGTCGAGGTCCTGCAAGAACGCCTACGCTTGATGCTGGAAGTCCTAAGGGAGCAGCATCGTGCCGATGAACAGACAGATGCTGCCAAGATCAAGGAGTTTCTCCAGCAGCAGGTGGACTGGCTTTCCATCACAGACAGAGAAATTGTCCTATAGTAGCCAGCCGTTCACATGTGCTGTTGGCGTTTTAGAAGCAAATAGACGTCGAGGTGTAGGTGCTTCGTAGCGTACCTCTGGGACTAGGGGTTGGAGGAGAACAGGAATAGAGGCGTCTTTGCAGTGACAGCGCCAGTCATGTCCCTGGCTCACCAAGCACAACGTATGCTCTCTCTGTTCGACCTGCGAGGAATGATAATGTTCAACACAACGAAGGACAATTACCTGCCACGAAGCATGATCCAACACCTACCAAGTACAAGGTACATGCTCGAGATGGAGCTAAGGGCTTCGAAGCGCGGGGAACGAGTTTTTCAACCTTTGCGGTCTTGGAAGCCGTGGTCCGCTCTATCGACAGTAGAGAATACAGTGGATCAAGCGGACAGAGTAGGTCAATCATCTCACGTCATGCGCTTCTGCCTCATGCAGACGTCAATGGTCCTTGTTGACTTCGAGTTATACCGTGTTCTGTTATTTGTTGGAGGCCTTCGTCTGAAGGGTTTGTTTATTGCAGACTAATGAACGAAAACTACTGAACGAACCAGCCACACACGTACCAACCGAAAGTTGGGAAACAACCCTTTTGTTCCAGTTTGTTCCCACCGATGACGTCAATTAGAATGAAGCCCTCAACTGACCGAAACCCTCGGTGCGCTGGTTAGAACGAGCTGCGGCGTGGTAAAGGCCTTATAACCTGAAAAGCTAAGCCCACTGGGCATACAAATCGTCTCCTGCGTGTTAACAATGTACTCCTGTGCAAGAGTCTCTTGTCACATCTACTCTCCTAGAAACTAGACCACAAAGTCGACCACTGATTCAAGCCACGCTGGAAAAGCAAGTGGAGGCTTCTCAAGGTGTTCACAATGGAATTCAGGTACGAGCCCACCTAGCCAGACTCTTGAAATCGAGAACTTACAATAAGGCCAGGACAGATCACGACGAAAATGGCTCCCATTGGGCTGAAGTCATGTCCATGTCGGAGCGCATTAGACACCGTGCAATGCAGGTATGAGACGAGGTTCAAAGTCCGGAACTACAGGACGGGCCGGTTTTCAACATTGTCTTTGCTGACGCCGCATGTCAAGCAATTGTTAGATCTGTTTGAGAAATATAAAGATATAGATGGGTATCCTCCCTTGTGGGGAGACGAGGTAAGTTATCAACAGACAACACAGGGAGATGTAAGACTCAGGGAAGATGCCATCAGATCGAGTACCAACTCGTGGCATTTAACGACTCAAGTCAGCGGGCAAATCTGCTTCTCAAACAGGAGGAAGTGCTCAACAAGGTGGAGAGGTTGAACACGGATGTTAAGGATGCCACTCAAGCTGCAACGACTCCAAGGTATTGTTTACCCTTTCCTTTCTTCAAACGCTATTGAATCTCACGACAGCTAGTAAGAATCACATGACCGTGCCGGAATTCCAACCAGAATTTGGCAGTTTCATGGTTGAGGCTACGCCGGGAGAGCCTTACGACAGCAGCAGTATCAAGAGCTTGTTGAGTGTAGAAGCAGACATGCGAAAGCGGTGAGATCAGAGAGGATCCTTTCACAAGACTTGCATCAGTTGTTGATTTTGGCCTACTAGGAGGCGAATGATACAGACATGTCTTAGTCCAGACGAGGCGGTCGTCACCATGCCCGGTTTTCCACGCCTCGGTGCCCCAGGTCTGTACACTGAACCTGCACTACCGACTCACGGACTCTTGCTCCGATCGCAGTTCCTTCCAGATGGGTTGATCAGCACGCATGAACGATATGGTACAATTCATGATAACATGAACGAACGCCGTGCAGGGCGTCCGGCAAAGGTCAAGATTCCAATATACAGAGACAAGAACACGCCGTGGCCTTGGAAGGAGTCGCTTCAGTTTCCACACCGGAATGATGCTCAGGAGGACGATGCAAAACAGCATCATGACAATGGTGCAGAGAACTTTATATATGGCGATAGCATGGCGTTTGGACCGAGCTTCTGCGGGCTGCAGGTCACGGTTCAAGCGAAAAACCTTCGAGAGGCACGCTACCTGCATGATCAGTTATGTCCGCTTGGTCCCATCATGATGGCCTTATCGGCGGCATCACCATTTTTCCGGGGATTTCTCACTGATACCGACGTTCGATGGAATCAGGCGGCTTCAGCGGTGGACGATAGGACTACAAATGAGCTTCGTTCAAATGTAAGGTTTGCTGCAAAACCAAATCTGAGCTTTTACTGACTTCAAAGCAGACTATCAAACCATTTGGCTCGCATGCACGGTGGTCATCCACAGCAATGTACATATCCGACGACCCACGACTTCGAACGGTCTACAATCCCTCAGAAGTTAAAGCTGATTCGGCAATCAAGCGACATCTCGAGCAGCGAGGCAGCATGGATGCCCTCCTCGCTTCGCATTATGCCAACATTCTTACCCGCGATCCTATCGCCCTGACAAAGAATGAACTCAGAACATACGAGAGTCTCGACCTCTTTGAGATCCTCCATTCTGCAGTCTGGCCACACGTCGATTTTAAACTGCCTACCAAAAACGGTGCAGCAGGCTGGCGGGTCGAGTTTCGTCCCCTGGAAGTCCAATTGACCGATTTCGAAAACGCGGCTTTTGCGCTGTTCGTTGTCTCGCTCGCTCGCGCTATTTTGCATTATGACCTCAACCTCTACGTTCCAATCGAAAAAGTCGCAGAGAACATGGAGAGAGCACACACGCGCAACGCAGTCCGCGAGCAGAGGTTCTTTTTCCGTGTGAAGGTGGAGCGGACGGCATCAGACGAAGACCCAGAGGAAGAATATACCCTGATGACTATCGCTGAGATCATGAACGGATCTCCCAACTTACAAGACTCAAATGGCCAATCGTTTCCCGGTCTCCTCCCACTCGTGCAGTCCTACATTCTCGAGGTCTTTGGGAGCGTCCCCGAGGACGCGAGGCAGCGGATAGACAAGTACCTAGACATCATCCGGAAAAGGGCAACGGGAGAAGTGCTCACACCAGCGAGCTGGATGCGGCAATTTGTACAAAGGCACCGAGACTATCGCAAGGATAGCTTCGTTTCTGAGCGTGTCTGCTATGATTTGATGAAAGTCGTCAAGGCGCTGGGAGAAGGTCGTATTGATCCTGTAGAGTTGTTCTCTGTGGGCCCGAGGGCCGAGGACAAATAGTCGCGATATCCTTCGAGGGGCTGTTCAGACACCATGACAATGCTTCGTATGGCTCATCTGTTAGCCTTAATCCCTCGAGTCATCAGACCGAGTGCAGCACGTCGCCTCAATGGCGTGTGTTGTATTGCTATATATATACATTATCGTATCTTTGCGTCAGCATATGGTCGGAAAACCTGTCGCTGGCACGCTACTTAGAGGCTCAGCCAGGGGGGACCGCTCAGAGTCACTACCAAAATACCAGTATTATGGTTGACTTCCTGCTGGCAGTTGCAACTATAGCTGCAATGTGGGTCAGATTGGGGGCAGCTGTCGACAGAACAGGAGGAGGAAGCAAATCCTTAGAACTAGAGCCCAGACCACAACGAATGTGCAAGTAAATGAGCCTAGGATAGACAAAGGTAGGAAGTCCCTTTACAAATTAAGTAGTCCGCGCACAGATGTGACGGAAACTCTTTGTGTGTCCCTGAACCGTACAGTAAAAGAAGTCCTTGTGTAGGCTTACAATAGGTATCGCTTCCTTTTCAGCTCGCTTTACTAGGCTTGATCTTTCTGTGGACAAGGTACATGATCGGGGACTATAGAGCTGTGTAATGGCACACTCTGCTTGCAGTGAGACTTTTTCAGCTTTGACCATTTAGGTTCCCTCATGCCCAGGCAAGGATCGAACCACTAGCCTGGCGCAACTGTGTATCCTTCCAAGTGTCGGCATGCCAACTCAATCCATGCTGATTGACCTGATCCGCCCAAACCTTGATGCGTAAATCTGTGCCGCACTTGATGTCGATCATGTTGAGGAAGATGCGCACAGTAGGCGTCTTTACAAATTTACCGTCGGGAAACTTGAACCTGTCCGTCGACTTCGACACGTTTTCCTTTGTAGTAAAGGAGCCGCTGGTCGAATTTGCCAAGTCCGCCGGATACGCAATCCAGGAGGCAGCGCCCGCGTACAGAATTGAGTCTCCCCAGGTATCGATATGAATCGTGAATCGATCTTCGTGGATGTCCGTGGCGTATGCTTTCACGCGGTAATCCTTATGATTCTCGAGGTCGATAAGTTTAAGAGCCACGACGACTGCTGGAGGTGTCGTGTACGGCTCTTCGAAGTAGACGGTCTTTTCGGCTGTTTGAGAACTCGTGTCGTTCCTTTCTCGCTGCTCTTGCGTATTGAATTCGCCAAACTGCCACTGAGTATCTGTAGCCTCAGCCTCGACCCAAGTTGCTGCACCTCCGTTCAATATGCTCGTGTCCCATGTGCTGACTGACACTTCCGCCGAATCTGCGGCAATGTGGTCGACGGTCGCCGCGACCGCTTTGTTTGCCTTGCAACTCATATCAATGCGTGTCAAGCCGATGGCTACCTTTGGGGGTGATTGATAGGCGGGCTCGAATGGGACTTTTACGGTGTTGAAGAGGCCGGGAGCTGGTGACGCGCCCACGTCAGCCTTGCCTGAGGAAGAAGTTTTGGACGCAAGCTCGTCCGTATCGAAAAATCCATCGGTGCGCCCCTGTGGCGGATAGAGTTTTCGAATGAAATTCTTGTCCATGGCGGACAACTGCATATTTTCATGTGTTCCCTTACCGTCGAGTGTAAGTTCTGCAGGATAGAAGTATAGCATGATGGAGTCTGGGTCGAAAACACTGTTCATGGATGTCGATACGGGATTGAGAATGTTTCGTCGAATTTTGTCCTCATCCCATTTGTTCGGTGGGGCCTTGAAATATTGTATAACCTTTTGTACGTCCCAGTTGATTCCAAGACTAGGGTTCTGATGTTCATGGATGCAACCCAATGCATGGCCGAACTCATGAAGGACCACAGAGCGAACTGTTTCGTCGGAGGATCTATCAGTCAACCAGCCAAAATTCATGGTTGGTTTCGATCGATCCTCCTTGAAACAGTCTCTTCCGACATACGACCACGATCCTAGTTTAGGCTGAAATGCCACGCGGATATCTGCATCTTTGCCGTAGTCGCCGAAGTCGAAGCTGATATTGCAGATCGCGTCCCACTGTTTGGCCGCGAGTTTCACTCTCCGTCGAAGGGCATCTGTAGCAGTCTGGCCTGGGCCATCCCACCAGGAAACTTTCAGGGTTTGTCCGACCCTCCAAAATTTGTCCTTCCCAATGGCCAGATCGAATGGACCTGAGAAGTTATCGTGGGCAATGGCAAGGTTGCTAGCTGGGACTTCTTGGTTGGGATCGTCCTCGATGGAGGGAATTACCTGGTAGCAGAGTTTCATCTGCTCAAGCGACGATAGTGAATCTTCTTCGGCCATGATGGGTGTATGTTAGAAGCTGAAAAGAAGTAACCTTAAGCTTTCAAGTGTTCGTGAGACGTCGTGCCAAAAAAAAAGAACCTTGAGTTTGAAAGGGTGCAAGCAACAGCTGCTCTTATAGACATCTTGACTCAGCATGATGTTCAATTTCGTTAAAGTCGTAGGTCCAGCTCTGAACAAAGTTCGACTGATGCATGTTCAGCTGAGGAATTCAGACAGCTGCTTACGCCACACACTCCGCTCCACCATCTCCACTTCGAGGATGGACAAGGATCGGACAGCACCGGCGAGGAACGAAGATGCTACTACCGCAGCTGCACTCCGCCAGATGCTGCAGTACCGGGGAGGTCTGTCTTGTGCGTGGCTAGGCAGAATCCCTGATTTCGTTTGGTGTTGCCTCTGCACATTAGAAACTGAACCTGTTTTTTGCTCGCTACATGTAGCCGAGATATCTAACTGAGAGTACACCCAGGCCCATTGAGTCGAGAACAAAGGAAGTGGATAAAGCAAGGCCATAGAAAGTGGATTATTGGTAATTAGGTTCGAATTGTGTGATGTGACTCGTGTAAAAGTATTGCAGCTAGGCTAAAATCCGCTACCAGGTGTAAAGCATCTGGGTTCGAAATCCCGACTAACACTCTGACAAACGTCCATCATGAAATGCCGAAGTCCGTCTAGCTACCACTGACTTTCTGGATATTGGGCATATTCGAGTTGTAGTCGACATAGTGCCCGCCTTTGAGCCAAACGTTGCACTCATACCACTGATGCGTCTGGTCCTGAAATTGATAGTCGTAGGTCTGATCCGTCTCAAACCAGACTCGATATTTGAAGAACGTGCCTCCCGTTTGGATGCTCCATTTGGATATACCAGTTCGGGATTGGAATTCAGGAGTCGTTGATCCCGACTGACCTGCTGGCCAGTTCACGTCGAGGGTGAAACCAGGCCCGTGAGCTTCCATGACTTGAGGATTGTCCTTCATCGCGGCTTGAATTTCCGCTTTCGCAGCGGCAGAGCCCTTAGGGCGGCCGATTGTGACTTTCTCGCCGGATTGAAGAGTCACTTCTTCGGTTTCCATGTCCTTCTCATTGGCGAACTGAGGCGCGTTGGATTGTTCGGAAGACATGATGACTTGGAGGGCTTGTAGCAAGAAGAGCCTTGAGTGGAAAGCTGTGAAAAGCTGTGTAGCAAAGATGTTCTTGGGGAAATGCTCTGATGAGGAGTTGCACGCAATGAAGAGATATTTCGAAGAATTGTGATCTCTATTTAAAGCTTTTGCGTTCTCAAATCCCACAAATTCTTTCACAGTAGGCCTCAATTGCAAGTCAAGTCTCTAGCCGACAGCCTTCGTTGCATTGATGAATTTCGGCCAACTTCTTCGGACTAGGACGGTTGAAAGAGCTTACGCATCAGCCTCAGTTCCATGATGTAGTCCAAGTATCAGCTAGAAGGAGGACGCCACGCTGAGCTCTAGACTGTGATAGATGCGTCTCGCATCGGGAACACGGTGAGTTGCGACAGTCGCTAGGTAGCCGTAAATATCGGTGAACAAGGTTGAGCACTCCGCCCACGTGTAGACGTAGCATCTGGTTGACTTGTTCCGTTTAATGCTTGGTGGTATGGAATTCAGAAAGTGAAGTTCTGATGCGCACTCAGCAGAGTATTAATGGTGTGGCTTGCAGCTATGAACCACCCCCTCACACTATCATTGTTAGGTGACTCCATAACACTAGCACAGGGGGGCGGTGTACAGTTGGGCTGGTCGAGCTTTTTGATTGGCGGAAGATGATGAACCTGTCGAGTATTGATTGAGTGGGACGCTAAACAGACCAAACATGCGGGACCAGCCGAGCTTGGAAGCCAACACGGTCCCAACGTGAGCTCGACAGCTAGCCATTCTATCAATAGTGATCAAGGAGGATTGTTCACAAAGAGTTTTAGTACGCACAGGGAGCCAAGTCGAACGCTTGCTGTTCTGTACGGCAAGGTAGTCGAGTCGTGAAATTCAGTCAAGGTAGATGTGGTGGCGTGAGCCTAGACCGCATGCTGAGCATGCTCTCAGCTGAAAAGAGTAATAGTACTGCACAATTATGCACGTACGCCCGCCTGAGCTTGAGCCAATCATCTTAGAACGGCGAAACTCCTTTTTATACCGCCAATCAATAAATGTATGGTATTCTACCACTTCGTGGCTTGGCTGAAATGCAAACTTGGAGAGTTGGCTGCAGCAGCGCTGGCTGGCTGAACGACGTGTGCAAACAATTGAATCTAGTCTGTGCATTGCTCAGGAGTTCGGCAAATTCCTCGGATATGATTATTTTTTGTAAAATTATGGCACCTGTCCTTAGTGACAATGGATACTAGGCATTGGATAAAGCCTGATACACCTTTTAATTATCATCTAGGGTTTATTGTTCAAAGAAATTCCGCGCACCAAGTGATCCTGATGCTTGTATTACAGTAGTCTAATAGATTCTGAGCTGCCGTTCCCACTGTCGTTAACCGAAATGGGTCGCAGTTCTACTGCAGTAGTATTATGAGCCGAACACAACTAGTCATGTTATTGCATGAAAGTGCGGCCGACGTCGAGGATACCAAATTATTTCACTGGCACCGTCAACTGGCCGCCTGATGGGCTGGACTTACGTTTGTCAAACACATTCAGTTCGGCTATAGTTTTGAAGGAACGCTGGATCACATCGAATGCTTTCTTGATGAAGTCTCGCGTTGGCGGGAGTTCTAAGTATTGCCTCTGTCGGTCCAAGCCTTCCCTGCCAAATATGAATCACAGACGTCTTCGAAGGCATTCAGGCCTAACATTTATTGCCCAACTTGATTGGCTACACCATATGCTACCAAATAAAGGCTTGGCTAAGATTGGATGATATTGTTGCTTGCGGTGGCTTTTGGCGAGACTGCGAAAACGGTGTCATCGAGCCAACGGTAGACCTCTTTCCACGGCGCTTTCCGGTGCCAAAAGTTAGCCAGCGTGATACATTTGTCGAGTCCTTCGCGGCAACCAAGCAAACCGTTCCACGAGTTGGGATTTCTCAAATCGATGTGGCTCAGGTCATCAGAGCTGTGGTCGAAATGCTTATGCTGATCTTCTACCTGACCACCATAAGAATGGAAGTTCAGTACCGCACCCCAGCGGTCCGCTTCGCCGGCTGGCGCGTTTGGGGGTTTCTCGCGTGACGTGTGACCGATTGCATACGAGTCTTGGATGACATGGAAGCAGCTGCCAACGGCCCGATGGGGGATGAAGGCAGGGCTTGGGTGGCGGTGCGTCAACAGCTGACCTACTGTGGTGTAGTGTGCAGGATCGTCGAACCAGCGGCTCAACTCGGTGTTTACGAGCGGTGTGTCTGGACTCAGAACTCCTGTCGCGACACTGTACATGATCTCAATCCATTGCAGGATGCTGGCCTTTGTCGCCGCCGGCTGGTCCATACCCAGCGCCATGGCGTGCAGCCATTGCAGGTCTCCATAGTGAGAGCGATGAATCAGTTCTGGCTTGGTGAAACCTCCAAACTGGTAACTGATTCCCCATGCTGTGCCGCTGCTGTAGTCAAGGTTGTTACTGGCATTGTCATCCTTGAAAAGCTTGCACTCCGGGTCGTCATTCCAGATCACGCCGCGAATGAAGTCGTTGATCTCAGGGTGTGCTGTTGGATTGTCCCTCAGCGAGCGGTAGGTCATTGAAGGATCGAGTTTGAAGTCAGAGTTAATGAGAGCAGCGAGAGTGAGCATCTCATGAACAGGCTGGCCAACTTTCAAAATCGTACCGGCGTGAATTGCCATTTCTGACTTTAAGACATCGAGATCGGGTTTGTCGTCAGCTGAGCTCTCGTCACCAGTAACCTTCGTCATATCGGCTGCCATGGTGAAGGTGTTTGCGAAAACTGTTATATGTCGTTTTGCTCACTGGGCAACGAACGTGTATGCAGTGAATCTTGTTGCATCGTTGTTCCTTCTAGCCTATCTTTATAGGAAGAAAAACGGTTTGACCAGTGAATCTCACTACAAATATGTCAACGCGACAAAGTCCCCATCCAATCTTTGCAAAAGTTCCACCTATGTTTCGTGAGGGGAAAGTCTACGCCAGCTGATTTTGAGTGGAATCTGTTGGGCTCAGCCAGCCCTTCAATGACCAGGATCTAGCAAAGGTGGCTAGTACCGTAACGCTTACGCTAACGCAACCCAGATGTGCACAAACAGGCACTCGTGACGAGTGTCCCAACAAGGTTATTTCAGCTCGTTTACAGACTCGTTGTCCCAGAAAGGGCATGCTGGTGTACAGTATGTGCCCCAAAAGGGTTGTCGCTGGGTTTTGTTCGGAACGTGCCGTTTATCCGTCATGCGATACCACCACACTTTGAGTTTGGTCGAAGCTTCGACCCTGCTGCTTGTTCACATTCACCGTGGCTCATCCGGGTCCACCACGTAGAGTAAGGTCTTGTAAAGTAGGTACCCGTTGATGATGTGTCTTGCCTGTAGAAGAGTGAGTCGAGACCCTGCTGCAGCATCTCTGGCCCCTGTAAGCCTTCCAAGGTTGTTACCCATGCTGTAGACTACATATGATCGCTTTTATCTTACTACCCTCGCTTAGAGGCATCCTGGGTTGAGCTGCTGCGGTGTCACAGCTCGATATGGTTTCGATTGATCCTGCTTCTCCCTCATTGACATCTTCCGGGTCAAAGGCATGCCCACCTTCCTCCATTTCTCCTACCTTGACAGATGAAGAACAATGTCTGGTATCGCTCTAAGGTCATAACAAATAATGGAGACCACTGTTTCGCTACATGATTGGTGCCAGTAGTTGCACCGAGTCCAAAAGTTTTCATCTGAACAGCACACAAACACACACAAAATTCTTACGTTCGGTGGCGGAGCCGAAAGGGTACCTAGCTAACGCTCTTCTACTAATACATTTCGTAAGATAAGTTCGAGTCTCCTTGAAGCCCATCCAAAGTAAATTCCTTTCTTCGTTATCTAGTTCCATTCGCCTTCTATATCTTTGTGGGCTCTCGTGTGTCAATAATGTCGGCAGCCTGGCTTGAAGGCGATTCTTTAAGTATCTAACGTCCTATCCTCGGCAGCTGGAGCGCGTCTACGGTTTCTGACACGAGTTAGGATATATAGGATTGGATATGATGGTGAAGAGTAATGGTGGATTAGTCAGGTGGTGCTATGAAGTCGTCCTATTACTATTGTAAATCGTATCGCTGCCCGGACTGCTGTCAGGTCTAAAGTCCAGGACTTGTCATCTGTCGGTGTCTTCTCGTATAGGTAGAAAGATATATTACTTCTATATATATATATATCTGCTACTAGATTATGCCGACCTTGAGCGATATCGGGGAAGCAGTATTTGCATATGGCTGTTTTAACGTTGTGGTAGATTATTTGACGTGCCTATTGGTCCGTTTACATACCAAGATCCACACATCTAGACAGCGACACCTTGGGACGCCATTCGGCCCGGGCATGGATGTTCGGTTAAAGCGGCTCATTAGCAAGCGTAATGAGCGTTTGTGTTGAATAATCGAATGCTATGGGCACTTCTTTTTCTCAGATATTAAGCTCATCTGCTCCCTCCTGATCTCTTCTTCTCTCCAACCTCGGAATGCCTTCAATAACCCCTTGCCAAACTCTCAAAAACTCCGATTGAGCTCCAACAGCGCTTTGATGAAATCGCCAGGGTGGACTATGCAGCATTTGCTAATCAGACAGGAGCTTCCGGACTCAAAAATGCAGCTAGCCCGAGTTCTTTGTGTCCTGCCCAGCACCGGCCGGGTACGAATCTCGGCAGGTCAGTGACGCCCCAGGGGGTGCCAGGAAAAGATTATCGCCAACCCTCTCGTTTCAGGCGCCCAGCTCTTTGGGAGCTGGGCCTTTCTCAGCCTTTCTTGCTCCTCATTCCCAAGTTACGGAGGACTTAACCCCTGCGGGACTTCAGCCGCGGCTATCGCTCTCCCCGTATTTCTCCTTTCATGTCCACAACAGGTGCCTAGGTAAGTGTCTGGTTGGGATACGGGAATGAGGACCCTTTTTCGACCGATTCATCTTCTTGGCCGCGCAGTTGCTCCCCCAAAACACGAGCAAAAGTTCAACAATTGGAGAGCGAAGCTCCATCGCTCGGAGGGCCCGCGATTGTCACCCCTCCTCTTGGTGAGGTCTGCCATGGCTCTGGACACCACCAACCCAGGACAACCAGCCTCACGATTACGAGAAAATGGGTGAGCCAAGAACATACTAATGATGCACAATCAGCAATCTTATCCGCACAGGTCGTTGGAACCGTTGCCACCACGTTCCATCGCCGGTCGATCGACCTGGATCAAAGTCGTGATCAAGCCAGGTTGGGCTTGTACAGGGGCTTTCGCTTCCGATGATGGCAGTCCAGTTTTCGCAGCCGACAGGTTGAGAGGGAAAAGGTTCTCACTGAGTTTGGCGGGCGCTGACTCGTGCAAGACTGAGCATCGGGATGGGTTTATCTGCCTGTGGGGTTTCCAAGCTACCAAGACTTCGGACGGTTGCAAGTGGCGTTCGCCCAGTCACTATGGGAAAGCAAGTCAAGCACTCGTCTTCAACCAATCTCAATGCTTGCTAGACCTCTGGAAACCGTGGATGCCAAACTCATCATTCTGTGTCAGTCATGGGGTGCGTCACGCCAGTTTTTGTGCAGCAAACCTTTCTTTTCAGCAAGCCAGGAAACAACAATCATGGGAATTGTCTTGATAGAACAGATTGGCTGGACCGGGCGATTACGTTCACTAAAGCACAGCCTACCATACTTTTGGTCAAGGAGCTCGAAATTGGCCCACAAGATATACCCCGGACTCCACCGGAGCACCCCAAACCTGGGGTCACATCGACCCTCGGCACTCATCTGGTAGGTTGATTATCTGCAAGCTCTTGCTTGGAGCTACGCTCTTTTTGGTGGCACCTCGAAAACTGGGCATATCTTACAATTTCTGCGAAGGATGGGCTGATCCTTGCTGTCGTGCTTGATGACACCAGTGCATCCTCGATCCTGTTGTCCGGTGGATTGATTTTGACTACGATGCTTTCGGTTTGCGGATCTCTTCTAGTGTCTAGTCGATATCACACAATCTTCTCCGCCTGATGAGCGTGGATCAAGCATATCAAGCGTAAAGGATCCAGCGTTTCCATCATCGGAAGTCTTCTCACTAGACCATCTTCCTCCTTCCAAATCCCCTCTCTTCACCCCGCCTACTCCTTTCCATTGCAAAATCGCCCAACATGGCTGTCCCAGTTCCCGTTGAGAAAGCCTTCGACATAAATGAGCTCGAGCGTGCCGATACCACCGTATCGGCCACTTCTGATAAGCTCAACGACGCGAAAATCAATGCCTTCACGCCGGAGGAACAAAAGAAAATCATGTGGCGCATTGACAGACGGCTGGTACTCACTTTGGGCTTTCTCTACTGCGTCTCCTTGATGGATCGTACCAACACCGGTATTGCTGTCGTCGCAGGGATGGGAGTAGACCTCGTCCTTATTGGCAACCGATATTCGATTATGGTGCTCGTGTTCTTCATCACCTACGTTTTACTGCAGCCGCCTGCTACAGTCGTCCTACGGAAAATTGGTCCTCGCAAGTTCTTGCCCACCATCACCCTACTCTGGGGCATGACGATGTGTGCCGCCGGCTTTGTCAAGACCTGGACCGACTTGACCGGTCTTCGAGTCATTCTTGGTGTTTTTGAGGCTGGTTTTTTCCCAGGTACGTATTAGAAGTAATATGTCTGCCGGTCTTGGGGAGGGTCTATGATACATGTTCTCAGAAGAATCCCGAGACCTCTTCATCACCGTTTGGACGTTTGATCTGACTCTGGCGTTCCAGGCTGTGCCTATCTCCTTAGCTGCTGGTATCCTCGCTACGAACTCCAGAAACGTAATGCCGTGTTCTACCTGATTGGATCCATGGCGTCTGCCTTCTCTGGTATTCTCGCCTACGGCTTCTCCCAATTGAAGAACCACGGTTCTGGCCCGAAATGGTGGGGCCAGCATTATGGTCCAACGGCCGAAGACCCCGATGCGCCATCGGGCATTCTTCCTGGAATCGCGGGATGGAGATGGATCTTCATCCTCCAAGGCACCCTCACCTGCGTCATGGCCATTTGCGCCTACTTTGTGATTGTGGACTTCCCTGAAAAGGCCACAAACACGTTCGGCTTCAAGTTCTTGAATCAAGCCGAGGTCGATTTCGTCGTGGCCCGCATCGAAAAGGACCGTCATGATGCGATTCCAGAGGAGTTCCGCATCGGCAAGTATCTCAAGAATGCTTTGGACTTGAAAGTCTGGGGTTTCGCTGCGCTTTTTGGTCTGACGACGACAAACACATATGCTATTGCGTATTTCCTCCCGATTATTCTCAATGACGGAATGGGTTTCGATGTTGCCGAGTCACAGTGCCTCATTGCGCCCCCTTATGTTCTGGCTGCGATTGTCATGTATACTTTCGCCTACCTGGGCGACAAATGGCATCTTCGATCACCATTTATCCTGGCAAATGGTTGCTTGCTCCTGATTGGTAAGCTAAAAGTCGTCTCGTGTTGGTGTTTCAATTTCTAACGTGTCCTTCCAGGCCTCCCCCTTCTCGGCTACCTGGACAATGTCCCTGTCCGATATTTCGGCGTTTTTATCGCAACGGCTGCTTGTAATTCTAATGTACCCTGTACGCTCACATGGCAAGCGAATAACATTCGTGGGCAATGGAAGAGAGCGCTCTGTTCGGCCACATTGGTTGGCGCTGGAGGTATTGGGGGGATCATAGGAAGTACAGTTTTCCGCGAACAGGACAAGCCCAAATACCACCCAGGCATCCTCACCTGCATGATATCAAGCGCTCTGATCATCATCATCACCCTTGCTTTGGACCTGAAGTTCTATCGGGCCAACAAGAGAGTGGCTGCTGGCGGCAAGCCGATTGAGGGTCTTGCAGGATTCCGTTACACATACTGAGCGAAATATGGCTACATTTGTCTTATTATCGCTTGACGGAAGGCTATGGACTCTTTTCGAGTCATTGTACGCATTGGATTCATGCTATCTCTGGGGGGAGAGTCGTGGTGACCCGCGCCTCTCTATACTGGCGGAAGAGCGGAATGCCAAGCCTCACGTGAAGACGACCTCCGCCGACGTGACTGTCGACATGAATGCTTCGGAAGCACTGAAACTTGATGAAATAGTACATTACAATATGAAAAATTACTTACCTTGCATCGACTATAGAAAATACCTCAAATATAGTGAGATGGACGCAAAATGGCCGCCTTCCCGAGGTGAGAGCCGGGAAACCCCAGTTCTAGAAGCTGGGGTACATTCCCGTGGAAAGTGAAGACGATTCGAGACGCAACTACCGGTCCGCACTTCACCTGCGGCTAGGGAAGACGCCTGCCAGAAAATGAATCCTCTCGCTCACCCGCCGTGTTCTCGCTATGTCGCTGCAGAGTGACCCTATTCGGCCACGTTTTCCGATGTTAGACCTGTAACACGGATCATTGCTCGGTTTGGAGAGTGGCCCCTGGGCCACGGATCCTTTGCAGCTATTGTGTCGACAGCTTCAAGGTCTACACAAAAGTGACACGCTCATACATCAGAGCTCAGCGCAGGAAGCAAGGGCCACCTCGCCCACTTCAGGATCGCGACACACATCAAAAGCAGGCGAAAGACAATTAGTTGGAGCACATCTTCCAGGAGTTTGGGCCGGATCTGCGAACCCTTCAGGGGTGTATCAACTGGTTTCGCGAGCATCAGGAGAATCTAGGAATACCCTCTACTATCCAAGCGGACAGCTCTAGGGATGACGATGGGCAGACCGCCTGGTTCAGACACAGCAGATGTCATAAACAACGGTGGGATCCTTCTGCGTATAGAGGGTACCTAGACCACACACCATCTGCACACGAAGATTGCCCTTCAGCCAACGCTGAGTCACTTTCACTTTACGACTCCAGCGCCCGTTGTGGTCGGAGTGTGCTACACTTTTGCTGAGATCGGCTCACCTGTCGCTAATAGCCTCTTGGACCCATTCGAAACTTGAGTCGTGAATTGCACATCATCGGATCCGGATTTCTCATCCTTGCGCAAAAGCGAGGCCTCTTAATGCAGCATCCTCCCCGCACTTCGAGAAGCTCGAACGATGACCGGGCAGTGACCCCGCGAAACAACGCCCGGCTTGTTGTTGTTCTCTTTGGAAGACCCGCCGAATTTACAGTTTGTTCTAACCCCTTCAGATTCCAATCACAGCTGCCGGTAGATAATACGAGCGCAGAAGATCCTTTTGCCCCTTTCAGCGCAAAGGCATGGCTAAGTACATGCCTATCCTGGATCTGGAGATATCCCCGCCGGCTTCACGCCCCGCTGCGTCTCCACGTTCTAAACCTCTGGCTCCACAGCGGGCTCGACCCCGAGTTTCTGCGGACATTTCGACGTCTTCCAACAGAGATCACGCAACCTGGCTGTCTCAAACTAACAAGGTTGGGGCAGCCCGGACCATCAACTAATGCGTGAGGAATGGCCCTGCGGAATCTAACTGCCAACGGATTGCAAACCACAAATCTTGGCTCTGAATGCATCTCGGGTTATTGTCTCGGAATGTTGTCATTGCTCGAAAACAATGATCCTGGGCAATGCTCGGCGCCTTCTCTAGCAAAACGTTTTGCCAACGACGAGAAGATGCCTCGGTACTGGGATGGCAGATGCGACATCGTATGGCCAGGAACCGACTTCTATTGCCGATCAGTAGCCAAACGGCATATCCGCCCGCTTTACTCAGATACGAGAAAAACCAAGACAGGCAGCTGTATTGAAGCAAACACCAAACTAAGCAGACTGGAACAAGCTGTTGCACTCCATCTGCAATTCGAACACCGGAAGACTGCAACTGCGGCACCGCCAATGCTCGCTTTGCCCCTCCCCAGCGCCAGGTCCGCGATGGCTGAAGGCCAGGCCCATGGGGGAGCCACCGCAGTATCTGGTGTGCCGCAGCATTCGATTAACTCTTGTGGAATGAAGTCTCTGTCGTGCATGAGAGTGTGTATGGCTGCCGAGACCTGGGCTCCGAAAGCCTATACTCCTGTACCAACCGGCGCCTACCGCTTCTCAGTGCACAAGCACGTACAATCGTCGATGCAGATGGGAGGCGGAGACTCGAGCCGAGTCCCTGAGCGCTTCCAGAAAGAGCGGTGGTTGAGGAGATGGCTGCATGTCTCTTCGCCGAGTACTTCCTGTTTCCCCGGAGCGAGGCGGCTAAGGGAGACGACTGCAGCTCTCTTCGCTGAGCACGTTCTGACCTCTCAGGCACCCATAAGAGCGAAATGACAATGGAGGTCATTGTCACTGCCATCTCCCCGAGCTTTCACTGCCATCTCCCCGAGCTTTCACTGCCATCTCCCCGAGCATTCACATCTCCCCGAGGAGGTAGTGACAATGGAGGTCATTGTCACTCCCATCTCGCCGAGCACATGCTTCCCCCGGAGGCGAGGTGACTAAGGAGGTCTATAGTATTATGAACTCGCCAAGCACTTACTTTTCGCGGAGGTAGATGGCTGAGGTAGTCCTTGTCATCTAACCTTCCCTAGGCTCTCCGGGAGAAACATCTGAAGAAATATGCCTCCCCGAGCCTTAATATGGCACAGAGTGCAATGGCCGCTCCTTCTCCTCCAATGTCAAGATATCATCTATTGGTCTTAAGGTTGTGCATTTTCGCGATATAGGCCTGCCCCGATTGGAAGCAGTCGTCTTCAGCCTTTTATTGGTCCAATTAGGAATATTAGTATGGCAGTCACTCGGTCGTCAAGATTGCCTACGTTTTCTAACGGGCGCGTACGACTCTGTATCTAGACCGTCATGGATGGCACAAGTCTATAAAAGGTAACAAGTCTGAAGCACTTACCACTTTCTGCCAGAGAGAAGAAACTACCTCGCCTGTTCACCTTCTGCGGCAGGATTATGGTGAACGACGCTGACTTCCGAAGAACCCCTCCGTTAGCGGTGGGAGGACACGGAGGGCACCTTGGACAACGATTTGGAGATCGGGTTGACGCCCTTAATGACGATGAGAGACATGACTCATAAAGAGGTACTCCTAGGACGTATGGTAATTGATATGATATTATTGACGGGGGTCAATCGTTCCGTTGGCCTAAGCGATGTGCAGATCCTTTTTCGCGGAATGCCTCGATGAAGCGCGTGACAGCTTGATCCAAGGTTGGCGGAGCCCTATCGAAAGGAATTGTAGTAACAGCCGCATGGCGATGAGCGCGGTTGGGTTGTCACGTAGTGCGTGAACTTGATAGCTACTCCCCATGTTGAATATCAAGTAGAATTGTAGTCTTCGCTATGATACTCCCCGACACACCGGACTTCCAGGATCCAACCTCATAGAGGCTATAAATATGATGCTCGGCCAGGACCTTACCAAGGTCTTACACAAGCAGTCCACGTCGGTGGACGAAAGTGCCGAGTCAATCGACAGTGACTCTCTGCTTGCAAAGATCATTGAGCTTGTTGGTCCAGGTGCCGCCATCTCAGCTCTCCATGAGGCTGGACGTGAGCTCGCTGACTGGAGCCCGCCGTCTACAATACGAGAGCTAGTCGACTGCGTTGAAGGGCTACATGAGGGAAACACTTTGCTCCAAGAGCGCTTCCCTGACGTTGCGGCTGGGGAACTTTATCAGAGGTCGCTGCTCTGCGGCGCGAACATCTGTCGCCGAGCTGAGGCATTTGTTGAATGTTGACTCGCGCTGAGCTGAGGTACTTATCGAAGGGTGAATCGCGCTGAGCTTTTATAAGCTACCGAAGATAGGGTGGTAATAGATGCGGTAGTGTCACTCGCCTAACCTACCTAATGTACCTAGGTAGGATAGAGGTATATCACTTAGATATCGGCGAACCTTTCTGATAAGGTTAGGGCAGTATAAGATACTCGATCACTGCCGCCTTTGATTTCGATACCGAGGCCCGCCAAGATGAAATCGCTCTACTCCAGGCTGAGCTGGACACCAAAAAGAAGCTCCTGGAGAAGGCCAATGAGCGAGCTCGCGCAGCTATTCAAGATATGAAAGACATGAAGGAAGAACAAGACAAACTTATCGCCGAGTGCTATGGAAAGCCGGACTTCCAGAATGCAACGCGGGAAGACGCTGTTAACAAAATGATCGGTGAGGGCCTCACCAGGTGGCCACCTAGATATCTTAGGCCCAAGGGCCGTCCAATACATCTATATAATAGACTTGGGGTCAGCTCTCGCTAACTGGAACCCGCCGTCTATAACGCGAGAAGTTGTCGACTACGTTGAGGGACTACACTCGGGAAACGTGCTGCTCCAACCACTCGATCTCCAGCTCCTCGGTGGGCTGGACACCAGCGAAGTATTTCTCGAGGAGTGGCTCTCGCCGAGTGCTGGCTGGGTCCAGCTGTAGCTGAACTAGCCTCTCCGCAATCAGAACTGAAATAGATACCCGCGCTTGCGGCAGTTGAAGAGCGCTTTCTTGGCGTTGCGGCTTGGGAGCTTACCTACAGTTTGTAGTCGTTACTCTGCGGCGCGAATATCCATGGCTGATCCTATGCATTTGGCAAAGGGCGAGCCGCGCTGAAGATTCAAAAGCTTGTTTCCCAGAACGACAAGAGAGAAGCTCTTCTGCGACAGCAGAATACACTCCTGACAGAGCAGAATGTACTCCTCAACAGGCTCGTCGAGCTTTCAGAACAGGATAGGTGCTTGGAAGCAAGAACAATGGCTTCAGAGACAGAAGGAGTAGATCCTCATCATCTTCAATAAGTTGGTCTCCATCGAACAGCGCGATCCCGGCCTCAAGTTAAGCCGCTGTGTCGCCAAGAAATGTGCCGTCCTGGCAGTATAAATAGCTCATAAAGTTTGGGAATAGGTGACCAAAGGGTCTACACTTAGGCCTAATGGACGAAGGACTTTTCAGTCGACAAGTGCCCAAGTTCAGGGATCCTCAAAATGACCTAGTAACGGCCCGGGACGTGGTGGATCATCTCGAACGGAGGGCAGAGTCCGAGAAAATCATCCCAGGCGGGTCTTGCTAGAGACAACAGGCACCCGACAGGTAAGGGCCGCTGAAGCTGAGGTAAAACTTTGGATCCAGTGACCTTCTACCACTCAAATAGTCTGATCAAGAATATTCCCAGGGCAGTTCCTTGTTGGTCCAGCTTGTCTACATCTGCATGCTATCGGCGGCGATCCCGCTCTCAATCGAGAGGGTGGAAATCACTCCTTTCCATCTCAGTCTCCCACCTTGTGTACATCTTCATGTCACCGGCTGTCACCGGCGGCCATCCTGCTCTCAATCAGGAGGCTGCAAATCACTCCTTCCCATCTCAGCCTCCCACCTCCGCAACCCAAACCTGACTCTGCCAATCCTGGGCATCTTTTGGAGCGCTATTGTCTCCATGCGGAGCACCGTCTCTCGCCACAGGCATTGATTTGTCCAGTCATAGGAGCACATCACCGCGCGTTGCATGCCTCCTTCCGAGCCGCAGAGGAGAGCAACAGTGGGCGGTCGAGCAGCACGAAATGTAGTTACAGTCCTATCAACAAAGGTCAGCGATGTGGAAGGGAAAGGCGGTCCGAGTGTATAGAGACGGCACATACATTGTATTCGTGTCGACCAGGGTGAAAAGTCTCAGCTTTTCACCCGTTGTCGATACCGTTCCCGCACCACCTCTCTCGTTCTCGCCTGCCAGCAAAGGGTCCATGCCTTCACACTCCTCCTCCAAGAATTCCCTATTCACCCGGTGATGGGACATATTGCTGGCATAAGGTGCCCAGGAGAGCCGTTCCGACGGGAATCCGAAAATCTTCATCTCAATCTTCCTCAGGGACATGTGTCCTTCGAATCCAAACAGCCACGGCTGGGTATTCCACACTTTGCCTCCATAGATGTGCAGAATCAGCATTGGCGAGAGAAGGATGGTGACCAACGCCATGATTAGGAACAATGCCCCTATCGCCTTTCCCGTGGGGTTGTTTGCTAAAGATGCGGTAAGGACACCGGTGAAGAACCATGCGGGTGTGCCGCGAACAAAGTACCGAGCGAGCATGCGCGACCACGTCTCTCGCGTAGTGATGGCGACACGTTGGAATCTATCCCAGTGGACTGTGGCCCCGTACGCGCCGTCGAGAATCACGGTGTCGTCCTGACCGATGCCCGCGACTTGACAAATGGGTTGGATGTCCCAGAGTTTGGCACCCCAGTAGTCGTCAAGGTTGGTCCAGTAATGCCTCTTCTTGCTTTCTTCGCCGAGTGGACTCTTTACGTACTGGCCATTGCCGCCAATCGCTGCTCCCGTGTTTTGGTTGTAGTGTCGGTCGCTGGAGACGGAATCGTGGCTGTCCTCGAATGGCAGTAAGCAAATCATCCTTTCCAGAAGCCTGTCACTGTCGTTCGCTAACGAGAGGCGCGCGAAAGCTTGGAACGCAGAGTCTGTCTGGTCGACCTTGGGCCGTTGCCTCAGCAAGCCCATCAACGCGTACGACAAGTCCCCTTCGAGATATTTTGTCGTCCCCTTTTCCACCCGGCGTTTAAGACATTCCAATGCCAGAACCACGAGCTCGAGTCGACTCAATGCCAGAGATCCCTCGTAGTTATCGATCAGCTGTCTCGCCACGTCACCGTCGTCCCAGACTTGGGCAGGAAACTCCATCTTGGAGATTTCCAGTGGCGCACGCATATCTCCCCCTCGCGTGTATACCTGTATCTTCTCCCCGGCAGGACCTAGCAGAACTTCCGGCCATGTCCACATGCGTGTACCCCATTCTTTCAGCAGGTCGAGCGTGGTAACTGATGGCGGAAGATGATCTTGGCCTGTCCGGCCCACCACGATGACGATCTTTGCCGCACCACGGACGACGTCGCTGATTCGGTAGACATCTTCTTGGAGCTCAGCCTTGTCAGTGGACATGCAGCATTGATCGGTCCAATAGGCTGCGACATTTGCCCTTTCGGCGGCCTTTCGAGCGATCCTGTGGAGCGCATCTGCGTCGGATGCTGCATCTCGGCATTGAGGACAGTTGCAGTATGAAGAGCCGGTGCTCTGGATATCTTTCCTCGCGTCGGCACATCGCCGCTCGAACTGGTTCTCGGCGGTATAAGAAATGAAGATGTACGTCGGCTCAACGCCTCCTCCGTGCTCGTCAATCCAAACCTGCGGGTCTAGACAGCCTCTCGGATTATTATCGGTCATACGATCCAGGAAACACAACAGGCGTGGACGGAGACATCTCTCGGAGAGTCTGAAGTCGTTCGCGGTCCCGAACGATCCAGGCTTGGGCATCTGGCCTTTGTTCTCGCGGAAGTTGCGCGCAGACAGCGGGTAAGACCAATATCTGTAAGGCACAGGATCGTAATATCCATGGTTGCGGACTTGGCCTTGCACGTCGGTTGGGAAGGTCATCAGCAACAGCAGGCCAATGCAAGTAGGTAGCCAGCGAAGGCCGATGTGAAGCCATTGTTCTTGCTTCCAAGCACCTACCCCAGCAGACGATGATTCGCCTGAGCCATAATCGGCTGAGAATCTCGGGCTTGCATTAGGCATGTGCGAGTAAGGCCAGTAAGCCAAGCGGATGAGCCACGGGCTGACGTTCTCGATATATGTCCTGCGCCAGGTCGTGTCGTTGTCCGTGTCGTAGATCTCGTTGACTGTCTGGACGAAAAGCTTCTCCACCCTTCCGTCCAGCGGATCTAGGTATCGGTCATCATTCAACCCGGCATGCTTTCGCCGAAAGACATCCCTGTGCCGGTAGAAGTTGATCTGCCCACCATTACCTGATCTGTAGTAGTGACCAGGGAGTTGATAAGAGTGGGGAGACGTCCAGCTGAACCAAGCGCGCTCGTGGAAGAATTTCGGGTCAAGCCAATAAAACATCCGCTTGATGTGCAAGTTGTTCGAAAACCGATTGAGTAATGTATCTGCATCGAAGACGTATGGATTATCGTTCGGCGCTTTGACGGCGTGGACTTCATATTCATCCGCATTGAATTTTTGCTGGGCCGTAAGAGGAGTTGCAAAGTCGTTGCTTACCGAGACACCATCATTGATGGACTGTTGGGCTGTTAAAGCCTCGTCCTTGCGCCAGGCTGCAGTTGGCGGGATGAACTTACCACATTGTTCGTGGAAGGTGCAATGCTGTCGGGATGGTTGTATGCTGGAGGACCATAATAGGTGTCCGTGTTGTACTAAAGGCATTCAGTCTCAGGAGACATTTGACAGCACAGAGAGAGGACAATTGAGCGTACAATGTGAGCATCCGGTACTGGATCATGGATAGAAGGCGGAACGTAGGATGTATCACTCATCGGCAGTGCTTCGTAGGGGGAGCGCGATTCTCGGCCTCCCGAAGTAGAGCGCGGCGCTATCCTGCTCGGATTCTGTCGCGCGGGGGGAGGACTGTGAATCATGTATTCACTCCGGCCCATGTGGGAGCGGGAATAGAAATATGGGTTGTATTCCGTCGATCCGGAGGCCCCCTGCCGCTGTCCGTACGGTCGTTGTGCCGACAGAGGATAGCTAGTGGGAATGAATGACAAGATATTTTCAAGAATTTACTGCCACGCTTACTTTTCCTCACTTTGTTCTCCGTTCCACCAGCCTTGTCCATGGCTTACCTAGTGGCTGCATTCAGTACGCAAGATAGTTATAGGTTGGATAACGAGCACTTACCATTTTCAAACACAATCGCTGTCCGGTAGACGGTACCTAGAAGCGAAATACCGGCCTGGACATGCCCGAAACTGGATAAGAGAGATAAACGGAAGACGAAGAGGCAGCACGAGGTCGGACAGCACTTATCAGGGGGCAGCTCCAGACTCACCCCGCCTCCTCTGTCTTTTGCCAAGTCCTGTCAGCGAGTCGACCTATGCATCCAAGACAATGGAGCTCGTAATGGACGGCAAGCACCAACTCAAAAGGCTCGGATACCTGGAAAATCAAATCTACGATTGGCCGCGCTAGGGCGGAAGAAGTTCTGGCCCCGGTTGTAGGACAGAGGGAGGTGTCTTGAAAGGGCGGCTGATACCTCGAACATATTGCAGACATTCAGATTGACTTTGGGGAGCACAGACTTACTGACTGCTCGCCGCAGGAGCCGGAAGTACCGCCATTTCTCCTGCATACGGCAGGAGCTGTCTCCCTCTCTCTGTATTCCTCTCTGCCACCGTCGGAATTAAGCGAGAGCTCAACTAAAGGTCAGTCAGTCATAGAGAATGCCTCGGACAAGGGGCGCCTTTGATTGGCTGCCTGCTCGTGATTCCGGGGGCTAGGCTGGTCTGGGCTTCTGAACACGAAAGGTGCCAGCTGATTCGTAGCCAGTAGAAATCATCATGGCAAGAATAGAGTTCACGTTCTTGGGAAGTAACAGAGACATGCTGATCATGGAAAGATTGAAGAGTTAGCATCTTGCATGGTGGCTGGGAAATAAAGTCATAAACCTTTTGCTCCTGTGGCCGAGTTTAAATTTGGAATGACCGCAGAGGGCCGCAATAGTCGGCCTAGCAACATGACGTCACAGCTTGATCACAAAACACTCTTGAAATCTGACATTTCCGCCCTATACCTGCAAATCAGGGTGTGTGCACAACAGGAGAATGATCTGTACAAAAGCACAGCAGACAGTATCGGGAGATTGGGCGGGTAGAATACTTGATGTTTGGCAAGGCTGAAGGCTTTTCCACTATACCGGATTGGGCATGTTTGTCGCGTAGCCCCGCCAGTCACGTGCCTGCGCTTCGTGAGCTTGTCGTCCACTGTTTATTTACATCTTCGGCTTGGCAACTGAACAACGGCGACAACGGCTCCATCATTCTCACTGCGCTTTCGCTTTGGGTCTATTCCGTATTGTCCGGCTGCGCAGCCGCAGCTTGCACTCTCAGGCGCTGTCTTCAAGGCACTTCTGACTTCTCCCACACGCGCTGTCGCTCGTTACCTTGCTCTATACTTGTTTACTGTTTCCAATCACATTTTGACTTGCTTCCTCACTACGACTCTCGATCAGCCAAAAGCCAGATGCTGCACCTACCTCGATCAATGCGACGTGAACCACCGTGACATTAAAACTGAGTGTGCAGCTCAGTCAGAATGGCCGTCCCTCAACTACCTACGAAGTTTCCTTGCTGGTGTCGCGCGGTGTATTCATGGGGCGGTGAAACAGACAGAGACCTCGGGTTCATCGAAGGTGACTTGATAGAATGTCTCAACGCGGGAGACGGGTCCTGGTGGATGGGGAGACTACTCAGAGACAGGAGAATGATGGGCCTGTTTCCCTCAAACTTCGTCGTTGTGCTCGAGGAAGATTTCGTCCCCATGCGCCGATCCGCCAGTCCCCTACCTGATCTTCACAAGAGCAACAGTGGAAGCAAGAAGACGCCACAGGAAAAGAAGGAGAAGGCAAAATCAAGACGCCCTTTTAGTGGTTATAAGAGCGCGACATCTCCTGCAGTCAGTAGCACAGCTCTACCTCAACAAGCCGCGCCTGTCTCTGCACCAGCACCACAACCCTATGACACACGGAATCCTCCCTCGACGGTCTTGTGGCAGCAGAGGCCACCGTCCAGAGCTCCTGCAAGATCACCATCTCCTCTACCACATCATGAAATCGGTTCTTCTCCCCCGCCGCCTCCTCCACCCCACCGGATTATTGGGGGCAGAGCCGCATCACCTGCACCACAAGCCTTCGACATGAATGATCGATATCAGTCATTCTCTCGTACTCCTTCCCCAGCACCTCCCTCAATCAACGGACATACTCCCCCAACGATCCGGAGCGCCATGGACGATGTCATGTCTTCTCTTGAGGATATGACGTTAGTAAGACAGGATTCAATCCAACAAGAGAAGCATTTCAATCCCTGGTCTCCAGAAGCCTTTGACGACTTCCGTCGACCCGAGTCTCGTCCGGGTCCTCGTCCACTTACCAGTCTAGGGCTGGGCGCTGGAGGCAGCACTTTCTCCGAAGCACGCATCAATTATAGCAGTCGCCATAACAGCCCAGATCGATACCAGGATGGTCCTCCTCGGTTGGAGAACTATGTACAGAGGATGGAAAGTCGATTACGCCGTATGCAACAGGCTCGAGAAGGGCAGGATTTTGATGCTACGGGCAGTGACCCTCCAGAACCACCACCTAAGAATTCGCCGTGGGCTGGCTCATCAAGTGCCGGTCGTCGACTGTCAAAGCGAAGGAAATCTGCCGTCGATCTCGGTGATGGAGCTCTCTCAAGAGCCCTGACACAAAAAACCAATGTGACGAACAACAGTAGCTCCAGCAGCGGAGCGCAAAGTTCTGCAAGCACAGGAACCAACTTTTCGCACCAAACAGCAATGACTGCCCAAAGCATTATGAGCGGATATTCTGCTGGTGCATTTAGCGCTACAAGTGCAGGCAGCCTCGCGAGGAAGAGGATGGGCAGTCTTCGGGAGCGTGTGGCAAGACCAATGACAAGTACCGGCACCAGGGATGAGAATTGGGGCCAAATGGAAGCACGACCGAAGACACCAAACACCGCAGCATCCTTCCACTCAAACCATGACTCCAGGCAAGGGGCGAAGTCGGCAATTGGCTGGGATGACGCAAATCGAGGTGCAAATGGTGGACTAGGGGGTTTTACGACTCCCAAAGCCAAAAAGCAGGGCTTCTTCAAGAAACTGATCGACAGTGCAAAGACCGGTGCTGCGAGCGCCCGGAGTACCATCTCCTCCAGTCAAGCAGGAAGCAATTCTGGGTCGCCCACAAAACTGACGGGCATCGCCGGCGGCACCGCTTTCAATGCACCGATAACCGCTCATCAGTCAAATAGCGCTTTCGGAAGGGATGCTGCAAGAGAGATGGGATTGACCAGCGGAGCCTCTGGTTCGTACATTCTCACTCGACGCGACGTCAATCGATCAAATACACCTGGACCATCAGAACGACAAGAACGGGCTGATCGGTGCCAAATGCTGGATCAACCTGTTATTTGCCCTGTAGAAGAACTGTACGAGAACCTTCAGGGAGACGAAGACGCCGACAGACGACCTGTTTATGCGCCGTTCCAGCTCAGCAATCCAAGTTTCAGTCAAGTGGACAAGGCCGCTCGTTTCATCACGAGCATTCCTAGCAGCATAACGGCGGCAGGCCTCGCTACGGGTTTCATATGCCGTCCATATCGAAGTGGCGTGCAAAGACTACGAGCGATATTCATTTGGTGCGCCGAGAGGATCAGCTGGAAAGAAGACCAATTTGACGGCTACGATTTCAATCAACCAGTCGATACCAGAAAAGTCATTCAAACCAAACGAGGAAGCAGTCAAGAGGTTGCAGAGGTCGTGCTTGAAATGTGCATTGCCATTGGCATTCACGCGGAAGTCGTGCATGGGTACCTGAAAACACCCGGTGAAGAACTCGACTTGGACGCCATTTCTCGTCCAAACCATTTTTGGAACGCTGTGCTCGTTGACGGAGAGTGGAGAATGATAGACGCCAGCCTTGCCAGCCCAACCAACCCAAAAAGAGCATTATATTCGAGTGTCAGCTCCAGTATCGCGGAAGCTTGGTATTTCCTAACACGGCCGAGCGAACTGTGCTGGACACATGTCCCCGTCGAAGATGGCCAACAACATATGATCCCCAGCATCAGTCCTGACGTGCTTTTAGCGCTGCCTGGAACGTGCCCGCCGTTCTTCAGGCAGGGGCTGTCAATGCATGCCTATGACACCAGCATCATTAGACTTGACGGCCTAGAAATGTGCACATTTAGCATCAATGTCCCTGCCGACGTTGAAATAGTCGCAGAGGTGGAAGCCAGGAGGTACCTCTGCGATCAGGACGGCGATGTTTACGAGGACGCTGACAATCTGACGAAAAAAAGAGCTCTTGCACAACCAAGCTGGTACAGAACAGTGCCTAACACAGATGTCGCCCAGAAACGCTATGTCATCAAGGCAATTCTCCCAGGGGATGAAGGCGTAGCATATGTCAAAGTGTATGCTGGGAAGAAGGGTTTGATGCTTTCTTCGAGGGATATCGTCCACCCTTTAGCTCTCGCGGTACCTCTGTACCACTCAGGCGAGAACCCGGCTTATGAGTTCGTCATGCGACATCCTACGCCGCACGCCACGCGGCAAGATCTCTACGTTGTGCAACCGCAATGCTACCGCCTTGGGGCCGGAGAAACATATGTCTTTTGCGTTCGTCAACACGCCGCGTCTGTAGCATCTACACCTGCCAACGAACAGAACGGCTTTGACCTCCGGCCTGTTAGTCCCAACCCACTCGCACGCCCCACCAGCGCAATGAGCATGACTAGCAGCACCACCGGCTCCAATCCCAGCGAATACAACAACAGTGCGGCTGGCGTCAAAATCAAGGACAAGCCCGCAAAGCTGGCGATCCAGTCTCCTGGTGGGAAAATCATCAGGTTGAACCGGAAGCATGAGGGGATTCCGCAGCCCGCAAGTCTGAAGGAGGTGGATGGCGAGGTGCTGGGAAGCTTTTGGGAAACTGCGGTCAAGGTTCAAGAAAGGGGTATCTGGAGGGGCCTGGTCCTGGCCGATCGGAGCGCCAGGTGGTGTGTTTGGGGAGAGTGGGAGTGCGTCTGATGGTGGACGTCGCGAGATTTTCCATGTCTCTGGAGAGTTGGTTAATGTCGGTACGCAAGAGGGAGTCAATTTGGCATAGGCCGCCGGGACACGGACATGGATTTGGGATTTGGAACATTTGGGGGAGCCTGCCTTTTGGAGACAAAAGTTCCGGACTATTTGTGTGTTGGGCAGCTGGCTAGGATACGCAGGAAGCTGAGCGAGTTGTGGTTTATCGTGCCAGCTTTCTACAGACAAGGATTTCCTGGCGCCATGACTTTGCTTTCTGCATTGATGCTTGACGACACGTTAGAATGTTCGTCATACACGTCTTGTACAAGTACAATTTCGAGTTCTCTTGGAACTGATGATCGGTTGATACGATGCGCCTGTCGAACCTCGCCTATGCTTTCGAAAGTCATTCTCTTTTCTGTCCCTGATCTTAGAATAACTCTATTCTCCGGCCGTAACTGCCTATCGCTAGAGAAAAGGTAGGAGATCTAGGAGTTCACTGGCATCCAATGCGCACTCCATCCTGCTTGACCACCGATAGCCGAAGCCTCGCTTGCCAATTGCTTCGGATATGGTCAAGTCATCCTCACCCTATTCACAATGCGCTGCGAAGCCTTTGAGCCGTCCAAACCGTGATGCAGCCCGACACTTCCATGTCCAGATTGAATGGCTCTGAGGCTGCTCTCAAGGTCATTGATGCTTGCCGGTTTTTCTCCGCTGCTAAAAAGAACACGAAAGCCTCAAGAGTGGGGTAAGTTGACAGTGGACCATCCTCCGAAGGTATAGATAACTTGAGTAGCCGAGGCCGAGAGCCTTTGATAGAGGACTTTTATACCTGTGCCAAACATCTACTTGATCATAGACGACAGGTCAACTCCCTCGGGCAGGTCGCAGTAAAGCTGGAAGCCAAAGCAGCAGCGACCGACTATGGCCAACACGAATCCAAATGAATTCAACCCCTCGGGCCACTTCGATAAACTCTCGTCCAGTTATGACGATCTGATTGGCCTCATGACAGGCGACATTGGACGCTACACTCTACAGGCACTGATCGAACCACCAAACTCGGATATGGTGATCCATGACAACGCCTGTGGCACAGGTCTGGTCACGGAATACCTCCAGCAGGTTTCATCGACTACGGGAACATACCCAAAGATGATCTACGCGACAGACTTTGTGCCCTCTGTGACCAGAATCATGCAGCAGAAAGCCGCGCGACAACAGTGGAGGAACATTGACATCTCGGTCATGGACAGCCAGGAACTCACATTCCCAGACGCGCTCTTTGACCTGAGCATCACCAATTTCGGGATCTTCTTTCTCCCCGACCCGCAGAGAGGGGCGGATCAGATATACCGCACACTGAAACCCGGAGGCCTCGCGGTGGTCACTGCATGGAAGGAGAGGAGGATGATGGACACGATTGTCGTGGCGCAAAAGACCATCAGGCCGGATCTGAAGACCCTGTACAGTCCCTGGGCGGAGCTCTGGTCCAAGGAAGAAACGCTGCGGAATGTCCTCGTCAACGCGGGGTTCAAGGCCGAGAATATCAAGATCGTGGAGAAAAGGACGGATTCGTTGGCCGAACCATTCCTTCGAGATCCGGAGATGGTCGCGAGGTCGTACCCTGCGGCTGTGGAGGGGTGGAGTGAGCAGGACAAGGCCAAGTTGGGACAGGAGATTTTGAGGCTTGCTCGCGAGAGGGATCCCGAAGGCGGAGGCGTTGGTGGCATCTACTCCGTGGCGTATATCGCGATAGCGACAAAGTAGGTGTTGATGAGTTGGCCGAATCCTGGCGTACTACAAGTCTTATAGTATTTCCTTTCATTTCGTAGTACGCTCTGGGAAAGAGTTAAGAGGCATTCTTGCGAGCAAAATGCCATGACAAGACTGTATCCCTAGGGGCGATTTGGCTACTTGTCTTGTACATATACGCCCGCTGTGGTTGTCTACCTCTCAAGCCATTTGAGGGCATATCTGTTAGGAACAAGGCTATTTGGTAAATAAAGACGCGCAGACTCAAAATAATAGTGATTTCAGGCGTAGAATAATGCAGCTTGGGGATCCTTCCATCGAAAAGGAGAGAGGAGTGGGAAACATGTCATCCCTTTCTAATGTCTGCCGTCAGATTCTCCATAGATAGATCTACCCGGCACCCATCGGGTAAGACACGCGGACGTTCTCTGCAGAAAGATAATGCGGAGTGTGTGACTTACTGCAAGAATACCTCAGTATTTGACATTCTTACCATACCGCACGGATCAGGCCTCAGCTGCTAGTAGTAGTCTGCCTATCTGTGATGACCATGGTGCTCTTGCAATTCCTCCGACAGGCCTTAATGCGTGGTGCCCAGCCTCCCGAGGTCTGTTATCGCGCCGATCGAGTCTATCTTTGTGGCCAGTCAGGTTCTCAAAGTTTCTTTTTTCTTGGGAGCAACGTGCGGGGTGGCCTCATGCCATCCATATCTGCGAGTCAAGAGAGTTCAGGATGACAGCATGGTTCATATAAGGGCCGTCTCCTTCGCTGGAACACTCGAAAGTATATCAAAACGCTACCTCACAACAAATCCAGTCCATAGATTGCGCTGTTTACATTCGACAGGCATCCTTCCTTGATCAAACCCAACAAAATGTCGTCCAAGCCTGTCATCGTCCTGGTGCCTGGCGCTTGGCATGTCCCCGAGGCCTACCATCTCGTAGTTGGTGAGCTGGAGGCGGCCGGCTACGAGACCAGGGGTGTCAAATTCGCCTCCGTCGGCTCGCCCGAGCCGCTCAAGGACATTCAACCAGACGTGGAGGCCATTCAACAAGTGATGAGACCTTTGATCGAAGACCAGGGAAAAGACGTCTTGCTCGTCGTCCACTCGTATGGGGGAGTGGTAGGAAACGAAGCCGTGAAGGACTTGGACAAGGCCTCGCGTGCAAAGCAGGGCAAAAAGGGAGGAGTATCGCACATCTACTTTTGCTGTGCATTCGCCCTTCCCGAGGGTGTGTCCTTGATGGACGCTCTGAACCAGACGCCTTTACCGTGGTTCCAAATCAATGACTCAGAAGACATTGTTACACCCGCCACGCCAATTGACACCTTCTACAACGACGTGGACGGTCCAGAGAAGTACGTGGCGATGCTGAAGCCGCATAGTTATCGCACCTTCTTTTCAAAGATGACGAACCCTGGCTGGAAGTATATACCGAGTACATATCTGCTGTGTGAGAAAGATGAGGCGATCCCACTTCATGCGCAGAAAGGCATGGTCGAGGGAGCTCAAAAGGCCGGGGCACAGATGAAGGTTGAAAGTATGGACGTCAGTCATTCCCCGTTCCTGAGTATGCCACAGGAGCTAGCGAGGTCGATTAGGCGGGCGGCGGGTGAGTCAGTGTAACGGAGAAAGACTGCAAGAACTATCTCCAACGGGGGAATAGAAGGAGAAGATGTTCTGGAATTGACAGCTTTATGCCTCGATATAATTAGTGATTAGGATCCTTGTGAAAGCAAGCTACCGCCAGATATTATGCCCTCCCACAACCGCCTCAGGGCAGGGCGGACGAGGCTGGATGCTCCGCCGTACTACCCCGGATCTGGCCTCTTTTCCGATTGGCTGTCGATGGCTGCAAGGGCGCAGACGAAAAAAAGATTCCGACTTCCTCCCCGAGATTTTCTCATGCGCAACAAACACATCCTGCGCCGAGAATACAAAATCTAATCCAGCACGGTAATACCTTTTGCCTTCCTACATGTAACCCTTGACCGTCCCATATTCGACTGGAGCTAGTATAACGCTCGGGGTTCGCCTTATCGAAGACCATGCCTCTACCTTAGGTCTCACTTCCTGCCCTCTCCCCCGCCATGAGTCAAAGTAACCCTCCTCCCAAACCCTCCTCTCTAGACCACGGCAACAGTGTCTCTTCTCCCGCACCTTTGCACCCTAAACCTCGCTCTGCTGTACCCTCATACCTCTTGAATGGTTCTTCCCCTCTGCAACGTTCCCAGACCACGACAACTCGAGCTCAGGAACGAGAGAACCTCGCATCTTCCATTAAAGCTACGTACGGCCGACGGAAAACCATAGACTTCACGGCCGAGGGTCAAACGGCCTCTCAGGCCACCATGCCGAGCGGCACATCATGGCTGGGCCTAGAAAATACGCAAAAGGACAACGACTCGAAACGTCCTACACCGCTGCACACCCCAGCGCGAGATGAGCGAGATGAAGCACCGCCCACCCCTCCTGCCTCCACGGTGTCGCGTCCCGCAAGCCCATATACACAGCATCCGCCTATTGACTTTGACGGCCTTTCCTGGCCGTGTATTGGCACTCGCGAACGCCTCGAACAGACCCCCGAACAAGCACAAGTCCGCCTCGACAAACTCGCCGGAGCGGTCAGGACAATTTTTGAATGTATAGGCGAAGACCCGGACCGCGAGGGACTGCGAGATACCCCAGAGAGATACGCCAAGGCGCTGATGTACTTCACCAAGGGCTACGAGGAGAACGTGCGCGATTTGGTCAACGGGGCCGTGTTTCATGAAGACCACGACGAATTGGTTATCGTCAAGGACATTGAAGTGTTCAGCTTATGTGAACATCATATGGTGCCATTTATCGGGAAGATGCATATTGGGTATATTCCCAACCGGCGCGTGCTTGGGTTATCCAAGTTGGCCAGGTTGGCCGAGATGTTCTCACGCAGATTGCAAGTTCAAGAGCGGTTGACGAAACAGGTTGCACTGGCGATTGCCGAAGTTCTGAAACCACAGGGCGTCGCGGTCGTGATGGAGAGCAGCCATCTTTGCATGGTGATGAGAGGCGTGCAGAAGACGAGCAGCTCGACGACGACGAGTTGCATGCTAGGCGCCATGCGGAGCAGCGCCAAAACAAGAGAAGAGTTCTTGAGCTTGTTGAACAGGAAATGATGATCCCTGCGTGTATAGATCAACGAGGCTTTCAGCTCTAGGTTTGCGTCATGAAAAGAGATATGTCTGGGGAATGAGGCGCTTCTGGTGAAACTTCAACAAAAAGGAATGGCGTAACCTCAACTCAACGGCGGTTAACTTGCTATTAATACCAAAGGCGAACAGTACTTCGCACTGGTAGGTGGATATTTGGGAGCCTTGTTAGCTAATAAATATGGATATGTATGGGCTCTGATGCAGCTGCTATGCCACTTCGCATCCTGTCCCCTCAAAGCACAAGGCAATTGGATACCCTTCAGGTTTCGTTCCCTGCTAGGACCCTAGAAAAGCTCAGGGAGAGACTCGCAACGCCAGTACCTGTCGTGATATATTTCCTCAGGCGCTGCACGTGACGCATCTTGGCACAGCTTTGCTCACGGGCATGACTTCAGATATTGTCCCTCATGAATTGTGGCCCGTCTAATAAATGAATTAGACCAGATCCCCGAAACTCCCTGGCATCAGCAGAGTTGACAACGACCCTGCTAGGCTTGCGATAGCCTCTGATCCGAGTACGGTCGAGCCGCATCATTAGCGCAATCAAGTCTGGTAAGGCCGTCATTTCAGGGCGGACGGAAAGCGTTCCGGATTCTCTGGTAGCCAGCTAATGTTACTAGATTTTGCAAGTGAGGCAGTCCTGACAGCCTTGATTCCTCAAGCCAACCTCGTGACTCATCTTCCGTACCATTTTGCTTCCACTTATACAGACACACTTCTCGTTCAAATCGGGGTTCGGGGCAGAGCGGATAGGTATCGCTGTCGAAAATGGGCAAGCTTGTCACAGTAGCAACTTGCTCTCTCAACCAGTAAGTCCGTACCTCGAGCCCGACCAGGACAACCTCTGACACATTCCAGGTGGTCACTTGATTTCGATGGCAATGCAGAGCGCATAATTACTAGCATCCAGCAGGCCAAAGCAGCGGGGGCTCGACTCAGAGTCGGTCCTGAGCTGGAGGTTTGTGGATATGGAGTACGTGGTCCCGGCATGATGCCCGTGTATTGTCCAAGTCTCTATATTTTCAACTCTGTCTATTCCGAAACGACTGGTCGTGCTAACTAGTCATCAGTGTGCGGACCACTAGTAAGCCTTATGACCTACGATCTCCTCAGTTGCCGCTAACCATAGCAGCTTGGAGGGCGACCTCTTTCTTCATTGCTGGGAATCGCTGGCGACCATCATCACCCACCCAGACGTCAGCGACTGTATTCTCGACATCGGCATGCCCGTGCGCCACAATTCAGTCCGCTACAACTGCAGAGTCATTGTCTTGAACAAGAAGATCCTTCTCATCCGTCCCAAGATGGCCATGTGCGAGGAAGGCAACTACTTTGAGTCTCGATGGTTCACTCCTTGGACACGGCGACGAGAAGTTGAAGACTACCCGCTCGAAGATGCAATCAGCAGCGTCACCGGCCAGCGGACAGTATGTCAAAGCCTGTGTTCATGACCGCCGCTCTAGAGCTCTGATCGATCTAACGATGATAGGCACCATTCGGAGATGGAGTCCTCCAGACCATCGATACTCTGGTCGGTGCAGAGACGTGCGAAGAGCTATTCACTCCAAATGCTCCTCATATTCACATGGGATTGAATGGCGGTATGTCGACTTGAGAGCTGTTCTGTTAATGCTAGGCTCTTGTCCTCTTCTCCTATCTCTCGCTGTTTGGCCTTTCGTCGCTAATGAGTCATCAGTTGAGATCTTTGTTAATTCCAGTGGCTCGCATTATGAACTGCGAAAGCTCCAAACCCGTGTCTCTCTGTGAGTCCTCGACCATGTCCAAGTTTGTGTGGAATCTGGATGCTTGACGTCCCGAACCTTGAGCTAGACGAGCTGAGCGACGAGGCTGACTTCGTGGCTGTAGCATTCGAGAGGCTACAAGACAGAACGGTGGAATATACGTGGTACGTGATCCTGAAAACCTCCTCAAATGATGCCCTTCTTCTCCCTGTTCTGTGTTTGAATACTTCCAGTGCTAATGCCCAATAGTACTCCAATCAACGAGGCTGCTCCGGAGACAGACTGTACTAGTATGTCCCGACCGAAAGCTGTCCCAATGATGTCTCATCATTGTCTTTGCCTGCCACCTGTTCTGACATAAACTTTCGTGCTAACAAATGAGAAGTGATGGGTGCGCCATGATCTTTGTGAACGGCAGACTTCTAGCTCAAGGAAGCCAGTTCAGCTTGAACGACGTCGAGACTATCACTGCAAACGTCGATCTCGAGGACGGTACGTGATGCTGGAAAGGACTCCGTCCACCACTGAGCTTTACCGCCTTTCTCAAACCACACCTGTACCAGTGGTTGGTTCTAACCAGTTGGTAGTGCGATCATTCCGCGTTTCTCATTCGCGAAATCTCCAGGGTGCCCAGGCTGCGCCATACCCCCGAATACCTGTCGACATCCGCTTGATGCACCCGGGCTTTGAGCAGACCGGAAAATTAATCGCCCTCTCTCCAGATATCTCAATTCGCTATCATTCTGCCGCCGAGGAAATTCAATTGTAAGTGGTCTTCCATATCCCTGGAAACGTTCATGTGCACATCTCGAGGGAAGCAAGAGGACCAGCACTGCTTGGTTCAGCCTCCATCCCCAAATTCGCCGATCTATCCAGGATCTAGGATCTGCTCTCCCAACAATCTTTCTATTTGACCTATCCAATCAAAGTGGTCTATTGCTAACGGACCTTTCCCCATGACCAGTGCTCCTGCTCTTTGGCTCTGGGACTACCTTAGGCGCTCCAGAACTGCGGGCTATTTTTTGCCCCTATCTGGTGGTATCGACTCAGCATCAACGGCTGTGCTTGTGTTTTCAATGTGCCGGCTACTTTATGATGCTGTCACATCTGATCAAACCCTGGCCCACACCAAGGAGCTTGTTCTGAACGATCTTCGTCGAGTCTGCGCACAGGCGGATGACTGGACCCCGTCCAGCCCACAAGAGATCTGTGGTCACATTTTCCACTCCACTTACATGGGCTCGAAGTACGTGAACACTGTCCGACAATGCAAAAGCATAAGACCTCACTTTTTCTTCATGCGCTCCAACATTCAGTGCTAATAGACAGCAGGAACAGTAGCAAGGAGACTAGGTCCAGAGCGGCAGCACTTGCGAAAGCGATCGGATCTTATCACGTCGACCTCAACATTGACGGCGTTGTTTCGGCCCTGACCACTCTCTTCACCACCGTCACCGGATTCACACCGAGTTTTACTTCCGAAAATAAGTCCGAAGGGCTTGCCTTACAGTACGTCTGCCTCAATAACAGCCTGTTCCGTCCCAAGAGCTTTCGTCTCTCTCTCTGCGTTTCCATATATCGGCTAACGAGTACCAGAAACATCCAAGCGCGTATACGTGTAAGTTATCTCAATCCGAAGCGCTGAAAGTGTTTGATCAAGCTTTTGGACTTGCATGAACGACCAATGAGCTAACGAAGTGGCAATTTACAGATGGTTATAGCTTACTTTTTGTACGTATTCCCAGAGCGAAGCTCCTCGGAGACTGGGAGATTGTCCTCTTCCTGTTGCAATTGGGTACAGCTTTGGCTAACGTTCATTAGTGCCCAACTCTTGCCAAGTGTCAGAAAGCGCAAAGGAGGCGGCGGTCTTCTGGTTCTGGGCTCTGCCAACGTCGACGGTACTTAGATCTACTCTCTACCAACTCAACGCTTTTACTGATCAGATCAGAGCAACTCCGTGGCTACCTGACAAAGTACGATGCGAGCAGCGCCGACATAAACCCGATCGGCGGTATATCCAAGGTCGACCTTCGAATGTTTCTGGCTCACGCCCGAGACAATCTCGACCTGCCACTTTTACAGGGCTTCCTCGACGCTACGCCAACCGCCGAGCTCATCCCGACGACTAACGCCGATGCCCACACCCAGTCTGACGAGGAAGAAATGGGCATGACTTACGCCGAACTCAGCGTGCTGGGTCGGCTGCGCAAGGTTGGACGTCTCGGCCCATGGGGCGTCTTCGAGAAGGTAGAAATACTTCAATATCCCCTCTTCGTGAGCCACAATAACGTTTCCATGTCCAGCTCCTCCCTATCTGGACATCCGCGCCACCAGACCCAGAGACGATAGCAACAGAAGCTCGCGGCGCGCACTCGGATCCACAGTACGTACACAGCGTGGCACACGGTGCGAGCATGACGCCGCGCGCCGTGTACGAGAAAGTGCGGAAATTCTTTTGTGAGTATCCTCTCTACCGGCGTGGTCTCTCGTGACTGACATGGAATAAAAAAAGATTATTATGCAATCAACAGACACAAACAAACCACCCTGACGCCCGGACTGCACATGGAACAGTAAGTAATAGTCGTGGGACAACCGTCCGTATTAACCATTGCTCAGGTATTCGCCGGACGACCATCGGTACGATATGCGGCCGTTCTTATACCCCAGCTTCACGGCGCAGTACCGCAAGATGGAGAACGCAGTCAAGGTACTCGAGGATAACGCGAAGAAGACGGGTGGAGAGAGCAATGGCACATGAGCGATTACAGTGCACCAGTGTGTAGCTGCATCTAGGATTATGTTGGATATTTGCTAGTGTAGACGTCCACCCCTCTCCATGACTGCGAGAAGAAACAGATAGAAATCAACATTTCCCCTTAGTGGTTCTGTGACGAAATGTCCTGTCCAGATTGATGCCAAGGATTCCGCCAGCTCGGAGAGTCCGATACCGGCCACGGCGATAGATCTCGCTGGCTGGCTGGCTGGGCGGGGCTTGTCACGTGTGAGGGGTTAAGATCTCCCTGTTCGGCCGCCTCGCCGCGTCTCAATGGGGCGGCATCCATGTCCCGAATCCCGAGGCAGACAAATCAATCAATCAATGACCATTTGCGAGATTCACAAAGATTGAGATCATGTAATCGAGGGGTTGATTGCTTGCTTGCTGCTGCTGCTGCTCCTTGCTGGGGTTTCTCGGTGGGTGTTTTATTTCTCTCTATCTTTGGGATTGGCTTTATCATTCCCCATCCAGCACCTAGGTACTTACAGTAGTAACCTGCTCGTTTGGGGGCGCCGTCATCTACCTTTCCCCCCTCTCATTTCCCCATTTCTCATCTTTTCCCGCATTTGTCATAGAAAATCTGTATTTTGTTTCCTCCTGAACACCCAAGTCCTGTTTGTTTTCGTGTGTTTCGATCCAAGGTTGCGGTGTTTGCTTTTATATGCTCAGAACCTGCTCCTCCTCTTTATGCATCACACGCCATCATCATCATAGACTTGGATTCCGTTGCGTTGGGCAGCATAATAGACGATCGTTGGCTCATTCGGGCGTCCGCGCTCCGCACATTGTCACCGAACTGAACACCATGGCCGCCATCCCTCACCCGGATTTACCGCGTCCGGCGCATCTGGACAAGGACTCTCCGCTCGGGCGCAAGTTCGGGAAGGAGGTGACGAATTACTTTGGAGGTGAGCTGCCTGCTTTGGACAACCTGCCGGGGGGTGATCCAGGGTTTCCTTGGGGGGTGGCGATTGGAGCAGAGGGGACTGACACATTTTGGTTTTCAGGCTCGCCCATCAATCGAGTCTCGTTCCTGCGCGATGACTACACCTTCCTCGCCGGGGCGTTCGCGCACCCGTCAGCGCGGTTCCTCGTCTACAAGACCCTCTCCCCGCTGATAAAGACGCCGACCGAGATCCACTTCGCGACCCACGACGAGGTCAAGACGCTCCTCCCCAACAATCCGTTCGAGCGGACGGAAAAAGAGATCGTGGATGACTTTGACTCGAGCGTAGACATCCCGCAATTGGTCTTTTTGGGCTTGGATGAGAATGTCACCGATGGCTTCTCGTACAAGGTTTTCACGGGTGCGCCGCACTGGGCGTTGGACATCACGCCCAAGAGGACCTATGAGAAGGAGGCCAAGGAGTTGATCGACTCGTTGCTGGAACAAGGGCTGAAATTTAGTGAGGGCATGCGGGCTATGAACTTCCCGGCTGACATTGGTGAGTTTTCTCTTTTCCTTGCAGAAAGGCATTTGGTCTACGAAGGGTAATGCTGACTCTCCGGGTGAACAAAGCCGCCCAGTACGCGCAGGGCCGCCACTACCTCGACTGGAACTACCGCAACACCTTCTGCGGCACGTGCGGCCATAGAACCCTCTCGGTCCACGGGGGAGCCAAGCGAGTCTGTCCGCCAAAAGACAAGGCGGAAAATCCCCAGGAGCGAGAACCGTGCTCGACCCGGACCACCCTCTCGAATCTCACATTCCCCCGCACCGATCCCACCATCATCGTCGCGGTGCTCAGTCACGACAGCAAACGACTCCTGCTGGGCCGACAAAAGCGCTGGCCGCCTCACTGGTTCTCCACGCTAGCGGGCTTCATTGAACCGGCCGAAAGCGTCGAGGACGCCGTGCGACGCGAGGTCTGGGAAGAGTCTGGCGTCGTCCTGTCGCGGGTCCTCGTGCATTCCACGCAACCCTGGCCGTATCCGGCGAACCTGATGATCGGCGCCATCGCGCAGGCGGCATCCCCAGAGGACGAGGAGATCAAGCTGGAGTACGACCCCGAACTCGAGGTCGCCAAGTGGTTCACCCTGGAAGAGATCCAGGAGGCGCTGCAGAACGGGACGAGCGGGCTGGGAGACCCGGCGCCCGAGGGGTACAAGGAGGGAAATCTGAGGTTGCCGCCTCCCACGGCCATTGCGAATCAGTTGATCTCGGCGGTGGTCAGGGGTGGGTTTTTGGAGGGTGTTACGCCGATCACGAAGCTGTAGAGCGAGAGATCTGTTGGTTGTGCCTGCATGTGATGATCATTTGGAGTGATCACTTGTTGATAAGGTATGGTTTGTGCTGCAGCCCCTGTTCTGTTCGCCGGGATGGATATAGACGAATTCAGTCCGTAGATCCCCTCTGCCCACATAGAAAAGAAACGATAGTACATGGGAGAACTGATTTTCGCTTCAATCTGCTTCGGTGAGCTGTCCCCTTTCAACCCTGCTTCTTAATCCCCACGACGACAAAATTCCGCGGACTCTGCTTGTAGTCGAAGACGACGTCGACCCAGCAATCCTCAACGATGTCGGCTTGCTCGCACAGAAACAGCCAGCGGTCCGCAACAATAATACTCTCGACGACACCCGCGCTGAAGGCCATCAGGCTCCAGATGACGGCTAGTTGTTTCTTGGCGTACAGGAATTGTCGTTCGTACGCGTCGATGACTTCGTCCGTGATCTTGTCCTGCGTCAGGCGGGCGACTGCGGCACCCTCGATGGGGTCGGCGCAGAGCTTGGTCAGTGCGCCGTGCACGTAGGCGCGGAAGTTGGCGAAGCAGGCTTTGCGCAGGGAACCGATGATCAGGGGCGTGCCGTTGCCACTGCTGCCGCCCACGACCTGTTCGCCCTCCTTCGCTAGGCTCGCGTCGGGAGAGGCAGACTGCTTGACCACGCCTAAATCGAGCAAAATGCGCTGCAATAGCGCGCGGTAAAAGTGTCTCCGAAAGAATGCCTCGCTGTCCTCGGGCCCCCAGTTATATGGGGCTTGCACGGCCATCATGCGCGCCGTGATGTTGAGCCTCACCCCGCGCCCGCCGTCGGCAAGTTGAAAGTCCTCCAAAGCGCGCGACAAGGGAAATCCGTGCGGGTCGTACGCCGACCCCGTCGCCTCCAGCCGCGGGTGGTTCGGCCGCAGCCGCGGCAGCTTGTAGCTCGCAGGGCCCAGCCGTTCTGTTACTAGGTTGTAGCAGCACCCGATGATGGCGACGGCGCAGACGCTGCGGTTTAGTGTGAGAGAGCGCAAAGCGTGGTGAGATAGGTTGCCGCATGAGTGCAGCGATACAACCATCGTCTTGGCCCTGGCCCTGTTCTTGTTTTTGTATCCGCTGACTGGTCTGTTTGTTGTTGGTGCTGTTGTCGGAGGGCCTGCGATGTTCTCCGGTTGTTGTTGATATCCTCCTTCTTCTTTCTGACTTGCGTCCATCGGGTAGAGAATATTCTCCAGATATCCGTCCTGGACGTCATGCTCGATGTACGTCATGGACCCCCTGTCGGGATCGAAGTCGTTATTATCCAGAATCTTTGCCGCAGCGAACATCTCCGGCACCGGCACCGGCACCGGCACTGACGAGTGGTCCGCCGTGTCCGGCTCTTCTGAGGACGACGGTGGAGGAGTGGGCATGCCGTTGCCGTCCTTGCCGCGCCCCTCCATCTGCCGCTTCCATTCCTTCTTGTTGCGCATAATCTTCTCCTTCTGCGCCAGCTTCACATGCACATCCATCGTTCTCGCGCCGGCGATGTTGTGATGTTTCCGCTCAATGGCCACCACGTGCTTGTTGTAGGGCGGCGACGCCAGCGTCCGACCCAGGTAATTCTGCCCGGACCCGAAGTCGATGACCGAGAGTGGTTCGTCGAGTCGCTGGGAGATGTCCTCTGAGAGCTTGTCCACGTATGCCGCGAAGTTTGTGACCTCGTGGACCTTCTTGGTCTTCATGCCCACCGAGAGCTGTCTTGGCATGTCTGTCACGTCGTCCGAGACGGGCGTGAAGTCCCGACGAAGGCAGTGTTTACGGATTGTCTGTACATAGTCCAGCAGGCTTGCCGGAGGAGAGGAAGGGCTGGAGTTGGAGGCTGTGAATGTCGAGATCGGGGAATAATAGTCTTTTAAATTGTTTCGGAGAAGCAGATCGAGCACATCGTCAATGTCCACCGTGTCAAACCAGTCACGCCATTCCTGAGGCAGGACCGTCGTGTAAAGGTCCGGTTCTCGCGTCAGGAAGTCAAGAATGTGGACTCCACCACAGAGATTCCGAAAGAGATCAGAGGTCGTGGCGAAGGTCAGTGCCGACTGGATGTATTCATCTTCTGATGTCCACACCGGGTCAAGGGGTAGCCGGAGCCCTCGTCCCTGTTCTAGAAGACCACCTGTCATGATAGCAGCTTCATGGTATCTTGATGACTTGAGTCGGCGACGCAGCGTTCGGTAGACGGTTGCTCGACCTCGAGCAAGGAAATGGTCACTTCCTAGTGAAGCCGTTGTTGCTTCGAGCCAGAAAAAAATGAAAGTACTCTAATGCCAAGGCGCTAACACATAAAGCCGATGAATAACAAAGACCAAAAAAGGGGCCGCAGCCTCATAACTGGACCTACAATAGAAGCATTGTCACACATCCATAGATGTTATTGGATTCAGCTACAGTCGAATGCATTCGGGACTATGTTAATTCGACTATGTTCCTTTCGTCAATAGCTATTACCTCATTTGAAGCCCTGTACATCTGTTCGTCTCCTTTTGCTCGTGGGTATCATTGCTTACACAATATTGGAGAGGAAGGTATCAATCCAGGCCAATCCACTCGGCCTCATTATCTCCGGAATTGACCATCTTTCCATTCGAGTGATGACCATATCGATCCAAACTCTCCGACGGCAGCTTATTGCTGCCTTTTGGCTGTTGGCACAAGAATTCAATCTCAAAAACGTTTCGCTCACTGAGACTGCGCACTGTTTTTCCCACGCCGTCGACTCCGCGGAGGATCGAGCGGAGTTCAGCAGCAAATTCGCCATGCCTCTCCTTGATGTATCGACCATGAACACTCAATATCTCACCCAACCAACGAAGTGCAAACTCCAAATGAGGGTTGTTTTCCATCTGCTGGGCAACGAGCATCAACAATTTCCCGAGATACACTCTCGGCAGTTCACGGACAAGCAGCGGAATAGACCCGTATGGTACTGACTCATAGGCCTGTCGGAGCAAAGGCTTGTCATTCAGTCTGAATGCCATGATGAGGGCCTTGAGATACTCGGGCTCATCTTGTGCCAGGATAGCTCGAACATTCTGCGGAGTAACATCGATGTCGAGATCAAATGGATCGAAATCTTCCATTCCCGCGTTGTCAAGGCTGTAAATCAAAAGACCTTCAGTACTGGCTGCACAGAAACTTCTCCCAGTTGGTGCAAACTCGACGTCAGCGACCCTGATTTCTGGACGAATGGTTCTCGCTGTGGCGTCTTTACCACGTTTCACGCCCGGGAGGCTACGGTCGATGCGGTCTTCGAGGTCGCTGGCCTCGCCTTCTGTGTCCAGCATGTCTTTGGGCAGGCCGTTGGACATAATAGCCGCCGAGTTCAAGAACTCCTGAGTTCCATCCAGACTCAGGTTGATGGAAATGGTAAACTTCTTGATTAACGTCAGCGTGCTAACCGAGTATAAGCAGATGTATTTGCTATTGCCAGCTGCAAGCAGGCAGCTACCGTCCGCAGAATATACGATCGAATTGAAGGATTTGGTTCCGGGGGTTGAAGCTGCTGTACGTCGGGAAGTCAACGTCCGACCTCCACTGACATCTCGACGACCGTCAAAGCCAGATTCTTGTATCGAAGTGTTCAGATTCCAAAAGGTAAGCTGCCCATCAAGGGTAGAGGCTGCAATTTGTGCAGAGTCAGGCCGAACTGCAATACAAAGCAGGTCGGACATGAGCTGTAACGTCTCCGACGCTTGTGATCGGTCAAAGACAGACCATACTCGAATGGTGTGATCCCAGGATCCAGAGACGAGGTGTCGGCCGTCAGGAGTAAAGGCTAGTGTAGATATCGGTCCCTCGTGGCCTGCCAGCTGGTCGAGAAGAGCTCCGGTCTGGACTGACCATAGATAAATGTCGAAAGAATCGTGGGAAGCGGCGCAGACGACCTCCGCAGAAGGGTCGATGGCTAAACAGGAGAATGAGAGCCTTTGCGGAGCGGTAAAAGTCCTAAAATTTCGATACCTCAACATATCCCAGGCTCGGACTGATCCATCCAGAGACGAAGTAAAGAGAATGTTGCCTCTTTTAGAGTATGCAGAGGCGGTGACAGCAGAGTTATGTTCCGAAAAAGTGGCAATGTGAAAGCCAGACGAGACGTCCCAGACCTTGATCAGCCCGTCATCGGCACCAGTAATGATGCGGCTAGAGTCCGGAGAATACGTCAAAGTCGTCATGGTGTCAAGATGGGAAGACTGCTTGAGGATGTTTGACTCCGAAGCATACTCCCACACAAGTAGTTGACCGGTTTTGGACGAGCCAAACGCTAGCCACTCACCCGTGCTGTTGATGGTCACCGCTGAAATGGGCGAGGAGGCCATTGACAGGCTGTGGATGTTGGAGAAAGAGGGGGTCTCATACAAGGAAAACAGGCCGTTGTCGAAGCAGACGGTGAGTAGATTGGTCGAGGGATGGTACGAAGCGCATTTCAACTTTGCGTTCTGCATGAAATAGTCCCTCTGTACAATGCGCCACCTCTCATCAAGGGGTTCTATCGACTCGTCGTTTTCGGCTTGTTGGCTGACTGAATACTCCCAGCGGAAGAGAGCGCCGTCTTCGCTTACTGTGAAGATAGATTCCTGGTCGGCGGAGAACCAAACACCCTTGACTTGCTGCCTATGACCTGAGAGGACAGTCGGCTCGAACCCTTCCTCTGGGTCCAGACTCCATATCCGGGCGGTAAGGTCCTTGGATGCGCTGAGGAAGAACCTTGAGTCGCCTGACCAGTGCAAGTGCCTGACGTCGTCAAAGTGACCTCCATATTCGCGATGCAAAATGAATGGAGCGAACTCGAGGTCTCCATCTGCATTCCCGCCTGGCGTAGAGGGTGTCCGCCATGCCTGAATCTTCCTGCCGAGTCCCACAACAAAATGACGACCGTCTGGGGCGAATGCCAATGACGTTACCGGCGACTTGAAGGAGAAATGATAGATAGCCACTCTTCGGGGGAAAATAGAGAGTATTGCCCGGCCATCCTCATCAATAGTGAGGAGGAGACTCCCATCTGGCGAAAGGTCGAGGTGGGTGATGTTCTTTCGGTGGGCAAAGGGGAAGGTGTAACTTGTGTTTCTGTGAAGTAGTACGTTAGAGTCGAACCCGTGGTGATTCCAAGGAGAATTCTCACTTTGTCAGATTAAAGACTGTCACACGATTGCCGACTGGCGAGAGGAGAGAGTTGCCGTCCGGGGTGAAGACGAGATTGCCTTGACGATACACAGTACCCAAGAGGTTTGAAAACTGCGACAGTGTATTAGAGAGATAGCATCGACGACGGTGTCTTGCATACATACCTTGAATTCCGTCTTCATTGTCTCATGGCCGTGCAATCCAGATCGGCGCATGTGGGCATGATTCCCAGTGTCCAAACTGCGGCTTCAAAAAAAAGTTATCGGAGAAAATGATTGATTTTCTCCGGAACTAGTATGTTTGGGGTTAAGCGCACGCCGTATTCTGGGGCAAGCCTGCGCTGTCCTGCTAGTGAAAATTGGCGTTTCAGGGGCGCGACGGTCCCTACACTTTCTGGAGGATCAATCGAGGGAAACCCCTAACCACAAACCACCTTGTCATTTCCAGACTGCACTTCTTCATCCTTCACCTCTTGATCGTTTCTTCAGTCGGGCTCTCGTGGTCAACGTCTCTCGTTCTTGATCTCTCTTTTTGATTGTCTTTGTTCAGAACCTGCGACCAAGATGGCGCCAGCAGCAGCCGAGTCCGCATCGCCCATTGGCATTGCTAATTTGCCCAACCAGCGACACAAGATTGTCGCAAAGAGAGGCGCCGCTTTCACCATCATGGTAAGACTGGATGTCTTCTCAGGTCTGTCGGGTAAATGCTAATTGTTGTCATTCAGGTTGCCGGCGAGTCAGGCTTGGGCAAAACGACCTTCATCAACACCCTCTTCTCCACCACCATCAAGAACTACCAAGATCACAAGAGGCGACACGCGAAGCAAGTTGATAAGACAGTCGAGATCGAAATCACAAAGGCTGAGCTGGAAGAGAAGTTCTTCAAAGGTACACTCCAAATAAAAGGCGCATTCATTCATGGCCACTTGCCTGACATCCTGCTAGTTCGTCTCACTGTCATTGATACTCCTGGTTTCGGCGACTATGTCAACAATCGTGACTCCTGGATGCCTATTATCGAATTCCTCGATGACCAGCATGAATCCTATATGTTGCAAGAGCAACAGCCAAAGCGACAAGACAAGATCGATCTCCGTGTCCATGCCTGCCTCTACTTCATCCGACCCACCGGCCATACCTTGAAACCTCTCGACATTGAGGTCATGAAGCGGCTATGCACACGTGTCAACTTGATTCCGGTTGTCGCAAAGGCTGATACCCTTTCCCCGGCTGATCTGGCCCGCTTCAAGCACCGTATTCGAGCTGTCATTGAAGCACAAGGCATCAAGATTTACCAACCCCCCATTGAAGATGACGACGAGGCTGCTGCTCAACATGCTCGTGCTCTGATGGCAGCTATGCCATTCGCCGTCATCGGCAGTGAGAAGGATGTCAAGACCTCTGATGCTCGGATCGTCAAAGGCCGACAATACGCTTGGGGTGTGGCTGAGGTTGAGAATGAAGAGCACTGTGACTTCAAGAAACTCCGATCGATCCTCATCCGAACCCACATGCTCGACCTCATCCACACTACTGAAGAGAACCACTATGAAGCCTACCGTGCGCAGCAGATGGAGACACGGAAGTTCGGCGAGGCTAGGCCCAGAAAACTGGACAACCCCAAGTTCAAGGAAGAGGAAGAAGCACTCAGAAAGAGATTCACCGAGCAGGTCAAGGTGGAAGAACAGAGATTCAGAGCATGGGAGCAGAAGTTGATTGGCGAAAGAGACCGCCTGAACAAGGACCTGGAGGCGACTCATGCTGCAATCAAACAGTTAGAGCAGGAACTGGAACAGATGCAAGGCAGCGCCGTGAGGAGCCATGGCCGTCGCTAGGAGGGTGCAAGACCAGAGATCAAGCAAGCTTGACAGGGTGGTTGGCTAAGATGGGCCAGAAGCAAGAGTTCTGGCAATTCTTCGCTTCGGGTGCTGTGCTCCGGGGTTGTGGGTGTGCTCAAAGCGTGGAGCTATTTCTGAGGTTAGCATTGCTACGAAAATACCTTTCTAATGTCAGATCTTCCTTTTGCTGTGGAGCTCGTCTATTTCTATCGACAATGGTATTGCCGCCTCGTGGTTCTTTGAGTCTATCCATGTGTCTCGCGCAGCCACAAATTCTACACGGCAGCATCCTTCAACTGCTGTGTAATATGCCCGTTGGCCCCTCTTCCGCCCATCGGGTCATGTTTCGTAGTATTCACCTCTTTCTCCTGTGTCTTGCCCTCTGTCCGCCGTGAATCTTCCTCTGCGACCGCCCTGTCAACGTCAGCGAAGCCTTCGTCAATCTCGACATCATCGTCCTCGTTAATACCCATCCAAGCATGCATCTTATCTCGTTTAAACGCTTCAAAATCCCACTCTTGGGGTTCTAACGTTGTTTCGCCTTCAAGCCAGACATATGTTTGTGCTTCGACCTCTTCGAGGACTTCGGGGTCTTTGTCTTGTTCTGGGGCAGCTTGATCCAGTTCGACGTCTTTCAAGACTTGTACCTTCACCACATCCCTCTTGTACTGGCTGCCTTCGAAAATGTCCAACCGGTAGATATCACCCTGCGTCAGGCCGGTCACTAGGCTACCCCGCACCTTCGAGCCGGAGTGTGGTATTATGGCGGGGTAATCTGCGTGTCTGACCCTGTGTCGACGATAGTTTTGCAGCATGGCGGGGCGGACAGTGATCAGGTCTTTCTGCCACGGCTCGGGAGTGTGGGTTCCGTGGATGACGCGGTGGAGGACGCAAGGGGCCATGAGGGTTCCTTTTTGTACCTCAGTCAGAAGATGGACCACCACTCAAGGGAAGATGACATACCATAGAAAAAGGCCGTGTATTCGCCCATCTTTCCGCGAGTTGGTGATTCTTTGTCAAGTCGCCCACGACGGGGCTTCAGCGAGCAGGCGAGGAGCGGGGCAGGGTATTTGTAGTACGAAGAGATTGAGGGACAGTTTAAGGGACAGATCAACTGAATTGTGACTCTTGTGCTTTCAATACAGTGTCGAGGATCCTGTCCTGTTTGCTTGTCACTCCGGAGTCGTGCTGTTCTTTGTCTATCACCTTCTGAATGTCAATGGCGCGCAACAAGGCTGCCCGCCCGCGCAGATAACAAACAATATTTTTCTAATCGGGCAGGTGCGCCGAAATCCGCGCTCAGAAAGTCCTCGCCCGAAAGGGAACAACGCTCCTCCGTAACGACCCCGTTCCTTCGTGGGTGTCAACAGCGTCTATCAGCGAAACAACGACTGCAACCTCTCAGCCAAATATTGTTTGTACTTCTGCTCGAATCTGGTCGTCCATCATCATTATGGCTGTTTCACTGAAAAGTAGTCTGTCTGTATGAGTAACGAATCACTGATGCTGCAGGAGAGGCAGTCCGCAATCGAGCACGCGACCATGCCCTGAAGCCTCAAAGCTTGATATCTTGGTACTTGGCGTCCGCCTTGTCGCTGGCCCTCCTCCCCTTCCAAAGCGGCCACGAGAACTCGAACGGAACGAAGAACACCCTCCAGCTTGAGCGCATCGATTTTGTGCCCTTATGAAGCATGCATGTCTCAGCCGCCACGACGCTGTATGATGGCTCATATTGTTTTTGCGGACGTGACTACAAGCAAACGATATGATCATTGTGGCGGTATCGAATCGCTGTACAGACCTGCAGTGGCTTCTGGCCATAGCTCTTCCGGAAAGTCCTCTTGGAATAAACATTCGACGCGGCCGGGGAGCTGAGGCTGAAGTTCTTCGTGTCCTTTCGCGGTAAGCGAATCTTGTCCCAAAGCTTCTTCTGTGTTTCAACTTCTCAGAAAAATGCTCCTGAGCGTAGCATTCACGACGGTTGGTCGATGGCATCCTTTATCTATCCTGCGATATAAGACTACATACTGGTTTTGGCCTCGATCGTTGTGACGACACGATTGTGCTGATGATCACACCGACATATCAGGGCTTCTGGCTTCTTTAGACCAAGATCACTGTGAGCTCGGATCCGTACTGCTGCATCCTCTGATATATCTCTCTTCCAGACGGTGGGACAGATTGCTTGTCAAAAAGTGCGACTCAAGGAATTTCAAGCGAGGCCATTACACTGGGCGGGAAGTGCTGGATTCATAGCCACAGTACTGACTTATATCATCCCAAATTGCTCTACCCACTCCCTTGCAATCAAGTCCGTCCTCTTCCCCGGCTCTAGTACATCCAACATAGAGAAGGTGCCTTGAGAGGGCGATAAACAACAGGAGAAGCTAATATGCAAGGGAGATTCGTCTACCTATGGCACATTTCTAGGTAAATCGTGGCACAATGTGGTGATTTGTTCATTCTGGACTCTGCCCACCGACAAATCACTTGCTTTGGTATTCAAAATAACAGCAAGCCGATCACTAATGGCGCCGGGTGAGGATGACGTGTAGCGGATCAATCGGTAGGTACAATTGATACAAGATGTGCACGATGAGGGGGTTCAGCCTTGTGCTCCAACATCTACTGTCATCCACCTTGGCATCTGGGCTTCGTGCTGGCTTCACGCTGAGTGCCCGAGCTTGCTCGTCAGCCTTGTCAGATTGGCTGACACTTTTCCATACCTAGGTACTTCCCCAGATCCCATCCTCAAAATTCCTGGAGGAAGCTGAAGGATTTTGTCACCACTCGTACCTTAGCGTATCTACCTCATCATCATCGTTTGTACGCTCACAACCGCCGAGCAGCATTCGGCGATTGAATGCCTGAACTGCCATTGCTCGCCTGAAGTTCGAGCAGCCGAGACGCCTGCCAAATGCAGCTGGCGCTCGGCGCTTATAGGCAGGAAACACGAGGCTGACATTGCTGAGATGCCGGAACGAAGAATCATGATTATCATCTGACTGTTGTCATAGAGCGGTCCGGCTCCTATTTGCTGGCAAGGCGTCATCGTGATCGTTTGCATGTCGCTTCGTGTATACCGCTTTAGTATGATACGGACGCCGATCCGGAGTATAGAAACATGGCAATCTCTTCCAACGATGGGAGAAACAGATTTCTGATTTTTACGACTACGACGAACGAGGTGATTGTGACCTGAAAACGACAGTTAGATATACTCTTGGGACAAAGCCTCAACGGTCGCAAGGATGCAGCTTCCATCTTTGACTGCCGCCGTTCTGGCTCTTCAGGCACTCGGCGTCTCCGCTGCTGCCTTGAAAGCTCGTGTATGTTTCTGGTAATCCCGAAGTCGTCATATCTTCCAAGGTTGCTAACTGACATGTTTGAACTATACAGCTCACGCCCCAGCAAAACGACTGCGATCTTCCTGAAGGCGATCCACAGGGGGCAGATTGCAATTCCACACTGCGCGCCCGAGTATGGCCCTCTCCTAGGTACCCTTCTACCCTCCAGTGTGCGGGGAGCTAACGTCTTTCTTTCCCTTCCCAGCAAGATGGCAGCATCCCTCTCGGTCTGACCTCCATCACCGTCGGCACCGCGACGACCTCGTCCGGAACCATCGTCCCCATCTCCGTCCCGTACTCACTCTCCCGCGACCCCATCGGCCCGCTCATCGGAAGCGGCACCACGATCTTTGACTCTTCCCTGAAAAGCGCCACCCTGGTTGCCGGGGACGTGCGCAGTTCGTCGTCGGCGTCCTTCTCCTCGGCCCAATGCACTTTCTACACCAGCGGCGTGGATCTTGGGGACGGGAGCGCCGCGTGTGATGGTGATGCCGTGGCGTCGGCGTCGACTGACAATGGCACGAAACTCACCTTTGACGAGGCAGTCATGTGTATGACCTGTACCTACTCATCATGAGCTCTGGATGGCGATGAATATATGCGTGCAACCCTTTGGGGCGAATCGGCGGCTTTTCGGTTTTGCAGGTTTGGGTCTCTTCCTCACACAGAGTGGGTGCGCAGGCTCCCGAGGAACATGCAAAAGTAACTGACATGATGGTCGGATGGTTTCATTAAATCAGGTAGCTCGTCTTTTTAAATTATATGTCCCTGGGAACCTTAGTCGGTTGCATATATAGTGAGAGCAATCAGTATCCATCCCTTTCCTCCCATATTCCAGTCCCACAACGAGGGAAGTGGTACAACACACTAGGCTGAGGAGACCATGGCCGCGAAAAAAGTGTGGGTGAATGCCCAACGAATAAGCTGATCGACCGCGACGGTGGGAAGGATGAGGTGAGCTAAGGTAAGGCAACGCCGGGGATGGTACCTGGGTATATGATATGAGGTCATACGAGGTGTGGAACCGCGACGTTGACGGGACGATCTAGGTATTCCGGTAGCGATTGAGTAGAGCTTGAGAAAGAATAACAAAACAACTGGCCTGGAAGGCGGAGCACAAGTCAGAGCATGCAACAATTAAGGGATATATCGGTCATTCAGTGGTATCAAGCCATAACGCAGTGCTAGGTAGGATATCGATGCGAAAAACAGTGCTGAAAGTTCATAAATCCCATTCCAGTCGGTAGCAATAGCCAATAAGCCATCCATAGCCGCATTCATACATTGGTGAAGCAAGCCTAGAATAACAATCCACCGAGAAGTAAACCTCCAAGCAGACCTCCTGCAATAGGTAACCCATAGCCTCCGCCAGGATAAGCGCCATATGGACGATTGTATGGATAGCCTGGTCGAATAAATCTGGCATTCGGGTCGGCATACGGTCCGCCTCCGTAGGGATTGACGCCGTAGCCACCTTGTCCATATCCGCCATATCCATACCCAGGACCCCCAGGAGGCTCAACGTAGATGTTCTTGCCGTCTCTGTCTTTGGCAAAGAATTGAGGCTGACCAGTCACTTGTGCTCGCTGCATTGCTTGCCTCAACTTCATGTGTGCTTCGTAGTATTGTCTCTCTTCTTCCGCTCGTTGCGCGCGACTGCGAACCCGCTCATCATGCGTCGTGCCAGTGACTTTATCCTTCAGCTTCTCGCCGAGGCTCTTCTTTTGGCCGGGCTGTTGTGAGGAGGATGGACGGGCGGGGAGTTCTGGTGGAAAGTGCTCATGCTCATCTTCGGAGTGTTCTGTGGAATGCGCGGCCTGCTTCCTCAACCTGTCCTCTTCTTCTTGTAGTCTTTCGCGTTCTTCCGAGCTCAGACTCTTTACGACATCGGGGATATCTAGAGGGTGCTCCCAATATGACTTTGGAGGATCGACTTTGGTATTTACGAAGAATTGGTGATTCTCTTTGGGGTCATATTGTCGTACCCAACCATCAGGGAGGGGTCTTTGGAGGTCTTCCATAGAGCGGCGAGCCTCTGTCGGGATCCCATTTTTGGCGGAGGGAACTTCGAGGTGGGATGATTTCTGAGGTTTAGATGATGCTTTGCCGGATGAGCCTGTAGCCTGGTCGTAAGATGGCGGGGGTTCTGGCGGGGTCGACATGTTGATCGCGGTGGTAGAAAGCGAAGGTGGAACAGCTTCAAGATCAGCAGGCCGATAGATTTAAATGTCTACTGCTGGGCTACCTGCGGAATCAGGAAGATGTGTAGAGAAGTGAGAGGCGCGACAGTAATGCAAATACTCGGTTGAGGCTCAGACTGCGATAGTGACGCACATGGACATCTGGGCACCTGCTCGGAGTAATCGGCAGCTGCTGTGCCTTAGAGCCTGACCAATCAAGCCTTCGCTAGCAGTGCTCAGCCACACTTATCCGGCCAATGAAACACGTGATTATATAAACTGTGGCGACTCAGCTTGACCCAATCAGGCGTCATGTTGCCAGTCCCAAATTTCAACCTACAGCTCCCTCCATCTCACTTCGCATCGTCTCGCAGCGCTATTAAAGTCCCATCCTGTACTTTCAGCCTCCCGCCGCATCTCCTTGATGGTGATTTGGGCCACTTCTACACCTTTAGCTGGCACTATGAGTTTTCCTGAAATGCCTCAGTACCGTTTCCTAGCAATTGGCTCGAGCAGCTGCTCTGAGATCCCATTCCCTTACCTGGCTGGAGTCACGTAAACCAAGAACTCAGTAGGTACGCTGAGCAGCTGCTCTCTGTGCACACCATAGAAACACCTCACAAGGCCTGGCAATGGCAGGATTTTGTTAGCCAGCCTTCCTTGTGCACGAGTTTGAAGAGAAAATCCAGGCTTTTCAGACTGCTAACCCGTATTCTTCTGGATCCTCATCGTCTGGAGGAACATGAGGCCCATGGCTAAAGCGATAAGTCAATGTCCACACGCAACACTTTCACTACGTTTGCGACAAGCTGCCTCTTCAGGTACCCATCCAACTGTATACAGCACAGCAGACGATGGGCGGCAAACACTTGGTAGGGTAGACAACGTCGCTCTGGGCGCCTTTGTCAAGCACCAGTACATCTGGCTACCTTCAAGCGATCAAAATGAACCAGCAGGCAGCGTTTGCACCACTGGTTATGGACGCCGAGAACAACGGGGTAGAAGGTATGCGAAGAACATTGACCTCACTCACAACGACGAGCCTTTCTGCCTCACCCACTTTCAAATTTGGCACACTATACATTCACTGTGAGGACTCTTTGTTTATCCGCCAAGATTGTCTCCCAGTAACCTGACCTCGCAATCAATTTCCCTTCAATATCTTCTTTCTCAGATCACCTCAGCCTCTTGTACAAGTCTTTTGATCATCTCCAAATCCTTGATCAGCCCTTTACCCACAACTCGCAGCCAGTTTCAAAGCTCAAATCTTGGCCCTTATCGCCAGGGAAAGCAGCAGCCCGCTGCTTCTCCCTCGGCAAGCTTCTACAACCACGATGAGAGCCGAAAGCGCGAGCTTCGTGTTTGAACATGTGTTTCTACCTCCAAAACTGCCCCAAGAGAAGCACAATGAATCAGGCGCTGACGATCTCCTCCAAGAGATCGCACAAGCTGCTTGCGATTTCACCCACGCTTTTCCTTTACTCAGTAGTGAGCGCCGCGTCTGGAAGCAGTTGTCACGTTCAACAGGAAAGTGGATTGATGTCTACTCCAGAGGCGTTCCATGCCGCGAGGTCATCACCACCACGCTTGAAAACATGCGTCAGGATGGTAAGTACTTCAGCAATAGACCATCATCAATTGCTAACCAATCTGGTAGACGTCTTGCTATTCTACATTGAGCCCCAAAATGCCGCGATCCTAGTCAGAAACAAAGCAAAGGGCGCCATCTTCGAGTGTTTCGAAGTGCTTGCGAAGACTGATGCGGTACTTGGTGCGAAAGACGCGCTGATCCGGCATTTTCCTGCGCGAGCGGTCTTCCTACCACAAGAGAAACTCGCGAATACATCTTTCGTCAAAGACCTTGGAAAAGCCATCTATATGCTGTCTGTCGAATCATTGAAGATGGCTATGGAAAAAACGAAAAAAGGGAACAACACAGTCGTTGAGGAGCGCCAATCTGCTCACCCAAGAGCTGTCACTGAATGGCTTTTCAGTATCTTGGACAGTTGTGGAAAGGCTGCGGGGAGCTTGCCAATCTGCAAACGCATTCATGACGATGTCCTCTGGAAAAACGCCCACTTACCCTGGCGCCGCTCCGGCGTTTGGTTGTCTGCGAGAGTCGCACTACAGATCGCCCTCCACAACGCAGACCTTGAGGGTGAAGGGCATCGTCACTACAAAAACTTCATGCTGTTCCACCTGTCTCGTTTAGCAGCCGGCATTGCTGCCATCGACCCTCGACCTGACATTCTCCACGTTCTACGTGTGAAATTAGCCAGACGAAATGCCAAATTGGGGTCGTCTACACTTAAATTCGTCCAAAACAACGTCGGCAAGACACTGGAGCTCATTGATAACAGTATCCGCAGCCAATGGGCAAAGGTGGTCGAGAGAGACAGAATTGCGATTCCCCCTGTGCCTCGCGAGAAGGCATCGGATCAACTGGTGTTGAAGAAGAGTCGCCCTGTATTGCACAATATCTGGCATCGCTCTCGCAAAGGCTTCACTTATTCGTTCACCTCATACACTCCTCCCTCATCCGCTAGAGTGGTGTTATCGAAACATATTTTGCCGGAAGCTACGATCTTCACGCAAGCAAAAGACGTCCTTTTTGGTCTTGTCGACTTCGAACTCTGGGTTGAGGAGTGTCTGAGCCATTGGATAGCGGTCAACATGTCAACTCCGTCGGCATGCTCTTCCCTGTCTGAACTGATGCAGAAATATTTTGCTGTGGCGAAGAAGACGTACCAGTCACATGCGGAACGAATGTCGATTATGCTTCTTACGATGTTCGAGTTGTGGGTGGCTTTGGACACCAGTGCGACTAGGATACATCCGCTCCTCTTCGAGTATCCAGTAGAAGTGCCGGTAACCCTCTTTGAACCACTTCTTCTCAGTAGCAGAAGTGAGCTGGACAGACTCTCAAAAATCGAGCTCCACATCAGATCACGACAACTACGGCGCACCGTGAACAGTCCTTCACTCTTCGCCGACCCGTCTCCAAACTCCTTTGCCGTGAGGTTTTATGACCAGTCTTCTGACCTCCGCGCGCTACGCCGTAGGGTCGAAAAGGATGCCCAAGAAGCGCGAGACGTCAAGCTCGCCGAATGGGAGTCGAAGAAGAAGACATTCGACAGACTCATGAGAGAAGCTGAAGCCATGGAATGTGGTGTCTTCATCCCTCGGGGGGTGGACAAGCACGGGAATCCATACGTTGGCAAGCCTCGGCATCACATAAGATGTTGGAAATGTGCGAAGGAAAAGCAAGCCAAGGATATCCAGATATCGAAACACGAGTGGCCACTTCCGGACGACGAGACTATGTGTAAAGCAGTGATCTTTGAGCTCGACGCCCCTGGGTCGATTGTCTCCTGGCGGGATGCTACATTTTTCTTGCTTCAAGACGTATGCAGAACGGGCCAAGTAACCGGAATGGTGTCAAAGCAAGGATTACTTTCATACGCACCTCTCGAGAAGTATGCCCAGCAGAAAGACCGACGCATCACTCTCGCATCCTCCGTCAAGCCTATTATTCAATCACACTACCTTAAGGCGTCATTGGACGTTGATCCGGTTTTCGTCAGCAACGGCTTACACCCGAGAATGAACGATACCGCGAAGGGGTCTCTGTGGACTGCAGAACAGACCGCGAACACCTCGTTACAGCACTACTGCTATACAAAGCTCACTGACTCTTCGGACGGCGTCTTCAACGGCTATGTCAACTTCACCAGTCATACGCAGAATCAGGTCATCTCACAACAGTCAATGTGCCCTTTAGAGATGGGCTCTCATGAATTTGTGCTTCTGGGATCTCTAAGATCTGGAGAAAGACTCCAACTCCTCAACATTCTGGGAGCGATTACCTCTGCAGAAATTGACTTGAACGCACCCTCGACTGCTTTGCTATTTCGTTACGCCATCTCTCAAGTCGGTCAAGCGCGGTCCACCTCGCCACTGTATCTGCGCGAATCTCAGGTCATACTTGAGGAAGAACACTTCAATCGTTCTTTGCTGGATGCCCTTGAGTGTGCATTCAAGCGAATCGAAGCCAATTTCAAAGAAGCAGCGGCCGCATCTATACTGCTTGGAGTGGTTCTCAAGCTTTTATCCCTGTCGTCATTTCCCGAGATTACGAGGCGCTGTATGAACCTTGTCCTCTTAATTCGTCAGTCTGGTCTGGGTTGGATACGCCAGATGACCAAGCTCTACGCAGACCAGAAAAACGCCCATGCTGACAGCTCTACTCTCAGAGACCTGTCACGTCAGATATTGAATGCTTGTATTCTCTGTCGCCGCACGTACGCCGTCGATACCAAGGCTCAAGTAGCAATGTTCTCAGACCGTCATGCTGTGGCCGACTATGTGGAGGCTTCTGTTCACCTATACACGCATCGAAAATCCAAAACCGACTCAGACGCTTCCAACAACGAAACCCAACTTCTGAACGACGCGTACCTTGCCAGACGAATTGAGAAACATCTCCAGTTCGCCCTCCGGGTCAACGAATCGGCAATCACAGATGGCATCAAGAAATTTTGGCCAACTGCGATGTTCACCAACAAGTGGCAGACGGTGCACTCGGATGACTCTTCATGGATCTCAAACCGTACTTCTTCTAAAGTCGTCCACTACAACCTTGTCACAGGTAGCCTTCTTGTTTCGGGCCGGGCGATTTCCCAGCTTCCTGCTCAGCACACTTCTCACCGTCTCTACCGCTCAATATTTGGGGATGTGGACTTGGACGTTTTCGCCGCTGATGTTGACGACATGGAGTATATGACCAAGGATGAATTTCATGGTCATCGAATTTATTTCGGCTTGCGTGGTGACGTTCTCCTCATTCGTTCGAAGAGTAAGGACGGTGACTTTGAGGCAATCCAGCGCGATTGCTTTCTAGAAGATCTTCCGCAGGTTATCGTGGAGAACACTACCCCTTGGATGTCTTTGCGAGATATGACGGTTGCCTTCCGTTCTAGAGCACGCCCCTTCTGCTCCGAGGAATCCGACTGGATCCTCACCATGGGCCTCAATTCAGGTTCTCCGACTTCCATGTGTGCCGGCCAGAAGTATTTAATTGATGCCCAGAGCAAAGTTGGCTTGACTATCAGCAAAGCTTTGCAACCGATTGAGCAGCCATCACATATCGTCATTGTGTCCAGCCAAAACACCAAGATCGAGATCGAGATCGAGCTTCCTCGCTACCATTTGCACTTTTCTGTCGATGAAGAAGGTCGAATGGTGTGCAAAGAGCTTTCCGCCTTTGTTGACTTTGACCAGACGCTGGGAACCCTGCATGGTTTCAAGTCTCGTCTAATCCTGCGCGGTACGAGCAAGATTGCCGGATCGAACATGAGGACAGTTCTCATTCCACACGGCGACATGAAGATAGAACCGGTCTCTCCTCATATCACTGCCCGAGTTCAACCAGGTGACACTGATTCTGTGACCTTTTCGTTGTTCCGACTCGATGTTAGGCTTGGACAGCTGATCGGTCAAGATCTGGAAGCACATCTGTACAAGGCGTATCTGCATGCAGTGACAAGCTTTCCAGAATCTGATTTCCTGACTGGTAGGACGGGCACCGAAGAGAGCCTGTTCGCTCTATCGGATCGCATCTGCCTTACCTGCCAACCATTTTCTGAGCGTGCGCAAGCCATACTATCTTTGATAGCTCAGCTTACTCCAAGGAGGAGTTTCTATCCTCCTCATCTCAAAACTATGCAGACTGTCAATCTCGATGGCGTCCTCTCAGTCATGGCTCAACGTGACATCTTCTTTGGAACGGTCTATGATATTGTAAATCACAACAAGAAAGCAGATTGGCTGTATGATGCTCATGTGACTGACATACCATACAAGGGAGACTTCGCATTGTTGGACAGATCGCATCACCGAACACGGAAGCTTTTCCCATGCGAATCTGTAGCATCAAGCTCAGGTTCTATCGACGACCGAGATTATTGCTCACGGGATCAAGATTCGGATGACGATTTTTGGGCGTCAGCTAATATGGCATCTCTTGTCGAAGCCTCACCGCTGGCATTCAACGTCAGTACATCCTGGAAGAGTGCGGTCCAAAATTGGAAAAAGGTGGGTGGATTCGGCGAAGAATTCACCCTGAATTCGTTCTCGGATATTTTGGGCCAGGACCTCAAAGTCCTCTTTCCTCGTCTGTTGAGTCTCTGTAGATCGTCATCTACCTCGAAAGAGAGACTTATGTTCATTCTGTCGCTCTTGGTGTTTGAGCAGCCTGATATCAAGGCACACTTGAGATCGCTCTTTGCATTTGCGATTTCGCCTGGCCTCAGAGCCCTCTCAGCTCCCGAACACGATTCCTATGACTTGAGAGACGGCTTCACACTCAATCAGAACGAGATTGTAATGCTAATATCTCAATGTCAGAAACCATTTGTCCCTAGCAATACCACTGATACGACAGAAAGCGATGAAGATGAAGATAAGATTGCAGAACAGCGGCTCCAGTTTGATCAAGAGCTAAACGCTCAGCGCAACTTGATATTAAAAGCTGTCCGAGAATCCTGGCCGAGTGACACAGTTGAGTTACCGGCGAAGCGGTCGATCGATCATTACAAGATTTCAGAGCTAAAACTGCTTCTGAAAGGGAGGTTTGCCGTGTGGCACAAGAATCATATTTTCGTGCGACTCCTGGAGCGTTATGATCAAGAGCTCAGAACCTTTAGCAGCAACTGGACAGGTCCAGATATTGCTAGTTCTGTTGTCGATTTCGACCTTGCCACCCCTTCTGTCCGCGAAAATACGCACTTCTCCCTGCTTGATCTTATGGTCATGACGCCAATCACCTTGCACGACTTCAAGGACAGTAAGCCGACTGGATTAGACGGAGACCTGTCGCAAACTGTGTGTAGAAAGGCGCCACCCCAATTTCTGGAATCTAACCAAGCTCGTTCTAGCTGGGAAGACCTGGAAGACATCACGGAAGATTTGCTCGGTGATTCTTCTCCAGCTGTGCGTGAGTATGGCCAATTATTGAACAACAGCATCGAGGCTATGATTCGCCGATCGGGTCAAGATCAGGCCAAGCTGTCGGTGCCTCCTGGCGAGATTCTTACTCAAAAGCTTGAGGAGTCCAGACATCACATCGCCTATGTTCTTTCCCGAACCTGCGCGCTCCTGCGACCGAGTCTCGTCTCAGGACAGGCTCTCGTCGGGGCAAAAATCTGGCCTCAGGTGTCTGAGTTAACATTGCTTCAACTTCTCTCGGCTCAAAATCGCAACAATGTTCCTTCTTGCTGGATGTCTGTCCTTCTCCAGTTTGCGAGGGAAATTACGGCCGCTCAACGCGTGGAAAGATTGCAAAAGTTCCTCGCTGCTGGGGATACATTCGCCCTCAATAATGAGCTTGCAAATCCTGCACATTCCAAATGGTCGCCAGAGGAGCGGCCTGACTGGCTCCTTCTAGAGTGCCAAAATAACTTTCTCATTCGACCTGTCCAGATCCGGGTTGCAAATGAGTTGCTTGAGCCTGAAAATGGGACCGTGCTACTGGGCATGGGCGAAGGAAAGACCAGTGTTATTTTGAATCTTGTGGTGACAGCACTTGCGCAAGGCTCGCATCTAGTTCGGGTTGTGGTGCTAAAACCTCTCGCCCAAGAAATGCTCCGCATCCTATCTCGCTCCCTTGCAGGCTTAGTAGGCAGGGCTCTCTACTATCTACCCTTCTCGAGGCAGACCGCCTTGAACGCCGAAACACCTCAGCGATTGATGAGCCTGTATCAGGAATGCCGTCAAAATGGAGGCGTACTCCTCACTTTACCAGAATATCTGAACTCGTTTCGCCTTGTGGGCATCGACAAGCTAGCACCAGACACCCACTGTCTTGCTGCTGAACTTATCCGTGTTCAAAAATGGCTCGACTGCAATGCTAAAGATGTCCTTGATGAGTCTGACGAGCTGTTGAAACCTGCATACGAGCTTGTTTACACGAACGGAGAAGCAAACCTCCTTTCAGGAGCGCCTGACCGATGGAATGTTTCGCTGGAGGTCTTGGATCTAATTCAGAAACATGCTTATGCACTTGGTGTCCGATACCCAAAAGGAGTTGAGGTTCAGGTAATACGAGGCCCAGGCTCTTTCCCTCACGTCAGAGTGCTCAATCAAGACGGCGCAATGGCAGTAGCGAAGCTGGTAACCCAAAAAATTGTCGATGGGCAGCTTCCAAGTCTTTCTCTCGGTCATTGCAATTCAGAAGTGCTTCAAGCCATCCGCTCATTCATATTCAATGTCAACGTTGATGATGGGCAACTTGAATTGGTAACCCAGTACTTTGAGAACTCTACTAAGCTTCATCTGCTCTATGTGGTCAGAGGACTGGTATCTCATCAAATCCTGGGCCACACACTACACAAGCGTTGGCAGGTGAACTACGGGCTGGATCGAACTCGAACGCTCAGCGCCGTTCCATACCGCGCCAAATCAGTACCCTCTCCGAGCGCCGAATTTGCACAACCAGAAGCCGCAATCATTCTGACCGCCCTTTCGTTCTACTACACGGGTATCCTTCGCCCAGACTTGAGACGATGTCTCCTTACTCTCCTCAGATTGCCAGATCCTGCCGACGAGTACTGCAAATGGGTGAAATACTCTGCGCTCCCCTACAAATATCGCAAAGTCAATTCTATCAACCTAGATGACGGCTCTTGTGTTGATACTCTGTACGAACATCTACGCTACAACAGCGGGTTGATCAATTTCTTCCTGCGACATGTTGTGTACCCTTCAGAAGCAAAGGAATTTCGGTACAAACTGTCCACCTCTGCATGGGACTTGTGCAGAAATTCTGGGGTTCTGACGGTAGGCTTCAGCGGCACTTGCGACAGCAAAATACCAATTGTACAGAAGGATCTTTCGGACCTGAGACACATTACGGCTTCTACTCTGTGTACGCTGCTACGATTTGAAAACCGAAAGTACTTCTGTGCTGCATCACCGTCTGGTCAGCGCCTCCCAACCGAGGAGCTGCTGCAGCGTATCACCGCAGATGGATCACTCGATGTAATCATCGATGTCGGAGCTCAAATGCTGGAGGGCAACTTAGAAATAGCCCGGTTATGGCTGCGCCTCAACCCGGAAAAGATGGCAGCGATTTTCTTTTCGGAAGATGATGAGAAAATGGTCTTGAACCGTGACGGTTCAACCGAGCCACTTGCGTCGTCAATCTTTAAGGACGAGCTGAGAAGCTGCCTGATCTTCCTCGACGAATTCCATACTAGAGGGACCGATTTTCAACTACCCGACAATTTTACCGCGGCAGTTCTCTTAGGACCTGGAATTCTCAAGGATAACCTGGCACAGGCTTGTATGCGGATGAGGAAGCTGGCCGTTTCCCAAAGCGTCAGATTCTACGCTCCACCAGAGGTTGATCAAGCCATTCGCAGCGTTGTCAAAGATCCGTCAGGAGATCTTGACAGTCTCCATGTTGTCCGCTGGGCAATTCAAAATTCCTGTCTTGCTCTGAAAAAGCAAGATCCTCTTTACATAAGTCGAGGGCTGCTACACTCACGCCGGCGGCTTGCCGCAGACCGTCACCTTACTTCTGAGGGTAAGGTTGTGGATTACGAGCAGTACCTGGACACAGTTCGAGAGCGAGAATGTCGTCCTGTTACTGAGCTGTACCGCGCCGGCGGAACTCACCGAGCAGACCTCCCGTTCCAACCAACATTGGCAGAGTCTCAAGATGCTGTGATCCAAAGTCTGTGTGCAGACTTCGAAAGAATTAGTTCTACCGACCTTGATGACAGCGACATCACACAAGAACAGGAGCGAGAAGTCTTGCACGAAATTGAAGAAGAGAGAGAGATCCAACGTCCTCGAGAAGTTACGCCCGCCACTCCACAGCATTGTCAAAGTTTATTGGATGTTATTCGGAACGAGACGAGGTGTGCCAACATTCCTGAGCTTCGTCCATGCTTCCAAATCCTTCGACAGACTCGCCTTGGGCTTTACTATAAGCTAGGGGAGTTTCCGACGCATGTGTTGGTGACTCCAGACTTCCTGCGAACTATTCAAGCTCATGGCAACTCTCCCGAAGATGATTTTCTGAGACCGGTACAGTGGATTGTGAAGATGGCTGGAATCAAACAACCTATCATTATCAGCCCGCACGAGGCTAACATGTTTTTCCATGCGATTCGGAAATCCTCGGGTACTACCTTACATTTGTATCAGGCCCGGACCTCACGGGGTATGGTTTCCTTCGATGGCTTGGACATCTGCAAATTCCCAGCGAACAACGACTCCGGCGAGATCGAGCCACAAGCCATTGCGCTGCTTGGCCTCTTTGCAGGTCAACTGTACTTCTCTTCTTTCGACCATTACAAGGAGTTCTGTACACTCATTGGTCTCTTTGATGGAGAACGACCACTCCTTCGCAAGCGGCAGGTGGCAAACGACAACTACGTTTCACCTTCTTGTCGAAATGCCAACGGCTGGACGGAGTGTGCGTTCAGAACAAGCCCAGTCCCTTGGATCAAGGGATTCATCGATATGCGCCGAGCCGGCATTGAGTGGACTCATACCCATATGGGCAGAATCATGAATGGACAGATCTTGCGGAGAGAAGATTTTGAAGAGGAGGTCGAAGACGAAATGATGACAAATGGTATGGACGAATTGCGACTTGGTGAGCAGGAGGAGACCGAAGGGTGAGCGTCTAGGAAGCCGGAATGTGAGTGTGGTGGAACGGACATTGTTGGTGGGCTTGATGCAAAGAAACCGCTTTCTGTTTGTTGGAGTCTAACTGATAGAATTGGATGGGTTGGTGATTATGGACGAACAAAAGTTTGCTGAGGAATCCCAAAGAGGTGTGAGATGGACACCATCAGCCGAGGGCCGTGCTGGTCATGTTCATGCTGGTTGTTGTATGCAGAATCCCTGGAAAACGTGCTGAAGAAAAGACAAATCGAATACTACAAAAAAAAAGGGAAAAGGGAAGAGGGAAAAAAGATACAACCACTATGAAAAAAATACACCATGTTTGAGTAAGACCTGTCCTTTCCGTTCGCCTTGCAGACCGTGAAATCATCTCGATCGGATGCTCCCACGGACCGATTGCTCTCCATGCGCATAATCCACCTGGTAAGTAGGAAGAAGGTGAGATGCCAGTTTGAATGGCCTTGCGAGGATCTCTTGTAGCGGAAAGGGTCAGAGTCTCCCAGCAGGGACATGTCAGAGAGGCGAGGCCGTGGCGGTAAAGGAGGTCCAGTAGCAAGACAAATCGGGTACATATCAAGTTGACTCCATTGACATGCCTTCTCGCGGACTTGCAATCCTGGTAGAAAATTTCAGGTTGTCAAGAGACGTATCGTCCCCCGTCAACATTGAATCCAGCACCACTGTACGAGCGGCGCATTAGCAATGCTTAGCATGAGCCTTCGCCACGGGGAAAACCACCTACGTGATATAGTTCGCTTCATCCGAGGCCAGAAACACTGTCATGTTGGCAACGTCTTCAGGCTCGCAGAGACGACCGAGCGGCAGCGTCGCCAACCGCTTGGCTCTTCCCTCTGCGCTGTCCTCTCCCCCAACAACCCGTGGTGCCCTATACAGATCAGTCAGTGCGTGCCAGGGCCGCTCCAGGTGCCGGCCACACTTACATCGGCGTGTTCCCGAACGAAGGCCTGACGATGTTGAAGCGGATACGGTCTTTGGCATACGCGCCGGCTAGACCTTCAGTTGCCTGTGACCTTGCTCAGCTCAGCACCCTCAATGGTATTGGCGAATTTGGGGAGGGGTTGTTGTTCGTTATTACAGTGTCAAGAGCGCCTTTGCTGGCGGTATACCAGATCGTGCTGGCCCGCGGCCTCTGCGAGCCGATACTGCCAATGTTGATGACATGGCCCGGCACCCCGTTCGCGATCCAGAACGGCACCAAGACTTTCACCGTCATGTACAGCGGCTTGACGTTGACTTGCCAGACGCGATCAAAGTCCTCCTCGGGCACCGTGTGCGCATCCGCCCCTATGTGGACATAGCCCGCGCAGTTGACCACCGTGTCCGGGATGGTCGAGAACTCACGATGCGCCATTTTCAGGGCGCTGTGCCACGTTTGCTCCGACCCAGCATCGCCTTCCATCCGGGCGAACTGGGCTGTAGGCGTTAAGAGACTGCTTGTCTCTTTGTTCCCCGCTTCGTTGATGTCGATGCCGAGCACGCGGGCTCCTTCGGAAGTCGCTTTCTTGACAATCTGCGACGCCCTGTTAAAAGATGGGGAACACTTTCGTATAATACCCAGAAAGATGGGAGGCAAAGGGCCCAGGAGCGCAAACTTACTCCCCTCCCAAACCCAGATCCCGAGCCCGTCACGATTATGACCTTACCCTCGAGTCTCCCCATGGTTGTTTTGCTCTTGGATACCGCAGCCGAAAGCGCTCGATGAGACAGTGTCAATAGTCTGGCGGCGCCAACGACCTCTGAGGGTTTCTTGGTTTTTGCTGCGTGCTGCCGTATACGCCCAGAGGACCAATGAAGTATACTACGCTCTGAGATTCGATGCAAAGATCTCACTCACCCTCAGCTGCCAACGGGACCAGTGAGTGATTGAGGAATCGGCTATGCAAAGCTGGTTAAATCCGGGTATGTATGATCCACCCCACACGCGGTCTGCCCCATCCGTGCGGGCAGGATCCTATATAAATAAGTATTGCCATGTAGCTCGGCTACGTGGTTGGAGTGTTCCTTTGTCTCGGCATTAGAAAACTTCCGTATTTCGTGTTCTGTTCGTAGTGATGCATGCGTGTTCGAAGTCGTGCTATCGAACTACCACCCGCCGATTTTCCTGGTGGGTCTTTAGACTCGATTACTTAAAGGTTTTAGGCGGACATGTCGTTACAATATGTTATCCAATGAATCTGCCCAAGTAGCCAGATGTCTTCAACACATCTGAAGTTTGAGCCTACTACAGGGACTTTACCCTTCTGTAATCTCCTCGTAATATAGACTGACAACTCCCTTTCTCAGGAGCTTGAATGCCCCGGACATTGAAGAACTGGCGGATGGGAACCCGAACCGTCCCGCAGTGCTTCCCGGAAATCTCTCAAGAAAGTCCACAACGTCTTCTCTCGCCAGCCGCGCGCTTTCCAATCATTCGCCCGCTTTGGGTACACGTCCACCACGCCGTCGATGGTGTCGTCATGCGCCGCAAGGAAGAAGATGTTGTCCTGGCCGTCGGCGTCCTGTGCGCGGACGATCGTCCTGACTGCCTCGTCAAAGTCGCTTGTGATGACGGGGTCGAAGAAAGGTTGATCGACGCGTCGTCCGCGCGATGTTTGGAGGGACTCGAGGGTCTGCACCGTGGCAGCGGCTTTCTCTGCCTCTGCGCCGAGAGAGGCTGCAGCGGACGCGAAGTCCAGGTATTTGGACGGTCGAAGTTCACCGCCGTGGTGCGTCAGATCGCCACCGAGGAATGCAAAGGTGTCGGGGTTCGATGTGGTGCGGACGAGACCCGCGAGATGGCCGATGGCGTGGCCGGGGGTGTCGAGCAGGTAGAAGGAGCCGTCGCCGAAGTAATCAAAGGCCCGGATCTGTCCTATCTGCACGGTTCCTGACTCGTCGAAGGTGATCTCCCGCAAGCGTCGGCCACTAGAATCAGGGGCACTATCAGCACTTCCACTTCAGACAAGGACCTGGGCCTTATCACTTGGATAAGGATCAGTGTGCAGTATATATCTGTTTCGCGATCTGGACTGCAGTACTTACTCGAGATCTGTCTGTCGAATTGGCGATTTGGGACCCGCGGGATATGCCGGAAGAAATGCTTTGCTGAACCCTGGGCCGACGACCAGGTCGGTAGTGGAGGGGAAATGCTGAATGTCTCCTTGATGATCCCAATGCCAATGACTGCAGAACGGAAATGCTTGAATTAGTCACCAAGCTCAAAAAGCACCTGGAGAGACACTGTAGACATGAAATGGGGTACTTCACGAACCTCCAAACCACAGCCTCGATATCTGCAAGGTGCGTGCCGTGTTCGACCAGAACCTCAGCAGTGCTCTGAGGCACATCAACCACCCATTTGAAAGTCTTCAATCTATCAGAGACCAAGGGCGGCAGCGCGTAGACATCCTTGGGGATGCCCAGGTCGAAGAGCACCTTTCTCGTCTTGCCCGAAACCGTGGTCTCGATCAGAAACGACCAGCTGGGCACCTTTGGAAACATGTGAAATCCCGGAAGAGTCGGCTTCACCAGGTGGTCTGCTGCCATGCCCTGGATCGTGCCCGTGGTGTTGATGATCGACAGGTTCGCCGCTACTCCAGACGGAACTGGGAATATTGGTTGGTTCCCAGAGGCCATTATGGTCTAAGGTGCGGACGCAGAATTCTTGCCTTTTAGCTCAGCTGTGTGCACGCAGTTGTATTTGTCCTGAACAGCACTATATTAATATTTGAGGAGGTTGCCCAAGTTGGCATATGCTTCTTCTGGAGCACTCCTTTTTCTTGGAGCCAGGGAAACCCCAATTCCTCCGGCAAGCGGCTCCTTGTCCCGCACTGCCGCGACAATGGTACAGCCGAAACACGATCCTGATAAAGCGGGGTTGATTGTTACCATCAATGCTGATTCCCCCTCAACTATGTGAGGAGATAGCAATGACAAAAGGATGGAGTACGTTCTTCTCAGGCTCTTTAAATTACATCCGAGTCTGTGGACGACCAAGTCCGCGAACTCGTCCCGAAAGTCTGCCTTCTCGGTACAAGACCGCTACGCCAACATCAGCATTGAAAAACTCAGAAAAGCCTCACGTTTTCTGCTCCGTCGCTCGTCATCAGAGTTAGTAATTGATTCCTCCACCATGTTCGTAGCCGAAAGTGTGGATGGGAATCGCTAGCGGAGATTCTTGTGTTCATGTCGATATTTCACCATGAACGCCCCTATGTGTCGTCTGTCTTGAGTTGTCAAAGCGGGTGGCGGCAATAGTATCCTTATCCGCGATCATGCCACTGCCCTGGAAATGAGGCCAATGTTCTAAGTGCATCGGTCTTGATAAGCTTCTCTGTAGCACGGGCTGAAAAGGCGGCTGTGGAACATCCTGGAGAACTTCGTTGTGACTGCCCAATTCAGCTGTGTGGGAGGAAGCGGCTGTCTTGGTCCGGGGTAAAACATGGTCCAGAACTGTGCATACACTCTGAGCTGTATGATAGCTTTCGGACATCTTTCTCAGGACCTTGGCCAGCGTGTTGACTTGCTGTAGTATTGTGGTCGTTTTTGCGGAATTTTCAAACTCGGCCAAGTTCGTGAGGAGAGCAGTCAAAGCCACGCTCGCAGGCTGGGGAGTAAAGACAATCAAAGACTGCATGCCAAATTTCGTGCAATACGCATCCACGTTTCGAACAATGCTCATCGCATTCTCCAGGCAGACATTCTTCGAGACTGTTCGAAAAGACGATGTTGTGGAGACTTCCGAGATCTTCCCGGCGCTTTGGTGCAGCTGATCTGGCTCATCCTCCACCAGTGAAGAATGCAGCTGAATTAGCGTGCTATGAAACAGCTGGCTGTTTCGATGCCGGTCAGTCAAGCTCGAAGAGGTCCTTTCGTGATTTGAGCAGAGAAGTGAGATTGGAGCCTTACTGTATGAAAAAGAACATGGCGCGCGAACTCTGCACATTCTCCGCATTCCACCTGAGCTGAGCCGGGAGATTTCTCTGCCACGACTCAAGCTCGCCATGTAGTGCTGCAGCAGCCACGAGCTTGCCAGTAGCTTCGTTAAGCTCTGATGTCGAAGCTGCGTTGGTAATGTGGCTAGACACTTTGATGGCCAACTCCATCAGCTCCAGCAAGGCATCCCAGGCTTGGGTTTCTCCCGGGCTCTCAGCCAGACGTGTTGAGACCTCAGAGGCCGAAGTCAACACCTTGGAATATGTGAGGCTGAATCCGGTAGAGAACAAGTCAGATTTTCTGATCACAGTGGGGTGACCGGAGAATATGGCCCAGATTCTGTCGTAGAAAACACAGGCCCGCAACAGACGCTGTCGTGATTGCATCTCTCTCTGAGGCAAGGTAGATTTAGAGTGGTCTATAGTCAATCCCATCTCAAACGAAAATCGGCAGGCGACACCTAGGGCCCAGGTTTAGTATAATATCGATATGATAACCGTAATAACCGATGCGGCACTTACCAGCGTACATCCAACCCGATCGGTCTCTGCCGACTGCACACTCCAAGTCGCTCAAAATGAGCAGCCCTTGTATGGTGGTCAAGCCTCGAGGGTTTTCCAACTCAGTCTCAACCGTGTATCGCGCACTCTCGTGGAAGGTACTGTGCCTGTTTCCCCTATCAAGTGTTTTGATATCTGGCCTAGACTTATCAGCGTATCTGAAGCCCATCGCCAAGCAACATATATGTAGAAACCCTGAGTAGTGAAGCTTGTCTCGGTCTCTGTCTTGCTCAAATGCCTCCTGGTCAATCATTCGCAAAGCTTCATTGTAATGGGTCCAGAAACAAGTCATCAAATGATTGTAGGTCTCCGTAGTGAGATCTTTGATCATATGATGCAATCGCTTCTGTAGATGCCATGATCCCGAAGAACTCCCTTGAGAGTCGGAAATTTGGTCCGCGTAAAGTTGGTATCTAGCAAGGGGAGTAAAGTATCGTAATTGTCCAGTGGTGCCGTCGTATTTCAGCCGTGTTGACTCGAACAGAAAGGAATGGGCGGTATCTTCACAGCCTTCTTGGAGATGGCCCCGATCAGCGAGCTCCGAACAGAGAACCGCTCCATCCTCCCCAGAGGTAGCATTTGAAGTTGGAGTTTGATCATGGGGTTCGTTATCACCTGGACTAGACAGCCCCTGGTCTTCCTGGAGGACAACCACCTCAGAGTCAAGGTGTGGTAAATCAAAATGATCGCCGGAGTTGCGATGAGGCCAGGATCCTGCGGACTGTTGGGCAACATGTTCCGCGCTTTGCGTTTGCTCTGATTGCACTTGGATGTCGGGTTGCTGTGGTTGCTGTGGTAATTCGCCGTCCACCTCCTTCAAGCGACTTTCCAGAAGTTCAATATGCTCGAGTAAAGAGTGCACAAAGACTCTAGATCTGGGTCTGCACGGCGTTAGTTCAATATCATCTGATTGTTTCATTGGAAAAGCAGGAATGGATCATGTTCTACCCTTGGGAATGATAGCGTACCTCCTTCGCTCGTCATCGTTGCGGAACACACACTCGAGTCCGCTATCTTTGCAGTGGTTGCACGACTTCTCGCCAAGATCGGTTACACACTACCCGTGTTAGGCGGGTATCAAGGCGAAATCGCGTCTTCTCAGGTACCTTTTTCCTCTTGTGTCGGCATCCGGTACACGCCACTGACGCGCGAGTCCGTCCAGGTGCCAGCCGCGAAGACTGGCCTTTCGTGGCGCACATGGAGTTTGGAAGTGCGGACAGCTTGTGCAACAGAGCCGACCACGAAAGCTCTCTGGTCCCACGAATCCTCTTTGCTCTTTGCAGCTGTTCAGTTAGAAGTAGTCTGCTGAATGAGAGGGTCTGTTAGTCCAACGGCCAAGGTCGAGTAGAACGAGAAAGATCTCTTGGACTAGCATGTCGGAAAATGATATCCGCAGCAGCAGCGATATCGGGCCTAAGCCTTCCTAATGTGGTTGCTGTGTTATTGTGAGCATTAATGCGGGGAAGCAAACTACGAAAGTAATCCAGGGGCCTCCAAGAATTGAATTGTAGGGGCGCCTATGACGCTTCTCCCTATGCTTTCCATCCGTTCTCAGCCAAGAGCTCTTTAGTCCACGATGCCGCTTTTTTGAAGTACAATGTCGAAGCCTCAAGTTGTGGGAAGGTATAGAATCCATGAGGGAGGCCAGCGTAGGTTGCAACCTCAACCGGTACGCTACAAAGCAGTAAGCAACTTTTCCCAATTGGAGGCTGTCTTGAACAGTGAGCGCCGAGGAGGATTTCTCATCTGAGCTCTGGGAATCATCTCACGTACCCGGCTTCCTTCAATCTTTCTGCGTAGGCAAATGCCTCGTCTCGAAGCGGATCCATCCCTGTTATCTGTATTACTGTGCTCATCGGATTAGCTGGGAGAAGCCGTGAATGAGGCCATTTGGGGATCTTGGGGGATGAAAATAGGAGCAATGGCTTACAAGCAGGTGGTAGACCTTCCATGGTCTCTACCAAGAAGGGATTCGCGTACACGTCAGGCCCAGTGTCAGGGTAGTAGGTTTCCCAGCATCGTAACATGTGATCTTTACCTAGGATCGAGGCGTTTTTGTTCTGTTCCCAGCTCGTGTACTCATACTTATCCTTTGGAAAGTACTTTGGATGACACACAACTGGGCCATTCAATACTTGGCCTATGATCCCTTTCTCCTTGCGGTCTCTTGCCATTATGGGAAGCACAGCAGCTAAGTTGGCTCCGGCAGAGCTACCATTGGAAATAATCAGAGAAGGGTCGATCCCCAGAGAATTTGCATTGTCCTTGCACTGGCGTCATCGTATAGGTTTTGAAATTAGTACCCCCGCCCTTTTGTAATCGAGTTTTCAAAAGGGTGGTCTCACTTACCCATTTGAACACATCATAGAAGTCGTTTATGGCATGGGGATATCGATATGCAGGAGCCCTGGGCACATATCAATTTACATTCTCGTCGGTAGTAAGTGAGCGGACCTCGAACAAGTGAACTTACAGTCTGTAATCCACATCTACAACAACTGCACCAGTCTCCTTTGCGATCCAACGACAAACGCCTTCCTCGACGTCGTGGTTTCCAAGAACCCAGCCACCTCCGTGTGCTACTAGAACGAGGGGCGCCTTGTCCTTGCCCATAGCCTCCAGCTTTTCGGTATTCCGGTAGATCTTGATGCCCACGTTCGCACCATCTCTTACCGGGACTTGGTCATATGACACTTCCAAATCCACAGGCGTCCCATCCGGGACAGGGTGTGGATAGCTCGCCCAAGTCTCATGCTGTTTCTCTATCGGTAAAGCATAGAACGCGCTGAATTGCTCGTCACAAGCCTGCTTGAGGGGCAGCCAAACAGGGTCTGGATCAGCGAGCCACGCATACTTGAGGCTCGCCATGAGGTGGGTGCTTCCTTACAGGGCACTATTCGAACTTTAATGTAATACTTACGCGGCGTCCTTCTCTATTCAAGAATGATTTATCCTTTTGTAGTTTTCAGCATCACGGGCGGAACTGGCTATTGGAACAAAACAGTCGTTTGGATACGGCGGCAGCACATTAGTTAAGCGGAAAGCTTTAAGCGTCACAGCGTCAGGGACTCCTGGGCCCATGCGGGTGGTGTTGGGCTTCCTTGCGTCACGAAATCTCCGAGCAGGTCCAACAGGGACCCCTTCGGGACTTGAGGTTCCGCCTAAGAAAACGGCGCCTAAGTATCACTCGGCGAGTATTGCATTGACAAGAAAATTCTCTTGCGGGCATCATTTACTTAAGTTGATTTTGCTTACCTTGGCTCTTACTCTACCCTGAGCGCAGCTATATCCGCAGCGGAAGACAGCTGGTGAAATTCAGGAGTGAATAGCCTGTCAATCGCCGAGTATTGGGAAGCCTTTCACCTCGTAGGCAAGCGTTCTGCGCATTGTGGACTTTATTTTTCTGGGGAAAGTGCCATGGTTTCTGAACCCAAGACCACGACAGGCGTTGAACGATCCAGTTCCAGCAGTTTGCCTTGCTTTATAATGTGGTTCATCTCAAAGCAAGAGAGCCCACAAGCGCCCACTACCCCTTCTTCCTTCCCTTTGCGAAATAGAGTCAGACAGACGTGTCAACCACTTGGCCCCACAACCAACTATGGGAAGCATTGCCACGATGCGTGCTGCGCAGTTTCATCGCGTAAGGGCGGTTGCAATGCATGCCTGTATCACTCTCAAAGCTGACACGATCACTCCTTCAGGATACTGGAAAGATCCAGGTAAACGAAGTCCCCATTCCCGAGCCAGAGGCCACCGAGATATTGGTCAAGATCAAGTCCGCCTCTCTATGCCACTCAGATATTATGGCCATCGAGGGCTGGACACCGACGCCAAGCAGCGTGAAGCCCATCACTCTGGGACATGAAGGTGCTGGTGTTGTTGAAAGGTTGGGCTCCAAAGTCACCGGATTCAAGCCTGGGGATCCGGTGGGATTCTTGTATATCACGGGAGTCTGTTGTACGTGTGAATTGCTATTTTCCATGCTCCCGAGAACATTAATCCTTCACACATATGTTGCTGAAGGGGTCATCCTTTTGCTAATGGGTATTAGTCGAATGTGAAGGATGCAAGGTCTACAACCTCTACTGCTCCAAGGGCACTCCACGCATCCAGGGAATGACCGAGGGTGCCGACGGATTCTTCGCCCAATATGCTGTAGTCGACTATCGCAATGCCATAGTTCTCCCGGACGCTGTCAAATTGGAGACGGCTTCTCCTCTCTTCTGTGGCGGCATTGCAGGCAGGTTGACCCCCCGTTATGGTGATGGATAATCAGGCACCACTGACTGCCCTTCTCGCAGCTTTCAATACTGTTGAATCATGCGAGCTGAAACCCGATGAATGGCTCGCAGTTGTCGGCTGTGGAGGCTTAGGGCAAGCTGCTGTGCAATATGCCAAGGCCATGGGCATCAAGGTGGTCGGGCTGGACATCAACGACGAGACACTCGCGGAAACCACGAAGGTTGGCGCTGATCTCACGTTCAACTCTGCCACAAATCCCAACTACCTGGACGAGATAAGGAAGGCCACAGGAGGCGGGGTGCACGCCGCTGCTGTGTACAGCGCTTCGATAGCAGCGTACGAGAACGCCAGAAAAGCGCTCCGAATAGGCGGCCTCTTGATGGCCGTGGGTTTGCCCTCGAAGCCATTTCCCGTGAACTTGACTGAGATCATCACGGGCCTGTATCGGCTCAAAGGCGACTGTACTGGCACTCCTCAACGCATGCCACGGGCTATTGAATTCACCGCGAAGCACGCCATTCAACCGAACGTTGTCAGCTTCCATAAACTGGACGAGGTACCTGACATGATTGCAAAAATGAGGGCAGAAAAGTCCACGGGAAGGATGGCCGTGCTATTTTAGCCTTAGCTCAGGCTGGGGTAGATGTTGGACTCAAGTGCTGGCTAGCTTCGCTTAGCAGCGCAGCTGGTTGTCGGGCACGCGCTGTTGAACCTATCGTATAGCATCTAAACGAACAAGTCTCTCTCCTTTCAGGATTTTCGCAAGAGTGGAGTCATCACCGCCGCCTCGTCTTGACCATCGATGTATTGGTGTTGAAGAATCAACTTTCACTAATTGACTGCGTTCTCGTCGAGAGAGATGATCACTCTGTACATTGCGAAGTGAATAGAAATTCATGTGTCAGTTGACTCGAAAGACGTTTCGGAGGCCCGGAGGCATCCATGAGCACCGTCGAAATGCTGCCGTAGCCTTGATATCAAAGCTCCAATTCGGCGGCTTCATCTCTTAGCACCCTCAGCAATGTGGAATGCTTTAGGGCAGCCTATTGTCTGGCTATGTCTCGTAGGTCCATGAGCCTTGTATGCTTTTCTGACTGATGCAAGCTTCCCTCATAGTGTACCTCTTTCCAGCATATCTGACTCAGAGCATATTTACAAGTTTGAACCCTTCAACAGGGGAAGACGACACCCAAACGATCTCTACCTGCGTGTAGTCCGTCTCCCACCGATTCTTGACTGCACTCTTTTTAAACTTCCATGTGTATCTGGAGCCAGTCTGCACTGCGACGTGGGAGCCATTCTGCTCCATGACCCCGCCCCAGAAGATGTTTGCTCTGCCGGTCGCTGCGGCCGTGTTGGTAGAATCAAGTTGGAAATCCATGTTGACAATGTTGTGTTGTGTGCGTTTGAACCTCTCGGTGATGAATGCAAGAGCTTTGGCGGTGTTGGATCGCCCTTTTACGGTGCCAGTGTTGAGGTTCATTGGGGCTTTTGATTGGAAAATGCAATAGGCAGTCAGTCAGTCAGTTAATTCAGGTTTCTGAAAATGCAATGGCACCCAGGGAGTGTCATGGGGGACTACCACCAACCTTGGCCTTCAAGATCTGGCGCGACTTTGAAGTCAAATGTGCAGTCTTCGGTGAAGCAAGTTGCGATATCGTCCCAGGCAAAGGTGTCGGCGAACCAACCATAATTGTTGATATGGTGCGTCAGTGCGAGTTGCTCCTCGAGATGCGTCGTTGAACTTGCCATGATGCCGCAGGTCTTGGGTGTTGATGTTTGTTTGTCTACCAGAAACAATGGCCTTGAACTATCGTGGACCAGATCATATAGTTTTCAAAGGCAGAATCGAGCATATCCCAGCGTACTATCGGCGAACACGTCCTCTATAGAGTTAGTTCATGCTCCGACAAGTGCAGCCACTGACTATACTTCGCAGGCAGAGATAAAGGCCCGGAAAATGGGGACAGTAGCCCGGTGCGGGTACCGCTTGCTCAATGGACAAGCTGCACCGATAGTCGCGGAAGCAGTGCCAGGAAACAGGACATATTCGGAACGAGAAGAGACGCAACGAAATTGGCCTTGCGCTTACTCTTTGCTTAGCTCGGACAGCCCGAGGGTTGAGAGTTCAAAAAATCCACTACTGAGAATATTCGGCATCATTTACCCGATATGAAAGATGTGCCTAGGATCGCCAGAGCATGGAATTCATCATCCAGCCGAAGAAAGTCTTTGGATCGTCTCGATACTGACAGACAGCCATATAGACTGAAAAGATCTCCTGCACGCTCCAATCGGGAATTCTATCAGTTAATGCTGCGGAAATACCGCCCCGTGTCTGGCTATGGTTCGATCAGATGGCGTTTCCAAATCCTTCTCCTTGATAACCGAGGAAAACATCACCAAAGTCGTTTTCGAGTACTTGGGTTCGTGGACTGTTACTGGCGTCTCCACAGAAAAAGAATGAAGGCGAGAACCTTGCGCAGCTCTGCACGTTACCAACCGCGTTGCTAGATGGCAGCGGGTCGATAGAAGCTTCTGTCCACAAAAGGCTGTCTGTCGGGTTATCCAAGTCTTGAAGCGACGATGTTGATTCCAATGGATTCCAGCCATCTTCGTTGGCATGATGGACGTTAGTTTTAGCAATATGATCACCAAGGGCTTCGAAGTCCTCATCTTCAGCTCCGTTTCGTATGCGCGAAACGAACGCATCGGATCTGCTTTGTTGTTGAGGTGCAGCCATAGCATGGACAGAGGCGGAATCATTCGAGGTTTGTCTCTTTTTGTTGAACTGATGGTTGTCATCCGGATCATGCTCACCAGGCCGTCTAGCTGATACGCTGCTCGAGTCGGAGAACGGTGACAAACTCGAATCCAAGATTGGGAGACTGTCGAAATCCACGCCCGTGTTCTGCATGTAGTGCTCTATCACGGCAGTCATCATTCTTGCTGGTTGGTAGACCAGAGACATCTCTTTCAATTCTTCGAGCAATGCCCGGATTCGCTGCAACGTGGAGAGCCGCTCCTTTGCATTCTCATCGAGTGATGCATTTGCAATCAGAACAAGACTTGCTGTAGCAGCATGTGTGAGTGAGAACAGCCCGAATTGGCTCTGGCCGAACCTCCTCCGATGATATGCGAAAATCGCCGCAACCTTCGAGGCATGTTTGAAAGCAATCGATCGAGCCAAGGGGACAAAAGAGTATGCGTCATTCGACTCCTCAACAGGCTTCGCCCCAGAGGCACTATACTGACCTTGAAGCGCCTCCCCATATTGTCCGTAAGGCCCATGCAATAAGGCCTGGGTTGTGTGGAATTGTTGGCTAGTTTGCCCTAAAGTTAGCGAGCTCGTGCTCAGAGAAAAAGATTGTGGCGCACATGCCGAATCAATCAAGCTAATCAAGCTGGATACTCCCTTGTAGGACAGAACAGAATACTTACTGCATTATAAAGTATAGAGATGCTGCCTTTTCAGCATTTTCCGGGCTCCAACGGATCTCCTGAGGAAGTCTCGCAGACCAGGAGTTCAACTTATTCCCCAGAGCAGCAATCTCGACCAATAAGTTTCCGTGGGAATCCGACCCAGGAGGAATATCCGAGTGTGTTTTCTCTTGGACTTTGCTGGCCATCTCTAAGAGTTCAAGCATGGCATTGTAGACCATGTTTTCAGTTTCATCAATGGCCGAGGAGGCTGGTTTTTGAACTCTGCCCAACTCGCTTAATCCGCCCAGTCGCGAAAACATGTCTGTAAGTTGAGAGATATCGAGATCTGAGTTTTTTATACTTGTTGGCCTGCCCAGGTACAATGACCACCCTCTGTCGTAAAGGATGCAGGAACGAAGCAGTCTTCTGCGTGACTGTATTTCTGCCTGCGATAATCCCAACTGCGAGTGCTCCAGATTAAGGCCATAGTCAAAAGCAAGACGACACGCTATCCCTGCTCGATGTTCAGGTTTAACTTTCAAGAGAGAGGATGATCTAATTGGAAATCTCTAAAGGACATACCTGCATATAATCCACCGACATCATCCATACCAAGGGCACACTGAAGATCGCTGAGCACCAGCATTGTCTGAATTGTTGTGAGACCCTGAGGCTCCTCTAGTTCTCCGTCGAGTATGTATTTGACCTCCTGGTGGAAAACGCTGAGATTGTCGGAAACCGTGATATCCCGCATTCCTGGTTTCTTCTTGTCCGCGAACAAGTACCCCATAGCCAAGCACGAGATGTGTAGAAAGCCAGAGTAAGACGCTGATGCACCGATATCAAGATCTCTGTAAAATGAATCCCGGTCTATGATGTGAAATGTCTCATTGTAGCAACGCCAGAAAAGCCCCATCAAATAGTCTTGAATTTGTGCAGGGACGTCTCCCAGGATGCGGTAGGCGTGCTTCTCTAGCCGCTGGCTTTGGAGAACTCCCGGACGTGGTCGAATCTGCTCGCTGAAATAACGCTTGAAACAATTGCTCGGGCAGAAGTATTGCGTTCTGCCGCTGGATCTGTCAAACACGATCTGATACGGACTGAACAGAGAATGTCGTAATGCCAGTGCTCGTCTGCGCGCTTCCAATGACAGAGAACTCGACTCTGTCCTGGTGTCGTGTGTTACCGGAAGCTCCGTACGTGTATGCGTAGAAGAGATGACGTTGCTGATGGGCGATCGGACCTGATCGTCTATGATGTTTGTATTCCCATGACTAGGAAGTGCGTTCTGTCCGAGGCCGAATGCAGGCAGCCCTGAGTTGTTTCTCCGCCTTGTACCGTCTTGCACGTCTAGATTCGCGCCTTTCTCGCTTACTGACCTGTTTGACTGGGATCTGTCTGCATCCCAGCAATTTCGCTCAATCTGTTGCGGTCGCTCCTTCAATAGGGGATTCTGTGGCTCTGGCGGCTCCCGGCCGGACTCTCTCAGCCGATTCTCCAAACGCTGGATGTCCTGGAGCAAGGAATTTACAAAAGCTCTGGAACTCGGTGCCTCTCGCTTATTCGGCCGACGGAAACCCCTTCCCTCGCTATAGTTCATCTCGGAACCTTCTATGGGATCAACGCTGTTAATTGATCTTAATATCTAGCAACCACAGAAGGTGGAGAAAAACAAGGTGGCAACAGATGCAGCAGAGGAACTCGCCTAACCTGCCTAACGCGCATATTCGGGAGAGGGGGAAGAGGGAATTTCTCGATAGGTCGCGGCATCCTGTTATGACTCTTGAGGGTTTTTGGTGCCATAAACCTCACTGAGAGGCAAAGTTTCCTTTTGACTAACTGTGTATGGTGGCAAAATGCTACAGTCTGCTCGCTGACTTGTGGTTTGGTGTTTTTGAAGGTTGGACAGAGGCAGGATAAGTCCGATTACCGGGCTGCGCTCCTCCATTAACTCTCCACGCCCCTCCATCAACATCAATGCACGCTCCGTTGACGAAGTTGCCTGTGTCACCGAACAGGAATACCGTGGCATCGGCAATATCCTTGATGAGACCGAACCGCTGCAGGGGCACACTCTGAATGGCTTGCTGTCGTCGCTCCGGGGACGATAAGCGGCGCAAGCCTTCTGTGTCGTCGATCGGACCGGGCGCAATGATGTTGGAAGTCACGCCTCTCGGCCCGTACTCTAGAGAGAGGACATTGGAAATGGCATTGACGCCGGCCTTTGCCGCGCACACGTGTGCTTGAGCGACTCTGGCGCTATGGTAGTTCGTCGAGCTAACGAAGATGATACGGCCACCGGTACCTTAAGTCGCCAGACGCATAGGTAGGTTCATTACTTAGAAGGGATTCTTGATCACTAGCGGGAAATGAAGAGAATGCACATACCAGAATTTTCGTCGCTCTTGTGCCTTTCCGCCGACCTGAGTAGGTGCGGTATCGTCGCCTTGACTGTGATCCATGAACCGATGAGATCGATGTCGATTACTGCTTTGAACGCGTTGAGTGACAACTCGTCCACGAGTGCGAGAAAGTTTCCAGCCGCGCCGGCTCTGCAAGTTGGAGGCGAGATTAGAACTCCGTACCCAACCTCTTCAGCGGTTCATATCAACAAAAGGTCACCTCTCAAGGAATACTCACATCACGAAATCAATCCCTCCGAGACGTCGGACGCATTCTTCGACCGCCGCATTTACTTTGTTTGGGTCGCGTACATCGACGTCTCCGATCCCCAGAACGACGCTCCCAGGCCTGATGGCCGATATCTCTGCAGCGACCTGTTCGGCCTTGCTGCGGTTTCGGCCGACGATGCAAGCGTTCGCTCCCAGGGCAACAAGGGCGCGTACCTGGCCTGAGCAGATTGTGCCAGACCCGCCGGTACAGAAAACGACTTTGTTTGCTACTCTCAGAGCCCCAGTGAGCAACTTAAACGCTCCTCGGGCGGCTGACGGGTTCGATCCTGAATGGCTTACCGAATATGCCCTTCTTCCAACTCGCACTCATGAAGGTGGATTTTGAGGATGCCATGGTGCTAACTGAACTCTCCAGTCCAAGCTCGAAAATCCTGTCTAAAAGGCGACAAGATTGATCAAGAAGCTCAGTACTGGATTTGGTGATTCAATCTCGTCTTTACATTCGTTAAATAGATGACGGAGAAACGCTGGATTGCTTTTACTAGGACGGTTTTCTGGGTCTCGGAGCTTTTATCGCTTCGCCGCGTTTTTCATGACAGGGCTGAATTCGTGCCAAGTTTAGAGGTTCGGCGTCTCGGTGGGCGCCTCGAGTGATGAAAACAACCTCGGGAGTTCCACTTATGATCGCCCCAACTTGTCTACCTCCTCGGCGTTACCTCTCGACGTGTAGTGTGAGACCACGTCCACACCGGTTTGGTCAGAGTCACGTAATTTAACACTCAGTTCCTCTGTGTGAGTGTGCACGCTGGAAAGTTCCGATATTTCCTCCTGAAACCGTGAAAGTCCTTTTATACAAACACGGCACACACAGGGAAGATATTACAGTCAACTCTAAAGCAACCTCCGTGCAGCAGATTTTATGCCCAACAATCGCCGAATGAAGTCCAGCAGACTAGTTGCAAGATCGCCAACCTGGTCTTTCGTGACAATGACTGCTTATTTCTGGTGGCTTGATGCCTTCGGTAATATAGCATCCAAATTCGGCATACGACCCAGAGCCAGGGTCAGAGTCTGAAAGCGTAGCACTAAAAAGTGCAGCTGGGGATCGGGCAGGATCTTTTCCGCCTCTGCTTGTACGGGCGAACTGGCAAAATCTGACTCGACTGCCATACCTTCAGACTCATTGGAACTTGACGTAGCCCTGTACTTCTCGGCGAGGACAAGTGTATTACTTAGTGTTGTGGAGTAGAAGTCAGCACCGGCATGCAGATCGATCATGATCTTGGCAATCTTAGAGCAAAGGGCGAGATTTTCAATTGCAAGAGCGTCAAAAACTCGGACCCTCTGCAGGTAGAGCGAGTAGATGGTCAGGGGCACAAAAACGACGAGTAACCTGGATACCAGTGGCTTAGCATAATCTTTTGCAATCATGGAGTAGAAATGGCCAAAACAGTGGACATACATGTTCAATGGTAGTAGTAATATCAGTTTTTCATCCAATGCTTCCTTCAAAGTTCGCAGAAGCGAATCCATAGAGTTCCACAAGGCAGCCCGAGATGAGCGAAGCATTGCCGCCGCCCATTTGGTAATGACAGGCCTGTCAATGAAGAGCGTGTTCTGGTAAAGACAAGACATGGCGTATCTGTAGTTGTGAGGATTTCAACAGAGCTGTGCGTGAAACGAAGTAAAGATGTAGGTCGACTCCAATGGGGGCACAAGCACTTACTCATAGGTCAACTGTGTGAGAACCTTCTCAGCCTGAAGAAGGCGCTTCTCAAGACACGTAGCGTCGGCGGGTGCTGCCATGGACAGCAGAGGCTCGTGGTCACGCTTCCATTTCTGCAAACGAACCTCGATCTCTTCCGCGGGAAGAGCGTCACACTGCTGAGTTAGTGCAGCAGTAGTAGACTCTCCAATGGTAATCATCTCAGATGCAGTGCGTTTCCACAAGATTTTGTCGAGTTGACAGAAGTGGACGTGCAGGTTGATGCGCTCCACAAAGATCTTCAGAAGCTGCTGCTTGATATTGGCGCTCAGATGCCACGAGAAACTGAAATCTTCTTGGAAGTCTGCGAGAGAGATTTGGTGCCAAGGAAAGCTGGAAGCTTCCATTAAATCTGGGCTGTGGCTCCATTTCAGTCCGATCTGAGAGTTGGAGAATCTTTGGAACCAACATGCACATACACGCTTCCAGTCCGATTGATCAATGAACCTTCGATCTGGGTTCTGTGACGGCAGTACACCGGCCTCTTGGAGTATTCGGTAGGCTTTGATGAGCCAGCGTTCGTTCTCGTAGAATTGGCCAGGGTAGTTGCGGTACGTACTCAGCAAGAGACAAATCTGTACTTGCCTGAGGTTGTCGCTTTCACAACCTAGCTTGAACAACGTCTAGAAAGGAGATGTAAAATCAGTCACAGACTCAAGTCAGAACGGCAAAAACATACGGCGGCTCTGGAGTAGTATTCACTCCTCATTGACCGTATAGCCCGAATGAGCGAAGGGTCCGTGCTTTCCGTTCTCAGATACTGAAAATAATCAGCATAACAGACTGATAAACTTGATGTGAATGGAAATTGACTCACCGAGCATGCAAAAAACATCATGGCGTACAAGAGTGCCAGGCTTATAGGCTCCAAGAATCTACCTGAGCCCTTACTGTGGCGCTGATCCGTTAAAAGGTAAAAATAATGCTCGCTCAGAAGTGGGAAGCGGTGATGCGCATGAGTAAAGTAGAGCCGCACCAAAGAGGCAATCTCCGAAGTTCGTGGCAAATTGAAAACTCTTTGTTCGACCACCTCAGCATATTTGCGGTCGTTTCTGAGGTTTTCGACAGACCAGTCTGCTACCCAAGCCAAGGGTGACTTGAACACATAAGCCTCGTCATGAACAAAATCTTGGGCCTTTGAGGATAGGTCAGAGGTAACTTCGACATCCAAGAGCTCTGTCAGGGAAGGATCGAACACATCAGTGTAGTTCAGATATTGTTCCAGAATATCGGCTTCCGGAAAGTCCGCAAACATCAAATCTTCGTTTTCAGAGAGCAAATCCGCCGAGAGTTGAGGATTGAGATTATCAGCCTCAAATATGGGCAGATTCGCGTCGCCCGCTACTGCTGATGGCAGAGTTTCATCCCATGGTTCAATGCTGATGGAATTTCCAGCTTTTGGCAGAATGGAGAACGAGTTGGCTGTTTCTCTTCCTTCATGGTGGTGCGCGGCTGCTTGTACTCGTGTGTTTGTGTCGTTAGAACTTAACGAAGCTAGAACTTCCGGGCTTTGAGAGATGTCGCGTTCTAACGAGGTATGGTCTTGGGTTACCGAAAGTGGTGCTGCTGAAAAGAATTTTGGTTCAAAATTGGAAGGCACCGCTTTTTGGCGAAGTGTAGCACTCGACCCCGGACGGGGGCGTGAAGGTCTTCTAGGATTCGTCTCAGAATCTGCGAAAAGACTTCCCATTGCGTCAAAGTCAATGGCTGGGTAGACTTACATTCGAGGGACCAGCTCGCACTTCAAGCCATCTAAGGCGCAATTTGTGCATGGCTCTGGTTTTCTTGAAACAGCATTACAACGTACCTTGCGACTGCGGCAAGGCAAGCAAGCTTTCGGGGAGCGAGGCGCTTTCGAGCCTAACCGTCCAAATTCCATAGGAAGTGAAGGGCCTCCAGGAGGTTTACTGTTTGTCCCCAATTCATGGACTGGGAAAGTGTTGTATAGTCGATCTCGATTCGTCATGTTTGCAAAATTTTCATACATACATCGACCATAGGAGCAGTGGTTTGGGTGACCAAGACCTGACCGAAGGGTACGACCGTACGAGCACCTGACAGCGAAGATCGAGATATTCCAAGCGAGCGCAACGTGGTTGCATTAATCAGCACTTTAGACACTGGTAGCTTACCCACAAATACGTGCTTGAGGACCCTCGTGAAGGCGTGCTAGACACAAGACTGAATGCAAGCGGCCAGGAAAGTTGCGCTCCGTATGGTCAGGGAGACCTGCACGCGGGAACTCTACGACAGCCCACAGTAGGCCTGTCGCTGGCACTGGCTCGGTGCGCTTCCTGACAAGACTTTCAAGGGGACAGCGAGGGAGCGCGTAAACAGTGGGCGGTGTCGCGAACCTGTCTAATTGGGGACTGAGCTAGCGTAATTGAAGAGATCATGTGCATTTACCACTGAGTCGGAGCCCTGAAGTGCTTGGTGACATCCTGACTGATCAGTGGTCTGCGTCCATCTTCCCCTGACCGTGCTAGGGTCTGGAAAGACATCAAAGCCGATGGAAGAAGAATGAAGAGAGACAAAGGGGCACAGAGGACGCTGCTAGTCATGCCAAGCCCTCGGGCGAGCTCTCGGCAAATACCAAATCAAGTAATCAGCCGAAGTGTGGATCGAGGCTTCCGGCCCTGTTAAGGTCCGTTAAGATTGGCCATTCATTGGCTGAGGGATATGTCTCTATCCCACCCCACTCTATCTCCCCTTTACCCTGCTAGCCGAATTCAGAGTACCCCAGAGTCTGGCTCAGTCTTTTTCCGGGGTACAGCTCTGCAGCGCGGCTCACAGAAGCTCCAAGGACGTGGCTTTAGGGCAAGGATAGACGTACGTACATCATGGAAGAGAAGAAGCACTGTTTGCCGAAAAAACTAGATAACACCCAACCGCGCCAGATACTTTTGCAAATGCTCCCTTCGAGAATCGTATGGTGAGACAGCACTTCCTTGGACTTTGGAGAAGTTTTTTCGAGTTTCCCACATCCGACCTTATTTTCTTGATTCTGGTACGACTATGGAGAAACAAATAGACACAACAGAGACCCACCATGTCGAAAGCGGCTACGAAGGCTTGCCGCCTCCCCAGTCATGGGATGCAATCATCAATTCTTTTTCTGACAAAGAAGCAAGAGCACTCAAGCGCAAAATCGACCTGCGACTTGTGGTGACTTTGGGCTGCATGTATTGCGTGAGTCTCATGGACCGCAACAACCTTGGGAACGCTGCAATTACTGGGATGAGCGGTGACCTCAACCTGATCGGCAATCGGTACAACCTGGTCGTCCTCCTCTTCTTCATAACCTATGTTATCGTCCAGCCAATCGCAGTGGCCCTGCTACGCAAAATCGGCCCCCAAATTTTCCTTCCAACCATCGTTCTCCTCTGGGGAATGTTGTTGATAGGCTTTGGATTCGTTCACTATTGGTATCAACTCTTACCGCTACGAATTGTCCTTGGCATGCTAGAGGGCGGCTTCCTACCAGGATGTGTCTATCTGATGTCCACTTGGTATGTCCGACATGAGCTTCAGATTCGAAATTCGTTGTTCTACGTATTAGGAATCATGGCTTCAGCTTTCTCTGGGATCCTCTCCTACGGATTTGCCCAGATGAATGGCCTCGGTTCCGGGCCGGCTTGGATGGGTCTGCACTATGGGCCGACAAAAGCGAATCCTCATGCACCCAAGGGTATAGAAAATGGCCTCGCAGGTTGGCGTTGGATCTTTATCTGGCAAGGCATATTGACATGCCTGGTAGCTCTTGTTGGCTATGTTTTCACAGTGGACTTTCCCGAAAACACAATGAAGCATCGGCATTTGGTTCGCTTTCTCAGCCAACGAGAGGTTGACTATATGATCGCAAGAGTCGAAAAAGATCGTGAAGATGTTGCTTTGGAGAAGTACGCTGCTCTCTATCCCCTTTATTTTATGTCATGCTAATGCTCCCAGATTCCAACTGAAGGCGTATCTGAAGAACGCATTGGATCTCAAGCTGTGGGGTTTTGGGTTTCTCGCCATGCTCTCTGTCGGTCCGGCCTATGCGATTGCTCTATTCTTACCTATTATTCTGAAGGAAGACATGGGTTTCAACACTGCCCAGGCGCTCTGCCTGACTGCACCACCTCAGATTCTAGCCGTCATTGTGACAATGGTTTCGGCTCACTACAGCGACAAGTGGAAACTTCGGTTTCCTTTCGTCATGCTCAATGGTTCCCTCGCCCTGATTGGGTGTGGTTTGTTAGGCTGGACCAGGAGCATCGCTGCACGCTATTTTGGTGCTTTTCTTGTTGCCAGTGGTGTAAATGCTAACGTCCCTGCCAACTTGACCTGGCAGGCGAACAACGTCAGAGGGCAGTGGAAACGAGCATTCGTCTCGGCACTCAATGTTTCCTTGGCTGGCTGCGGAGGAATCATGGGCGGCACCGTCTTTCGTGGCCAAGATTCACCTGGTTATTTGCCTGTGATCATCACCTGCATGATTTGCGGTTGCCTCATTATCACTATTACCATAGCCATGACTTTATACTTCGCGAGATCCAACAGAAGGGCAGATGAGGGAAAGATTGTGATCGAAGGCTTGGAGGGTTTTAGGTATACGCTCTGAACAACCGGAAGTCAGGCGATATCTGTGGTTTCAAGGCACCCACGGATCGAATTTGTGGGACACATGTATGCTCGATGTGGATATACCGTACATTCGTGTTATTTGAGTCTATTGAAAACCGCGGGATAAGCACATTTGGGCTGTATTACCGAGGAACCTGGAACATATTGCTTACTTATACACAAGTAGCAAGCGCTTTGTGACGAGCAGTGAGTAGTGTCTTATACTTATCGTATTTGCAACATTACATGGACTATGCACAGCACAAATCACACCTCGAAGTCTATCGCAATGATTCACCAGCCAAAAGAACCAACCTCCACGCCGTTCTTTGAAGGCCAGCCAACGCCAGTTATTAGCTATGGACTATCATATCCTGAAGCTTGTCGTTTTCATGTTGAGACAACATTCAAGAGCAAGAGGGTCTACTTGCTACTTTCTGGTTCCTTGGTGAAAAACACCGACATTCTTGACCGCCTCCGGGCAGCACTCGGGAGCAAGGTTATCGGAACTAGAGTCGGCATGAAGCCCCATACATTATGGTCAGAAGTCCTCGAGGTCATCAATGATGCCCGATCTCTCGAGGTCGACTGTATCATAACCATAGGGGCGGGCAGCTTGACAGACGCCGCAAAAATAGTTGTTTGGGCTTTGGCAAACAATTTCTGCTCCGAAAAAGAGCTGCAGATTTTGGCGAATCGCGAGTCTCCAAGCTACAAAGATCTCAAACCTCCTACAATCAAGCATATAGCCGTACCGACATCTTTATCCGGTGGAGAGTACACGTCCTACGCGGGTGCCACAAACGATGAGACCAAAACGAAAGTGCTTTTCACCCCACCAGTGCAAAATCCGAGTATTGTTGTGCTCGATCCCGAAGTTGCAGCCACAACCCCAAGTCGCTTATTCCTTGGAACTGGAATCAGAGCGGTTGATCATTGTGTGGAAACGGCATGTTCGCTACAGTCAAACGAAAAGGGTGACCAAGCAGCGATTCAAGGACTGAAGATGTTGGTTCCGGCCCTTTTGCAGTACAAAAGAGATCCGCGCAACCTTAGTGCTGTTCATGAGGCTCAGCTTGGAGCTGCCGAAGCCGTTAAGACGTCCTTATGTGGAGTTCAGAAGGGAGCCAGTCATGCCATCGGCCATCAACTTGGACCCCTCGGTGTTCCTCATGGTGAGACAAGCTGCATTCTGCTTCCCGCAGTATGCAAGTTCAACGCCTCAAGAGGGGCCAATGTCCAGCGACAGCAAAGTCTAGTTCAAGACCTACTCCGTCTACCTGAGGTCCAAAATTTGATCTCCAGTGGAGGAGAAGATCTCGGAGATATTCTTGATGCACTTATTAAGGCCCTGGAACTACCACGGACATTGAAGGAATTGAACATCGGGCGCGACGTGTTCGATCTTGTCGCAGAACACACGCTATCTGACATGTGGGCCAAGACGAATCCGGTTCCACTAGTCCGCAAAGAAGACATTCTTGAGATACTTGAGATGGTTGCCGAGTAGAATGTACTACCTATAGAGTACGCTTATGGTGTGAGTCTCATTGAGAAACCTTGGCTGGTCTAGTGCCAACCCTGATCAATTGAGAAATGAAGAATTCAGCTCTACCCCTGCACACCTCCGGAACCTTTCTCGTCAATTCTGCTCTTTCTTCACTTCTCAAGCCAATGATACTCGTGAGAAGAGTCCTGATAGAGTATGAGATTCTGGAACGACCTGATCGGTACCGCTCGGCTTGTTTCCTGTCTAGGCAATCCGCGTCAAAACTCTGGAGCCACTCTTGCGGCCGTACCATAGTGCTCTTGTGCTTTCAGACACAGTATATTGTAGTGATATGTGATGCCTGACGCCTTCTTTGATGCTGTTGCTTGGTAAGCTTGTACTTGAACAGAGTATAACCTTCAAAGAAGCTGCAGACGGTGTGAATTCAGCCCGATCCTCCGCCCAACTTGGACCAGAAAAGATCAATCAAAAGAAGTTGTAGTCTTGTACCGCTGAATAATTGTTGTTTCAATGTATCCACAGACGGTTTGAATTATTCAGGATCCATGATTGAAGGGTCGACGGAATAATTTCGACAAGAGACTGAGCTCAGGTAACCGCTGATATAAAATCGTACTTGAGAACGAGTGCTCCCAATTGCTTCCAATCACCCTGCCCATCCCTTTCAAAGAGAAACGGTCCAATATGGCTTCCTACCTCATCACTGGTACCTCCAGCGGCCTTGGGCTGACGCTTGCAAAGTTTCTAGCAGCAAGGCCAAAAGACCAAGTTAGCCTTGTCATCGCCGCAGCGAGGACCAAGACTCCTGCCCTCGACGAACTAATTGGGAAATATCCTGGACGTGTCGTTTTCGTCCCCCTCGAAGTTACTAGTCAAGAGAGTGTCAATGCTGCCGTCAAGTCTGTGGAGCAGGTATTGGGACTCCAGGGAGGCTTGGATATCTTGATCAACAATGCAGGGATTATGCCCTTTCAGGTCAACGGGATCTCTCAAGCGTACGTTTGCTAGGACATACTCCTTGCTTTCAAGTCATCCTAACGTGGCAAACAGAACGGATCTGATGCATTGCATGGAGGTCAACGTCAACAGCGTCCAGCTGATGACAACTGCATTCTTACCACTTTTGCGTCGTGGTAAACAGAAGACCATTCTCAATATGTAAGCGAGAACCCTATTGATTCGTAGAGATTCAGGTTGACCTTGTTGTCTCAGAAGTAGCCAGCTGGGCTCGATAGGCCTAGCACCAAAGTTCGCGATGTTTCCAGTCTCAACCTACAAGGTCTCGAAAGCTGCTGTCAACGCCTTGACAGTTCAGTGGTCGTTGGAACTTGCCAAAGAGGGATTTACAGTTTTCTCTTCGCACCCAGGGGTAAGCAAGTAGTATTTCAAAACATTTTTTTCGACAGCACTCTAACGTTGAGATCTTTACAGTGGCTCAAGACAGACCTAGGCACTGATGACGCAGACTTGCCTGTAGAGACTGGAGCCACTTGTACCTTAGAAATTCTGGACAGGGCAACCAATGCCGATACCGGCAAATTTTTCGACATCAACGTCCCTGGCTGGAGTAGAGAAGGATCTCCAAATGTGTATGACGGATCAGAACTGCCGTGGTGAGCAATTTCATGGATCATGAAAGCAAGCCGTCTAGATTACCACGGGTCTATGGCGAAATGAGCGGAGCCTATCTTCTTCAGAGAAGCGTAAAAAACAAAGACTATCGAGGTCTATCGTTTGCCTGAGCTTTTAGCAAGACGAACAATGTTCGAAGTGAGATTGCTTTCACAACTTGACTTGCAACCCTATTATCTGATTCCAGTCTTGAGGGGTAAAAGGTACATACCCCGAAGAAGCCGGCTTGCACCATAGTACTCTATCGCCGTTCTTGATTTTCCCAGGGTCAGCACCTTCTTCTCTCAATGGCCCCTTGTTCTGCTTGTTGTTGTGAGTATGAGACATGCCATTGCTCATCCTTATGAACACCGGCACAGCATGTTGAGGTAGCTTGGCTTTCGCGTGCTGATGGAACCCCAGAAAATCAAAACTCTCTTCTATAGCTGGATCGACGGTGAGCGCTGCACAACCAGCTCTTCCTTCATGGTTAGGCAGAGAGACTCCATAAACATTCGCCTCCAATACACCAGGATAAACACCAAGAACCTCGCTGACTTCAGCGGTGCTGACGTTCTCGCTCTTCCAACGATAGGTGTCGCCAAGTCGATCGAGGAAAAACCACCTACCATCCTCCGTACGTCGAAGAGCATCTCCGGTGCGGTACCATAAATCACCCGTGCGAAATACGTCTCGCACAAATTTCTTGGATGTAGCAACCGGATCACTCCAGTAACCTGGGAATGCTTTCTCGGAGGCAACACGGACTATAATTTCCCCACCCACGTCGTATGGCTGTCGTATTGCAAAGCCTGTGGTGGGACATCGAGCAAGGTCACCTGAAGCTGGGTCTACGGCGACGGGTACATATGTGTTGTACATTAATTGCCGCATCAACCAACCGTGGTGTCCTACACACCCGACTGTGTAGTCTCCTATTTAACAGGTTAGCACTTACGAACACAAAGTATGCATGGCGATCAAGGTCCAATGGCTGATCTTTAAAGCCAAGGGACGACGCCTAGACATGGACTGCCGGAGAACACCATACCTTTACTGCAGTTTCGCAGGGCGAAGACGCCTTCAGAGCTTCCAAAGAATTCCACCACAGTGGCCACGCCAAATCGGTTGCGAAATTTTGTCCAGACATCAGGCCGTAACCCATTTCCGAACATTGAGGTTATTCCGTGGTCTTTATCCAGGGCACTGACAGGTGTGGCGAGGAGGTATCGCACCGTTTCGCCGACGTAAGTAAAACAAGTCGACCTCGAGGCGCGGACTTCATCCCAAAATTGCGAAACGCTAAATTTTCTCCCAATGCACAAAGGAGTTCCGTCCATCAGACAGATGATTGCAGCCATTCCTCCAGTACCATGATACAAAGGCATGCATTGGTACCAGCGGTGGTTCGGGCCAACTCCCAAGCCTTTCGTGCCATTGACACCATATAGATAGCCATGATGGACTATATGAGGTACACCCTTGGGCTTACCGGAAGTTCCGCTTCGAAGGTCAGTTAGCTCCTGTCTAATCATATGGCTACTCGCCCTAGGACGGCCTACCTTGTGTATATGAGCGCTTGGTTATCCTCTCCACGTACATTCTCTCGATAATTGTCGCATGGTCGTCCAGGATGTAAGCAAGATATCTTGTTTGTCAATTCTTCAGTGAGGACAGCATAGTTCATGTGCAGGTCATTCAGAATGCTATTCTGTACGTCCAAAATACGCCCACACAACTCAGGATCAACGAGAAGCAACGAAGATCCTGAGTGCTTGAGAGCGTGGAGCAAAGATTCATCCTTGAGGTTGTAGTTGATTAATGCAGGTGCGCATCCGATTGCCCAAAGTGCTAGCCATATGAACATAAATTCCGGAATGTTTTGAAGATAAACAGCAACCCATTGGCCGGGGACGACACCTTTGGATCGTAGCCAGTTCGCGTATCGGCAACTTTGTTCATACACCTCGATGCGCGTGTAACAGCCTGTCCGTGACCAGATACACTCTTCGTCAGGGCCTTTCAGCACCTGAGCCTCGAAGAGGTACCAGAGCGACAGCTTGTTCTCTTTGACTGTATGTAGCAGTCAGCAAACAATGGCACAGTGTGTTCAAAGAGAAATAGTCACACTGACCTGCTTTCGCATACTTTCGATCTGACCATCTTTTCTGACCTATTGCCGCAAGGTCTTTCCTAATATGCATTTTGGCATCTAGATATGCTGCAGTAGCTGTGGCCGCGGAGAGTGCTGTGGCTATAGTGGCTGATGCCATGGTCAATTGAGCGTCTGTTTAAGTTGAAGTGTGCCCAACCTATTGACATGATTGCTTGTATTGTTTCTTTGTTGTGGTAGGTAAAATGTCGAGCTTTTCTTGGAATGGGCTTTCAATGTTCGAACTTAAGCGTGTTACCACATCATTGGGGGAATAGGTGAAAAGCAGGATGGATTGTTGCTCCCAGGGAAGGAATTGATGGCCAATCAATGGCGAGTCATCCGAACATATGGACTTTCATTTCCTGGATAGGCACCGAATATCTCCGTCCCGGAAAGTTTGATGGTGAATCACTGTTCGTGGACGAGAGTCTCGTTTGCCTCGGGTGATACATTGCTTCATTCAGAAAAGTTTGTTCGCTTACTGGGTGGCTGCTCCAACCCGCGGCTCGCACCAGTTCGGACGACAAACCCTTGCCTTGAATGACCAAAACTTTAAGTGATTTGATAACCCCTAGGTTGCGAACAGTGAGAAGCACAATAACTGAGGCAAACTTTGTGCCTTACCATCATTCACGCGAATTATGGCTCCAATGAATAATACTCTCGCGCCTTCATCTTTCCTTTCTCTCAGTCGCTCCGGATCAGTGTCAAAGTTTGATGCTAGGTGGATTGCGCTCCGATCACAGAGGTTCCCAGAGCTCTACTTGAAGATATGCGTTACCTTTACGTTGCAGAAGCCAAGAAGACCCGTTGAGCCCCATTCACTTCCTATTCCACTCTCTTTATGACCGCTGAACACTCCCTTGGGCGTGATAGCCTCGCTGCTGTTGATGAAGACGCTCCCAGCTTGGATGCGCCCGGCAATACGCCTTGCCCGACTCATGTCTGACGACCATACACAGGCAGCCAGACCGGTGTTTGTGTTGTTTGCGCTACGTATCACGTCATCCTCATCCGACCAGGAGAGGACCGGAACAATAGGGCCTTCGCGACTTTAGCTTTGAGTCTTCCTCATCTAACTTCAAGAGAGCTTACCAAATGGCTCTTCTACCACGATGCGCGACTCTGCCGGCGGATTGTCCACAATCGTAGGGTTGATGAAATACCCTTTTCCAGGTTGAATTCGTCCACCAGTAGCGAACTGGTATCCTTCTTTGCAGCAATCGTCAAAGTATTCTCTCACCTTCAGATACTGCATTTGATTCTGCACGGGACCGAGGTTGACATCTTCTTCCAACGAACTAGAACCCACTTTCAGTGTTTTGGTGTGGCGCACCATTGCATCTAGAAAATCATTGTATATAGACTCATGGACGTATATCCGCTTGGTGGCTGTGCAAACCTAGGTCACTGTGTTAGAAACTGAAAAATTTGATTGCATGTTGCCCTTTCTGCCTACTTGTCCAGAGTTTCGAAAAGCACCATTCACTACCAGTGGAGCGACCTTCGCAACATCCACATCTGCGCAGATGATTGAAGCGTCATTACCACCGCTTGTTATCCTTCAGCTAATGGGTCTTCTTCGGATGGGCCTTGACTTACAGTTCAAGAGTCACCCTCTTCAAAGTTTTGGAGCAAGCTTGCATAACCCTTTTCCCTGTTGCGATTGAGCCTGTGAATGATATCTTCTGAATGCCAGGATGTTCTGTCATCCACGGACCCAAAGAGTCGTCACCGCCAAGAACCTGTAAGACACCGGGAGGCAGGACTTTCTGTGCGAGTTCAACAAGTTTGAGGAGCGAATATGGCGTGAAAGGCCTAGAAAAAAGAAGCCTTGGTTAGCAACCGCTGAGTCGGGGCCTTTATGAAAGGCTCAACTTACGAAGGCTTCGCAATCACGCAGTTGCCGGCCATGAGTGCTGGCCCGATCTTTCCCAGAGCTTGTCATGCATCAGTATCTGTCTTCGATGACTACACAGGTCATCTTGAAAATACCAAGCCCAACGGGAACTAAGATACGGTTTGGTCAATTTGAGCCTTGTCGTGAGTGAAAGGGAGCATACTCACAATTCCAGGGACATATAGCACCAACAACCCCTAGTACACGTCAGCAAGGTTGAAGTCTTCAGCCTATCCAGATGAAATTACCCATGGGCACATATTCAGTGATGATGATGCGCTGATCATCCTCGATCGTATCTTTAGGCAGATCCAGGCCAACTCCATGGCATTAGACTTGAGAGCCATGCTAAAAAGACTGGTTCAACTTGCCATGGTGCATGTAAACATTATATCCCGCAAGAGCCTCTCCGTTGTTTCTCTGCAGTGACATTTCGTTAGGAATCAAAAACTTGAATAAACAACTGTAGAAGAATTGCAAAAGCTATCTTAAAGCTCGAACTCACAGGTTTTGCACATTCTATCCGGATCAGCTCGTCGAAGTATTGCAGGTTTTGTTTGTAAAGCTCGCCGAAGTTGGCGCAAAGTCTTCTCCGACCTTCAAATGGTAAGGCAGACCAAGTTTCGAATGCCTTCTGAGCTGCGGAGACCACGGCATCCAGATCGTCATGCGAGGCGACTGGGACGTCCCAAAGGCGATTCTCCGTCGTCGGGTCAACACCATGATAAAACTTCGTGCTAGTTCGAGCTTTTCCATCGACAATGTTGGTGAATGAGTTGAAATCCATTGGACTGGCTTTAGACTGAAGCAGATGTCAATTGGAGATGTCACGATGTTGGTAAACTGGTGTCTAAAGATCGCGCAGCTCCAGTAGCACTTTTATGACTAGCATCATGCAACCGCACCTCGGTGGGCAGCTGCCTGACGTTATCAGGGCCACGTCCTCACTCCAACGTTCGGCAAATTGGTAAGCGTTACTCCTCGTATCTCAACTCGGACACTTTGTTGTGGTTATCGAGGTGGCCGGTAATGCCGATCTGAGCAAGCAGAACGAGCAGATCACACAAGTGCCACCAATGAATTCATGCTCATTTTTATGTCCGAATGTTCTCTTGATAGCTGACGATTGTCTGGGAATGGTCGACAAAGGGCACAACTTTGAGCCAATCATGACTGGTTAGCATCATTTCCAGGGCGAATTTTTGCTGTAGAGATTACACTCTAGAGTGCAGTGTTCATTTAAGACACGAAGGTCATGCGACTTAAATTGGCACTGCGCAGCACGTTGAAGCTCAAGGTGTGAATCGATCAAGTATCAACAATGAGAAAAACATTCGTGTCTTTTCTCAAAACCATTTCAGCTCTCACGCTCGCCATCTTTTCCTGCAATAGGATGATAACCAAGGCAAGCTATGCAGGCAATAGCTGTCTCAAGGATTGTAACGTCTGGTGTCATGTCAAAACCAGTCTTCCGGTGACCTTTCCATCCCTCAACAGCATCAAAGCTTCGTGTGCTCGAGCTCGCGGTATGGCTGTGACTGGGATAGGGGCTAGACGGCCTTCCTTAGCCAGCCGAACAAGCTCTTCCATATGTCCAATATTGCCAGTTGTGCTGCCCATAATGGTCGCTTCTCTTGCAACCAGTCCGACAAGTGAAAGATTGAGTTCTCCACCCAGCAAACCCACCTGCACCATTCTCCCTCCCTTTGCAAGTATCGAAAACGCAAATGTCGCCGTGTCGGAGCTATTGACGCAGTCCAGGACAGAGAATACAGGCCCACCGGTGACAGCAAAGAGCTGGTCTCGCGCATTTTGAGCTCTTCCATCAATAGTAGCCACCGCACCAGCTTTCAGTGCCGCTTCTCGACTTTCAGGGTTGATATCTATACTGATCACGGCCCGATGAGCCACTGCTCTGAGAATAGAAAAGGCAGACAGACCAAGACCCCCGGCACCCATCACCACTACTGGTCTGTCAGGGACGAGGGGAAATAACTTTCGAACGGCACTCAATATCGTCGTCCCAGAACAACCATAAGTGCATGCCACAGACGGATCTAGGCTGCCGGGGTCGAAAAGGTATTTTGGATCCCTCACCACAACATAGCTCGCCATTCCGCCATCACGGAAGATGCCTATGCTTTGCGGCTTGTCGCAAAGATTTTCATCTCCAGCCTCGCATGTCCTGCACTGGCCGCATCCAAGCCAAGGGAAAACTATACGGCGGTCTCCTAGTGTCAACCCTGTGGCGTTTGGGCCCAACTTCGCAACATTTCCAAGAACCTCGTGTCCCATCGCTCTTGGCAACTTGATTCAGCGGTCTGCCACACTCAACTTCTTGCCTCCTCCAAGATCATAAAACCCTTCCCAGAAATGCAAATCGGTGTGACAAATGCCGGAATGGGTCACTTCGATCAACACTTCCGAATCTTTAAGATCCGGGATGGGAAGCTGAATAGCCTGCAGCGGTTGCCTATGCTCAACAACGGCCCAAGCATCCATCTGTGGCTCCTGTGGATTTGCTTTCTCAACAAGTCGTCCTATGCTCCTGACATTATGCATACGTGCCTCAGAGTGACATTTTAGGAGTGGAAATAAATGACTGGACTTGTCACTGACAGGGAGACAACTGATTCTAGCCAAATCCAGGCCAGTGCCTTGAGGAGGCTCAGAGAGAAGCGCCAGATCGAGAAGCCGAAATGTATGGCTTTCTGCGCAATGAGCGCTACGGCGAAACGAAACATCCGCCTCTCCACGTGCTGCATGGCCATCGCCGAAAGCAATCGCCGAAGGCAATGTTTCCTCGGTCAACTCCAAAATTTATCCCCAAAAGTAAGGCTAATTACTCGATTTGGTATCTTCATGTTCGGCTATCTGATTTAAACCTTATCGGGTTCGCGTTCTGGTCGTCCTAAAGCTCCGCTCTCCCTTTGTTGTGCCAAAACGCCTCGGTGTGCCAATGCTACTTCCCTCCGGGCCAATGCTTATGAGATCCTTCGGGAAATTCAGGTGTACAGAGGTCCTATGTTTCCTAGCACAGCTGCTCGGAGAGGATTATATCCGTCACAATGGCTTTGCTTAGCTAAGAGATCAATAGCAGTAAGTCAAATATTGGTATCATCTGCTTGAACTACGTAGATCAACAAGAACTTGCTATTCGAAACCACCAACGACGATCTTTGAGAATTGTGTCCGCCATTCTTCCACCGCGAAATAGAACCCTAAGATCTCATTTCACATCTGGTCCTGAAACGCAGAGACATTTTGAAGCAGTCTAAGTATGATGAAAGAAGGACAGCTGGATCCGTCCAGCTTTGATCGAACAGACTTGGTCGACGTCAAGGATGATCCAGACACACTGCCTCACGATATACTCTTCCACCGACTTCATTATCTAGCATGCCATCAAAATACGACAGTGATTAAGGAGCGCCACCTGGATTTGGAAATCACTCACAAGCAATTGCTCAGCGCCATTGTTTCTCTAAAGGTCAGGATTCTCGAACAGCTGCACCCAAGAACGGTTGAGAAGCTACAGAGGGACGAAGAAGTTGGATTCGTGGTCTTTGCGCGTGGCTACGAATTCGTTATGGCATATTTTGCCATTTTGGCTATTGGAGGAATCGTCGTGCCTACGAGTAACCTCCCCGGTGTGGCAAGAGGCCAGAAAGAAAGAGACTGACGCTCATAGGTCCATATATCACCCTAGATGAAGCCCTTCACTTTGTGACGACCTGTACAGCGCACGCTGTGGTGCACTCTCCGGCCTTTCAAAGCTTGGCAGCCCAATTAACAGGAAAGGCAAATGTCGCGCAAGAGTATAGACCTATCTCGATGGGCTTTTTGGGCGCCCAGAAAATCATGGACCCACGACAAATGAGATTCTCCATACGCAAGATTCGAGACCTGAACAAACCTGGTGCTCTGATTTTCACGTCCGGAAGCACAGGCAAGCCAAAGGGAGCAGTCATGCGTCGGTATAATATTATAGTGCACTCGATGCTGCAGATTTGGAAGAACGACATCCGACAAGGGTACGTCATACTTCAGATGCTCCCAACGCACCATGCGACTGGTCTTGTGCTGAACACAATTCCGACCATCCTTGGCGGCGGCTGTGTGGAATTCACACAGCCCAAGTTTAATGCTGCGGCTGTCTGGGATCGCATACGCTTGGGCGGTATAAAATCGATATCAGCAGTTCCTACGATATATGTCCGACTGCTCAAGTTCTGGGAGGATGAATTGTCGAAACTCGAACCTGGTGAAAAGGAGAGCCACAGAGTCGCCATGGCCAGCATCGAGCAGTTCCATGTTGGAACATCATCCTTGCCCACGAATGTGTCGTCGCAGTGGACACTGCTTTTTGGACGGCGGATTTTGGAGAGATATGGCGGAACGGAATTTGGCAATCCGTATGCCAACTATCCCGGTACGAAGCTTGTCCTGGTAAGTACATCATATCTCTGACTGGCAAAATGCTGTGTGCCTGTAGTTCTGACAAGGTTGTTCAAGGGATCCGTTGGCGTGAAGAACCCCGGTGTCGAGTCATATCTTGAGAACGACAACGAGGGTGAAGTGTTTTCTCGAACACCGCTAATGTTTTCCAAGTAAGTGAGAAGCTCGAGGCTGAAGGATGAACCTACTTAAGGATAACATTTCCAAAAGGTATATCAACAACATCGAAGGCACGCGAGACTCCCTCACGCCCGAGGGATACTTCAAGACGGGAGACGTCGCCGAAAGGATCGGCGATCACTATTTCATCAAAGGCCGGAAGTCAGTGGACCGTAAGTTCTTCCTGACTCTGCGCATGTCCTGTCTTCTCTGGAGTCTCCTGCTGAACCCACTATTCCCTAGTCCTCAAAACCGGCGGATATAAAGTCTCGGCACTAGATATCGAGCGCGAGATTCTCACGCACCCCAAGGTGGGAGAGGCGATCGTGGTCGGCGTGGACGATCACGAATTGGGCCAGAGAGTTGCTGCCGCGGTGGTCTTGAAGGAAGTACGTGTCGTCCATCCACTTCCCGATCCTGCACACTGTCAATCAATAGCAAAACGCTGATCTCACTCGAACTCTCTAGGGCTATGACAGTCTAAGCTTAGAGGAACTCCGCAACAGCCTGAGGTCGAGTCTATCCAATTACAAGCTCCCTACGATTTTGCGCGTCGTGCCCGAGCTGCGAAAAACGGCAAACATGAAGATTCCGAAGTTATTGCTCAAGAAAGAGCTCTTTGAGACTGATCATCCTGATATTCAGAAATGGAACCCTCAAGTGGCGAAGCTTTGAATGTCCCCATAGGAGTATCCTGTACATTGGAATTGGCGAGGGCTTACTGCGACTCGTGCAGCCTTCCGCTTTCCGAGGTGGGAAGGCAAATGGACACCTCGTCGATGACCTGGTTTGCTTACTCGGACTCACTATCATCTGCTCAGATGTAATGAGACGGCGCATGACGTGGAAGGATGAGAATGTAGGTGCTGGCGTGGGGTGGAAAGGGGAGCCTGGACAGCAAAGGAGCAGAGAGTGTCGAAGGGAGGAGTTTGGGGCGTGAGGGCGGATAACAAGTGCCGATCGCTTTCTCACGGGCAGGAAGCCTTGGTTAGCTCCCTCTTCAGAGTGATATTCCTGCTGCTAATTGGCTGCAAGGGTAGCACCATCTTCAACTAACCACCTTAAACATAATCAGGCTAAGTTCCCTTTCCGCAGGCCAGCGCACCAGCCCCTGGGTGCCTGTCCATCAGAAATTTGAACCCCGAAGCCTCGGTTAGATGATGACTATCTACCGAGAGGCCGAATCCTTCCCTCCTATGAGTAATACTAGGGATTCGTGGTAGATGTTCACATCAGAAGGGGCTACCTGGCTGGTTATTCATGTCTCTTCATTGAAACGAAAGTGTCCTTGCCAAACGAAAAGATGGCTGGCGCGGAGCCAGATAACTCAACGCATTCAGATGCTCAGAGGACGGAGAAGAATAGCGTTGATTCGGTCAAGCCAGGCCCAATTCCTACAATATCCGAAGGCAACATCTCAAGAAGCGACCAGATAGTCGTGCGTATGAGCAAGTGGGTTTGGTTTCTTTCACCCGATGCATGACGGTTGATGGAGCTTGAGAGAAACACCCGCTTACCATGGACAGATTGATCCAAACTACTGCTGGTCTTGGTGCACTTCTTGCGACCATCAATTTCTCAGCTAACCTCGCGGCATACATTTCTGTACGATCTTCAACACGCTTCGAGGTGATCGATCGACTTCTACGGCGCACGCGATGGAAAGGATTGCCTAATACACTTGCCACGGCACCTTCGATCTCGTCGACACTCACACCTCTCAGTTCACTTATCTCAGACTGGCGTAAAAGCCAACGTCTCACAGGGCTCATTCCCCTGTACATCAGGCTCAGGTCCCTGGCATCAAAGGAGGCCTTGAGGGAAATGGACCCCATTCTTCATCGCCTGGTACTTCTTCAATGCAATGCCTATATCATCTTCCAGGCCATGGAGAATATCTGCCATCTACATGGCAAAGGCATATTACCCTCATCCGTTATCGAAAGGCGAGGTGGGATTGCTAGATGGATAGCTTGGAGTTGCCGCGCTTGGTGTGTGGGCGTGGTGAGCGAATTCCTCCGGCTGTGGCGCGAGGCCGAGATTGAGAAGAGGCAGCATGTAAAGAAGACTGCCCAAGAGCAGCAGGATTTCAATCGAAGATGGTGGAATCAATTCATGATCACGGCGTGCTGGTTTCCGGTTGCTGTTCACAGCAGCTTTTACCCTAAGGGTATTCCGGGCATGAATGCTGGCATAACTTCTCTGTTGAGTCTTATAGCTAGTCTGAACAGTTTCAGAAATCAATGGCGAGCTACAGCCTAGCCAAGCAAGAAGCCGCATCAAAGATAGACTATGTTATGAATCTAAGGGATAAGGTGTTCGAATTGCAAAATATGGGAGGTTCCACTGCGTAGAGAGTCAAAACAGGTACATGGTACTAGTTCTGTTGGGAGGGGGCTTCTCTACCTAGGTAATTATCCTGCGGCACTATTGCCCTTAAAAGCGAGCTTTGTCCTGCCTTGGATTAAGCGAACAAGCTCCCCAAACCTTAAGGAAGGTTAATTGTTCCCTGCGTCTGCAGGACTTCTATCCTCCAAACCACGCTCTTTCATCCGATCATCTGCATTCTGAATGCTCAGTATTCTTATTTATGCCTCCCATAGGCTCAAGAACATTGAATGGAAGTACTTGATCTGCATGCAAACTATGGTGGTAGTATCTGATATTCCCTTTCTTTCCTTAACTCTGTCGTAAGATACAGTATCCTGCCCTCAACTCAATATCTACCACTGCACATATTCTGCGGTCGTCAGAGCGGACATACAACTCCAATACCCATGGCTGGCGCATCATCATGCGGCTTTGAAGAAGCCTCTTTGAGACTGTCCCTTCTCTCTCTCCGGGCTACTCTCCTGTGGAGGCTCTTTTCTCGATATTCCAAGCGGCGGAAGCAGCGCCGCAAAGCGGAACTCGGTGATCAACGGGGAAACTCTTCTGGTCGCCACGCTTTGGCCCCCGAGAATCCAATGCCACACTTGAACAGCGGGAAGGGCTCTAAAACGGAGAAAAGCAAGTCTCGTCCCGTTACCAGACTGCAGATATAGGGCAATCTGTGGCAATCCTCGTACGGCGTGCTTTTCTCTTTGACAGGACTACCCGGCAAATTGAATCCTGAGGCTTCCCAAGCACCCGTCATGACCCAGCGAGTTCACCTGGGTGGCACGACACCTCATGACCTGAGCGTCTACGGAAGCTTCACTAGAGGGATATATCGCGATGTGTATCCAACAATAGATCCGGCGCGGACAGATCTATCACAAAAAGGCAAGGTTATCATGGTAACGGGAGCATCGAAAGGTATAGGGAGAGATGTAAGTCTTCTCCATCGCGGAACCGTCCATACCTGGACCAGATGTTGCAGGCGACTCAATTCTGTCTAACAACTGCTTAACCTGACAGGCTCTCGCGCCGGTCTTTGCCGTTGCAGGAGCTCGTGCGATCATCATTACGGCTCGCAAATCAGCCAACCTCGTGGACACCACGGCCAAAATTAAAAGCATCAATCCCTCTGTCGAGGTGCTACCCCTAGACCTTGACATAAGCCGAGAATCTTCTATAGCTCAGGCCTTCAAGACCATATCAGAGCACTATCCAGAAGGTGTAGATGTTCTCGTCAGCAACGCAGTTTCGAAGACCGCTGCCGATCAGTGGATTGCTACCTGCGACGTCGAGAAATGGTGGGATAATGACCTGACAACCAACATCCGCGGATCTCTACTGCTGACAAAATATTTCTTGAACCAACCTACGACGTCTCCTGAAAAGCCCGTCAGAAGAAAGATCGTCTATGTCAGTTCAGGCATAAGCTATATTGTCAACCCGGGTCAATCTGCATATTCATTCTCTAAGCTTATCATCAACCAGCTGGCTGCGTACGCGCATGCAGAGAGCAACGACGAGGTCCAGGTGCAAGCCGTCGCGGTTCATCCAGGAATCTTCGTCACAGATATCCTCGAGGATATATACCGCTACTATGCTGTGGACACGAACGAACTGGCGGGAGGGGTCATCAACTGGGCTGCCAGCGACCAAGCTCAATTCATGAGCGGAAGATACACTACGGCAAATGTAAGATTTGACATCCCTTTTCGCAGAAACTCTGTGTGACAGGGGGCGAGGCTAATCAAAGGGACATAGTGGGATGTGAACGAGATCTTGGAACGAAAACAAGAGATACTCGACAAAAATCTTTTGACGACTAAACTAGGCGGCGTTGAGGATGGAGGGTATGTGGCAAAGGTACTGGGATGAGCTTTCATGGAAACGAGGGATGAAGATCGGCAAGGATCAAGATGTCAGCTGGCGTACCAAGTCTACATATTAGCGAAGGGGACTTGATTCTTGAAAAGCCGATTCATCTGTTCTGATGCAGCGCTGAGTTAAGCTACGTGTAGAAAGTTAGGAATACTCGGGCGTGTTCAACACGAGAGCATCCAAGGCAGGCAAAGATGTCAACATGACATTGGTCTTCCCGTGTCCGAATCTAGGTCTCCGCTTGGGTCTGTGGCTTTTTGGTTCAAATACAAGTCTGCCACTAACCTTTTGTCGTCTTCCAACCTCAAATTTCATCTTCGGCTTTCCAGGGGGCCGCTGCGCCACGGTAACTTTGGATCAAACGGTTTCCGCAAGGCTTGCGCTGGCAAGGGCGGAAATCAAGCATATTTCATCGCTCTTTTTATTCCGTTCCGCTCAAACGTTAATCTCAGCAGGCTGGCTGAGGCAGAGTCAGACAAATCGAATATAGCTTCAGAGACAGCAGATCTAGACCGTCTTCGGAGAGCTCTGGCCCTTCGTCTACTCGACACTTGTGTCTCTAACTGCAGAATAAACATTTGAATGGAATAGATTTCCCCAACACTTTCTGGTATCGACCACTTCTCTGCAAACTCCTAATCAGATAGATCTTGGTAAAAGGCTCGACATCGCCTACCACATTACGCGCAGAGGAGAAGGAGCTGCATTCTTCCACTACACTTGTCTGCAATATAGAAAAGATGAAAACCAATACTAAAGATGCCAATCAAGATGCCATTGGCCCAATTGCCTCTGAAGTCGAAGGCAAGAGGCACTTCCGCCTACGGACAATTTTCAGCGTGGTTGTTATGTGTCTCGGCTCCATCTCCTACGCCTACTCAGCAGGAATCATTGGAAACACGATTGCACAACCCAGCTTCTATCAATACATGAAGCTGAACGACACCAATTCCGCTGCCCTGCTCGGTGCGGCAACTTCACTTTACTATACTGGTGGCGTCTTCGGAGCCTTATCCAGCCACTGGATCGGGGATCGATTTGGTCGAAAGACTTCCATCTATATCGGAGGTGCAATCATTGTAAGGTATTTCCCGCTGCACATTCTTGTGGCTTTTCCAACTTCATCGTGGCAGCTTCCCATCACGATTTGAGTCTGACAATAACTTACAGGTGGTTTCAGCGGCGCTGTGTGCAGGCTCGGTCCACATTGCAATGTTCATTGTATTTCGATTCGTCAGCGGCTTTGGGGCTCTGATTTTGTCAATGACTATTCCCGTGTGGATAACAGAGTGCGTACCGCCCGAAGTGAGAGGTGCCTTCGCCCAATTTCACGCCGTCGGCGTAAGTACGGGCTACCTCCTGGCTAGTTACGTCGGCGTTGGCTTTTACGTCAACGTAAGCCACACATCCTTAGCAACGTGGAGAGGACCGCAAGCGATCGGAGCCGTACCAGCAATTTGTCTCCTTTGTGGGCTTTGGTGGGTTCCCGAGTCTCCACGATATCTCCTAATGAAAGGCAAAGAGGGAGAAGCCCGGAATATCATTCGAAAACTTCATTCCTCATCTGGAGATACACGATTTGCGGAGATTGAAGCATTTCAAATGAAGAAACAGATCGAACTGGATCGCACTCTACCATCGTCTTGGGCAGAAATCTTCCGAAGGCCATCCTTGCGCAAACGGATGCTTATGACAGTATTTGTCGTGTTCTCAGTGCTCTCTAGTGGCAATCTAACCATCGTTCTCTACGCGACTCAACTATACGAGGCATTGGGATTTGATGCGTTGAAACAGCAGCTCCTTCAAGCCGGTCAACTAGCTGCCGTCATGCCTGGTTTGTTTGCTGCAATCTTCGTGAGTGCCCCCAGCCACTGCGACTTATCGTGCTGCAAGAGAACTAGGCCCGAAGTCTCTCCAAAGACCCCCGTTAACAGACCTTATAGTTCACGGAGAAATTTCGACGACCTACCATGGTTGCGGTTGGCCTTTCAGGAATGGTCATTGTTCTGTCATGCTATACGGCTGTTTCGGCCCAGTTTGCCAATTCTAGTAACAAGTCGGCCCAGATAGCTGGTGTCGCCCTGGTCTACCTATACCTTGTTCTCAGCGCCGCGCTCACCGAGGGCCCTTGCGCCTACTGGAGCGCCGAGTTCTGGCCTACGCATCTCCGGGCCAAAGGGGCTACCATTAACGTCGTCACCTTTTGCGTCGTCAGCATTTTATGGACTCAGTCGGCTTCCTCTGCAATCGCCAATATCCAGTGGAGATTTTTCTTGGTCTTTATCTGTATTACAGCTATCAACGCCCCAATTATCTACTACTTTTTCCCCGACACGCAGGGAAAGAGTCTGGAGGAAGTTGCGCTGCTCTTTGGGGACACGGATCTTGTGGTCGTTCGCCAGGAAGACATTGTGTTGGACGCAGACAGTCATAGGATTACAGGGAAAATTCACGTAGGAGGCGAAGAGAAGTCGGTCGCAGAGCACTTGGACATAGTTGTGTAGCTTACTGCTGTTCAGCAAATAATGTTTTTCTCGACGCTGAGTAGGGGCGGAAAAGTCAATTCGGGCTGTGAGCCATCTAAGTTTCGAGTTGATGCACCCCCCTAGCCGAGCCCCTTGTTGTTGCAGCCTTGCCAACTTTGGCGAAAGCTTCGGATGACCCTGCGGAATGCTTTTGCTTATGCTCAAGAAACACCGCATAGCGGTTTTAAGTGATTTTTTCTCCTTACTACCGTTGTATACAGAGCTTTCTGGAGGTTTTACATCCACAACTTAAGTCACTAGCAACCTTGCACGTTTTCTCCCTGCCGGTGAAGAGATCGATACCTCGTAGAGGTAACTTACTAGAGGACGGAGTCTGTCACGACAATGCAATTACTGCCGGGCAATTGGGATATTTTCGAGGATGAAACAGGCAAGGAAGTAATCGCATGCTTGGTGTGTCAGGAACCTTCTCAAACACTCAATATTAGGTCTGGACAATTTCATTTGCAAGTCCATTTTGTATCATTTCCAGCACGTGGGCGACCACCTCCTCCTGCCTAAGGCGGGGGCAACGGGCACCCGAGATGTGGTCATGCGACGTTCCCAACCGGGCAAAGGATTTGTTGCTCGAGGGAACTTCTTCTTCTGTCGAGTTCCTGACCAGCACAATGATGGCGTTCACGATCTTGATGATAAAGTGGGCACCTTCGAATCTGCACGTCAGGGTATGCAACGTCCGCATCAAGTATCCAAGTTGCTGGGTGATGTCGGTCCTGATCTCGAGGTCCTGGGGCTTGCTAAGTTGGATAAGATGCAAAGCAATAGGCAAGATTATCCATGGTGGCCTGTCACGTTTACACCACGTCAGATTTCTCGCTTTACCTCATGAAGACATGGACTTTTTGGGCAAGTTCTCCCCCTTGAGATAGATACATGGGTCACCTTACACAATGATTGAGAGGTCTTTCGGGTTCGCAAATCGAAGCATTGACGCGGTGATAGCTGCTGTATTCCTCGATGACTCTTTGATCTTGAGGAGAGCCAGATCCTTTACAAACCACGCCAGATGCGAGCTGCGGCTGGCCGATAGTCTGAGAAATGGCTCGTATAGTATCGAAATAGCGAACCTGGAAACGGACAAGAGTTAAGATTCTGGAGCCAATCGATAATGGAGTCTCAAGGAAGTTTGGGTATAGTAGACTCACTGATGCATTAGTCCAATGAGATGAAAAATGACGAGATCAGTACTGGGGACCTTCAAGTCTTGAACTGCGGCATAAAGTTGAGCAAAATTGACGCCCCAAATCTTCAACTTCTCGTCCAGCTGGCCGACTTCCTCCAGGATATCCAACGCCTGCTGGTCCCCAGGGAAGAACCAGGTACAGTTGTAGTCTCGGTACTTCAGCCGCACTGATTCCACCATGATTTTTGTCAGCTTACACAGGAGGACGAATGCTCGTGTAAAGTAAAGTTTTGCTTCAACGGATATTAAAAGGCATCCTGAACTTTCATCGTCCGCGAAGTCAGTCAGCTCAGGCAGACGACCCTCTGGCCGCCTATTCAACCTATTGAAGCGGCGCAGCCCCAGCGAGATCATGCGGTTGCGTATCATGCAGCACCACCAAATAATCCTCTTGCGATGTGTCGAAGTTGGATCCGACATCCCTCCAACTACAGCGTGGCGGATTGCTTCGTCCACCCAGAAGCTGTTGACCTCCTGGGTAGAATCGTATGGGCTCCAGTAGCTCAAGAGCAGGGCACTTTGAGCAATTCCTTCTGTGCCCACGAATTCGGTTTCGAGACGGTGATAGACACTCTGGGCAGAAGAAAAAAGGGATTTCTGCGCGCGCTTGACCGATCCACATGGCTCTCCTCGGAGTAAGTCTTCATCAATATGGGATAGGGCTGCAAATAATATTGACAACAATAGTAGTCGCATGAGTTGTGGCTGACCGTGGTCATTTCGTTCCGGGGCTTCATACCACTGGAGAAACCTTGATTGATCTATTGCAGGGCAGATTGGGTGGACTTGCCCAAAGTATGCTTGAATTAGTTCATCCTGAAGGCGTTTCGATAACAGGGGCGCTTCACACTAGTTGACCTTAGCCCATGCATCCTCTTGACTAGGTGTGATGGAGTGGATTTCGTATCCCACCGTTTGAACGCCGTCATCAAGTCTGAGTCCTACAGATCTCTTCTGAAGCTTCTGCCAGCAAGGATAGACATTTTCCAAGCCAACTATTAGTAGATTGTCAACTGATCACGCCCTACCATGTGTAGGATGTCCAACAGACATACCTGAGTTGAAAAGCAGATCTTGGATTTCAAAGTAGTTATGATTGACGCTCGGGTCAGGTGTGTCGGGATCAAATGTGGGCAACAAGGAACTTTCTGGGCTGGAAGGTCCATCGGAATCATCGTATGGTATTGAGATGTGCGCTATTACTCTTGGATTGGAATTCTCTTGTTCATTTGCCGTTCGATACATTGACATTCTGTCTTGCATCAAGCATAAATCCATTGGACAGATTGTTTTCTGGTGCGACTGATTCAGGGGGATAGGCTCTGTGTCACTCATCTCAATGCAATGAAAGAAGTCGAGGAATATCTGCATGTTCAGTACAGCTGTGGTGGTATACCAATTACCTTTGACCTGTGATACTTAGACGGAGATCCAAAGCGTGTCCCATGTGTCCTACCTCTGATCTTCCAATGGCAACGCCTTCAGGCAATCTGAACTCCGGCTTAGTCCCCGAGGACAAAGAGACTTTGCAGCTGGGTTTCTGGCTTGAACTTCGCACCCGATGTTGGTTTACTCCCTCCCAGCCCTGTTGGATGTGGTCCGCTTGAAAGTCAGCATCCCGCAAACTCCTTGTAGTCCAATCAGGACGAAACATGGCGGAAGCGGAAGGGGAAGTGGAAGCGGAATCAGGCGGAATAAGCAATTGGCGGATTGTGCACCAATGGCGGCACATGGTTGCTCTGGCCACATCAGCGAGAGGATTGGGCTTGACTGTTTCGCTGCCGCATGACCGAGAGCAATACTTAGCTTCCACCGTGCAGCCTGCACAGCTCTGTGTTTTGAATGTGCGCAGATCCACATAGTTGTGTTGCCGTGCAGGTGACAGCACCGCCTGGTCTCGTCACTGTGTTTTAGAACATCACGTTCGTGACAGCCGACCACTACTGTTGAAGGTGCACGTAGAGTTGTTCTGGACCAGTCGTTTGGCTGGTTCTCCGGCTTTGCGAATGATATCAGCTGGCAGGTTATGTCTCAGGGACTTGGATATCGAGTGAGACTCTGTGTGAACAGAGTAGTGAGCGTAGCCCGCCCAAGTCTCACAACAGGACGTCATCATCTGAAATATAGCGCGAGATACCCAGTGAGCGGCAGCACTCATATCCATCACGAAGGCTCGTATTAGAATAGAGACTCATAAGCTGTGAATGAAACGAGCGCAAAGTCATTTGTGGTAACACCCATCTTACAAAATAGATAGAAGAATTATGGTCTCTCATTGCTTCGGCGCTTCTTTCCATCTGGCTTCGTAAATGTGACAATGCTGTATTATCCTACCTAGGTACCATTTTCCAGTGCGACCCCCGGCTGCCCGGCACTTATGGTCAATTCCACTCGGGGTAGAATGCGCAAACCTCACAAGGCTCATGCGTCTCCGCTACACTATATCCGCGCGGAGACACACCATAAAGGAAGTAGTACTTTATATGCTTGGGTCGAAGTTTGGGCATGATTTCAGAGGAGTAGGACTACCTTCAATCACTTACACTCTGCCACACAAAAATACGACAGCGTACCAGTGGGAAAGGAGCTACTCCATCATCATGGCATACGAAGTTCGATATATGTGGCACCCCACGCACAAGGTGACGGACCTGAAAGCGTGCGAGAAGTTCTTCCAGGATGTGTTCAACTTGGAGAGCACGCCTGTAGAGGCGAACCTGCCCCCGAAGGAAGAGTGTCCCACATACCCACGCGACTACTCAATCCTGACCATGATCCGCGAGGTCATGTTCGACTGCGTGGATCCCACGAAGTACGTCGTCGAGGGGCGGCAGTCCCTGGAGGACGTCGACGAGCCAGGACACCTTTTCTGCTTCGGCCTAGCCGTGGACGGCGCAGACGAGATTTACAAGGTGTGCATTGACCACGGGATCCGCAGCACCGACCAGGCGAATCGGCTGGGCAGTCTCAAAAAACCACCTATCACAGGGTTCAAGAACGCAACGCTCTTCTTTACCCTTCCCGAAAGTGCTGGGCTACGATACCAGATCTATCCGGTCAGCGCGACGGGCCCTCCTGACCCCCGAGCTGAACCAGGCTGGAAACTCCCTCCCGTGGCAGAGAACGATCCTCTGGCACTGGAGTTCTGCTCTCATCACACAATCCTCTCGGCCAATCCAGTCAAAGCCTTCAATTTCCTCATCGGTATCTTGAAGGGCAGGATCATCCATCAAGGTCGTAATGAACTCTTGGAGACCGACAGCACTTACATTTCTCTCGGAGATGGTGTCTATGAAGTTGCTGTGCCTACTCGTGCAGGCTCGTTTGCGGCAGAAGATCTGAAGTTCAATGCCCCCTTTGACACATATCACGCGCTCACTTGGAAGGTGAAAGACCTTGCAAAGGTTCGGCGGCACCTGGAAGATAAGAAGATTCCCCTTTTGATGCAGAACGAGCATATGGTGGTCACTGATCCAAAGTACACTATCGGAGTGCCCTGGGGTTTCACTGACCAAAAGGTGCCGGGTGATCTGAGGTTGTCAACATGAAGAAATAGTAGCCCTGGTCGTGACTTGGGCAGCATCTGGAGTGTTGAGGCATCTTTATGATAGTAGAGATCCCAAAGAGAAGGGCATAACAGAAATTGATCTCGAGTGGAGAAGGGTGGACAGGTTCCACTGTAAAGTCGAGCCTTCGACTCGTACGGATGATATTGACGATACTCACAAAGAACCAGTAGAGGCACAATCCACTGCAAATCATTAGGTAGCATATCATCCTGACCAGTTGAAATTGTTCCAAAGGTCCACACTGCTATCATCCCACAAGAAAGGCATGTCTGAAGTCTTCTGCAGGGGATCTTGAAATGGATCCTGATAAATAGCTGGCAGAGAAAGATCCCAATCGTTGTTGGAACTGACATTGCTGCCATTCCAAATCGTATTCTGCGCTGGCCCAAATGCCGTTGTAATCGGATGCGATGCTGCGGCACCCCGGACATTTTGAGGCCACAGAGACTCGATAGTATCCCGGGCCACTTTGATAGGCCGACGTAGTTGCTGCAAGATACGCCGAGCGAGGAAGGAACCTTGAGAGAAAGACTCCATAACCTTTAGGGACTTGTTCAGGAGATTTATGGCCGGCCGAGTCAAATCCTCTGAGTTGTTCTGCTTTACTATAATGCAGATCATGGGAACCAGAGCACCGGTTAGATGATGCAAGTAAGCATGTCTTTCGCAGCGTTTCGATCTCTGGGTTGTATAGCATGTTTCGACAGCAGCCACGACCTCGGTGGCAATGTCGATGCAGAGCTGCGCAGTCTTTCTCCCGTAGGTGAGGCTAATCATTTCCTCTCGACGCAACAACATTCGTAGGTATAGAATCCGTAGATGCAGAATAAAGCCTTGCTGTTGTATAAAAGAAGGTGCTCCGTCGTACATTTGCTGAGATGCTGCAACTTGAGGCCACCGAAGGGAAGAGGGAATCTCTCGAGATAATTCAATAACCTTGTTGTCCATAGCAGCAAGAAGGTCCTGGCTGACCGGTTTCTTTGCACGTGCCCCAAACATGGCCTCCCAAACCTCTGAAGAGAGCCTTGTCAACTTGATCGTTTCCAATAGGTAGGGAACTGGAGAGGTTGTAGGCATCTCAGGCAACGAGGGACAATCCGGGTAGAGCATTCGATCATCGACGCATTTGGGCAAACCAACATTGATATCTGACTCCCGGAGCAGCTCAGGCACACCACGCGTCTGAGCAACGTTGTGGTTAAGACAAAAGACCGACCAGAAAACTCGCTGCCGGTACGTTCTGTCGTAAAACTTGCAATCCTCACCCCATGAGGGCTCATTATGTAGACCCAACTGAAAACACAACCGCACTGCCGTTCCCATTGTGTCGTAGGCCGAGTTCAAAAGGCCTGCATACATAAAATATAGTGTTTTCACAAGCAGTGTTTGAATCGTCACAATGTTGGCTCTCTCTAGCCAGGTGGCGTGGCTGAGGAGCTTGTCACCACGACAGAACTCCTTCCAGCCGGGGAGGTATTGACCCTGGGTGGAGCTGTCGCATAATATACTCACCACTGCCATGATGAACTGGAGCAAGGCGGCCAGTTGCACTGAGCCGTTCTTGGTAAGACTATTCGAGTCATTTGCAACAAACGCGGAGAATTGTGCACGCAGGTAGCCCTCATTCATACAAGGGTAATGTGGCTGCACGTTCGCAAAGAACATGTCCAGGGACCTATGGATCTTGGTCGGGTCTTCAACCCGTGCCTGATCGACAGTTTGATCTATGTCGCGGTAGATGTCGGCTACCGAAGTGTTTGGTTCAAAGGTCGAGCTTCCCAGGAAACCACCCACTTTGATGAGGTCTGTCCCTTGTGCTCGAGTCACAGAACGGTCGAGAAGATCGATCTGCTGGAAAAAAGCGGTACCAGTCATAAAATTGGTGTTGCGTTCAAAAACGCTTTCTCGAGGAGACGACGTCTCCGCGTCGATGGTGCTTAGAGGAGTCTGGCCCTGGTTGTCCCCGAACATTGGTTCGTTGGGTGAGAGTATCTGGCCCATGAATTGCTGGTCGCTTGGAGGCTGTGTTGAGGCTCTTTCTGGCTCGTTCAGTCCAGTCCTGCCGTTTGGCTGTGGTCCTTGCGTGGCTACAGCCACTGGCTCCGGAGCATCGTCTCTCGCAACCGCAGTGCTATGGCTAGGGCCAGGATTGGCTCGACTGTCGACATTGACCCAGTCGGTTGGATTAACATTTGGCGCCAGCAAGTTCGATGTCCTCGAATGCCTGGTGCCCCGTGGCTCTGAAAATACACATTCAGTACCACAATGGCGACAGTTTCGGCATACCTTTTCGCCGCTGCACTTCCTCTTACGGCGTTGACACTCATTACAAGCTCGCGAAGTGTATTTGTCGCGGACTCTGACGGCGTTGGCGCCCGATGCAGTCATGGTCGTGAAATTCGCTCAAGGGTGGTCTCAGGGGTCGCTGTCGAGACAGGATAGTGAGTTGACAACCTCGTTGCTCTTTCCACAAAACTCATCTCGATCAGTTTTGCCGTCCTGCATGAGCCACGGGAAATGGCCCCCTCAAGCTTGGCTCCCCGCATGGAGGTGAATGTGGAGTGGCGGGGGATGCAGCGCAGTTGCGAGGGAGGGTAAGTTTGCTGCGTCTGTGGGAGGAAGCCCTCGCAAGAAACGAGTCCCGGGGAAAGTCTTGGATTGGTTCTCGATCAGCCTGACAAGCGCCAGGAAAAGGGCAGATGGAACAAGGGCGGCGAGATTAGAGTCCTTTCGCCGTCCGAATGCTCCGTTTGGGACCGGTCTATACCACTGAAAGATCTGCGGGGCCACCGAGTGCCGGATATCGGCATGCTTTAGCCTCTCAATAAGCGGAATTCTTTGGCACCTACGACTTGAATCCACAGAAGCTTGAGGGCCGGAATCATCCAACTCTGCCTTTCTTCTGAGCAAACCCCTCTCCGCATGTTTACCTTGGCTTCTCCGTTTGTTTGTCTGCCAACAAGGTTATTGGTTGCTGAGTGCCAGACCTTTCCACGTTAGTCACGACGACTCCCTTTACCAAGCAACCCGGGAAGATGCAGGAAGAGCCACCGTGAAAAGGATGCTCCAAGAACGGCGGCGTGACTCCTTTTCAACGGTCAATTCATCTCTGGCGTGTTCGACTCCCAACAACTCAGCTCTCTTTACAGTTGCGTCACGACTTGATGTATACTTCTGAAGGGCAAGTCCTCCTGTTGCAATTCCCCATAGTTCCTACAACAATGCATGTCTTGCGGAGCCGCTGATATTGGGAGCAGACAGACGCCTAGGCCAGCAGCCTCTGCTGCAAGGCTTCAATCATTCAGTGGCCTTCTCAAGGAGAGGGGGAACCTCGTTGGAGCTGCTGTTACCATTGGTAACACGTTTTGCGCACAAATCACCGCAAGAGTCGGGTTTGATTGGGTGCTCATCGACATGGAACATGCCCCTATGTCGGCACGAGAAGCGTCAAGCCTGGTCCAGGCGGTGGTAACAGCATCAGGTGGACAATGTGTTCCAGTAATACGCACCCCTGCGCACGGCGTAGAGTGGGTCAAGTGGGCTTTGGATTCCGGGGCTGCTGGCATCATCATTCCTATGGTGACCACTGCACAAGAATGCGAAAACATCATTCAACGTGCCGTCTATCCACCACGAGGTCAACGCAGCTTCGGGCCCTTTCTCGCGCCATATGCCGATATCGACCCCGCAGCCGATGTCACAAAATATATGAAAGAACGCGCGAAGGAGGTGGCAATCATCCCCATGATTGAGTCTATGGAGGGTGTGCAGAACGCCGAGGCAATATTGAGAGTTCCGGGAGTAACAGCATGTTTTGTCGGGCCTTACGACCTCCGTCAATCTATGGGGCTGCAGGGTGGTGACGGTGAAGAGCCTGCCTATATCAGTGCATTGCAGAGGATTCTTGAGGCAGGGAAGAGGAACAATGTAGTCGTCGGCACAGTTGGTGCGACTGAAGCATCTGCTAAACGAAAGGTGGAGATGGGTTTCAAATTCCTACTAACGGGTCAGGAGCCCAATTTTCTGGCTGCTGGTGCTAAGGCGACTTTGCAGCAGTGTCAACGGGGAGTAAACGCCGCGAGAACTAGCAATCTCTAAGCCAATTGAGCATAGGATAGCTGCCACAATGAGATCCTTTTCTAGGTTGAAATCCTGATCACCCCGGGGACGCTTGGCGCTTATTCCCATTACTGCCGAAGCATTGGGCTTCTTGGGGCTCCCGACTTTATAATGGCAGTATCAAGTGACACTTCTACAGCATGGTGGTGACAACAGTATGTCAAATGTTTCCAAGGGTCTCGCGCTGGCGTGATTCCATATGGACCTTTCATCTTCTCTTTGAACTTCACTTGACAACAGATATCTCTCGGGAGTCTCAAGGCACCATGTAAGCTCTCGAATGCGATTGACGAGCTCAGCTGATCAGAAGATGGCGACGACGTTGGAGTGGCTGCCGACTCCTCCTGGTTTGTTTGTCAGAGCACATATCTATGCTAGGTGCACGGACTGACTGACCTTTCACATTCGCCGGGCTGCTGCAGAGGAAGAAAGTGTGCCGCTTGTGTTTCTTGCACAACTCAGCTAATTGTTCCAGATCCCACAGCTCGCCGATAGGACATCCCCAGAGAGGAAGCAGCCAGTGATGAAGATGCTCCGGCTCGTCCATTGGCCACGTTTCGAACGAAGGTGCATCACTGGCCACCGCGCTGAAATAGTTGTCGTGGAGCAATTCAACCATGTCATGGGCGCGAGAGAGACCGGCAAATTGTAACTCAAGGTAGGCTTTTGCGCCCATGTCCTCCCGTTGCTTCTGGTCGAGCTTCCTGTACGCCTCGGAAAAGCCGGTTCTTACAATGAAAATATCACCGTACTTGAACTCCACGCCTTGCGCCTTCGCACAGGATTTGATCTCTTCAGCTGTGATCTTCCGGGGCGTGAATGGGTCGTAAGACTTCCCACAGAAGTCGTAAAAGTCGATAAGGACTCCTCTTCCGACTTGATTTCCCATGTTTGTCAGCTCAAGTAATGCTCGTAACTGAAAGCAAAGGCATATCGTACCGATACCTCTATGACCCCACGCGCTGGTGCCGATTCGGCCAGATTTATCTTCAATTTGCTCGACCGTCGTCTAAGGCACATTAGGCTTTGTCCCTTTCGCACGTGTTCAAAGTGGCACAGTACATTGTTGTACCATATAAACCCCTCATTATGCTTAATGCCTGCCTGTTTGACTCGGTTAGAAATGTTTTACCGTAGCAAAAAGGGCCTGCAGAGAGGTCAGAAGGGGTTCTTGTGTGGACTTACATGACGAAATCCGTCCCATTGGGAACCGCTCTGAGTGTTTAACTCATACAAATCGTCAAATGCGTACGGCCGAACTTTCAGAACGGTATGTTTGAAAGGGGCACGTCCGAAAAACGGTGGCTCTGGCCACTCGGCAGGCAAACTTTGATCCAAAACCAGACGTTAACCTTCCATTCAGACTGTTCAATGAAGTTGAGGGCTATGGTTGTAGCCCTCAAATCTCGCTCACTTCAAGCACGTCCTTTCTCCCGTCTGAACCAGTTTTGAGGCTTCGATAACTCTCCTTGGAGTAAGCAGATTCAGTCGTCCCAACTATTGTGATGTTGTTAGTTCACATTCTGAAGCGAAATAAAGAAAAAATTTGACCGAGACAAAAAGAAAAGGAAACTGGAGGTCCTTACCTCATCGGCTGGACCCCAGAACCAGGCGGCATACTCTGGCGCACCGGGTATCCGGGGTAGCTCTTTGAGCTTTGGCAAGTTGTCTGAATCTGGATCCCACGCTGCCATTATAAGTACCGCTAGTATTCGATGATTGAGTAGTCTCAAAGATGATCTATGAGGTGAAAATGCGAAAATCCAAAGTTTTCATTCCCATATTTGAAGAGCCACAACGTTGCACAATGGCTTCGCTGCGCAGATCGGTCACGCGCCTGGTAAGTATTGTTAGCCGCAGTTGGCGTGGATCTCGCTGCGGAAGACGGAACATACGGCCAGACTGTAATCAGCGAGTTGGTATATTTCTGCATATACCGACACTTTTACATAAAGCCTTTCCGAATACTGATCCACATACTAATGCAATTTCATGTTGCGGAATAACAATTGATTGGGACCACACTTAACCCTGCGGACCACGCTATCCTTTCTGCTTAGACCTCAAGTCGACATCGGCACACCATAAGCTCCTTCCTTTGAGGTCGCTCGCTTGATGCACTGGCTCATACTTATCCATCACGGAGAGTGAGGCTGTTTACTGGTCGAGCTATCCTGGATGGCAAGGGTACCTCCTTTTTCCTACTTCTTGCCTCTATTTTCCTTGCGCTTTCGCCTGTTCACCCATCTTTCCACCCGAAACCTTGCCCCTGAATGGTCGGGAAAGTCCACCCTATTTATGGAAAGATGACTTAGCTTCGTATCTCATCACTCTCATCCATATTTTATAATATCATTTGAAAATCTCAATTTCCTGGTATGTGTCGAGCACGGATGCCTTGCGATCACCTTGGATATCCTCTTTATCTTCCAAAAATGCATCTTCAAAACTGACGACTACGACGTCTCCGAAGATGGCGCTGAGGTCCTCGATCGACTTCCCACTGGTCTCGGGGTAGAGGAAGAAAATTGTTAGTATAAACAAGATGGTCCAGGATATGTTGACGAGGTAAAACTTCCAATGAATGGCATCCAAGGCGATCGGAGCGGCGACCAGAAGTATAACGTTTGACAGTGTCAATCCTAAGGTGCCGACCGCCTGCCCCTGTGCGCGGATATAGCTCGGGAAGATTTCGGAGATATAGACAAACTGAGTGGCATCGATGCATGTGGACCAGAAGCAGATCATCAAGAACGTCAGGAAAATGGATGCCTTCAGCCCCGGTCTAAAGTTTGGCTCTAGATATAGGCCTTGAAGAGTGCAGTTCAGTATCACACACGTGAGGATGCCGCATATGCCGATCAGGAGCAAAGGACGACGGCCGACTCGGTCGACAAGGGCTGCGTTGATGAAGTTACCTGGCATCGTAATGCTGACCCAGATTGCCTGTAGAATCAGTGGCATTGGGCCTGTCATGCCTAGCTGTTGGTATACTAAAACTCCATAGATGCCAACTGTTGTCAGGCCTAGGAATTGAGTGCCCCAAAGCAGATTGAAAGCCAGGAAGACCCGTTTTCGATTGGAAGCTGTCCGTATAATGGGAAATGGACCAATCTGTTTCGAAACGCTCGAATCGAACGCGATCTGCTTGGACATTTGGTTGAATTCGCGCTTGGCGTATTCCCCTGCTTGATCTCCTAAATGTCCATGGAGCCGGCGGATGACAGCTTCTGCTTCTTCATGGTGCTCCTTCATAATGAGCCAGCGGGGAGATGCCGGAAGAATGGGAGATCCAAGCAGTAAGATCAAGGTAGGCAATAGTTGAACGGCCAAGGGAAACCGCCAAGCGAATCCGGATTCAGGATCATGGACACCTTTGAAATAGGTGCCGACATTGATCCAGCAGGAAAGTGAGTTGCCAATCGCAAACATAAAGCCAGTCATTGCCACCAGGAACCCGCGAGATTCTGGGGGTGAGAGTTCAGCCTGATACATGGGCGCCACGGCCAGCAGGGAGCCCATGCCAATGCCGGACAAGACTCGTGCCGCAAGGAACATGGCCGGGTTGACAGCACCACTTTGAAGGGATCCTCCGAGCATATAGACCAGTGTAGTCAGTTGCAGACTGAGCTTACGGCCCAACGCATCTGCAGCCCAAGCAGCTATAACAGCCCCGACCGAGGCTCCTCCGATAAAGGTACCTGAGGCTGCGCTGAGGAAATCTGACGTGCGCTGATAACCAGAGTCGCTAGGGTCGTCTGTGTAGCCCATGGACACATAGAAGCCATGCTGCCCGATCGCGCCACTGAGACATGACATTGCATAACCACATGCCATAGGGCCAGTGGCAAGGAGCATCACAAGGGCCCAGTTATAGGCAGTGATACCAGGAAGAAGTCGACCCATTGTGTTTTTTCCTTGTTTATCCTGAGTAACAATAGGTGTGTCGAATGGTGTGAAGAGAGATGCTGGAGGCGAGCTTGAGAAGGGACAAGATATCGTCACGACAAAAAGTGTTGAAAGTATTAAAATGACCCAGAAAAATGATGCTCCCTCGAACAAAAACCATAGTGTTCTGGATCCAGGTACGGAGGACATCGTAGGTTGTTTCCGCTTTCCGTTTTCCACATTCCGCATATTGTTGTTCCAATAAAGCGATGACCAAAAACTGCCGTGCTCATGCGGAAGCCAATACAGAGTTCCCGAAAAAGCGAATAATCTTACACAAGCTTGAAAGGCAATGCGACTGACTCCAATCGCTGTGAATACGCCAGTGCTCAAGCTTTTCTTGCCTTCAGTGCCCCCATTAGTTCTCTTTCTCTCACAAATTATTGCCATCATTTACGCTTCTAGAGTTTGGAATTTGTCTTGGTCATGGTACTTTGATAGAGTCAGTGCGTGAATTTGAAGCCTGTTAAGGAGTGAGGAACATATTGGTAGTCTGAATAATATAGAACTGGTGCGGGATTTCTTTCTAGAGGCGGCCAAGAATGCGTTGAATATAGTCGAATAATCCCCAAGCCCCCAATACGGGAGTGATTAGGCGGAGGTAAGAGCTAAAATTGGGGCAACATATGTTCGCTCAGCCTATCTACCCAACTAATCGATTGAGCTGACTCTCATGTGCCAAAGGATCCTTTGGGAGTTGCACCTTCCAGTCCTTCCCGACCTCGTTCTCCCCCCATGCATACGGCCCATTGTCGTATGTGTTGGTCCGCCGCATGTCTCTTCGATACTTGAATATATACTCTGATGCATCTAGTGCCCGATGCCAGACTGCTGTGTTGTCCCACATGACTGCATCTCCAGGCTGCTCCCAAGCAACCTTGTACACGTATTTTGGCCGGGTACCGTGTGCGATCAGTTCCTCTCTCATCTCCTGGCTTTCTTCAATCGAATAACCTTGGAACCTATAAACGTAACTGGTAACATACAGATTTTTCCGTCCGCTCCCCTCGTGCGGATAGACTGCCTTGAAATGGGAGATAGACCAGTCGTATGGATCCACATCTTTATACAGATCCGGTGCCGCCATTCGACGATTATGAATCAGAGAACAATCACATACCAAGTTCTCAAGTTTGTTCTTCCATTCTTGGCTGAGATCTTCATAGGCTGTCCGGGAGTCTGCAAACTCAGTCTCACCACCCGAACCCTTGGGTGGGATCTCTACTGCTCGGAGGAGTGAATATTTGTCCCTTCGTGGATGATACTGCATATCGGCATGCCATAGCTCGTTGCCCTTCTTCAACATTGAGGTAACTCGGTCGGTGGTCTTGACGATTTCTCCAGAGTCATCCAGGTTGGAAACGTCGAAAATGTGCGGCTGATCAGGGAATCGACCTCGGCGACGAATAAAGGGCATTGAATCCAGCTCGCCGAACCGCCGTGTGAAAGAAACGTGAGTGTCGTTATCCATGTTTGCGTTCCGGAAGACGAGAACGCCATATTTGTCAATGCCATCCTGAATTTCTGCAATCACAGAATCCGATATGGGCTTTGAAAATTCAACGCCCTCCACTTCAGCGGCAAATGTAGCATGAAGTGGCTTAAACTTGAGGGACCTCTGGACCAACATCGTCGAGGGATTCTTCAAAGTGTTTGGGAGAAGCTTCTAGTGGCTATTTTTTGTGAAGAGATACAATCGAAAGTTATCTAGGAGAGTTTAAATTGTGAATGTTGTATTGGTGCTTGTTACTTCCATGATGGGCGATTAGTGAATGATAAGTGAAGCGGAAAAGTCGGACACACATCTTTCTTCCATATCGTAAATGACTATTCCGACCGACGGTAGTGGCCAAACAGCGATTGAAAGCAGGAGCGGAATAATGGGAGACTCCACAAATCCCGTAAAGGGCTCCCGAGTGGTTGTAAGCAGATGACACTGTAACTGAAATCATTTTCCGCGGGAGCGGGTGCCAATCTCCCGTCTGCAGTGGCGCCTTCCAACCTGAACTGCCCCTGTCGAGCAAGAGCTTTGCTTTCTGAGTGAGAGGCCCGATAGTTATTGCGAAAGACAACCTGATTATCGGCCTAGTCCAGTCTATGAGAAGGCTGTCAGTATATACATTTGGTGCTTTCTCAGTTATTCCTGCTCAAAGAGACCCTAGCCACAGTTTGAAATGCTACGAGACTTGTGTGACGATACAACCCAAACTCACGGAGGTTATGTCAAGGTCATGGCCCCTGGTCCAAGCCTACCAAAGGATGATCCGAGAGCCGACTCAGAAGAGGCTGCCAAAGCGTGCGGCTGGCAGAATGTGAATAGCAGAGGCTACTCCATCCTAGAGAAGCCGCACGGACTATCTCAACACAAGCGCGTTATTGTGATCGGCGCTGGAGCAACTGGCATATCGTTCGCCAAGTTCTCCGAGGCTTTGACGAACCTCGACTTACAAATATACGAGAAAAATGACGAGGTTTCAGGCACATGGTGGGAAAACAGATATCCTGGCTGTGCCTGCGACATACCTTCTCACATTTATCAATTCAGTTGGGCAATGAATCCTAACTGGTCCCACTACTACTCGGATGCTCGCGAGATCTTCGAATATTTCAAAGGCGTTGTGGTCACTCACGGGCTCCGCAAGTATATCAAGTTACAGCATCAGGTCGTTCGCGCAAATTGGAACTCCGAGAACTGCAAATGGGAAGTCCAAGTTCAAGGACCAGACGGTAACATCTTCGAAGACGAATGTGACTTCTTAGTTAATGCTTGCGGCCTTTTAAACAACTGGAAATGGCCGGATATCCCTGGTCTCCACAGTTTCAAAGGCAAGCTGGTCCACTCGGCTGCCTATGATGAATCTACCATTCTTGACGGAAAGAGAGTTGCCGTTCTGGGGGCTGGGTCATCCGGTGTCCAGATTGTTGCCAAACTTCAACCCATCGTTAAGCAGCTCTACACTTGGATTAGGTCTCCTATCTGGATCAGCGCCGGATTTGCCTCCAGGTTTGCCGGTCCAGACGGCCAAAATTTCAAGTATGGTGAGGACATCAGAAGGAAATTCGCTGAGGATCCTACCAGACAGCTCCGTTACGTCAAAATGCTAGACGCAGAGCTTGGTCAACGGTTCTACTTCAACTTCATCAATACCAAGGACGCTCAAAAGGCTAAGGAGTTCTCTCGCAGGCAGATGGAAGAGAAGTTGAAACTTCGACCAGATCTGATAGAGAAGATAATTCCTACGGCGTATGGGCCCGGATGTCGCCGACCGACCCCAGGAAATGGATATCTTGAAGCGTTGATGGAGTCCAATGTGACTGTCTACACAAAAGACGTCCGACAGATCACTCCGTCGGGATTTATTGACAATGATGGCCATGAGCACGAAGTCGATGTCATTATCTGCGCAACGGGATTCGATACATCCTATGTCCCACGGTTCCCTGTCATTGCGAATGGCAAAGACCTCAGGCAGGAGTGGGCCGAAGATCCTGTGTCATATCTTTCGGTCATGATACCAGATTTCCCAAATTACTTTCTCTCCATTGGGCCGTATAGTGCGACCAATGGCTCACTTATTCCTCCCATCGAGCATGGATGCAAATATATGCTCGAAATCATCAAGAAATGTCAGATTGAACAAATTCGCTCGATAGCACCGAAGGCCGATGCAACTGCCGAGTTCCGGGAGCACTCGGACTTATTTCTGAAAAGAACCGTTTGGAATCAGAAATGTCGAAGCTGGTACAAGGGCGGGACTATCGACGGTCTCCCGCGCCTTTACCCTGCGTCAAGAGCACACTTTGTGGAGACCATGCAGCCACGGTACGAAGATTTTGAGATCAAGTATGAGAGCTCCAACAGGTTCCATTTCTGGGGCAATGGGTTCACAGTTCGTGAGCTCGACGGACGGGACCCGACATGGTACCTTGGTATCGTGGATGGCGAGGACAAACAGCCAGACTACACCGAGGATGAAAAAGCTGTGCTCTTCTCTGCATCAGGTGACACTTAGAGAGGCTCGATGGGCATAGAATGTTCAGCCTAGTTGATAGCTTACAGGAAATGCAACGTCACTGCGGGCGTAGAAGGCTCTGAGACTTTATTGCTCATAACAAGCTTCAGTAGGTATTTCAGGATTGTGTGCAGAATTGATGACCTAGGATATGTTTCCCATAGGGGCCTCGTAGGTTGTCTTTTTTAGAAACGTCCAAAACCCGACTAGCGACCCTGGAATAGATCCAAGCTCCGCAGAAATTAGGGTGGTGGAGATGAGTGACTGCAGAGACTTAACTGCGGAAAGAACAGAGCCGATAGAAATTCGGAGGGCTAATCATTCCCTTACCCAAGTTCCAGACACCCGACCTTCGGCAGCGGCGATTTGCGCTACACTTGAGTCATTAACTTGACAGCGGACCCCCAAGGTGGAGGTTATATTATAATCAAGGATGCATTCCCAGCTTGTTTTCGTCGTGCGAGCACTATATCCGGGATTGCACTTGGATTCTTCGACCCACTGGACGACGCCGCTCTCATTTCTCTCTTGCTACTGTGGAGCTTAAAACTCCAGCTCGAACTCCCCCCCAGTTAGCAAGAATTAAGTTTTAATCATGGGTTCTTTGAAGGGAAAGGTCATTGCCATTACCGGTGCGGCAGGAGGCATAGGATCGGTGACTGCGGATTTACTCGCTTCCAGGGGCGCCAGCCTTGCGTTGGCCGACATGGACGAACGCGCATTGGATGACACAGCCAAAGCAATTCGCGACAAGCACAAAGTCGGAGTCATGACCACAAAATTGGACGTCACAGACTCCAAACAGGTCGACGACTGGATCACAACCACTGTCAAGCACTTCGGAAAGAAGCTCTCTGGCGGCGTCAACCTCGCGGGGACAGTCGGGAAAGAAATCGGACTGAAGGCAGCCCATGAGGTCTCGGATGCGGATTTCGACTTGGTCATGGCAATCAATGTCCGAGGTGTCATGGCTTGCCAGCGAGCTCAATTGAACAATATCGAGGATGGTGGATCTATTGTCAACGCCGCCAGTGTCGCTGGGAAGATAGGAATCCCTCACTTGCTGGCTTACGGTGCTAGCAAGCATGCTGTTATCGGACTGACTAGGACGGCTGCCACGGAAAACGGCCATCGGAACGTGAGAGTGAACGCTGTGGCTCCGTAAGTTCTCAACCCCCTATTTCTTTCGGGGGACGGTATCCCGCTCACTGGCCCTTTTGCAGTGGGAGCATTGATACCAAGATGCTTGGTATAGCTCGAGATGCCAATATTCCAGGTAGCGAGAAGGCCTTGGCTCCAATCAATCGGCTTGGGAAGCCGGAAGAAGTTGCAGCCTTGATTGCATTCCTGCTGAGTGACGAGGCTACGTACACGACGGGGGCAGTCTACACAATTGACGGTGGCATGACTCCATAGAAGATGGATCTGCATATCTTCACTCTTAAGAACATTCTCTTCCACTGTTTCAATCGTCATGCCACTCGCTTTCTGACCAACACCGGCAAAGCAGCTTTCATCAAGGTCAAGCTCGAGGTGACCTCCCAGGGATAGCGCTCGAGGTCGTAGTTTCGCGCAGGCTCCAGCTCTAGCTTTCTCATAAACCGCGTAAGAAAAAGACGCATTTCGAGGAGTGCAAGAGGCTTGCCGACGCAGCTGTATACACCAGCACCAAAAGGAATATAGGCTTTGGTGTTATGATTGCGGATACCATGCGCCTCTCGCTCCTCGTCTATCCATCTCTCTGGCAGAAACTCTAGTGCATTGGTGAAGTTTCTCTCACTTCGTTGCATTGTCCACTTGTGGATGCTCAGCTGTGTGGATTCGGGAATGAACATTCCGTTGACCATGGCGCCGCCCTTTGGCGTCGAGCGCTGGTTCCCATTTGGATCTGGCTCTGCGAGGCGCAACGACTCATTGATGATTGCGTTCAAGTAAGGCGCCCTTGCAGGAACCAATTGCTGTCCATCGAGGTCCTCACTCACTCCGTCCCAGAGTGAGTCCACCTCCTCTTGGGCCCTTTTGTATTTGTCAGGGTTCACCAGCAGATAGTACAACGCAAAGGTCATACATATGCTGCTCGTGTCACTCCCCCCAACAACCACGACAATGGCTTCCTCGGCAACCTGGGATTTGTTCAACTGAAGTCCGGACTTGGGATCAGGCTGTAGCAGGTACTCGAAAATGTCGCCTCCAGCTGCTTGTCCCCTCTGGTAACGCGCTTCAAACCTTTTTGCCGTGAATCGAACAAAGTCTAGGCCGTTCCTTTTGCGCTCGCGATCGATAGGCAGCCACTTGTAGAGCTCCTTGAACCATGGCACGGGCCGAATGATGGAGAGCATGCGCATATAGCTGTGCAGGAGACCTGCCCACTTCAGGGACTCCTCATTGGTCCCCTCAATCATGCCGAAATCCTCCCCAAAACCAAGATCACCCATTATATCGAATGAAAAGTGGTCAATGTCAGCGCTGATGTCGATGATCCTTCCACTGTTATCCTCACAATGTTTGATCAATCGATCGGTCAACAGAATGATCCTTGATTCGTAAGACTTCAAAGCGTTCGCGGTGAACGCTTTATCCCAGATCCTCCGCCGAACTTTGTGGTTCTCCACATTACGCGTGCTCGCCATAACCAGAGTGTTATGACCTGCTCTTCCAGGATTGCCATCGTACCATGGCCCGCGACGAAGGTTGAATGATTGAGCCCCATGGATAAAGGTCACATCGTCGGGGTTGATGAATGATAGCTCATTTGGACCGTATCGAACAATGTCTCCATACTTTTGATGCAAACTCTCGAGATATCTGTGGCTGTTGCCGGTCCCACAGATATACGAGAAATGAAACTTGCTCAGTTTCCCGAGAACAGGGCCTGGATACTTCCGCAGAGGATGGAAAAATAGCCTGTAGATAGCGATACTTGAGCCCAGCCCTGCAAAATAGCAAATGTTGAAGGTAGACACCAAACTGATCAGACCTAAGTCATTCAAATCCGAGCTCGTTCGCCACAGAAAGCACAGTATCACTTGGAGTGCCGTGACAAAACTCAAGAATTGAGGTACTGTGGGCTCCTTGTGCCGGAATGCAAAGTGACTTCCCAGAGCTATCAGCAAGCTTCCAGAGCTGACATTCAATAGATTTAGTCCCATTGCTAACAATTTCCAAGATGTCTTTGTCAAAAACAATTCCCTTGAGGGAGTACGATTATTGGGATATGAAATATGAATTCCCAAATTCAGCGGAAGCCACATGCAGATAGAATTGCTCCTAAGGGATTTCACCATGACACCGGTTCAAGGCTTGAGTAGGAGCTCCACGGACCGGCTAAGGCTTTTCTCGGAAGCTGATACATTCAGTGGGTACAAAGGTAGATATTGCGTGTGTAAATATGGCTTTCCGCAGGCTCCGTCTATCATTACCCGGGCTCAAAATGGAGATACCATGCTCAACATCCCGTGACCTAGCCTACCACAGTTCGGCGCAATATCGAACGATTGGATATCCGAAGGTCTGTGCGAAGAGTGCTGTGAGCACGCGTCGTTCTGTCTTTTACCGACCCATGAACATGCCATGTGGAAAGCAGGAATGTGAGCTCAGGCAAGTACCATTAAAGACCATATATTACTTCTAATTGCCTGTATAAGCACACTTGTGTTGGTCTTGGTGGTGTTGCAAGAAAACTATCCCCAGACCTAAGCCGGCAGCAGGTTTGATTCTGTCATTCTTGACACTTTTCCAGACTAGAGTTTACAATCAATTCCACAGAAATGATGGCTTGGAAGCTGGATGGAAAGGTTGCGATTGTGACTGGGTGCGCATCGGGCATTGGCTTGACAACGGCAAAGCTCTACCTTGAGGCGGGCGCAACGGTCTTTGGCATCGATGTCTCGCCATTTCCTGAACCATCTCCTTTCTCTACAGCTCTATCGGAGAAGTTTTATTTCCACAAGGCGGATCTGACAGCTCCCGAAGCCTGCGATGATTCGGTGGCTGCGTGTCTGTCAAAGACGGGGAAAAATGTTGATATCCTGGCAAATGTTGCAGGCATTATGGATAGCTTTGAAGCTGTTCACAAAACCAAGGACACGACATGGGATAGATTGATGAGCGTCAATGCCACAGTGCCGATGAAGCTGATGCGAGCAGTCTTGAACCAAGGAGGGATGCTGGAGCAGAGATCAGGCCGAATCGTTAATGTCGCCAGCAAGGCTGGCCTGAGTGGAGCCGCAGCAGGGTTTGCTTATACAGCTAGCAAACACGCCCTGGTAGGTGACATCAATGTTCATTTATGTTCGACCGTCACCAATCAGCTGCTCACAACATGATGTGTCTCACCCATGATTGTGCGGCCAAAGATCAGAGCAATAGTCAGTTAACAGATTCTGGCAACTCAGATTGGTATGACCAAACACGCAGCCTGGCGATACCATCACGATGGAATCCGAACGAATGCAGTGTGTCCGGGAGGTATGAAGCTTGCAATACGGCTTTGCTGGGTCATTTTCTCACCTTTTGTTTGCAGGAGTTCCTACTAATATCAAAGATTCCATCCGGAAAGAGAACTTGGACCAAGAATCCTTGAGTATCATGACGTACGAATTGCCTTCCGTGGCCCTGTCCTGATCCATCTCGGCAGTCTCATACATGGACAGATGAGCTGACTTTAGAGAAATAGGCCATTCCATCAGTTGAATCACGCCCGCGACGGAAGTCAGAGTATCTCCACAGATGACATTGCGAATATGATCCTTTTCCTTTCGGTCGAAGCATCCCGAAATGTCAACGGGGTCATAGTCCCCGTGGATAATGCGTGGAGCGCCTGCTGAGCATCCGCCTTAGGCCATCCTCCCATGTTCGAAACAAGAGTAATACCTCCAAGGAAAATCAGATGCCAGCGGCCTCGTCGAGGTGGGTGGCTTTGTGGAGCATTCCGCAGTCCAGCCACTTGGGCACATCTCCGCAGGCGGAAAAGGATAGCCGATGCCAAACGCATGGCGGAATATCGGCGGAAATCACGGCGGAATAGAAGCCAATGAGCTTTTGGCGGATCTAGAGCTGCCGGAGCCCACAATGCAATAGAGCCTGGCGAGTGAAACGAGCAATTTGACTCAAGGCCAATTCCTGACTCCTGTCTTTGCATTACCCATCCCGGTTCGTACGGGCGTTTTCTTTTTGTAATGGCCCGATTCTAGTCGATTGATCTCATTAGGCACGACTTCACGTGCACATTGGCTCACATGGATACCTCGGCGCTTTCTGTCATAATTGGCACATAATTTGCTTGGGTAGGTGGCACTTCATCAAGGCTACGGCAAATTCCTTGCGGTGCCTCTCAGAGAAGTCCGGTGAAGATGCTAAGCATCGACGAAGTGCGAAAGCATAATTATCAAGAGTCTTGCTGGGTCATCATCCATGGATTTGTGTATGATCTTTCTGACTTCTTAGACAAGCATCCAGGTGGTGCAGCGTCAATTCTGAGATATGCAGGCAAGGTATGTTGAGCTCAGAGCTGAGCAGTCAGACATGGTTTTGAAGTGGGCTAAGAAGTGCGCAGGATGCAACCGAGGAGTATGATTCTATCCATCCACCCAATACAATCGACAAGGCGCTACCGAAAGGTACCTGTATCAAGTCCGTGACCGAATGGATGGTTACTAATATGGGACAGACAGACATCTCGGTCAAGTAGAACAGCCCGTCGCGGAGACCGGGAAAAGGGATGCCAAAGTTGATGGCGTGAGCGGTGTGAAAAGGCAAGGCCTTCTGCCTATTGAAACCTGTCTCAACTTGAATGATCTGGAGCTTGCAGCAAAAGACGTCCTCTCTGAACGCGCATGGATATACTACTCATCTGCAGCGCAAGACCGGCGGACCCTCGGTCATAATCTGGATGATTGGAAGCGAATACGTTTCCGACCGCGGGTCATGAGGAATGTGAAAAAGGTCAACACTCGCCGAACCATTCTGGGCTTTCAAAGTAGCCTCCCATTCTTCATTGCACCCTGCGCATTGGCAAGACTGGGTAATCCAGATGGAGAACTGTGTCTTGTACGAGGGGCAGCTCGAGCCAATATTCCATATTGTCCCAGCAACTCTGCATCCGTCTCCCACGACGCGCTCGCAGATTGCCTTGCTTCAGAGGGGAGCGGCGGATGTCTCTTCTTTCAACTGTACGTGAAAAGATCTCAGAAAGAGACTCTCGACAGCATCCGCCGTGCCCGAGACCTGGGATACAAAGCGCTCGTCATTACTGTGGACACAAACGTGGTTGGCATCAGAGAGGACGACGACAATTTCAAGATACGGGAGGCTCTGAAGAACGGTCAGCAACATCTCAGCCCTTGGAGGGCCGCGTGGTCCAATCCCGATCCCGACGCAGTGCTGCGCGCACCTCACTCATCAACACTAAACTGGGAAGACTTGCACTGGATCAAGGACGCATGGCAAAACGCCGGACCTATATGCCTGAAAGGGATCTTGGCGGCCGAGGATGCACAAATCGCTTGTGACTATGGCGTCGATGCTATCTACCTGAGCAACCACGGCGGACGGCAGCTGGATTCGGCAACTTCTGCCCTGGCAGTGTTGATGGAGATTCGACGATTGTGTCCTGAAGTATTGACCAGATGTCAGGTCCTCCTAGATGGCGGTGTCCGCAGAGGAGGAGACATTCTGAAAGCTCTTTGTCTCGGGGCTGCCGGCGTCGGGCTGGGGCGACCCTTCATGTACGCTCTCAGTGCCTATGGTACGGAAGGCGTACACAAGGCCATCGAAAGTAAGTTCATGTTGTCGACGGGCCACCATAACACCTATTTCCTGAAACCCTCTGACATTTCAATGCCCACCTGAATTGCACGCTAACTCTATTCTTTGAGGGACAGTGCTCAGCGACGAAATCGAGACTGGAATGCGGCTATTGGGCGCCACGAGTCTGGATGACCTGAGTTCTTGTATGGTGAATACGCGCGAATTGGAGATTCTAGTTGCCCAAGGTATCCCAGAATGGGAGAGCGGCAAGAGCAGGCTTTGAATTTCAATTTCGAGTTCCAGTATATGTTGTACAAATCAATATACACTATCTCCTGGAAATACATTCAAAAGGACCAGGAAAATGTTCTGATGACAGTCAGATCTTTGAGGGCCAATCACGGTCTCGTGGTAAAATTACTCTGCAGTTACTATGTCCATGAGTTATGCAGATGTGTGCTTCATATTGTATCTTTATCCACTATGAAGTTCGGACACATGTGCAAATTCTGCGCGAGGAGGAGGATTCTACTAGCTCGGCGGAAGTCTAGAAACATACATCAAGTTAGTCTCTTGTATAGACTGAGAAGTGCCTGTTGGAGCATGCTTCCCACTGTCGAGAGTAAATCCATCGGCGTGATGGCTTCGTCAAGACCTAGAACAACGCTATTGAAACTTCGTTGTACCAGATACCCCCTTGGTGTCTCCTCGATGTCAGACGATTCGCCTGGTTCTCCCGTATCCTTGCCCCTTGCAGGGTTAATTCCGGCTCCACAAACCTCTGGCCTGCCAGCGTCGCGAAGATTTCCATTTTCCGCAGGTCAGAAGTTCCGGGAGTCCATGGGTCAGGTTCCATTACTGCATAAGAGACTAACTAAGCCCGTATTTTAGTTCTCTTTTCTTTTCCGTTGATGGAGGGGTGCCTGATGGAGCCCATCAGCTCACGAAAGCGACCCGCCTCTACCCCGCAACCCCGTTGTCCACGTTAACAATCTGCATTGTCTGGATCGCGGAAAGCCCAGGGGTCAAAGTCCCTTGCTCGAAGCTCCCCTGCATTATTTTTCCCCGCATACCTGTGTTTGTTTCACTCTCAGTTCTTCATTCCTTGTCACACGGTATCTTTCTACTGAGGGCAGGAATCGCGCCCACCGCTCGACTTGGGGTTTCCAATTGTCCTTTGCGCAACAACAGCTCAGACCATGACTCCTTGCACTACAGATCCGCAATCTCGAGCCTCTGCGGCATGTACCGCCTGTCGCAATCGGCGCACAAAGGTTGGTTGTGGAAGATCTCTTGATAAGACTCTTCCATATTGACGAATAGGTGATATAGTGCATCGTGGACCTCGGACAAACATCCTGCGACTATTGCCAAAGCAAGCGCATGGACTGCACCTTCCAGGCGCTCGATGATCGTAAGAGGTATGTTGCAGCCGCACATTGTCAATAGTTCGCCCTCGGAGCCCGGGTCTGACTGTAGTAGACCAAAGTCCAAGGTTTACCTAAACTCACTGCTCGAAAATATCCAAAATCTTGAACAACGACTACGGGAGGCTGGACACGAGCCTCCCCAATTCCAGCATAACGTCACCCAAGCTCAAAAGCCAATGCAGCAGCATCGTCGAAGCATGACTCTGAATGACGAACAATCTTCCAAAAGTACACGTTCAATGATCGAGAAGTCTCGGACTCTGTCTTTCAACCGCGCTGAAGAAGACTCATCACACAGAGGGTTCGAGGAAGAAGTCATACATGGCTCACCTGCTTCAGCAGATGCCGCCTTAGAGACTGTTCGAGATGAATCTGCTCTTGATACAACCAAATGTCAGAATTCAGTGCGCCAACGAAGCGCTTCTGAACCATATCAGCTCAACAACGGACAGAGTACAGTCTGGAGTCTAATCTATGGCCCTGACCGGTTTATATATGACAGAAGGAAAGGCCGTATCCACTACTTTAGTCCTTCGACCTGCTACAAGAGATATCAAAGTTCCGACGACCAAGCACTCCTTGAGCCGTCGCCCGTGGATAAGCACTCTTACAAAATAATCGCGGATCTCCCCACAGATTTAGAGAGCTATCTCATGGACCTCTTCTGGAGACGATACAACAGCACGCTATTTGTCGTTGATCAACAGCCATTCTGTAATGATCAAGCCAGTGGAGGCTCAACGTACTACTCTGGTTTCCTCCATCTTGCCTGCCTGGCCATGGGTTTTCTATTTGCAGACAAGACCCGCCTGGGCATGCAACAAGTGACCCTCAGCGACAACTGCAGTGTTTTCCAGCGAGAAGCTAAATTTATTCTGGATAGGGAGCTCGAAGATCCTCAGGGTCTTCCTATCATCCAAGCCATGCTAGTCTTGAGCGATGTGGAATGTGCCTACGGCAGGGATGATCTGGCGGCAATGCACATAGCCACTTCCTGCCGTCTTGCTTTCGATTTCGGACTCAACCTGGACTGTTCAAGATTTGGACTGTCTGAGGCCGAGATAAAATTTCGGAAAGGCTTACTGCGTTCGTGCTTGATATACGATCAGGCTTGGGCGTTATATATGGAACGGCCAACCAACATGAAAATTGCCGACATTTCCAGCTCCTGCCTGGCCAACCGCATCTCTCACGTCGTAAACGGAGCTGCAGTATTACAGGGGAAGTCGATGAATGAGTCGGTACCTTCGCACGAAGATCTTCACGGACAGATATTGGATGCCTTGCTTGAGCTTTCGGAGCTCAGTTCGAGGATCCAGGCCCTAGCACAGCCAAGGCTTACGTTTGGGAGAATTGCCGATGAAGATCGCTTGATAGACGTCGCAGCGTTGGATGCAAAGTTGAAGGCTTGGTATTCCAACCTTCCTCGACGTCTTACGTGGACGGAAGAAAATATCAGAGATGCGCCACGTCTCTTCTTTATAATGCAGTAAGTCGTTCGTTGGAACGTTGTTTTCTCTCGAAATTTACACCCTGTTTGTGAAATTTGCTACCTCTTAGCCCAGATCTGACACAACCTTTATCTACCTCTTATGGTTTTGGCTGACAATGTGCCAAGCCAGCAATTCTATGTCGCTCAAGTCAATCTTCATGGGCCATACGGACGCTACGAGGACGCGCTTGGAGTCGAGCTCGACAAGTCTCAAGTATATGGCAGAAGCGCCGGTGATGACGGTGATGTTGGCGCCTTGCAGCATCTGGCTCGCTCTATCACAATGAACGCAGCCATGAAGATTTCCCAAGGCTTTTCGACCTACCGGCAAAGGTTCGGCACTTGCGAGACAGGCGTCTTCTCTCTTCAACAGGGGGGGACCGCTCTCCTGGCGTTGATGTCTACCACCAAAGTCAGTAAAGAGGCAGGAAAACGCAACTCTGGACTGAACCATCTTTACATGCTGACAGAGCAACTGCGAGAGATGGCTCAGGTCTATAGTCCAGCCGAGGTGATGTGCCGGGTCGTCAAGCATGAGATGGACCGGCTCGAGATCGACTTCAATGATTTGCCGACACCACCCGATACGCCCATACATCCCTCCTCACCGTCAACAGAGAAGATCGGCCGACGGCCCAGCTCTCAGTATCCTTCGCACTCAGACCCTGCAACGAAGCGACGACGTTTATCAAATCATCCGGATCGTTCTACAACCACCAACGCACCGCATCAAGACACTGCTCTGAATCAAACCACATCCATGTCCGAGATAAGCTCCTCAGACCAACATAGTGCTGCGAGAGTTCAGGTTTCTGCGCCACAAGCGCTAGGCTTGTCTCAGGACCAATCTTCTGCGACACTGCCCACCGATGTCCTCGAGCCTTTAGATCCCATTCCTGATCCCATTATCGATCTGAACGACATTCAATCCTCTTCTTGGTCGGTAGGCCTGTCTGACATCTCAACACTATTCGACTTCCAAGGCCACGACCAGATAGTCGACGATATGCTCCTCCCTTTTTGCCCAGATACTCACTATCTACCGCCGGAAAGTGACATGAACCTGAGGACTATGCCGGATGCTATGCGATACGGATAGTTTCAATCCTAATTTGCGAAAGACGGCCATGTGGATGCCGCAGGTTGCGTAAATGTGCATATAACAAGGACTGCTCTGTTAGTCTGGCTACGTGGCTGCTGAAATATACACCTTTATACCCAGAGACAATCAACTCAGGCACCCGGCTGCGTCACATAGTATCCCAAGTCCCGCACCTGCTCCTCCCTGCTTGTCTTGCCGTTACCGAAATAAGAAAAGCGGTTACCCGTTGTATATTTGATGTCCCAGTCCTCCCACCGCGGCTCCGCCATCGCTTCCAGGAAATGTAGCGCGCTCCCGGGCCATGGTCCCCAGACCTTGCCATCGACTTGACCGTTCTTGTACCACGATCGACAACCACTGGTCCATGTTAAATCTTTCATCAAAGAGTCCTTGTACTCTTGGAAGTCGTCGACTGCCTCCTGCTTTGGCGAAACGGATTTGATTCCTTGCCGCTGCACCTTGGCAACTAGCTCGAAGATGTAGGACATGGTCCGCTCGAGGCACGGCACGAATGTGCCATTTGCAAGAGGACAGTTTGGGCCGGTTGCAACTTCGTTAATAGCCTTTGTCAGAAGAATCTCTCAGGAGAGGCCAAAGAGCGCGCTAGGCATGAAATACTCACAGAAGAAGTTCGGGAAGCCAGGTGCGGCGATGGAGAGGTAGGACTTGGGCTCATCTTTCCAGACCTCTCTCAGTTCATCCTGTTCTCCCACGACAGTGAAAGCAGGTCGAAAGGATGTATCGAATCCCGTAGCGCACACAATAGCATCGATGTCCGTATAACGTGTCCCATCCTCCATCTCCAGACCGTCTGGCGTGATGTGCAGAATCTGTCCGGTTTCCACCGTCACATTATCTGCAGCAAGGGACTCGAGATAATTGTGCCCAGGAGTAACTCTAAGCAGAACGTTGAGCACTGGGGTCATCGATCCCAAACGAAAGGGATTACGCAAGGATTTCCACCTACCTCCGACATCCCACTGCAAAGTTCGGGACAAGCTTGTCAGCGAGGTACCCTTTGTCCCCCAGCCTCTGTTTCATACTAGCACGGAAATGCTGCATTGCGTCCTTTTGTAGCTGGGACTCTTTGTAGAACAGGTCAAAGACCTGGTTCATGGTGGTTTCGACCCGTTTTCGATACTCCAGGAACCCCTTGGGATCACTTGCCCAGGCGGATTTCTGCTGCTCAGTGAACACTTGCTCGCGACCCTCGGGAGCAAACTCTTGGCCAAATTCGGGAGTGATCCAGGTTGGGGATCGATTGAACGATATCAGGTGGCTCGCAACTGGGTATCGAGAGGAGGAGTCAGCTAGAACAGGTGTGATGATAATCTGGCTAGCACAGGCGGATAAATGATCTACATACCAGCGCGTAGAATTGGCACGATTTGAATAGCCGACGAACCATTTCCAATCACTGCAACCTTTTTCCCCGTGAAATCAAATGAGTCGTCCCACCTGGCGGAGTGGACCTTGTGGCCCTTGAAGGTATCGAGGCCGCGAATGTCAGGCCATTTCCACTTACTGTGCCACTTTCATTTAGCTCGTCTTCAGGAGGAGGACTGTCCTCTTCGATGGGGCCCTCTCACTCACTTGAGAAATCCAGTTGCATTGATAACCACTTCAGCCTGGTCAGTGAAAGTGCGTGACTGGGCCAGGTCCTCCACCTCGAGCTGCCAAACGCCCTGCTTCCTGTCCCAAACAGCTCCGACAACGCGGTGATTAACGCGTAAAAAGTCATACACTCCGTATGCTTTGGCACGTCCCTGGTAATATTCGCATATCTCTGGAGCCGTCACATAGGCTCGAGACCAATTCGGATTGCCTTCCCACGAGAATGTGTATCCGTGTGCCGGGACATCACAGGCGCAGCTGGGTGTATTCACAGTGTCAGCATCAAAGCACCTCGTTTCAAGCCGGCCTTGGCTCTCAGAACACGCACCCTGGATATCTATTCTCTAGCCAAGTTCCGCCTACATCGGCATTTTTCTCGTATATCGTCAGACTGACCGGGAGACCTTGGAAGCGTTCTTTGAAAAGCTTGACTGCGGCGATACCTGCGATGCCTGCTCCGATGATGATAATCCGTAAAGCACGAGGCTCACCGAGTACATGCTTTGGGTATTCGAACTCTTTGGGGGTAACATGGTTGCCGTTCACTTCTGTTGCGGCGGTGGGAGTCTCTGAGACGGAGCCGAGCGTGCTGCCCTGAGATATTGCCATTTCTGCAAGCCGTAACAGATATTGTGGATGTAATCCGAATCAGGGGTCCAAGGTGTCAAGATATCTGACGATAATAGTCCCGAAAGACGGGTCAGTTGGGTCAGGGCGCCAGTTAATCTCTAGGAAGGCACGACATTCAGCTACATCGGAATGTTCCTCGGTGGTGTTTCGAAAGCATTTCTCCGCCAATACTACACTTCATCGTCTGGAATCTGATTTAGAAGTCGGTGGATGACTTTGACTGAGTAACGATGGAAATTCCCGTGATTGGGTGAATCTCGGCGCTGCAACATCTATTCAATGGAATGCCGCGCTGCAAGTAATCCAGGCCCTGGGCGGAGTAATCGCTCTTCACCCTGCAGTACTACAAATGATCAAACTTGCAGAGGCGGAAATACGCGGAACGTGAGAGTACTACTAGTCTCTCATTGCGGTGTAGACTCTTTGGGATATCTTGGAGAACTATAGCCTCTGCAGTGCGGAAGGTCCTAACCCTTAACCTTGTCTTCGGAGATCTCCAGAACCCCCTTTTTGATTGTGCCACCTGGAATACCGGAAGTGGCCCTAACGGTTCGAAGTCATACAGCAGGAAATAACCAAGCCAGAGCCTGTTGGTATCCGAATTTACATAATTCCAGAAGATCGTCAAGGCGAAACTACGAGTTCAGGCTGCGAACCTGGGCTTAAACAGTCTAGCTTGAAACAGTGAATAACTAGAATGGCTTCTCTGGATGGTAAAGTGGTGAGTGAAGTTCTCCCGAAACCACCTGAAAGGAAAGCTGTCAAAAAACAAACTAAATCTTGCTCAGGTTGCCTTGACGGGCGGTGCCAGTGGCATTGGTCTGGAGACTGCTAAGCTCCTTGCGGAGCGTGGGGCAGTTTTGTCCATCGCAGACGTCAATCAGCAGGGTCTGGACGATGCTCTCAAGGCTCTCAAGGGAGAGAAACATATCGCCACTGTCGTCGACGTGCGCGACGGCGTCCAAGTTGAGAACTGGATTGAGAAAACAAGGCAGCAATTCGGCAGATTGGACAGCGGAGTAAACCTTGCTGGTGTGGCGCGGATGCAGGCGCCCATCACACAAGGGACCGACGACGACTGGGACTTCATGATGGGCGTCAACGGCAAAGGCGTCTTTCACTGCATGAGAGAGCAGTTGAAGCATATGACAAGTGGAGGAAGTATCGTGAGTCCCTTTTGATATGTCCACTCCCTCCCTCCACGGAAAAAGCGACTTGCTTCGATCCATATTCGATCGAGAAAGCAGTGTGTCGAGTTCTAAAACTTTTTTCAGGTCAATGCTGCAAGCATCCAGGGAATGATAGGTTGCGCAAACACGTCCATCTATGCGGCCTCCAAGGCCGTGGTCATCAGTATGACAAAATCGGTGGCCAGAGAAGTAGGTCCACGCAATATCAGAGTCAACTGCATTGCTCCAGGTAAGCTAGACATAAATCTCTGCTCATGCCTCCAAGTTCAACATATGTGCGTTCATGGATGGTTACTGTCACATTGTCTTCGCTATCCGTCAATGACGCTGACAGAACCGTGTACTATCTCAATAGGCGTCGTCAAGACCCCTTTACTGGACCCATTCGAAAAAGGTGGTCAAAAGGTCCCTACTACTATGCAGTGCTTTGACAGACAGGCTCATCCCATAGAGATCGCCCGAGTCATTGCTTTCCTCGTGAGCGATGAGGCATCCTATGTCACTGGCAGCAACTACCCAGTAGATGGCGGCACGACGGCCTGAAGTTGAAAGGGAAGGAAGTCTAACATATGTGGTCCATGCATAGCGGTGTTGTCCTGCCCCATTGTCGAGACCTAGCTTGAATTACATGATTGAAGGCTTCTCTGCTGTGTTTTCATTGAGGCTATCTCCTACCACTGATTGCTGTGGTCTTCGTATTGACTGTGGTGTCAGGATCTAGTGTCTTGTTTACTCATGCAGTTTGATCCAGCTGATGTGTCCGCTTTGAGAACCAGGCGTGCCGCGGACCTATTTCAGAATGATCGAGACAATCTCAAGGTCCTGGGAGAGCAAGATCTAGACTCCTTGATCAGTAGATGCGCCTGGCAGTTGCTAGGTACATGGTCGATGGGGACTTGCCAGCTTTACCCCAGGACCAAGCCTACTGCCAGGGGGAGTTCATGCTAAAATAGGTTAGATGAATTTTTCGTTGCCAATCATAGTATTTTCCGCCATTCCTCGAGCTCCACATCAAGATTTCCGTCTTTTCCGATGCCGGCCAAAGGAGGTACCTAGGTGGTAGCGTTGTTGGCAGGTGTGGGCCTACGGGGCACTGGGGTCAATTCGACCTACACATTCCCCACGGGGTGATCGTGGATAAGCGCAGATTCCAGAGTATGGAACGCATATTGCAGCCATCACGAGCCCCTGGCGGTCCTTTGTAAAGCTCTTCAATTGATATGTCAAGGCTGCTCAGTTTAAAATTACCGCTAAAAAGGGGGAGTTTGAATGCAGAACTCGATCCTTCAGGATACTCCACGAGTACTTGACAAGATATGCCTTTCGCTTTTTGTTTGATGGCTCACAACCAATCCCATAGGTATGGCAGCGAGCTTCAGCAAAAGTCGTACGCGTAATCTATCGACCACCAAATAGAGGATTTCTTTGATTGGGAACCACACGCTAGGCGGAAACGGCGGACACGGCTTGAGATAGCTTGAACTTATCGTGCGGAATGAGGGGCCTCGACCACAACCTTTGAGAAACGTGAGCGAGGTCTACGGTACACCTGATATTAGCATAAATCTTCTTTACTCACTGTACAAAGCTTTACTATTCCCCATATCTTTCGATAGTCTTGACGGATGCTGTCGTTTCTCATCGATTAGTTTGATTAAATTGATCAATTGATTAACTCAAGTTCGTAACCACTCCTCCTCATTCAGGAAGTATTGTCACTCCGTCTACTCAAGATGGTGAACAGAGGCCAAGATGTGTCGCCGCCGACAGTGGAGGCGCAATCGATCGAGCCAACAATCTCGGTGGAGAGGCGAAAGCGCCATTTCGGGCCCAGGATGATCTTCAGCGTGGTCATCATGTGTATGGGGACCCTCACTTATTCCTACGGCGCGGGAGTCATCGCAACCACCATTGGACAGCCGTCGTTCTACGCCTACATGAAGCTCGACAACGGTGCTCGGACATCCTCAATTATCGGTGCCACAACATCGCTTTACTATGCCGGCGGTATCTTTGGTGCCTTTGGCGCCAATTTCGTCGCGGACCGCTGGGGACGCAAGGCTTCGATCTACACTGGCGCCCTCACTTCGCTTGCTGCAGCGGCTCTCTGCGCCGGCTCCGTTCACATTGCCATGTTCATTGTCTTCCGGTTTCTGTACGGAGTTGGCGGCTTTATGTTGTTGATGACGGTCCCTCTGTGGATCACCGAGGTTGTGCCAGCAGAGGTTCGCGGCGCGTTCGCTCAGTGCCACGGGGTGTGCACATCTCTCGGTTATTTCCTCTCCAGCTACGTGGGTGTGGGATTCTACACGAACGGATCTCTCAAAGGGGGGCAGGATTCCTGGCGAGGCCCGCTAGCCATCGGCGCTATTCCGCCCATCCTCTTCCTCTGCAGCCTGTGGTGGGTGCCCGAATCACCTCGATTTCTGCTGCTGAAGGAACAAACTACCAAGGCCTGGGAAATCGTGCGCAGGTTCCACTCGGCGCCGGGAGACACAGATCACCGCTACGCACAGATCGAGATGTTTCAGATGAAGAACCAGATCGAGTTGGACCGCACTCTCCCTACCTCTTGGCTCTTCATGTTCAAGACGCCGTCGATGAGGAAGCGCATGTGCATGACTATCTTCATCGTTTTTGCAGTCTTGTCTAGTGGGAACCTCTGCATCGCCACCTATGCTACAGTGATCATGAGTCACTCCGGCTGGGATTCACTGGCGCAGTTGAACATCCAAGCTGGAATGATGGCAGCTGTTATGCCCGGTATCTTTGCTGCCATATTCTTCACCGAGAAATTTCGACGCCCGACAATGGTCATGATCGGTCTCCTCGGAATGACTGTTGTCCTCTCCTGTTACACAGGCGTGGCCGCAAGCGTCAATCTGGACGCCCAACACAAGGCAGCCCAAATTGCGTGCGTCGCCTTGCTCTATCTTTTCCAAATTTTCTCGGCCACCTTCACGGAAGGACCATTGTCATATTGGGCAGCCGAGTTCTATCCCACACACCTACGTGCCCGGGGTCAGACCATCCAGGTAGTGAGCTATGGTGCCTTCAGCATTCTCTGGGGCCAGTCCGGACCCACGGCGATTTCTAATATTGGCTGGAGGTTCTTCCTAGTGTTTATCTGCATCACGGTCGTGACTTCCTTCGTCATCTACTGGTATTTTCCCGACACTCAGGGCAAGAGTCTGGAGGAGATGGCTCTTTTGTTCGGTGATGATGACCTGGTGGTTGTCCGGCAACAGGATATCCACATCGACGCCGATCATCACCTCGTGGGTACAGTGCACAAGGACAAGGAGGGACAAGCCATCATCGTGAACTTGGAGGATATCAACGATGCTAGAGAGTCAGCATAGTCAGCTGCCTTGTGTTCAACCTTGCGTGTCGGGTATCTCAGACAAAAATGGTCATCCCAGTGTGTTGGAGTGTCAATCGTATGGTAGAGTGACGTGAGATAGAGAAATGCCCTGCGGAACAGTCTGTCTGATCGTGAGGTGATTACCAAGGTAGTTATCAAGAGAGCTTTACGACAAGCGTTTCTCACATTCCTTCCACGTGGACGATCTCCCCCTCGTGCCCCTTCCACTTCGACCTATTGCATTAATTGATAGCTTTCAGGTTCTTCCGCAGATGATATGTTCAGTATTGTACGAAAGAGCCGGCCGGATGAAGACATCCTCTTTCTTTTGTTGATTGCTCCGCTCAGGCTCAATTATACCGATCACTCCTATAACAGTCTTCACACTACTTACGTATCTTGCCTCCTTGATCTTATCTGTTGTCCCAGTCTGTCAATATCTGCGCGAGAGCTTCAACACAACATCTTCATCACCTCAGCTCGGTGCTGGACTTTCCGACCTGAGATTAAAAAGATAGAGGAGGGGCTGTACACACTCATTCTGAACAACTCTCTGCCCGTGCCGCAACAAACACCATGATGGACGTGCAATCGATTTCCGATCACCTGGAAATCACCCAGCGCATGATGCTCTGGCCCGAGATAGTCGACAGCATGTCTCTCGACCGGCTGCCCGAGCTGTTCCTGCCCGACCTTGTCTGGGACTTTGGCAGCGGGACCGTTGACCACAGTCTCGCGGCGGTGAGATCACGGATCGAAGCGCACTTCGACAAGCCGGGCTCGTACTGCGGCGCCACTCGTCACGACCTCTCCAACCACACAATCACGTTGGCTGGCAATGGCGACCAGGCTGAGTCCAAGGTCAACGTCTTCGCAGCGCACGCCGGCAAAGGGCCTTACACCGGACAAGTCCAGCTTACCTGGCTCACGTATCAGGACAAATGGAGGCGGGTGGGAGGCAAATGGTATATCGAGCATAGGACGTATCGCATCCAGTTCACCCATGGGCCTGATGATATCGTATACAGCACTGGGAGGGAGACTTGGGCGGAAGGCGATCATCGTCGTGAAGGGTGATGTGGATGCTCATCAGCTTTGATGGTGGCAGAGTGTCACGGAAGGCGAAGGCGCTGGCTTTGTACTTGGCACAACAGATGGTATTCGTTACGCTCTCAAAAATCTAGCTACAACCAATTCATTCATCGACCACGCTTGCGCCTGCCACAGAAGCAATGCTCTATCATTCAGATGTAAACATCGGGGTATAGAGACAAATACTTGCACATCATATCGAAGAGAACTCGCACAGTTTCTATCCAGACCGGCGCTAAGAGCTCCCTCCCCCCTCCCAAAAGAAGCCACTGATCCGACAGATTCTACACTAGTCTGAGTTCTTCATTCGGACATTGCATTAAAACTAAGCATACACTCCGGAGAACGCCATCTCCCCAAATGCTCGGAATCCTTAGCTCCCTATGAGACTACAAATGCCAGTCGTCTCCTTTTGTTCTTGCACTTGGCATCTTTTCAAAGACCAAAGATGAATTCCGCCTACTCGAGGAGCTCATCCTCAACTCTTGATCTGGATGGAAAGTTTCCGCCAGACACTGCATGTGCGCGTGCTTCATCAGCGTATCACTTTGATTGGCGGAGTCTATCAAGGGTAAGTGGGTGGACTGAGATTCGAGGAGGGAGTTTGCAGATAAGGCGGATATACCGTAGCCTAATCAACTCCGCCCAAGGCTTAGCTGGGAAATGCAATGCTCGAAAGCAACATGCTCAAAACGAAGCCGCATCAAGAGTATGGTATGTATGAGACACAGTCTATCATTCTTGTCACGAGCATACCACACCCAGAAAAAAAACAGAGACTATTCCCTGTCTTCCCCAAACTGCTCGATTGCATTTGTCGAACACCCATATCAACAATATGGGATCCATGAGCCCTGAGAAAAACTGGGAGGTGATGATCGTCGGCGGCGGGTTTGGCGGCATGTATCTCCTGCACAAGCTGCGTCAGTTCGGGTTCGACGTGCACCTGTACGACGCGGCGAGCACGTTCGGGGGCACCTGGTACTGGAACTGCTACCCGGGCGCCCGGGTCGACTCGATCGTGCCGACATACCAGTTCTCGTCCGACGAGACGTGGGACCAGTGGGAGTGGAGCGAGGCGTACCCAAAGCGCGAAGAGCTCGAGGCCTACTTCGCGCACGTGGGCAAGCTGTGGAATCTGCACGCGGACGCGACGTTCAACTCGCGCGTCGTGAGCGCGCACTGGGACGTGTCTCACAAGGAATGGGTGTGCGAGATCTCGAACGATCAGGAAAACACGACGACCATCGTCAAGACGCGGATACTGCTCTTCTGTGCGGGTCTCGCGGCCGTGCCGTACAAGCCGCCCTTCAGGGGAGTCGACGACTTCCAGGGAACAATCTACCACACATCGCGATGGCCGCGCCAGGGAGTTGATCTCAAGGGGAAGCGGTGCGCCGTGATCGGCACCGGAGCCACGGGAGTCCAGGTGATCCAAGAAGTCGGCCCCGTCGCCTCGCGGCTTACCGTGTTTCAGCGGACGCCGAACATGGCACTACCAATGGATCAAGCGCCGCTGAGTCGAGAAGAGAACAACAAACTCAAAAAGGAAATGCCCGAGATCAAGGAGCTCGCCAAAGCCACCTGGGCCGGATTCTTGTACTCGTGGCACGACAAGGCCGCGATGGAGGACAGTCCCGAGGAGCGCGAGCAGTTCTACGAGGAGCTGTGGAAGAGAGGTGGCTTCGGGTTCTGGGTGGGCAACTACAAGGACACCTCGTTCACGCACGAGGCCGCCGACGCGGCGTACGCTTTCTGGCGCAAGAAGACGGCCCCCTTGATCCAAGACCCGTACAAGAGGGAGAAGCTCTGTCCCGAGAAGGCGCCCAACCCGTTCGGCACGAAGCGCATCTCACTGTACAGGACGTACTTTGACGTCTTCAACCTCCCCACCGTGGACCTTGTTGACGTCAACGAGAACCCGATCGACGAGATCACCGTCAGGGGGATCAAACTCCAGGACGGCACCGAGATCGAACTGGACGTCATCATCTTCGCCACAGGCTTCGACACCATCACGGGCGGCCTCACGCACGTCGACATCCGCGGGACGGACCCGTCCTTCACGCTGGGCGACAAGTGGAAGAAGGGCTGCCAGACGTACTTGGGCATGTGCAGCAACGGATTCCCCAACCTGTTCTGGGTCTACGGCCCGCAGTCGCCGGGCCCGTTCTCCATCGGTCCCAACTGCATCGAGTACCAGGGTGACTGGCTCACGGACATGCTGCGCGATCTGCGCCGGGACCGGGTCACCACGATCGAAGCCACGCTCGAAGCCGAGCAGAAGTGGAGGGAAGGCATCCTTGCCGCGGGCGAGATGGGTCTCTTCAAGTACGCAAAGAGTTGGTGGTTTGGCGCCAACATCCCAGGAAAGCCCAGAGAGTGTTACAACTACATGCTGGGCATGCCGCAGTACAGGAAGACATGTGGCGAGGTTAGGAAGAATGGGTACGAAGGGTTCCAGCTAAAGCAGGGCTAGGCTAGGTCGCGACGTCACGTCGTTGGACAGTGCATACCGACATTGTATATAGGACACGGGCAATTTTCACTCGAGACTTGGGACTTGAATGATTCCTCCAAGCCTCGTGCACGAATGAACGAAAATAATCCGATTCCCCATGTTCAACCTTCCTTCCCGCCCTCTCGATGCCATGAGGGACTAGTTCATCATGAACAAAGAGGTATCAACCCTCCCCTCTAAGTCAAGCCTCCCACCCCTTCGACGCCAAAAGCTTCTTAACCCACGCCGCAGACTGTTTGAAGTACTTCGTCGTGGCTTCCAACTGGGGAAACGTGTAGAATCCATGAGGCAGGCCCGGGAAAAGCTCGATGTCGACGGGAATGCTAGAAACCAAAGAGTCAGCCAGAGGAATTATTAACCTGCAGCCAGATTGCTTTTGCGTCGTCCAGAAAAGCAGCAGCCTTGACGAGTCACTGAGGACCTACCCTGCTTCTTTCAACCTGTCGGCATATGCGAATTCTTCGTCGCGTAGTGGATCCAGACCACTTATTTGGATTACTAGAAGCGAAGGTTTCCCCTCAGGGTCGGGGTTAGCCAGGCACATCCTCCCAAGGCAAGGAGGCAATCTCATCTGAGGCCGTAGACTCCCGACGGAAATATAACCCACACGCAGGAGGCAAGCCCTCAACCTTCTCCACCAACAGTGGATTCGCATAAACATCCGCTCCAGTATTGGGATAATACTCATCCCAACACCTCAACATATTCTCCTCCCCCAAGATCGACGAATACTTATTCTGTTCGAAACTGTTATACTCGAACCCCTTGTCGCGGGGGAAGTATTTCGGGTGACACAGGACGGGACTGTTGAGGAGCTGGCCGATAATCCCGTCTTCGTGGTTATCCCGCGCCATGATGGGCAGGACGGCGGCCATGTTGCCGCCCGCGGAGGAGCCGCAGGTTATGATCATGGAAGGGTCGATGCCTAGGGTTGAGGCGTTGGTTTTGCACTATTCCACAGAAGGCAATTAGCACTTGTATTGGAGCAGCGAAGGGTGGTTCTCTTGATATGATGTAGGTGCTGGGATGCGAGGACAAGCTGTGAATAGAGAGATCACAACCAAACAGGATGTTTCTGGTGCCATGCACAAGAATGCGAAATCATTCCTTTCTCATCAGGCTTGCTGATCAGGTCGCGCGACCCTGCGAGGCTGGAATTGTCAGGGGTCAAGGGCCCATCAGTCAACGATACCATTTTGAGCATCTCGTGACAAAATCCCATCACCTCCGAGAGCGAAATGATGTTGCCATCTCGTGGAAATAATAGCTCGAAGTTCACAAAATGCAGGGACGGTGTGTAGAGTAAAGTATGCACATGGTTGCAACTCACCCATATGAATGCATCGTAGTAATCGTTGATCTGCTGCGGGAAGCGGTACTTGGGCGCTCTAAAAAATCCCACCTTAGCCCTGCCTTCACGATCAAACACACCATAACTCCTCATGATACTCACAGTCTATACTCAACACTAACCACCACCGCGCCGGTTTCTTTCGCCGTGTACCGACAAACGCCCTCCTCGACAGCATGGTCGCCCATCATCCATCCGCCACCATGCGCAACCAACATCATCGGCGCTCTCTTCCCCCTTTCGCCCATCCTCTCTAGAATCTCCTTGTTCTTGTAAATCTTGAGCTCCGCCTCGTGGCCGTCCCTGAAGGGAATCGTCTTGAAAGTCACCTCCAAATCCATGGGCGTGCCTTCCGGCATGACGAGGGGGTTCGACAGCCATGCTTCCTGGTACTGAGAGGGAGGCAGGTCCCAGAAGATGCGGAATCGGGCGTCGCATTCTTGTTGGATGGGGAGCCAGACGGGGTCGATCTGGGAGAGCCAGGCGTACTTGAACTTCGTCGTTGTTGGAGACATGGTGAGGATGCTGAGCTCTTGTCTAGCTCCTTCCAGTAGAAAAGGTAGAGAGGCAGTATGCAGGCGCTTTTTCCGGGCTACGCAAGAGATATTGAACAAGTCGACTATATCAAACCACGTTACCCAGTTCCCAATTAGGGCAGATGCTGCAGCCTCATAGAAGAGGGCACGCATATATCAAACATGTCTGAATGCCGAATTACGGGGCCACACGACTCCTGCAACACTTGGTGTGTTTAGAAGACCCAGTTCTGATCCAGTCTGAACATTTCGCGTACCATGTTCCGCTGTCGTGGCCTTTCCGCGGGAGGCAGCCCGAGGTCACGGCAGACCCTATCACCGAGCTTTTGGCGGATATGATATACACATCGTATCCTCTAACCCAGGATATACCTGGTAGCTATTCGACCAATAGGAAAATGTCTACCGAGTGGACCACATCTCTGTAGATGTTAGACACATCGGCGCATTAACAAAACTGCAAACTCGTCCATTAGAGATATGGGCGTAAAGTGATAGGTTGGATGCGAGGATCTGGTCACTCTCAGGCCTTCTTCTCTGTCTGTAGTCCTGTTTATGTCCCGTGTAGGAGCCAGCAAGTACTCACTGCGTACCTAAGGTACTCTGACCATGTTCCAAAGCAAATACAGACCGCGCAGTAGAATCCATCTTGACTGGGACAAGACATCATCACCGCTATGCGTGGCATCCTCACTTGATCCTTTCTTCAGCACTCATTCACGTGGCCGTCTTCCCTCATCATCACTTAGCATCCCCGTCTTCGGCCAACAATATCCTCCATAGGCTGGCCCCTTCTCCCTTTCCACCGCCATGCCCCCCTCTGAAGGACTGCCCCACGACGTTGACCAACACATTCTCCTTTCCCATCTTCTCCAAGAACAATGCCTCTTGGCTCCCTCTAGGGAAGCAACGCTTCCATTCATTCCATATCGCGTAGGCTTCTTGTGCCCAAGCACGGAATGATTCAGCCTCAATAATGGTCGGAGTCAAGATTTCGCGCGAAGGGAATACACCCCATGTCACTGCGTTGACCGTGTTTTCCGGTGAGGAAGACGAGGCCGAAGGAACGGGTCGCTGGTCTGCAAATTGTACAAGAGAGGCTGGATTAGTGTTCTCCTTCTCGGTATCCACCGCCGCCGCCTTCTTTTTTCGAGCTTGATCCCGAGCAATAAGCTCACTGCTTTCAAACACCCCTTCGGCGTCTGTCTTCATCCAACCGAGCACATCACTCCCGTATTTCATCAAACGGGGCCGCAGCTTCTCCTCCCACTCGTCTCGACCACAGAAGAACTCTACAAATGCTTTTTGGAAGACGTACCCTTCTCCCGGAGGTCCCCAGCCGAAGACAGGATCAGATGAAGGCGCGCCATCGACAGCGGGTTGAGAGGCAAGGGTCCAGTAGTTCTGGCTGCTGATGAGGGATAGGAGCTCAGACCGAATCACATCCGTCTCAGCACGTAGCGCACTCGAGTTCCCGGACCCATCGGCTGATGCGGCGCCAGGAGAGGCGAGATCCGGGTCAATATCATCACTCCATGGTACGGCCACTAGATCTCCCAACACATGGCGTCTGAACAGCTTTGTGACGTCCTCTCTGCTCCTCGGATAGCCCCACAGCTTCCTTGCCATGAGCGGACTCACTTTCAGACTTGGCCCATACCCATCAATCTCTCCAAACGCAGGTGAATGAGAGGGCCCCCAGCGACCATTAGGGAAATCGTCCCAGGTTGCTTCGCGACCTAAAGAACCTTGCCCCTCAGATATGAGCAGGCTATGCTTCCGAGTGGGGGAGGCAGCAGGAATGCCAGTGCCGCGGTCTCTTGCTGAATGTTGAGACGTCAGTTTTAGATTTGGATTGGGTTCCAGGCCAGGAGGGTCACTGTCCGAGTCAGGTCGACGAGATTGTGTCCGGGGTTCAGACCTGCCATCCGTTATTACACGGTTGTGGGGCTGTGCATTGACAGAACTTCTCCTTCGCCGTGTGAAGCTAGATGATTGCTGCCCATTTTGGTTTCCGTTCTCCACGGGCCCTGTTGTGACGATAGCCGGAGTCTCTTGCTTGCTGTCGTCAACAACCACATCTGAATCCGATTCTGAGTCTCCGTCTTTGTCTTCAACGCTTCCCTCACTCGAGATCGCGGGGATCAGCCCTGTCCTCTCTAAAATGAATGATACACTCTTCTCCAGGTTCAAGGTGTAGAAATGAAACCCCCTAGGAACAGCTTCTGGCTGCGGCAACGTCTTCATTTCTTCAACGAGCTCCGAAAGGATGTCGACCCCGACCTTTTTTACCGCCTCGTCGTCCGATTTCACACGTTCAATCCGCTGAGAGATTTTCTCGGGCAGTTTCGCGTGGCTGAGTTTGGTGATTCGTTTTATGATTTGGTAGGACTGGATGGGCATCAGGCCGGGGATGATGGGGATCTTGTCGAACAACTTCTTCCCATCCTGGCCAGTGTACCCCCTCAATCTCTTCTCATATGCGGCGTAGGCCTCGATATCGTAGGTGAGCTGTGTCATGATGAAATCGGCGCCAGCCGCGACTTTCTCGGCAAGATATGGTAAATCATGTTCGACACTCTGTTTCCCTTGCTCCGGATGCGATTCATCTGCATGACCCTCTGGATAACCCGCAACACCGACTGCGAAATAGTCGCCGTGTTTTCGCCGGATATATCGAACCAAATCTGCAGCCCACGTAAACTCTTGGTTACTCTCTGTTCCCGAACCGCCACTGCCACTCTCACTCTCGTCTGTGGACGTAGCATCCTTGTATTCTTCCCGAGGTGGATCTCCTCGCAAGGCCAGAATGTTTCTGATCCCAATCTCTTTGGCCTCCTCTAATGCCTCGTCAATCATATGCCTCCTCATGTTGGTACAGGTCAAATGCAGCACGGTCGTGAGCCCAATTTGTCGTTGACATACTTCGGCCAATTCGAGGGACTTTGTAGCTGTAGAGCCGCCTGCGCCCCAGGTCACAGTGACAAACAAAGGGCGTAGGGCTGTGGCCATGCGAGCAAGACGCGCCTGCAAGTTGGAGAAGCCAGAGGATGTCTTGGGAGGGAAAAATTCGAGGGAGAAGTAGTAGGATGAGGGAGGGAGAGAGGATAGGAGCGTGGGCAGACGCTCATCGTGTTCAGAGGCCATGCTGTGTGGTGTCTGTCGTTTCTGGTCACGCTGTCTTGTACCTGGACGATGCTAAGAACCCGTTGGGTGTTGCGAGCCCGTCAATGAGTTTGTCGTGTGCGCGAAACAATGCTTGAGTCACGGGAGATGTCTGTCAATGTTTTGAGGTGGACTTCGGATAGCTCATATTATGTCGTTGATCCCGCATTCATGGCTCCCTCCAGTAGGAAGGTAGACGAGGTCCTTCTCCTGGCGGTGCAGGGGGCTTGATCACACCTGTTGATCTGTGAGTGAGTGAAGTCGTGGAAGAGGACAAGCCAAAAGTTGCCCCGCGACAACATTTTGCCAGAGGCGCGAGTCACCCACCAGTGAATTTTTGAATTTGGTCAATGACGCCAATCGCCCAACTGCCGAGCTGCGCGGCCCCTCGGCGTAGTACCAAAAGTCATATGTACGAGGTAGAGGACATGTTATGCTACGTCTGTACACACAAGAGGACGTCTTGAACGCAGGACACATGGCTTGGAGACAAACAGCGAAACTGGTAGCCATTGTCTCGATCTCAGTCAGGTCTTGTACATAAGTCCATAGGGATGCAGCTATGCCTCCATATTCTAGCCTTGAAACTGCCCACTCCGTGTCCACCATCAAGCCTCCGCTCCACCCTGCTGTTCTATGAGTCGTGATGATGCCGATAGTCCATACAGATGAATCCCCACCGAATATCAGAGTCCCACCATAGTCCCCGATATCAGCTCCAAACACCTCTTTTCGAAAACTCGTCAAACGTGCTAACCCTCAGTGTCGGTAATGGTTATTGACAGCTAGTTTTCCCCTCCCGCACAAACGCCAGGAATTCATATCCATCTTCAACTCGGTCCGTCTCCGTTGATAAAGTCGTCAAAGTGTTTCGAGACATTCTCTCCATCCTCCAAGTCCGCATGGTCGTTTACCGAGTCATTGCTCGCCGTCCGAATCATATCAAGTGCCTCACTTGCGTGGCTGGCCTCTTGTTCCAGACTTGGCACAGGATCGTTACTCGTGTCCGCATCTGGATTCGTCATGTCTATAAACATATTGTCGTATTCACCTCCTCCAGACGGAGAGACCTCTCTTGCAGAGTTGGGCGCACTGGCAGATGCATTGGCAAGTCCACTTCGTATGTCGTCGTCGGCATCCAGACCCAACCCAGTCCCCGGTCGAAACATGGGAAATGATGGGTCGTGGTTTCGCCCTTCTGAATTATCTCCTCCGAATGTAGGCATCATCGGATCCCTCAACTCTTCATGTGGTGCTTCCCTGGTGGGGCTGAACAATGACGGCGAGTTGGGTGAAAAGGGAGAAGCTCGACGTTCGGCAAAGGATGACCCGGACATGAACCCAGGTTCAAACGTCCTATTGGGTCCTGTATGCTCGTTTGAACCTTGCCTCTGCATGGAAGATGAGCCTTCTGCACTTCCACCGTTCTGACCAGGACTCGCAGCGGAGCCCGGAGCTGATGGTGATTGCGTCGAAGGCTTCGGAAGCAGAGGTCCAGTAACAAAGGATTCCTGCGTCTTTCTCCGCACATAGGTCTTGGTCCGTAAGTGCGGTGGAAGATCCTCGGGTTTCTCGACTCCCAGCTCCTTCATCAGCTTCTGCTGCTTGGTCGGTCGGGGCTTTCGTGTCGACAAACTCTGGTCCAGAATAGGCGGTGGTTCGGGAGCAATGGGTTGCCATTTGTGCAGCTCCTGCCGCAGGACATTGGTCTCATAGGCCAGAAGAACTTCTGCGCCCTCAATCTTGCGCAGGTAGAACAGCATTTCTGGCATCTCCTCAATTGTCCTACAAAGTTGACTGCCAGTTGTGTATCGCATGAGAAACTCGCGAAATGCCTGCGCCTTGTCGATTATTCGCCTGAGCAGCTCTTCTTCCTCCGGTTGAAAGGGAAGATCCTGGATTTCATCTTGCCATGCTTGTAGATCTTCGAGTTTTGGTCGGGCTGCATCGCGAGGGATCTTGACTCGCCAATCGCAGATAGGACAGGTAAACATCTCGCATTCCTTGACCTTTCCTCTGGCAAGCTTGAGGCATTTTGCATGGTACCTAAAGAGGCATTAGTCGGACCTTGATAAACAGGCAACGCCACTCACCAGTCATGACAAATCTCGCACTCGATCATGAGCCCTGCCTCGGGTTGACGACAGATACAGAAAACAGGCTTTTCTTCATCACCGAGCGCGCCCTTCTCCTGGCCCTCAACGGGCGTGGCTTCTCGGGACGCGGGCTCAACCGGGGGCCTGAATGTGTCATTCAGGTCGAAGCAGAAATTGTTCTTCTCCTCCACAAATTTCATATGTTGTTCGAGAATGTGGAGCGGAGCGTTCGCCTTGCCGAAGAGCTTTTTGCCCCTTCTCATCCAATCTTCATGTCTTCGCAATTCTTTCTCCAAATCGGAAGCGCCGTGGGGTTTTCCGTTCAGGTCCTCAAAGCTCTTGACGACATCCCTTACATGCGCATACATTGGGCGCTTGCGCAAATCTGGATCATGGCTTCGTTCGACCAAGGTGATTATCTGGCGTTTAGCCTCGCGATTCTTGGCTAGAATGACATCCATCTGCTCCAAGGTCTCCTTATTGACAGGGAAAACCTGATTCTGCACTTGGGAATGCAGCGATTCCAGCTGTGGATAGTGCACATCCTCGGCTGCCATGACTTCTTTTGCTTTGATCTCCCAGAACTCACCTTGTCTCACCACTTCCGTCAAGAACAAGATTTCTGGCATCTGAGGTGAGATCTCCAGTTCTGCAGCACGCTTGAGAAGCTCTTTGCAGTCATCAAGTGTCTTCGACTGCACGTCTTTTTGAACCTGTCGAACCTCTTCGAGCCAGTGAGTGCGCGCGTAAACTTGCTCTAAGTTTGTAAGTTCAGGCATAGCGGCCATGAACCCGCGGCCTTCCTCGAGTAGACCTTCCAATTCATCGGACGCCGCTTGGTGCTGGCCCGTGAGAATGCGGTTCACGTTCGCCCGCCATTCGTCGACAACGGTGACCTTTTCTTTCAAGCTTTCGAGCTGAGGTGCACTGAACCCGAGCAGATCTCCATCTTCAATCAACTCTTTCATGCGTTCCACAGTGAGCTGAGGCTCGGTTTCCTTGTCCTCTGGCTTACCGCTCCGGAGGGAAGATCGACGCCAAGCCTTCTCATTCTTTCGTCTGTTTTGCTGCTTTCTGGTGAGGTACAGGTTCGCCTCTTCCACCCATTGGTCGCACTTCTTGACAAAATCCGCCAGATCGTCCAAACCCTTCAAGGTATGTGGGATCTTCTCACCCTCCGATAGCAGCGTGTGCATTGACTTGAGCGCAGGCCGAGCATCATTTGCCAGCAGAGCCTCTACCTTTGCCTCCCAAGCTTCAGGTACGTTGGCTTTGTCCACCACTTTCTGAACGATATTGCTCAGCTCCTGATTGGTATAGCGGACCAGAAGACTATGGTTGGGCCCCCTCAATCTTTCACTGGGAGAGTCAGAGCAGCAATCAGACACTTCGGGATGCAGGAGACAAGCGACTTTGCCGCTGCGGTGGCACCTGAACTGCGAAAGGAACGAAAACGCTTTACAATAGCAGCACTGATACTCATCCTCTTCAAGCTCGGCGTTTTCTATCTTGATGATGAGGCCACAAGATTCCGACGGCTCAGGAGCCAATGTGTCGAACGTACAGTCGTCGTGGGGGAATTGCCGCTTGTGAAGTGTCACAAAACTTTGACGTTCGGCCAATTCCCGGGCTCGAGTTCGCTCAAGCGCAGGTCCAAGCCACTTTGCAGTCTTGATTGTAGTATCTGAAGCAGCGGCTGTGAAGAGAAGCTCGTCATGCGAAAAGCAGGGTTGACGGCGGAACTCCTGCAGTCGCTGCACACCCGCCTCGCCGAACGGTTCCCAATCGGCAGGCGCAAAATTAACCGCTTCGTTGAAATTGAAGCCATGATTGAACCCTGCATGGTAAGCTTGAGGAAAAGTGATAACGAATTGACCTGCGCGTTGGTCGAGTGCGTAAACCTCAACTCCAGCCTTTCTCAGCTGATGTGGTGGAAGAATCGTGACCAATTGAAAGAGTAAATCAGGCTGGGTCTCGAACAATTCCGGTACTGCCTTTCGCATTGCATCTTCGAAACGATACGCGTCCTTTCCAGGGATGCCGTACCACGTCTTGGTCGCTCCAAAGTGCTGATAGTTTGCTGAATATGCATAGTGATCTTCATTGTGCCAGCAGAAAGTCGAGAAGCACATGCCCACATACAGCCACGGCACTGTCATTCCAGAAATATCACCCTTAATGTGTCTGAACAGCGATTCTTCGAGGAAGGGCATGACATTCAGGTTCCACGGATCTTTGGAATACGGGTTGAGCGGATTTTTCTCCACTGTCGGAAACCCGCTGCCATGAGTTGTCGAGTGAATGTCAGCACCGTACTCAACCTCGACTGACTCGGTGATGTCTTCGACTAGTCTCCAGAACTCACGTTCGACATCGTCCTCGGTCGGCTTCTTTGGCGTATTTGAAACAGGGTCGAAGGGCATCCGAGCGGAAAAGTAGTGCTCTTTGAAGTTGTTGGCCTTTTCTTGAAATTGCTTCAGAGAGTAGACGCTTCCTTCTTCGAAACCATAGTCGTTCGTCCCAACGAGGCATTTTGAACAGTGCCAGTCATATTCGGGCACGTGGCTCAAGGGAGGGTCGACACAATGCTTGTGGTAGCCCGTATCGCAGCTATCACAAACAAGGATGCTCTCCTTGTTATCTGACTTGCCGCACTTCTCACATTTCTCGCCATGCCTCCGCGGTGCCGTTTTAGTGCGCACTTGGGGGGTTGTCGGGCGCATTGCAGGAATATGGTTGCCTGGAATAGTGGGCATGCCATCCTTCTTAGGCCTCTTGCTCCGCCTGCCATTTGCAGCATCCCCTTCGCCATCGAGTCCCTCCGAGCCGGACTCACCATTAAGGCTATCGTGGCTTAAGGCCCTCTTCAGCGGATTCGGTGTCCCATTCGGCATTGGGTGACCAGATGTATGTATTGTCGTGATTGTCGGCCCATTAATGGCGGGAAAGGATGGAGCCGGACTTTGACTTGATGACGGCATGCCGTTGACTTCCTTCTTGACGGCAGGAGGTGGGAGGGTATTGATGGCGGTGAAACCTGAAGGGTTGTTCACTGCGGTGAAGCCACTGTTGACCGCAGTGAAGCCGGACGATGATGCTGGTCTGGGTGGAGCGGCGGCAGGTGCTGGGGGTACGAGTGGCTGCTGTTGCGATGGGCCAGGAGAATTCTGGATTTGGGGAGTCAGAGGCCTTGCCGGCTGGGGTTTTGGAGAATCTGTTGCCATAGCAGGTGGAGCAGATTGTGATGGAGGTGGGTGAGTGATCATAGGCTGATGGGGCAGAGCCGAGGGCGAGTACGCTCCGCCATGTTCGCTATCGAGCTGCTGCTGAACGCCAGGTTTGGCGTATTTCAGCCATTCCTCATAGGGATGTAGCCATCGTTGATAGGAATTCTTCAGGGATGTGGATAGTGATGACATTATCTTTCCACTGTATCCCAAATCTCTCCCAATCTCAGCCCACTTCTTGTCCTTGCAGACCCGTTCGAAGCCACCTCGGACTTCGACAGCTTTCTTGAGTTTATAAAGGTCCAGCGGACGCTTGTCGACCGAGGGAAAACGATTGAGATGTGCACCATACTGTTTGTGGAACTTGGCCAGTTGGTCTAGGTAGTTGAGATTTGTGCGGTTCCCTATGAGACAAGTAAGAATAGATAATCACACGGGACCATGAGAAAGCCCACCTCCTTCGACCAGATTGATCTCCTGGCGCCGAGTGCGAAAATGGAAGCGCTAGGGCACGTTAGCAACACTCCTCCAGCCGATATTTCACAAGTGCTCACCTCTGTGTCTATGGCGAAATCCGGATTCCAGTTGTCTGGCGGGATTATCTTGCAAATTCCGTACTTGCTGGCCTTTTCTGAAATACTGCGAATATACTCCATCGGATCACGAAATTCTACCTCCGTGGGCCGGAAAGTCGGCGCTTCTGGGAGGTCATGGAGTCTCCTTCTTGCTGGGGGATCGCGACTGTAGACATGGCCCTTGCGCTCGACGGTTCGCAAATCAAGAGGTGGTGCACGGCGGGCACTGTAGGGAAACGAGGGCGTGGCCATAGTGGGAGCAGGGGCACCATTCATTCTCGAAGCGGTTGATGATGGCTTCACAGTCGCAGCCTGTGGTGCGACACCACCGGTTGAAGGTGGAGCGACCATGACTGCGACAAGTGGGAAAGCCCGTTCGAGCTGCGGGATATGCTTATTCGGATAAATCGTAATTGTACAGGGAGGATTCGGAGGACCGTCGAGTCTAAAGGATCTGATCTCGGGGGCGAGCGTAGATGGGAGCTTTTTGAATGAATTGATATTGATATCGAACAGTTGAAAAAAGAGGAAAACGAGCGGCAGTGCGGGTTAACAGGTGAGTTTGCCTCTGGGCAGCCTTGTAGAGGGACAGAGAATGGATCGCGGGTCTAGCCTTGAACTCTGAGCTTGAGGGACGGCATGCTAAGTGCCAGCAGAGCACTCTGAGACGCAGTCGCTCACATGCGGAGTGTGAAGGTGTCTCTGGTTGACAGAGTACAATGTTGTGGTGTGAGAGTTATGAGAGTTGTGAGAGGAGGAATATAGGTCGAGAGAGCAAGTACCAAGTGCAGGTGGATAGATGGGGATCGTCGGGCAAGCGCGAGAGAGAATCAAGCAGAGGCACCAGAGGCTCACCACTGCAGGCGAGGCACTGGCAGGCTAGTAGGCTAGCAGGCTACTCCAAGGGCGAAGAGCTGGGGCCCGACTCGATTGGCTGCTGCGCTTCCTGTGTAGGTATGTTTGGTGGCTCGGTGGCTCGGAGGCTTCAAGTTGTTCAATCGGCCCAAACTTGCCAATCCTCTTGGCATTTTGTTCCCCCATCCAACTATCGTCACGTGACGGCTTCCTCCCGCTTTTGTCAACAAGACCGCGCCATGAGATCCTTAGGTACTAGGTACGCACTACTGACCGTTGACCTGCGCATGTTCTCAATATCGTAACGAGACCATCCATCAACTTAGCTTACGTTGCACACACACCATATTCATCAGTCCAAGCCTCTTGTTTGTTTACGGCGCTGCTCTGTATTGGCCGACGACCAGTTGCCACCAATCATGAGCCATTAGGCACCATCCTTATCTCCTCCATGCCCCCAAGCGCCACGCGTGGATTAGCGACACGTCGACATGGCCTCCGACTAATTCAAGATTGAAAAATGGACATCAAGCCCATTCCCGCCTTCTACTGCTGTTACCTCCTCCGCTCCACTGTGCGGCACTCAAGCCTCTACATCGGTTCCTCGCCAGACCCAGCACGTCGCCTCGCTCAGCACAATGGTCGAGTTCAAGGCGGCGCCGTGCGCACTTCTCGCGCCACCCTTCGTCCCTGGGAAATGGCCTGTATCGTCGCCGGGTTTCCCTCCAACATTGCAGCTTTGCAATTTGAATGGGCATGGCATAATGCACACTTGACCCGCCATATTTCCCCAGAGCAGCGCTTGTCTTTTGCCACGACCCGGACCAAAACCTCTAGGACCGGGAAAGTCACCAAGAGACCTGGGCGACCCAGAACTTCGATGATTGACAAGTTATCAAATCTTCATTTATTACTGCGAGCGCCCTATTTCTCCAAGTGGCCGCTTCAGGTCCGCTTCTTTAGTGAAGACGTGTATCGTTCGTGGTCAACCTGGTGCGGCCGCGTCGACACTCAAATCAGACCGGAAATTAGAGTGCATTTTGACCCGGCAGAACCCAGGGCTCAACCGCCAGAAGAGGTGGAGTTCACTTCTGCTCAGCCTCAGCCGGTCCAGAGGAAGAGAAAAGCTGATTTAATCGGAAAGGGCGGTGTTGAAGGTGTCGATCCAACATACGCTCGACTCAAAAGTGTCTTTGAAAAGAGCCAATTTCTTCTCGATGAAGACGATGAGCAGAAGTGTTCGGTATGCGCAGAGGTGATCGATCTCCGTAAGAGCATTTTCGTCGTTTGTCACACGCACGATTGTCCTGGCATGTCCCATATTAGATGTCTAGCCGACAAGTCCCTGAACGAAACCCAATCAGCTTTGTCAATGGTCCCAGAAAGTGCGACATGTCCAAGCTGTCATCAGGAGCATGCTTGGTTGGAATTGATGCAGCAGGTCACCCTTCGAAACAGGGGTGAGAAGGAGGTTAAAAAGCTCATGGGCAAGAAGTCTAAGACCACGGCGTCGGCGGCCGCAGAGATGATGGAGACCGAAAGCGAAGAAGAAGATGGTCCTTCGGAAAGTGAAGAAGAAGAAGCGCTTACCGCCAGACGAGTAGTCGCTGAAGAGGCTGAGCTGAGCTCTGACGATGGTGGTGATGACGAAGACAGGATGTCCCTTGCATCCGTAGACTCCTTCACAAGTATGGCGTCCAACGTATCCAGTGGGCTAGCAGTTAAGCCTCCCGCTGGCACGGAAGAACCGAAGAGACTCCAAATAGTCATAGAAGATAGCGAAGATGAAGGATGACGTTGCCAACCCCAACTGCATCCATGTCTTGTTGCTCAGGACCTTTTGTCGAGCAACGAGCCTAATTTCAGCAGGTCGTCAGGCGTGAGAGCCTCATCCACAGACGACGCTTGGACAATCGACAGGACTTCGGCGGCGACCTCGTCCATCGTTCTGCCAGCGTCAACTTGATGAATAGCTATCCCGTCAAGTCTGGCGAACAATTCCTTGAACAGAGTCCGAACACGGGCTTGCATTCCTTCTTGCTCGTACCGCTCCGCGCCGTAGCCGCCACGTTTGGCAGCGTCAGCGGAAGAAATGTCCAAAAAGAACACCAAATCCGGTTTCAAAAGGCCGATTTCGGGCGCCCACGCCCATTCAAGCGATAATTCCGGGTTCTGTTTCGCAGCCGAATAGACGGCTCCGGAGAAAGAATATCGGTCGACTATCACGGCGACACCAGACAGAAGCGCAAGGCGAATTGTTTTGATCGCTTCCCACCTGTTGGCACTGAAGATCAAGTGGATAGCATGGTCGTCTTGCTGAGCTTGACCCGTCAAGTAGCTATTGATCATCTGGCCCGTAGGCGTAGATCGATCTACCCGTCGGAAAGTCAGCGGATGAGGTCTTTATGCGAATGATCTTTGGATTGCACAGACCCGGGAACTTGACGGAGCGGACCTGCAGGCCTTGCGATTGGAAATGCTCCAAAAGGCGTTGGCACTGGCTGGACTTCCCAGAGCGATCAAGACCTTCAACGACAATGAGTCTCCCTCTTTTCGACATGGTAGTAGCAAGCTTTGACTGGCAGTCACTGATTTGTACGGCTGCAGCGATCTGCTCCACAGAGGTATGAGAAGAATGAGGTATAGAATGCCAGGAAGTTCAGATGGAGACTTTCGTCTGGTGAGGCTATCGTACACTTCGCAGTGGTGGTTGTGCTCCGCACTACTGACTCTACGGCCGAGGTCAGGCGATGCAAATGTCATTTCCATCCCCTCGCCGCATTCACGTCTACAAAATCTATCAGCGAGTAGCCGACAAGCCACCACAAACAATGCCACCACAAACAATGCCACCATAAACAATGCCACCATGGAGCCTGTAACTTGCGCTTCACTGGCTCAGCCACCGGACGAAATGCTCAAGTTCGTCCTTCAGCAGGCGTATACACCGGAGTGCGCTGCCAGACTAGGCCACTTGACTCTTCGTGGACGAAATCCGATCTCAACACCGCACTATGTTGTCCCAACTTCTCGAGGCGTGGTCCCTCACGTATCGCAGGATAATCTGCAGAAGCACACAAATATTTCCGCCGTCTATGTGCCCTTGGAAGACTGTACGTTCCCCACTTTCAGCCTCAAGCTGGATTGCTGACTTGTGCGGCTTACAGTTGGTGGATAGTCATTGAGAAGTCGCACGCAAATGCACCGCTATACGATACGCCGGTACAGCTTGGGGAGTCTCCATTACGGCGGTATATTGGTCTGCCCGACAGGTGTCTGTCCATATTCGGCCTGCGCAGAGTCCCAAACATTCCTTGTCCGGCGCACAACACAAATTCGTCCGTAGCGATTTCAACGTCAGTGGGATTCAGGTTCCTCGAAGTCGAGCAGTATCACGAGGCGATTAGAAGGTTAAAAGCCGACATTTCGACCAGCGTACCTGATTTGATCGGCACAAAGGACGCGAGCGCCAAGAGGATAGAAAAGAGTGTGGACAGGACACATGCATGGTTGCGAGATTTCGTGGAGAGTAAAGAGGAAGACGAAGGGTTTCCCTTCTTTGCGGCAATACCGCCTCACGAATCACAACTTCTGTCCTTGTATCTGTCCGATCTGAAGGACGAATACAATTCTCACATATCGGGCCTGTGCGTCTATTCGCCCTCGACGGTGGTTGGGTTGCCAGAAGCGCTCCGAACTATACCGACGATATGCCTCACTGACCCGTCGTCACCACAGGCAGTACTCGCAGCAATTCACGTGGGAGTCGATCTCTTGACGGTGCCTTTCGTCACACAGTCCTCGGAGCACGGAATTGCCTTGACATTCACCTTTCCAGGCTCTTCAGACACTCCCAATCAACCTCTCGGAATCGATCTCTGGTCCGCCGCCCACGCGACTGACCTCTCGCCCTTGACTCTCAATTGCACCTGTTACACGTGCACACGCCATCATCGGGCGTACGTGCACCATCTCCTCCAAGCGAACGAGATGCTCGCCTGGACGCTCCTGCAAATCCACAATTTTGCCGTCATTGATGCCTTCTTCTCTGCCGTGCGCCAAAGCATCAAGGACCTGTCATTCGAAGACGACACGAGGACATTCAGTCGTGCGTATGAATCCGACTTGCCGGAACGGACTGGCCAGGGACCGAGGATGAGAGGGTACCAGATGAAGAGCGTCGGGGGAGGTGAAGCGAAAAAGAATCCCAAGGCGTATGGGAAGTTGGATGACCAGATGCAGAAACTTGCAGAGGCAGAGAGCGGTGTCGCTACGCCAGACGGGGATGCAGATGATATTGAAGCACATGGGTTGGCGAAGAAGATGGAATGAACAGGCTTTCCTCCTTAAAGGCATTCATGCATATGAACCCCAATACACGCAGAAGATTTGGACCGGCTCGGTAGGTGGCGCAGATTGAATCCGCGTCCGGAGTAGATTAGAGATCTCTCACCGCCTCCCTTAACAGAGGTCCAACCTGTTTGCGACTCTTACTCGTGTCTCCTATCCACCAGATCCTCCACTCGCCCTTCTCGCCAAACTTTCTCGTAAGCCCCTCCGTGAGTCTTCTTGCCTGTTCACTGCCACCACTGCTATCGCCATCGGCGGCCGCCCAGTTGGACAATTGCAGCTCGTCGCGGCTCTTCTCCTCAAACGCGTCGACAGCACCCCTGGCGTCTTCGTCCAGCACCACCACGGCGACTTCTTTCCTCCCGTCGCCCGTACGCGTCAGCAGGCAAAACACGCCCAATTGTCGGGCGGGGGAGGTGGCGAAGGTGGCGATCTCGGCGAGAAAGGCGTCGACGCCGTCGTCCCCGTCGCCTTTCTGATCTGCGGCCGTGTGAGAAACGAGCCAGGAAAGCGGCTTCACTAGGCTGGAAATGCCGATGTTGATTTCCTTGCTTCCGCGGCCACTGGAGGTACGCTCTGTCCAGGCCTTGTAGTCGCGATCAAACACCTCTTGCATGGTCAGCAGGTCGAGGGAGTTTGCCTTTGCGGTGGCGATGGAGGAGAAGAAAGCGTCGCGGTCCCAGTCGGCTGCCTTTGGGCCAGATTGTGCTCTCTCCGGAGTCTCTGTCCGTGCAGTGCTTGAGGCGATGGCCGATTCCAGAAAGCGCACGACTTCCCGGTCCGTGTCGGAGCACTTGTCGCCCTTGGCCCTCAGGTTCCAGGTGTCGATCAGGATCGGGGCGAGGGCGAGCTTGGATATCTGCTGCAGCATCTCCGCATCGACTTCTGGAGAGCTCGAAACGTCTGCTCCCGACTGATGGTGCTGGGTCGAGGACGAGGAAGAAGGAGAAGAAGGCCACAGCCCGCGCTCGCGAAGGTGCGTGACCACGAGGCTGGTGCAGCTCCCTATCCCCGTCGTGACGATCCTGGGATCTGCGTCCCGAGGAATGTAGTCTTCGTCGACGTGGTGGTCGATGCAAGCAGTGACATTGAATCTAGCCGCTATGGCTTGGTCCGAGACACCTGGTATTGCCGGGGCGTTGTGGTCGACTAGGAAGAGCGGTTGCCTCTCGTTCGTTGCATCCGGGTTTCCGGAGTCGACAAAGAGTTTGTGTAGCGCCGATCCCTCGTCGGTCTTGATGTCGCCGATGGTGATGAGTTCCTTTAATGCATCAGTCTTGCCCTGCTCCCGGCCTTCCTTGCCGACGGTCTCAGGCGACTCCCCCAGCGCCAATCGCATAGCGACTCCGAATTCGGGCCGGAGTCTCCATAGGTCACTTGCCCTCACGGACGGGAGATTCAAGATAGGTATGTAAGTGGGTTTGTTAGCATGGGTCGCATTACCGTTTCCAGCAGCCAGGTTGTAGCAAAAAGACGTCACCACGGCGGAGACGAAGCTGTCCAGGTCCGCCGAGGGATTGCCCATTACAAGTACAGGTTTCTGTGATATGCCTTTGAAGGCCTGTGAAGACTTTGAAGATGCGCCGCTGCTACTGAGGACCAGACTCCTCATACTCGAGAAGTATGTTGTCAGTGACCGCATTTCACGATCGCCGTTCGTGTGAGCCTCTCCCGCACGAAGACCGGACATTGGGGGAGATTTCCTCTAGCGCAGATGAAACTAGGAGATGATAGAGGTATAGAATGAGGATGCAAGATGAGCTCGGAGCAACCAGCCGTATCCAACTGCAGCGAGTGTCCTGCGTGATTCTGAAGGAACACAGTGAACGCTGCAAGGCGGGACCAAGAAAAAGCAAACTCACAGCCTCGTCGTCGATCGTGACGTAAGGCTGTGCGACGAAATACCAATTCCCAGTCCAGCGCGGGGAAGCCTTAGCCTATGGTACCTACTAGTAGGTACTTCTGATCCAGTGATCATACGACAGAGGTAAGCCTACCTGGGTACCTAGGTAGGTATGGATCGAGTCTCCTCCACGGAGTTTGATCTATGGTATCCGCCTGCACTATTCCCAATTCATGCCCGTACTCGGATTTGTTGTCAGCGAGATGCATCAGTCTAGCCAGAGTTGTCAATATTGACCAAGTGGTCCTGGAGTAACCTGATATTGGCCCACGAAAGGCGGTGCAGTATGATTACTGGCTCGCGCGTTCCAACACTCCGAGTCCATTCCCGCCAGGGCAAGCAACTCGTGTGCTTCGGGCTTTTCTATTCATCCGTCTGTGGCTCCTCTGCTTACCTCTCTCGGTCATTGGGAGCGAGCAACGGATAGTTCAACTCTGCCAGCGATACTAACATGAGAGAAATACCTTTGTCCCCACTGTCCAGCAAGTTATAGGAGACATGGGTCGGTATTTACGGCCGCACGATGGCGACCCGGCTTTTCAGTCTGATGTAGTAAATTCCCGGCAAGTTGTGAAAAGCACAGGACCATATAAAGGTCTAGAAGGCCCCCTCGAGACTATTTTTCTCCTGTCAGCCAACACGGAAAAGAGTCACGTCTTCAATAACTCAACCAGACATTTCGAAACGGCATATACATCCAACTTGAGAGACAACAGAAGATATGCAGTGGCTTGTGAGTGGTTGCAGCACAGGCTTAGGCCTCGAGATCGCACGAGCTGCTCTTAAAGCTGGCCAGAAATGCATCGCCACGTCCCGCACTCCAGCCAGCTCTCCTGATGCGGTCGAGGATATTGAGAAACTCGGCGGCGTTTGGGCGAAGTTGGACGTATCCAGTCCCAGCCTTGAAAGCGATATCGACGAGATTGTCAAAATACACGGAGCCGTAGATGTGGTGGTAAACAATGCCGGGTACGCCGATGGCGGGCCTCTGGAGACAATGGAGTAAGTCGCCTTTGATTCCACCTCCACCGCAGCCCGGCACTCGCGAAAGAAGATAGCTGATCGCCATACCCGTCAAACAGCCTTGACAAGGCCCGCCAGATGTTTGAGACGAACTTGTGGGGACCCATCCGTATCATCCAAGCGCTCGTCCCATCCATGAGAAGCCGACACTCCGGAGTTATTGTCAATATCTCCAGTGCAACCTACTGGAATGCCCCTCCTGGGGCCGCTATGTATGCCGCGTCCAAGTTTGCGATCGAGGGCATGTCCGAGGCGTTGGCTACTGAGTTGTCGCCCTTCGATATCAGGGTGTTGATCGCTGAGCCCGGCGCCATGAAGACTAGCTTCTACGACCTGAAGAAGATGAAGATGCCGCCCATCTCAGATGCTTATAAGGGCACTGTCACAGAGTACGTGTTGCAGGCCATTGCAGGTCTGAATGACGGAGCGCGGCAGGACCCGAAGAAGACTGCTGAGGCGATTGTGAAGGAAGTGTTAGAGCCTTCGTCGGACTCCATGACTTTGAGAATGCCACTAGGAAAGGAGTCTCTTGGGGGAATGAGGAAGAGAGCAGAGCAATATGTTAAGATAGCCGATGGCACAGAAGAAGTGGCCGTGGCTTGCGATTTCTGATGTAAGTCGCCGTCGATGGAGGTCGAGGCATGAGGGACATGTTTTAGACAAGACGATGTTGTACCATGAAGGTTGCAGCTTTCCCCCATTTGAAGCCTTCACTTCCTGTCACAGGAGAAGTTCGGTTGAGGCTGATGGGGTCGGCTGTCGGTGCATATTGTCAGTTCCGGCTCCCTTGTTGCCTTTTGCTTGCTGAGCTCTGCAGATCGTCTCCCAGCCAAAAGCGCTTAACGCATAATTGCTCACGCTGCTCCCGTCGAAATACTTCGCTATCCGTTTGCCTCCGAGCAACATCAACATCGTGAAAGTAAAGAGGAAGAGAACGCTCAAGGGATCGTCTTCAACCGGTGTCAACTCCTCTGTTGAGTTCGCATACTCACCAAGGCCAAGTAGGGCGTTGAAGACCTCGGCAAGTAATGCTAACCTTCCACCCTCTACGGCTTTCATAGCAGCGAGGACGAATTGATGTGTGATGATGTTCTCTTCACCACATACAGGTCTCGGTGGAATATGTCTGATAATTTCCGAGCTTCGCATGTGAGAAGTTGATATGCTGAGTATTGAGTCGACGAGATCAACACCGGCTTCGAGAGCATTCATCGGCTCCGTAATTCGGGGGTTCACGTCGATATAACACGGTATACCCTCCACGAGAATTGCATCCATCGACAGGGCCGCATCGTACTTCAAGAATGCACCAAGCTTCACCAGATCATCCTCGAACACAGGAAGTGGAAGGGATGTCTTTTTGGCGGCCCCTCCAGAAGGGCCTTCCCGAGCGCGTAGGCATGCATGCCAGGTCAATAGTCTACCATGCGAGAACACCCCTTGTACCATAACAAGCGGTCCCGCCAGCGCTTTTTGGAGGAGGACTCGACCGTTGTTCCTAAAAGCGCCGCGGTCTTCAAATTCCCGACCAACACGGGCCAGATCATCAACCGTCTTTGCATATCTGACACCTTTACTGGCCGTGCCGATGGGAGTCTTGATATAGGCAGGCAATATGTCAGTCATGGCTTTCAACTCGTCAGTTGAGCCCACAGATATGCTTTCTGGTTGACGCAGTGAAGCTGATGGAGGGTGTGGGAGGCCGAGATCTTGTCTATAACGCGACTGACAGCTTCAAAAGATGGTACAGCGATATTCACTCCCAGACTCCGTATCTGGTCGACCTCAGCTGAGAGAACAGCAACTTGCTCCTGCGTGCAGATCACGGTCTTGATCCTTTCTTCGGTTATGATCTGGAGCGCAGAACGGAGCCATTTGTAGGGATCTGGTCCGAACTGCGGCACAAGATGTGTCTTTTTGACCCACCCTGTGACCTTCGTAAGGGAAAATCCAGGTGCACAAAGGGTGTGCACTTCATCCCCGTTGCGACCAAGGATCGTTGCCACTTGTCTGGATGTCAAGCTCGATCCATCAGTGAGGAGGACCTTCATGATGTCTCAGAAAGAGTTCAGACTGGGTTGACCGTAAGCAGAAGAAGCATTGCAGTGATACGCTATTGATTATATCACCCTTTTGGATGTCTTCCCATCTTCAAAGGATGGCATGACATTCTGCAACGTGGTCTGATTGTTGCAGTCCACCCGCCGACTTCTGCCCAAAAGGCCTTTCCATAATCAGTTGTTCGCGTCTGCGATATTAGACTATTGTGATGCACTTGTCATCTCCATGGCCATTCGCAAATGAGGCTGTCGTTTGTCTCTCTTGGGTCCATCTTCTTTACAACAAGGAGCTAGATGTAGCTCGTTTGTTCCGCCGAGAGTCGAGCAGCCTGAAATTGCCGAAGGTGAACCGAACATACGTCCAGATACGATTAGTGAAAGCACGAGTCAATGCCCATGTTAAAGCGGCGCAATTCTCCCCCTGAAACGAGTCGTCAGCCAAGATTTCAACTGCGGACGCGAAATGTGGCCCCTTTTCGGGAATTTTGGATCAGACTCGCGTGCCATTGCGTTTGTATCCTCTATTCCTCCTCGCCAGCACTAATATTTCAACAAACATGCGGCTGCATTCCATTTTACTCAGCCTGCTGGCACTGGCTGTCGTTGAGGTGTACAGCACCGCTCTCACATATAAACTCAACGCCAACGAAAAGGCGTGCTTTTTCAGCAATGTCGAGCGACAAGGCGCCAAAGTCGCATTCTATTTTGCTGTATGATCCCGTCTGGGTCTCTCTGTATGCGATCCGCTGACATATTTTGTGAAGGTTCAATCCGGAGGCTCCTTCGACATCGACTACGAGGTGTTCGGGCCCAACGACAAGAAGATTATGAGTGGAGAAAAGGAGAGACAGGGAGACTTTGTCTTTACCGCGCAGACTGCGGGCGAGTACCGCGTCTGCTTTAACAATGAGATGTCTACATTCGTAGACAAGATGGTCGATTTTGAGGTCGCTGTACGTTGCCTCCCTGATGTCTTCATCTCCTTACAATCAAACATCTGACGGATCGGGATGATGCAGGTCGAAGACGAATCCAAATCCGCCCTCCTCCCCCAGAAAGCCGGGTCAACACCTGAACAAACCTCCGCACTAGAAGATCTGGTTTTCAAGATTAGCGGGCAGCTCAGCACAGTCAGCAGAATGCAGAAGTACTTTCGTACCCGAGAGAACCGCAACTTTAGCACAGTCAGGAGCACGGAACAGAGAATCTTCAATTTCAGTCTGATTGAGGTCGGCATGATGGTCGGTATGGCTGGACTACAGGTTTTGGTGGTCAGGTTTTTCTTCCAGGGAGCGAGGAAAGGTGAGTTCTCTCCTGGTGATTTGAAATATTTCAGAGGAGCTAATGTGTTGGACGTCTGCAGGCTATGTATAAATTACTGTATCAATGCTGCTGGTTACGTAGCCCACGACATGATATCGTGTCACGGCGCGGCACGGATGATTTTGACGAGGATAACAAGGTCATAGACATCAACGCTCGAGGAGTCTTGGGATTTGTGTCAGGTGTCAGACTTGACCACGGCGCTCCTCGCTGCAAGGGTGGTGCGAGACGTCATCCGACATGCTAGGCGATTGGAAAGTGACCTCGAAGACAGCTTTCGACAGAAGTCACTAATTCCTCCTCTCCCGCGGTTCGCCATCGTGGTGGCAGCGAATCCCTCCTCAGCTATCTCGACCTATTCATCTTTCCATCATTCCTCAGACTGCTATTACCTCTTCTCCTTTCTCTCCTTTGTTCATTCTGCTTTCTCCCGATCAGGTCGGACTTCTAGGAGGATCCTGTTGCTTTACCACCCTGGAAGTCATCACCTTTACTTCTAGGTACAGATGGTTTGATACAATGTCGATGGTGAGGTCCACCTCCTCGGCGGCATTGGTGCTGGACCTTCCGAACTTATCGGCCTACATCCCCCAATCATCCTATGCTCTGGGCTGGGCAAGGCAGGCTGGAATGTTATGTCCTGGTGTCCTGGCATGTTAAAAGATCTGGCGGATGGATGCAATAGCTGTCGCGTGGGAACATTTCCTTGGTCGACGGACGGGCTTTGCCAATCTTGGTTCTTTGTTCCTCGTCAAGTATGCAAGGATTCTAGGTGGAGCTGAGATGTATAACTTCTCGTCTACCATCTAGGCTGAACTCCGCCGACACAACGGTGACCGGGCACATGTGAACTTATGAATGAAGCAGGGACGAAGAGGCCATGGAGTGAATCGGGTCACGCTGTGGTCACCATCACAACCAAGCCGCCCCCAATCTACCCTGTTCGTGTATCATCAGGCTAAACTGCTCTGTGGATCGATTCGCCCTTGGGCAATCCGCGGCAATCTCCCGCTACATATCCACCTAGCTGCATACTGCATGGACTTTTCTATATATATATTCTTGATATACGATCGCCTGTCTTTTCGGTTTCTTCACTTTCGATAACCACACGCACAAATTCCCCCTTGCACATGCCAGCGAGAAAAACGCAAGGAGACCTGCCTACAACTGGGCCGGGAAACGGGTCAATGCATAGCCTTGCTTTTCTTGCTCACTCTTGCCAAGCAAACCTTCAGCCCCTAAACCATCTAGCGATGTCGACGGCGTCGGACTCCTTTGCGCGAGCCAGATCCTATTTTCGGGCCGGCCATCGCGATGTGTGTAATTGTCAATGCTACTATTGGCGATAGGCGCAGTCCGAGGTGTTTCGACAAGCTCGGGCCCGAAGAAAAGGGCTTTCTGTTGTCCTTTGGCAGCTACACGGCCGCGCACAGTTGCGCACGGGAGCGTGCGTCTTTCAAACGGGCGGCTGATGGGGGGCCTTTCTTGTGAATCCGGAAGCCATGGGAGCCTGCACAATACACGGCTGTGGGACTACATATTACGACGCCGACAGGCCCGCAAGGTGAGGCTGACAGTAACGCTGGTTAGAAAGCCATTCGAACACGGCCAGACTGGGAAGAACCCTTTAACCACCAGTGAGCACTGGAAGACAGGAAGCTTGGATCTCCCACCGTTTTCTATCTTCTGGGCGTTCATCCGTGAGATCAAGGAAGACCAGGTGCCGTCGCTATATGCTCAGTCGGGAGGAGACAATCCATTCATCATCAGCTCCAACAGGCAGCACTCTTTCATCGAAATATCCCCTTCCGCCTCATTACATTTGACACCACAGTTCGCAGTCCGCAGCAGAAAATGCCATCGCCTCCTCCACTTGACACCATCGAGGACATCCTCGCAACAGCCGCCATCGACGAGGCCTTCTCCGCCGCGCTGCAATCCAGCCATCTCCAGCCCGGCTCCAGCTACACGCTCGCGGACATCAAGCAAGGCGCCGCGGCGGGTCGTGAGGCATTCCAGAAGCGGCTCTCGGATTCGCGACCGCGCGAGATCACGGAGACAGAGCACTCGATCCGACTGCGCGACGACTGGGCCTGCCGCATCATCGTGTGCCACTTGACCGCAGACATCCAAGCCAATGCAGCGCCGCCGCCGCCGCCGCCGCCGCCGCCCCCGCGACCATTGATTCTCCTGCTGCACGGCGGTGGCCACACGATCGGCTACCCTGAGCTGCAGCTAGGACTGGCGCGGGAGCTCGTGCTGGCGCACTCTGCTGTGGTGGTGTGCTCGTCGTACCGTCTGGCGCCTGAATTCCCCTTCCCCTTCTCGATCTGCGACTCGTGGGAGGTGCTGCAATTCTGCGCCCGCGAGAACCGCAAGTCCAACTCGGCCATCCTGCCCCGATGCACCGACGCGCGCGTCGGGTTCCTGGTTGGCGGCGAGAGCGCGGGCGCCAACCTCGCCGCCTCGCTGGCCCACCTGGCCCGGGACCATAACTTGAACCCTCCCCTCACGGGCCAGGTGTTGATGGCGGGCATGTACATCTCCCCAACCTGCGTGCCTGAACGGTACACGGCGCGATATCTGAGCAGAGAGCAGAACGCCGACGCCCCGATCCTGGACCGTCACCTCTTGAAGCTGATGACCGACGCCTTCAAGCCGGACCCGGCGTCGAAGCTGTGCTACCCGTTCGACCAGCACGATCCGCGCGATGCAGGCGAAGCGGCAGATGGAGCGGCTGCTGGTGCGACAGGTGGAGCGACAGAAGGTAGGGTGTCCGTTAAGCACGGCCATCTGGGCGTCGCACCGGCATATTTCCAAGTCTGCGGGCTCGATCCTGCCAGGGATGACGGGTTGATCTATGAGAAGGTGCTGAGGGAGGAATGCGCCGTGCCGACCAGGCTCGATCTGTATAGCGGGTGGGCGCATTGTTGGTGGGCCATGTTTCCGGACCTGGACATGTCACGGAGAAGGATGCGAGAGGCTGTTGAGGGCGTGGGATGGCTGTTGATTTTGGGAAAGGATCGAAAATGAAGGGCCGCGCTATGTGATACGGTCTGTCTCTCTTTCTTTCAAAAAATACCGAATGAGCAAGTCCGGCTCGTTGATGAGACTTGCGACGATACCTCGGCGTGTGCCGTTAATCTGCGAGAAAGCAATACCTTGTATGAGCCCAATTATGGGAAATGCGATGCCGGCCAAAGAAAAGAGCATACTCTCCTGTTCTCCAAAGCCCCCTACCAATTTTCCTTTCCTTTCCATTTACCTCCCTCCCCGCCGCAACTGTCAGCACTCAAACATCTTCGCCGTGCTGACGTTGATGCGACTCCATTTTCTGCCCCGGCGGATGCAGCCCCAGAACCGCATCGGCCAGTATACGTGGTACAGCCACCACCAGGGCAGCGGGTCCCAGAGCACATATGTGCCATCTCTCCATGTGAACAAGTGGCTGAGGAAGGTCGTGTAGCTTTGCGAAAGATCCCAGATCGACGCGCCGGAGAGCGTGAGGAAGGATACGGTCGGGAGGATGGCCCGCGTGACGAGATCGTGGCCAGTCCAGTAATACTTGTCGTTCGTGATGGGGCGCACGATCCGAGTATCGGTCCTCTGGCTGTGAGAGTTCTCGAGGACGGATAGATAGGCATCGACCATAGCTGTGGCGGTGCCGTTGAACAGCGCCACCGCCGTGTGCGCCCGGGGATTGCACTCAATGGGGTAGAGCACGACGTTTCTAGGACCAGCCGCATTTTCGTCCCACACCATGAAGTCGAAGGACAGATGGCCCGAGAATCCTTCGCCGCCGCTGGCAGCATACGTCTTTGTGAACTCCATCATGGCCTGACTCAGGGCCGACTCGATAGGGAGAGCTTGATAGTGCATAAGCAGTTCTGCGGAGGGACAAGCCACGAAGGCCTTGACATGTCCTCGCACGACCAATGAGTGCGTGCAGTATTCCTTACCCTGAATGAATTCCTGCAGTATCCAAGGCGAGTCCGGCGAGATCCTGAGCCGTGCAATATGCTCCGACGTCTCGAGATCCGACTTCTTGGGCAGCAGCGTCAGGTCTCCGCGCACAGAGTCGTCGACCCCGATCGTCTTCATGATGTATTTACGGCCAGGCGGGGCGTTGCGCAAGATGCTCTGCACGGCCGCGCGACTTGTGATCTCGTGCGTTTCAGGAACTGTGAGCCCGATCGCTTTAGTGTGTTCCATGAACGAATGTTTTTCGTGCAACGTCTGCGTGGTTTTGACGTCGAACTGGATCGCCCTGCAGTCGGTCCTTGCTTCGACGACCTCCTTGGCCATCCCATCCTCGACCGCTGAGGCAACCCCAGAGCAACTGATCCAGAGCTCGACCTTCTCCCTAAGCACGATGTCCAGGAGGTTCTGGATATACGGCGCGGCGCCCGACTTCGGGTTTGGCTTCTGCAGGCGATAGAACCTCTTCAGAGACGACGACACTCTCCCACACACCAATGCGCCGTCCGGTTCAAAGTCGGCTCCGAGAACGTCGTGGCCAGCCGCATGGAACAGTCGTGCCAGCACCAGTCCCTTGGTCATACCCACCCCAGTGACCAAGACGGTGCGCCTTCTGAAACCAGCCCGGCGTTGCGTCGCTTCCCGATTGGACTTTGGCTCGTTCGGAAGAACCTTACTCACGAGTAGAGAAACAATCAGAATCAAAGTGTCGAGCGGTAGAAATACAAGGCTCAGGATCAGGAGGGACGCATTCTGCAACCTGTGCGCAAGTAACGGAGAATTGCCCTGAAGCATATTGGCGTCCTTTATGCAGGCGGGGTGGAGGGTGAATGTATTATAGCTTTAACATGGACAGAGAACGGTTGCAGGAGATGGGGGAAAGTGTAAATCCTTCGCATACTCTACGCAGTGGAATGTGCGAGTTGTCCAAAAAGGAAACGTATGCGTGTATAAAATATAGACGTCACTCCATGAGAACAAGTGGAGCCGATAGGCATGGCAATAGGCTCCGACGAGGGGGAAAGCTTGATAGAAGTGCCATGTTTATCTACGACGTTACGCCCTTGCCCGCACCAAAGAAATGACACCGGTGACTATTCTTACCTTTTGTGGCATTAGCTTGATTAAGATAGAAAGGACGGAACGAAGGAGCTCCCGATGTTGGCCCAGCTTTTTCGAAAGACACGGAAGACTGTCCGAGGCTGTCCTTGCGGCCTTGCTTGTACGTTATGCTATTTCTCAGCAGCCTGGTATGATTCACTTCACACTAATCGCCATTCTGTTCTTGGTTACCAGCAGGAGAAAAGCATTTGATGGTCTCAAACACAATGGGCAAAGCAAAGGAGATCTGTGCATCACGCACTCAGAAAATATCTTTATCTGTTCTAGATATCTGGCCATATGTGCATGCATCATCCTTCCTTGGCCACGCCAACGCATCTCGTGATTTCGAGAGCGTCCTGATTGGTCTAGTCAGCACATGGTAGCTTTTGTTCACGAAGCAGAGACCTACCGGCACTCCTGAGGGTTCCCAGCTGTTGACAAGTCTACTTTCATAGATCAGTAGCGGATTGCCCACCCTGGTCTCGTCCAGTTTAGCCTCGCCCTCCCTTCTCAGGTATTGTTTGGCCGTTCGATCGGCAAAGCGAGCATCCACACCATTGACGCTGTGTGCTTTCTGTGTCGCCTGCTTCTTCTGCTCAACGCTGCTCCGCACGTATTCCAGATATGGTGGATTCCCAGGCTTGATCACATTGTCCGCAGCCAAGACGGAACCCGGGGTGATCAGGTTCAGTTCCTCGCAGAGCTTCAGGTCGGTGGTGTATGCAGGCTTGTAGTGATCCAGGAACATGAGGTCGATGTGTTGTAGAGCTCCGGTGGCATGCAATTTCTTGATGGAGGCATCACTTGATCCCTCAATGACCTTGACGATGTCGCTCAGACCAGCAAGCTCAACCAGAGAAGAGATGACGGTCACAAATTCGGCATTCCTCTCGAGGCTGAAGTACCTCTTGCCACCGGCCTTGCGGACAGCGTCTCCAAACAAAATGCAGGAGTACCCAACGTAACCGCCGAGCTCGACCATAGCCTGTGGCTTAACTTCGGCTATAAGGTCGGTCACGATCCGGCCTTTGTCTTCTCCCACATTCATGAGATATTTCTGGGTCCGTGCAAATTCGTCGATAGCCGCCAGCACTTTATGCGGCGAGTTTCGCATATCCTCAACATCTGGCTTGGTTTGGATGAATTCTAAGAGCTCTTTCTCACGGCCATCATCGAACTAGACCTGGTTAGTGTGTTTTATCACAAATGTTGTGGTTGAACTGTACAAAGATTTCCTCCTGCTCCTGGTATTTCTTTTTTGGATCGAACTCAGCCATTAATTCTGGATAATCAAGTCTCACGATAAAACAGTCAATGATAATGTGTCTACCGGCAACAGACCAAGATTTGTGCTTTGAGAAGTGGCTTAAAGTGGCAGACACCGGCCCCGGCAGCCTCTCCACCAACAATCCGGCTGCAATATCATCAAGATGTTAGTCTTCTACGACCGGAGGTTGGTTCAACCAGTCGGGAGGGGGATCGAAAAACCGTGTCCCTAGATCTATGTGGAGTAGCGAGCGAGATGCAAGATCGGTTTCGAGCAAGGTTCGAGATGAATCACCATGTGTCGGCACGGTGGCAACGGATGCCGTTGACTGGAGAGTTTGAAAAAGTCATGATCGAAGAGATGCAACGATGTGACAAGGGCCTATGATTCGGTCATTGCTTTGTAGCCAATGAGATAGAGAGGCGCTAGCTGTATATGGGCTAGCGCCTCCGTAGCCGCATATCCTCCAGCCTCCATGCCAACATCCTCTCTTTCTTTGCTATATCCCTGCCGTGCCTGTGGACCTTTTTTCAATCGTCATCAACCGCTCAATATGGGCGGTTTAATGCGGAGAGATGTCTGCAAGACGGCATTCAGACCGTTCACACTACGCTTACGCTAACGCCCCGCAGTGGTCAACGCACGCCGGGCCGGATCTCTTATCCTTGAGATTCAGGGGAACCAGATCTGTGAGACGGATGGCGCTAGGATCTTCGCTGTGTCGACTTCTGCATGGAGAGATCTGGCAGTCACCTAAGGCCCGGCAGAGATGGTCTCAGAGGCAGGTACAACCTTCGTGGGCCAACAGTGCCGGAGGGAAAAGTCGCAACTCAACCTTGCCTCATTGACTTTTCGAGACGACATCATGACTGTGACTGGCTCGAATTCTAAACTGGCGCCAAGTTGACTTTGGCGTTTGTAGCACGCTGACATGCTGAGAGCGGGATCAATCCCATTGGAAATCTGGTTTCTGCCTCCAGTCGAGGACCCGCTTGTGGAAAAGATTTCACGGAGTTGTTGAGTCCTGCTAAAGAAAGTATCCATTCTCTTGACCCCACACCATTCTTTGCAATCCTGGCGGTCAGAAGGAAGTATTCTGTGTGGTCGGAGGCAACTAGCGACCAGGTACCTTTGTTCTTGTGAAGAATGTACTCTTCAACGAGTATGTTGGTTGCCTTGTCCCTGGACCTGTTGACTGATATATTAGGATCGAATTTCAGTCGGCTTTCCCCCTGTTTAACTTCGACCTCTTAATCTTCCACGAATCTTCTTCAAAATCTTTTACCTCGGAAACTCTCATCAACCGAGATACACTTGACGATACTCTGCAATGTCTGATCTCAAAGCCTCGGTTGCCGCAACGACTGCTGGGTTTCATGTCGAGGGTTATGAGAAGATTGAATACGACTTCACCTTCATTGACGGAGTCTTCGACACAAAGCGACGGGACCTCGCCGACTGCTACACGCGGTGGGGACGATGCCTCGCGGTCATGGATTACAATATCTTCAACATCTATGGCGAGCAAATGCAGAAGTATTTTGATCACTACAAGATCGATCTCGACATCCACAAGACCATGATCGGGGAGAAAGCAAAGTCCATTGACACTTTCTTGAGCATTGTCGATTCTATGAACAAATTCGGAATTTATAGAAAGGTAGGGCTGACATGCTCCACCGGCACTCAACAATACGGCTAACGCACGTACTAGGAACCCGTACTAGTCATTGGGGGTGGACTGGTCACTGATGTTGCTGGGTAAAAGTTACCACCTGCCAAAATGACTTCAAGGCACTCTGGCCCATATATCTCCTTGAGCGTTTGAATATGCGGACTCGTTACTGATACTCTCCGAATAGTTTTGCCTGTGCTGCCTACCGCAGAAACACCAACTACATCCGCATTCCTACGACCGTCATCGGGCTGATTGATGCTTCGGTGTCCATCAAGGTCGCTGTCAACTACGGCAACTACAAGAACCGGCTCGGCGCCTACCATGCTCCAATGCGCACGTTTCTCGACTTCACCTTCCTCCGCACTTTGCCAAAAGCCCAGATCCGCAATGGCTTTGCTGAGCTGATCAAGATCTCCACGTGTGCTCACCTCCCAACCTTCGAGTTACTCGACAAATATTGCGAGCAGCTGATCGACTCTGGCTTCGGCCGGTGTGACGGTGCACCTGAAGAGGTGCGGAAGGCGGCTGACGCCATTAACCGGGCTGGCATCCACGAGATGCTCAAGCTGGAGACGCCCAACCTCCACGAGATTGGTCTTGATCGAGTCATTGCCTATGGCCACACGTAAGATTCGCCAAAGGACCCCCGGAAGCTTTTTCTAACTCTCGTTCTCTAGATGGTCGCCATTGCATGAATTGGTTCCCGAGGTTCCGCTGCGTCACGGACACGCAATCTCAATAGACATGGCCTATTCGGCAACATTGGCCAACATGCGTGGCATCCTCAACGACACCGAGCATCAACGGATCCTGCGTCTATTTTCACGGGCAGGATTGTCCATGGACCACCACCAATTCGACGAAGAAATACTCGACAAGGGCACCAAGGCAATTCTGCGGACCCGAGATGGGAAGCTCCGAGCCGCAGTGCCTGCTCCGCTTGGGTCGTGCATCTTCCTGAACGATGTATCCATGGACGAAATGTACGCTGCGCTCAAGCGACACAAGGCCTTGATGAAGGATTTCCCTCGCAACGGAGAAGGGATTGAAGCCTTCGTTGACGCAAGCGATACCGGCTACACGATAAATGGACAGTCGGTGGAGACGAACGGCGTTTCCAACGGTCTGAAGTCGTTGCATGTGCTCAACGATGACGTTAAGAAGAACGAGATCAATACCAACGGCCACAAAGACATGGACGGGAAGATGACCAACGGTGTGTCAACCGCTACAAAGCATGCGTCGGATCCTCAAAAGGCCGACAGCCTGATCGAGGTGAATGATCTGGGCGATGATATTGCTAATGGCGTTAGCAAAAGGGTTGAAGTTCGGGCGTGATGTCAGGTGTGATCAAGGGCCGAAAACATTAGGATATCTATAGACTCTGAGGTATCTGGTAACGCAACGTCAAATAGATTATAGAGGATCTATCAGAAATCGATCAGGAATCAATTGTTGGCTTCTGGAGTGTCAAGGAATCGACACTGATTGATGAATCGATTCCCCAAAAACGCTTGCCTGCAAAGCATCAAACAATTATTCTCCAACCAACCAATCAGTAGACCCAGTTTACTCGGGCAGAGTAGTTGAGTCCTCTCCCGCTCAAATTTAAAACTTTAGTCCTACAAGGTCCTCTATGGTTGCCACTGAACATCAGCCTGCAAAGCGGGACACTGTGCTCTCAGTGACCTCGTCATCAAAGTTAAGCACGCTGGGAAATGTCACGAGGCACTGCTCAAGCATTTTCAAGCCCTCCAGGCAGGTTTCAAGGCTCATGTCTAATGCAGAGGCGCGTTTCATGTCGAATCGAGCTATTGAAGCAGCGATTTCCTCTGCAAAGGCCTTGGCTGCAAGCGTATGTGCATAGACCATGATAGGCGGATACTCCAGGAAGAAGTCAGCAAAGACGAGAGTAAGCCTACAGTGGTTGATCACTTACGGGATGTGCACCGATGTCCTGTATGTGCGCTTTCAAACCACTGGTCCCCTGAAGACCAGGGCTGGAGATATTCTTGTTTGTCAGAGCAAACATAGAAATGTTGACCGCGCTCAGCAGCCGTTGCTCCGCGTAGAAAGGACGCATGGATCGAAGGTCGTCAATGAGAGATTCCACTGCCGGCGTTGATGGCTGCCGCGAGACAAGGCTCTCGAGGTTTCGAATGACTTCATAAAGCAGAAGTATGGCAAGGTCCGCGTCATTTGAGCAGAAAAAAAACAGACGTCGCAAGTCGGTATGCGACTCCTCGAGGCGTCTGGTCAGAGTCGTGTCCAGGATCCCAAAGCAAGACCGCCATAACTCCATGACGGTCCGAGCCGCTGTGCAAGATCTCTTGATAACGTTGCAATTGACTTTGCCCTCCCGAAAGTCTCTGGCCACCACAGTCAACGAGGCCACGGCTTTGTATAGGAGGACCACAAATGAACCTGCTTTCCTCACCGCCTGGAACATTGTCGGAGGTCCCCTGTTCCACATTGTGACAACGTTCATTTCCTCTGTTTTCGCTCGGAGCACAATCGCATTGTCTATCTCTGGCTCATCTGCATGAGTCCCTGAGAGCGGACTCAGTTTCAATTGCTGGACCTGGTCTGTTTCCTTCGTAAAGTTGTCTAGATTCAGAAGAGTGTTCTCGGTAGGAAGTGGGCAGATCTTGCCACGGGACATTGCGATTGCCGTAGCATTGGCAATAGTTGCCAACCACTCAAGGGCACCAATTAACTCCAGAAGGTGTTTCTTGCCCTCCAGAGGCAGCATCTGAGCTGGATGGCGCGGGCCCGCTGTGGGTTTAGGAGCGTTGCTTTCGCTCTCCAGTAACAAAGCACGTGCCTGGGCACAGAGCTGATGAATTCGGCGAATGCCTTCGCAGCGGGCGTATGCGGAATCCTCTTCGTATGCGCAGCTTTCGTCATCTTGTTCAGGCGGAGGCACGATCTGGCCAAATAAGAGGAGCGACACCGCGAGACGGAATGAGGTTGTTGCCGAAATGTTTCCAAACACCGTCTGCTTAGCATGACGCCAAGCGGCATATGCGATATCGCGGCTGTACGGCAAGCTTGCCGAGCTGTCCAACCGGTGCTCGCCTTTACCATCAACTCGATGTACAACAAATTGTGTGGCAGTAGCTATGGCTACCCACTTGTATGTTTGGGTAATGCTAGCGTCGTGCTTCGCTGCAGAAGCTTGCGACATGTGAGCATCTCTTCTCTGAAAGAGCGCATCGAGTACACTAGCTGTATGGAAAACATACGGCGCAGATGCTGTTGATGTCCACGAGGTCGCATTCGTCTCCCAGCAGGTTTTGACCCACGAGGTCGCTCTTTCCCAATGTCCGCGTAGGTGCAAGCTGTTACTTACAGGCGTCAGCGCAGCGACACCTAGAGAGTAAGCTGGCGGCATGCTTCCTTGGAGTAGACATTGGGAGACCGGCATATCAATGACGTCAACGTAAAGGTTGAACTGCAGCGAACATGTTTCGCGCGAGGTGAGTTGTCTCACGAGGTTAGCTTCTGGTGCTGATACACATGTGGCCATGGCGTAGAGCGAGCCTTGAAGGCTCCGCTGCTTGTCGGTCGCGACTCCTGCCTCAGACGTTGCATTGCGTTCGTGACTGACGGACGACCTTCCTAGCCGCTTGCGAGCTTGGCGCTCCGCTTGTCTGCTAGAGAGCCATGTCGTTGTGCATTTAAGGCCACGGGTTAGGCATGTGCCACAAGGCGAAGACGGCAGCTTGTCCTTCGTTCCCACAGTCCACCGCAGATCACAGGCCCTCTTGCTGGCACGACACTGGTCACAGGAATGGGTTTGCGTGCGACTAGTGCGAATATATGAAGCACCCTCGGTGCGAGGCGCCTGGGGATCTGCATCCAAGACAGTATTGATTGGTACCAGGCCTGACTGGATAGTCTGAGGAGCAGGCTGTTCGGGGCTGGCTTTGTCATCGGGGTTGCTGTCGAGTGTACTGTTCTGATCGTCTTCGTAGTTCAATTCGAAGGGGGTGAGAGGTAACGTGATCGGCGAACAGCGTGCGTTATTCAAGTCATCTTCATGATTAGATCCAGAAGGCCAGAAAGGCAATATACTTGGTGTGAGGATGGCATTGTATTCCCGCCAAAGAAGGTGGTTTGTGTGACTGTCCCAGGGCGCATCGAAGGTCAATGGAGGCTCAGCGTCTGGCATCTCAGCCGACGCCATCTCTGCCTGCAACTCCGACATTTCCAAGTGAAGATAATAATGGTCGAGGATGGCTTTTGGGACTGCGAAATGGGATCATTGTTTTGGACGTAGATAGAAACGCAGCCGACCTCAGCATCAATGGTGGGCGAAAGAGGGGATCAAGCGTTGCCGATGCGCTGCCCAATGACCGTCCTACTTGAAAATACGCTAACCCCAGTTCAGCATGTATAAGCGCGGCTCCGCTGGCGGTTTCCGTCCATTTTTATCGAAGCTTAATTCCACACGGCGGAACGCTGGTCGCCCATCTCTTCGCTGGGCTCCATCTACAGTAGCAGAGAATGGACTGCTGTCTCTGTCCCCATGCGTATCTCGTCGGACAACCGCTCCTCACTGATCACGACCGCGGCAGGAAGCCAATCAGGCTGCGGCTGACCCAAGGCCATCTGGGCAATAGCCTCTCCGCTCGACCAACATTGGACCATACCATACCCATTGAAGCCTGCTGCAATCCATTCGCCGCCGCCCTCACCTCCTCTCTCAGCGACGCTCAAGGGCACTCTACCCACCAACGGGCTGTGATCTGGAGTGCTCCCAATGATGCCTGACCACACGCATTGCACTTCAGGAGATATCGTGGCCACATTCGAAGCATCGTTCCAGCCTTGCGTGAAGAGCTTCGGCAGCAACGTGGAGATATTGGTTTTCGAAATGGAGCTCACCTCACCATCGTCTGCGCTGACGAACTCTTCGAATGGCTGCCTTTCTCCCCCGAAAAAGAGGTCTCCGGTCTTGGCGTTCTGCTGCATGTAATACAACGGGCCCTCATACAACCCGGAGGCAGCGTCGTATCCTGGCCTTCTAGGAAAGAGCCAACACCGCTGGGACCCGACATTCGGGAACTGAGGGCCGCTTTTTTGACACGAGTTTGTGTGCCGAGTTGGGAATATCTTCCCTCGAAGACGTGGCAGCAGGTGTCCGGCGAAAGCATTTGAACAATGGAAAACGTGACTCGCTCGAACATCGCCGCGGTTTGTCTTCAGTAGATAGGGGTATTGGGTGTCGGTCTGAGGGCAGTAAGTGATTGAGGTCACTGGTGTGTTGGTCTCGATCTTGCAACGTTTGTGGTAGGATTTGAGAAGTGACTCAAAAACCCCGGTAATCAAACGATACGGCCAAAATACGATTCCTGGCATTGAAATGGCACCAGCACACTGTTTGAGATGATGAACCTATAATGGTCGTCAGCTTGAACAGGCAAGAACCCCAGGATCTCTTTGAATCTCTACCTTTTCTATCGACTCTCGATCTAAGATCGAATAAAGGTCTCTCTCCTCCGGAAAGGATTCCTGATATACCTTAAAAGAAGCAATTTCGTTTTCCATCAGGCTGGTTTCATTGTACGCAAGAATACACTCGACATTCCGCATCTGAACCGTGCTTTCGGCACCTGGACCTTGAGCTGTGATCAGGTCGACCATCTTCTGCACGGTTCTGTCGCAGAAACGAGCAAGTGTAATGGCTTCCTCTTTTCCAGAGCCCTCGACAAACTCTGCAAAGTACTTTGGTATATGAGACATGAGAAATCCAGCATTGCGGCTAGTCGCACCACTGCTCAGGGTACGAGCCTCGAATATGGTCACATTCCGGTTTCCGGACTCGGGGCTCTCGAGGAGAGTTTTTGCAACACTGCAGCCTGTGACGCCAGAGCCAATGATTGCAAAATCTGTGAATTGGCCGAGTTTCTCAGATTGTACCGCTGCCAGTGGGTGAGGAGGTACTTGCCAAGCAGGAGTGGTCGGGTTTCTTCTGGGAATTTGCGGATCGAGCAGTATCTGGCTAATCATTCGAGACTTGACGTCGTCAGGAAACAGTGGGACTCCATGGGCGGCCATCTTCTCAAATTCTTTCCGCGTAACTTAGAATTTCAGGTGAGACTTTGAGCAACTACGCTGTTTTCAATGATGAGAATCTCATAGAGCTCTTGTAGCTGCATATGTATTTACTGCAACTCTTCGCCATTCATATTTACTCCACGAATGTGGCCGTTGCCCGACAGACTTAGAGTTCCTATGCAAAGGGGAACCGCGGTTCCGCCAATTTGCAGGCCAACCATCCGCCAACCCGCTAATGGACATCCTGTTTTCTCTTATCCGGCAAAGCTCGAGCATACGGAGTGTCGGTGCCGCAGCGTTTGAGACGAGCATATCTCCCTACCACCTCAAAATCAGTTGCTGGGCACCCGGGCATACCGTATTATATATAGACAGAAGAATATCGAAACCCCATACTCCGCCATCACTACCACAAATTCTGTATTTGTGTGGACATCTCAAATTCATTCAACCTACGTGCAGTTGCCTAGTATTTCGCCCCTGTGAAAACGAACATTATGGCTGCAAAGCGATCAGTGTCCGTCCTGGGCTTGGGGGATATGGGCGCGGCCCTTGCTCGAGTTCTGGTTGAAAATGGCTGGAAGACAACCGTCTGGAATCGAACTCCAGCTAAAGCCCAGCCGCTTGTCACCGCTGGAGCAACTGCGGCTCCATCAGCAAACGAGTGCGTCCGTGGAAGCGAGCTGGTCATTGCCTGCTTGGCTAGCCCGAAAGCCCTGTACGAGGTCTTGGAGAGCGTGCGCCAAGAATCGGCTTTCGGCCGGATTTTCGTGGACTATACCTCTGGGACTCCCTCTGAAATCGAGCAATCTTTACACCTTACATTAAGCTTATCATTTTCGGCTTACATTCGTGGTGCCATCATCACAACACCAGCGTTTGTCGGATTCCCGGAGTCGGTCTTCTATTATAGCGGTGATGAGAGAACATACCGCTCGATCGAGTCCGACTTGGTGGTCTTGGGCACGCCGATATACCTCGGGGCTAATGTAAATGCATCTACGCTACAGGAAGTCATGATGGGCGGTTGTTTCTATGGACTTTCGACCGGCTTTTTACACACTATGGCAACACTGAAAGCCTCAAAGCTCTACACTCCTGGAGCAGCGCAACGCTTGATGGCTGAGCTTATTGTTCCATTGCTTACCCAAGAGATGCCCAGAGTCTTTTCGGATCTAGCCCGGCAGATCGACGAGAAAGATTATGTTTCAAAAGGCGCCGGCGTTCGACTCGATCAATTGATCAAAGCCGTGGAGGGGATGATCCGTACGAGCACGGAGTTAGGCTTGTCGAGCATTGTACTTGGCCCAATGCAGAAATTGTTGGAGGTGAGGCTGGCACAAGGTGGCGCGGCTGAAGAGATGAGCAGCTTGGTGGAAGTCATTGCCGATCCAGCCACAATCAAATAGAGCAATCTCATGGAGTTAGCATGAATTACGATCATAAATACTCGTACTTGTCCGTCAAAGACCTCTACAGCTGTGAGGCTCACATTGCATGATCTTGCCATGCTGAGAATAGTCCACTAGCCTACCTCGAGCGAAAAAGTTGGTAGTGAGATACTGCAATTGTTATTTTCCATTCCGTAAGCCTCGCTGACCCACCCCCCGGATTCAGAAGTGAATAGATATAATAACATGGTCCGGAAATTATGACTTCAGGATTAAGAAGATCAATCATGCGCGATGTTCGAAACGAGCAGGCATATGGAATCCTAAACGGCTACTGATGACCCATACAAGGTCGATCTCTCAGCCCGCTCCCTGACCCTCAAACCCTCACTGCTGGTCCTCATGTCCTGCCTGTTGGGCCATTTTGTCCTTGGAGAAAACGGCAAACCAGTATATGGTTGCAATAACCACAACTCCTCCGACGACGGCACAAGTCCAGTTCATAGTGGTCGGTGTCACCGGGAGATAAAGAGGCATGCTCAGCATCGCGGCGATAAATACACTCCACAATGATGCTAGCCAGAAAATCGCATCCCCCCAGCGTCCTAAGTTAAGCCAACGATCAGGGTTCAACGTCTTGCGCCCTTTATAGAGAGTCAATCCAAATGCTGTGACTATGGCGGATAATAGGCACACGTTAGCAGCTCCGAGGAGAGCGTTCATCTAAGAGCTGCGTGTTAGCGCGGGTGCTCCAAGGTTCAGAAACCGTGTCTCGAGGCTTGACAGGAATGCAGGACTTACAGCTGTAGATGAACCGATGCTAATGGCTCCAATTGCAAGCAGGAGGAACGTGTTCCAGAACAAAGCATTGACAGGCAAGCTGTCTCCAGATGTAAGTTGCGACATTTTTGTGGAGAATGGTAGAGCTCCTTCGCGACAAAAAGACCAGTAGAGTCGAGACCAGGTGATCAGTGAAGATGCAGATGCCACAAAGAAGCTATAGATAATCAGGCATGTACTGAATATCGTCAGAGGGAGCGAACGGAAGGCATTAAGCATGAGCTGGATCATGGACTGGCCTCCGACCGGTGTGAGCATACTTTCCGGATCAACGTTGCAAAACTCGTAGACCACGATCATTGGTAGCGCGGTGAAGAAGTTCAATAGGAATGTCCCAATAATCACCTGTGGGATTTTCTTCCGGGGATTTCCTATTTCATCCGTCAAGTGGGTGGCGTTGTCAAGTCCCGATAGACAAGAGAAGGCAGGTAATAAGGCCACAAAAAAGACAGTGCCGTTGGACCAGCCGGAAACGTTCACAAAATCAATAAAGACCGCATGTCCGCTTTGTTTGGGCTGGGCACGGGCCAAGAAGATGATAAGATACCAGACTGCTGTGCCGTTGATGACGAAGAGGGCAGCGATAAGCAAGTAATGCATCGTCCTGAAAATTCGAGGTAGATTAATGGCCAGACATAGTACTCCATAGGCGCAATAGACCAGGTAGGTCTGCCATGATGTGGCCACGAAATCTGGATGTGCTGCTTCGATTATCGCCATGGTGAACTGTGCCGTGTAAAGGAGGCAGGCCGAAGAAACGAAGAACCACCCAGCGTTTGTCAACCAGCCCATAATGTAGCCAAGGGTGCGGGCGTAGCGCTCGGGGGCCAGGACAATTACCCAGTGTGCAGGTCCTGAAGATATGTATAAATACCTTTCTTGGAGTAACTCTTGTTGACTTACCTGAAGAATGAGGAATTGCAGACGCCAACTCGGAGACTGCTAGAACGACTGGAAATTGGAAAATCCCCACCACTAAGAAGCCCCAGAAGTAGGCGGGCGAGCCACCCAATCCAATTGCCAATGATAAATAGGTGCCAATTGCGACAGGCGCTCCGGTCACAGAGAACTGCACGCCCATGGCCGAGAGCAAGCTGAAATGTTCTTTTGGGGTGACCTCGCTAATTTCCTCAGACGCATCGGTCGGCGTGCACTCGGTGATCATGTCTTTTGAGGCCCCGTACAGTTCCGCGGAGTCTCCTTCTTTGGACATCTTTGCCCAATTCACAATGGTACAGGAATGAGGATGAAGAAGTACTGACTTGCTAAGGAGGTTGAGGGTGTTCGAAATGTATTCTGAAGCAATGAGAGTCTCAAGCAAAGGTGGATAGGTCCAAGACCTTGTTCTACCTGGACGTTTATCATCAGTTATCTGTTTGATGAAGCTTTGCTACACTTGATCTAACAGTTTATCAAGTTGGGTTGTGATAGCTTCTGCAGGAAGCCGTAATTGGTTAAAAAGCGGAGCTACTTAGGCCTGGAACTTATCAAGCTTCTTCGGTGCCGCGGAATCGACAGTTGCAGTAAGTCGATTGGCCCTTAGCCTTCCAAGAGGTTTGCATAAAGCTGGGACAAGGTTGAGCGACGTTCCTTGATAAGCGATACCTGCGGAGCCGAGCACTCGGGGGAAGCCCCACCAATCTGGGGATCGGCCATTAGCGGTGACAGCATTTTCGCAACCAAGTTTCCATTTCCCCCCGCATTGAGGTGTCTTGAAACTTATCTCTCGCCATTGTCAGGGCCCTAAGCCACCAGCATGCCCCTTGTGACGCCACGTAAGCCCTGTTCACACCGTTGTATCCATCCCAGTCGCACACGTCGCTCATAATCTTTCTTTCGCCACATGTACGAAAGGACCTTCCGCCATGGAAAGTACCGTGCCCTGCTCATCCACCATCTCTGCACCAACCGAATACTTTCTTCCTTCCGGAACATTGGTAATCTTCGCCTTACCAACACTGCTGCTGGACTTGGAATGGGTTTCATAAATTTGATACGCAAATCTACCGTGAAATTATCAGGGTCCAAGCCGTGAGTTCCTGCAGACAGAGACAAGAATGCTCATAACCTCGTTGAGCATGGTTGCTTTGCTCAGCCAAGGCAGACCCCGACGTACGCCGGGAGTCCTGACCTGAGCGAGAGCAAAGTCCGCACTTCGTCTTTCAATCTCCTTTCAGTAGTAGTTCATTGGGACGGGCCTGGCGTGTTCGCGCATGACTCTAGGTCGTTTCGCTGTGCACGGTCCCGCACGCTCGGTTATATCTTTACGGAGGGAAATTCAATATGTAGCCAATCACGATTAAAAGGGAAGCCTGAGCTTGGACACCTAAGTCATTTTGCTGTCGACTAGTCTGCATTATTACCTTGCGGAGTGGCTTCAATCATGCCTCGCTACGGGAGAATAAGTGGTGTTTGCACAGTAAAATTCCACCTTCAGACGACGTCTACTCTCGGCTCCGCGCTGATCGGCGAGATTGAGATCATACTCTTTCTCCTTCTGCTGCATTTGGTTTTACGTACACATGCTCCTTTCCTCAAAAGTGGAGACCTGTTTCTCTGCTAACCGAAAACCAGACGTCCTACGCCCATCCGAAAGGCTGTACAAGTATATGCCACATTGATGCCTCGAATACTGTCTACAATGAAATCTCTCTATACTCCCTGAAGACTTCTACCATGGCCATCTCATCAGCGTCCCAACAAGCTGCCGAAAGGGAGGTTGAGCGATCCGTCTCGGTTCTGGGCCTAGGACAGATGGGTTTCGCAGTTGCCCAGGCTTTCACCAAGAAAGGATACAAAACCACAGTTTGGAATCGAACCGCCGCCAAAGCCCGACCATTGGTTGCGGCAGGTGCAATAGTGGCGACTTCGGTGGGCGACTGTATCGCTTCAAATCAGCTGGTCCTCAGTTGCTTTATCGAGACCCAAGTCCTCATCGAGGTTTTGAAGACGGTCGACCCACAGCTCTGTCGGGGTCGCGTGCTGGTGGACTTCGCCTCGGGAACTCTCCGCGAAACTCGACAGTTCCAGACAATAGCTAGGGAACTATCCTTCGCTTATATACGGGGTTCCATAGCGTCAACGCCACCATATGTCGGCTCATCCCAGATTCACGCTTGGTATTGCGGCAATGAAACAATTTTCAGATCGATTCAGCCGGATTTAGCGGCGCTTGCCCAACCAGGGTATATTGATAACGACCCAGGCACGATTGCCTTACACGAATGTGCTGGAGGAAACATTTTCTATGCCTTCGCGGCCGGCTTTGTGCAAGCAATGGCAGTTGTGAAAGCCTCGGGAAAATGTCATCCAGGGGGGGCGGAAGACTTTGTGAATAAATTCATGATTCCCTTCCTTCATACCTTTCCCGATACTTTCCGAGACTGGGCCCATCAGATCGACAACCAGAACTACGACGCCCATGGTAAAGGCGCTCGCCTAGGCCAGTCTGCCAAATCCATCAATTTAATGAGGCGGTTCAACACCGAGTTAGGCTTGACGAGTGTAATCCTGGACCCAGTGCTCAGTTTGATCAAGCATCGGATAGCGCAAGGGGGTTCAAACGAAGAACTGAGTAGCCTAGTGGAAACGATTGCAGACTCTAAAGCCGGTATATAGCTGCATGTAATAAGAATAAGACTTCGTGTGAATCTTTGTTTTACTCCACCGCAAAGAAGTTTGCATTTCAGCCTCCTTCCTAGCTCTCTCTTTCAGGCAATAAAGGTCGGCCTCCTACAGTGCCTGTCGAGTCCAAGCAACATATCAAGCAAAGGGCCCTAAACAGAGGAAGACTTTTGCCCAGAAGGACAAAGCTTGGTTTCCGCTGATGCGTATTTTGCCATCGACCGAAGTAGTAGGATTGTAGATTTAGATGTTAGCGATGCCCAACTCTCGCGCGATGATAACTGCAGCCTTTTCCCCGATAACCAACGCAGTGTTGTTAGTGTTGGCACCTACGTTCTCAGGTGCGATGCTGGAGAAGATTCAGAATCCACAATTTGGAACATGGTTGACAGACTTGAAAACTCACCTAAGATCCGCAACCTTGAGCCCGACCGTGCCATGCACGTTGAGATTTTCATCCACGACACCACCTTGCTTCGCCGGTTTCATCGCAATCATACCCGCAGACGGTGTCATTGGCGGAGTTGATGTGTATCGAGCCGCGAGAATAGGGGTACGCGGTATAAGTTCCGACAGTAAAATATTGGCCGGGCTCAACAGTCGCTGCATCACCCAGAAACGCGTTGATGACGCCGCAGAGCATCACCGGACGAGTCGGATGAGGCGCAAAGTCGCGTTTCCAATCGGCCTCAAAGTCAGCGCCGAGAAGCTTGACCTCTTCATCAGTCATTCGAAGCTTCGACGCAATGTCTAGAGATAGCCATGTTAGCCCCAAAGAGATTGTCCAAATAATCGGAGGCATCATCATTACCGATGCCATTCCATCCCATTCGAGGGTCTTTCTCCTGTATCGCAGTCGCAAAACTCTTCCGTGAACTGAACAACTCATCGAGTGTCTCCGTTGGAGGTAAGTTCGACGTGTACGAAGATAATACCAGGTGGTGATCTTGATAGTTTTCTCCCACGCCGCGCAAATCGCTAATGACCTTGATCTTCAGGCCTTCCAATAACTGTGAGTTCCCAATGCCAGAACGCTCCAGTATCTGAGGGCTTCCCAGAGCCCCTGCAGAGACGACCACGAGCTTTGCAGCTCTAATGAATTGCAAAGTCGGCTTTGAGAGCGAAAGAGCGGGTTGGTGTTCCGGGTCAGTTTGATATTCAACTCCAATCGCGCGCGGAGGGACCGCCTGTTCGTCGAAAATGACACGGACGACCTTTGAATGGACCAAGATGTGCAAGTTTGGATGTTTGCCGTCTCGAAGACGGGGGTGGATGTAACAATGGGCGGCGTCTTGTCTCTTTCCGTCGAGCGAAACATATCGCTGCCATCTCTACCAGCTGGTTAGCAAGTCCAAAGCAGTTTAAAATGGTATTAAAATGAAATTCTACGTCAAACGTACCGAAAAACCCCCCACTTGGTCCAGATCTTGAAGATCTACGATCTCCTTGAATCCCATTGCCTTAATGCTATCCATGAAAACGTGCTCGCTCTTGCTTCTGAAGCCGCCAGATGAGACATGGATTGGTCCCTCGTGTCCGTGTCTTCTCTGGTTGATTGCACTCTCACCTTGTTGAAATGTCTCAAGCTTGTTCAATAGGGGCATTATCTCACGGGCGTTCCATCCGACCGTGTTCCAGCTATCGAAATCAACGCCTTGGGCACGGGTATACATCATGAAGTTGATAGACGAGCCTCCGCCGAGAATCCCACCTGTTGGTACCACGGCTTCGCGGCCATTGAGGTACTTTGACGGTTTGGCTTTGTAAAACTACGTCGTCGTTAGCCGTCGAACTTGAACCATCTCTGCTCTCTTCGCCCAATCTAGACATGTTCTGCGGATCCTGCATAGCCTCTTACTTGAAGGACCAAGGTATTGACTTACTAGAGCGGTTTTGCTTTCAGGGGCCAAGTGGGTTAGATATGCAGCTGGATGGACTACTGTCGGATCTTGGAAGTTGTTCGGCCCTCCTTCTATCAAAAGTATCTTCAGATCCGGGTTTGCCTTGGCAAGTCGTCCGGCAGCAACACAAGCAGCAGTTCCTCCCCCAGCAAAGATAACATCCATGGCGCCATGCTTGTCGAGATCGAATTGCGCCATTTTTTGACCATGCTTGGATTTTAGTATTGCCCTAGAACTTGGTAGCTCTTATACACGTGGAAATTCACAGGTCTTTCAATGAGATGTCAGTACGAATACCTGGAAAGCGCGTGGGAGACGGAGTCTCTCATTCTTGACCCCTACTGCACACTCTATTTATCCCCGGCGCGACTGGTCATAGCCATTCGTCCTGTAGCGGGTTGGGCACTGTGTCGGGAATTGAGGCGAGCAACTCAGCCGGGGCTGATGAAAACCATCGGCTGTGTAAAGTCCCAGTCGAAGTATGAGGGCGCGCCAGTCGCCTAATGCGGGCTAGAGGATTTATAGACCCACATACCTTCGACACTATCATGCCCCATAGTAAACTGTACCCCGGAATATACTAAAGATCGCTCGTGTGTCGGAGCCGCGGATTGGCGGTACCGCAAGTATGATATTAAACTCCGGTTGGAAGACTTCTTTTTGTCAATGCATACCGATAAGCTGTGCTGTGGATGATGGAAGACCTTGAAGATCAACTCCCTCTGTTGTCCAACCGAGATTTCAAAATCCCGAAACTTGCTAAAGGCTCAAGAACCTTGAAGTGTAAAGCCTGTCCAGTTCGACCTCTGGTGCTGCCAGCTTGGCAATTCTGAGTCCAACTGGCTTTCGCTGTCAAGATGACCACCATTCCCCAGGTGTACCGACGACCAGGTCAGACCAACGGCGGCGTGACTTTTCTGGAGAAGCTTGATTTGATACCTGCCATCTTCTCGATAGGTCTGATTTCCACCAGAAAGAGCCGTACGACAAAGCAATACTGACTGAAATTCCAGTTTGCACTCTCTTCAGGCAGTTGCTCAGCGGCCCATTTCGTGGGGAACGTGGGACGAACTCTTACCGACACCATGTCACCCATGGTGTCGTCCGCAAAGTAAGCGTCACCTATACTTCTGCATTAGAGGACGTCCACTGATCGTTTTCAGTTCAACAACCGCTTGACGACATCACAGTGGCACTACATCTCCAAGCCTTTTCGAACGCATTATCAGAGCTACTGCAAAGTAAATTCTCTAACACCCCAGGTCACTAAACTGAAAAATGGCACAGAGGCGTTCTGGATAGGATCACCCACGTCCAAAAGGGTAATCGTCTATTTTCATGGCGGTGGGTTCTCCTTGGACGGTGGGCCAGAACATTTAAAATTCTGGGGAGACTTGGTGAGAAACCTCAACGCCGACAGCCCGCAATCGGTGGCAATTCTCTTCCTGGCATACACGTTAGTCCCGTACGCCACCTATCCAACCCAGATCAGTGAAGCGGTGGAAGTTCTCAAGCACCTCTTTCAGGACATGGGCCGATCACCATCCACGATCTCACTAGGAGGCGACTCGGCAGGTGCCAACATGTGCGTTGCTGTCCTCTCACATCTTCTCCATCCCTGCCCAGAACTACCGTCCCTGAGCGTCAAAGAGCCGCTCAATTCTCTCATACTCGTCGGTCCTTGGATTAGTTTTCGAGTCGACTTTGAATCTGGCAAATACAATGCCACCCGGGATATTATTTCCATATCTAATGGCCGTAAATGGTCCACAGCATACATGAACGGAGCGCCTCCTACACCTTATGCTGAGGCATTCAACGCAGACCCAGGCTGGTGGAAGGGCGCTGAGACAAAAGTCAAACATGTTCTATGTGTTGCTGGCAGTGATGAGCTACTGATCGACGTTATCAAACTATGGGTAGAAAAATACAAGTCTGAAACTCCAGAAGGTCATCTCGAGTTGGTCGTCGGTCGCCACGAGGCTCACATCGCTCCCATCTTCGAGCCTTTGTTGGGTGACTCGTCGCCTACGCAGCAAGGGGAAGCCGTCAAAGCTTTTTTGAAGGCTAAAGTCTTGTAGCAGGAGTATGAACGCAAACGAGACTGATGAGAGGATGGTCCTTTGACTCAAGTGCTACCAGTACCTAAAAGATTGCAAAGTGAGCCTGATAAAGCTTGGGGGCTCGCCCAGCCTACCCCGAGATTCCAAAACCTTTCGTCTAGCCTAATTGGGATCACAGCATTCGCTACACAGCAGAAAACAGAGACGGCTATAAGCCTGCTCTCTCTCGTGAGTGCTATCATCAGAAGCCTGTTCTTCACGGTTCCCTTACTAATAGGTCTAATTAGGAAGGCTGTTTAAGTCTTTTTGGGTGAGACAGCAATTAGGGAGCCGCGGAGCCGGCGCGGTCCCACTCCACCAACAATTTCCCCCCATTAATGCCGCTAGCGATTATTCTTCTATAGTCTCGACCATCCGAAATAGAAATCATTACTCACGTTTTCCACCCAGGCATTCTTATTCCTAAGTACGACTCAGTCTCCATGACTTCGGCAGTGGCAGCAACTGACTTTCTGACTGCTTAAAGCGTTACAGAATTACCATTGCACAAAATCAAGCTTCCATTCAACAGAGCTCCCGTTTATGTTTAACGGTATCAGTCCGAGAAAAGAAACCAAGCCATGAAGAAACAATACGATGTTGCAGTCGTCGGAGGAGGGTTCGCTGGGACTGTTGCTGCCCGCGACCTTAGCAAGGAGGGGATTTCTGTCGTTCTGCTTGAGGGTCGAAACAGAATCGGTGGAAGAACTTACACTGGCGAAGCATTCGGCACTCAACTCGACCTAGGTGGCACCTATGTGCACTGGACTCAGCCCAATGTTTGGCACGAATTGCAGCGGCACAATCTTACTAGGCTGGTACCACCACTGGATCAAGGGGAGAAAGTGTTCTGGCTGGCTGAGGACAAAGTGCACTCTGGGACACAGGCGGATTTCCTGAGTGCCGTTGGTCCAGCGATGGCACGACTCGTTGGGGATGCTCGGGCGCGTTTTCCGATGCCGTTTGACATCCATGCCGTACCCAATAGTGAAATTCGAACGGAGACTATTGAGGATCGCATGAATTCGCTGAACCTCACAAGCTACGAACGGGATGTTTTGGAAGGTGCATTGGCAGGTGTGTGCCACTCATTCAGCAAACACGGCATGGAGCAACTTCTCTGGACTGTGGCAGCGTACTTCGGAGAGTACATGGCCTTCTTTGAAACTGCTGGTACATTTGCTATTCAGGGCGGCACCAAGGCTTTGGTGGACGCCATTATGGCTGAGTCTTCAGCCGACGTGCTCTTGTCCACACCTGTCAGTGCCATTGCCGATGATGGCTCGCAGGTCACCGTGACGACCCGAGGGGGTCAACAGATTTCTGCCAGGTCAGTGGTCGTTGCGGTACCAATAAACACGATAGCCGACATCAAAATCACGCCAGAGGTCCCCGCGCCAGTCCGGACTATGATCGAGCAAAGGAATCCAACCCTGGCTAACAAGCTGTGGGTACGTGTAAAGGGTGAAATTGAACCATTTGGCATTTTTGCCCCGATCGGCAAAAATCCAATCAATGCAGCCAGAACTGAGGTCCGTCATGAAGGTGACACGTTGATAATGTGTATCTGCTCCGATGCAGCGGCAATTGACTACAATGATTTAGATGCAGTACAAGCCGCACTACGAGTATTCGTGCCAGATATCGAGGTGGTTGGCACCGCATGCCATGATTGGGTCGCCGACGAGTTCTCTCAGGGAGGTTGGATGATGCACCGGCCGGGAAACCTTACTGGTGCTGCGCCACAGATGCGACAGGCACATGGCCGGATTTATTTTGCTGGCGCAGATATCGCCGCGATAGATGTGGGTGCGATAGAGGGAGCTATGGAGACGGGTGCCGTGGCCGCTCGTGAGATTACTGCTGCCTTTTCTGGTAAAAAGCGCTAAAGTTGTTCCATATGGGCAATCAGTCGGATCAAACTGAGGATAGAATGCGCTTTTGCATTCGATATTATCGCAATGGCATCTGTCTCGCGCCATGCCATGAGACACGCTTGAGGACGGACTTGTCAGTTGCCTCAGCTTGGACAAAAGTACCTAGACTTGTGCCTGCGTAGGAACATTCGCTACTCAGACTCGTTCTCTAAAGCACCAAAGCCAAATCTCTTCATCGCGATCGTCCGCTGGATAGGCGGAGCCGCGGAAACTGTGATGGTCTCGCAAAATCTCAAGCTTTTATGTTCTCTTAGAGCCTGGCTAGAAACTGGGGCATCACTAGCTTCAAAGGAGCCTGCAGATCAATATGGTGTGATTATCTTTGAAGGATGAGCTTCTAGAACTTGCGAAGCTGCGGCTCCGGTGCATGACCCCTGTGTCAAGACCAACTACCATTACCTGCTACTGACCAAATTTTATTGGACAGCTGCATATGCTGCCGAAGTCAAGCTGAACAGAGACTGTGTGCATTCCACACCTATCCGTTGGGCCGCCCGAGACGGGGAAATCAAGGTCCAGAATTAATGAGACTGTATAAATCGCGTCAACCGATGCTCTCCGTTTAGGCTCGTCCGGAATCTAGCTTGCACAATACCTACTGAAGACCTCTCCAAGGTACAGAATAATCGTATGATTTTGCCAAACGGACACTTTCAACCATGCTTCACAGCGCGGCCGGACCAAAATTTCGAGCAGTCGAAGCAGCCGACGGTGCGGACGCCATCTTCAACATTTTCAAAAATGATGGCTGCGTCGTCATCAAGCACGCCCTCAGCCCAGAGCAGGTGAAGACTTTGAATGCCGAGATCGACATTCCCATGTCCAAGATCGATGCAGGCTCAGACAAGACGGATCCTGAAATCCAGGAGTTTCACGGCGCCCAAACCAAGCGCCTGACGAACCTGGTCACCCACAGCAGAGTATTGCGCGAAGAAATTCTCAACCACGATCTTATCCACTCTGTGTGTGAGGCGGTCTTCAAGGCGGATTCTGGAGACTACTGGATGACCACAGCTCAGGCAATCGATATTGGTCCCGGCAACAAAGCACAACCACTGCACCGCGATTTGGCACAGTACCCGATATTTATAAACATGGGTCGCGATGGTCCCGAAGCGATTATCAATTTCTTCATCGCACTAACCGAGTTCACGGCCGAGAACGGGGCCACTCGATGTATTCCTGGTAGTCACCGGGACGAGAACTTGTGGGACTTTGGACAGCCTGAAAACACTGTCCCTGCCGTGATGGAAGCAGGAGACATTTTCTTGTTTTGCGGCAAACTGATCCACGGGGGCGGTGTGAATCGGACCACTGACTTTGTTCGGCGCGCCATCTCGCTGCCCTTTCAGGCCTCCTATCTGACTCCCGAGGAAGCATATCCTTTCTTGGTGGATAAGGACATTGTAAAGTCGATGCCGCCACGAGCTCAGAAGATGATTGGGTTCCGCTCGGTTTTCCCGAAGGGCAGTCCTGGCCTGTGGCAGAGCGATGGCAGAGAGCTGGCCACAATCCTTGGGCTATAAAAGTGCCAGGCTACATGGCACTTCTTTTGTTCAAGAGAAAGCAGGTCGAGGTCGAGTGAGGTCGGGATATAGTAGCCAACATACCTCTTCTTAGAAACCAATGAATAATGATCTCCATCTTCTCGCTGTTCACTCTCGCTATTGATCGACTCTAAGCATCGGTTGAATAAGACCAATGTGAAAACTAACCATGTGTCAACAGTAAGTCGGCCTTCTAGTCCACGTCAAGTCTACCTGCAGTAAATTAACTTTTCTTTATTGTCTACTGTCGTACTAAACGCCGGTTTGCGAGATGTAATTTGACTTCTTCTACAGATGAGAAGACGTCCTCCGCCCTCATCAGTCTCCAGATCGTGAGGCACGAGTGAAGTTACATCCATTCCTCAACAACAGGCTCAGACTTCCATCGACCACTCCAAGCCCGTTTTGATGCTTCCCCATCGAGCAGAAAATATATCTCTCCAATAGTACGACCGACGACGCCATACAGACTGAGCAGCAAATCTGGGCATATCCGCGTTTCCTTCCTGAACATAGGTCGAATTCAGCTTCATGAATCCCTCCTCTCTCAGCCTCGTTTTCTCGTTGCTCTCGTAGCGAGGCACTATCATGGAGAATTTGTCCTTTTGCATCTTTCTCAGTAATCTGCACGCAAGCTCCGCGGTTGCCTCCAGTCCAAGGGTCCAGCTGGCATCGACGTAACCGAATGAGAGGATAGCATTGGGTAAGCCGTCGAGCATGGCTGCTCTCCACATGTAATGTTCTGAAATCCGAAAGTCTTGGCCGTCGACTATAAATTTGACCCCTCCTGCAGCTTGCATTTTGAGTCCCGTAGCCGTGACGATGATATCTGGCGCCAACTCTTCTCCAGATTTGAGACGAATACCAATCTTTGTAACTGTGTCAATAACACCGGTCTTCACACTACCTTTGCCGCTCCTTAAAGCCTCGTAGAAGTCCCCGTCAGGACACATGCACAACCTTTGCTCCCACGGCCAATATTTTGGATCGAAGTTCGGGTCCAACGACATTCCCACTGGCAACTCCTTCTTGGTCATGGAACGAAGCATCCTCCTGGCTACCCGTGGAAACCACTGGCAATAGCGCACCTGCAGCAACGGTAACAATATCCATTTGAAACGGATCAACTTTGCCGCCAACCCTCGTGGACAAGCTAACCTAATGGCTCTCTCTATAGCATCCTCCCTCGGTATTGAAACTATATAACTTGGTGACCGTTGGAGCATTGTCACATGAGAAGCTTTCTCGGAGACTGCCGGTAACAACGTAACGGCAGTTGCCCCAGAGCCGATGATAACGATGTTTTTATCGGCGTAGTCGAGATCTCGAGGCCAGAATTGAGGATGAACAACCGTTCCCTGAAAGTCGCTCAATCCTGGGATATTGGCATTGCGACCTCGGTGGTAATCATAGTAGCCGGTCCCGAAGAAGAGAAATCGCGCGGAGAGAGTCTTCCCTCTCGCCGACTCCCCATCTGTCAGGTCGAGAGTCCACTTCTTGGCCTCAGTAGACCACTCCGCTCGGGTTACACGATGGTGGAACTTGATCTTTTGGTCGATTCCTTCCTGCGCCGCGCACTCCTTGAGGTATTGGGCGATCTTGGACCCGTGGGCGATCGCTGATCTCTCATTCCAGGGCCGCCAAGAGTAGCCAAATGTGTAAAGATCTGAGTCGGACCGTATACCTGCACAGCACATGAGCTTCTTTACTTCTATTTCCGTGAGCGCAGTGTATCCTCACCTGGGTACTGGAACAGGCTCCAAGTTCCACCCACCTCATGGCGTGACTCTAGAATGCAATAACTGAGGTCGGGATTGCGTACTTGCAATCTGGATGCTAGACCGATGCCAGAGATGCCAGCTCCGACAATGATGACGTCGTAATCGACATCCTGTAACTTTGACTGGGAAAGGGGAATCATTTTTGCTGGATTTGTCTCCCTTTTTCACCTGGTGATCCTGAACCTCTGTCGAGCACGTCGTCTTTCGAAGAACGTTGGACAAGAAGGGGATGAGATTATTGCTCGGCATCCTCAACTGGAGCCCCGAGGCGCCAACTTATGTCTAGTATCAAGTCAAGTATACCAGGCTCATAGACGTCAGTCCCCTAGCTATTTCGGCGTGGTTCTCATGCTCTAATTAGGCTGTTGCTTGTCCAAGTTACAGTAGCTTGCGGACCCGCAGAACCCCAGACTCGCGGAGCCGCAGACCCCTGACCTCACTGCCTACCTCGTTGTTAGGGGCCTGCCCCTGCTAGCCTTCCGCTCCAACTGTGATAGAGCTATCTGAGGCTGCCCGGGAATTTTAATTTTTTGTTCTTGATCGCACGCACATGGAACCGTCAACGGTTCCGCGGGTATATACCCCGTCCACCATGTCTCATGGGCCTCGAGGCAGAAGCTTGCCCCGTTCCAGGGCGATCTTGATAGCTGGACCAATTTCGCATAAAAGACAGGAAGATGCCTGTCAAAGTTCTCTGGTCCCCGTGTCCCAAACAATCAGAATTTTCAGGCACCGAAAGAGTCCACTGCTTCCTAAAGCGTCATCATGATTCAAAGCTCCAAGCAGGTCGTCTTTATCGGCGCTGCCGGCGAAATGTGCCGGGTGGCTATTAACTTGTTTGCCAAAGCAAGCGCTGCACCTCTCTTGCTCGCCGACATCAACGAGACCACACTCGAGCGTGTAGCCTCCGAACTCCCAGAAGGACGTGCAACGACACGCAAGCTCGACCTTTTTGACCCTACTGCTCTCCGCGAGATAGTCCAGGGCGCCGCACTAGTGGTGCTTGGCGCCGGTCCTTATGCCCGGACGTCAATGCCAGTCCTTGAGGCTTGCCTTGAGGCAAGAGTTCCCTATCTCGACTACGACGACGACGTGGAGAGCACGCAGGCCGCGCTTGAATTGAATGAGAAGGCTAAGAGTCTTGGTGTCCCTTGTTATCTTGGTTGCGGTGCCTCGCCGGGTATGAGCAATATTATGGTGATGGACGCTGTAAAAGGCCTTGATACAGTGGACAATATCGACCTCTGCTGGTGGGTCGGTGACGAAAGAGGTGCCGGAACAGGCAAGGCAGTCATTGAACACTTTCTCCACATCACTGCAGGACCCTGCTTGACATGGGAGAATGGCAAGCCCGTGGTTCATGAAAGCTTTGTTGAGACTGGATATGCTCCTCTCATACCGGGCCACGGTGAGACTCTCTTACACGAGACCGCTCACCCCGAGCCGGTGACGCTTCCACGGCTTTTCCCAAACGCTACTCGAATCCGGTGTCTCGGTGGGGTTGATCCAGTCCCATTCCAGGGCTTGGGACGTGGCCTCGGGACAGCAGTCCGTACGGGCCGTATACCAATGTCGACTGCCGTCGATTTTATTTTCGGTCTGATGAACGAGCCACCTTCAGCTGAAGGTTTCAGCGCAGCTATGGGCTTCCTCAAGGAACAATACCGAGGCGGTGATATTTCGGTGAAAGAGCTGCTTCAGTTAGGATCCCATGCTGTTGAGACTGTTGCACCATGGCGGTACGGCTTTGCTGGTATGTTCGACCAAGTCCGTGAGGGAAAGGTTTCCACCCTCGAGTTGTTGAGTTTTCTCATCAACTCGGCTCGCGGCAAAACCGTCCCAATACGGTCCGGTTTACTGGCTCGTGTCACTGGAACCCGCAATGGGGCTCCGGTTGTATCGATGAGACGCATTCCTACGACTGGCAAAGACGCCTTTTTGGGAAAGAGTATGGGTGCTGTGACCGGAGCTTCTACGGCAGCTTTCATGCTGCTGGCAATGGATCCAGAGAACAAGAAGCGCGCCGGTGTCTTGTGTCCCGAGGACTGGGCTGAGCCGCAATCTTTCTACGAGGCTCTTGAGCGCATCGGATGTCCAGCGAAGGATATTGTCGAATCGCTCTGAGAAAATCCAGCGTGGAGGGTCGATCAATTACCACAAGTTGTCAACAAGATGCATATGCTTCAAAATGTGGAAATACTTGAGAGGACGAAAGTATGCATTGCCCCAGGGTCAGTTATAGTATTTGAGCTTGAACCAAAAATCCATGTTAGATCCTACATATCATCACTAGAGTTGCAGGAGATTCCTAGTGAAAGCAATACTGGCAACATTCAAGGCCTACCAAAAATTGGAGTAAATGTTGACTCGCTAGTCTCGTTAAGGCATAAAATACCTACCTACATAGGTAGCTATCCTCTGTATATGCTTACCACGCCTGTCATTTACACCCTGCCTACCTTTGCCAAACGCAAAGTGACCTTTGATTTCGCAAATGTAGATTTCCCAGTCTTCACCCCCCTTTAAATTTTGATGGTCATTTAGAGTGCGTTTCGACCCTGGACCCCGGCCCCCAATGCTGATGAGCCGGCCACGACAACTAGACTCTGTCATGATGTCAGAGACAAGGCTGGTTTAAACGTTGAAAACACGGCATATGACCAGAGCTTAAGATTCGATGCTTCTGATGCTGTCTATACCGGTATTATATTTCGCTGATTATGTGTTCTTCTAATTCCTTCCCTGGGACTTGAGACGCCCCAGCCCTTGCGTTATCCCTCCCATTTCGCCCGATCATCCCGCCTTGAAACATGGAGGCTACCTATTTTACGTGCACGTTAGGCCAGGCCGTGAACCACCAACAAGGCAAGTCATACAGGACAATCGCCGAGTTTATCGACTTCAAGGCGCACAATGCTTCTGACGTACCTGTACTCGGTTTGTACCAGCTCACACCGAAGCCTGCACAAGAATGGATTCCTCATGTCCTGACCTTCAAGGACGTCTATAAAGGTATCAACCTGGTCGCTGAGGCGGTGTTGAAAACGTTTGATGATGTCCCACAGCGACAGACGGTGGTCCTTCTGTGTCCGAGTTCGCCAGGGCTTTTGTTCACCTGGCTGGCACTGATTTGGCTCGGTCACCCGGTCCTGCTGGTTGCGCCTCAATGCTCTCCATCTGCGATTACCCAGTTGTGCAAGTCCTGCGGAGTAGAGTTGATGTTGTACGAGGAGCCTTATGGGGACCTTGCGACGAAGGCCTCGCGGGAGGCAACGCAATCAGACGATAGATCTCTTACCGCTCACGGCGTGCCTTTTGCTGGAGAGAATATCCTCCAAGTCATTAAGCATACACCTACCGGTCCACTTATACCTCCAGTTCATGTCCAAGAAACGGAAGTGGCATATCTCCACCACACATCCGGTACCTCCAGCGGCGTTCCCAAGCCGATCCCTCAAACGCACAGAGCAGCGATTGGGGTACTCCCGATCCTCGACGGCACAAAACAGGCAACGTTCACCACAACACCGCTCTACCACGGCGGTGTCGCCGATCTATTCCGGGCTTGGACCAGCAATGCCATGATCTGGCTCTTTCCCGGCAAAGACCTTCCCATCACGGCTGCAAACGTTTGCAAATGCCTCGACGCCGCTTTGACCCCCGCGGCTGACGGGATGGCACCGGAGACAAGGTATTTCTCCTCTGTACCGTATGTCCTACAAATGCTAGCCGAGGACAAGGATGGCCGGAGCCATCTCCAAAGGATGGATATCGTGGGCGTCGGAGGCGCGGCTCTACCGGCCGAAGTTGGCGACAGCCTCGTCAAGGACAACATAAACCTCGTCTCGCGGTTTGGCAGTGCTGAGTGTGGGTTTCTCATGTCGTCCCATCGAGACTATGCGAAAGACAAGGAATGGCAATACCTCAGAGCCGCACTCGGAGGAGAGCTTCTTCAGTTCGAGCCCCAAAGCGAGGGGGAGGGCCTTTCAGAACTCATCGTTCGACCAGGATGGCCACATATGGTATATATTCCACATCCCACGATATACCTTTCTTGTGTGCTATCTGATAACTGATACCGTGACAGGCCAAACGGAACCGAGACGACGCCTCCTTCGCCACAGCCGACCTGTTCACGCCGCACGCGACTATCCCCGACGCATGGCGGTATCATTCCCGAGCTGACTCGCAGCTGACGCTCATCACTGGCAAGAAATTCGACCCGGCGCCGCTCGAAGATGCCATTCGAGCATCCCCGGCCTCGGCTGTGACCGAGGACATTCTGATCTTCGGCAACGGCAGACCCTACCCAGGGGCCTTGCTGTTCCCTCGCAACACAGTTAGAGGCGGAGATGTCATACTTCAAAGAGTCGCACCGGTGGTCGAAGCCCTGAACCGCCAGAGCCAGAGCCATGCGCGGATACCGAAGAACATGCTCATCCTCATGGATCATCTCGACGGAGCACCACTGGAGAAGAGCAGCAAAGGAACAGTTCTCAGGAACAAGGCTGAAGAAAGATTCGCCGTACAAATCGCAGCTGCCTATGCAGAAGAGGCGCTCCCCAACGGTACTGGGACTGGTCTTCATCCTCCAGAGGTGCCCGACGATGAAATACCCGCAAGGATTCGCAGCATTGTTCAGGCCGTCGTTGGCGAGGGCGATAACGGCCCCGAAACCCACGTGGAGACTCTGACCGAGGATACAGATCTTTTCGCATATGGAGTGGACTCCGTGGCGTGCATTCAAATCCGGCGTGCGCTGTCTCAGCTGCTGCCCAAATCCGCAAGCTTGCCATTAACCGTGGTCCAAGACACAGGGACCATCGCGGGGCTGAGTGATCTTATCCTTCGTGTGAGGGCGGGAAAAGCAGGCAATGGAGTCCGGGAGCAAGGGAGAGACGAACAGAACCAACATCGGCTTATGCTCAAGCTGGTCGACGAGTACAGCGTTTTCGACGTTTCTCAATCGCAGCCATCCTCCACCCCAGCCTCGCTTCCCACACAGACCGGAACAGACTGCTCACCACTCGAATGTCCAGGAAGTAAAAAGGGCATGCACGTCCTCCTCACAGGCCCGACTGGCTCTCTAGGCGCACACATCCTACACCAACTCCTCTCGAACCCTTCCATCTCGACAATCCACCTCCTCGTCCGCGGCGCGACGCCAACCGCCTCACGTGAACGTGTGTTGAAAGCTTTGACCTCGCGCCGTCTTCCCGTCCCGAGTTCCTTCGACAAAAAGACACAGATCCACAGCTGCAAGCTCTCGGACGCCCAGCTCGGACTCTCCAACGAGACATACGAGGCGTTGGCAGAGGACGTGGACGTGATCATCCATCTAGCATGGAGCGTCAACTTCCTGTTACCTCTGCGTTCATTTGCGCAGACTCACCTCGCGGGCACCAGAAACCTGATCAATCTCGCTCTATCCTCGTCGAACAGGAGGACGGCACCCAGGTTCATCTTCTGCTCCAGCGTAGCTGCTGTATCAGCTTACCCTTCTTCAATGACTTCTCACCCCACGATACCCGAAAGTGTGCTTTCAAACCCCGCTGTGGCCGGTCCAACAGGCTATGCCCGGTCGAAATGGGTCGCCGAACAGATCTGCAAACGTGCCGTCCGGGAAACCCACCGACGACTGAAGAACCGTATCTCCATTGCCCGGGTGGGACAGTTGTCCGGGGCAAGCGACACGGGGGTGTGGAGTCCCAGTGAGGCGTATCCTCTGATGCTCAGCAGCGCCGCGGTCACGGGCTGTCTGCCGGATCTGGACCGCGCAAGGAGGGATCAGGGTGAGAAAGAAGGGGAGGTACTCGCCTGGCTCCCTGTCGACGTTGCCGCGAGGGCGTTTGTGGAGGATATACTCGACCAAGACGACTATCTAGCGTCTCGCCAAGCGCAAAGCGGTGTCAAAGACGTCGTCACCGCGAAAGCAGAAGCAGAGAGAAACAGCATGGGAGGGAGAGGTGAAGAAGAAGAGGAAGAAGACGGACTCGTGGTGCACCATATCCTTAACCCCTCCAACCGCGTTACCTGGTCCGACCTCCTGGCCTGGCTCTCACGGCGGCGGCGGCGGCAGCAGCAGCAGCAGCAGCGAGCCGGAGGAGCCTTCGAGGTCGTCCCCGTTCACGAATGGCTCTCCCGCCTATCGCGCTTACAAGACACCGACGATGCTGAGAGGCGCGACCACCCGGCCCTGCGACTGCTGGGCTTCTGGGAGAAGGCTTACGGTGGTGATGCTGCGGGAGATGTAAATGCGCCCAAAGCCACAGAGGCAGCAGTAGAAGAGCAGGAAGGGGCTGAAAGGAACCTCGAATGCCAGCGCGAGAATGGCGACGAGACCGCCGCCGCTGTCGGAGGGCCTGCAGTACCCACAGTACACTACGAAATGGCAAAGACATACGAGCGCATGCTCTCGCTCAGAGACGCAGACGGGCTTCTGAACGAGGAATACGTCTCGAGAATGTGGGAATGGATCAGGGACAATGTTTGAATTGGCTTCTTTGGAGGATTCCATGCACGCTGTACCCTAGATGGGGAGACGGGGTCGTGACACAGACAAACGTATGACACTCTGATATTCGCTATCATTCGACAGGACTAGAGAAATCAGCATCTTGTCGAAGGGGAAAACAGAATCAATGGTCAATGGTCAATCCAATAATCATGAAGCTCATCTAATCAGCTTTTTCTCACCTTGCCTTTTTTTTTGTGGATATTTCATGATGCCATGAAGCATAATCTCGTCTCTACGTTTGTTGTGTACACACCAGCACTTCGGGCTGGCCCAAGCTCATGTGTTGCTCAGCAGCTCAAGTCACCCGTAAAATAGCTCTGACTGCTCTCGTCTCTGAACCACTGAGCAGGCCGTCCTGTGGCCCTGTAACATTCCAGCATTCCAGTCCGTCCCGTGTTGCGCTCTAGCTCTGGCTGTCTTTAGCTCGGGTGATTCGTGGTCGACATCATAGTGGCCGACAACAAGTTATCGGTGTAGACCAACTGGCGCTGTCGTGACATTTGCCACCTCTGTGCATGCTCTTGGAACATTCCAGCAATATTGTGAATCCTATCCTCTGTGCTTCCGTCCCATTCCCGCCGGCGAGTACTGTCGTCGGCCAGCGACCTGGATAAGATGTCGAGTACAAGATGCAGAGCGGCTAGACATCTTCACACTTGAAGCAAGAAGATGCTAACCTGCCCCTCTCTCCACGGATCTACCGAATGAACATCCCCTCGGCTCTGCCCCAGAAATTGCGCGCCTTGTTCACATGATCCAAGCCGAGCATCTCATCTCCGTCCTGGATAAGATCGACAATGATATCGTCATCTTCAATGTATCTCGGCTTCGCATAAAGCGTCCGAGAGACGAGTGCAAACTTGATTTGCTGCAACAACTTGCCCTTGATACCCGTTCTCTTGCTGATGCGTTCCTTCGTCTCCTTGAGAGGTTCACCTGGTTTGAGCATGAACTTGAAGGGGACACCATGGGGTTTATTGGCCTCTTTGTCGAAGTGGTAACAATAAATGAACCGGTCATCCTCGGAAGCATTCAGCTCTTCGTCGGGGATTTTCTCAGCATACAACGTGGTGAACTCATTAACTCCAACCACGTTGAAATCCTCGATCAGTTCTTTGTGGATTTTGCCGCCGTGGACTTCGAGCACCCGTATATTGCGAGCGGTCTGTTCGTCCAGGTTGAGCTTCTTGGCAATGCCGGCAACCAAATCTCCGATGATGCCGTTCTTAGCGACGAGTATTTCCAGTGGTTCCTACACCTCGTTAGGAAGATAAATGACTTTTGGCATGTGGAACCTTACCTCTTTACTGATTCCATCACTTAGCCAGATCACTTTCATGATCTTTTTGGTCTCGTAATCAGCCAGACTTGTTTCGAGAACCTCGTAATACAACGCGTCGCCGCGATGAGTGGCATATCCACCGTAGGAGGAAAACTGGGACTGAAGGATTTGTTGGAGGTTATGGTTCATCCCGCGCTTGATCCACATTTTTATCTTATTGTTAGTTGCGCTGATGGTTGCGAATCGAATGTGAGTTGGGTCAACCTTGAGGTGCTCTCCGACCTTTGCAGAAAATTGGTCGTAAGTCATTTTCTTGCTGAGACCCAGCACGAAGGCTTCTCCTTCAGTGCCTGGTTTTGGATAAAAGCTAACAGGTATTCTGTTCAGCAGGTAATCATAGTATTGTCGCGCATCGGTGTATGTGGCAGTGGACGGGTCAAGATCAGGGAGGTTTTGTTGGAAGCAGATGATGTCGCCGTCCTGGATCTCGGACTGTTGGAAGGTTTGCTTCGGCTTCATGGCCTCAATCATTGAGAACTTGATTTCTTCGAACAAGAGGATCGGCGTGCTTGGATCCCAGCCCATGATCCGATTGATCTGGGGTGCGATTTCCTGCACTTTGTCCAGTTTCTTGACGTAGACATGGCCCACACCAGTCAAAGTTTGAGCCTTGACGTCAAAATATTTGAGGAAGACCAGAATTGGGACATTGCCGCCCGCGGCTTGTGTGGGATCTGACCACTGGATTTTGCCGTCGTCTCCTGGAGTCCCATTCTCGGCCCAAAGATAGAACGGCCTGCCCCTCGACCCGTACTTGTTCATTGCTTCTTCCATGGTTATTTCGACATCACGAATAGGCTGATCGGGACGATTCGTTTTGTTTTGTCGACCCACCATGGCCCAAAATCGAATTTGATCAGACCCCAGCCCAAGCTCCTCTGCAATAGTCGCAGCGAACTCGCTGATTTTGGTCGTACGAAGGACTCGATAAACTTGGGCAGCGGCTGGATCAGTCTGTTCGAGGTCGTAACTGGTCAAGTCGAAACCGTGATGGGCCTGGAAGCTCTTTTCTGTGATTACGCCAACGTTCATGTAGAGATGAGCCTCTTCGCGCTCCTTCTTCTTCCTCGCAAGCTCCGCTTGTTCCTCGGAAATTTTGACCTCGATGTGCGCAGGAATGTCGGACTCGCTCACGTTGAGGAGGACGTCGTCCAGCCTGCTCTTTCGGATGTACACCAACATATAGGCATTCATGGATCTCTTTGTGGAATAGCCTCGCATGTATGGCTGGCGTTGTCCCAAGCCGCCATTAGCGACGTTGGCGTACTCGCCTCCAAAATTTTCTTCCAGCACTTCTTTCATGGTTGATCGTGTGACCCGGTCATCGTCAAATTTGTAGAAGTGACCGTCCTTGGTGGGCTTGAGGAAAGCATAATAGTGGCCTGCATTGAAATCGCCGCTGTGGACAAGTACGCCGTGTAACTGGTAAATCCACGGTTCCGTCGACGCCGCTTTGGCCTCGTCCGAAAGGTAGAGAGATGCATCAAATTCTTCGGGAAACTCGTGTCTGTCGTTGACCTTCATCATGGCATCGCGATTGATATCATATTCAAATCTCTTCAGCTGCAGATGGAGGACAGGTGGAAAGTATTCGAAAATGACGCCCTTCCGAGCATCCTGTAGCTTGTAAGGCTCACCAGCATCGTACTTGTTCTCACCCTCGAGAGTTTCGACCTGGATGTAGTCCATGAAACTCTCGTGCAGGTTTTTGTTGCCTCTGACATTGAGCTGGATGTCCCAGAATTCCTCTATCCTTGAGGACTCAAAGTCGACGTTGATGCATGATATGTAAGTTTTAGTCTTTCCGACAAAAAGTTCGGGCAGCGTTCGTTCTGCTGGTGTGCCTTTCATCTTCTTTTCCAAGACTTCCATCAATATCCGCGACAGTTCTTGCACGTCTTGCTGCTCGAAAATTTGCCGGGTATCCCATCCAAAGGACGCGGTCAACTCGTTGGTTGAAACTGCAAACCTATCTTTTTGAAGTCTGTAGAACAATCGCTGAAGTGTCCAAGCACTGTTGCTCCGGCTGGCTTCCTGCTCGGTGGGGATTTGGTAGACGGCTTTGCGGAACAAGTTCGTGAAATAAAGCGATTGAAGAAGAGAGTTCAAATAACAGGTTGCGCCCTGATTCTTCAAGCCGACCATGCCAGTCTCTTTCTTAGAGTCGTATCCTTCGAAGTTGTGCCACAGGACGCCGGTGGGGTCTTTGATGATACGGACATAGGCCGTCAGTTTCGCTTCGTCATTCTCCACCAAATGCCTCGACCCATCTTCCCACGGTTGGTGGAAGGCCTTCCTGAGTTCTACAAATCTAGTGAAGCCCCAGTCGCCTTCTTTTGCGTTGAAACGATGAGTCGCGGTGTGCGTGCGGTATAGGGTTGGGTCGTTCGGATTCCATAGGACGAGGGCAAACTGAACGCAGGCGTACCAGTCTGGCGGAGGATCGCTCTCGAAACCGTGTTCTAGGTAGAAGGAAGCACAGTCGACCTGATTTCCGTATGGGAAAAACAGCACTCTCCAAGGATGTCCGCCACACTCGAAGACTGGGCCGTGCTCTCTCCTGGAAAGGGTCCGCCATTTTTCTATGTGCCATGTATGATATGCTTCGGCTTCAACTTCGACATCAGGTAGGTCGACAAGGACATGACGCTTCATCGTTTCGACTGCGGCATATGTCAGTTCCCGGACGGGCGGGGAGGGGCCAGTTTTTGGGTGAACATACAGTCATCGGCCCGGGGAAGGGTCTCTGCAGGTCCTTCTGAGGCATCGTCGGGAGAGATGTTGACAACCTCATTTTCTGGAGGGTACTGGTCGTAGCCATCAATCAGCATGTCGGGTCCTGCTAACTGCAAGTCATGGAAGCGGGAGGCGAAGTTAGCGTCCATGGTCGGTGGTAGGAATGCAGGGATGCAGCGCAGAAAAAAGGGTAGCGCTAGGGTAACGCTCAACATACGTTGTCCATGTTGAGGAGAGACAAGGCGAACGCGTGATATTGAACTGTGCGGAAGAGCAGACGAGCACGGCGGCCGGGGCAGCTCTTTCCTCACGTTTCCGCAGTTGACGCTGAGAGGGAAGGAGGGATGTCACAATGTGTCGGTGATGCAAGGAAGGCTCGTCAGCAAGACCAGACTCGCCACCCACCCGTGAATCTAGAATTTAGATAAACGGCACTGGCAGGGCTAATGGATGGCCTGGTTGCGAGAGTCAATTGCGCAGGTACCTGCGGGAGAAATAAAGATGGGATGCGGTACCAACGGGTCAAATCATTCCTGGCCCATGGTCTGCAGGCTTCCAGAATAGACGTCAAAGCCGCCGGCCTGCACAAGCTTTTGAACGAGCGAATAGCAGTGCCCAACGCCCAGACTCCCTAGTGTGAGTGACGCCCACAGAATAAGCATCCCTCACCTATCCGTCTCGCCGTCACCTATTGTCCCACCCACCTAACAATGACCAGGGACTCGCTATACCTACCCCCCAAGGCGTCGGTATACTTACCCCATTGGCGGTCGACCGCTAAGCACTTTCAAACGCCCTTGGTATGACTCTGCCCCTCTCCAACAATTACAACTTCACCGCGATTCTTTGAGCAACCTTCTGCTGCCCATGCGCTCACTCAGACGACTGTGGCGAGATGACCATCAATAGTCTGTATGACTCGTCGGGCCTGTCGTTTGGTATGAAATGCTCCAGGTCGCTCAGCTTTCGAGGCCCCGGGCCTTGCGCTTAAGCTTGTGCAGCCTTCCTGCGCAAACGTGCAGATGGACGTCATCTCAAGCAGGGAGGAGTCCACCTCCATGGCGGCCAGCTTCGACTTTGGATGAGTATGAAATTGATGCCGCTGCTGTTCGTCTGAGCGGATCTGCTAACAGCAATGCCGCAGTTGGGTTGACCGCCCTATTCGTCCCATCAGCCTGCGCCAGCTCTTTTTCTTTGGTCGCACGTTGACCGAAAGTCGTTTGCTGAGCTCCGCCAACTATGTCCGCATGGAATTGCCTACAAGGTTTGTTCGTCCTGTCAGCAACGAATGCAACCGCTTACCTGATCTCAGACTTGCTCACCGCCTGCGAGACATGCAGCGTCTGCCCTATGTTGTGGTGACCAATCCGCACCTGTCATTCGTCTACGAGCTCTACTACAAGTCCTTTGAGAGCTTTCGGCGTGTCCCTGTCATCCGAACAGTGGAAGAGAACGAGGAATTTTGCAAAGTCATCAGCGACAACTTGAAGGAACATCTGGCGGTGATCCCCAACCTGGTCATGGGAGTTCTCGAATGCCAAGACTTGGTTTCCGTCGATACGATGGACAATTTTGTACAGGCCATGCTGCGAGCTCGAATTTCGAGACGAGTCATTGCCGAACAACACCTTGCGCTCACTGAAACATTCAATTCGCCATGGCACGTGCCCCAGCCCAGCTCTGAGAACGAGTTTGTAGGCGAAGTCCTACTGCGGTGCAATGCTAGGGACGTCATTGAACGATGCGGCCGATTCACCCAAGAGATTTGCAAGTCGACCGCAGGCCCTGATCCATTGGTACCCGAGATTCAAATCCAGGGTCATACCGGCGCCACGTTCCCTTACGTACTGAGCCATCTTGAATATGTTGTGGGAGAACTGTTGCGGAACTCGATTCAAGCAGTCATGGAAAAGTACCGTGACCCTCGAGAACCACCACCGCCTATTAACGTCCTTATCTGCGAGGCACCCCAGAACGTGGTTATCCGCATTTCTGACCAAGGCGGAGGCATACCTCGAGATATCATGCCCTTTTTGTGGTCTTTCAACAAAGGACCTAGAAGTGCTTCACGGCTACAAAACTTCAGGGACGTCCCGACCCTTGCGGCCACCATGCAAGAAGTTCGACTATCTCCGAGCGACAAGCCCAGTGGAAAGATCAGGGACTCCTCCCTCAGCACTTTAGCTACAAGGCACCCTGACCTTCGTTTGGGCATGGGTTTGCCAATGAGCCGTGTGTACGCCGAATATTGGGCGGGTGGGCTCGAGCTGCATAGTCTTGAAGGTTATGGGGTGGACGCATTTCTGCAAATCTCAAAATTAGGCAACCAGAACGAACAGCTTACATCGCGAGCCACGATTGATGCGGTGTGAAACCGGCGGCTCAGCAGCGGAAGAGAGACAAGGAAGTCCAGGTTAAATTCTCTTGGAATGGCTCAATTGCCGTGTGCTTGAGATTCCCATGTGCATATCTAAGCCGAATCGAGAGGCAGTCCTCGAATAATATGTGAGTAAGGATGTCAAGAAGGGAATTTTCACAAACTCCTCAACAGACTTGAGTAGACTAAAATCAGACGGAACTGCAGCAAGACAAGCCTAGAGTTCCACAAAGTCAGTTCAAGCGGTCACGATAATGCCAAACTTCCTCAGGACCGCATGGGGCATGTTCGAGTCAGACTTTGCCAAATAACCTCCTGCTCTGCCAGCAATCGCGGAGAGATGACTCTTTCCTGGCGGCTGAGCTCTCGGCTTACCAGAGCTGCTTGATTCATCACGAGCATCTCAGAAGCATTGGGTCTCCAGAGAGAGGGAGCGTATCACCCACATTCTTTCGTTTCTGATATATCACTGTCCGCTATTCCAGGTCATCACCACATCATGGGAAGCCACAGAGGCCCTCGTAATGATGGTTTTAAGACGCGGGTTCTCTTGAGAGATTGATCTCGACACACTCATCGGAAACCACCAGCTTCATGGTGTCGAGGGTTGTAGCTGACGTTGATTTGAATTGGGTGTCTGAAGAGGAGAAAAGGGAAAAATTTCGAGGGACGAGATTTCACGCGGGCAGTTAAAGAAGAGCCGTACCTGGAAACGCGGGCCTATAACCAAAGTGGTTAGCTGGCACTGGGGGGAGATGGCGCAAGCGGCTCATCGATTGGCGGGCTGCAGGGGCTTCCAGTTCGCCCAGACCAACTGAAATGCAAGCCCACTCTCCCTAGGCGGCCCTAGGTGGCTCTAGGTGGCCCTGGTCGCCCTTGGACAGCCCTGCTCACGACTGGGAACTCCAATCCAAACTGCGCTTCAAACCTTCTGATTTTGTATTTCATGCTCCCTGTGACTACCCAGGTACAACTTTGTCGATTTTACTTGCCCCGAAACCATTCCCTTCGATCATTCTCAGCAGGCATCTCTTTTGTGTCCCTGTTGCTGTGTCCCAACTCACAAAGTGAACTCCCAGAGTCTGCCGATTGGCGCCGCCACCCTCTTCCTTCCCTCCTCCCTCTCCAGCAGTCGTCTCAAGGAAGAATCGCTCGTCAAGCCGCCCTCTCGGTCTCCGTGAAGCGTCACTTCTGTTGTCGTTGACAGGGTGCGACACTGACAATCCGCCTTGCCACCTGACCTGATCTGCTCATGGAAAACGCAAATTTGTGGACCAGACGTGCTAAGTGAGTTCTGCCGCTTTGCTGCAAAGGAATCGTGCAAGGACCAAGACATTAACCATCTTGACAGTACTGGCAAACTATCGTTGTCTATGAGAGATCAGGAAGGCAAGGATGTCAGCAAGATAGATTCTCCTCGCTCCTATACCAGCAGACGCTTCGGCGATACTTCATCCCACGGCAAATCAAATCCCTTCAACGCTCTCTCTCCTTCTGCCACCAAAACCCCTTCAGCAAGCGCATCTTCGGCTTTTGGACTGGGTAGCGGGGCGTTCGCTTCCTTTGGTTCAGCCAAAACCCCCAAGACCCCTGGCGCCGGGTCGGCCTTCGATTTCCCATCGCGTGAGAAAACCGAGAAGAGGGAGAAGGATCCAGATACGCCAGGAGAGACCTCAGAAGTAGAGCCATTGCAGGAGTCCCCGGGGTCACCTAAGACATCCTCGGAGCATCCGCTGCGAAACACCTGGAACCTCTTCTACCGGCCTCCTGCTAATAAGTTCTCCGACTACGAGAAGTCTACCTTGAAATTGGCGTCCATCAGCTCCGTGGAAAGTTTCTGGACAATATACTCTCACCTGAAGCGGCCGTCTCTGCTACCTACTGTCTCCGACTACCATATCTTCAAGGACGGCATTCGTCCCGTCTGGGAGGATGAGGCGAACAAAAAGGGCGGCAAATGGATCGTAAGGTTAAAGAAAGGTGTGGCGGACCGCTACTGGGAGGACCTGCTGCTGGCAATCATCGGTGACCAATTTCTGGAGGCGGGAGAGGAGGTCTGTGGTGCGGTGCTCAGCGTTAGGAGTGGCGAGGATGTTCTGAGCGTCTGGACCAAGATTGATGGAGGCCGGAACATCAAGATTAGGTATGGCAAAGCGCGTGGAGAGATCGAGTTCAGGAATTGTGATGCTGACTATGTTACAGGGAGACCATCAAGCGAATACTGGCTTTCCCTCCAGACACCAACATTGTGTGGAAGAGCCATGACGACAGCATTGCTCAGCGATCAGCCCTAGACGAAGCCAGACAGCAGAAGGTCAGCGGCACTCCGGGCCATCCTGGAGCAGAGAGACGGCGTCCAACCCTACATGAAGACTCTGAAAAGAGCAAGGGTAAGGGGATATCATGATATTACACGGGATGGAATGGGATGAGAAATCCCTCTTGTAGCATTATAACATTGATTACTGGCTTTAAATTCCTGGATAGCATTGCTAGATACTCCAATGGAATTCCGACTGCGGCAAGCAAATATTGTTCTGGGCTGTGATTGTGTTCGTCGTGTACGAACAAAGGGCCGTGCTGAGTTGTGCTGCGTGCAGAGTGGCGGGGAAATGCTCGGACTTTGGTTCTTTCCCAAGAACCAACCACACGCGCAGCCGCACTTCACCCTCCGCCATGTTCATACCGCTTTAACATCCGTTTCAAACGACTATCTGAGTTATGTGGTCTTGCGAAAGATGCGCAGGGAGTACCGTCACAAATGACAGTTCCCTGGCATCAGGTCGTGCAGAGCACAATACAGGATCTTAGCCGGAAAGGTTTCAGTTCCCTCCGCAAATCAAAAATTGGGCAGACGGACGCAGACGACAATCCAAGTACCGCACCTCTGGTCCCTCCACGTTCAAATGCCTCTCCGTCGCAGCCACAGGGGGGACAGATGCCCCGATCTTCTCCTACACACCTCACTAAAACCATAGGAGCCTTCCTTGGTGCGCACGATAATGCCGCATGCGCCCCGATACATGTGAGTCGCTCAGCTTCATGTCCGCACCTGGGCCCAGGCTGACAATGTTGTCACGCATAGATCAGTGATGACGAGACAGAGACAACGGCTGAGAAAAGACAGGCGGTAATATCGCGTCCCTCTTCTACACAGTACGCCTTCACGTCTCCCAAGGAATGCAAGGCTCCGACTAAGCAATTCACTTCCAGATCCAGCGGCACCACTCTGCGACAAAGAACTTCATGGTCAGGATTAAGAGACGAGGACAGGTCCACGGGAGGACTGTTGTATGACTCAGATGCACGTTAATGGTACAGGCTGCTAAATTTTTGCACAGGAGACGGCACCCTGACGCCGTTCGCGTCGAAGGTTCAATGAAGAAACCCTTCAAGGTATGCCATCCTCTCCGTCGAAGTCATGCCCTCTGACAATAGATCTAGACTCCTTCGGGGCCGTACAAACCATGCAATACTCTGAACGGGAGGTCCGCTTATCTCCAAGAGAGGACATCTCAGGCTCGAACCCCTACAAACGGTTCAAGTTCGAATTTGCTTCCCAAGAACGACATCCATGCGAATGATCATGGTACCCCTAATAAGAGGCGCAAGATCGGAGATTGGCCAGGACCTGGGTTGCCTCCTGCCTCAGCTATCCCCGTCGATGACAGCCAGCACCAGAATGACTCTGAAGATGAACTTGCTCTGGACACGAAATCAAACGATCGCAAGGCGTCCGGACAGCCCCAACGACCACGCCACTTGAATGATGGAGGAAATAGCGTGCCCAGTTTAAGAAGTCGAAATATAGTCGGCGATACCCAGGTCTACAAAACCGATCGTTCATCTCCCGAAGATGAAAGCGCTTTCACGAAAGCCTCCGCACAGCAAAGAAAGGCAGAGAAGGATAAGATACTTGAAAGTTCTCCCGATGTCCCGAAACAGCCTCAGACTTCGCCATACTTTAAGTACCGACCAACCAGAACCGACAGCAATCGACATGAGGAATACTCCAAGAGGGCCCAAACGGCGGAAAGTCCAGATGCGCTGCAGAGGAGTGATTCTCAGCTTGCTTCAGAGAGACACATGACGCGCGCCGCACCCTATCCGGAAATGAGAACAAAGGATCTCGGAAATCTGATTATAGGGGAAAAGTCCAGCTCTGCGGTTAAGAAGCGGTCAACCAAACCCGTAAAGGAACCCGTAAAGGAACCAGCCAAGAAGATGTCCTTTATCCTCAGGGAAATTGTGTACAGAGATCTGCTCGATGTTTCAGGGTACATAATTGACGTCGATATGTCGGGCAAAGAGGTCGCAGTCAATGTGAAGGATCCGCTGTTAGGCAACGAACCTGTTTCCTTGCCACGTGGGATCAACCAAATTTACAAGCTTAGACTTGGAGACGAGTCCTCCTCGTTATTGAGCCTGCACTTTCGAACTACGGGGGAGGAAGAAACGATGTGGCTGAAGTTTGAATCACGCGCTATGGCCCTCGATTTCATTGAAATGTTGAAGATGATAGAGAAGACGCTGAAAGTCAAGTATAAGGGGAAGTAAGTTTTTCAACGCATGTTAGACTGAGGTTTGTCTGACACTGTCTAGGGACTGGATGGAGCAGGCTTTCTCAAACGCCAAAAATGTGACTTCCAGACAAAAGGAGCGGCCCCCAGTAAAGACGGAAGCGATGGGAACCTCTACCATAAGACCAGAACCTACGTCGACGACAGATACTAAGTCGACAGCAGAAACACACGCCAGCCGGCGACGTGACAGGCTGGTCGACAGATTGGATGCACCTGCAGAGGCTTTCAGTCAGTCCCCCGTGACATCAGATGCTGAAAGACTTGCTCGTGAATATGCTCCCTCCCCTCAGCCGACAGGCCACTCACCCACTATGCCGCACCAAGTTGCTCGCTCAGGCGCCGACAAGGAACAATTGAGCACTGCACAGGAGCAGACCGAAAGCCCTCCAAAGGTCAAGGCATCACAAACTGGAATTCTAGGCATTCCCTGGACTAAGGACCTTGTTTACCCGCAACCCGGCCGAAAAGCTGCAATTGTGCCATTCGAAGATCTGAAACGACTGGATGATGATGAATTCCTGAACGATAACCTGATCACTTTCTTTATGAGGTATTTGGAAACGCACATGGAGAAGAGCAATCCCGAAGTGCACAAGAGGATGCATTTCTTCAACACCTATTTCTATGAAGCCCTTTCCAAAACGAAAGGTAAGAGAGGTATCAACTATGATGCTGTCAGTCGATGGACCAAAAACATCAATCTCTTTAGCCGCGATTTCATAGTTGTGCCAGTCAACGAGAATTATCACTGGTACCTCGCCATAATTTGCAACCTTCCATACTTCCTTGGGCAACGGGCAATGAAGAGCGGTTGGTCCGAGGAGTTGCAGTCGAGTGCCCAACAGAGTGAAGAGAGCGGGCAGGACATCCATCTGCCAACAGACGAGACTCAAAGAACATTGGCCGACCTTTCACTCAGTGACGATGAGAGGAACGGTCAAGTCGAGACGAAGACGAAACCTGGACGACGGAAAGCTGTTCGCAGATCTCTTCCGAAGTACGACGTAACCAAGCCTGTCATCATCACTTTGGATTCTCTCGGCCTATCGCGATCAGCGACATGTTCACAGCTCAAACAATACATCGTGTCAGAAGCCCGAGATAAGCGAGACCAGGATATTGACGTGACTGAACTCAAGGGAATGACGGCCAAGGAAATCCCGACTCAGAGCAATTTCAGCGATTGCGGGCTGTATCTGTGTGTATACCTGGAGCAATTTGTCGCTGATCCGTACAATTTCGTACGCCGAATCCTTCAGCGGGAAGAAAATGCACAAAAATGGCCGCGCAAAATTCATAGCCAAGATCTACGATCAAGACTTCGTCAACTGATTTTGGAGATGCACCGACGTCAAGAAAAAGAGCCCTCGCAGATGGAAGAGCCTGCTATTGGCAGCATCTTGATCAATATGAGGGAGGTATCTCGTTCGCCGTCGGAACGTCAGAGGCCACTCACGAAGCAAGACATCCAAGAAGCGCAGAAGAGGTTCGATAGCATTACACGCAGCCAGCCTTCTGCATCAAAAAGTGAATATCGTGATTCATCTCCAGATCTTGGTTCCAATCCCGCGATAACAGAGAATGTTGTCACCAGGGTCTCGGAGGCTCCAGAAGGCTCAGACGACGAGAAGAGGGATGAAGATGTAACCTACGGCCAAACGTCGGTAGCTCCAACAGACCAGATGTTGGATTCCAGGCCCACGCGGTACTCGGACGCCAGGCACTCTCGTCAGGATGTACAGTTCTCTGCAGTTTCTGCAGCAAAGGATGTTCATCCAGCACCGAAGTCCAACTCGGTTCTGCACACGGCGCCCAGGGAGCAGGCGGCTCATACCACTCGTCGAAACGCCGAACACCCCTCGGAGAAAAAGAGGAGGCTAAACAGTGCAGCTGATGTGGAATTGAGGCACAGGTCCCGATCTTCAAGTCGAGCGACCGAACTGACAGACTTCCTTTCTGGGCCCACTAGAATGAGTTTTCTCCTCCCTGGCATACAGGATTACGCTGCACGAGCCTCTGCTTCCTCGTCTCCTGGCGCAGATGCCGGCACTGCTACTGCCGAAAAGACCAAGATAAGGAACAGGGACAGAGGTGGAGCGAGCAATTCCTCGAGTCCTGATCCAGAAGTCATTGCTGAGAGGGAAGTCGACCGAGAGATCAACAATTTGAAAAAGCGGAAGCGACCATCCGGGAAATCAACGGCGCTGACTTCTGCGACCGAGGATGAGGACCAAGGCAGGGAAGTCCATCAAACTCGGAGAAGTCGATTCTCATCCACAGATAGAGAGACAGGGGCCAGACGAGCAAACGGGAGGGCAGGAAGATATGATGGGGACAATGAGGAGATGCTTTTCAAGATGTGAGAGTGTAATCAGAGCAATGCCTAATGAGATGATGACTATGATGGAGATCGTGCTACTGCTGTTTGAGGGTGTATCTACCTGGACGCCGCATTGCACAGCTTTGCAATGAGCTTTTCGAGCGGTGAGCGCCAGTCTGGAAGACATTATTGAACGACTATGAATGATTATTCTTCAAGTTATGGGTAAGAGCCCAATATCAAACTGTACCAGGCAGCTCGTGGTTTTTTGAGTGGCTTGATGTGATTAGCGATGACCTTTCCTTAGTCTTTTTTCTCTCGTTGATTCCCGTGCGTGCAACAACCGCCACCAGACGTTTAGGATTAGGACCAGTACGAGGTAGAGATATGCCTCCCTCAGGTACCTGGCGAGCAGGTAATAGGCCTGGAATGCTCCCGGCAGGCCAGTCTATCGACGAAATGTTTCACGCACATATTTCTGGAACGTGTATTTGATCCGGTGACGGTGATAGTGCCGGTGACAATCTCTCTCTCCCCAAGATAGAGACCGAGCCCGGCGCTTCACTCGCTACCGTATACTCGACGGCAATGCTGGTGCGAGAGAGTTAGTCCCACCCCCCTCCACCCGTTCTCTATACATACGCAGAACCTCGTAGATACAGTCGTGTACGGGAGTCGAGTGAGGGAAGTCAATGCGTACAGTATATATTAACTTTTGATTCACGGGCATTCTACCTACCAAGATACTACCTAGATAAATCATGGGATCTAATTATGAACCGCCCCCCGGGTTCTCTCGTCTACGGTGGCCGTTCGGATGATTATCCTTGCGCGGGGAGAGAGCCCATCCTGTCTCTACCGAGAAGGGCCCCCTCAGAACTCGCCGGCGAGCCAGGATCCCGGATCGAAGATCCGGGCCAGACGAGCGGGCCAGTGGGCTCCAATTGCCCAGAAGCTCGCCTTGTTTGCATAATACTCGCGTGCGCACGATTGCAACCATGCCGTGCGCGCGGATGGATCGGGGAACCATTTTATTTTAACCTCAGACGCTAACGACGAGGTGAATCTTTGTCTTGAATGTCAGTCTCATGGACTATTTGGGTGATTTTCTCTATGGACTCTTGTGGGCGATGACCTGCTTGCTCATTTTCCCTGTTTCTAGGAAGGGGCGTTGTTGGGCCTTAAGAAAGCCTACGATTATTTACTCGTATGTGCCCGTTGCGGGGGGAACCAGGGTCCGGTCTTGACGCCTGCACATGCGAATGTCTACCTAGGTAGGCATGCATGCATGCAGGGGCAATGAGTAAAACCAAGCTGCACAAAGAGAAGAACCGAATTGAATGCAGGTAAGTGCAATGATTTGTGTCAAAAGGATCGCGAAAGGAGAGCGGGAGTCGCAGGTGATCAATAGTCCCTCAAGGAGAGGATGTGCCAATTCCCAGAGTCAGACTCAGAGTCGCGCAAGAAGCAGGTTGATAATGTCGAGATCCTATGCCCAACGTGGGGTGCGGGTGTCCGATCGCGAGTCGAGAGTTCAATCCTATGAGCAGAGAGACACGGTCGACCCGTATACAGCGATATCACTTCACGGCTGCTATCTCCAGAGGCCCTGCGTTAGCAGGGACCATGGCTCGAGTCACAGGGGACGGCGGCGACGGATAAAGGAACAGCGGTGCTGCGTAAGTCCGCCACGATGTCGAAATCCACGGCCACAGAAGAAAGGTGGGCAGTAGAAGACTCGTCAGATGGATAGGCAGGGTTGGAACTTTGAAAGGATCCTCGTCGCAATGTGTCGAACATCACCGTTGTCCCATCGAAGAGGATTCCAGAAAGAAAGTTTATTGGAGGTGATTCTTGGTGAGTTATTTGTGCTCCTGTCTCTCTCCACCTTCCTGCGTGCGTGTCACGGGTGGATATCTGTGGGATTGTGGATGCAAGGTACATCAGGGACTTCTTTTCCTTCGAGTCCTGATCATTGCCTCGAGCAGCCGGTCTGAGCCATTGTGTTCAAGAGGAGTGGCGACTCTCTAAACCCTGGAATTCTGCAGGTAGGACTCCATGACGCCAGTGGGTTCCGCCCTGTGCAAGCGCAAGTGGGGGAAAGCTGGTGATCGAAACAGTTCTCAGATCTTGTCCAAACAGAACAGCGAGGGCGGGCGTAACGGCGATGCCTGAAGAAACTGGCCAGTGCGTGACCGGTTTGCCCCCGTCTCTCCCTGTGACCGACAATGGCATCAGTCCAAGTTGGTGTCGGGTTTACTCAGATCAGGTGGGCAAGCATAATAGCCCATGGGTGGACCAGGCCGGTAGGTGATTCAGGTATGCACGCGCTGAACTGGTAACTGAGTCGAGGCAATCACACTGGCCTGCTTCCTGAATACTTCCTGAAGGTACGAGGGAACTTTGATCCCGATTAACTCAATTCTCCGGACTAGAAGTGCAGGACCAAGGGAGTGATGAGATATGAGACAGCATTGTCGAGAGCGGACACTTGCCAGCCAGGGGCAGTGATACTAACAAGTGAAGGCAACGGTGAAAGCTTGGGGACAGATCTGGTTCCGTCCCTCGGCATCTACCATAAACAGCCTGGGAAATATCATCCATACCGCAACGGACAATTCATGCGGCCACGCGAGGTCGGGTCCGTTTCTTGAGGTTTGATGGTCGACCGGGTAAGATGACACCATGGCACCATGGCAACCTCTTTGGTCCGAAGGGCACTTAGAGTAGCTAGCTGCAGGGTAGGTGCTAGTGCTCCTGTGTGCTTGAAGGAGGGAAGGGACGATGAGGCCGAACGCAGGGTCGCCCCATAACTTGTGAACTGCGGATGGTGATCGTCTATAGCGGAAGCCAGAAGCCCTCCTCTTTTCTCATGGAGATAAGGCCTTCTCGACTGTGCTCATGGGGAGCGATCGTCAGAGGTGTTGCCACGGCGGGTCGATGACACTGGCATCACACTGGCATCACGAGGGAGAGGAGCTTGGATGACATCGATGGGATTCAGCTACAACCACCCTCCGCCCCTTGACTCACATTCATGGTGCCGACCGCGAGATACGTTCACGATGATGTCGATTCGCAGTCCAGACCCTTCTGGATCACTACTAGTGAGGAGATCATCCAACCCCCTCTTCTCCCGTGTCCCAACAACCCTGTGAAGACGCAGCGGAGAAAGAATGTCAAGAGAGTTATCCAACGACGGCAGTGAACGAGAGATCTCGATCTTATCTTCGATCCAGGAGGCAAAGAGAAGGACGGACAAGACAGCCAGTTGCACGCGTCGAACAGAGAAAGGGATTGTCTGTTTCAGAATGATACGCTAGAATCTCGAATATCTCGATGTCGGTGAATCTGTACAAGAGGGGAGGCTCTGGGTAGGCAAGTGGAGGGAGCATTTTGAGCAAACCCCCACTGCAGAACGACGTCAAGCAATTATGGCGGGATTGACCTATCGTGAAGGAGGAGCATCGCAGGAAGAATCCACGCGAGGATTCTGGACGTCGCAAACGAAAGGGAGCGTACGGATAGCAATTGACTGGGGGCACCTGACGGGCGGGAGGCGAAGCTGGTGACCACACCTGTTGAGCAGTCAAAAGGGGGATGACGGGGCTGCCTTGCCCACCTTCATCATTGCCGTCAGTGTCCCGTCGCCAGGTCCTACAGCGTGTGACGGGGCTACGAACGTCACACAGATGCTGCTCTGCTTGGCCCCTGGTGAGTGTGTGTGTCTCTCTCTCGGTCTTTCTCCCTTTCGATCTGTATGACATGCTTCTAAGACCCCTGCCCTTGACGACTTGTTCCCTTGGAAAAAGAAGGGTCCGGCGTCTGTCTACCTATGGGATTCCATTCTCGTATGGTATATCGACGATGGCGGGGTGGGGGAGGACTGTGATTTTCACAAGCGAGCTGGGTAAAAAAGAAATATGGAGAAAATCCTTTTTAACGACAATTCAGCATGCCTGACTTTTCACAAATCCCATCATTTCCCATGGCCTTTTTTTCTGAACGGGGACCACCACTTCCCTGCATCGTGGAGTTTCCACAACTGAAGCCGAAGAATGAAGTTGGGCGGGGTTGTTGACGTATGCATGAGGGAGAAGGTGTGGCCAATTTTCTGTCGATCAACCACGAGTCCAAAACCCGTGGATGGAAGAGCTGCGAAACTGTGGAGAGGTCAATAAACCAAAAACATCGACGAACAATAATAAAATAGGTCTGGAGACAACAACTACAAACAACAACTGGCTGTTTCATTTTGAAAATCACCCTACTAACTGGCCAGGTACTGGCGGTACTGCAGGTAAGTAGGTACATGCGCAGGCAGGAATCTGTGGTATGGATAGGCAGACAGGAATCTACCTACCTGGTACGATATTGGTGGTATGGATAGCCTAAGCCGGGCACGGCCGGGGTCTGAGAGCTCACATTCATATGACGTGCTTCCAAGTTTGGGAGTCGTGGGAGACCAGAGGCAATGCGACGATGAACGATGGGGAATGGAGATATGATGCAAGCGATCGACGAGGCTGTTGCCCAACGCAGGGCCCTGTGGAGGCGAGCGCCATCGGGCCAGTCAAGGGATGGGATGGCGAGAGGGAATGGAGAACACAGCAGGAGAGTTTTGTCAGCGTCTACTCCCCTACTCTTTTCTCTGGTCGCGGTGTTGGTATGGTCTGCTGGTGGTGGTGATGGTGGTGGTGGTGCCATGTAGAGTATGAAGTATTCGTCCTGGACTGAACTTACCGTAGGAGCACATACCAGTGCATTGCCTTTCCCCATGCTCGTTGACTCGCGTCTAAAGGCTCCTTTATCGATCATAAAGGGTTTGCTCCAGCATGCCTTGCTACAGTACATAAAATACCTATGATCACGTAGATGTTCTGAACACAAATAGAACCATGCTCTGAGCCTTCTACCAGAATTACATTTGAGTAAGAAGACGGATAGTGTACAATCCAGCCGGAAAGCCTGACCCTTTTTTTGAGGTCTTTTTTCCTCTCTTTTTCACACAACAAAGTGTAGGAGAGTAGTCTTTTTGCTCGCTTGTTGCACCTCGGGGATACAGGAAAGCAAGTTCTTGCTCCCTTTTTGTTTTATATCAAATTTAATGGTACAAGGGAATAAGCTTGTCACTTTTTTGTCACGTTTCAAATTCAGAATATAGGAGAAAATAGTAATACAAGTTTTTTGAAAAAAGATTTCATTCATGCTCAAGAGACTTCCAAAGCTCTATGCCTGTGTGATCTCTCCCAGAGGAATGCGCCGCCCAATGCTGCTGATACCCAAAAAATATTAGATCCGAACTTGGGGTCGTTGATGGAAAATTAGATGAAGCAAGCTCATCGTCAAAACTGATAACCTCCATGTCGATATGAAAGGCCGTGAGAGAGATGTTGTCATACATGTGAGGGCCTGAATACGCGGAAGCCCCCTTGCCATGAGTCGAGTTTGCGAGCGTAGAGAAAGAATAGTTTTATCAACAATATCAGCGAGGATATTTTCCAATTTCTGCTGCAGCATGACAGCATCGTTGGGTGCCGGTAATTTTGTGTGATTATGCCGAATTCTTTCTTGGGGTAAAAATTTGGGCAAGCTCGAAAACGTTCAGGTGAAGGACAGTCTTTGGGACTGGTTTTTAGAAAGATGCTCGTGACGAGTTACTGCTGTGTGTGCTCTGTTTGGAGAGTACTCCGGACTCGGGGTGGGCATCGACACCGATGGGTGGACTTCGTCGGCGTGCTGACCGTGTTGCCGCGTCCATTTGCTGCTTTGTGTGCATGTGCATCATTCGAGCATACGATGTCATGGCTGCAATGGGGTCAGACTCGTAGCTGAAATTCTGTTGAGGGCTGGTGAGGTATTCGACGGCAGAAGGCATGGTTGGTGATGGTTTAGGAACACGAGAGGGTTTTCTCTTGATGGTTGCTTGAGAACTGCAAAGGTCAATTAGGAGATGATGACTGTACGAGGTTGGATCAATCTTATAATGTCCTGATAGATGTGCTGAGGCTGTTGCTGGAGTGTTAGTAAGGGGGGAAATTCAGGCAATGTGGTTATATATCTCATGGACTCTACTCTGCACACCAGGCTAGACCGTCATTGGCGAGAACACGGGAGGAGCGACACACAGAATCGGGGGCGAAGTCCAGGTCTAGAGGCGGAGAAATGGCGTATGGCATGACCAATGAACGTTGTGAGACCTCTGGGGAGGTTATGCCAGTTGCCTGCAAGTTGCCGTCAGTTGGACGGAGCTGAGTGGCCATCTAGCGAACTAGAATTTGACGGGGCGATGATCAAACGGCAAAGGTTGCGCTCGATCAACAGCAAAAAGTGAGATTCCAAGGACCAGAGCTGAGAATTCAGCAAATGACCACAGAGAATGCCGTGCGCAGGTGGAGAATGACCCTGCCGATCCGTCAAGACCACAGTTGCCCAGGGTCTCTTGGAAAAGGCAATGCAGTATGATCACATCTCGCATTCGATAGACATGCGGAAAATTGTGGATGGAGAGGGGAGGCTCTAGACCCAACGCTTTTCTGCCGAGGGATTCTCATGGTTAGGCATTCCAGATAAGCATCCTGACTTTTATTCAAGAGTGATCGTCGCTGAGAGGAGGTGTTGGCGCTGGGACCCTCGCATGCCTGTACAAGTCGACGAAGATGAGACCAGCAGCGAAGAGGAGCAGGCTGGACTGTAGGTAAGCATCAGTGAAGAAACAAAAAGCCAGGCGTGACACATAAAGGTTCATTTGCATTTGTCGCTAACATGTAGAGGAGGTTCGTGACACTCGTAGTGGATGGGTTGATGGTAATGGGTGTGGCATGGGGAAGGCGACTCGGGAGGAAGCAGATGGGGAGATGCCGTGCCGTTGTTGGTGGCAGCCAATGAGAGCCAAGCAATGACGTCGCCCAAGCGCCTGAACGGGACCCCAGCCTTGCGTCTGCCAAGGCCGCCACCTGTTTCCTAATTCGGCCGATGGCAATGGACCCTGGCAATCACCCGTCGCGCTGTGTCTTCAGTGGTGCGGAGTATTTCACAAGTAGCGCCCTCATTCTCTGTCGTCAGTTAAGCTTCCAAACTCTGGTGCTGTCGTGAATACTCGTATGACCCGTCCCGTGCAGCCACAAAGGTTGTCCTAAGTGCGCGATTTCTGTGCCGCTCGCCGAACCCAATGCTCCTCACGCGAAGGTATATTTCTCCTTGTCCAATCGATGTCTTCATAGTTGGAGGTCCATCTTCAACAATCTCCATTCAAGGATCGTGGATACGCATGGTGAAAAGACATAGGAAATTGGATGATGCTGGGGGCAGGACCCTGGACCGATCGTTCTCCTTAGCCTTTCAGGACTGGAATTACCCCCAGATGTAGGGGCTGTCATAAGCAACAATTGCTTCTCCTCGTATCAAATAATGGTCTGATATCATGCCAATTTGGGGTCCGTGCGGACAGTCTAGCCAGCTCGAGGTGGATGATGTTGGGTTGTTGCCTTGGGGAGGGTTGTCAAGATTCTGATTGGCCTGCCATAAACATCCGTGCGGTGCTTGTACAGAGGAACGGTGGCCCGATATCCTTCAACCCGGAACAATCGTCATATCAAACAAGGAGACGACATCAGCGCCTGTCTCCGTACTGATTGTTCTGTCCAGATGGCGTCCTGGGATATTGCGTCCAGCTGCTGGGCGGAGGGGCAAACGTTGGTGGTGGGGGAAGATGAGGGGGGAAGGGAGCATTTCGATATCCTACATTGCCTTGGGGAAATGGAGGAGGCGGAGGAGGAGGCCATGCGCCCACCCATTGCGGTGGTCTGGGAGGAGGTACCGGTATACCCGTAGGAGGTAGGGGCATAGGCGGAAATGGCATTGCTAGAGATGGTGGAGGTGGAGGACCAGGTACGATATTTGTATTGCTGTGTCCTGGTGATGGATCGAATCTTGGAGGTTGCTCGTATCGTGGATGATGGTCGCTAGGAGAATATGGGTCGCTTCTGGAGCGTGAACGGCTGCGACTTCGACTCCATTGTCTTCTCGGTTTGTCGGACCTGCGCGCGGGAGGTGAGCGGCTGTACGACCTTGAGGATCTGGAGCGTCCATTGGTCGAAATACTCCGACGTCTGCGCTTCTGAGGTGTCGCGCTTCGACTGCGATCCGAGCTTCGTGATCTTGAACGTCGAGACGATCCAGCCGAGCCCTTCCTGCCACGCTTCTTCATCTTGTCACAAAACGAACGAGACCATCCATAGTAAGTGTCGCCGACCACATCTCCCGCTTCATCATGGTATGAGATCTGACCCAACTCATCAATCTCTGGGGATAGGCCAGACTGTTCAAGCCTTGGGAGGGTGGTTTCAATGCCTTTGACATCGTTCAAAAAGTCTTTGAGCGCAGAGACCAAGCTCTCATCTGCGGGGCCTGCAGAGAACTGGAGTGCCCGGACCTCATCAGGGCGCATCGGCTGCGAGCTGTTCGGGATAATGTGGCGCATCAGATTGCCGGCTGGCAGATCGTAGAAGGGTAACGAAGGGTCGCCGTGTGTCGAGGGGATAAGGTACGGGAGTTCTTTGTCTGCACTCTTGCGCTGAACCTCTGCTTCAAAGGTCGGGTTGGACTCCGGGGTGACGCCGTTGAGGACATCGTGCAGTTGATCGGTAACTTGTCTGTCAAAGTACCCCTCCTCTTTCCACAGGTCAATCAAATCGAATAGCCGCCTGCGCACGCGACCTTTTGCCTCTGATGCACAGATTTGGAATAGGTCGGGCAGGAATGATTGGAGAGAGTGTGCCAGGTTGTTGCGAAGAGCGACGTCGGCTTCGTGATATTTGGCGTGGTGAAGAAGGTCATTTAACAGATAAAGGATATGGAGTCGCTGGCGCGAGACTCTTGCGCGGATCGCTTCATCTGGCTGGTTTGCAAGATGTCGGGAGATGGTGACCAAATATTTCCCTAATGCGCTGGTCCTTGCCGGCGAGACAACGACATTTTCCAACAGCCATTGTTTACACGTCTATAATTCTTCAGTCAATCCAGCTCCGGTGTTTTGTGTCGTTTGAATAGTCCAGACCTGTATATTGCGACTCGAGCATTGGGTAAGGGTAGCCTCGAAGGCGTTGTGAAAGGTGGGGAGGTCGTCGCGAGAGACCTTTGTCACGTCCGGCCGCAGGAGAGAAGCGCCAAAGGAGGCTTTGGCAAGAGAGATATGATGAGCAGCCATCTGGGTTATAGAAGAAGGGAGATGGATAATTTGGTCATAGTTCTTTGGATCTGTTGTTTCGGTTTCCGAGGCGTTGACATAGTCACCGACCGGTGTGAATCTTGCCTTTCGAAGATGCAGGCGAGGCTGCGCAGGTGAAAAGTCAGCCACACACCAGCCACAGTCACGTGCTGATACGCCACAGTCCATGTCGACTTGGTATGGGTCTTTTCGGACAAGGCTGGAGGCACCCCTGCTTTCCTCTTGCACGCCACCCAGCGCCACTGTCGTCAGTCTGTCCAATGAATCGAGGTGAGTTTCAAAGGCTCGCACATCATAGGACATTGCTACCAAGCTGCGTCCCAGGCGAGTTAGTGTTCGGCACGCGTTCCGTGTATATTTCGGATTGTCGGTATACTGCTTCTGGCGCTTTGCCCGGTTTATCGGGTGAATAGTGCCTCCAGGCTCCCGCAGCCTGTTCTCTCCTCGCGAAATCCGCACGCCCTGATGCTCAGCTGAGGGCCCGCACCCATATTACAAACAATGGACAAATTCACTGGCCGGTAGCATTTCGAAAGGGAGGCTTCTCAGGCCACTGGTCCTCGTGTTCATAAGGTCCTCGCCCATCCTGATGCCCAACAGCCGCTTTGCCTTCCGTCCCTGGCATCCCCATTATCCAGCAACACCATTTCTATTGCTCAGCACGCAATCATCTAGCTCCTGTTCCTACAGATTCGGCCCAGGCTGTGAGTCAAAAGACCCCAACAGTATTCATTGCCTACTGTTCGTACTGCTCGTACAGCCCGACGCCTTGTGAACCCCCATTTAGCCCCCCTTTAAAACAATCCGACTCCCCCTCACCGGGTTTCTCTGAACCTCTTCTACATTGTACAAAAGATCCAACAGAGAATTCCTCTATTTGTGAAACGGGAAGAGTTCCGCAGTCGATTCTCCTCTGTTTCTACTCTCGCTTTTGAGCAACCTTACTGCGATTCGCGTTCTCCACTATATACTCGCGCTCTCCACATCCACAGCCATGAGTCTCGCAAGCACCGTTACCAGCACCCTCACACAAACGGCGGTCCGTCATTTCTCAGCGCAAGCACCCAAACCGGCTACAAGATTACAATCGGCCGTCGCAGGCACTCTCATCACCTCCGCGGTCCTTCTACCTTTTGTCCCTCCTGCAATCGAGTCGAAGCGCGAACGAGACTCCGGACACCCCAATGCTTCGAGGAAGCACTATGCACCCCTCTGCTGTCACGCATGATGGAGATGTACTAGCGGAACTAGAGTTCAACCAAGCATAGTCACGGCGTTATGTTCATTTGGGTACACTGCGGCGTTGGAATGATCGGAGGAGCGTTCAGCATAATACCCGTTTCATGGTCATGGCTGGAGTAACAACAGGAGTGATGAGAGGTTGAGCTGCAACATTCGATTTCAGGGAATCTGGTTCATCAATGTACACACGAAATCAAGGCCTCGAGCCTTACCCATACACAATATATCAGCCGTTGAGAACATAACTGATGATACTTGTCTTTCGTCCCCTCAACCCAATCTGTCCCCTTTCTTGCTTCGATACGGCTCCGCAGCTTCGTACTTGCTCTTCTCTCGTACTCTCTGCTCGCCATCGACCGGAGCATGTCCGACGGGTGCAGCATCTTCACTTATCTCGCTGCTCGGACTGCCTGCATGATCTAGCCCTTTAGTGTTTTGAGATCCATTCCATGGGTCAGCCTGCTCTTTTGCTTTTGTCTTCGACTTGGAGGTAGGGGGTTGTTTGTTGAAGGCAATATGGGAATCCTCTAGGCGTTGTAGGTGAGCTTTTCTCTTCTGTTCTGCTTCAAATCGGGCTGCTCGGTCGGCATTGATGGATCTCTTTGCGAAATAGTAGGCGCCTCCACCGGCGACACAGAGCACTCCCCAGCCGATCCTGGGAGCCGTGACTTGTTAGCAAGATACCATAAATTATACGCAGCTCAATGCAATAACCCGGGGAAATGAAAGCAGAATGTTGCAGCACACGACTCCAAAGACCCGTACCAAGTCGACCGTATCTGCGCGAAGGATCAGCCATTAGAGTCAACGTGATGACAGACTGAATTTACCCACAGTATTCATCTCGACCAGAGTTACCTTTCCATGCCCGGAAACTAGGAGGTAGGAAGACAAGTGGACGCGAGTTGCATGAGAGCTCGCTTGTAGAAAAGCTCGGGCGGAAAATCGGAGACCAAAGACCTGCAATTGTACCACACGCTGCGGCGCAGGCGGCGGGTGACGTACATTTTCTCCAGCGAATGCTATGCGCCACCGTACACCATCGTGGACTTTTGGAGAACTTTCGGGGCATTTAGGCAGCGATCAGTTGCAGTGGTCGCACCTCTTCACCCTCCATTTACCGTTACCGTTCTTTGTTTCCCTTTTATCTCTTCATCCTTCTGTGTCCGAATACATTGTCTTTCGAATGAGAGCGGGGCACCGTCCATCGACTGACCCTTCTACCTGACGCAGTCCGCTCAGCGGCTGCTGTCTAAAGCCATGTCGCTCAAACGAAAAGCCCTTGTGGACGCTGCGAATGGTCGGTCCTCGAAACGCTCCACGCCTGCTCCTTCGACGCCCGTCAGCCTCGAAAGCGACGACGAATACTTCGAGGGATCCGATGCACGCTCCCAAGAACCCAGTGACAGCGAGCAAGAGCACATTCGAAAGGCTAGAGCAAAGTTGGACTTCAGTTCCTTCCAGGGGGCAAAGCACAAACAAAAGCCGTCCATCTTTGGAGAGAAAGACTTTTCCTGGCTCTCGCTGAAGCCTGATCATGAGAACAGACCGCTATGGATAGACCCAAATGTGTCCCTTGGGTCGAGAAAGGGCCCCAAGATCACCCTGGAGAGCTTCTCTCCGCTGTCTGCACAGGCTACGGATCTGCTTACTACCATCGCAGAACCCCAGTCGAGACCGTCCTATCTCCACGAATATAGATTCACAGAGCATAGTCTCTATGCCGCCCTATCGGTAGGTCTACGAGGTGAAGATATAATACGTGCACTAGAAAAGCTGTCCAAAACCCCCGTCCCCGAGACCGTGGTCGATTTTATCAACCGCCACACAAAAACGTACGGAAAGGTACGGCTTGTTTTGAGGAACAACAAATTCTTCGTCGAGTCCGATGAGCGCCCTATTATCGACATGCTCCTCCAGGACCCTGTTATCGGACCCTGCAAAGCTGCCGGCACTGACGTCCAAGTGGGGAGGATCCAAACGAAGGCGACTGTCATTCAAGGAACTAGCAACGCCAAAGGCATGACACAGGCGGGTCAGGGAAATGTGGAGATGCCCAGAGATGACCCAGCCAAAGAGAACGAAGCCATGATCGCGGCACTGAGGGACGAAGAAGATGAAGAGGATACCTACAAGGAAGCCACCAGTTTCGAAATTGCGCCGAACAAGCGTGACACAGTGGCGAAGCAATGCTTGGACATCGGTTATCCTGCGATTTCAGAATACGACTTCGCCAACGATTTCGAAAATGCGACCCTACCCATTGACCTGAAACCCTCCACTCAAATCCGGCCGTACCAGGAAAAGGCGCTTAGCAAGATGTTCGGTAACGGCCGTGGCAAGAGTGGCATTATTGTCCTCCCCTGTGGCGCCGGGAAGACTCTGGTCGGCATCACCGCGGGCTGCCATATCAAGAAGAGTATTGTCGTCCTCTGCACAAGCGCCATGTCCAGCTACCAATGGGCCAACGAATTCAGGAAATGGTCTGATATCAGAGAAGAAGATATCGCCGTATTTTCTGCCACTGAGAAGAAGAGGTTCAACGGAGATGCAGGTGTGCTGGTCACTACCTACTCCATGATAACCGCTGGAGGAAAGCGAGCCCATGACACCCAGCAGATGATGGATTGGGTGTACGGCAAAGAATGGGGTTTGATGCTCCTAGATGAGGTGCATGTGGTCCCTGCCAAGATGTTCAGGAAGGTCGGCGAAAACATTCGCTCCCACTGCAAACTTGGTCTGACCGCCACTTTGCTTCGAGAAGACGACAAAATCACCGATCTAAACTTCATCATCGGGCCGAAATTGTATGAAGCCAACTGGATGGAACTCGCTGATCAGGGACATATTGCCAAAGTGCAATGTGCCGAAGTCTGGTGCCCGATGTCCATGGAATTCTACCAAGAATATCAGAACGCAAGCACGCGGAAGCAGCCCTTGTTCTATATCATGAACCCGGAGAAATTTCGGGTCTGCCAGTACCTCATCAATTACCATGAGAACCGAGGCGACAAGATCATCGTATTCAGTGACAACTTGTTTGCATTGAGACACTATGCCGAGAACATGAAGAGGGCTTTCATCTACGGTGAAACCAGCAACTACGAGCGGCTCGAAATCCTAAACAGATTTCAGCACGACGATCGCCCAGAATTCAGCACCATCTTTTTGTCCAAGATTGGCGATACCTCCCTTGACTTGCCAGAAGCAACCTGCCTGATCCAAATCTCTTCCCATTATGGGTCTCGACGCCAGGAAGCACAACGCCTAGGGCGTATCTTGCGGGCAAAGCGTCGAAATGATGAAGGTTTTAATGCATTCTTCTATTCTCTCGTTTCCAAAGATACAACCGAGATGGCATACAGTGCGAAGAGACAGGCTTTCCTGGTTGACCAAGGCTATGCTTTCAAGACCATCACTCACTTGGCTGGTATGGACAAGATGGACAAACTCATGTACTCAAGTGCTGCAGAAAGAAACGAATTGCTTGCGAAGGTCTTGCTTCAAAACGAAACGGCTGCCGACATTGAGAAAGTCGATGACAACATGTGGAGTCATCTGAGTGGGGGCGGCTCTTCGGCGAAGGCCAAGGCGCAGAAACTGCAGGTGCGAAGGCAAGCTGGCTTGCTGGCAGATGTCAGTGGCGGCGGTACTATGGCCCCAATGTACCAAGAACGAAGAACCAAGAAGAGTCAGCAACCCGACAGCGAGTGGTTCAGGAAAGAGGCCAGACGGCGCGAACTTGCAGCCAAGAAGAGAAAGAAGGAGAGAATGGACGCTGAAAAGGCGTCGGGTCGGTAGGATGCATAGCCGGAAAAGGCCTTTGTTATCTTGGTCTGCAACAGACATTGATGCCGACAATCAGAAGGAGATCCGACGACTCTTTAGTCCAGGTCCTGTCAGGTCAAACTGGCGCCGGGCTAGCAGGCAGCAGGCAGCAGGACCAGGACCTCGATTCGAATCCCACTTCACTCGCTTAGATGACATTGATCATTTAACATTGGCGCTGGGTTACAGGTTGCAGTTCGTCAATTGAATTTGACCTCTTCCTTGGGCACCGGAGGTATCATCTTTAACTTGGCCAGATCTTCAAATACTTCCAACAGTGATTCTGCAGAGTCGACGAAACCGTGCCAGCCCAGTTTTCGAGCTTTGTCTGTCCTGTTTGCGATATGAGTCAGTAGTCTTGCATGATTTCCACGCAGATGATGCCCATATGAGGAATGGCTGGAATACACTTACGAAAATACGAGCGGCGCTGCACGGCAGACGGTGCCATCCAGAAAACCGAAGACGCGATCAACATCCTTCAGTTCCTTCTGGGGCAGCTGATATTGCTCTGCAATCTCCTTCCATGCTTGCGTCACCTCTTTCCTCTTTGCCCACTCGGCAAACGTGAATTTCCGGCGGGACACGCCTTTTCTCCCATATCCTCGGGGGTTGAAGCGGGTTTCTCGCGCGACGTGCTCTGCGTTGTCATCGGGCCCTGTCCATTTGATCCCATACCAGCCGGCGATCCTGGGCCAGGCAGATTCCCAGGTAAAGGCACTATTGTCACAAGCATTGAACTTTTGGTTCTCTGCCGCCGGGGTCAAGACGGCCCATTCCTCCATGTAGGCATTCATCATCGAGCTCGACATGCTGCAATATGCCTGCCACGACACCTCGTCTGCGGGGAACTCCAGCGGCGTGTGCATGTGGCGACAGACGGTGGCATAGACGGCCAGTGGGAACGCCGCGTTCATGGCCGCGTCCGGCACAGCACCCAGAATAGGTCCAGGCATAAGGATGTTCCACCCGACGCCCTGTTCACGACAGTACTTGAACAGGGCGTCTTCCTGGGGATAGTAGAAATTGGGCTCCAACTCGACCCGCGGGTCCGATTCTTCCTGCGGCAGCTTGGTCGGGCCCAGGTGCACGCCGTAGTTCTTTGCTCCCGTCTGAAGCATAAACCGTTTTGGCTTGATCTGGGCGTGGACGAGGGCCCCGAGGAAGTTTTCCAGCAACAGCGCGTTGACGCGACACATTTCCTCGGCGTCGCTCCAGAGTCCCTGGCCCGGCTTCGGCTCGACCTGGATGTACGAGAAGAAGAAGACGTGGTCCACGCGGTCGACATTGTGCGACTTGAGCACCGACGCAATCTCTTCGGGCTGCTTGAGGAAGTCCACCGCGATGTGTTCTGCATTTTTGGGCAAGCCTCCGGCAACCAGTGGTGGGCGCCGGCTCAGGCAGATGATGCGCTTCCAGCGTTCAGGAGCCTGGGAGAGGACACGCAGCATGTAGTACCCCGAGATGCCGTTGGCGCCGGTCACAATGGCCGTAAGGTCTTTCACATCTGGAGGAAATGTTGGTAGGCCGTGGTAGATGCCACGGGAGTGGACCTGCTGGACAGCAGAAGACATGGTTGGAGGACTGTTGTTGAATCTATCACCAGGAAGCCGGGTTGAAAGATACCCCTTTCGATCTGGCAGCGCTTTTTTCTTGCTGGAAATCAAATATCAGACCTCCTGCTTCGAATAATATTTATACTGCGACGTCCACGGTGTTCTACTATCCCGAGCTGACAAATATATGATATCTTCTCAAAGTCTATCATTGCATGGGCTTTCGGCTGAAGTCTCGTCTCGGACAGCCGAGCCTCGTTCGATGAATGCGGGGAAGAAGGGGATGATGGATGGGGTAAGTGACGGAGGGGAACAACGTTATTCCTTTCCAATGGTAGAAGCACCAGCTCCTCGACCTCGACTACAATCTTGTCTTCAATTGAGATCGATCTGGAGAAAAAGGCACCTGGGCAGGTACAATGCCATGATGTCGCCCGGAGGTGGACGTTGTGATCAAACTGAAACGAGCCATGAAGAGGGGCTTGCTGCTGGTCAAGTTCGAGCTGCGATCAGCCATTTGGAATACTCATACCAGAAGGAAGAGGCACTGTATCGGTCACACGAAAGATCCAATTCGTGATGGTCTCTGGGACACATGAACTGCTTGAGCAAAGGCCTCCTCTCATTCTGCCTGTCCGCCCTCGACCATCCAAGCATGCAAAGGGCCTTGCCAAGACTGACAAGGCTGAGCACCCTTATCTCCGACCCCGTTTGGCGCGATGGGTTTCTCGCACCTTGCAGCCTCCTTCGAGCGGGTACTCCAAGTCACACGAACCCATATGCCATGCAGGCAAATACAAAGCAATGGTATGGGATGGACTTTACCCCTGCTGTGAAGGTGCTTAAGTCCCTCGACGGCCAAGATAGCCAATATGGCTTTGACTCTTCACGCCTGGAAATTGCGGTGATTGGACACTTATCACCGGCCCAGCAACGATCTCGGAATGCTTCTTTGGAGTTCCGTTGCCGTGACTGAAGGGATGTACCCGGGGATTGGGTCTTTGCTTCGCGCGGACGCGTATGAATGGGATTACTTATGGAGTGTTTTCGGAACCGAAATGAGGGAAGGCTGGGACTATACGAGGTATAAAAGACGACAGATCTCCTTCGTGACTCTCGTGGCCGGTCCCTGTCTTCGAACGCAAGACAACTTCAAGACGAACTACTCCATCAGACCATTGACCTTCTCGAAACACCAACCACCCTCTGCCAGCTTTGCCATAAGAGGCCTGCGGCTCCCGGGAATCCAGCATGACGACCCCCTCCGCGCCCCTGCCCCGGTCTGTCCTGGGACGCCATCGGCTTTTGTCACCTACAGCCAGCGTCCATGTCAGTCCACTGTGTCTGGGCGGGATGAATTTTGGCGACGCCTGGTCCAGCATCATGGGCGAATGCAGCAAGGAAACGGCGTTCGAGATTCTCGACTATTTCTACGAGATGGGCGGGAACTTTATTGACACGTGAGTCTCCTCGAGGGTTGGGAACATCAATGTACACGGGTGGATGGGATGTTAATATTCCATCGGCCTGTTTTTCCCCCTTTCTTTGTCGGTGGCTTCGTGTTTGGCTTTTTTCACGGTTTCGTGTTACCCTCCTATTGGCAAGAATATGCTAACGGAAGAGCCTGGCCTCGACGACAGTGCAAACAATTACCAGGCCGAACAGTCCGAAACGTGGATCGGCGAGTGGCTAGCCCTCCATGGCCCATACCGACGAGACGAGATGGTCATCGCGACAAAGTACACGTCGGGTTATAAGGTCTTCTCCGAGCCTCACCTGCAACAGTCCAACTTCGGGGCAAACAGCACCAAGTCATTGGTATTGAGCGTCGAAGCGTCGCTGAAAAAACTGCAGACGAGCTATATCGACATCCTGTACGTCCACTACTGGGACTACACGACCGGCGTGGAAGAGCTGATGCAGTCGTTGAACCAGCTGGTGCAGAGTGGCAAAGTGCTGTACCTGGGCATCAGCGACACGCCGGCGTGGGTGGTGGCAAAGGCAAACGCGTACGCACGACATCACGGCCTGCGGCCCTTCTGCGTCTACCAGGGACGATGGTCCGCCGCGCAACGGGACTTTGAGCGCGACATTATTCCCATGTGCAAGGACGAGGGGATGGGACTCGCGCCCTGGGGCGCCCTGGGCGGTGGCTACTTTAAGCCCTCTTCACAGCAGCCCGCGGAGCAGAGCGGCGGCCGCAACATGGCATCGCTCACTACAGGCCAAGAGGCCGCAGTGTCAAGGGTGCTCGAGAAGATCGCCAACGCGCGCACGCCCGCCGTGCCACTGACCTCGATCGCCCTCGCGTACGTCATGCACAAGACGCCCTACGTGACGCCCATCGTGGGCGGGCGCAAGCTGTCGCACCTGCGCCAGAATATCGAGGCCCTGACCATCCGCCTCTCGCCCCAGGACATCGACGACATCGAGTCCGCGTACCCCTTTGACGTGGGCTTCCCCATGAACTTCATCGCCGGCAATAACCCCAGGGGACCCCAAGGGCCCGCGGACATTTCTCTCACCAAAAGGATGGGTCATTTTGATTTCGTACAAAACTTGCAGCCCATCCTGCCGCCGCCCGGCGTGGAGAAACTGGGCGAGGAGGAGAAAGCAAAGGTTCTGGGGTATAGGCTGTCTTGAAGCAGGTCGAGAAACCAAGGCCGGTGACAAGGCGTGGTTGGGTAGTGAGAAAATAGACTCTGTGTCGAGAAAATAGACTCTGTGTCGAGAAAATAGACTCTGTGTCGAGAAAATAGACTCTGTGTCGAGACGCGGCAGTCATCAGCAGAAGAAAACTTTTGTTTTTCTTTTCCTTTTATTTTGATAATCGGGTTTCCGCTAACTATACAACGGCACTGTGTGACTGCGAGACATGTTTTCTTTTCCAATACGACGATATCCACCCAATAACGCCCAGAACCGCACTGGCAGCCATGCAAGAACCCACAAAGAGCACAATGCCTTGATAACGATGCCTTGCCCAGTCACCCTCGTCGTGGTGCCGCCCAACATCTCCATGCACCTGTAGCAATGCAGAGCTGATGGGGCCCGAGGAAATGACGCCCAGACCCCTCCCCAGCGACAAGAAACTGTAGATCATGCTGGCGTCGTGCTCGGCAAACATGGTGCCGATGCGTGGCCACAGCGTGAGGAAGCCACTCGCGGAGCCGCCAAACAGCAGCGCAAAGATGATCAGATACGCCAGCGAGCTCGCAAAGCCCCAGATCAGGAACGCGGCGAGAGAAGCGGCCGCGGCCGAGCAGAAGACCAAGCTGTGGACGTTGACTTTGTCCGAGAGCCGGCCGAAGCCGATCTCGCCGAATACCTGGGCGACGTTGGCGAGCGCGAGGACAACGGCCCCCGTCGACGCCGAGTACCCCAGCGCGGTGGCGTAGGAGGGGAGGTAGATGAATGGCAGATATAAGGCGAATGAGTGGACAAGGTTTGAGAGCAGGAAGATGTAGAAGCCGGCGTGGCTGTAGTATCGGCGAAAAGGCAGGGCGTTGGTGACTGTCAGGATCTCGGGTCCCGGTTCCACATCTGCGGATGATGTCAACTCCTTGACCGATGCAGTCTCGGAGCAGGAGTCGGCCGCGGCGGGCGCACAAGGTCTCTCTCGAAGGAAAAAGATCCCAACACCAGGGATGAAGAAACAGATAGCAGCGAAGACAAGGAATGCGGCCTTGATGCCGTGGTGGTTCAAGAGCGCGCTGGCCAGAAAACCCCAAGCCACGCCAAACAGGTCGGTGAAGCCACAGAGCAGGCCAAATGCCAGGCCGCGTCGCTCAACAAACCACGTGTTGAGGATGATGAGCGTGGGCATTTCGACGACGAGCAGGCCCAGGCCAAACAGCAGCCCTTGCGTGGCAATCAGCGTTCTGACGTCGTGACAAAAGGCACTGCCAAGCAGTCCGACGAGGCACAGGATCCATCCGAAGTAGATGTAGTAGTGGCAGGGAATCGTCAAGTTTTGGCAGCAGTATGTGACGGCGGGAGCTCCCAGGTACGCAATGCCCGTTGCGAGAACGCCAATCCATGATGAGACATCGCTGTGCGGGAGAAAGGCTCTGTTGCTGTAGTAGTCCTGGAATACGCCGAACGAAAGACAGACGCCTGTAATTCGCCCATCAGTACATTGACTCCAACAGCAGCAGCAGCAGCAGCAATAGTAGAAGAAGTAGAAGGAAAGGCAATTTGAACGGACCGATGAGGACGCCTTCAGAGAGAAGCGCAGCCAGCAAAATCCCATACGCAGCCCAACCTGAATCTGTTTTCGATGTGGAAAGTCGCGTCCTGAATGATTCTCGGCATCGTCCAAGCATGATCGTCACTGGTTCCTTGGAGTCTATGCAGCTTGCTCTGGGTGGGAAAGCAGATATATCCTGGATGCCATCGTATCAACTGCTCTCTCTTTGAAAGTCCATCGAATACGAATTATCCTCCACAGAAAGTATCCAGCGAAGACGGACGGACGAACAGACATGGGAGCTCTGACCACATTATAACAGGCGGCTTACCCCCTGCCCAAGGGCTTCGGGTGACCTCGAAGTCTTCCACCGACAAGCCTAGCGAAGCATGGCACAGCAGCCTCGAAACCCACACGATCACCATCTTTGACAGATCTGGTAACCGATGATGAGGCAGCTAGAGGCCTGGCCCAGGCTCCATAGCCTGTCATTCTCAATGCAGATGCATTAGGCATCGAGTGACGAGGTATCAACGGGGTGTCAGCTGCAGGAAAATTCAGGAGCGAAACAATAATAACAATGTGTCATGGCGCTTATTTAGTCATAGATTTCCCCCCAGGCAGCCTCGTCAAAGCTGATGCCGGCGCCCAATGCGTCTAGGACACGCCGTTGAAGAACGTGGGCCTGGAATCTGGAACCAGGGCTGAAGTGTGGCTGCAGGCGGTTTGCGGAGCTGAAAGAGGCTCACTTTGCTGCGGCTTGTGCCAAGAAGCCTCGTGACCAATGAGGATGTGCGTTGGGTTTGATTGACGTCGGTCATCACCAACCAAAAGAGAAATGCAAGTGGAGCCTTCCAAGGTTTCCAATTCAATACCGAGCAAACGCTTTCCTATTCAGATGCATATCCTGAAATTGGAAATCCCATGCTAAAAGGTCTCATTTTGTGGAGAGAGGAATGTTTAGATCCGGCTTCAGCCCCTGGTCTCGTACCGGCGGGCCGGCTTTTCAAACAATCTTCAAGACCTTGGCAACCCAACTCGACATGGTCAGTGCCGCTGTCGTGCCCGCGAAGACAATGAGTGGCCCAAAGCTCCCTGAGTAGGCACCTGCGGCACCTTTCCACCCTGCAACGCTGGCATGCAACAGTGCTTCACTGACAGGACCACATGCGACGTTACCGATTCCTCTACCACCACCGAGGAGACCCATCATACTCCCCAAGTCTGCTCTCCCGGTGTTGCCGCCAGGAGTGACACGACGGAACTCCTGGGCAGCGCCAGCATAAACAGCCGTGAAGCCGCCCGCAAAGAATCCGTAGCACAGCGTAAATGCAATCAGTCGGCCAGTGGAAGACGATGCAAGACCCCAAAGAAGGAAGATGGCCAAGGTGGAGCCCAGCGAGGAGATCAGGATGACTGTATACACTGGCACCTTGTCTGACAGAGCCGAGAGAAACATGACGCCAGGGACTTGTGCGACGTTGAGCAGTGATACTAGGAGTGAGCCGGAATGAAGACCGTTGATTCGTGCGTAGGCTTTTATCGACGGGTCAGTCACTATTTTTCTTCGTCAGCGGATTGCTTACCGGGAAGGTAAAGCTGAGGAACGAAATATCCCAAGCCTTGGATGATATTGCAGATCTCTATGATCCAAAATTGCTTTGTCTTCACGAATCCAAATCCAGCAACGATAGCTCGTGCCGGCGCTCGGTGGGCTCTGGAAGGGGGGATACGCGGTTTGACGAAGAAGAGAAACGGTGCGATCAAGATGAACTGCGAAGCACCGAGTACTGGCTTAGTAGAAGGCAGGAGAATCATCAGACTCGAATGCGTACCAGAGCGACGGCCCAACCCCTCAAGAAGGTCTCAACACCGTATTTGCTGAGACCCCAATGAAGCACCAGGGGACCGGTCAAACCCCCGCATCCAGACCCAGCCCACATGACACCATAGGCGAAGCCTTTGCGACGTACAAACCACTCATCGATGAAACTGTAAATGGGATAATAGACGAGATTGCCACCAATGGCGTAAAGGATTCCCTGGGTAAGAAGGAGATGCCAAGTCTTCGTAGCAAAACTCGAGAGGAAGACTGCCAGTACGACAATAGGCAGGCCAACGAACAAACTTCGACGTAGAAACATCGGCCATCTCTGGAAGGTGAGAAACACTAACGGCGCGCCCAAATACAAGATTCCCTAGAGACTTAACGTCAGACCAAAAGCTCTTCATCCAGCAGATGGGCTTGACGATATACCGAACATGTTGTCCCGATGGCGGAGATGCCAGTGGCTTGACGAGATATAGGCGGGTGTGTCGAGTAATAATCCTGAAGGACGCCGAAAGAGAATGGAAAGCCTGACAAATCCGAGTTAGACACCCCGTTCGCAACAAGAAGGGCGCTTGCTGTTACCCCAGAGAAGCATCTCGATGCAAAAGCTGCCGGAAAGGAAAAGCCATGCTGCCCTACCGCCATCGACTGGAGGTAGAGTGGTGGTTTCGTGCGCCTCAACTTCATCGGTAATTTGTCGGTTGCCAAGGGGTTCTTGCAGTTCTATCTGGGAGGTGCCATCACGAGAAGGCATCGTGATTGAGTCTGTCTGCGCACCGAGATTGTTCTCAAGGCAAAATCAAAAGAAAGAAGAACTGGAGACAACGACTATGAGCTTGATATGTAGTAGGGCGTGCATCTCCTCGATTATGTAATTGTGTTCAGAATTCGATCGCGGGGAAAGGCGTGCTTTCGAATCGCATTTTCATGGCCAATTCTGTCTCATGTGCTTTTGAGCACGAAGGTACTTCAATGTCAGTTTCTTGCCGATGACAGCGTAAGGGCGAACAACAGACCCGGTCAATCTTGCCGACCTGCCTTTTTTCGACGGCATAATTGATCTCGGGCGGCGTAGGTTCTTTTGACCCCGTTTGAATGAGGTCCATCCTGGAAACGTGTGGCTTGTCTATTACCATGTTGCCCATTTTCTTATGCTTAGTGTGTCAATGCGAGGATGCTTTGGGACGATGATGGCCTTGCATGCTGAATAGGTTGTCGATGTGCTTGTTATTGAAATTGTTCTCGACAAAATCGGAAGGGGTGAATTTTCAAGATCCATATGAAGCGACAGTTTCCCCTTCGGAATATGAGGACGACTGTACACTGTATAAGCCATCCTGGACAATCGCGTGCCTACCAGCAGAGTCAATATCTCCATGGTCTCCTCGGTACAAGACCTGCAATTGTCACTGGCAGTGGAGGAGTCCGGGCTCCCCGGTATTCGGGTCTCAAGGCCAACGTTGGCCATTTGGAGCCGCTGAACTCCAGCACTAGAACCAATAATTCAACACACCATGGCCAATGAGCGCCAAATTCCGCGGAGGCTTGTAAATGAAGTACTTGGCAGAATATCGCTTGCCGTAGATCTTCAAGGCTGTCAGTGAGGCTGAACGCCATGGCCAAAAGCTGCTCGAAGCTCACGTACGACTCGCCTCAAGCCTGCCGCTTATGGCGACTCACCCTCTTGAACAAACTATCGGCCTGTCCAGATGAAAAGTTCCATCTTGTTTCCTATATTGATGACAGATAACCTAAATTTTCACATTGCCGCAAGAAGGGCCGATATGGAATTAATGTTTGTCACGGTGGGCTCTCGAGCATCACGGATGATGTCAAGGTTCTTTACAATGCATGCTTAGAATGGCACAACTGACAAACTACCTGCTAATTGAACTTCCGCTGGGGGCATTGATGCCGGCCCCATGGTCCACACCGAAGTTAAAAGTACGTCCACATCGATTGTGTCGAAATATGCTGTATTGCAGATCAACTCTTCCAACATGTCACATCCAGTGAGCATTTCAATGTACTTTCCTCCGCTGAAACGAACGAGAGTCTTTAACGTTGGTTAAAGATTCCTAGACACCTTCCCCTCTGTTGGGTATTCTCACAATTTTCGTGATTTTGCCGCTTCAGAGGCCTTCAGGCTTCCAACCACAGCCAAGCATGTCAGAGGTGTCATCCCATATATGAGCTACAAAAGCACAATGTTAGGGGCCACTCGTTGCAAACTATGCACGTATCTATCCTGGGGAAGTAATACTCACTGCAAGGAATCTTGCTATGACCATCTTTTCTGTCTTTTCAACGCGGGATACGTCGGCCAAAGCCATCAATTTCATAGCTGTGGGCCCAACAGGCATCATCATCATAGTGAACCACAGCATCGGATCTTTGGCTAGAAGTTTTGTTTTCGTCGCAACTACCCATATAAGGGGGATGCTAATCCTGCATTTTTTAGTCGGCTGGGATAAGGCAATTCAGTTCAGAAACAAACTTACGCTGGCCACAAGATGAATCTGAAGAGAGCTGCGAACACCACTGGACCCCAAGGCAAATATCCAGTGTCTTCGTGACGTTTCTCTCTCCTCAGGCTCACGCTCAACTTGACTCCGACGATGACCATCTGCAATGACACGAACAACTGACCAATGTGCTTCGTGCTCTCCGTGAGCCACGCACTGAAGTAGCCACCCTGGTCGGTCTCTGCAAAGAAAAGCCGATGTAGTGGTGGTGTAAAGCCAATGAAAATCCCAATAACGCCTCCCACAAAGGGTGTACTTAGGAATGCATGGAAGGAACGAAGAAGCCGGCGTATAGGTTGAGGTAAGTTGCGAAAGATACCTCGACTGGTGTTGCCGATGCTCTTGAGGCAGGCATATACAAAGCGATCAGAGTGGTCTGGAAGCAGTGAAGTACGACTACTTCCTGAATCTGGCTCATGGCTCCCTTGTGTATCCTCTTGACTTTGGCGTTCGGGATCGCCGGGGCTTTGCGAGCGTCTCTCATCTTGCCATCGGACCTTCTGAGCTCCTCCTGGCGCATCCTCCTCATGGCCCCTGAGTTGGGAAGAACCGATTCCAAAAGTGATGGTATTAGACACGAACGCAGATACAAGAAAGTAAGATCTCGCCCTATCTAGCGCCGCGGAGCTCGAATCATCGGGGCCTGTTAGCAGAGGCTTGAGAACGCCCGTGGTATCAAGACCTTGGAGGAGCAGTAACGGAAATGCGGCACTGTTGTTGAAAGCGACTGCCCCAACTGCCCAGCGCGGCATCCGGAATATGTGCACAACAGCCCGCGCGACCAAGAGTGAACATACTTGGTAGGCAACCGCCCAAACTAAGAGGTTGTCAGCACACCCGCGAAGGATCTGCGCGTAGGTAACTCGATAAGCAGCTTGGTTGCCCTATCAACCAAGGAGACAGCTTATTGGCTTACCAAGGATCGGGATGTATAGGAGGATATTGTCCAAATGCAATTGAGATCCCAAGTTCGTGATCAGAAGTGCTGGCAGGAACATGTTGACCGAAGTCCTGCTTATTTGTCCTGCGGCAGAGGGCTCCATGAGGTTGCATTGCGAGGCTAGCAAGCCATAGCCGATAGTCAGGAGGATAGAGGCGGAGGCCTGTATGCCACCTACGAATGGAAGCGCCAGGCTGGTACCCTGTTGAGCCATCCTGGTTCGACGAAGACTTTGTTTTAGAGGCTAGTTACAAGCGAGCAACAAAGTATTATGGTATGCAGCCAAGCTGAAGGAATAGCCGGGCAGGGGATTGAAAGAATGTATTCTCTCAATCTCCCGTGGTCGGGAAAGCTGGAATCGGAATGCTGTTTTATGTGATACGCCTCTCCTCTGTGCACGCTAGCATGATGCCAACGGGTGCCGGTCTCAGTAGATAACGTAATGAGGCAATCAAATCCTTGTTGATGGGCTGGATGAGACTAGGTGAAGGCATCATAGCGTAATAGGGGAAGCTGTCAGTCTCCGAACCATGGATAAAGCGGAGTTGTTTTGCGAATTCTTACGCGCTTCGGTCCACACTTCATGGGAGCCTGTTTAGTACTGGCCTCTTTGCCGATGACGACCAGGATCGTCGGAGCCATTTGACAAGACCTATTACCCATGTAAACATGCGGGAAGCCCCGGACCATTTCTCGATACGAAACATGCTTGACCTCAGTCCAACAATGATCGTAGGGGACTTCATGCAGCGGCAGCATCCAAATTCCTTTGTGAAGCTTCCAGAAGTGTGACCCAAAGCTACTGTGTGTAATGAGGCTTCCTTCCTCCAATGGAATGGTACACTCGTTGCTGCGACGAACAAGACGCTTATTCTCTATCCTTCATCACAAATACTTCTAGGCCCTACACGCCCACTTCGGATTCTTGTATCTCAGCTCTCATCCTGTTGGCTGGTGTGCTCCACTTCTTGCTTCGAAAACCTTTCAATGCGATCATCAAAGTTGAAATTATCGGCAAGACCGAGCTGCTCAAAGAAGTCCTTGATAGTGTTGTCTTCGCAGTATTTTAGGTCGGAACCCTCCTTCTTCAGGCCTTCATACGATCGTTGCATTGCAAGCATAGCTGGAATAAATCCCGTGCATGGGTAGATTGCAGCAGCAAAGCCCAGGCGGTCGCAGTCCGAAGTATTGAAGTTCGGGGTCAACCCCTGAAAACCAAGTCAGCACACAGTGGGCCTGATTCTTCCAAGGCTTCACACAACATACATGGGGCAGAACGTTGATAAGCACTGGCTTAGGAGCGCATGCTTTTACCAATTCCTTGCATTCTTCTTCCGTCCGTGGACTCTCCATGAACGCCATATCGGCACCGGCATCAAGTGCCGCCTTCAGTCTCTTGACTCCCTCATGAAAAGCCTTCTCGCCAGCTTCGCTCCCCCCGAGGTGCTTAGCCTGTCTGGCGTCGGTGCGAGCAATGATGACAAAGTTTGGATCTGTCCTGGCCTCGACAGCACTCCTAACCCTTTCGAGATAGACTTGCAGATCGACCACATCCTTGCCCTTGAGCTGACCGCATCGTTTTGGGAACACCTGGTCCTCAATGTGTAGTCCGGCAACACCTGCATGCTCATAAAGCTGGACAGTGCGCTTGATGTTCAGTGGGCCGCCGAAGCCAGTGTCTGCATCAGCGATGACAGGAAGGTGCGTATGCTGCACCATCATTCCGGCGATATCGGCAAACTCGGTCTGGGTCATCACGGACAAGTCGGGCTCCGCTACGCGAGACCCCGTGGCACCCGAGCCTGCGAGATACAAAAAATCAAAACCCAGTGTTGAAGCTATTCGAGTAGAGATGCCATCAAAGACGCCCGGCCCGATCAGACATTTTCCTGAGGAGTTGATTGTTAGTGCACGCATCTATTGGGGCCGCATGAAAACATAGTCTACATACCTTCCTTCAGGGAGTCGCGGAACTTCTTAGGACCCGTCTTGCTCACTTTCTCCATCATGTGCAGTGTAATTGACAGGTCGTTTTGCAGTTGCCGTGCATACAATTCCAGGCAAATCTCGTTCGTAGAAATATGGTTGAGTCTCTGGCCAGGTCTGAATATCGGAATCCCAGTGACTATATCAATGAATGATCGTCACTCTGGGTGTGGATAGTAAGTGCAAGTGGGCGTCAACGCATACGAACCCTCACCAACTGCCCATTGGCCAGAACACGGAGAAAAAGTCCGACTTTCATCATACTTACCGCAACATCCGTTCCCCTGGGTCTGATGCGCACGGATAATGCGGGACACAACAGGATTTTGTTGATGTATGAGCACCAGCAATCGTTATCGCCAGGGTTTCTCGGCTCCGGGGATGAGGTCAAGAATGAGTGTATTGAATTGGCATGCTGGCTATGATGTGAGTGTTGGTGAGCGGAGCCAATAGTGCAAATAAGCATTGCCACGCCACCAAGCTAAAAGTAGAAGGCAACCTGTATTCCCATCATGGCAACTGTATTATATCATCATGTCAAGTGGGTATCGACTATCATTTGGGGGGTGCGGCTTGTGCCTTATAGCACCGACGGGCTCATTCCGTCCCCGTTTATCTTGTCATCGATTTCGTACCAGTACTCCTCCAAACACTGACAGAGGCGCCTGAACAGGCTCTCCAAGATCAATTGAGATTCGGGCTTTGGGTCAATTAAGGGAGAATCTTTGCCTAGCCAGCTCCACGGCTTTTTTTCAGCTCTGCAACTCGGCGTGGTGCATTGCCTCGTCTTTGTTAGCTCGCAGGCTGCCTCGTCAGAGCCTTGCAGCTCTTCCGGACTTCTTCCCCTTTGTGTCGGAACTTGACTATGACCAGCACTGCTAGTCTCGTCCTCTCCAAGAAGCTTCAGAAAGAACGCCCATTCTGCGTAGCTATATTCCTTGCGGCCTTCTGGCACTGCCATTAGGTCAACATACACCCTCTGGATTTGTGAAAGCAGAAGACGGATACAACGGGGTTCTGAGACGAAGTATCAGTAACTAATGCGTGTCTCGAAAGGGCTGCTCCGGTCTCACCATGTGGAGGTTGGCGTCCATACAACTTCGTCGCCTGCGACATGGGGTTTACAAGGACACTTTCGTACTTCCTTTCCCTTTCGCTGGTGGTTAGATTGTCACTGCTAATTAGTCCTGGGTGCACCTGTTTCAAATTCTGGGATTGGTCGCAGAGCGATCCTTTCTCCGGATCCTCAAGTTTCCTGTGCTGCTCAGCCACTGGCCTTTGCCACTTGCGCATATTACGCTTGAGCCTTTTCAACCCCGAATTGCCCTTGCGTGGACGGAGTGTAACTTCACCAACCCAGACGGTGAGGTCTTTCAGCCACTTCACGGCGGTGTCGCCCATATTCGAAATGAGGATGGTCAAACTGGGGACAGCGAGGAGCGACCAGAGAACGAAAAAAGGTTTGCCGCTGTTACTTTCGGGCCGAAAGTCACCGTAACCAATGGTCATGAGTGTCGTATATGAAAAATACAAGGACTCAAAGTAGGTCCATTTCTGTCGCCTTTCTGTTTTCCAAAAGACCACGGCACCAATCGTCCAAAGAAATGTGACGATACCCGTGGAAATAAAGATCGCAGCGCACTTGCGTCTGCGGTGCGCTGATTTTTGGACCGCTCGCATTGCGTTGAACTCAGCCATTCGGCGTGGCTCGTCGTTCTCTTTGTCATGGACCAAGGCCGAGCTTATGGGCCTGCTCATACCCAGACTTCCGAGTAGCTGACATGTGACTGACCTCTGGCTTGCCGAGTTAGAAATCTGATTCATCGCTTTAAGGCGAATCTTCTCCGTGAGTCGTGCTCTCATCTTGGCCGTACCTCGGTCCAACATGAGGGCGCGTACACTACCGACCACAAGTCCCACTGAGATGACACCGCCCAATGCGTATGGGAACAGGAGAGCCCTACCAAGTGTCGAGGATGGAACATAGAGATCCCCGAGGCCGATAGTCAATATGGTCAAGTTGGACCAGTATATCGCGTCCAGAAACTTCCAGCCTTCGAGGTTCGCATAGACCAGAGCTCCGAGCCAGTCGTACGCCACGAAGACCACGGTCTGGATCATCAGAGTCCGCTGTGGGCCTGTGAGACGGAACTGTCTTTTGTAGTGCTTCTTGAACGCACCCCAGACATTGACACAGAGGAGATAGGAGATTATCTGGTAGATTGCAGCACCAAAAATGGCATAATAGTAAGCTTGAGAAAGTGCCTGGTTGTGGACACGCGAAGTTCTCGAGACGATGCTGACGGGGACAATATGCATGATACTGGCCATCCAGAACCCAAGGATAGTGACTGCTTGGCCAAGGTTGAACCGTACTCTCCGAGCCATGTTAAGAAGGAGGAACAAGTTCGCAATCAAGGCTGATGCCAACGCACAGCAATTGAGTACAAGTAACCATTTCGGATCTGGAACATTTTTTCCATGCTCTTCTGTGCCGCCTGGTGGTATTGTAACACGCCACTGTTCAACAAGAGCACATATTGAGAATGCGTTGGCCATAGGACCCAACGCTCCTGCCAAGAGAGGAAAGGCGGTTCCAGCATACCACCAGACCAGCTTTTGGTTGAGCTTGCGGTCTTGTTTTGGCTGGTCAGACTCCTCATGGCCGGTCTTTTTCGCACCGTTTACTCTGGGCCCGCGTCTGCCATAGCTTCTTTTGACTTGGTTGGCGGCGTTGGATATAGGTTTCTTCAAGCCGGGGTTGTTCATGATATGGTTTGCTTGTCCACGCCTTTGGCAGCGCAATCAATCTAAGTGCATAGTGCCATGAGGGCTTGGAATATCAAAGGCGGAGCGGCGGAACAGAGCTCTCGGTCATAGTCCAATCCCTTGGCGTGTGACTTAATCTGATGAACGGTGATGGTGGTGGTTGGAGTGATTGTGAGGGCCCATCCACCCTGGTCGTGATAATTCGCAAGACCCTAGTGCCCGTTGCCATCCCCGTCTCCGATTGCTTTCGGATAGACCACCGGCAGGCTATAGCCCTCTTTTCCAACGCCCGACCAACCGAACTATGACGTCCAGAGCAGCGGTCGCTGACGTCTTCAGAAGCTCGGATGGATTCCCCATTAGCTTTCTCTCCTTAGTAGGGGAACTCCGAACGGTGATTATTCGAGGGACAAGGTGTCGCCGAAATTGGCTTCAGTCCTCACTCTCAAGGAAAGACGGCATCTACATCCCGGGCATGATCCGACATTCCGAGACAAGCATCCTTGAATTCAAGGCAGATTTCCAATCCACCACGAAACTCTTTTTGATGTTGGGATTATCCATTGGCTCGAAGCTTGAATTCCAACTAAAGTGACGGGTACCGGACCTTTGGATCCGGCCGTTCGTATGGCTTTAGGCGGACCTGAAAGCCCAGGCGCCTCCGCAGTACCCGATGCCGGCCGCCGGAGTGGCAGTAGGGTAGCGGTGCGTGTGGTCAGCTAACCGTGTCCAGCATCTATATCATTTCCCAAGCTCGCTGTCTGTGCATTGTTTCCCTCGGTGCAAGCACTGTTATGGTTGAATCCCTCCTCCTGTTGAGCTGCGTATTCTATTGATATGAGCACACAGCATACAGCTTTCCCCCTCAAAAATGCACCGTTTGTCAATCTTGAAGTATCCTTTGCTACTTGTTGCATGTGCGGAGCAGGTTACGTAGCAGCAAGGTTCAACTTGCTAACTATAGAGCTCGAACAACTTCTTGTCTATCTCAATCGACAAATATTCACTCCTTGTCTGGGTGTGTCAATAAGGTACCCGAGGCTTTATCATACATGGGCTGATGCAACCGATCATATAGTCTTCCAGCTCGCACCCGGAATAACATGGCACATCCTCCTCCGGATTGCAATAATTACTGCATTCTACCTTTTTCAAAGCCTCGCGTCTTTGGGTACTTGCCTCTTTCTAAGCTGGGTCACACGACTGCCTCGCCGACTTCAGCCTGTGGCACTTGTGAATTCCGTATGTGCTAACTTCCTCTACTCTTGTTTCTTTTCTTTTTTTTTCCCCTCTCTTCTCTCTCCTCTAACTCGACTACTAGGTCTGTGGAAGCACTGATGCCATCGTCCTTCCGCTGGTTTTTTTACTTTTCGAGACTTCTGAGTCTTCCCCCGGCAACCGCAGTCCAGGCCAAAAGTTCCAGGACAGTACCACACGAGGTTTGACGTATGTTACGATGTTTCAACAGTTATATCACCTTACTATAGGAATTGTCATTCAAACCATCCCGACAGAATCATCAGCTCACGCTTTTGGAGACGGTCAGCTTCCCGCTGCACGAAATTTGGAAGGAGGACCTACGGAAATGGGAGATGAACACGGCAACAGCGCCAGAGAACACTATGGCCAAAGAAAAAAGATTGTTGGACATAACCGAGATATTTCAAATGGAACATCGGTCTCCCCCGCCTCCGAGAAATCGTCTGCTTGTGCTCCTTGCAGAACCTATGGAACGTGCAGTCAAAGGACCACGGACCCGAGCCTCAAGCTCAACAATAATTTTCAGAACTGTCTGCGCAGCCAGATTATCCTAGGCTCCAATGGATCGGCCTCAGCTTCGTTGAATGAACAGATAGCCCATGAAACCATCCGATCTAGCTCAAAGCAGCTACAAGCAGCCGCGGAGTCCGCCGGGAGTGCTGTATTACCGGTTTCTCACCATGGAGTCTCCATGTGTTATCGAGCATCATGCGACTCACTCTCGTCACCCTCGCTAGAAAGAGAAGGGGAGCTCCGTATCTTTCCTAGGGTTCAGTCCGGCCCATCTTGGCCTGATTGGGGGAAACGCATTATCGGATGGGTCAAAGCAGCTGGACAAAACGCGAAAAAACTTATGCAGAATACTGGGAAGTGCTTGCCACGCCCTATCGGCGCTGCAATGTCATCGATACCTCTCGCCGTTACACGGGCAGGCAGAATTTTCGGCCTATTGGTGGCGCCTTCCTTCGCAAGCCTCATTGCGGCCGCCATCGTTGGCTCCGTTCCAGCACTCAAGGACGCTTTCTTCACGAGCGATGCTTTTATCAAAAATTCCTTCGTCAGCGCAACATCTCAGTTAGCAGATGTCGCAATCGAAATATGGTTGGTCGTGATAGGTGGCCGCGCTGCCCGGAATGCCACGGCGTCATATACATCTGCACAAGGCGAGCTCCAAGATGACCTGTCAACACTGATACTGATCTCACTGCTTGCAAAAATGTTGCTACCAGTCCTCTTTATGAGCTCATTTCTGGCTCTTCTTACCAGAAACGAATGGGCTCTTGTGTCTAATGACCCATCACTCCTACTTGTCAGCATTTTAGTCGCTGGCTCTCCCATTGCCTACGAGTTGATGGACGTCTTCCAACGAAAGGGGATCTGGCCCGGCTTGATGCCCCGAATTGTTTCCCAGGCATGGACAGTTTGGTAAGATGGACTCATACCGAGCTTATGTTCAAGAATAGAAAAGGCACTGATAGCGTTCTAGGATGCTTGTATACGTATTCGCTCTTCTAGCATTTGCGACAGGGTTTGCCCAACTGGCCAAAGGCCGACATCCTGGTTAGTTGGTGGCCCGGGGAAATTAAGTCGTGAGAGAGCAGAAAGAGGCAAAACAACTATCGGGACACTGGCGAACCTCTCACAGCAGCAAGAGGTTCAATCGGTTTTATCACCTATAACATAACATTAATTCTTTGCGTATTGCAGCGAGGCTAATGAAGCTATAAATCCATCTATGCCAGTGCTATCTATGACGCCTCTAAAGCTAAGTAACTCAGACGAATATGAAGAATCACAACCTTGACTGAAGCTGAGCTTGTTCTAAATGGGCCTCTTTCTGGGCCACAAACCAGTCCATATATTTACGTTGCAGTGTTTCCGTCACGCCAGTCTCGGGGTGAGCTCGCTCCTTGCCTTCACTGAGATATCTGTTCACAGCAGTCTCGGCGTGCTCCTCGGCGTCGTATCCATAGACTTCGAGGACAGTCTGTGGGTCACCGTAGAGGTTGCTGCTGCGGACGTAGTATTTGCCCTCGAGCTCTGGTGCCATGGCAGCGTCTCGGGCGCGCTGCTCGGGCCCGTCTGGCAAATGCCAGATGGCACCGTTTAAGAATGAGACTTGCTGCTTCATGTAAGCCTTGGGTTGTCGCTCTTGCTCGTAAATTGTGACGGCCTCGTCGATTGGGAGTTCGCCCTGGACGACTTTGGCGATGCATCGAGCTAGGAAAGCCCCATCTTCCATGGCAGTCGCGGCACCTTGGGCCATGTGGTTGACCATGGAGTGGGCGGCATCTCCCATGAGCACGACATTTTGTCGAGGAGACGACCACGAGCTCATGGGTCCGGTGACCATCAGGGGCCAGCGAGACTAAAGGAGAGAAAGGTCAGTTCAGTGCATCAGTTCCCACAAAACTCAAATAGAGTCTTACAGTCTTGTCTATCATGTCCACAATGCGCTTAATACGAGGATCAAAGTCCTTGTACTCGTTCCAGAGCTCCTCGATTGGGACATTGTTCTGTGTAGCACGTAGTTTCTCCGGGCGATGATGTGACAAGACGAGGTTGAAGAGCTTCGCATCGCTGATGGGATAGGTAATGATATAGGCGTTCTCAGCCATCCATACTTCCATCGTCTTCTTCTCGATCAATTCCCTTGCGACCGGATCTTGTCGAATTCTATCATAAGGCACGATGGCTCGATATGCGCAGTTCGTCGTCGGGGGCTCCGGCTGGACATTCGGGAACAAAGTCTTTCTGGTAACGCTGTTGATTCCGTCTGCGCCGACAAGGAGATCAAAACTGTACGTCTGGTGCTTGTATGTCTCCACCGTCACCGTGTCTGAGCTCTGGTACTCAATGCTTGTAACTTGGGCGTCGATTATAATCTCGGCTCCCAAGGCCCGCGCAACGGTCGCCAAACCCTCGTGAAGGTGGGCACGATGGACAACCCACCAGGGACGACCGAGGCTGCGCTCCAAGATGGGGATCTTGGTGTGGCCAACGAGTGTTCCGTCTTTGCGGCGCATATTTAGTTCCTCAAACTGCACCAGGTTTTTGCCGATCACAGTGTCAACGCCCCACCGCTGCAGGAGCACTGATACGTTAGGTGTCATCTGGATCCCGGCACCAATCTACAACTCAATATGCTCAGTCGGAGTCTGTGAGATGATTCTTGCGTTGAAGGGGAGATATACCTCGCCCAATTCCTTCGCAGCTTCGAGGACCGTCACCTGAGCTCCAGCTCGTCGCAAGGCAATGGCTGCTGCAAGGCCGCCAATGCCTGCTCCCACGATACCAACATGAATATCTCGGTGATGAGCCTGTTTCGATTAGATCTTCTGTTCGTTCTCAGACGTAGCGGCGGCTTACCATGGTAGTTAGTGTTTTGTGAATGGACAAAACGAAGAAATGCGAGATTTAAGACTAGGTGAACACACTTGAAGTGACGTGTCGTTTAGATTGAATGCTTCTGATAGACAAACTTGATTGCTTCCCGCCATCTAACGTGGCCTTGTTTATGCCTTAATATACTCTCTTCTATACATAGTCCCATCATATGTGCTTCGGTCCAAGGTCGGTAGTCGGGGAGATAGGGAAAGTGATATGCGGCCCCGTCGCCACAAGCTTGTCCTTCTGTCCGCGGAGGATCACCGGAGTTGCGTGGGGCCCCAGTCTTCCAGATATTATGCTACGTACTTAATGCAAAAGACTTCCTCCGGAGAGAAATGGACTGCAAGAGCATTCTGTACGAAGTCATTTTTGAACCATACTTCGCGGCATCCCCATTGAAGCATCTGGACTTTGTACGAAGAGCGGACTCACATCCTTGCAGCAGCCATGGTTCTACCGAGAAAGACCCTTCGTGTGTCCCACCTGGGAGGGATCCAGGTGGGCTATCGTCCGTCGCGAGAGATTTTGGATCATTCCAAGCCCACGCTTGTCTTGTTCAATCCATTTACCACTACGGCCGACTACTACCTGCCTGAGTTTGAGAACGAAGCTCTCCTCCAGGCAGCCAATCTTATAGCGCTGGAGCCTTTGGGGCATGGGCATACGTTTCCGCAGAAGGCAGAAACATACACCTACTGGGATACTGCCATCATGACACTCCAGGCCTTGGACAAGCTCGGAGTCGAGAAGGTGTTTGCCGCGGGAACCTCGCAGGGCGGGTTCATCGCTGCGAGAATGGCACTTCTCGCGCCAGAGAGGGTATGCAACCTCATCTGATTGGCCCAAGCGCAAGAGTTTACTGACACACATGTACAGATTCAAGGCATCATCGCTATCGGGTCGTCGATGGACTCTGAGTCGCCACGAAGCCGCGACCTTGGCTGTTGGGATGGCCCGGGAGCGACTTCGGGTCTTGTAACATTGGCCGGCGATCTTACTCCAGCTCACGACTTCGAACCAGGCAGCGGATATTGCGACTTTTTGATGGACATCGGGTTCGGAAAGACGGTCGACCAAAAGACCAAGGACTTTTGGGCCGAGACGATTAAAAGCAACTACAGTGGAGACTCTGGGAAGAGAAGAATCTGCCAGGCTGCGGTCAATCTCGCTGGCCGCGATGGGTTGCACGAGCGATTGCCGTATATCCGCTGTCCCGTCCTGTGGTTACAGGTATGTGAACCTCACCGTCGGATTGATCTGCCTTGTACTGACAGAAACTCAGGGCACGGATGATGTCGTTTTCAGTGTCAAGAACGCGGAGGAAGAGATCAAGCTCTTCACAAATGCGACCGAGGCCAGATTGGTCAAGTTCTCTGGGGGAGTCCATTTTCTGAGCTGGACGCACAAGGAAGAGGTCGCTCGGGAACTGCTGGGTTTCATTAGCAAATGGGAAAGAGTGCCAAAAGCATCACTATGAAGCGTTAGAAATGTTAGTAGAGGCACAGCCAAAAATCAAGCCGATACATAAATTTCCTCTGCCGACTTCGTTCAATCACGTCAGCCTTGTGACCGGATCATTGGACAAGTGTGGAATCCCTCTGCCCACCGCGCAGTTGCCCGGTAGGTAGACAGACGTCAGGCCTGGCGCCTTGGGGCCCCAGCCCGTTCAGATACAGTAGTCGAGCGCTGGGTGCTCTCTGGGTAGGTCCAGCCAAGCATTCAGAGAGTTTCGTTGGTGTCTCCAACAACTTGAACAAGGCTGTGCATATGTCCGGCAAATAGAGGCGGCGAGGGGAAGGAACGAACCCCAGAGTCAGCGCCGATTTTTCTCCGCATTCTTCGGAATGAGATGTGCAACTTAAATATCCGTCTCCTCCCCGACGTTCCCGTCGACCGAACTCCCGTCCACCTTCATTATTGCGGGGTGCCGACGTCGAGTGTGCGTTCCCATCTCAAGAGGCAGGGGGCCAGTGCTCCAGCTAATAGGGTGGCATGGCATCTCAAACAGATGATGCTGAGCAGGAGTGGAGCTCGCCATCTCGGGAGAGGTCAATGCCTGCTCAGAAAGACGTATGGGGATCAGCTGGTCGTCCGAGCAAACGACGCAGGATCGCGTTGGCATGCAGCAATTGCAGACACAGAAAGTCGCGCGTGAGTGGTTTCCTGGGGATTGGACTTCCCTTTCACATTTGCGCCACGCTGATGCCCTACAGTGTGACGGTGGTCGGCCAAAATGCTCCCTCTGCAACGAGATGGGATGTGAGTGCTCTTATGAACAAGCTGGGACAACAACAACCCTCACTGTGGGAAGGAGGTATGCTTGATGAACTCCGCGGCTGCTCATATCGCTAATTGTCTTCCTCTCACCTAGTTACTTGTCACGGCTAGAACAAAGGCTTGAAGAGATGGAAAGTAGTATGAAACTACTGCAACAAACCAGGTCGGCGGTTCATACCGATTCTCAGTTTGCGAATAGCTCTCTGCCTTCTGCACCAGGCTCTACGGTGCCTCCGGAACGGTCGACCCAGTACTCAGCGAACGCCGAAATGGGCGAAATTGATACCAGTGAAGATGCCATCGACGGAATGGGAGCCATCAAGTTCACAGATGAAGAAGATTGTGGTTATTTTGGTACGGGACCCCCTCTTCGATTTAGAAGCTCCTACCCAAGTGTGTCCGGTTCCTCACTGCAGCTAAAGGTCCGTCGTCCAATGTCGCTTTTGTGCGCCACATATCGTTGGCGCTCGCCAAGGCAAGCGGGCAGAGTCAAACTATCCAGACCAGGACAACAAACTCATCAACAGCCGGCGCTGAGTGGATGCGAGTCAGTCGTCCACACTACGTGCACGGCGAGATCAATGAGAGTAATCTAAGTCACTCGCGGAGGAGTGTGAACATTTACGCGCTGCCACCTGATGCTTACACCTGGAGGCTTATCAAGGAGTACTTCCAGAAGACCGGCCAACTGTTGCCTTTCATCCACGAGGAATCCTTTTGCGAAACGTACTTTCAGCTGAAACGCACGAATTTTACAATGGCACGGAGAACTTGGCTCGGTTTACTGAATATGATTCTCGCCATGGCTACCACCTTGACTGTTGACGGCTACACTTCCTCGGAAGAGAGGATTGCAGAATCCGATGTGTACTATCAGAGAGCTAATGGTCTGTGTGAGAGGGAATCAAGAACCAACATCAGTCTTGAACTAGGTGCGACTCTCATACTTTATGAGCTGCAAAGTCTCAGCATTTGCTTTAAATGGCACACTAACAACACTATTTTTTAGTACAATACTTGCTCATTGTGGGCCAGTATCTCCAAGGGACTCAAAAGTCAGTGCGTGCTTGGACTGTCCACGGACTGGCCATCACGACCGCATTGCAGCTAGGCCTCCATTCACCAAGAACAAATCGGGACTTTCCACCCCTAGAAAGCGAGATCCGAAAGCGCGTCTGGTTCGGCTGCATCCTCCTAGATCGGTAGGTGGTAACATCCCAATCCCCAATATGCATCTACTTCGGCTAATCGCCCCTGCCAAGCACATTGAGCATGACCTACGGCCGGGCCTGTATGATTCCGGAAAAGTACGTGAAGCTCGAGCTTCCCATCGCAGACATACAAGTCGTGGGACAAACCCCCAGCACGGACGCAAGGCGACGGATGGATGCAATGTACTTCCGAGCAACGATGTAAGTATATTCAAAACTACAAGAAACCCGAGATCAGCAGCGCAGATCTAACAGTCCTCCCGAAAAACAGAGCTCTCTATAGTGTCATGTACCAAATCATTGACACATGCTATGGACAAAACCTCGGCCTTGAAGAATATCTTCCCGTCTCCGAAATCATCTCTCTGACACTCCAAGGGGAAACACAGCTCAACGAGTGGAAAAACCAAATCCTCCCTTCGCAGAATCTGCGCGTGTGTAGCACCCCGCTCTGCTCTCAAGACCTGGACAAATTGGAAGCCAAAGACAAAATCAAAGAGAGATTCAACCTGGTGCTCTCGCTTCGATTTCACAACCTGCACATTCTGCTCCATCGGCCCATTCTGGAGAAATTGCTCGACGTTCACGGAGGAGGAGGGGGCGCTAGTAGTGGTGGTGGTGGTGATTCCGAAACGAATATGATGCGCCAGGTGTGTATCAGCAGCGTCGAAAACTGCGTGGATTCCGCCATGATCATCATCTCGATTGTCCATACAGTGGTGCTTTCCAATGGGTGGCGCCGTGACCTTCTTGGAGCGTGGAACTATTCCTTGTTTTACAGTAAGCATTTATCACTTTCCTTTGTAACTTTTTTTCCGCATCGAGGTCCCCCTAGAACGTGTTTCTTCTACTCACACACTTGGCGAAAAGCATTCAACGCCGGCCTAGTCATCATCGCAGGCTTGCTTGTTTCTCCCAAAGAAACCGTTGGCGGTGCGGAGGACGGCGGCGACATTGCACCACCACCACCCTCGTCGCAGTGGAAATTTCTCGAGAGCTCGGCAATCTACCTCAACATGGCCATCGAGGCCTTGCAGAACCTCGACCGAGGGAATCGAGTGGTTCAGCGGATTGTCGACTATTTGTCGCAGCTGGCTTTGGCTGTTTTCAGCCTGTGTGAGTCTTTCCTTCCCCCTTTCCCAAGCCATCTGAGTGCTGCTCGCATAATTCCACAACCGGAACGGCGACGATTTTGTCCTAGTGAGAAGAGTAAGGATGCTGATTGGTTTTATTCATGTCAAAAAAGCATCGAGGAACCTGGACGCGAATTCGATTCTTCCCAGTGTGAACAGCTACGATGCGTTCGCTTCGGCCGGGAATCACCCAGACCTGCTCCCGACTACACGGTCGTCGCATCAGACGATTGGACAGAAGGAGTTTCCCATGGAGATTGATCTCAGCGAGTTCACGCTGGATACGGATCTGGATTGGTTTACTCGCCACCTCGAGCCGAACAGATAGATTACGAAGAGTGTCAATGCCTTTGGTAGGTCTAAGTCATTGCTTAAATAGCTCGCCGATTGACCATCTGGTGCCGGTGGGGAGTTATGGATATGCCAAAGGAGACTGTATGAGGCGCTCTCCTTCCCTTGCCTGCTACATATATCTCTTGCGCTTACCCAGCAACTCGCTAAAGGCGCTGCGACTACCGCCTCGCCTTGCCATTGGATGAGGATGCTGCGGACCTGAGCCAAAGGTTAGACACGCTGGAGAGCCCCAGGGTGGGTTTGTTGGGCTCGCGCGGTGGGGTTCCAAGATTGGCTCTCCAGTCGCAACGGTGCTTGGATGGACATTTGTTTGGAAATTCTTAATTCTCCAACGTCTTGAAATCAGAGAGCTCAGCTCCACGCTGGTTGGAAGAGACAAATCTTGCGCTATCTTCTAGAAGCCGTTGGCAGCATACGCCTCGTGGATGAACCTTGCCCACTTCAAACTCTGCTTAAAGTCCAGATACTTGCTCGTCTCCCCCTTTACAAACGCGTCATACAGCCTCGCCACATTATCCGCCGGAGCCTGCAATCCCATCCTGTACGCAACATCGTCCTTCACATCTTCCTTCAGCACCTGATTCAAATCCACATCCTCGACCTTGTTGGCCACATAGTCATGCACTTGGACCTTGATCCCGCCGGCCGTCCAGAGCATTCCTTCGTCGCCGCTGACCCGGACCTCGCCCCTGGTGAAGTAGACGCGCCAGTCGAATGCGGGCGTGTCCTGGAACTGCGGTCCGCCGCGGACCTGGAAATTGAAGGGGACGTCACCCGCGAGCACGCCGTGGATCAGGATGTGGTCTGGCGTGCTGTTGGGGTAGGACGGGTCGACGACGTTGAAGGCGCTGTCTGTCACGGCGAGCGTGGGGCGGCGGTTCCTGAGCAGAGTATTTTGGGATTCGATCTCGCCCAGTGCGGCGGTCAGGGTGTCGAGCACTGAACAATGAAGGAATTAGCTGAAGAGAAACCACCGTTGATATTTCACCCTTGAAGCACCTGCTTTTTGGTCTGAGAGAAAGCAATACATGTGGGGAGGACTCACTGTGCATGGCTGTGATGGTGAACATGTTCCCTCCGCTTTTGATATCCATCAAGTAAGCAATCTCCTTGGGCGTCGCCATGCCTAGAAGCAACGAGTACCCCAGCATGGACGTGCTGAGAACTTCGCCTAACTGGCCTGGTTTGTCGCCGATAAACTTCCTGATCGCGTCGACATAGGCGCCCCTGCGGCCCTGCAACCCCACGATAGTCTTGAGATTGTTTTGCTCGGCCAAGTCGGCCAGTTGTTGCATCTGCTCGAGGTTTGACGCCAGTGGCCACTCGCAAAACACCATCTTCCCTGCGAGTAAGGCCGGCTTGATCAGGTGGTAGTGCTGCGCGACATTGACGGAGCAGACGACCATGTCGACTTCGTTGTCCTGGGCCAGGGACTCCGGGTCGCCGTAGGTGCGGACTTTGCCGGTGTCCAGGCCGTGGAGCTCAGCCGCCTTCTTGGCCGACTCCTGCGACGAGTTGCACAGGGCCGTGATGGTATAGTCCGGGGACTGCAGCAGGTACGGGAGGTGGGCATTCTTGCCCCATGCGCCGGCTAGCTGGATGTTTTCGTTGGAGCTGAGCCCGATGAAACCCACGCGAATTGGCTTGGACATGATGACTGTGCTGCAGAAGACGTTGTACAGGCAAAGTGCCTCGCTGCTGAAGGAGGATTTTCATCTGAGATGGACTTATGTGACATAAATACTGTTACCACTGAGAGCATCGGTGCCATTAAGCATTGGAATTCCGGTTCGGCCGAATCTGCCCTTCAGCCTCACGGACGAAACTTCTTGTTTACGGAGCTGGAATTGGTAAAGTGCTGGCGGGAGCAATACATACTCCTATGGTCCCATTGGTCGAGGTGCCATGTCAAGTGCAAGGCGGGCAGGACGCTTCGAAGAAGCCCTTAGAAATATCCGAGTAAGCAAAGTATTGTGCGGAGTCTATATTCCGACCTATGCACATTCCCCGGAACATCCGCCTCCGTGGGTGTGGAGACCAAAGCTGCTCAGGGCTGTTTTCCTGGTCCAGTAAAACACGAGTATGGTAACCTGAGGTCAGCAATGCCCAGCCTTGTCAAGTGCATGAAACTGGTTCGAGGATGACCCATCTGTGCTTGGGAAAGCTGCCCTTGCAGCAATGACCTCCGTCGTCCTTTTAGGATGCCACGAGGAAATCCAGTCCATCAACATAAAGTGATGGAAGCCTCGTCGACTCCTTCAAAAATGCTGCTCATGCCACTCTTGTGTGAACTCATGAACACACCGACTCGAACGTATCTGCCAGTATACTTGGCGGAGTTTGGCTCCTCCCCCTTCTCGGCCACAGCTTTGGCCAGCACAAGCCCTCTGTTCGTAGATGTCGTCTCGTAGTCCCTAGTCTTCATGAGACAAAAGTAGAACAGCTCCGTTGACGACGGGAGATCAATATCCAGCGTGATGTCCTTCGGCTTTCTGGATTGTTCTGACCTATCACCTTCTGCTGTATCCGACGGACTGGGTCTAATCAGAGGCGCAAGAAAGCCAGTCAGGGTTATGGTCCCGCCTGAAACCTCACCCAGTATCGGCTGTGCGACGTCCAATGGCTCTACAACACATTCCAGGACACGGGAGCAATACAGCACATTGTCATCCTCAGGCTTTTGCAGCGCGCCGAGATCAAACCTTTTACGGCCTTTGACCGATGCCCAGGACCAGGAGGGCGCTTTCCAAGGCAAAGGGTCGAGCCGTTTCTGCCCTGGCACCGGGACATCCATTTTACGCCACATGAGGTCCATGGGCAGGAATTCCTTCCACAACCCGGCCACATAAGTCATGCCTGTGCGCCGCTGAATGACTCCAGCAATGCCAGCGAGAGCCACCAGTCTGTCCTTCTCAAACGTTAGGTCGGCCGCGGTATACTGCCGAAACACTCCGTTATGCCACAGCTCGTAGACGAACTCGTTGACGTCGTCACGTCCCCAGCTCGTGAACGGGGTGATCAGGGACTCAAACGCTGCTTTGAGCGGATAGACCTCGTCAAAGCCATGGTCGTCTGCGTTGGGCGACCCATTTGGCCACGCTTCGGAAGCTTGGAATGAACAACATTCCCAATGTATTTCAGGGCCGCCAAAGTACAGAACCCGAGGAGACAGGATGCGTTCTTGTTGGACCCACGCTCGAGTCAAGAGTGTGGAAGGGGAACAATAATACTCTGGGAATGCAGACCAGTTTGCAGTGTGATATCGATGGGCGTAAACTCCTTCTGCCGGATCCAGATCGTTGCTGTGAGTCAATTGGCAGGGTCGTTGCATTAAGGGGTTGCGGCGGACGAAGCATCCACCGGACCCCGAAGGATTCTCTGCTGCGATGTTACATGTTGAATTTCCGTAGATTGAAGCCATTTGAGCGGACTGTGATCGCCAGTCATCATCGGAGTCTTGAATGATGCAGAGCGAGTCAATCCAGAGATAACGGTACCCCAGTCTTCGTGTTATCGACAGAGCATCATTGTGAGTCCTGCTCAACTCGTCCACTGGAATGGTAGAATAGAGCCGTGTTGTATCCGTCGACAGCAGTTTCAGAAATTTGCCATCTCCCCACGAGTGGCTGAGCGTGAGGTAAGCAGTATCTGAAGACAGCCCGTTCGTATCCACGACATGGGCTGATTGTGAGCCAGGACATTCGCCGTCAACGCGGATCAATCTTGCAGGCAATGTCCTATCGTATACGGCACTTTGCCTCTCACTGCCGCAAGCCGAATCCTGTTCAATGCAATCGCGGAGCCATTTGCCCGCAAGAGATAAGGTAGCATCCGAGTCGGTAGAGAAGGCCAGTTGGGCATCAACCTCCTGTTTGATGGGTGCGGTATGTGGCTCTTCCCTTGAGTATCAGCAGCTTGTCTTTACATGAGGCGAACAAGCTCTCGTACCAGCGGACATAAGTAGCTGCATTGCTGTATTTGACTCTTTCTCCCCAATGCGAAAGGTCAGAAGACGGTGGTTGATAAACAGTTTGCCCCCTCCTTTCAGGACTCCAGTCAATGTTACTCCCTCATGCTCAAGGCGGCGCAGCTCCGCCAACGGATCATATCCAGCCTCGGATTGCAACTCGGCCCAGATGATGGCGCATAGGTGGCATTGACCTTCCGAGACGCACCGACGGAGTTCCGAATACTCGTGAATCTGATACGACTCTTGATCTTGACTTCGTAGAGTCAGAGGTCTGCCGTCCTTCTGTTCCTGTTCCCACGTTGCATAGTCTTGCGGTAGGGTTTGTAGTAACTTTGAAGTAGAGCAGTACTTTTTACACGGAGGACAAAGTTGATGGGGAAGTGCTGAGGTATCGGGATCGACCTGATCCCAGAATCCGGAAATCTTGCTCATTGCCCTTTTGTCCAGCTTGGGCATCTGTAAACGGATGCTACATGGTTGATGAAGTCTACATCCAGGCTGGTGTGGCTGAAGCTGAAGCCAAGCCGAAGTTGAGCCTGGTGATCGAGGAGAGGCCAGCCCTTTAAGAATATAGCGCTAATCTGTTCAAATTGATGCTATAATTTGTGGCGGTGTATTCGATATACATGTAGAACCTCTGTCGTCTATTCCTGAACGCGTCCTTTAGCTTTCAGATCTTTTGGAGACGCAGACGACAACCCTCTCCGGCTTCTCTTCCGCTTGCCTTTAAATAGCTTTGTGTTACAACTCATTCCACCAGCCCCTGCTGGAGCACTGCTCACATAGCATTTCATGCTATTTGTAGGAGAGCCATTGCGCCATAGATGGCAGTCTCGTCATGGTGACGGGGCGATGTCAAGACATTCCAGACGTCCTTCCCCTAATGCCGTATGGCTCAACCCAACTCGTGCATGATATTTGGGTTTATGCTTTGACGGCCTTTGCCTTTCTGCGCATTGCCACGGTCATGTCATATAGCACATCCTTGAAGGCAAAGAGGAAAGCCGCGGTCAATACGCTCTGGCTGACTTTAGGGACGATGCCTAGACAAAGTCCGTCAGTTATCATCAAGAATAATGGGAATAGATCAGACATACCCTTGTACAATCCGGCCCAGCCTTCCTCCTTGACAATCCTGTTCAGGCTCTTCCACATGCCCTCACGAGGATCATCCTTGTTGGCGACATGGGCCCTGGCCTTGACTGTAATATAAGGATAAGTGATGGTAGTCGCTAGCAGCTTGCCAAGAGCACCCAGGTAAAAGGCATCGCGAGGGCCAAACTTCCTCTTCTTCTCCAAAACGTTCCTCAACTGTTCATATATGGTATATTGTAGGATCGGGTTGATCACCAAAACCAAAGCGGGAAGCACGCCGGCGAAAAGCGCGGACGGCCCCTCCTCCTTGAGGAGGCTCAACAAGGTACCGATGGTGCTAGGTTTCTTAACCTGTCTCTTTTCACCACCAGGTAGTTCGCCCTCCCCGGACTCACTCTTCCGGGCTGTCATCCTTGTGTTGACGACCCAGATCGGGTTGGTGAGGAGCACAGTTGCCGACCCCGCAATCGCACCGGCTATCATGCTCTCGACAGTAGTGAGCTTCTTGCTGGCCCGCCCCGCTGTGACCGCCGCTTTCTCAAAGAAGGCACGGGTCCACTCATACCAATAGTAGTAGACGAAGTTGGTGACCGAAATACCGAACAAGGCGCTGTCGAGTCCCGCATAGAGTCCGCCCAGGCCTTCCCGCTTGATGATGTGCCTCACAGCTGCGAGTGTGGAAGTATCAGCCCGCTTCGACTCGACCTGTGCGCGGGTCGAGAGGGTAATCAGGGGGTAGGTCAGGGTCATTGCCAGGAGGCCGCCGCCCGCACCGGCCAAGGCATGGGCAATATTGTCGCTCTGTTGAGCAGCAGAGGTCGCGGGGGTAGGCTGGACGGGACCGGAGGACTGGGATGATTGTGAATCGAGGTCGGCCTCGGTAGGGGAGGGCGCAATGTCCTTCACTTGAGACATGATGGCGGGAGTTTTGTGCACACCTGGAGCAATGGATGGTGTTGATAGAAGAGGAGGGGTAGAATAAGATCAGCAAAGAGAAGGGAGAAGGAATGTACCGAAATGAACGGAGAGGTAACAGGTGCCCGCTTTTTGTATCTCACAGGCCTTGACGCATGTGCGGGATGGAGAATTGGAGATCAATGGAGGAAGTCGGAAGGAATGATGAAGCGCAGACGCAGGGGAATGGCAATGGTTAAAGGGAGGGAAGAGGTTCGGCGATCAAGACAATAGTTCAATGAGCGCAGGTTGAAGACGCCGCAATGGCAGCCACTCAAGCGACACCCCATTAACCTCGGCAATTGTCCAGTTTTGCCTTGGCACTTCCGAACCAATTTCGTTTCTCTTCAAGTTCTTCATATGAATTAGATGCTATTGACTGAAGAAGCAAAAGAACGAGAACGAGCAGCCCCATTTGCCAGTTGTCTGTTGGCAATTCCAGTTGAAGCGGCGATTGATCGTGCCGACCTCGGCCCGCGTCATGCTTTCACTCCAGCGTTCCCTCATCGACGCCTCTCATCGTACCAAACCGCAGCTCATTATCCTCCAACCTATTCCATTGCTGTTTCCGTTGCCTGATTACTTATCCCAACTTGCTTTCAACCACCTGCTCGTGTAAAATTGCGCTCATTGAGTCTTCCCCGTCACCACCTTCGAGACTGGAGCCGGTTGTTTGCCCTGACGTTGCTGGTACAAGACATACCCGAAGTAGACTGCGCACAGCGTTCCGATGATGAAGATGTTTCCTTCTCAAAGTCAGACACTTTGCTTTTGGCGAGACGCATGCTGGTAACGTACCGATGAGGAAGCCAAGCACACCTTCAGCCAAGTTGAAGGTGTTTTTGAGGAGACCAATGACCGCGTTCAATGCACCTTCGAAGACGTTGTACACGGTGACAAAGATACCCTTGATGATCTCGAAGATGGAGGCAACCAAGTTGCTGACGCCTTTGGCAATGTCCGACATGACGATGCTTGTACTATAGAGAGTTCAAATTGACGAGGCTGACGTGCGAGGATTGGAATGTGGATGGTATGAGATGCGGCTGGGGTGATGGAGAAGGGACAGCAGAGTTGATGTATGCGCGACTGCTGACTGCGCTATTGCGGGTGTTGTATGAACTTGTATGCCATGACCGCCATGAGGAACAAAGTGCGTCACACGATCTCGCTTGTTGTCCCTGGGAATTGGAATGCGCCTGTAGCATCACTGAACGCAGCGACTTTGTTCACCAGGCAGCGCAGGCATTGTTTGCCTTGTGACGTCACACTCAATTTGGCACCATCAGCCATGATCAGCCATGTTCCTGGTTTTGTGGCTGCATCTTCCATACAACCACCTCCAGGTATGCCAGGCACCCCAGGGTCTTGGGGGAACAGTTGGTCATGTGGCGCATACCGTCAGAGGTACCTTGTATTCCATCAGTACTCGGTACTTCCCACGACCTTGAACCAACCCCTTCGGGCCAGGATCTGCATGCATGATGGCGTGCGTTGACAGAGACTAAGCCGGAATCTGAGCTGTGGCTGTGCTGCCCCAACTGTGGATTGGGAAGCTCTCAACGCCTTGTGCAATCGGGGCAAAATCTAGAATATTGAGCCTTGACCGAAGCGCGAGTCGTCTTAAGTATCCTTTTCGAAATGCCGGCACGGACAGAGTAAGTTGTCCTGTATCTCCACCCCTCCATGATGTGAACCCAACCATCCCGACTCCGTCCATACCGGCCACCAAACCTCAGTAATGCCGCCATCTAGGCGATCAGCTAACTAGATGGGAAATGTTCTGTAGTTTCCCGCCGGTTCGCGCCTGTATCTTTGACATGGACGGTCTCTTGCTCAACACCGAAGACATCTACACCCTATGCGCTGACAATGTCCTTCTCAAACACGGCCGACCGCGGCTCCCGTGGTCCGTCAAAGCGCAGCTCATGGGCGTTCCTGGCAGTTCCACGGGCGATGTCTTTCATCAATGGGCCCAGCTGCCTATCTCCCGAGAGCAGTATGCAAGAGAACAGGGCGAGCAACAAAAGATCCACTTTGCCGAATGTGAACCGTTGCCCGGCGTCGAAAAGCTCCTCCGGGATCTAAACAGTGCTCGAACCACCGCCGGCCTGCCCGTGGAGATAGCACTGGCGAGCAGCACCTCGAAGCACAACTACGATCTCAAAGTGGTGCGGCCCGAGTCCAAGGCCCTGTTGGAGTTAATACCTAAGGAACATCGTGTTTTGGGCGACGATCCACGGGTGCGCAAGGGTCGGGGGAAACCGGCACCTGATATCTACTTGTGCGCTCTGCAGATTCTCAATTCCAAGCTCTCGGAAGGGTCGCCTCCCATTGCACCAGAGGAATGCTTGGTCTTTGAGGACAGTGTGCCTGGAGTCGAGGCCGGGCGGAGGGCCGACATGAGAGTCGTGTGGGTCCCACACCCTGGCTTATATGCTGAGTTCAGAGACAGGAAGCCCGAGGTGCTTGCTGGGAGGTCTGGTCTCGTCAAAATTGGCGATGAAGAGCAGCTGGGTGAGGTTGGCGACGGATGGGCAGAGTATCTGGCCAGTCTGGAAAACTTTCCCTATGCAAAGTTTGGCATCGAGGTCCATTCTATGTAAGGACTGATGTGTGCGAGCTCTGCATGTTTATACCCATAGACAATCTCTTCTATCAGGTGGTATGTCCCTCATACCATGGGAACAGGCAAGACAGGATAGAGCAAGGCTGGGCCGAAGTTGAGCCGGGCCAGGCTTGGGCAAATAGAGCGGCAAGAAGGCCAGACCCGCAGCCGAAGTCTTTGATGAAATGAAAATATTTCCGGGAGTCTATTTTCAAATGCTCACTCATGTCGTCTGTCCACATGAGATAATGACAATTAAAAGCTGAAGTCCGTTATCAAGCTCGCTGAGTACACTATCAGGCGGCAAGATGGATTTTTCAGCCATCCAACCTTATCAATATGTGGCCATTCGGCTACCCTCAGACCAGACCAGGGTTGAACAAATGGTCCCAAACACGTAGGTTCCTTTGAAACACACCAAAAGAGAAAAAAAGAAGAATTTCCGTCAGGCCACTGAAGCAGATATCAGCCAAACGGCCCTTGAATGAGCTGTCGCTGACTCTGTCTACCAAAAAAAAAGTGTGATAAATCTGGGCAAATATGGGTCTTTCCGCACAAACCAGATCATCGGGCGTCCTTACCACCTGACTTTTGAGATTCTTGACCGATCCGAGGTCAAGAACGGCAGAGAGCTGCGAGTCGTGCAGGCTGCCGAGCTGCATGCCGTTGCTCTGGTGGAGCAGGCAGAGACGGACGGGGATGTGTCGACGCCCGTGACCGAGCTGGACGATGTAGGAGTCTCCCAACAGCCGACGCCCAAGTCCAACGTCAACACCCACGACGACCCCACGAACCAAAAATTGACCATGACCGAAATCGAAGCGCTCAAGCGCAACACCATGGGCAGCGGGAGAGAATTGATCGACAAGATCATGCAATCCCACTCCACCCTGGATCAGAAGACGGCCTTCTCGCTCGCCAAGTACACGCTCAGGAAGCACAAGAAGTACATGAAGCAGTTCACCGTGTTGCCGCTTGACGTGCCCACGCTGGTGGATTGGATGATGGCAGATCGGGAATTTGTGAAAATCATGGAGATGAGGAACGAAGCCGTAGGCCTGGTTGGATGTTGGGCGAATGTCCACGCCGCTGGGGAAGACTCTGCCGTGTTCGTCGACATGGATCCATGCTCGCGGTATCTGGTTGTAGATGACACGGGCGGGCTGCTTGTGGCAGCCATGGCGGAGAGAATGGGGATTCTGCACCCGACAGACCTGGGACACGAAGAGGCGACCGCCAGCGCTGAAGATGAAGACATCGACGACGAACGGCCCGATGAGGCAGCGACGCATGTACATCGAAGACCACACCGGCAGAAATACCGCCCCTCGGCAATGAGCGCATCTTCCAACACAATCACACTGGTGCACGCGAATCAACAGCCCAATCTAGGCTTGCTCCGATACTTCAACTTCGACTCCAACGCCCCCACGGCCTCCCACCCCTTATTCGCCCGCCTCAAGACCCTCTCGTGGCTACAACTACTTGATCCCGCATCAGGCATCACGTACCAAGAACCTCCCAGGATCCCGGATGCAGAACTTGCGCGGATGAAATCGAACCGGAGGAGTGCCTACTTCCGCAAACGACGACGGTGGGAACGCATCAAGACTGTCGTGGACGAGACGCAGGCCGGCGGCTTCAACGGCCTGGTCGTGGCGAGTTTCACAGATCCCACCTCGACGTTGCGCCATCTCGTGCCCTTGTTGGCCGGTGGGAGCCAGGTGGTGGTCTACTCCCCCAACGTCGAACCTCTCGTCGAATTGGCGGATTACTACTCTACAGCACGACGGGTGGCGTTCATCAACACACCGCTGGAACAACGAAATGTCCCGTCGGAGGATTTTCCGGTTGATCCGACGCTGCTTTTGGCGCCGATGGTGCTGACTGCACGAGTGAGGAAGTGGCAGGTCTTGCCGGGCCGGACGCATCCGTTGATGACGGGACGGGGTGGTGCAGAGGGCTATATCTTTGTGGGCACTAGGGTGGTGCCTGCACAAGGGAGGGTTGAAGCGAGAGGCAGACCGCCTAGGGGGAAGAAGGTCAAAGTCGAAGACAAGTCTGCCGGAAGTTCAGTTCAAGGTGAAGAGGAAGATGGGAAGAGAGCGGTAGACGCTGAGGAGACGCCTCAATCGCCGCTAAAGAAATTGAAGGTCGAGACTGTGGCGCCAGGAGAGGATCATCTAGTTGCGCTTGAGGCTGTTATCGACCAGGCATGAATGGGCTATGAGAAAAGAACCGGTTGGAAATTGAGCATGGCTTGTTGGGACTGGTAAATAAAATTTGACCGGCCGAATAACCAGTTTATTTTGGACCGCAAGACATCAACACTCTTTTCTCGCCATGAGTTCATCCATAACGGGGCCCGCGCTCATGCTGTCTGTTGCCTCAATATTTGTCCTATAAACTCTTGCCCATAAACTTCCGCTTTGTGAAGCTCAACCACCATTTACTCGGCACATTGCTTCCATCCGCATAGAGCCTCGCATGCAGTCTGATCGCCAGTTCCTGCCTGACCTGGCTCAAGTAACTCCTCAGAGCCTCAGCCTCGTTTCTATCCCTTGGTGCCTCATACGCCTGGTTCAAGGGAAAGCCCGGCTCTCCCGGAATGCTGAACTGCTCCAACGCACCGTTTATCAGGGCCTTCTCGGCCGCTCGCGAGTCCATGTTCGGCTTCACTTTGGTCAAACAGTCGGACAAGAACAAAATGCCGTAGATGAGCATGCGGTCTGCGGGACCCTTGATCTCGAAGTTGCGGAAGAAGGTGTTGGCGCGAAACAGGCTCAGGATCTCGTCGAGGCAGTCGTACGACTCCGAGTCCGGGTCGACGTCGAGGGGGTCGACATTGGGAGGCAGAGCGGGGAGCGTGTAGGCCGGACCACGGGTTTTTGTGCGAAGCGGGAGGAGCGGGAAGTTGCCTTTTCAGTTACAGATGTCAGTACAGAATGGATTTGTGAGTCGTTTGAGATCCACAGGTCAGGATACCTATTAGCTGTACGCCCTGGTCGCCCAGGAAGATGGAGTGGTATGCCTGTGAATGAGATGTCAGCGGATTCAAGCCACTAGGAGGGTTGACGGGCGACTCACTGGCATCTTGACTTCTCGCAGGAGCGCGCCTGGAGTAAGCAAGTATGAAAGATCGAGAACCGCAGTCAACCTCTCAACTTGCCATCTCACTGTCAACCATGAATTGAGAGCACTTCGTCCTAGGATGGCACCCTGCAAGTTCACCACTGCGTCGCACCCAATGTCCTGCGCCCGCAATCACGGCTTGGCATCATTGTGCGGGGATGTAGAAGTGATAGGGCGGCGCACTGGAGGCCAAAGCGCATTTCAATTAACGCGTCTCCGCAGGCGCAGGCGCGTCGTGAGGAGGGAATACTGACATCAACTTGATCAAACAATGGTACTTCCGAGAAACACTTTGCAATAGTTGAACGTTTCACAATTTGATTCACAATGTCGGACTACGAAGATGATATGGACTTGGATGCGCCTCCTTCCAAGGACAAGTCCATCCTATTCAGCTCAGACAACGCAGCTGGCAAGCAGAAGCGAATCGCTGCGGACTTGCCAGTGGAGGCAGAGGACAACTTACCATGGTATGACCACCGTCTCTTGTGCGTTTGAAAGTGAAGGAGTTGTTGCTGACGGGACCTTTAGGGTGGAGAAGTACCGACCAAACACCCTCGACGATGTCTCGGGCCACCAAGATATCCTCGCTACAATCAACAGATTTATCGAACATAACCGACTACCACATCTCCTCTTCTATGGCCCGCCGGGTACCGGAAAGACTTCGACCATCTTGGCGCTGGCGCGACAGATATACGGGCCCAAAAACATGAGGCAGATGGTCCTGGAACTCAATGCTTCCGATGACCGCGGCATCGACGTGGTTCGCGAGCAGATCAAAACTTTTGCCTCGACCAAGCAGATCTTCAGTACCTCGACGCAACAGACTCCAGGCGGACCTAAACTCGGCCTAGGCGCCTTCAAGCTGATCGTGCTCGACGAAGCAGACGCAATGACCTCCGCGGCACAAATGGCCCTTCGGAGGATTATGGAGAAATACACGGCCAACACCAGATTCTGCATTATTGCAAACTACACACACAAGCTGTCTCCGGCGTTGCTATCGAGATGTACACGGTTTCGGTTTTCGCCGCTAAAGGAAGCAGATATCCGTCGGCTAGTGGACAAAGTGGTTTCACAGGAGAATGTCAATATCACGCCTGAAGCAGTTGATTCATTGGTCAAACTATCCAGGGGCGACATGCGTCGAGCATTGAATGTTCTTCAAGCCTGCCACGCCGGGTCTCGGCCACTCCCAATGCGAGGGCAGCCACCCGTCCCGGAATCCGAGATAAAATACGAGCTGATTACGAACGACACGATTTACAACTGTATCGCGGCGCCACATCCTGAAGATATCCGGCTAATCATGACGACAATGTTGAGCACGCCAGATCTGACGGAATGTCTCAGGACGATTAATGCCCTGAAGAGTAGCCGAGGGCTCGCACTGGCTGACATATTGACTGCGCTGGCCGAAGAATTGCAGAACCTCGAAGTTAGCGCCGCGACCAGAGTGACGTGGTTACAGGGGCTCGCAGAAATTGAATACAGATTGGCAGGAGGCGGAAGTGAGGGTGTGCAGACTGGTGGTATGATTGGCGTTGTGAGGACAGGATGCGAGTTGATGGGAGAGAAAGGGGTTGGTGAGAAGATGAGTGTGGACGGGTGACGGCCTTGACTCGTGAGCAAAGAGGGCCAACTATGAAACCAGATTCCGACACGGCAGTTCTGATGGCAAAGCCAACATTGTGTTGCATCATGATCGAGCTACAGATATCATCAGCGGAAATGAGAGACAAAAGGGGCGACATCGGCGCTTCAGAAAGACATTCCCTACGAGACAACAGCAATGCTGGGTTCGTGTTCATTCTGGAGCCCTACTCCAGCAGGAAGGAAAGAAGTAGGGCTAGATGGTCACGACTCACAAGGAAGGCCAACCCAACCCGATGGCTGCCTCGCACTTATCTATGATCAACTTCCGGATTTGATCCCGCGAGCTGATTATTTCTCTGAGGAGAGATGTTCTTGCGGTTTGATCAGATGACTACGAAAGCTAGAGCAGATAGACGTACTTGTATCGAGTAGAAAGCGCGTATGTGAGCGGAGCGTATCAAATTGTGCCTCCGGGGCGCGTTTGCTCCTCCGGACACCCAGCTTCCTTGATTCTCACCTTCACTAGTGTCTTGGCAGCCAAAGTTGCAGGATCGCTCTCCTTGCATCTCAACGTCTTTCATGACCATCAATCCTGTACATTGTAGACTGTCGGGTGCATCAGATGTCGTGTGCAGAGCCATTGTGCCTATTCTTATCTCTTGTCCCAAGAACTGGATCCGCCTTATCCCTCTTTGATTGAGCCCAGCAAAATATGATGGTCGGTCGTCTGGAGTGAATTGTCAAAAGGTCAATTTAGGCGGTCAGCGGTCACATCCCTCGTCCACAGCCACATGTCCGGTACCTGCGTTCTCCGGATTTGGAGTATCGGAAGCCTTGAGTGCGCCCAACATCCGTGGCGACAAGGCTTTTGGATATGTAGTTCTGCTGTCAACGCTCATCATTGTCCCTTGCCGTTTGTTCGCACGATATCCGCACCACCCGGAGGCCGAAGCCCGCCGGCCGAGAACAGCCATCGGATTTCATGACAATTCATCGTCATGTTGGCATTATGCTTTATTCGACAATCACAAACCATTTTCTCTGGATCTACAATTGCTAGTCTCATGGCTCGAGTCTACAATTGCTCAACTATGTGCTGGCTAACAGGACTGACCTGCGACTTCTCCCCTCTCGCGCTCTAATGTCCTGTGGGCATCTCTATATCGTTGCTGACTATGTCTAGGAGGAGCAAGCTTACATGCAGATTTCATCTATGTCATTGCCATGTGAACAGATATTGCGGCCTGTTTGTGGCCAATGTCTGATTTACTCGAGCATAAATTCCCGGGTGAAGCAGCGGACATCTATGGCGATCGGGGGAAGGTTATTCAACGTGTTACTACAGGCAATTGAACAGCCCAGTGCAAGCGCGTCAAGGACAATGACTGGCATTTTCTGCTTGTCGTCCGAGGGGAGCGCCGAGAGCGCCGAGAAAGAAAACCCACGTAGATAGACTGTCGCGCGTTGTACTGTTACTTTGAAGTGCAGTCTGACGCTCGGCCTTTTGACCTCTTCACGCCCTTTGAATCGCCGCCAACAAAGCGGCACTACGACTGAGGGTGAGATTGCACTGTTGATGCACTTCTCCCGACAAAGACGACGCCGGCGATTGTAGTTTGAGTGGTAGATCACAGCCATCATCACATCTGGAGTCATTCAGAGTGATGGGCAGAAAAAAAGGTAAAAGAGCGGCGGAAGAGAGGCTGATGCAGCACGACGGCGCTGGTGAGATGGCGAGTGGGATGGAGAGGGAGACGGGACGTCAGGGCGGGCGGGAGTGGCAGCCTGCACCAGCAACAGGTGAGTGCTCTGTGTCCCCTAGACGCCCCCGGAACTTGGACGGCCTGGAGGTGCCAAACACCTCGACTCGATCCCGACTGGGGCGAACTGGGGCGTATCTCGCCGCTTTTCTCACAGGCGTGCCAAGTCCTTGGATCCTCACCTGGGCACCCAACCCATGGTCCGCATCTGCATCTGGCTGGCTGGTGGCTCGTCGCTGAATCTCCAAACTGCGCAGGACTCACCCAACATCCAAATCCACCGTCTCACGAGCACCACCGCTACGACCATTACTCCCCCACAGACCCTCGAATCTCCCCCTCCTACATCTTCGCAAATGCCGCTCCGCATTACATGGCGAGGTCTCGAAGGAGCCCCTCAATGAAGAATCGCTGGCGAGGCGAAGAGGATCCGCGCCCGAGACATCCACATCAGCGACCACGGGACAGAGACCCAAATCGACCAGGCGGCAGACCTCACTCACCACCACATTTTGGACCTCCAGGAGGAGAATCTTCAGCGGCTTTGGATCAAAGGCAGCGCCCTGATCAGCCGCCTCGTGAACCACGTCGGAAGCGCCGATTTTCGAGAGACGGAGATCCCAGGAAATTGCATGGTAGAAAGTCTTCTGTTTCGCCTCCCCGTCGTTTCTCAAAGCCCAAGCAGCACCATCGCCCACCACCTCGAAAGCAGTTTGGAGATCGACCTGGGAGACCCCGGGACTTCTCACCAACACCATCATCCAAACGGAGGCGTACTCGAAGCCCTTCTCCTGCCTGGGGCGATAGAACTAACTTCGAAAGCCAAAGACGTGCTCGCAGCCGGGACTTTTCTGATATCGACGACAGGGGTCTGTTAGACCCTCCGTCTCCTTTACCACCTGGGGATTTTCCTCCGCGTCCATCTCGAGTCGGTTCACCTGCTTTCAGATCTCAAATCCCGGATCGTGGCAATCACAATCCTGTCGGCCAACGAGAGTCCTCGCCATCCCGCGCACGCGATCAGCGATCCATCTCCCCTCGTCAACCTGCCAGATCATCTCCGCATCGACGCCCCGAGTCTAAACATTCATCTATCAAAACTCGAGAATCGTCCGTGAATTCGATTCAGCGATCACTACGTCCTCCACCTGGCCCAGGCCGGCCCTCTACCAACAAAAATAATCCCTCCTCAAGAGCTCCTTCCGTTGTCGACGATAACGACAACCGCTCCATGGATGGCCAATACCCATCACGTGGTAACTATGGGATGAATCGAGGGCAACAAAGACCATATGCTGAAAATAGACACCAAGGGTATGGTGGTTCTCCGCCTTACTCTTCCAACAGCTCTTACCACGGCTCTCCGCCGCAAAATTCTCCATATCATCATCAGCGAGGCGGCTGGGGAGGCCAAGGTCATCATGGGTCAGTACCCTTATACTCCTAGAAGAGCCTTTACATTGCTAATACGATTTCCAGGCAAATGCACAACTCCTCTCCTCCTTATCGGCAAAATAGCTTTTCCGGTCCAGGCGGTGTAAACAATCCTAATCCTTACTATCAAAACCAACAGGGCCACTACGGAGGTAATCAACACGGTTATCAACAACCCTATCGAGGTGGTCGTGGACATGGTCCTCGTGGACACTTCCAGCAAGACCAGAGGTTCCACGGCCCCCGGCACCGAGGCCGAGGTGGACATTTCAACAACTTGCAATGGACAGCACCGGGCCCTAAACAAGGTGGACCGCAAAATCAGAACTTTCAAGGCGGACACGGGAGTCCATCTCAAACATCTCCAGCTCCTTCACAGACCGCGTCACAAGACGACCGAGAAGCACCTCCGGTCGAAGATGAGAACCCCTTTAGACCGTCTAAAGAATTGCAGGTAGAGGATCAAGGAAACAGCAGGATCAACAACGCAGATCAGAACACACAGGGTAATGACCAACGAGGACCGGCTGCTTCCAAATTTAGCTTCGCCTTCAAGTCCAAAGCTCCTCCTCAGGCTCCAGCTAAACCTGCTGCAGATTTTTCAAAACCAAAAGGACCATTCCAACCTCCAGACAATCGGCCGCCACCACCGCAAGGCCCCAAGAACAGGCATTTCGACCGCCGCGACGACAGACACGGATTTCGGGGCAATGACCGGAAATTTATGGGCCAACAAGATCGACGGCATCCCAACGACCGTCCACATCCGCCGCATCAACATCCACCTCCAAAAGACCGCCGGCCAGACCGATCACGTTCCCCGCCTTCGAAGAAGATCAAGAAAGAGATCAAATCTCGGCCCACACTGCCTCCCGAGTTTGCAGAATCCGAATCTATATATTACCGAAAGCCGGGCAACGAGTCTGTTGTTGGTGCAGGCACATATGGAAAAGTGTTCAAGGCCATTCATATCTATACAAAGGACAAAGTTGCACTGAAGAAGATTCGAATGGAAGGTGAACGAGACGGGTTCCCCATTACAGCCGTGCGCGAGATCAGATTATTACAACATTTACGACACAAGCACGTGGTCGCGTTACAGGAGGTCATGGTCGAGAAGAACGAGTGCTTCATGGTTTTTGAGTACCTTTCACATGATTTGACTGGACTCATCAACCATCCATCTTTTAAACTCACGTCCGCGCACAAGAAGGACTTGGCGAAGCAAATGTTTGATGGCCTAGATTATCTCCATCGACGGGGTGTGTTACATCGGGACATCAAGGCGGCCAACATTCTGATATCTAACACTGGCCAACTGAAATACGCCGACTTTGGTCTGGCACGGTTCTACAACAAGTCTCGAAAACTCGACTACACGAATCGAGTAATCACAATTTGGTATCGACCTCCGGAGCTTCTTTTGGGTGAAACTCAATATGGACCTGAGGTGGACATATGGTCTGCGGCTTGCGTCTTTGTGGAAATGTTTACCAAGAAAGCGATCTTCCCAGGAGAAGGTGGGGAGCTCAGCCAGCTGGATAAAGTGTACAACGTCCTCGGAACACCGACTCGATCAGATTGGCCGGGGATTGTGGATCTGCCCTGGTTTGAGCTCATGCAGCCGGTCGATCGAAGAAAGCGGATGTTTGAAGCAATGTTCAAAGACATCTTCACGCCCGCTGGTCTTGATCTAGTGCAGAACATGTTCAAATACGACCCGAAGAAGCGCCTCAACGCGGAGCAAGTGCTCAATCACGAGTATTTCACGTCGGAGGGGCCGTCACCGGAACAACCGGTGGAGCTTGCCAACGTCGAGGGCGATTGGCATGAGTTTGAGAGCAAGATGCATAGGAGGGAGAATGACAAACGTGAGAAGGAGCGGAGAAGAGAGGAGTACGCCCGGGAGAAGGAGAAGAGAAAAGCTCGCGAGGCCGGTCTCCCTGATCCGACACCAGTCGCCGACAAAAAGGCTAGGTTGGATGACGAAGCAGCCTTGAAAGGAAGCATGCCTCCTCCTCCTCCGGCCAATGGTGATAATCCCACAGCGAAATCCACAAGCCGAGAGGTGAATGCGCCAGCGGAGAGGACGATGGAGCGTGAAAACGAAGATGGAGAGTCGGAAGGTGAAGACGGCGCACCCATGAGCATGTCGCCCGCCTGAGAAAGGCAACTGGAGCGGTCACAAGTTGAGACTCGGCGCGAAGGAACATGGGAGATCAGCGAAGGGTGACGAATGTATGTATGTATGTGTATATTCTTGGAGAAATCAGATACCCCTTAATTGATGGGCACAAACATGCTTTGGGGGGCATTTGTGCCTTTGCTACGGGCAAGGTGCGAGCCTCGATAGAAATACTACCGGCGGGTGCCCTGCATGTGGAATCAAAAGCGACATCGACATCGACTCTACCAGTAGAATTGAACTGTTCAACTGACCTTGTTCAGACTGCACTAGGATCGACTTGAGCTTCACGTTTCGGTCATTCCATTCCCATTGACGCCGCCGTTCCCTATCCGCTGTCCGTTGTCCGCTATACTCCATTATCATTACTGGTTTTGACCATGCCTTCTATATATGGGTATGTATATTTTAACGCACAGCCGCATGGGTGGTTGTCATTCCTTCTTGCCCATCCACCAGGGTCTTTGAAGACCGAAGTTAGGACTCTTACAGTTATATGCAAGCACACAGAAGAAGCGACGAAAAAAGAAAAAAGTAAAGATCGTAAGTCATGTCGCGGTCGCCAGCGGGCTCGGATTCGGCTTCAGCTTCAGACTCTGCCCGTGCCCGGGCTGTGCGCATCCTCATCCCAGACCACAAGGGTGTCGTCGAGGCCGCCGGGCATGCTGTTCGGACGAGGCTGCGGGTGCTGGCGCGGGTATGCCGGCGGCGTGGCGTATTCGGGACTCGAGGGACGGAAGAGTGGCGTTGTCGTTGAAGCGTTCTTCGTCTGCGGCTTTGGAGTGGGATTGGGATTGTGTTCTGGCCACTCCGAAGCAGAGGAAGGGGCCGCGGCCGCGGCGACAGCGTTGCGGTCGTGGACCAAGTCATCTCCTCCTCCTTCCCCCTCTTGGTACGAAAAGGGTCGTGCCGGAGCCGGGGACACTCTCTGACCACCACTATCACTACCGCCACCAGCCGATAATGAGATGACCTGTCCCTGGCCCCGCGAGCGTTGCGGTTCTTCTGTCGTCTTCCCCTCCTCCGTCGGTGACTCCTTGGTATGATATTCGCCGGACAGACCCGTACGCGAGCGCCGTTTGCGGACGGACCTCGACTTTGACGAGCCGATCGTGATGGTTCGCCGGGGCCCCGTCGTCGAGTTGGAGGTCCGCGAGCCGCCGCTTGTCGTATTCACCGAGGGTGATTGTGCGCGCGATGGGTTCGGAGGGGGCACTTTGAGGTTCACGTAGGGGACTAGTTGCTGCATGACCTGCTGGTGGGAAGGAAAGGGCACGGGGCTCCCGCTGGTACCGCGCGAGGGGCCTTCCAGAAATACTCTCAGATTGAGCGTCGTGTCGCCGCTCCCGCCCGCCGCTGCATGGGGCTGGGACTGTTGCTGTTGCTGGGTCCCTGAGCGGTGGTGCAATTGGGATCCTTGCTGGGCCATTATCTGCTGTTGGGGAGCTTGCTGCTGCTGCTGCTGCTGCTGTTGTTGTGCTGCGCCGCTGGTGGTGGGCGATTGAGCCACGCCAGCATCAGAAGTCGAATACGCCGTACCAGGCAACCAGACAAAGTCATCAAAGCTGGTCGCGATGTTGGCAAAATTGAACCCGTTGCCCTTGATCTGCGGCTCAAACACCTGCCCGATCTCCTCGTCCAGGTCCAGCACTCCGCGCTTAAAGGGCTGGTACTGGTGCAAGTTTGTGATCAGGGACGGATACGCCGCGCCCAGCCGACCGGTGACTTTCGGGTGCACGTCGATCTCGAGCCTCACGTCGCCGCTCTGCTCGAACCCGCCGCTGCCCTTTGTCAGAAGCATGACGAAGGTGAATTCTCGCGGCAAGCCCGATTTCTGGAGCTTGTTCTCCTCGAGCGTCCAGACCAGCTCGCCGTCCTCGATGTCGTACTCGCGGCCGGACCACGACCTCAGCGTCCGCACGGACCCCTGGATCTTCATCATCTCGTAGATCTTGTAGCTGCTCTTCACCCCGTACGAGGGCTTGAAGCTCGCGCTCGCGGGGCCCTGCGAAACGCCCAGAGACCCCGCCAGGTTGAAGTTCCAGTTCAACGTCTCCGGCGAGATGCCGCCGTAGAGCAAGTGCGGCGCGTGGCGCAGGAATTTGGGCCGCGAGGGCTTGAAGCCCGGCGGCGGCGCGACACGGAGACAGTCACTGCTCTTGACGAGCGCGTTGGACGGCAGTGTCTCGGTCTGCGTGCCATGATCGTGGCTGTTCTTCTTCGGCGGCGGCGGCGCCGGTGCTAGTCCGGGGACCACCACCTGCAACGAATTCCGCTTGTCCTCGCCCGTGTGGTGCAGCGCGATGTTGATCTCGGCGCTCTTGAACCGGAACGTGCTGGAGCTCGGGTGAAAGACGAAATTGATGGCGACGAACCGCACGTTGTCGATGCGGTCCTCGTGGATCACGGGGCTGTCGTAGAAGCCCGACTGCAGCCGCTGCACGTGCGCCGTGATGTACGACCCGCCGGGCAGCCGTCGCTCGTAGATGCATTTCTGGTTCACTTGGTAGCGGTAGTCGGGCGCGTTGGGGTCTCTCATCCGTGCTGCTGTGCGTGGTGTCAGCGGCGTTTGGGGCCACGACCCGTCCGCCCCGCCGCCGCCGCCGCCGCCGTTGGGCACTGCGGGCGCAGAGACGGGCTCCGAGAGGATGCGGTGAAGCCAGTTGCTCATGGCGCGATTCGAGTGTGTATATCATATATCATAGCCAGGTGTCTCTCATGTGGTCCGTGGAAGTTGTCTTACTGATTACTTGGCCTGAGAGCGAGAAGGGGGCCGAATCGATCTTAAGGCTACTACTATTAGACGAGGCTGGCAGCCTGATCGACGGTGTCATACACGCCGTTAGCTCCACGGTTGTCATTGGACGTAGAACGCCACACTCGTATTGTCTCGTCCCCCTGATCTGAAGTCATATGAGCAGTTGATGGGGGCTATGGAGCGCATGTGCCACATACAGATGTTAGACAGGCAAAGCCACTGGAAAGAACGTCTTTGCTTTCACGATGTCGTATCAATGGATCTGCATTTATTCTCTAGCTATGGGCGTCTGCTTCACTCCAGTCCTTTGCTTATGAAGCTTCTGCTAGCACAGCAGAAATCCCCCGTCCGCAGTGATCTCCTGCCCCGTCATAAAGTTGTTCTTCATGACACAAATATAACACTCGGCCAGGTCCTCTGGGGCACCAATAGTGTTGATCAATGACCTGGTCGTGTAGAAGTCCAAGATTTGCTTCAGTCCTTCCCCCCCCAAACTATCAAACAGTTCCGTCTTGACGGCTCCAGGGCACACGCAATTGACGCGGACAGGTTTCATATCGTTGGCAAGGGCATGCGTCAACCCTCTCTTGCCCGCCCCAATGGGCGCCATAACCGTCCATCCAACTGTCGGTTTGGCGTCGCTCACACCACTGGTCAATGTGAAAGAAGATGTGTGGCTGATCTCGAGGTATCGCTTAGACACCTTTGCAAGCATCGTGCAGCCGGTGATTCTGACCTTGTAGACTTCTGCAATGCCCGCTGGCTTGACGTCGGCCAGAGGCATTACACCAAAGGTCCCACCAGCTGTCTCTGCAACGTGATGCAATTTGTGTTTGCCGCCGTCGGTCGCAAACTCGAAAAGAGCCACAATCTGCTCCTCCACATCGGCCGAACTCAAGTCCACGGTTTTGCCGCGAATCCGATCTCCCGCGCCCGGATATGTTTTCTGGATTCTCTCAACAGCCCTGTCGACCTTTTCCTGCTTGGAACTTGCCACGACAACAATTGCATCATATTCTACAGCTGCTTCGGCAGCGGCGAACCCAATGCCATTGGTGCCGCCAACAATAACCACCCGCTTGCCCTGCAGTTTGTTGGTGTATTTCAGAGACATGGTTGAGAGGATGTGCAACTCGTAGCTGCCGAAATCAATCGCAGATGTGAACGAGCGCTAACCCTGTTTGAAGACGCTCCTGTTGTGGATGCCGGCCTCGATTATATATCTAGAGGCTCTCTATACCATGGAACACATACAAATTCTGATTTGTCCACATGGAAACGGCGAACTGGGTGTATAAGGCATCGATTCGCACCGCCAAAAGCCGGCTATTATCTGGTTGGCTCGCTCGCGTTCAAGGACTTAAGGCAAACGTTGTACCGCGTAACCCCGTCTTTTGGTGCTGGGCGCAAGACCCTAGAACGAAGTTAGGTAATGTGCTTCGGGCTTGTATGCGGGTGCATGTCGCTCCTTCATCCCTTTTTAGCCGAACAAACACGGATGATGGCCTTTCAGAAAGCTCTCATTGGAGACCAAAGAAATCCACAGCCAACCCAAGACAGATCATTCGCTAAGACGGAACCTCTGCTTCGCAATCTGGACCGTTCGTCGAAGCCAGGGAAGACACATCTAGAGATCCGGGACAAGACCTCACTGGAATAGGTTCAAGGAACCGCTGGTGCCAGGAGGCTCAAGGGCACAAGGTTGAGTTTCATACATTCGGCCACAGTTAAAAACTCTTGTGCTAGCCTCTCTGGTGCGTTGATTCTTGAAGGAAACTTCAAGATATGATATGAGATGCTCCAGTCGCCGAAGAACCGAGAAAAACCGGGGGTCTATGAGAGACCATCGCATTGCAGTTATATCTCAACAACCGGAGAAGCTGAGCCGACTTTTGGGGTCTTTGGCCCTTCCGTGTCTTTGACCACATCTGTTTTTGCCCCCTTCAGTGGAGGAAATTCGAAGATCTCACTTCTGCCCACGTTACCAGGAGCCCATTTTCCGATTCTGTCGCCGAGATATCCTTTGTCCCAGACCAGAGCGCCCACCCAAGGCTGCACATTCCAACTGACTTGCAGAGTAGCATTGCCCCTCTCACTGATGACACCGCTGGGGTCGGTGATTTGGTATTTTGGTTTCTGATTCTTCAAAGAAATAACGCCTGGCTTGACAAGATCTTTGGTCTTGGGTTTTGTATTCGAGGATTTCCTGCTCTTAGATTTTGACTTCTTATCGGGAAAGTAGGTCTGCTTCAAATTCTGCCAGGACCATGGAGTGGATGTTGCAGGGATGATCGTATCCCAGATGACAGCTTCAGACATTCCACCTGTCCCACTCTTCCCACCAGGATAGTTTGCCGTGACATAGACAAACAATTGCTTCGTATTCCACGTGAACAGGCTTGATAGATCGGCGTCAAGATCGAATCTGATTTGAGCGTATTCTTCGCGCTTAGGGGAGTAATAGTGCGGACGGCCTTTCACGACTTGGACATTCCGGACGGATATTGAGGCGCTTGGCGAGCCCGTTGGAGCAGGTAGGGGTATTACGGAGAGTACGGCGATTATGCAAGCGAGAGTAAAGGCGCAGCTGGTAAAATACCCGAAGGTTGATTGGAGTCGATTTAGAGCACTATGCATGGCGACGCGAGAGGTCCGAGGAGAATTGGTGCGAGAGGAGATCCAAAGAGAAGGAGAAGTGCGTGAGATGTCACCAACGCCGTGCTTTAGATAGTCATGAATGTAAAGAGAGTGTCCGTGTTGATATCCTGGTCAGTGTCAATTCGATCTGAACACGGTTGGAGAAACACAGGCACGCAGATCCTCGCCAAGCCAAGGCTGTGAGCGACGAGGCTGTGGACGACAAGGCTGGGGTGACAAGGCTGAGTCTCGCTGGGGAAGTTTTGTCCATGTGGTTCATGACATCACGTTGACATCCCTCAATTCCCCCCTCCATATCGTTGTCCCTGTTTATAAAAACATGAGATCGCCACCTCGTGGCATAGGATCAACCCGTTTTTCCGGTAAGTTTCCCAGAAATTCCCCTATCCCAGATACCCCACAGATATAGTGCCCCTACAAGTACACCACCGAGTCCTAAACTACTGGCACAATGGGGCTCCCTTACTCCAAAGAGATTCACTCGGCCTTTGAGCAAGTCACGCCGCTAGTTGCTGCTGGATTCGAAGTGCTCCAAACGACCAAAGACATTGCAATTCTGCTGGCCGTCATTCAGGTCGTGACGGTCATCACCTTGATTTTGATCTTGGTAGCCTTGCTGGCCTTGCTATGCACGGTGAATCCTGACCTGGTCAAAGAAAGAGAGCAGCTGGTCACTCCTGCCATGCAATGGCTCGCCAGTTGGATCTTCAAGTACGGCGGACCTGCGAAAACGCTTCTCAAAATCACATTTGTGTCCGGTGGCCTCCTATTCGGCTACGCCGTCTGGCAAGGACTGGTGACGGGGCACAGCGAGCCCACGTCGGGTGAAGACCAGTCCGAAGACACGGAGGGAAAAGCAGACGAAGAAAAGGCTGAGGATAAAGGAAAGGATACAAGCAATGGCGATGAGAAGAATGGAAAGGATGGGAATAAAAAGAAGAAGTAGTCGTCAGGGCGCCAAATGTGCAAATTGGTGAGCCAACATATTTTACACGCCTTGTGTGATCGTCGCATGTCTTCTTGGATGAGTGTGTTGTTCTAACTATCGGCGAGAATCAATTTTATTCCTCTTCCAAAGACCTAGCCAGGAGTCGGATATTCACGGTATGGGAGTCTGTATGCCCCTTGTCGCACTGGGCTTTTTGTTGAAGTAAAAGTTTCATAATAAAACGACCTCGGAAATGTCCGGTCATTTGATTCATTGTTTTTTACCCCAAGGCGCTCTGATCTCCGGTCAATCATCGTCGCAAGGGCGCAAACCTTGCCACGACATTGCGAGGGCCTTTTTGGTTGGTGATCAAAGGGCGTACTAACTTAGTGCAGCCCAACAAGGAAGAAGAAAAAAGTACGAGGTACAGCTACACACGGGTCAGAAGGCTTTTCTCTTTCCCCCGCTCCCCTGCCCCATGCTCAACGAGCGTTAGAACGATTTGACTTCTTAAGTGGGTCGAGAGACTGTACAGCGTAGGGCGTAGGGCAGAGTCGGCTCTCTTCTTGCCCGCTTATGTGAATGGCTTATCTTGCTTGCGTCCCAAAGGTACATCTGACGGTCAAGGGCGTTCCCAGTAGAGATAAACATACACACTTGAGCAGCCCCTTTTGTTGATGAATAGAATCATTTGATCTCGTCGGTTTTTTCCAGCGTTTATTGTATCAACCTTGGGTACAATCCAGCAGATACGCCATATACGGAGCTGTCAGAATATCAACAGAAATGCTTGTTCAGCACCAACAACCAGTTGCTCTCCCAACATCACCACCAACTGCTTCTTCTGCAACTTCAGAATATCTAGATTACCCTTACAATGCTCATATCCCTTCACCTGCAGCTGTTCAGCTACGATCCAAACCGGTAGATGTCGACTCTCTGCCACCAAGAACGAAGCCAACAATCACTATTCGACCAGCAACACTCGCCGACGCACCGGCAATTGCACGGTTGGGTTCAACTGTCTTCTCGACGGCCTTTGGCTTCAGTATTCCCACAAACGATCTGAACGCCTACCTGACCGAGGCGTACAGTGTTGAGACTATCGAAGAGTACATTCGGTGTGCGACGAAGCATATTCTCGTTGCATGCTCCAATAACTCCTCCATTTCCAACGCCCCAACAGTCGATGGTGACGCCGACTGCGGGCAGGAGGAAATCATCGGCTTCGCCCAACTGTCAGAAGGCACCTCAGAGCCCTGCATTTCCGATATCAAGTCCGTGGTTGAACTGCAGCGCTTGTACGTCTCGACAAGATTCCATGGTAATGGAGTCGGAAAGCTCCTGGCGAGCCAAATCGAATGCATAGCCAGGCGTCTGGGTTACAAGAGATTGTGGTTGGGTGTCTGGGAAGGAAACTTCCGGGCCCAGAAGATCTACGAAGGATGGGGGTTTGTGAAAGTCGGGGACCGTGAATTCAAGATGGGCAAATGCATTCAGATAGGTTGGATCATGTTGAAGGATTTGTGAATTGGTTCTCGGTGGAAATTTGCAGTCTCTTTGAGCGGCTTTGCGGGAGGCATCCGTGGGAAAAGACGAAATGGGCGGGACATCCGCCGACTCTTGGCGTCATTATAACCTCCAGCTACTATTAATTCTGGCGTCATTACAAATTCCCTGCTTGGCGTCCAGGCTGCTCAGCCCTGTGCCCCGTCGATTTCCCAACTTCCATCTCGTCTTCCTTCCACGTACTTGCCTGCGCAGTGCCATGGCGCCGATGGTCGCAGAGGGGCTTCGGAAGCGATGGCAGAGACTTAGCCGTCCTTCCGCCGTGCAACTCGTCTCAGCCTGCGACATGCATCAAATCGGACACGGACAAATGTAAAAGGATACCTGGCCGACCACTCCTCAGCCTTACTCCCCGAGCTATTCTGCCAAAGTATTAAGGGAATCCAACATGTACCAAATCGCCCTCGAAACCGCCGCCCGAAGGTATTCTAAGTGTTCCAAATCGAAGTCGGTAAATGGATCAAATTCCCCTTCGATTGCTCGGTTCCGTCTCAGTTCTCCTCCTTTTCGGCATTCGTAGGCCGGTGAGCGGGGATTTGTCCTCCTCACACAACCCCCCTCGGCGATATGTGGGTCGAACCTGACTACAACAGACTCGATACCTACTCAGCTTCAATGACAGTATTGAGCTCTGATATTCGCCTTCCTGCGTCTCTCTTCGTGATCTTCATTAAAGTCGTGGGAGCTGCTGAGTTGTACGGGACAAGAACCATTTGTTCTTCCTGTTTGATTTGATCTGCTGGGGCTTCGTAACCCAAACGGAAACTGAGCAAAATGCAACTACCAGACCGTACCGACCTCGTGCCATCACACCGGGGCAGGAATGTCTTGCCCAATTGTCCGTTCTTCAACAAATTGCTGCGGCTGGCCCACGACGCACCTTCGAGAACCATCATCTCCGACGTCAACCTCGGCGTGGAGAAGTCTCGTATACAACTGCTGACGGACGTACTGGAAATACGCAATGACCTGCTTGACACCCTGGACAAGAAAAGTAGAGAAGACCTGGCACACGGCAGCGGACGTGTCTTCATCGCCGTTCTTGCTGCTGGCGGCTACGAATACACCGTTGCAGTTCTCGGTGTCCTCGCATTAGGAGCGGTCGTGGTTCCCATCAGTAAGCATATCAAAAGCTTCCCAGGAGACAGGTTTTTCGGGGCTCGAAGCGAAGCGGAAAGAAACTAAGACAATTTGAATGACAGGCCCTCAAGCCCCTCTGGAGGAGGCATATTACTTCCTAGAAAAGGCCCAGTGCGTGGTTGTCCTGACTGCCTCAAACCTTGAGCAACAGGGCACCAACTTGGAACAGGCCATCCGAAGCCAACGCAAGAAGCCTGACTTTCGCAAGATCCTCATCGCGCCGTCGCTCCGGAGCTGGCACTACCAGCCGCACGACATCATAAGCTCCTCCGACAGGCAGCTGAATGACAACGCGCCGGGATCCGTGATCTTCACGTCGGGCACCACGGGAAAGCCCAAGGGCGCACTGCACCGACGGGCTATGATTCACGAAGTTGCGCGCTCCCTGGCCGACCACTACAAGGTGACCGAGGACGACCGCATCCTGCATCTGATGCCCGTGCACCACGCCACGGGGGCATATTTGTCGTTCTTCCCGTTCCTGATCTGCGGGGCCTGCATCGAGTTCCGCAGCGGCCCGTTCAGCGCCGAGTGGACATGGGACAGGTGGAAGAAGGGCGGCGTCTCGTTCTTCACCGGCGTACCGACCATGTATGTGCGGATGATGCGCCATTTTCAGCAGCAGCAGCAGCAGCAGCAGAGCCGTGCGGTTCCGTCGAGGTTAAGCGCTCCTCCCTCCTCATCTCCTCCTACTGCGTCTCTCGACCCCGCCACGGCGGCCGCAGCGGCGACGCGGATCCGGGGCATGCTCTGCGGCACGTCCGCCCTGCCCCGACCGGTGGAGGAGTTCTGGGAGACCCTCAGAGGCGGCAAACGTATCCTGACGCGGTACGGAAGCACCGAGTCCGGGGCTGCTTTCAAAATGGCCCTGGAGCCTGGCAACACACCTTCGGGCTCAGTGGGCACGTGTGCTCCTGGAGTGGAAGTACGCTTCGCTGACGGCGGAGACGAAGGCGAACTCCTGATCAAGAGTCCGAGTATGTTCATGGGGTAAGTACGCTATTGTCCCTCTCTTCAATCGAAACATCCCGTGCTTCCCATCATATACCGTTTGACACGTTAATTTTGGATTCGAAGCAATTGTGTTGCTTGTCAGTTACGCCATTGTCACACCATGTCTTTCCAAGAACCCGTGATATTTCTCTCCCTTAACCCTTGTTATCCACAGATACCTCTCTGACGAGGCAGCAACGCGGGCCGCGCACGACGCCGAGGGATTCTACAAGACAGGCGACATCGCGCGGCGCGAGGGGGACTACTACTTCATCCTGGGGCGGGCATCGGTCGACATCCTCAAGAGCGGCGGCTACAAGATCTCGGCCCTGGACATCGAGCGCGAGTGTTTGGGGTTGCCGTACATTAACGAGGTCATGGTCGTGGGCGTCGAGGACGCCGAGTGGGGCCAGCGCATCGCCGCCGCGGTGAGCCTGCGCGACGACCAGACCACATACTCGTGCCACCCCAGCGGCAGCGGCAGCGGCAAGGCACTCACGCTGGCTCAATTGCGCAAGGATCTGTCCGGCAAGCTGGCCAGATATAAATTGCCGACGATCCTGCGCGTCGTCGATGGCGAGCTGCCCAAGAACGCGACGGGGAAAGTGTCCAAGAAGGTGTCGGGTCCTGTGCTCTTCCCTGCGAACTACGCCGAGATCCCGGACGTGCAGGTCTGGTCTGGGTCTGCTTCTTCGCCCGAGAGGGATGCGAGGGGACTGGCTAGACTGTGAACCACCACGAGCAGATAGACTGACAGACTGCTGTGGACCGGACGAGGCTGCACCATTGAAGAATCAAAGAGTTAGACACTCTCAGAGGCGGGCTATTCTTAGCTTCTTTTCCTGCCGTTGGCAGTAGTAGGGGTAGACAAGTCCGTAAACGGGACCCTTAAGCTAGTCGATAGTAAGGCAATAATAGGGGCTTCCTACTTGAGTCATAGAAACGAGTGATCAACAACCAAGAATTGGCTAAAACAAGCGACGACGAGGTGACGGCGCCGAGGTCAAGGAAAAACGTGAATTCAACAGCACAACGCAAGCAAGGGTGGTATACCTTTTTGGCCGGACTGGTGGACAGTTGGCGCAACCGTAGAGCGTCCCTGGGTCGAAGTCCGTTTCCTGCTGCCTAATTCTGAGCCCAACACAGCCACATTGCACGACGACTGGTTCTCATTGTGAAAACATCCTGACATCCTGGATTTTAATGCAAAATGCCGTAGTAGCGACTGAGCGGACCCGAGTATCTTTTGCTTCACCTGCTTTTATATCGCAGAAGTTTTACAGTAGGAAGACTTCCATATAACAAGGATGCCTCCAAAAAGACGGCACACCGCCGACGCGACCGATTGGACTGTGACTAAAAGAGTGCGATCCGAAAGCAATGGCCAACTTGCGGGCTGTTCATCGTTTAAATATTCACCATTGAAGACTCGAAGTGCATTTCGACTCTTGAAGGTGGATCGTAGGAGATCACCGGCACTGCCTCTTACCTTCGAACTCTTCACGACTTCAATTGACGCCGCTCAAGGCTGCTACCACGCGCTGTCGTACGCCTGGGGAGACGCTGGGGACGAAAGAAGTATCACGGTCAATGAGCGAACGGTCTGGGTTCGGAGGAACCTCTTTGAGTTCCTGGAGCAGCTTCATAGAATGCAATGGACGGGGTATCTCTGGGTGGACGCCATTTGCATCAATCAGTCAAGCATCCCCGAACGCAATCACCAAGTCCACTTGATGCACAGAATTTACGGCGGTGCAGCTGAGGTCTTCATCTGGCTCGGCACCAGTTCCGTCCAAAGCGACCGGCTTTTTGACATGGCTCAGGACGGACGAGACGCAAAAGACGCAGTTGGCGGAATTGACAAAGGAGACACCGACGCCGTGAGCGACATTGAAGCTGTGCTTGATATTGTGCGCAGGCCATATTTTCGCCGCGTTTGGATCGTTCAAGAAATCGCTCGAGCAAAGAAGGTTTCCCTAATGTGTGGTGACAAAATCATGGAATGGGAGCAAATGAAGTCACTGACTCTCGAGAATGGGGAAGACCTTGAGTTCTTCGTGGATGACGATCTCAAGGACACTCTCGTCTGGAGTCGAAAAGTAACAGACTTGGAATGCGACTATCCAGATCTGGAGACTTGGAGGTTCATTTGCCAGTTATATTGGGACTTGCAAGCTTGCACGCCAACGTTTGAACACCTTTCCACCGTCATTCATCTTTTCGGATACATGGACTGCCAAGACAAGCGCGATCGTGTCTACGCGCTTCTGGGTTTGCTGGAAAGCCCAACTGGCTCGGAGCAAGTCAGAAGTCTAGATGTGGATTATAATGTGTCCTTGGCCGAATTACACACCAAGACCGTTGATTTTTGCCATCGAAACGATGAAGTACCCGATCTCCGGATTGCGTTAGATCTTGCCATCTTCCTGGAGCTTCATCGATATTGTTTGGAAACAGAAAGAACCTTTTCGACAGTCGTATATCAGACCTCAATGGGAACAGTTGGGCAAGTTATACAAGGGGTTCACGAGGATGTGATCAACAGCGAGCCGGAATCACCAGGCACCTTGGCCAGCGATGAGTTAGACGAATGGGTGTACAACCCACGACTTGTTTCTTGCATTACGCTAGAAGGAGAGACAGTTGTGCTGGACTCACAGCATATCCGGACCGGGGACCAGCTGTACTTGTTGAGAACCAATTTGTCGTGTACGAGCTTCGGTTTTCGACCGGCTGACTGCGATGGCCTGGCCATAGCTGTCAGCCGTGACAAATCAGGGCCACCCTTGATCACTGTGGGAATCTGCCCTTACATATATACTCACGGGGAGTCCATCGTAAGTGGCTGGGAAAGCTCCACGAACGAAAAGCTTCTGCTCTTGAAGTGGAGGCGTATCGTTGAAGACCACCTTGGTGAGGCTGATTTTGAGATATCGTCAGATGGCCAGGAACTTGCCATAACCATGAAGCTGGATACTTGCATTCGATTGGCACAAGCACTTTGGGAGATAACAAGTGAGTGGATGTAACTATGCCATATATTCGACCGGAGATATCCCAGTATTCTTAGATTGAATATATAGTTTCCGTTCCCCCAATACAGAGGCACAATGCTCAGGTTGCAGGCTGCAGTGTAGAGATTGGACTTTGTGGTCGAATAGCCGAGGAAGACCTTGAGGATGGTCGGGAGGAAGGTGGCTTGGGCGACGCCGACCATGCACAGCGACACGCACGAGATGAAGAAGACGCAGGTGGACGGCCGCTTGAAGATGCGCCGAAACGCAGGCCAGCTCCAGCTGACATCGGTCTTTCTCGCTGATCCCCAGTCAAGCCGGCTGTTGGAGATGTGCCGCTCTCTCTGAGACAGCGCCCTCGATGTTTCCGGGAAGGCCAGTAGGAGGCGGAACAAGACGGGCGCCATGGCGATGAGCAAGACGCCTTCTATGATGAAGACAAACTGCCAGGAGTCAAGCCCATCACGCCCGTGCAGGTGCGTAATCCTGGCGGCGGTGAACGCCCACACTGCACAGGCAGGAGCATTGGCGCTTTGGAAGGCGCCAACGCGGGAATGTTCTCTCCGAAGGCTTATACCGCGTAGAAGAAGTACATAATACAGGCAGGAACAACGGCACTATCGGGGATGCCGAGGAAAACCTGCGCCGCCAGGAGTCCCGGATAGTTCGTGAACGGAGCGACATGACGACGGTGCCCCAGAAGCCCTTGAGGACGGGGAAGAAGTACTTTGCAGGAAACTCCTTCATCAAGATGTTCGAGGGTAGGACGGCTGCGGTGACGGCAAAGTAGGTGATGGACACGGCCCAGCTGAAGTCAGAACCCTACATCCCCAGAGCGCCTTCGATAGAGGAGCTTGTCCCCAGGCCCAGAATCTTCAAATCTCCGAGGTTGGCTCTGTCCATGTAGGCGAGGAAGTAGATGGTGCCACGCAGGGAACGGAGCGCGAAAGCCGAGTTTGCGAAACCCAGTCTCTTTTCTTCTTCTGGGGTCCAGTCCAGAGTGAAGACGGTGGCCCATTCTGGATGCGGTCCCCGCTGGAGTTGTGTTTGCCCATCTTTCTTTCTCGGCGTTAAAACCTCACGAAACGACCCGCCACCAATGTAGACGCCTGCCTTCTCAAGCGAGAGGCTTGATGTGCTGCAAAATGCTTTCGCCATGGGTCAACGGGCCAGCCTGAATGACGCGGGTGAGACGGAAGGCGCCTGGAACCGGGCCCCGCTTGGCCGCAACTCTTATATACACATAATCTCCCCGTTACAGAAATCTCCGCGGCGACTTGACTCGAGGTCGTTTCGCCGAGGAACCAGTATTTTGTCATCTTCTCGCCAAGTCACGAAGGGGGGAGAACCGTGCGGGGAGAAAACGGAAGGTTGGAGATTGAAGAGTTGAGGCAGAAAATGGGTTGAACTAGAAAATCCCTTATTATTTGTTGCTATACAAGGTGAAATCGGAGAACCAAGAGCGACTCACCCCGACAGTGCTTTGCTTACACTTGGACCTTCTTAACTTCCGTATTTTGCTAGTGGGGCTGCGAACTTGTATTGCCATTCCTGACATTTGAACCGACTTCTTAGCCTCTCGCAGGATGATAGTCAAAGGCTCGAACAAGGCCCATCGCCGCTCCGGCGGCCGCACCACCGACGAAAACCATCTGAGCACCGCCTAGCACGCCTTGCCAGATGTGCCTGCCGCTGCGCCAGCCAACGTTCACGCAGGTCTTGACGTATCCAAACACAAACAGAGCAAGGACCATTGTCCCAATAGACCAGATCAAAGCGGTGGTGATGTTATCGGTGAAGAAATACGGTAAGAGAGGGACAAAGCCTCCGATAAAGTAACCCAGGGCAATCGTCAGAGCGCAGGTGAACGCTCGGGAGCTAGCAGGCTCCGGAAGGGCGTGCTCAAAGGACATGATGAAGTTGACCATCTTCTCGGGGTCGCATTTTTCTAGATGAGTCGTAAGGTCGGCTGTCAGAGGTTCTGGAAGGTTGTAAGGCTCGAACATAGCTGAAATGCTGTCAGATAGGGCGTTTGGGTTGTTCAGGATTTGATTCTTTGTCTGCTTTCGCGTGGCGTGGTAAGACTCCCTGGGTTTGAACAATTAGGCTCATTTTCGTTGCAGGCAAAAGACAGATGTGGGCTCACTCTTCGCTCTTAGCTCCCAAATACCCTCCCAGGCCCATCGAGATGGCTCCCGCGATGAGTTCTGCGAGTCCACCATAGATGACAACCTTGGTATCCCCAAGAGCTGACAGTCCAGCTGTGAGAGCAAATGGCACTGTAAGGCCGTCTGAGAGGCCAATTATGGCATCCGAGATGACCCTTGAGTCCGCCTTAAAGGACGGTTTCTCATTGCTGGTAAGTGTGCTTGCCTCTGACGTGTCGGATCTCGTGGACTCGAGATCGAACTCCTTCTCGCTGAGATCGCTTGCGGCTGGCTCGAGAACTGGCACATAACGTCGGGGAAAGATAGACCTGAACAATGAGACAAGCATCTTGGGTGATGGGTAAGGTTATTCTGGCACCAGAGTCACAGACTCGCTCTTGAAGCTCAGCGCACGAGGGCTAGGTGGAATGGCAGAACGGGAAGAGCGGGAATAGCAACGCTCGTCGGGAGGATGGATTCAGGGTGGGTGGTGCGATGGTTTATCAGCCATGCTACTTCCCAAAAGCACTTCGCATGATTTTACACATGTCTTCCTTCCACGGATTGCGGATGTTCGGCGGACTGCCAAACCCTTTGACGGTCAATCCTTGACTTTGAACTGTGGCATTTTTGTCGACGGGATCCAAAGGGCATGCGGAATGAAGCTAGGAGCAAGAAGCAATACGTAGTTGTGCATTGTTGAAGCCGTGGTTGCCTATCAAGATGGGAACGTGGTTGAGAATGTGCTCGTGCGCAAGCTACCAAAAAGGAAGATCTGAAGGAACGACCAGGGTCGAGGGGCAAAAATTGACCGGGGGTAACGAAGCCGAGGATGCTTTGGAAGCTTCAGCTGGGAGCTGCATGCAGGCATGCAGGCATGCTGTCAAGAAGCCTGGGGGAAACTGCTTATCAAAATGGCCAAAGAAGCAACGTGGTTTGGAATCGCCGGCTTGTGAGAGGCCGGAGCTCTGGAACAGTGGGGGTAGCATTGCTGCGAAGGATCTCCAGGAACCGTGCATGGTTCTAGTGACGTGGGGATTCTACGTATACAAGAGGGGGAAATGCTTGCGATAGACGAATCAGGAAGGCAGTCAAAGCCGTTAGTGACCTTAAGCTTCTGCTAAGCCTGGCGCTAAGCTTTGTTTTCTCCACATGGCAAGGAAGTTAAGCTCGTTAGTGAATGCACCGTGTGGAGCAACGGGGTAACATGTTCTTGGTTCTTGTAGGTACCGAGTACCACTCTCATGCATTAGCCTAGGCAGCTCCGCATGCTCGCCAGCTGCCAGAGCTGCCAGAGCTGCCAGCCTCATTTTTTTATGCATCGTGTTCCTTGATAGAGCTCTCTCATGTGTTACCGGTTTGGAAGCATGACTTCACATCTCTGCCTTTGCAGTCCTCATTTCTTCCGTGCAACGTTGCGATCTTGAGATCCCGTCTTCCACGTGCCATGTCTATTCGTCTTTGTTCAACTTCTTGGACGGCTGTGTCGGATCCTTCGTCCTCTGCTTGATAATGTTCTCCATTCTCTAGCTGCTGTCGACCAGAACTTTGGAGCTCCAATGATGGCTTCCCTCGTTGGCACGCTGTTCCGGAGGTCGAGCGACCCAGAGAGGAAGGCAGTGCTATAAGGAGAAGGTCATGTCACCAGGCAAGCAGCAGAAGACAGCGCGGAACATCCTTCAGAGTCGACGGAAGAATCATGATGGACATTCTAAAATTGAGCGCCTTCGGGGCACTGATCGCCGTCGGACATGCCGTTCCCGTTGTACCTCGCCAAAGCTGGGGTTCATCGAACTCCTCCTCTTCCTCAGGAACCCCTTTGAGTGAAAAGGTATGAGTTGCAACACTATTTTCATGATGTCCCGGGGAAATATAGCTGACGAAGCGCCTCTTGCCTCGGAACTACAGATCACGCACGTTGTATATCTTATGCTGGAGAACCATTCCTTTGACAATATTGCTGGCTACTGGGATTTCAACCCGGCCATTAACAACCTCCGGAACGTGACCTACTGTAACGACTACACGAACCCCAACTGGACTGTCTGGGGCGAGCCGCTGTCGATATGTGCTGGCCCATTCGAAGACGAGGTTCCCCTGGTCGATCCCGACCACAACTTCGCAGGAACCAGCTATGAGATTTACCGCAAATGGAACCCGACCGCGAGCGATGTGCCTACCATGGACGGCTTCATCGAGCGCCAATCGGAGAAGTACAACGCCACCCCCGGCGACGCGTCGTTCGTCATCAAGGCCTACGACAAGGAAAAGACCAATATCCTCGCCACGCTCGCTCAGAACTATGGCTTCTGGGACAGCTACCACGCCGAACACCCCGGCCCTACCAACCCCAACCGGCAATTTGCCACCTCGGGATCCACCTGTGGCTTCGTCGACAACACTCTGCAGGCTTACGGATGGCAGCTGAACTCGACCGGCGTGAACTGCACCAAGTCGATCTTCGAGGTGCTGTCCGACAAGAACATCACGTGGAAGAACTACTACGAGACCGATATCATCGACTCCTGGTTCTACCAGTGGGTTCAGGACAATGCGATGGATCGCATTGTCCACTCCAACGAGTTCTACTCGGACCTGGCCAATGGCACTCTGCCGCAGTTCTCATACTACAACCCCGAATGCTGCACGATCGATTCGTTCCACCCGACGAGCAACATGGCTGCGGGTGAACTGATGCTCAAGCATTTCTACGATTCCATCCGGGCATCGCAATACTGGGACAATATGTGCGTATTCTTTTCAAATATCATCCCCCTTCTTTCCTTCCTTCCTGCCTGCCTTTTTATCTTCCCCGGCATGACTCCAGCAGGTAGCTAACAGATGGGTCGGATATACAGCCTCGTGATCATCAACTTCGACGAGCACGGCGGGTTTGCCGACCACGTACCACCCCCGACCGGCATTCCCGCGCCCGAGGATGGCATCACCTACTCCGGTCTCTCCGACGGCCACAACGTGACCTACGACTTTACCCGCTTGGGCATCCGTGTGCCGGCCCTCGTCATCTCGCCCTGGATCCCGCCCAACACCCTCATCGGCCCGGGCACCAGCTACGCCGACAACTCGGCCTACACGCACAGCTCGTTCCTGCACTTCCTGCAGAACCTGTGGGATCTCGAGGGTTTCAACAACCGCGTCCAATGGGCCATGACCTTTGAGCACATCTTCTCGGACACGCCCCAGGCGAATCCTCTCCCTAGTCTGCCTAACCCCATTTGGTACGTTGTGCCCCCCCCGTTCATCCTATCCATACATACATACAGTCGTTTCCCTCCTCCTTTGACGGACTGAAACTGACATTGTTGACTCAGGTACGGAGGTTCCAACAAGCCCGAGCCAGAGGGCTTCTACCTGCTCAACCAAGACGCGAGTTACTACTTGAACTTGCCGGCAGATTCTGGGGCAGCGTAAACAAATTATGTCTCTCCATTGATGATGTGAGAAAAGGAGAATAAGGATTTGGGGAATCATATAGAGAGCATAACACTATATAATAGCTCTTGATATACTCCACCATAGCTAGTGTTAATACGAGAGACATTAACGACTTCCCCATGGTCCTGCATCTCTACAAGGGGAAAAAGAGGCTCGGCCAGTCGTCACAAGCTTAAGAAAGAACACAGACATATAACGCTAGTAGCTCGACACAGTGCGTCAACGTAGAATCGGAACTTTCCACTGATCCTCAAACCGCTTCTGCATCTCTCGGCCCTCGAAAACACTGCACACGCGCTGGAAGCGCGCAACCATCTCCAAGGGGACGTCTACTCCTCCCTCGACCAGGATGACTGCGTCGCACGAGGCCTCTATTCCGCGCTTTTTCGACCACGTCTTCTGGCTCTTCATACCCTTGGCCTCGTTGTCGAAAACCTTGAATGTCACCTTGGTATCGGTAGGTTGGCCCGGTTTGAGGAGGACGGCGTTGCCGGAAACCTTGGACATCTTGCCCCGAGTGCTGCACACTTCGCCTTTAGTAACCATGCTCATTGCTGGGGCACATACGGATCAACTCAAAACGCACCTATTCGGATCCAGCCATCGATGCTCGAATACGTCAACAAGCCAAGGCGTCCCTTGTCGGGCAGGAACAATCCATCTCGTGATGACGACGAGTTGATTTTGATCCACAGCCACGCTTGCAGCCATGGTCTCCAGGCCACCTATGGTCCTTACCAACCATTTTGTTGCGGTGACGGTGCCTAGATGGCCGCCGCCCATCATGTCCATTCCTTTCATGGTCAACTTGGTCTTCATGTCCAAGTCCTGCTTGCCCCAGTCCTGCCACTTGCTGGTCTCGCCCCATTTCTTGGCCAGGATTTTGCGTTGCTCTTCCGAGTAGAGCGGGAAGAGCGGGATGTGGGACAGATGAGCGTAGTCTTCAGCATAACCTCCTGTTGTCTCGCCTTGCTCGGGGATGCCTCGACTGGACACTTTGCGGATGTAGGCGTCGATGCGTTTGCCCGGCAGTTTGTTCAGGATGGAGGATGCGGATGGATCGTACGACTCGACCGCGTCGGCAATTTGGTCCGCCATGATGCTGATACTGACTGCCTAGGTATGAGGGGTAGGAGTTTTGCAGCTGTGTATAGCAGGTTACCAGGGCTTGGAGAAGGAAATCTGCATGTTCAGAAGAGGCAGCGCAACTGATATATTTTGCAAGTTGCGGCTGAGTCCTTCAAGAGCGGACCAGTCGACTGTCCAGGTTGCCGCCCTCGTTAGAGCTCGATATGGTGTAGTCGCTGGGGCTGTTGTTGGCTGTATCCATCGCGGATTCTGTCCAAACATTGCACCATCTACTGGTCCTAGCTGAGACCGTGGCAAGGTCTAAAAGCTTCATGGACGCTCTCGCAAGTCTGTTCATCGTTGTGCCAATAAGCTTTGTATCGAATACGAAGAAGACCGGTCTCGATCCGGTATCATCTGACGGGCTGCCGCCTCTGACCTACCGTCTTCTTTCGCCCCAGGGTGCTAGTGCAGCGGGCACAGAGCGGCGGACCTTGGCACCTTGGCATCCTCGTATCGCAGATAGGTATCTCATAGATAGGGCGAGAACCGACGACTCTTGGCCAGTTAGCCTCATACAAGCATTCGCTGACAATATCTCGGCAAAGGCTTCGGCCAGGACGTGGCAGGCCGGAGACAGAATCCGCTCCGAGGGTGCGCCAGGGACGACGCTGGACCATTTCATCTTGAAGCGCAATGATCAGCCGGAGCGAGCATCGCAACTGTGGAAACGCAAAGATCAGGAGTGGGAGAGATTGCCATGGGCGCGAGCGATGGGGTTGTGATCCGGAGAGGAAAGAACTTCGGGAGTAATGAATAAATATCATAAGCACAGAGAAGAGTTGGATGTCTGCAAATGATTCATGACTTCAACGTGAGCACCATCAAGTACCTCGTAATTGACGAACACATCATGCTGGCCAGGCAGTAGCCAAGCCACTCGCAAGACAGGCAGGCAGGAGTGTATGTATATAGCTATCTGAGCAGATAGCACTTATGTGAAGCAGCAAATAGGAACAGGAATGTAACCTTGAATATGAAACCCGAGCAAATTCATTGAGAAGAACAACCGGGCGATTAACGGCAGGTCTTGAGAAAACAGTGACTGTTCCCCATCCTTCTGGGACTCCGTGTTCATTTCTGATGAAAACCACTTCGTGAGCAACGGGGGCGTAGACGTCGCGAATGTGAGCTGCCAGGCTGAAGTCCGTGAAGGAAGAAGAGAAAGAAAGGAAGAAAAGTCAGAGGGAGCGAGATCTGAAATTTATCGCACAAATTGCTCTAGCAGGTATAATGCGTCACCGTAGATGCTACGGAGGACGATAACGACGATATCGACACTTTTATCACTTCAACTTGTACTGGCAAGACTGGCCACCTCTGGTCATCCGCGTGGAAAGCCTTGTTTTCTTCAATGGGTATCATTTTCGATTTTTACATGCCTCAGCCTCTGTCTCTGTCCACAATATACAGAATGCTCAGCACTATGCTTAGAGTACACATGGTTGACCTGACCCTTTCCAACAACCAGTCACATGTGCACCCTTTGGTCCTGCAATTCTCTCAGAGCAACAATCGTCGTCCTCGACGTCTCACTCAGGATATCGTCTCACGAAGTCCCGGAACCTTTCTTCCGCTCCTTGCACTCCCCTCTCCTTCTCTTCGAACAACATGTCCAGGATTGCTTCACGCAGCATCTGGCTCTGCGCCTGGTACTCCATCACCGGCTCACTGGTTCTGAACAAACATATCTCAGTCACATGTCTGATGCATCTATCTCGGTTGGGTTCAAAGACACTCACAAAGCGATTTTCCACCTCCTTTAGACCCTGAAATGGTGATCTTCTCCTCAGTGTCTTGTAGGCCACCATTGCCGCCGCCGTCATGACCACCTCAGTCTTGTTGTACACCGACCTGATATCGCAGTCGATGCCGTTATTTGCATACTGCACTTGTAAGTTGTGCATGTTGACGGTGACGGGGCGCAAGACTTCAAACCGGATGGTGAGCGTGTCAAGGCTGAGGAATGCCGGACATTGAAAAATCAATGAGAGGATGGACGTCGACAGGACCTTGCTGTCGATGTCACATAGCTTCGGACCACTGGCTTTCCTCAGAAACGAGATATGCTTGATCTTGTTGGCTGTGCTAGCTCGAAGTCCCTGGACGCCGTTGGGATAGAAGAAATCAGAAGGCTCTGCGGCAGTGAAGCTGTTCTCGCTATATAGAATATTTCTAGCTTCGCTGTACACCTGACTGTTCGTCCGGAGGATCCTCGCGTTGAGATCTGGGTTCAACTGGCTGAATGTGTGATTGCTGTCTTTGCCCGGGAAAATGATTGCTCTTTTGGCCGGCACAAGCAAGAACCGGTATATGATCTTTCTTGCCTCGAGTGGCCAATCAAGGAAGTCAATTTGGGTCAGAGGTGGCCGCTCGGAGAACTGAAAAGACCGTATATAGTCGTCAGAGGCGCTGCGGCCAGTCAAAACTTGACGCAGGGTGTCATTCATGAGTCTGAGTTCTGCGGCGAAGGCTCCCACGGCGGTCCTCTCAGCATTGCTGGTGGGAAGCGAATGTCGAGGGTAGAATGGATTTCGAGACCTCCGTGGTTGTGGCTCTGCTGTATTTCTCCTTCTCCTTACCCTGTCTCGGGGCTTCCGGTCACGGCGGTCTTTTCCATCTTTCGCAGTCTCGTGTGACTCCCCTGCAATACAAGAGCTCTTCCGTTTGGTGACCTTGCTTTTATTGTCATGGTATCCGTGCTGAGGACAGAGCGAGGTCGCGAGCTCGCAGATACCTTGTTTGGCGCAGATACACTTGTTACCCGGAGCATACTTGAGGCTTATGAAAGGCGCGGAAGGTGCCGAAAGCGTGGTGTCCTGGTTGTCTAGCGGTGCCGAGAGCGCGGTTTCATTATTTTCTGAGGGTGCTGGAGGAGCGGTGTCGTTGGCTGATGGTGCCGAGATCACGTTGTCGAGGTTGTCTGGCGGTCCTGGAGGCGCGGTGTCCTTGTCTGACGGTGCCGAGGGCAAGGTGTCATCTTTGTTTGGTGGCGCCGTGAGCGCGGTGTCACTGTTGTCTGGCGGCGCCGTGAGCGCGATATCGTTGGCGTCTGGCGGCGCCGAGGGAGACGGAGTCGTCGACGACATGATACACAGCGGGTAGTGATGTGGGGCAAACAATGACAATACTCACGCAACGACGACAGTCATGATGCTGGATAAAAAGCAAGGCGCAGGAGACGGTGGGTGAGAAAGTCGCGGGTGCGACATGATCGAAAGCCTTGCACTGTTGTCGCTGTCGCCAACGCGCGGGCGGCGGACGTCAGTGTCATGCTCTTGCGGAAGCTCCAGCGAGTATTCACGCATCGGCACACCTGACAAAGAACAGCTCATGTAGGGAGACTTTGATCATTCTTCTTTGCATTTTATTGACAAGTCGAATCCATTCCTCCTCCTCCACGACGTTCGGGCAGCCTTACCTTTAGATCGGCGGACTGTTCTGTGGGTCGTCTTCACGTCGTCGGTGGTCGTTTCACGCATTGCGGCGTGGCTAAGGTATACCTGTATAGGTATGGAAGTGTATCGGTTCACGGTGTCGTTTGATCGATCTCAAAAGTACAGATTGATTGTCATATTTCTGTCCAGAAGCCCGACACTTCCTCTCTAGTAGGTGGGGAGCACGACCTGCCACCTTCCATGCGTGCTGGGGTTATGTCTTTCACAGAATAGTGCATCACGGTTTTGATTCCTCGTCCAACTCGAGGATTAGTATTCAAGTGACACGCAAATACCTTTGTTGTTCATTTGCGGTAAAGCAATCACAAGCGTTGCATTGTCACCTTGGTATCTGGTTGTTCTCCCAATTCATGATCCTCCTTCTAATCCCATCCCTGGTCGTATATGAGCAAATTTTCGACCGATACAGTCTCAGTCTGTCTGTGCTCTTCCAGCCTTGACCTCTGAGCAGGACCGTGTCACCCGGAGCTAGAGCAGCTTAGATGTTGATATCAAGCGCTGTGCTGGAATGTGAGCGAGCTTGATCAGTCGCAGCCAATCAAAGCCTTGCCAAACATAATCCGACCACTAGCACGTGACTTGCCAAGCCAATTGCCTCGGAAAGCGGATCGACATCATGAGCTAAGTTCAATCGACACACGAGATCCCAAGCTCCATCACCGACCACATCAGCCATGTCGGCCAACATGTTCTCCCGCAGGGCACTGCAGTTGACTACTCGGCGATGTAAGGAACTCCCTTTCTCTCGCAATTCCCTGACAGACCATCTCGTGTTGAACCAGGACTGACGTTCACAGTGGCCGCAGTGAACCCCTCCACCTTGAGCAGGACGACTGCTCTGTCTAGATTATCCGCCCCGGCAGCCATCGCGACTCTGCAGAATACACAATACAGGTCAGTGCCTGCCTCGTGCTAGCATCATGAATTGTTCATCCTTGGGGGAAAGAGGTGGAAAAGAACATCTGGCGGTTCCTCGATCCGCATGCGTCTCCGGAGGTACCCGATACTATGGTCTATGATACTGACTCCCTCTTGCTTGCTTTGTTGATAGACCAGCAACAACTCAAACCGTCTCCCAAGCCTCCGGCCAAGAAATCCTCGCCAACCAACGCCTCCACCGACCCGTCTCCCCCCATCTCGCAATCTACCGCCCCCAAATAACCTGGTACCTGAGTGCTCTGAACCGCATCACGGGCGCCACGCTCTCAGGAGCCATCTACGTCTTCGGTGCCGCCTACCTCGTCGCCCCGTTGTTCGGCTGGCATCTGGAATCCGCCTCCCTCGCAGCCAGTTTTGCCGCGTTGCCCGTGATACTCAAGGTCGGGTTGAAGGCGCTGGTGGCATTCCCGTTCACGTTCCACGGGTTGAATGGCATTAGACATCTGATTTGGGACACGGGCGCGGCGTTTACGAATCAGCAGGTCATATGGACGGGATGGACGGTTGTGGGGTTGAGTGTGGTCTCTGCTTTGGGGTTGACTTTCCTGTGAGTGGCTTGGAGATAAGCCGACACTTGCGAAGCAGATAGGTTAGAAGGTGTACATGAACAGCGTATTCTTTGCCTCAATGAGACTGAAAATTTATGTATAAAGAAAAGGCAAGCCGTAAGGGCCGCGGCATCCAGATCCTCATACGAGGCGTTCTGGTCCTCCAGACTTCCAGCATGAAAGTATCGAGTACTCTGTGACCGATTGATATTACATGAACCGTGCGCGCAAATACCATCGCCTAGGTATTAATGATCCTAATCATCCACATAAGTCACCCCGTCCCTCAGCTCATGCACAACACTGCCACTTCTCCTTCGGCCATCATCTACATATCTGGTCCCGTCCCGCAACTCATGCACAAGGCTGGGAGACTTCTTGAGTCTCGCACTTCGTCGCGGAGTGAAGGATGTTCCGGATTCAGAAGGAGCTGTGGAAATAGTCGACCCTCTGCGTCGGTTGGACTTATCGGCAAAAGGGACGCTCTGTTCCCAGTCATCACCACCCATGGCCACGTCTTCGTCGCCTTCGTTGCCAAAGTTGTCAGTCTCGTTGGCCTGTCGACGTTTCGAGGCCTGTACATAGACGGTTGTTTCACTGTCATGGTGTACGCCTTCAGTCGTATTGACTAGTTGTGGGGAGGCCTCGTCCCTGTCTCTGCTCTTGGCAGTTTCGTTATTCTTGCTCGCTGCAGGCCCCGCAGTCGGGCTTGTCAAAGTTTCGAGGTTCTCGCCTCCATTGCCAAAGTTATCGTTTGTACCGGCTTTTAGACGGCGGCTCGAAGGTGCGACTGTACGGCTGGGCTGTGGTGTTTCTTTGAGTCTGGGAGAACTGCGAAGAAGCTTGGGAGAACCGTTCTCGACTTCGGGAAGCTCTGCTTGTGGTGTAGGCTCAACATTGAATATTTCTTTTCCGCTCTTGCTCCACCAGCTGAACAAAAGCTTGACTCTCTCTGTTTCCGTGTCTCCATACTCCAGAGGAGGGCCAGAAATAACCACCCCTGACCATGTCATGGTTGTGCCAGCTCTGGCTTCAAAGACTGCCCACGAAGACGTGTCAGTGCTCAGCAAGGTGAACTGTCTGCGAAAGGTCTGAACCTTGAAGTTCCGAAGAATGACTACATCGCCGCGATGGGTTGAGGGAAGTGCTTTCCGAACAGGTCGAAATACTTGAGCAGATACGGCCGAACGAGTCTCTGAGGCAATCGAAGGATCCGTGAGCTGTAATGTAGTGTGATAATCCTTCCGTCCTGTTTTCGACTGTTCTGGGTCCAGCGAAGCATTTGTACACACGGCAATGACGTCGACAAGTTGACCGAACTGCTCATGCAACGATCGCAAGCGAGGGAAGTATGCAAGAGGCGTTGTGGTGCTACTGTTTTCGCTGAAAACCGACCCGTTCGCCCTGGAATCTGGGGAAACAGATGTGATATTAATGTGCGCCTGGTCAGCCTCTTGCAGCGCAGTCGATAGAAGAGGTTCTTCGGCTTGTTTGCGCGTGGGCAGCGGCCGAAGTGTGCTGTCGTCTCCCCCAGGATTCAAATTCTCCTTTCGGGGTGGTGATGACGAAAGTCGTCCGATGGACTTGTGAGGTGGAAAATATGGACTAGATAGGTTCGCTGACATGGCAGACTGTTTTGCCGATAGTCGCCGAGAGCTTCGACGAGGTGTGACAGTATCAGACTGCAACGCGGAGATAGGCCTGGCAGTCGTAGGACTCGTGCTTACCCTGCTGGGTGACGCTGGGGGTCCTTCGTTGGCAGGTGATTCTTTCCGAATTCTTAGCGATTGACTTTTGGTCCCAGTATCAGCTCTTTCCGCTTGCCCACTCAGTCTTGCTTTGCCCCGTACGACCTCCACTGTCTCTGAATCTTCATATGTGACTTGAGTCATTTCCTGACTCACAGGAAGTGCAGGCTCTTGCGAATTTCTATCAATCTCTTCTTGTGTATAGCGGGGTGAGAGAATTCCAACTTCGGTCAGCTCCTGGACTGGTTTCGACGTTTCAGGCTCAGTCGATGGACGCTGTACTTGGGACTGGTCCGGTGTTGGTAGCTGTGCATGAGCTTCGGGCGGATGGACGTGTTCCATTTGAGTTAACCCAGAACCCACCTCATCTGATGTAGCAATGGGAAGATGTTGGAGTTCGTCTTTGACTTCATCTGTCGCTGCTGATTGACCTGTCGCCTGGTTTACCTCTTCCAAGACATCTTCGGGAACTTCGACCTGAGCATTCGCGTCAACTTTGACTGTCGTCAAGGATACATCAGTTTTTACTTGCGTCTCGCTCTGAATGTCATTGTGAGAAGGCTCAACACCGGGCACAAGCTGCTTCGAGGGTTCTGAATTGGCAGAAAGCTGAGCAAGATGATTGATATATTCCCTGAAGGTCTCCCGCTCGTCTGTTTGCCCATCAAATGATTGCGATCGTGAGGTTTGGCTCAAAGAAGAGCGTGTGGAACTGACAGTACTCGCTTGATGTTGCCGGTTCTGTCTAAATGGCGACTGTGGTTCAGGATATGTGCCAGGGGATCGGTTCGAGCTTGTGGACACCGTAGTCCTTTCTTGCGGAGTTCCCACGGCCATGTCCTCGGGCACATCGTGCTGTAGAGGTATATTTGGTGCGTTTTTCCAACCATCCGATTCGGTGGGGATTGAAAAGCCAGCAGCCGTAGTGGGAGATATTTGCAGGAACTGTTCGAGGACGTCCAGTGGGCTCCTTGGGCGTTCAACTGAAGGCGAAGTCGCAAATGAAGGGTCGGCATTTGGTACATCAACCGGAGCGCCATAGAGATCATCGTCCTCAACCTCAACGGCTTGAGAAGTGTGCTGGGATATATTGTGAGCAGTTGGCTGATCTTGCGAAAGAAGGAGCTCTCGATCAATGCTAGACTCCAAAGACGAAAGCCATTGAGGTGCCTCGTATGCAGTTTTCTCTGCGCTTTCCTGATCCACGAATGCTACTTGAGATTCGCGAGATACCAGCACAGTGTCTCCATGCACGTCGCCTGTAGACTCGAAGCCCACGGCTGCCTCCTCTGATGTTGATATCCCTCCTACAAAAACGGGCGACTCTTCAGAATGCATTAACGAGCGATCTGTCAAGTCTGCGGTGTCTGTTTTTGAGATAGCGGCCTCCGTCCGCCTTTCAGTTGACGCATCCAATTGTGATATGCTTATGTCTAATGGTGGAAAATATCCGATTTCAACTCCTGAGCGATGGACTAATGGAGACACCAGAGGAAGTCCCGGTGACGGTATGGGCAGCAGTCGCGGAGTGGTCGCAGGCTCTGAGCCGTCGCTGGTGTCGAAGTCATCTATGCTATTTATCGTTGGTTGTAGACGCGGAGGAGCTCTGACTGGCGTCTGGGGCGGGCCCATTACCTGTGGTTGGGTCAAAATAGGAGGAGGTATTGATTCAGGAGGCGGCACAGGAATCGAGACTTCGACTACGTCTTCTTCGGTTGATTGATTCAGGGAGGATTGGAGCACAACCTCTTTCGAGATCTCGGTACCCGTCTGGTGTACAGGTTGATTCCGTTCATCAAGGGTATCCACGGAGGCTGGATCGGGTGCCAGGACGACACCCTCGGCTTGAGAAGTCTGGCCTTGCGAAGCATCTTCACCATCCACATCAGCTTTCCTAACCTCTTGCAGATCGCTGTCGGCCTCCAAATCAACGAGACTCCATGCTCCACTGCTTCTGGCAAATTTGGTACGCTTTCGACCGCGACCAGGAACATGGCCGTCGTCCTCCACCAGAGACTCCAGGGCAGCATCGATAAAGGTGCCCCCAACATGATTTCCGACTGACTTTCTGGGTGTCAAGTACGGAACAAGGATCGTGCTGGATTGATGAGTTGCACCTGTTACCTCAGGCTGGTCGACGTCTTCTTTATTGAGATAGGCAGGAAGTCCGTTTGGAATTGAACCATTGGTCTCTTTCCCAGTGAAATCAACTGTGGCCGTTTCTTCATCACCTCGCAGAATCTCCAGCAGGACACAGGTGTTGTATTCCAGATCCCAATTTATTTTCTTGCCCGGTGTAGAAACCACATCCCCAGTCTCTTTCCACTCACAACCAGCCAATGCAAGTCTGACAGTATCCCCAATGCCTACTTTTGATTTTGCAACCTGCTTTGCACACCCATTGCGGAATACGGCCTTGACCTGGCCCTTGGATTTCCGCCGGCGAATGTCGGGGTCGGCTAACAACAAGGAGAGTGTTCCTGTCGAGCTTGAGTAGGGCCAGACAAGAGCGACCTGGGCTAGAATGTGCGCATCGAAACCTAACTGGGATGGGGAAAGGTCGGCGATGGGAAGTTGAGTCGAAGTATTGAGTCTGGCTCTCGCAGTGCGCGCAGTGGGCTGTGGCTGTACCACTGCGGTCATGATAGCAGCCAAGGGAAGGTCTGAAATAGGACAGCCATATCCTGGCCCAACGGCTGATACGGAGCCGGGGCAGAAATCAACGAATATGGTGTTTCAGTCGAGGAATGTTTGGCGTTCAGTTTGGATGTGGGCGTCGGGTCAACAGTAGCCACACGATTTTGCCGCCCGCAGACGCGATGCGGCGGGATGGAGTCTGGGGAGAGATAGATTGCCGAAACGCGTTTCACGAGCTCAGATCACGAGCCTCAACTCTCACTCACTCCACCAGCATTTCGTTTCATACTCGTCAGCTTGTTCCCATCTCGACTGGCTTAATGAGTGACACCGCATTGGCACTATAAAATTGAGTATCTACTATGATCACCTACCATTCGCGGCGCCGTCATGGGCGGGGGCTGGGGACGCCCAGATGGCCGGATGGCCAGCTGGCAGATGCCTGTCAACGTCTCCAGGTCGGCAGATTCCAGACTCAGCATGCTGGATTCCAGAGGGACTACAATTCTCAAGAATGGCATTCCCTTCATAGTCAAAGGGACCGGCAGAAAAATGGGCGGGGTTGCCCTGCCACATTCCCTCCCTGAGAATTGGAATGTTTATTCATATCACTCGGTATCACTTATTCACGACCTTCTTTCACCGTTGTATCGTTTCTCGACAGGCTTCGTTGTAAGCAATTCCTTCTTTTTGCCTGCTTCTCTTGCGACGCTGGTCCTCGTTGCTTCCTGGTCGCCATTCTTACTCACGCTCGTTGATCGACTCGCGGATTGCCCCTTCCTACTTCCCAAACCTTCCGCATCCACAATCCTTTCAGTTAGAAGACGTTGCCATCAGGATGGCGCGTATATCACTATTCATGCTGCTGGTCAGCACCATTCTTCAACCTACGTTGGCTGTGTACCAGTTGATCCAAGACTACTCCGGAGATGCCTTCTGGCAAGGCTTCGACTTCTTCACCGACCCGGATCCGACAGATGGCCTCGTACAGTTCCAATCTCTGGAGAAGGCAAACGCAACAGGCATTGCAGGGTTTATAGAAGGAGGGAATGCATCTTACGCCATCTACATGGGCGTGGACACTGAAAATGTCGCTCCGCAGGGCCGAGCCAGTGTGCGCGTCTCATCCACACAATCTTTCCAACATGCTTTGGTGATTGCCGACATTGTTCACATGCCCGGTGGCGTCTGTGGCACCTGGCCTGCATTTTGGATGGTGGGCGCAGACTGGCCGAACGATGGAGAGATCGACATCGTCGAGGGAGTCAATGATCAACCCACGAACTCTATGACTTTACATACTGGACAAGGCGCAGTGGTCAGCAACGGTACCGACTTCTCTGGTGAGCTCATCACATCGAACTGCGATGTCAATGCCCCTAATCAACCAGCAAATTCGGGTTGTTCCATCGGCGACATATCCAATTTGACCTTTGGACCTGAATTTAACGAGGCTGGGGGAGGTGTCTTCGCGACCGAATGGACGGCGGATTTCATCAAAATATGGTTCTTTCCACGTGGCTCCTTCCCAGACGACATTGTCAGCAGTAATCCGGTCCCATCGGAAAACTGGGGTACTCCAAACTCGCTGTTTCAGGGATCATTCAATCTCGACGATCATTTCAAGAACCTCTCGATCATATTCGACACGACCTTTTGTGGGCAGGTAAGCAAAACAAGTTGAATTTGGCCCTATGTTAACTCCTACTAATCCTTTCTATGTAGTGGGCTGGTGCCGTTTGGAACACCAGTTCTTGCGCTTCTCTGGCACCGACATGCGAAGACTATGTGGCGAATAATCCCGCAGACTTTGCCGATGCTTACTGGGTGATCAACACCTTGCAGGTATTTCAAGACGATGGTTCTGAGGGCGCCAATAACATGACGTCGACGAATCTGCCAATGGCAAAACGCGGAGCTGCTGGAGCGGAGTACCAGCGCGTTCAAAAGCTTCAATCGGAAACTGGGAAAAGAGTGCTCCCCGTCTATTCATGAGACAACTGCTCTTGAATTTTGCCTTTTAGCAGCGGCGTTGGTGGATCATGTAGCCAAGGCTGGTATCCAGCGACTCGAATAATAAAACGTTGCTCTACACGGTGGGAAAAGGGGGCCAAGTCTGGAACCAAGTGTACAGTAACATGGGCGTGGTCGTGGTTATGCTTAAGTTTGCACGCATGGCTCACAGGATGAATTTCAACATTGACCGAGAGAGTGCGAATGGAAAATGGATGTTAGAAGGACTTGACCAGGCATACCTTAAGAGAGAAGCAAAACATATCGAGTCTAAAAAGAGATATCGGCGTCCGATGAAGGGGCACACTTCGATGGCTACTGGGAAAGGGTTCAAGAAATGTAGCTGCAAAAGGACGCATCGTAACACTTTGCTACAAGAACTGCACAAAGTACTTTTTCAGGTCGATCGAACAAGCTAGTTGACTTCTCAAGTTACGTATTGGACGAGGGCTGGTCCTTAATAGCGCCGTGCCATTTGGAATAAGAGCCTTCGCCTCGACTTCTTCACATTCGTAGCTTCTCCACGACCAGGCTTGGCCCGTTCTCACAACTCCCAAGCTTCTGCATTCTCCAATCGTTGACCCAGAGCGTTTTCTTCGGCAAGTCGCTAGCAAAACTCGTCAGGACCCAGTGGACACAGAGAGAGAAGGAGAGGGATGAAGGGAGGGAGAGATCCACCTCCCCGGCTGTAGTACTCCTTGGCTTTTACGATACTCTGCGTCGAGAGGTTCCTGGTTGGCGGTGTTCAACTTGTCCAAGGGGAGCTTCCCACCGTGAACCCGGCTAACTTTGGCATCTCTGAACACATCGCCGACTTGGTCTGGATGCTCCTTGAAGCGTTCAATCGGACCAGGGTTGCGTTCGTTCCAATCCAGCCACCACACGGTACCATCCGGTACTTTTGAGGGCAGGAAGTGGAAGAATTTCCCCCTTCCTCAGATTCTAGAGGCGCTGGGGGAAGGGAGCCTTGTGCCTTACCTTTCTCAAAGTAAGGAGCTGTGAGAGGAGTACCTTGGTAAGCTTGAGTTGCAGGACGCGAGTACTCTTTTGCCAGACTCAAAGAAGGAGTCACCAGTAACCTGAATGACATGTCGCTGAACCTGGCTAACTGCCGTGAATGTACATGGGCCGTTCTCGCCATGGCTGTCAGAGACACCGCTGATGGTAACGCTAGTGATGGTGTAAGGTGTCGGTGTGCCAACACTGTTGCTGGATCCGTTGATGTCGATCACCGTTGACCACCGAATAGATTCAGCGCAGTCCCATCATTGAGTGCAATGAGGAGGATGCAATCATCCAAAGTTTGAGACACTGGTGTGTAGACAAGTGTCAGCAAAGGCTTCTGCCATTGCAGATGCGCATTGGGGGCTAACGAACTCTTGTTTATAGGCCGTTCCGAAAGATCGCAGCAGTCCTGTAAATGAAAAGGACGACCCAAGTGTGTTGTAAGAGATCAAGCCGTTCCTCCAACCTGCTGGCTGAGTCAACAATACCTTAGTTATAGGCATTTATGCCATCGCCCCTAGGACATCCTATTTTTCTCTGTCGTAACGCCCACCTGTGCCAACACACCCTATTCTCCAACAAGCTACTTTGCAGGAAGCTTTTAGGGACACGAGCCACCGGTGAGAACCCTGCGTGTCGTTCTCTTGACCTCAACCATCGTGGACCCTACATGTACCTCGCCAGGGAGTTGCAGGCATCTTGCACCTCCGCTGAACGAGAGAAAGAAGCGACATGGCGAGTTGCCAAGATTGCCTGGATCAGTCCAGACTCCTGCCTGGGCGTGGATCAGCAGTCCAAGCTTAAGCATGAGTGCCATGTTAAACCTGATGAAGCGGAGAAGCAAGAGTTGCCGTAGGTTGAGAAAGTGCGCACTTTGCTTCGAGCCGCGCGATTCGTGGAAGCTTAAACCGACCTGCGAAATCCATCAGTTCGACTGCATCCCTAGTTTGACGTCCTCATCTCCGCTTCTACAAAAAACGTCTACAGCTAGTCTGCAACTCAACTGAATAGAATGACACTCTGGATGCCTCCAAGGAAGAGACATTTCCTTGCGGTGGAGATGACGATATGTTAAGTTCACACGAGTACAACAGAATGACAGTCCAAAGGCTGAGTGCACTCTAACCGCTAGAGCGACTGCGAAGCGCTGCCGATCTTGAGCATGTTTTAGCCATATGCATTCATTCATTGACCAAGCCTTAAGATTCCAAGTCTACCTCGAAGTTTGTGGAGACATCGCCGCCAAGTTCTCTGTACTGGCTTGACCTAACTTCATGGAGCATCCATTGGGTACAAGTATCTCTGATAGAGTCCAAACCATGAGGCAGCTCTCCTATATTGCAGATCTAGTGGCTACACGACTGAACAGGAACTTCTTCGCGTATGCAAGTGCATCGTCCTCTTCACAGAGCTGAATATCAAACGAGTTACCGACGAGACCGGGCTGTGCAATGGCTATTCTAGGATGACGGAGCAGCAAAGCTCTCTTTTGAAGAAGATCACGGTTGACTCTTGGGGACGTGGAGAGGAACCCATGATGGTCGAGACGCACAGGATAAAGGCCTTTACGCTCTTCAAAGACACGCCGGACTCGTCAAGGGGCTTGCTGGACTTCATGATTCTGGGCCGAGGATGCAGGTTCTAGACCTTGTACGGACGAAGAGCAGGACGGCAAATCCACGAACACGTCGCGATATTGATTGTTCAGACGGAATTCCTTCAGCTCATTTGCAGGCTCCTTTCAGCTCGGCTGGAAACGTCTTCCCCAATCAGGGATCACTCGTTCGTGTACGGAAAACGTTGCTGTCCGTGAACGGAAATCCGAGCTCTGATTTGGGTATATAAGGGCCCTGGATTCTCCTCATCATGCCCGGTTTCCATCAAAAACATCGCAACCACAAATCCATCGCAAGGCGATAGCGCTGGAAAGACCAACACCTCTCCTCAATAGATCATCTGCCCAGGGGTAGGTGCAGACTCGAGGATCAAGTATCACACTGAAAGAACGAAGCGAGCCTGCAAGAACAATATGTCGCGCACTATTTGCACTTCAGCCAATTCGGGAAACTGGACATACGTTTTTCTCAACCGACCAGATACGGATTATATCGAGTGGCTCAGATGGCAAAAGTTGAATTCGACACCTGAGAATGGCAAAGTGGGTGGGAAAGACGGACCATGGACCATTATAGCCAGCCCCATATCAGCCCTGGTCGTTCAGAGGGCTTCCAGTCCAGAATTCAGACTCTATTACATTGGCACTGGGAGTCTTAGTGCATGAATTGGTGTTCAAAAGACGTCGCTACAGAAAAAAGGAAGATCTGGAGAAGAACCGGTACGAAGGCGACCTTAGTACAGGACATTTAGTGCTGTTAATTCGTCCACTTCAGGTTCTTTTTCGCTTTCACGAATTTTGCCTGTGAACATCTTCAGTCCCTGGCCACGTCTCGAACTAGCTTGGAGTGCCCACAGACCTAGTACCTAGGCTCGCTAGGTAACTGATATCGGAATAAGGGTAGACCTGACGCAGTGTACCGAGTAGGTGAATGCTTGATTACTCCTTCTCCAATGGCCGAGCTCGCCAAGAGCGCCAAGAGGTTGTCGGGAGGCCTGTAGTAAGATTACGTCGCACTCGGCTCTCATTCGGCTTGCGCACAATGGATCTTGGAGGAGTGTGAGCACTGAGCATAGCATCAAAAAAGATCGTGGCCGATATCCGAGCAGATCATTGCTTGTTTCTCCCAAGTTCACACGGCGTGAAGCCTGGCAGGAGAAATGGTCCCGAAGAGCGAGCTATCGACGTCATGGCGTTGCTGATACCACGGATGCCGCCACATAGCACCAATAATGCCCATCACCGCCAACAACACCATCATCGACTTTCAGCGGCAAGCCAGGGAGATCGACCCTAATTCCCATCGAGGCCATCACCGAGCCACGCAGCCTGCTCCAGCCTTCCCATATCTGCCATGCAAATCAAGAGGGATTTTCGCCTCCAATCTCTGTTCAAACTTCCGCCCTTTTTGCCTCGTGTCTACCACATGGTCTTCGCCCAGCAGCTGAAAAAGCCTGTAGGTCACAAATGAATGAAGACAAGAGACGGAAGGCAACTGATATCGCCTCCCCACCGTGGACCTTCCCGCCTTTCATTTGCGCCTGACCAGTCCCGGATTTCTAACAAAGCTGACCCTGATCGTGCCTTCGTCATTGTGCAGAGATGTTGAGTTTTCATTCGAACCGCCGTCCTCCGGCTCCACTTCAAGGCTATCGGAATGGATACTGTTGATATCATAGCTTTTTACATTTCCACTGCTTGAGGCCCCTTGTTGACCGAAATGCCCTTTTCGCGCCGTTGCCCCCATTTCTATTCATGAGCCACAATTTGTATATACTCGCTCCATTCCCCCAGATTTCCCCGTTGCTGACTGACGCGTCTTTGGGACAAAATATTCATCCTCCCCTTTCTATGCGCAAGTGGGCAACAAGTCTTTTGATCGTATCTTTTACTCATCATGGCGCCCCGTGATCGCCATCCGCATTTCCCCTCCGAACCGGAAACTGCGCCTGAGGCCAAGGAGGAAACTGGAGAATGGGAAAGAGCATCTACTGTGAAGCCAGACGACGATGCTCAGCAACAAGCCGAGCATGTCGGGAGCACATTGCCTGAACAGAAGGCCGAAAAGGACGCCGAAGACGAACCAGAACCCGAGACTTTTGACAAGATCGAAATCACCGAAGACGACTGCTACAGCGAACTGGGCTACGCTTATCCCGAGTGGAAGAAATGGATGATCCTCACCGTAATCTTCCTGGTCCAACTATCCATGAACTTCAACACTAGCCTCTACTCCAACGGCCTGAAAGGTATTTCGCAGGAGTACCACGTCAGCGAGCAAGCTGCACGATGTGGTGCCATGATCTTCTTGGTGCTCTATGCCTTTGGCTGTGAATTGTGGGCGCCCTGGAGCGAGGAACTCGGTCGATGGCCCATTCTTCAGCTCTCGTTGACTCTTGTCAATATTTGGCAGCTCCCCGTCGCCTTGGCCCCCAACTTCGCATCCATCATGGTGGGAAGAGCTCTTGGTGGTCTCAGTTCTGCTGGAGGCTCGGTGACCCTGGGAATGATCGGTTAGTCTTTCGCACCCAACCTCTTGTTCATTTCGCTAATCCATCGCCAGCCGATCTGTGGGATGCTGATAAACAGCAATTCGCCGTCGCTTATGTGGTCTTCTCCTCTGTCTTCGGTTCCGTGCTTGGGCCCATAGTCGGCGGCTTCGTTGAACAATATGTCAGCAGCTGGAGGTGGACGATCTGGATCCAACTCATCTTCGGCGGCTTTGTCCAGGCCTGTCATTTCTTCCTGGTCCCGGAAACACGTTCGACCATCATTATGGATCGAGTTGCAAAGAGAAGACGCAAAGCGAACGGTGAAAATATCTGGGGCCCGAACGAGCTCGAGCCATTCAGTGACCGCTTCTCCGTCAAAGAAATCCTTATCACCTGGATCCGGCCGTTCAAGATGTTCCTGACAGAGCCCATTGTGCTCACACTATCGCTACTCAGCGGTTTCAGCGACGCACTCATCTTCATGTTCATTCAATCTTTCTCCCTGGTGTACGCGCAATGGAACTTTGCTGTGTTCGCAGTTGGTTTGGCCTTTCTGCCCCTGGGGATTGGATATGTTATTGCGTGGATCTCGTTCATTCCAGCCATCAAGCGCAATATCCACGAGAGAGAGTCCAAGCCCGGCAACGAGAAAGCTCAGTACGAATCACGGCTCTGGTGGCTGCTCTGGACCGCACCTTGCCTGCCGATTGGCTTATTTGGATTTGCCTGGACAATCCAAGGACCTCCAATTCACTGGATCGGCTCTATGATCTTCGCTGCTCTTGTTGGTATCGCAAACTATTCCATCTACATGGCTACCATTGACTATATGATATGCGCCTATGGTCCATACTCTGCATCTGCCACCGGCGGTAATGGATGGTCCAGAGATTTCCTGGCAGGCGTACTTACTGTTCCGGCTACACCATTCTTTACAAGTAAGTTGGACTCTGTCCTTTTGTGGAAGCATGACAGAACTAATGCGAACCCTGCAGATATCGGAGGGCGCCGTCATCTCAACTACGCTTGCACCATTCTCGCCTGCATTTCCACCCTCCTCGTCCTGGCCGTCTACGTCATCTACTACTATGGTCCCACCCTTCGGAAGCGATCACCCTTCGCGCAATCCCTTGCAGATGCACGCGCCGATAACGAAGGTCGCCGCCTGTCGTACTTGAATTCTGCTTCTGGCACCTCGGGTTCTAGGAGACTCTCGAGGACGAGTACGGGCGCGTCGAGAGAAGCGAATTCAAGGAGGACAAGTCAGGCCGACTTTGTCAGAAGGCAGAGTATGCCGAGAATGGGGAGCGGGATGGTAAGATAGACGTTCAGGCACCGTTTTGTATCACTACACGGTTTTGAGTTTGTTCTCTCAAGAGCTGCAAGGGTATCGGGTAGATTTGGGCGGAGGAGCCTGGGTGATTCGTGTCTTTTCTGGATACCTCAACCGCATTTGATTTTGTGCTCGAAAGGGTTTTTGCCTAGCTTGATGGTGATGGTGCACCGGGCATGATATATGTGACGAAAATGACAGCAAGAGATAGAAAAAAGTAGTGTAAAGGTGCACAGTGGCATGGCACTTGCGCCAATTGTACACTTTTCAATAAGACTGCTATGACTACTAGTCACTTAGGTATCTACCTAGGTACCTAGGTAGGTATGCTCTGGAGTCTGGAGTCTTCGAAATCATCATTAGCCACATCTGACTTGTCCAGATTTATTCCTCATCAAAGTCTCTGTACACAGCCCAGCCTCAAGAGAGCTCAATTCGGCGCATCTAAGTCAGAAGCTAAAGAAGCCGAAGGTACGGATCTCCATCGCAGTCTCAACAGTGCAATTTAGTGGTGGGTCACGTGTATTGGTCCGAAATGACGCCCCCCGCATGTGCTCGTAAATAATTTTGGAATTTTTGAGCCCACAAGGCAGGCTTTACGGTACAAGTCCACTGCGAAGTTGAGAGCCGAGTCTACCAGAAATCACAAAAATCCAACGAGCCACTTTCAGCCATGACCGACGACTCTTCCCCCGACTATCAGGAAATCGAGAAAAAACCCGTGCACACCATCATCCTCGACGCCTCGCCCCTCCTCCTGAACACACCCGGGATCTCCACCCTCCTCGCCAACGGCCATGTCCTGGTGACCACGCCCTCCGTCCTCGCCGAAATCAAGGCTGAAGAAGCAAGGAACAGAGTCGAGACCCTCTACAAACCATTTTTGACCGTCCGGTCGCCGAATCCCGAGAGTTTGAAGATCGTCAAAGACTTTGCGCGCAAGACCGGCGATGGCGCCGTGCTCAGTCACACCGATTTTGAGATTTTGGCATTGGCGTATGAGATTGAGTGTGAGAGAAATGGAGGTGATTGGAGGCTGAGGACGACACCGGGGCAGAAGAGATTGAATGGTGGGCCGCCACCGCAAACGCAGAACGAGGTGAAGGGAGAGGAAAACCAAGATCAGACTCCGAATGCGGAAGATGTCGTGGAGGACTTGCAGGGTCAAGCAGAGAAGGAACTGGATTCTATCGAGGAAAAGATAGACGGCCTGAGGCTCGAGGAGGCAGAAGGTCAAAGGGACGATGCAGCAGGCGAAGCTATCGACGAAACCACAGAGGAAGCAACACAACCCTCCGAGCACCAGTCGGAGTCAACTCCTCCACAACCAACAGAGACTGAAGGCTCAGACTCAGACGAAGGATGGATCACCCCTTCCAACATCAAACGCCGACAAGCCCAGGACGAATCCGCCGGCAGCGGGTCGTCAAAATCCTCTCCCAAACACCTCCAGGTCGCCACTATGACGGGCGACTTCGCCATGCAAAACGTCCTCCTCCAAATGAACCTGAACCTCATCTCCACCAAGACCTGCCAACGGATCTCCCAGATCAAACAGTTCATCCTACGGTGTCACGCATGTTTCTCCACCACCAAAGACACGTCTAAACAGTTCTGCCCGCGGTGTGGGAAACCCACCCTGACCAGGGTAACTTGTACAACTAATGACAAAGGAGAGGTGAAGTTGCATCTGAAGAAGAACATGCAATGGAACAACAAGGGCAATGTCTTCTCGGTCCCGAAACCGACGAGTGGAAGCGCAAATCAGAAATGGCAAGGGGCCAGGCACGGGGGAGGAGGAAAGGGTGGATGGGGCAATGAGCTGATTCTCGCAGAGGATCAGAAGGAGTACGTCAGGGCCATGGCGAAGATGAAGAGGGATACCAGGAGAGAGAAGGATTTGATGGACGAGGATATTCTGCCAGGCATCCTGTCAGGAGATAGAGGGCATTCCGCAGGCAGGCCGAGAGTAGGGGCAGGTCGAACTGTCAACTCGAGAAAGCGGTAGGAGATATGAATTGGAGAATTATGATGATCCTATCCCCCAATCTTCCTATCTGGATATCCTTTCCCGGATTCCTGGCGGCTGCGCGCGACGACGCCAAACTCCCACAACGCCTTTAAAGTACCCATCATTTCTTTCCGTTATCTTTGTAACACATCAATCGTCGTGCTCTCGGGGGTCAGATCGCATGGCCACGAAACGTACTCTGCTGCGTCAATAGGAGCCCATATCGCTTCTTCAGAGTTACTCGATGTCTGGGATTCGCGTTAGAGCCTTTCTAACTCGGCGTGGAGCATGTGTTATTACCTCGAGTATTTATCGTCTGGGGAAAACCTGGCCGGATGGGCGGACTTTGTGACGGTGCCATCGAGGACCTTTTTCAACGTGTAGATTCGCTTGCCCGTAACAGGGTCTTCGGTGTACATGAGATGCATCTTGATTCTGCTCTGGTATTGCTTGCGCCTGTGTTTGAGAAGTCTGCTGTAGGTTGATTCAAAATCGCAGGGACGTGGTTGGGTGCGTTTCTTTTTTTGTGGCTGTTGGAGAAATTTCGCGGACAAGAAAATTCCGTCGCCAAAGATTCCCTCCCCGCAAACTCACCGAAAACTGCAGTAAGTTTCAACACGCTTGACACCCCAAGCTTGATGAGTGAGGCACTTGTCCCAGGCCCAACCAGAATGACTGTCCTACTATTTGACAGGAACATTTCCATTTTGAGTGCCTTGCACGGCCATCTGGTGCAGTAGGAGTCAGGACTGTTCCACTCCACCGACGAGGACGAAACCTGCCATGGACACTTTCATCTAACCTTTGAATCCTTTCCTTTTCCCTCTCAACCACACGGCAGACCGGATACGAAAAGTGAGTATGTATGCCCAATCCCCCGGATCACACCACATCACCAACCTTTTTCCATCTTCCCGACGATGACAACCTTGTTTGCCGAGGAGGTTGCACTTTGATTTCAGCTTCTCTCCGATGTGGGCTCTCGTGTATTAGACTACAACGGTATCTGAGGGATCGACTTTTGTTGACTGCCGGCTCTGAATCTGTTATTTTTGAGACATGTGAAAATTCCACGAGGCTGACCCTTGGAGAAAGGAATTTTATCATGGCCTCAGCTTCCACACCTCCCGCGAGCGTCGAGGTCTCATCAACGAAACAACCTTCCTCGAAACCTCCCAGACGGCCCAAGAGACCGAATTACAACCAGATCCATCGCCATCTTCTGCCCGTCGAAGTCCATCCACTCCCTGTTCTAATCCCCCACAACCCGTTGTCGTTGGTTGCAATCGCCCTCTCATATCTCGTCCAAGTTCTTTCGCCGCCAGTCCGTCCGACCTACAATGGCTACTTCTCCTCGGCCACGTCCTCCATCCACGTCACCGACCCCGAGACGATACGCAAGCTCTGGGAAATGGGGTTCTTTGGAAGAGGGAGTCTCAGCCGCAGCGAGCCGAATTGGTTGGAGAATAGACAGAAGAAAGGCCGGACAGCGGAAGAGAACACGGCCTCTCGGAGGGAGCAGCGAAGGCAGCTGAAACAAGAACGGGCACGAAAGGAGCAAGAAGAGATTGATCAAAAGTTGTCGGAAGAGTTGCAGCAAAACGGTAACATTGCGGGTCGGTTGGACAGTGCCATTGAGCAGGAACCGATGCAAAAATCACAACAGAACGGCGATGCCAGTGCCAATAAAATTCATGCATCCGACAGACCGAGATTGGATCAGCTGCCTCAGAATGGGAGTCTAAACGGGCACATTAATGGCGTACTATCAGAAAATGTCCTCAAAACAAATGCTCAAAACATCTGTGGCATCGGCAGTGTACTAGAATCGGCCAGCGGGACCGCGACGCCTGATGTGGAAGATGACAAGGAAAACAACTCGATCCAAGGATTTGAGGAATGGAAAAAGGCAATCGAGGCGAACGGGATCCCGACTCCGCCACCAACGTCGACTTGTTCAGATACCAGTCAGGCTGAAGGTGGTCGCCCCGTGAAAAGACTACAAAGAACGAAAACGGTCCGGTTCTCGCCCACTATCGAAGCACGTGAATTCGACCTGAGCTCTCCCGTGATATCACCCATCAAAAGTCCCGGCACGTCTCCGCTTGAAGATGCCACCAAACCGGAAGGAGACGGCGAAAAGCCTGTGGTTCAACAGGAAACCCAAGAACACCTGAACGTTTCACTTGAAGAAGCATTCTTCCTCTCCTACGCCCTCGGAGTCCTCAACATTTACTGCGACGACAGCAACACCATCCTCCCACCCACGTCTCTCCTCTCCCTCTTCCGACGCCATTCATACCACCCCCCGCGATCGCTGTCCGTCCCTTCAGAACCCGACGACCCGTTCATGATTTCCTACGCCGTGTACCACCACTATCGCTCTTTGGGGTGGGTTGTACGGAGCGGCGTCAAATTTGCCACCGACTACCTCTTGTACAACCGTGGCCCGGCCTTTTCGCATGCCGAATTCGCAGTCGTCATCATCCCCTCGTACACCGATCCGTACTGGACGACCACCGAGCAGCGGAAAGCAAACAATGAACGGAGAACAACCCGGAAAAATTGGTGGTGGTTGCACGGGATCAATCGCGTACAGGCACAGGTGCATAAACAGCTCGTGCTCTGCTACGTGGATATCCCCCCACCGCTGATGGAAAATACAGCGAAGCGCAAGGACGTGGATATAGGCTGGTTATTCTCAAGATACAAGATTCGAGACGTCAATGTGAGGAGGTGGACTCCGAACCGTAGTCGAGATTGACACTCTTCGGGACTCGGGACTGTCTGATCTTTTCTTCTCTTGCCTTTTTACGATAACGTGTCAATGTCAATGCAAAGCTGACGGAGTTTTTGAACCGGTGGGGGGAATGGGGGAAACAAAAAAAAAGCGCTGATTGAGACTTACTCCTAGGTTAAAAGGCTCGGAATGGAAATGGGATATACCACCTGCAGGTAATACTTGTATGGATTTCTTAGATACCCCAAGGGAGACTTCCTTTGTTTATGGATGGACTCACGAATGATTAGTGGGGGGAGGGGGAAAGCAGGGAATGAATCTACCGGACTCGGTAAATACATTAATTACTGCGCCTTTATGGCTAGCTATGATTGTTTTTGGATCGTGTGTGTTTTATTACTCTTCTAGGCAATGGAGAAATTCCCCCCCTTGCGCCTCACTCAGCTGGACGAGCTGCATTGGCATTTGGGAAAATCTCGAGCCAAGCCCCGTAATTAATCATGGGAGTCCTTCATTCATCTTTCTGGATCTGTCTCTGCATGGGGATATATTACCCACCTAGGTAGTTAGGGACGGCCGGTCGCGACACTGGATCCTGGAACCAGTTGTTTTGATAGTAGGAGGGTACCTAGACCTACCTCCCTAGTGTCGATGCCCCCTTTTTGTACCCAGAGCCTCGCGCAGACGTGGTTCCCCTTGGGGGGTGGCATTTTGTCTGACTCGACGGTATGTGTATCTCGCACTCTCTCAGAGCTGCTTGCTCCATATTTCGTCGAAAGGCGCCTGGCTTTTCCATGAGAGGTAGGTAGGCACGCTTGTTCCTTCGGCTTTTATATGCTCTGGCGGCACGCTGGAGGATTCAGATCGGATGTCCTTGTATGGCTCGGGGGAAGCTGATTCAGCGTTGTACGGGGGTGGACGACAGAACCCATGTCTCACCAGAAAGAAAACAACAAGTGGATGGGGGGGGGCCCTATCGCGCTCCTGTTGTCGACGTCCACGCCTCTGGATCAAAGTCAAAGTCCAACATGTCCTCCTCCATCAGACCCATCACGTATCGATTCCCGGAGAACCAATCCCCGAGTCCTGGTGGCTGGATGTTCACTGCTGTGCCGTTTGCTCCACCTCCGCCTCCTCCTGCTCCTCCTTCTTCCAGCCCGTACTCGCCGCCGCCACCCGCGAGCGTACTACTCCCGCCCCCACCACCCGAGTGCTGCTGGTTCGGCTGGGATATAAACCCCAGCTGGGACAGGTACATGTCAAAGTCGTTGCCTACCGTGGTCATCATGTCCTGGTCCTCCTGGCCCTGCGGCTGCATCTTGGCCTCGACGTAAAGGGCGGCCACCTGGGACAGCAACTTGCAGAGACGGTGGAGTTTCTCGATGCCCCGGGACATGTGGAGCGCGGGTTGGAGGGTTGTCGTGAACGACTCGAGGCGTTGGAGATCGTCGGCACTGCATGTCTCGATGACGTGGCAGAAGAGGACGATAAAGGGGGTGAATGGGGAGTAGAGTATTGTCCTGTTTCGACGTTCATTTGTGAGTGAGTTGGCCAAAATGGATTGGAGTGAACATCCGTTTGAAAAGTGAAAATAGAGACAGACAGAATGTGGCCCTTACCAATGCAGATACCCGGCCTGGACAAAGAGATTGTCTGCAGTGAGCTTCATGCATTCTTCATGAGCGCTAAACGCCCCTCGTGCCGCGTCAATGCATTCGGTGTTGAATGTGCTTGGAAAGCCCGGTGCGCTTGGGATCGCGCGATACACGAGGGTCAAGGACGCCCAGTGGCTTACCTCCGCCGACTTTAGGACCACGGCCAAGGACATTGTGCGCCATTCCTTGCCCTTGATGCCGCCGTCAGCCGATGTGTCCACCAAGGATCTGTCCTGGCGCTTCAAGGTCGTCGAAAAGCCCTGCAGCTCGTTCCACAGCTGCTTCATCTTGGCCACCAGGAGGCTCGCAGTTTCGATCCGTTGGCCTGGCTGCCGCGCCAGCGCCGCCGGACTGTACAGGTGCTCGTACGTCTCGCCCATCACGCCTCCGGTCTTGATCCAAAGATTGATTGCCTCCGTCCAGGGCTCCACATGATGGGTAGTGTGGAAGCGGCGTGGTGTCGAGATGTCCCAATCCTGCATGACAGAGGTGCGCCCGAAGCGCAACGACAGGCCCTTGTCCAACATGTAGCAGAACCAGAAGGTGGCCAACTTTGTGTTATGGGTCTTCTCGTCCTCGGTGGCCTGGAGACGGTGCCAGCCGAGCGTCTGGCACATGGCCGCTGCGGCACTATTCAGCTGCCACCCAAGCGTGAATTTCGAGACCTCGATCGCGTAGGTGACCTATTTGCGCAATGAGAAAATTGGGAAAAGAAAAGATAGGGAGGGACGTCAAGGCATCCAGTGGGGGGAAGGGGCGGGGTGAATACTGACACCAAGCAGCAGGGCCTCGATGGTCTCCTTATTGGAGGGCAGAAGGAGCGGCAAATTGGCCAGGGCAGTCTCCAGATTGTCTCTGCACAAGTGGTGGTATTCACGGTACTCTTGGCTGTTAGCCTCGTCCCTGAATGACTTTTCTTGAAAAGCGTAGTAGAGGCCGGCATTGACAATGATGAAGGTGGCCGGGCCGTAGTCCTCGGTAGCAAAGTATACTCTCCGACAGTATTCTATAAAGGACTCGACCGTGAGGAAGGTACAGCTTAATATAAATATTGTGGGCGGGTTGACTGTGTCCTGTTAAAAGCTGTCATATACTCCGGCGGCATGTGAAAAGCTGTAGTTGAGATAGTTTCACTCACCCTTAATCTCGCGCAATAACTTCAGCACAACGTCGGTTGGTGGTAAAGGTAGCTGACTGACGCCACCCTTTGGTATCGTTTTTTGGTGAGCAAACGTACTCTCCTGCGAGATGTCCTTGCGCTGTTGCATCTGTACCATTTGCCGTAAAGATGCGAGCGCATTCTCGATATTCGGACTGAGATGTCGGCTCAGAGGGGTATTGGTCACGGCCTTTTCGAGGAACTCGCTGGCAAACGCCGTGTGGGCTGTCATGGAAGAGTTGCCTTCGAAGGTCTGCTCATTTTCTCCGTTGAGCGATACTTCTTCGTATGTGGGGCTGGACTCGGTCATGCTAGGAGGTGTATAAGTGCGTATGGCGCTGCTCGTGTATCCTGATGCAGAGCTGTCACCACGACTGAGAGATGTTGTAAGACTCCGGAGCATGTCCTCGATTCCCCCCAGGCGGGTCTCAAATTGATCAATCTTCCGTTCACTACATTACCATCAGTCCATGTTTGCTGGCAGGTAGTGGACAAAGAGATGCCTTACTATTGGTGAGAGATCAATACCCTCTGCCTAGCCGGCCTCGGCTTCTGTCCTAGTCCGGAAGAGATACATTCCCTCTTTGCTGTCCGGCAATTGGAACATGGACTTTCCTTGTCGCATCGTATCTGGACGTCTAGTCAGGGTCAAGTCGGAGAAAGTGAAAGATGCGGTGTGCCAATACCTTCCTGACCCGACACTGATCGCACTGCCAAGCTCACAACAGTGGCATGTTAGCACATTGAGTAGTATTTATAAATCAGACCTTCGTACGGTCGTCGGTATCGACGACAGAGGCAGAGTAAAATCCTATGCGAGGACATACAGCTCTTTGAATGACATCACCTCGGTCTGTATCTTCAGATGGCTCGGCCATCTGAGAGGGATCTGGGTGGTTGGTTGGTTCAAGGTTTCAGAGGTTGGCGTTCGAGCCCGCGGGCAGCAGAACCCCGCCAGGATCTCGGTCTCGGTAACTGGGAGTGGCTTGTAACTCTTCGAAACCGGCAGGTATAGAAAGGAAGAGAGAGCTGACCGACCATGGCACCGTATATGCCGTTGACTTTTGAGCTTTGGAGGCAGGCTTTCCATATCAAGCGATGCCAGTATCCAAGTTGTTGTGTCCGCGGAGCCCGAAGCCGAACTGGGGCACATGGCAGCCTGAGCACGAGGCTGGCACCATGCAAGGCTGTCCAATCATTCACTAGCTGGCTCGGAGTGTAACGGTTCAAAGTTGTTCCGTCCCTTCCGTCTGCCCCGCAAAGTCAATGGTCGCGTATCGTGAAGTGGCACGCGCTACTCGCTAATACTTGGACCTGCATGAACCCTTTGACGCGGAAAGTCGCAATCCATTGTCTGAACTCTTTGACCCCGTTGTCCGTATGCAGGCCGGCGCAATTGCGTGGCGCTATGGGTTGATGTACATCGATGGCGACAGATAGCTTATTAAGTATCGACATTGCAAATCTCAAGGCGGACATTCTCGCGCCGTTAGAGGTAATTAGAAATTGAGCCTAGCCCTCACCGTTATATGAGCCTTGTCGCAGGTCGCTAATTGCGCCACAGTCGGGCCACGAACACCCAGATTCAGAACACAACCGGCACACAGGAGTCCAGAGCACGGCAGAAAATTACCATCACCCTTCCCTTCCTGATTCTGGACCAGCCTCCATCCCCCAACTTCCCAGCACTGTCCCCGATTCTCAAGTGATCCTCACAGATGCCGAAAGCCAACTGCAATTCCTCCCGCCTGCGTTCGCGCCGAACAAAGCGGTTGCCACCACACAGAAGATGATTAGTCAAGGAAGTGATGCTCCGACGCAAGAACTGTCTCCTTCGCACTATGAGCCTCTTCTCAACCGCAGTAGAGGTGCTGGACAATTGCAAGACGAAGGATACGACCTTGAGCTGGTCCAAGACTTAAAAGAAGAGACGGGACCAACATTGCATGAGGGTGATGAAGGTCACATTGATTTGATTTCAAGTTTGGTTTCAGAAAAGGATGCAGTCAGCGATGGAGACGAGGAGGACCCGGAGCCCGTCCAGGTGGACTTTTCTCCTACCAAGTCACCACGCGCTCTTTCCCAGTTTCCAGAATCCCAGCGATTCAAGACACCAGCCACTGCTGGTAGGAAGAGAAGGTACAACGGAGACATCATTGACAGCCCCGAGTTGCCTCGCAATCCTCTATTGCGAGGCGGCGAAGCTCATGCTCATGTCATGGGTCTCAGCCAGGCGTTTGCTGCAACTCAGGCCAACACTTCGCCCTTTGTCGGCGATGTCAGTGGAGATCTGCATTCCGACCGTCCCTCACCAAACATCGAGCTACAGCCGCGTCCTATGACAGCTGCCACTTCATCGCCCTTACGGCCCATTTCCGACTTTAAGCGAGCATCGACGGAACCAGCCTCTCGATATGTCTCTGTACAGCAGTCCCAGGCCCTGCGAGAACGGGCTCGTCGAAAACAATTGGAAATGCTTAACGAGGACGAAGATTCTGACCACGATAGTTTCAACGACGACGAGGATAGCTTCCTTGACAGAGAGCGGAGACGGCGTGAGCGTGACCGAAAGATCCAGGCCCAACTTTCGTCAATATCCAAGCAATCTATGCGAAGTATCTCCGTGTCCAAGTCTTCTCCCATCCCTGCACCGACTCGAAGTTCTCCAGAGAGAAATCTGCCTGTAAATCGACCTAGCACTCAAAGTGATTCAAGCCCAATCAGGCGTGATCGACACATCTCGAGCAATGAAAGTGAGGAAGAGACGGAGCACGAAGATAACTCCTCCGTCGCCGTGGCACGCTCAAGTCAGCCGGTGGTGCTGGTCGACGACGAAGACAAGGAGAATTTTTCTGACCGAGCAAGTCAAATACCTGAAACCACTGCTAGACTCCAAAGGGTTATGAGCGATTTGCCTTCTCACGTACAAGACAGCCCCTCACTCAGACATGGCCACGAGACTCACAGTCACGCCATAGCCTTCAACAGTTCACAACCGTTTGCTGTAGCAGATTCGCAGCCTGAACGACATCTGAAGCAACTTCGGACGACTACCCAAGTTCCCAGATCTTCAGTTGCTGATGGAGTGCTTGATTTTGTTCCACAGTCTGCAACATCATCCCCGGCAGGACCTTTCACTACAACTCGAAGGGACTCGGCCTCGGCCATAGCTGTTGACCTCTCCAGTGCGGCAGCGGATGGGCATCTCTCGGCCAGGAAGGACTTGTCAAATACTGGACTTGACCGCACTGGGCTGAGCTCGGGTTCCCAGACGCGCCAACCACCAGCTAGCACGATTCCTGAGACTAGTTCCAACGAACAACAGGTTCAAAGGGGGAAAGAGTCCGAGCCAAAACCTCAGAATGGGGATGATGAGAGTCATGATGCCTTTGATACAGCACAGACTCACAAGCAAGCCTCCACCACGACCATTGACCAACCTGCCGCGACCGAGTTGAGTAGCCCCCCAATTATCACTACGCCGCCGGGGCAGCGGCGGAAACGCATGGCGGAGATTGCTGCAGAACCATCGCCTCTCAGATCACAAGTCAGCTTTAACGCATTTGAGGCTCTGCAGCTGGACGCGAACTTTCAAAGTCCCAAACAGGTGAATCTATCCCCAAAGCGGACGGATAGAAAGGTATCGAAGGATGAGGATGTGCCTGCCGCCCTCGGTTCTGGTAGAAGACAAAGGAGGAACCTTGCCATCGAACAAGATCTGAATGAATCTTCTACTCCGCAAAAGGATCAGAAGGGGCTGGGCAATCCTGAACCAGGACCAGACAATGGTAGCTCGGAAAAGCACGTGCAAGCCGTGCCACCACCTATATCATACCCGCAAAGGGAAAGGAGGCCAACTGCGAAGGCCTTAAATGCTCTCAGTACGCAGCCTCTGGCCGCAATCTCGAACGCTCGCGCGTCGCAATGGGACCTTCAGGACTCACCGCCACAAAAAGCCGTTCCACTCAGGAAGCCTTCGACAGGTGTGAAACGGAAGGCAAGAGATGATGGTGTGTCCACGGAGACTCCCATTATGTTAAGCAAAAGGCTCAAAGTAATGAAGAACGCTGCACAGGAGCCTTGTTTGCCTGAGAGCATCGAACAGCACCAATACCGCGTCAATTCTATTGGCTTGGATAAATCTCTAGACTTGAATACTGCCGTGGCCGCACAAGCCGACATTGAGGCGGAAAATCGCACAAGCGAGCGAGATATTGCTCCAAATATGGTATTTGCCTGCTTCAATGGTAAAACCCGCGCCTATTACCCTGCCATTTGTCTTGGGTGTCCGAACTCTGACTCTAACCGATTTCTGATCCGGTGGGAAGGATACGACCCAGATGAGGTCGATGAGTATGGTGTGCGGAGCTTGGACCTGCGTATTGGAGACCAAGTCAAAATAGACATGCAAGGTTTTCCCAAGGTCTCTCACGTCATACGAGGTTTCGAAGACAAAATTGTGCAAGAGAATATCCCGACCGAGCGAGCGGTGGTGACTGATATTCGCGGGTATCAGACAATTCTCGTGGCTCCAAAGCAACGGAAGAGCCTGCTTGCAGACGGGTCGGCTGAGAATGTCAAGAAGGTGCCTGTCTCGGCAGTATACCTGGACAGCATCATGTGGGGGCAGATGAAAGACCGGATCTACGAGTACAAGCCTTCAATTCACGCTGAGCTTTCATCTGGCGTTTCCACCCCCTTGGATCGAGCTTCTACACCAACCACGCCTTCATCACGGACTCGTCGAGGCATAACTGCACCTGGACCCTTGGCTGGACAAACTGACATATCGAAAGGTCTACTCAGTAAGATGGCGTTCGCGATTTCATACGAAGACAGCGACCGTAGACGAAATCTCGTGGAACTGGTGCAGAACAATGGTGGTATTGTCCTACAGGAGTCTTTTCTCGACCTCTTTGAGCCCGACTCGATGCAGCTAAAAGAAGAATTTTCTGGCTTCTCGTTCGCTGCTCTGCTCGCCGACCGCCACTCACGAAAAGAGAAATACCTTCAGGCTCTAGCGCTGGGATTCCCTTGCCTCAGTGGGAGATGGATCGAGGTTTGCGTCGAGTCCGGTAAGATTGTTGACTGGGCAAGTTACCTCCTCCCAGCTGGAGAAAGCTCTGAGCTCGAAGGCGCAACAAAGTCGCGCATCTTGCCCTTCTCAGCAAGTGCGGAGGGTTTGAGAGTCAAAGATATTATCAGTGTAAGACCCAAAATCCTCAGTGATTCGCAAGTCATTGTCGTGATGGGCAAGGGCAAGGCTGAGGCCAAGCGGCGACCATATCTCTCGCTTGTGCGTGCCCTGGATCCGGCAAAAGTTGAGCTGGAACCTGATCTGGTGTCTGTGAAGACAAGGCTGGAAGCTGGTTTGGACGAGGGCGAGACACATAAATATGTCTTTGTGGATGATCGAGAAGTCGAAGCGGCAAAGGCCACATTCTCGACATCAGCGTCGAACAGAAGAGGTGATCAGCCTGGGTGTGGCCGCAAACGAGGCATCCGGAAACATGAAGGCGTTCAAGAACACGAGGATACGGATGCAAACGCGGGGACGAGCCACCGTGATGCTAAGATCAAAGTGATGTGCAACGAGGACATTGTGCAGAGTCTGATCTTGGGGAAATTGTGGATTGGATGAGGGCATCAGGTATATCTCTCTCTTGGGTTCACGTGTAAATTAATGCAATCACAGAGGGCGATTTGGGTATGCAAAAAGACGGACTTTTTGAAGAGCACTTGGAGGGTACATAGAAATACGAGGTACCTGGTACAGTGTTCAGCTTGCCATACCGCCTGGACAAGTCGCGCGGGTCTGCCGGACATTGATTGTATTCTGAATTATCTCGAAAGGGACCTAAAGCGTTCCCAGATGCTGATGCAAATGGCCTTCCAGGCAATTTTCAGAAAGAGAGGAAGGACAAAGAGATCCAGCCCTGAGCGGCACCGAGATGGCGATATACATAATCGTGGAGTATCAATAACGTCAGTACCGTGTTTACTTCCTGCTTGAGATATCGTCCATTAGACCTCATATATAGGTCAGGAACTCAGGAAAGCCAGGAAGTGAAAACGTGGAATGTGGGCGATGGGCGATGAGTCGGGTCATGTCCATTTGCATTCATTTGCTTGGGTAGTGTGCTATCCTCTTAAGCCATCAACGCAGCCCAGGTCGCAAGTAGAAGGCGCTACAACAAGCAAAGCAAGCAAGCAAGCTATGAGGTGGAATTTTCCCTTTTTTCTTTTCTTTTCGTGCTTCCCCCTTCCTTTTCTTTGCTTTGCTCTCTGCTGGAGGGCGGGGCATAGACGTGGACATGAATGAACCCATGACGAGACATGCAGTTCACTTCAGTTCAGTGCAGCACAGTTCCCAATGCAATCAAAGCTTCCTGACACGTTATCCGTTTTTGTCCCTCCCTGATCATAGCAATTTTCCTTTTGATCGTCAAGTGTCCCACACCTTGACCAAATTGTATGTTTCTCTCTCCGGTAGGATGCGGAAATGTTTTCGAATCCCTCGACAACCGAAGAGGGAAATCGAGGAACCATGAAAACATTGGCAAACATTAATAGTAGGCGAATGGCTTCGTAGGCGGAGAAGAGGGACAGTACAAGATGCGAAAGGCTGCGGCCGTGGGATTGAGTGTGATCCTTTGGAGTGATGCCAATCGACGGGCACCAAAGTGCATTTAATGGTGGTCGGATGATGCTGGCCAAAGAAAAGTTTGACAATCAAAGTACCGGCAAAACCCGTGGGTGAACGGACTTTGCCAACGAATGCTGAAACCTCTGGAACGACAGTCGTCATGGTCGTCCACTCGTAAAATGGATGCTGGCGTGTTTGTGAAGGATGCAATACCAAAGGAAATGAGACCTCCGTCCGGTGCTCGACACATAGGCATGTATTGAGACGCGTCGGAAATCGTATGAGAAAATGCTCCTTTCTTCCCTACCCGTCCAACCACCTGTGCATTCCCATGCTGTCTGCTGGTGTCGATGCTAGCGCTGGGTGCCCCTTTCCATGCGTCTTTGTACCTTTGGTCCGTTTGAGTGAAATCTGCCCGAGTATATAGTATCGTCATGCTTGAAGAATTGATTGAAACGAAGGCGGGGACACCAATTCCAAAGCGCTTGAAAAAGGTGTAACAGGCATGGCGGAAGGACATCCTAGCGGGTGCCATTAATCGATCGCTGCGGGAGATCTTTCGGCATCGCTGCTGGAATGGGCGGTTCATCCTCATCTTCCATATCCAATTCCTCGGGGTGTCTGCATCGCATTAATATCGGCAGAAGAAGGAACAAGGAAAGAGCATCAGGGAGACAACTTACCCAAGCAGATTCTTGATGTCCTTCATCTCATAATGCTTCTTCCTCCTCTCTTCAAACTGGCGGTGTTTCTCCTGTTCTTCACGGGTAGGCATACCGACCAGCTCCTTGAACCCATCCGGATCACTGCCTTCACTGACACTAACATGCTTTTCTTTACTTGATTCCCTCGAGAGATTGTTCGACCCCCGAACAATTCTGTCTTCTTCTGGCGACGGCATTGTTCCCGGAGACAACTCCTCTTCAGGCTCACCGAGCTCCAGACCAGGAATCTCGCTTTCACGATGTCTTTTGTTCGTCTTGGGAGCCTTTGCCATTTCAACTTCATCGACGTTGACGAAGCGCGGGTCGATAGCCACATCTTCCTCGTCGTCGTCTTCCATCATGGCGTCTCCGTATTGATAGGGAGTCTTTGGCTCGGTGATTTTCATGCGTCCGCCTGATTCCTGCTCGGCCAAGTAGAGGTTCGCTTCATCCCACTTCAGACGCATCTTTTCCGGATCGTCTTCATGGTTTGCGGCCAATGCGGCTGAGTGACGGCGTGACGCAGAGGCTCGTCTAGCAGCCGAAGACGAGCGGCGGTGACCGGCATTTTGCAGAGTGTTCTGAAGCACAAGTTCTCTCTCTTCCTTTGGGTCGAGGGGCACGTGTGGTGGCAGGTGGAACTCGTCTTTCGACGGCGAGCCTGGATGGCCGCTTGAGGATGAAAAGGATGGATTCTTCAAGATACCTATATCGAGCATTAGTGATGGAACGGTCGATATCAGGATATTCACGTTAACAACCCACCTTTGGGTCGAATATTACCAGAGCCTGGCGTGTGCAAGGGAGGGGGCGAATGACGGACTTCGACTGGCATGGTGATGGAGTTTTGATGCAGAATACAACGTCGGATTGATGGACTTCACTCGTTGGATTCCGCGTCCTCGGTGTTCAAAACTGGGTGGTTGTGTAATAGTAGAGCTGCCAGGTTCGGGTTCTGCGATGGAGGGAGTGGGATAGAACGGAAAGAATGGCTTCGTTCGCGACCGGGATTGATAGCGGCGGAGAGTAAGGCGGATCGTAGTCAGGCGAGTGGCCGACGAGCAATGCGCGTGAGAAGAGGATATGGGCCGAAAGAAGAGATACACAGTCAGTTGTGCTTTTCCCTGGGATCGGACGATGGGTTATGGTGGTTGCAGTGGAGAAGGTAGGAACTGGAGATTGTGTCCAGTGGGTACAAGCACGTAGAAGTAGTTGGAGAAGGACAGCCCGGCCGGATATCAGTTGCGCGGTAGGTTCTGGGAACTTTGGGAAGGGGTTTGTGACTAGGACGACGAGATGATGATCATCCTCTGACTCGGTCGGCAAATTACTTGTTTGGATGTTTTTTGTTGCGGTCTTCTGGTGGTGAAGTCAGTTGGGTGAAAGAGTAGCATGTGCAAAGGGGAGAGGGGGGGTGATGATGGGCAGCAGATGAGATGAATCGAGGGATGTGGCCAGTTACGTAGGTAGAATTAGGAGTGGATCAAATGACGGGACATATAGTGCATCTGGTGGGGCATTTGGCCGCAATTTGGCCCCAGGTTGCCGGGTAGGCGGCCGTCATTACAAACTTGGAGGGCACTGCAGGGGGGTCCGATACTCGGGCTCTTGGCGCCCGACGTCACAGGCAAGCGGCCCGCCACCAGCGTGCACCAGCGTGCACCAGCGTCCACCGTTGTGCCCGCTACGCCCATTACGCCCACTACGGCCACTACTCTCACATTACTTTCCAGCTACTGAATCATCATGCATTCATCCATCAATCTTCCCGCGGCCTCGTTCGCTGGGTTCAGCTCTTCACCTCAGTGCCTCATTCTCCCATATTACTCCTCACTTGGCTCGTGCTTGCCTCCCCTCATATTACAAAGACTCCTCTCCGTTGATCCTTTCCAATGAGAAATGACACAGCTGCATTTCCGTCTTGACGAAAGCCTACCATGGCTTTCAGCTGGGAGAGAGAGAAAGACAGAAAAACTCTGTCGACCCTGCTGGCCCGGCTCTTTCTTTTTGCCAGCTCTCTTGCATTGGCTTATCTCGTGTCCTACTGCTTCCGGCGCTCGTGGTCACGGTCACGGTCATGCTCATGCTTTAGCCGCATGAAACCCAGGTGAACTCCTCCAGTCAAAGCAATGAACTCATGGTAAGCTACTGTGGCTCATGACTTGATATCTGCGCATCTCACTTTGTCTTGTCTCAGGCCTGCATCTGTCCCCGTCCGCTCTCAATCCATGCCGTACTCCCATCGCCTTGGTGAATGAATGCAATGGATGGCCCCCAGCGGTGTGCTGGTACTCTGCAAGAGGATGAACTGACCCGACGCCCTCTCTCATCAGAGGTCATGTCTGCATCACTGCGTCCTTTCTCCGTTGCTTTTTTCTTCCCTGCTTAGGCTGTGCTGCATCTTTGTCGCTGCTGTGCAACCACCAAAGTCCCCGCTACGATGCATGTGCCTGAAGCTCCTCCAGCTGCTGAAATCTCTGTCCTTCCCCTGGGGCCCTCATGATTCGTCCACGAGGACAATGCGTCCTCCCTGATCGCCTGACTCTCCGGCTGAAGCCTCCAAGCACCCTCTCTTACTGGCCAAGTCACAAGTAGGCGCAATGGACTTTCAGGGCGACAAGGGTTATGTCAACTCCTGCCAGTCCATCATTGCCCCACTCGGTACGGAGGTACATGGAGGACCAGGCGCTACTGCAATGCCTTTATCGGGTGAAAGCGAGTTGGAGAAAAAAAGGACAGAAAAAAAGCACTGTTTCTACCCAACTGCAGAGCTCGTTCGTGCATTTCACCACTAACTAGCTCACACATGGCAAACATATTGCCCATCACCTGTCCATTCATTCGACACAGAGACTTGTAAAGCTTCGACAACCGCCTCCCGGACTGCCAAGTGTTGATCTGGTCCCCCCGGACGCTGATTTCGACCGATCCATATCCTCCAACGGAATTTAACTCGCCAAATAACAATCTGCCACCCGTAGCACAAGTACACGTGTATCGCTCGAGTTGCTACACTCACAGGAAAGGTCACGCACGAACAAAAGGCCCGAATAGCCAAGACTCCTGTAAAGCCAATTCGCCCGTCGCCAGAGAGTCCCATATCAGTAAAAACATTCAAGCCACCCACATAAAGACAAACCGGTAAGCATTCTGCTTGCCGCCCGGCAACGAAGTCGTGATAATAAAAACAGTGTCATCTCATCGAATTGAACGGCCGGCCTCGCGCTCCTGCAGTTTGGTTCGCGCCACGGCATCCCCATTTTTGGCAGCCTCCTGCATCCAGTGCAGGGCGAGGCATAGCGCCTGACTGTTACGGCGCCATCCTTCCTCTTCATCTTCCTCTTCCTTCCACCTCATTTCGCGCTTGAAGATCTCCGACGACATTGCGAGCGGGAGACTGACGATCGGGGGCACGTCGGGGTGAGTGAGGTACAGGCTCGCTAATTCTCGTTGTGCAATGGCGTTGCCTTCCTGGGCCCCAATGATCCAGTACTCCATTGCCTTAAGGACCGACGGCTCCCGGCGGGGCCCACTTGATACGTTCCTTTTGATCGCGTCTTTGGCAACAATTCGATCCGCCACGTCTACCATCCCGCGACATACCTCGTCCTTCCACGCCAGCGCTGCCAGTCCTACGTGGAGGAATGCAGGACCCAGCTCCGTATCGTCCAGTGTTTCTGACGATACGAATGCAGCAATGTATTGCAGATCCCGAAAGATCGTTTTCGGCCGGAGGACAAAGAGAAGGTCCTTTAGGAATTGAACGGTGGCGTTCTCGCCAGCAGAGGTTTCAACCACGCCTGGCGTTCGACTCTTGGCCTGGCGTTGCTGGCGATTCAGGTTTTTTGATAGCACGTTCGGGTCAAGACTGCGCCTTCGTGTCGGGTCCTGGGATTCAACATCTTGTCCCGCAGAGTTAGCTTTGAGAATCACTTCCTGGTGACTCTGCTGAAAAGCTTGTGACAAGGATCGAAAATCACGAATAGCCCTGAGTTTCAGGATGGGATCCGTGTGATCCCTCACCCGACCGAGAACGTCGTCAAACGCTGTCAAATAAGGGAAGCTGCTTGTGTTCAGCTCCCCATTCCCATTGGTAAGTAGTGTTTTCAATGATTCAGGGCCATCGGTTGAGTTGTGTTTGGCCGGCGTGCGTGGCAGTGGTGCTGCACTCTGGCTTCGCCCCTTTTGTTTCCTCGGGCTTTCTGAATGGGAGATTTTCGTGGGGCCTCTAGTCCGTGATTGGGGAGGGAGCAGCTGAGCCAGCACGGTTCGGTGCAATAACCGGTCAACAATGCCCGGGGTTTGCCACGCTGCAGTCATCCATGTATCACTTTCACTTCCACAGCTCCACACCGGGCACCCGAGATCCGAGAGTAACAGTGAGGTGAGGTCTTGTCGCAGGCTCTCCAAAAAGCTGGCCTTTTCTTGACTACGGTCGATGGGCCGACTCAAAGCGACGTCTTCGAACGTCGAGGCTGGCCTGGACTGTACAGAGGCCGAGGTCACCGACCTGGAGTTTGACTGGGCGGGTGACCAGATGCTGCTTTCCAGAGTCGTCGAAGTGGTAGCTCGCCCTGGTGAGCTAATGAATGACGCCATATCACTGCCCAAGCCGTCCTTTCCAAGTCTACTCGAACCGCCATAGATAGATGTCCTTGAGCCTAAGAATGCTGCGCGTATTGGGAAAGAAGTGGATGAAAGCGGCTCACTCATCACACTCGGGGGTCGGGTGCTCGGAAGTCCTCCAAAGACGGCATGGATGTCGTACAGAGATTTCTCCCTTGCGAATAACTCGCTAGACCATAGGACAGGACTGTCGGCCAAGGTCTCTCCGACCAATTTTCGCGTGACCAGCTTAACCTCCATGCAGAATCGATGGATTCTCTCTTCGCCTCGACAGAAGTTTTCCACGTGATTCCGCTCAAGCCACTTTTTGGTCTTCTCAATCTGCGGATCTGATAGCTTCCTAGGCCCACCATGTTCCACTGGTGCTTTGAGGATCGTCATGGTGTCAATTCTTGGCTGGTCGAAAATTGATGAGGCGGACGTTGCAGAAGCGCCCGGACGGCTCAACTCCAGTAAGGCGGTGGGTTCCTGAGCAGGTGCAAATCTCTGAATAGGTGGCAGTGCCATGTTGTTCAGCGCAACTGCGATATTCCTGGCGTTGTCGTAAACATTCGAGGTTAGAACGTTGCTCTCGTACCACAGCTTGATCCGAAGTCTATCGAGCCAACCCAAAGCTTTGGATATATCTTCTCTTGCCAGAGTATAAGATGCTGCGAGCCCTGCCACTTCCTGCTCCACCAGCAGACATTCGTTCTCAAGTCCTTGTCGGCAACCCATCAGTTTGTGGGTTAATGGTCCAAGTACCTTTGTATCATCACCCGTTAGGACTGTCAATGGGTAATAGGTCCGCAAATATTTGAGTGCCTCGTGCCAGTACATGGAGGTAATGCTGTCGGTTTTTATGAGAGAAACATTTGCTTGAGCGGCAAACATTCCGGTGAGGCTGAGGTTCTCAGTTCCTTTAGTTGGTACGTGATCAGCGAATTGACGGTTATGCAGGATCGTCGGTTGGTCTGCAAGCCGAAGCGCGGCGCCTTCTGCCGGATCAAGTTCACCCAGACCTTCTATAATCACCGACTTCTCCATCGACAAACCAGTCGATGCTATCGATACTTTCCCTGTCTCCGAGACTAACAGCAATGCCCAGTTTTCTTGGCGTGGGTGAACGTTCTTCGACGAATGGCCAGGCTCGATGACATCCAGTATACGTCTGCACAGTCGTTCAAATTTGGAAATGGCTCGAGAATATTGCATATTGAACGTCGTTTGGGAGGAGCTCAAGAACGGACCAAAAGGACTGGAGGTGTGGAGGACCTGTGGCCTCAGTTTCTCCAGCAAGTGAGCAATGTCTGCCGCGCAAATTGAGGTATAGGATAAGCCAGTGGGTTCGACAATGGTTTCCGACGGCGCTTCTGACTGGTACGGATCGGAACAGTGGGTGTCTGCAGAGATTCGGCCGATAATACCGTTTACACAATTTTGGATATCATGATCCACGTGTTGTGCAGTCCTGGAGGAAAGATTAGTCTGTTCCCCATTTGAGACAGAGTGTGGAGTTTTACATTGGGCTGAAAGTCTCGGTGGCACGGGCAACCGCACGATCCCACAGCCTGTGAAGCAGATGGAACCTGGCCCGGCTATTGATGTGGAATTGGAGGAGCATTTTTTCATCCTGCCTTGCTGTTAGCTGAGAGGATAGGAAGTTCACGACCACAGTACCTCTGGAAAAGAGATGGCAATGCGCAGGAAATCTTGCAAGAACCACCTGAAGAAGAAATGACCCCGAAATGCGCTCTGGCTCTCCACCGTGGGAAGTTTCCCAATGATCGCCCGACCCAAGCACAGCGCGCCTGTAGGTATTCCTCCGTCACAGCACAAGATTTGGAAAAGCTCCTTGACTTCTGCATCAAAAAATGCTTGTGCTTGAGGAGTGTTCGATGGATCCAAGGGCCCGAAATCCGTCCTAGGAGCCGCGGCCGCACTTTCCAGAGAATTATACAGAAACGCACCTCGCTGTAAACTGCCCATCAAGAACATTTCCAAGCGGTCTTTGATCTGCCATTCGTATAAGTGTGCGAATACCGACAGGACTTCGCCAATAATCGCATCGAATGTCGGCCCGGACTCTAGCATTAAGTTCGCGCAAATTGTCGACCATGTATAAAGCCGTAGCTGGCTCTCATTGTTCAGAACATCCTGGGTGGAGCCGTAAATGTTGTGGACAAGGAAAGATAAGGGATTCGACCGTTCGAATGATGATGCGTAGTCTTCGAGCTCCTTGGAATAGGCTTTGCTCCGTATCAACTGCGTATCGTCCTCAAACTCCCTAAAACTAGATCTAGGCCGCCTGCGCTGCGACTCGCGACCGCGGTTTTGCGACAGTGACTCGAGAACCGACTCGGGGAGCTTCTTGAACTTGGGCGAGGTTGAGAGACCTTTGACCTGTTCCGGGTTCATTGCCTTGAACCTCTCGACAAGAAAACGGGGATTGCTTCGCAGGGTTTGCACGAGTTCGAGACAGTCCTCCTGGATGGCAGGTGATAACCTAGCAAAAAAGGACTCCTTCACCGGCGTTTTTGAGGCCACGGTAGAGGTTGAATCGAGGGCGTGGATCTCATAATTCCACTGGGAATGGCAGAGGGTGACCAGATCTTGCATGTGTTGATGGACCCTAGTAAAGCCACTCGGATCGGACTGCTGAGAGATCTGAACCAGGCCATCGTGCACCCATGAACCCACGCGCTGTAAACGGCCAGAGAGAGCGATAGCATTTCGTAATCCGTCTCGTTGGTGATACAGCATTCGCTTCCGGTATTCATGGTGTCGATGGAGACGAAGTTGTTTTGCGAAATCCTCGAAATGCACACGCATATGGGCGAAAGGGATCTCTCGGCTGGGTGAGCCGAACCACGGTCTTTCACCACCTTCATTGTCTCTTGAAACATTGGGTGCTCTTGAAATATCTCTCAACACCGATGTGGCAGTATCCTGCTCCTGAGGGCGACTAGAGGGGAGGACATGGCTGGAAGTAGCTCCCTGCGAGGAAGAGCTGGCGAAGAGCGGAGAACCCGTCGAGGTAGGTTCTGGAGGTTCGGGTCTAGACATAGGTTCGGCATGGTCTTGAGCATGGTTATCGGGTGCTTGGGATGGCAAACGAGAAGGAACAGCTGTCGCCGCACAAGGTGAGCAGGTTGAATTTTGGTCGGAATTTGAAAAGAGAAGCTTGGTGACCGACCTTGAGCGTGCCGGCCCCAGCCCTTACCCTGGGCTTGGGCTTGACCTTCCACGACGCCAGAGACCCCAGGTAGTTCTGTCATACGCTGGCCAATTCCATTACAGCGGAGGGCGCAGGCCGACGGCAGCAGGAACAGCCAATGCTGGGGCTACGGCGGAACGCGGCGTAGAAGGCAAAGTGAGTGATCTTCGCAAAGTAGGGCGAGGTGAGGCGTGGGAGTGAGTGCAAGCGGGATTCCGTCTCTGGTCGGGGATGTGAGTCGAGGATCGACTTGTGACTCGCAGCGTGTGATGTGATGTGATTTGATTTCAGCGGTCAGGCGTCGCCGCAAAAAGGATATGTCCGAACGATGAGAGAAATTCCTCCTCCTCTTCAGATTCTTCTGCTTCTTCTTCTTCTTCCTCCTCCACCTCGTCCAAGTTGAGTTTTCTCGTGGTGACTGCCCGTAGCTTGAAGGGCGGGAGGGGTGTGGTTTGGGCCACCCAATGCAGGGTGCAAAGTCCACGTACTGCAGACTGACCAAGGTCCAAGTTCAGTAGTCACTGCAGGGCGATTAATGCGGGGGAGTTGTTCGGTCGCTCGCTTGCAAAGTACAGTACTTAACAGTACCCAACTCGCCAATACGGGCACCTTGAAATACCCAACAGTCTCAAATCATCTGCAACGCGAGGTCTGGAACTTTGCAAGGCCGTGAAAGCCACAAGACGTTATCACTATGGCGCATAAATCCATCAGGAAAAGATGTTGGGGGTTCTTTTTGATCGGCGACCAACGATTACAACTAGAGGGAACCTGGAACCAGAGAACAACGCACACAATTCCTCACAGTACAGCACAACACTGCAACATGAGGGATGACTTGCAGGCCCTGACGACGTTGCCAACGAATGCATATCCAGCTGCATTAGTCCAGACTAACCAGCCTGCTTGACATAAGCTCAGCGCCCTCTCGAGCCACTCGTTGGCCCTCAATATGCTTCTTCTAGAGCTCAGAGATGCGCTCCGGGCCGAGGGTACTAGACAGTGTCTTGACATGCCGGCGGTCGCGCAAAAGGAGACCTTTCAGCTCCACGACGCTCCCCCAGATTCCCAACAGTGTGGCGAGCGAGCAACAAGTGGTGAGCGAGAGGTGTGGCGAGACCAAGTGATGGCTACGGTACAAGTTCATCTGTGCCAATGGCTTCAGCGCCTGCACCGTACCTCATGAAGTGGCTGAAAAGGCGGCCAATGTGCCACCGGTTCATAGACGCGCATGGTCGACGCGACAGTAGTACACCGATACTTGGACGGAGTTGTCACTTGAGGGATCAGCAGAAATGGCCCGACGGTCCTTCGCGACTCGCTGGGTACTTTTCGAAGCCCTCTAAGTGGTGCCGCATACATGCTGCAGAACATGACCCTTTTTCGTTTGTCCTTCCATCGACCTCGCAGAATTGGCCACGTCAAGCCTTGGGATAACGATTACTGGACGGCAAACGAGCTGCTAAGATGCTAACCGATCTTGAACCCGAAGATCCTTCCGCCATGTGTCGCTTTGCAGGCTCACCGACCGAACCACTTGGATGCAGGCCCCTGCAATGCCCCACGGCCCACGGATGATGCGCTGGCACTGCATATTGCCTCTCAAAATTCATGTCCTGTTCTACCACTCACCTTTGAAGCTTCATTATAGAAACACTGGTGCTTCCGGTCCAGGTACCGATCTCCGACACCGAGCCGCTCGCCACTGTGGGATGGTATGGCGGTGCCGCTGGAGAAAGAGCCAAAATTTGGGTTTCTTGGGCTTGTCTTGACCATCCATGGTTTCAGATACAGTGCTCCCGGCTCAGCTGGACTGACACCGACCGCTTACCATTGAGCGCTCCTCCCGCAGCGCCAAAGAGTATATTCGATAGAATTGCTTTTGGGCAACAAGTTGTAGACTCCACTTTGCGGTGAGGGAAGGAATAGTGGGCGTTGGAAAAGGGGTGTATGGCATAAGACTGTGCTGACACCTTGTCTCAGACGCGCGAATAACATCCCAGGTGTTGACATCCAAGGATTGATCAATTTGGAGATTCTCCAAACATCATCTGGTTGATGTGCTTGGACTTTTCCTCGTAAATATGAGCCTGAGAAAGGGGTTGACAGCACGACTGTGCAACAACCCAGCTTCGGCCAGTGCTCCCCAAATACCCTCCCAACGTCTTTCAAGATCGAGTCGGCTGTAACCTGCCGCGATCGCGGTTGGAAAGATGAGCCTTGATATGTCAGAGGTGAGGTATCACCTGGTTCGAAAATCTGGTCACTGTCCCCGTTTTCTGGCCATGTAACAGTTCATGCTGCTGCAATGGCATCTCACAAGACAGAAGTGACGGACGTGGCAGAAATGCAATTATTCTTTTGCTGGACAACGGCGAGCACGGGCACAAGGCAGATTCGACCAATCCTTCAGGTGAATTAACCTTGAGTATATCATCGCACCATTTGTTTACGGGCACGCCCGGGAATCTTCCGCGTCATGAGACTGCGATTTTTGGTGCAAATGCTAGCTGACCCATATCTTCATGATCTGATAGGAATGGCAGCCTGCTGAGTAGCGAATCTAGTCGATGGCGACGTTGCACGCAAGCTGCACATGAGGATTGGTTGGTGTCAACGAAAGACAACATTTATTTCTCCCGGCGATATCATCAAGGCCACAAGTGAACCGTCAGTGGTTCGAATTTCCTGGATCACAACCTCATTCTCCTGATCTGCCAACTTCTCCCAAATGTGATCCACTTGTGAGGTCGAACTTGATTTATGGCCAAGGCGGTCACTGAGGTCCATCCGAAACGCAACACAACATTGGGCCGGTCGATCAGGAACAAGGAAGTACAGTTTATCAAAGCACGGGGAAATGTTGGGTTTGTTCTAGCGAGAAGCTTCTGTCATCGCAGATGGAATGACGTTTTGCCCGAGACAAGACGGGGCGATGCCTGTAGGTCGCATCCAAGTGGGATCGATTGTGGGCTACCTAGGAGTTGTGGAGGACAGAAAAGGGGCGTTTGGAAGACTTCTTGTTGGGTGTGTAGAACAAAACCTGAAACGGGGCTTGACGTAGGAAAGATCCGGTTAAGCCAGGAGAAAGACCAAGATGCCAATAAGAGGCACTCAGTCAACAAGCATTCTAACAAGGCTTGATGCCAGATCTTACCCCAACCCCAAGGTGATCTCGATCCATTATCCTCGTAGAGTCGTGGTTCGCTCTTTGCCTGATGCTAGCAGACCAGCGACATGGAGCGTCCAATTGACCTAGTTTTCCTTTCCGATGAGAACAGAAAAAGAAAATATCTAATAGAACTGGACGGCTCGGGGCGAAGGGTTAGTCATTGCATGACAGCTCACTGGTTCGTCCGTCTCACTCTTGTGCTGGAGTGAGATCCTTCCTTCGATCGAGTTGTGGGCTGTCATGCGACAGTAGCGACGGGTGAAAATTTTTCATGTTTCTGTATCTTGATATGGAGTACAACTGTAGCAATGCCACGAGGTTGTACTGTGTGGGAGAACGAAGGTGGCATTGTGTTTGAGGCTTTGCGAGCCTGGTGGTTGAAAAAAAATTAATAACCGTCCAGATGAAGCAATTCGAGCCTACCTAGGTAAGTTCTACTGCGGAGTGCCAATGACGTCTGGGCCTCGGATCTGTCAATGACACTTGGAAGGCAACTTCCACGATGCAGAAGTTGCGAGGTGACACTTGAGTGGTTCAGCCTGCGGGCGGCAGCCTTTCAGCTGGTTTTGGGTGAGTCGAGGGAAGTTGAGTGGTGGTCTGAGTCGGAAATCACCGAATCACAGATCCCAGGCAGGGCTAGGCGCCTAGTAGCCAGGCGGATGGGCTGCACCCCCCGGCTAGGCCCCGATGGTTATCCTACCTGGGTAATATTCATGCGAATAATACCCGGGCGCCGGGCTGCTTATGGTCCATGGTCCATGGGCGCTGCGGGCACGGCGTGGATGGTAGGTGTAGGTGGGTTGGACGGGGGCGTGGGCCTTCTTCACGCAGTAAGGCTTGGGTACCGTTTCCAGCGAGCCAGCTACCAAAGGACAGCCTTTCCAGGGGAGCCCCTCGCCCTCCTTCGCCCCCTCTCTTCCCCCCTCTACGGCATCATCGCGGGTCGGGAGACTGGGCAGCGGACTGCCGATGTGAGGGACGAAACGAGGTTTCGCTTGGTGAGGTTGTGAGGTGCTGGTCTCATATGGTATGATCCGCTGCGCTCCTGGCACTCCTGGCACTCCATGGGCCCCCCTGGCACGCGGTGCTCTGGATAAACTAGGCACAAGTGACCACTTCGTACCTACCTAGCTAGTGACGGGCATTCAAATCCTGGCCACATCCAAAAGCATCATAATCGTCGTCAACATCATTCGACTGCTGGAAAATAAAGTTGTCCGACTGCCAACCCTGTGGCCTCTCCTTACACATACTTGTACACACCCTCACCCACCACTACCAGACTCCTTCGAATCAATCGAGTCTTGCTGCAAGGCTGCTGCCCTCCATCAGTATAAACTCCGTCAACACTCGTCCATTGATTCGCACGCGGACTTGTGGACGTGTGCCAGACGAACCCTCTCACGCCCTGTTCCGCCGAATCTCCTGTCAGTTGGCACCATTGGTCCGCAACTGCGACTGTACATTCCTCAGGACTCAATTATAGCATTTGATTGCCTTTAGCTCCTCTCCGCCTGGAGACGACGAGGGGGTTAGCGATACGAGGCCAAGGGTGCGCGAGGTGTTTTACCAAAGCCATCGGGCTACTCAGACCATTTGATTCAAATTTCCAAACCGCCCTCCTGGCCCCCGTTTTCCCGTCTTTCGTCACTCCTCGAACCTCTTTAGTTTACACCTCACTTCTCCTTCTCACCACAACCACTATCACTGCCACTATCACTGCCACTGCCACTGCCACTGCCGCTCTCTTGGTGCTGCCGAGTTGGTCCAACTGGTTACAAAGCCATTCATTGCTACCTCACTCTGTCGGATCTGGTGTGCCGGCCAATAACCTACTCGCAGGAACTGCTACCTCACCTTGCAGGCAGCCGAAGTCTCCACTACCAAACCTGAAGTGCGCCCAAGACCGATTTACAACCTTGGACCTCAATTAGCAATTTTCCATTCTACCTCTGCTCTCTGAGCCTTACCAATCTTTGGAGAAACCGATGAGCGTCTTGACAGTAACTGGGACGAACATCCCAGATCCTACGCTCTCCTACCCTTACTCAAATTCCCTCGCCCCAATCTCCTCTTTGCCTCCTCATCCCGCGCCCTCAGTGGCTGACGGCGCCTTCACTCGACCAGAGCGAAAATCCTACATTACAACAACAACCACTCCCATAGCGCCGGCGCGAACGATTAGCAATCACCAACACTCGCGCACCGTCTCTTCCAACACTCTCCCTCTCTCGAATTCTTTTGGGACCAGCGCCACTTTGTCCTCTACAACGAGCCATTCTCGCATTCCCTCCGCCTCTTCACATTCGCGCCAATCCTCCACCTCGAATGCCACTATGAGCATGCACAGACAGGGCACTACAGCTTCGGCCACCAGCCTGCCACGCCGTTCCACCTCTGGCCGCTCGACGGCCACGAATAGCCCCACATCCTACGTGGCCCTGATGCGGAAACAAAAAGCAACCGTCTGGTGCGATCGAGCTCAAAACATTGATCCACGCCTTGCCGCCGCCCAAAAGGCAGCAAAACACCGTGCCACCCTTGAAGTTCAAGGAGCCGGCCAGGGCGGACGGACAAGCACCATCTCCTCAGGTGGTGTTGTTGGTAAGATTAGACACGGCGGTGTCCCAAAAGCACCCGGGTATGTTCCGGCGAACCTAACGGGCGCGTCTGTGCCCGTGCGGTTAAGCGCCAATGAGGCATTAGGCGACGAAGAAGAGGAGGGGAGGAGCTTGACCGGCGACAACAGCATGGTGCATGCCCGGACTGGCAGTGGGAGAAGCAGCACCAATAGCGCCAAATACCGAAGCGGCTACCCGCGTCCGGATCAAGGACGATTTAGCAGTACGAGCACGCCGCCCAGTGAAGGATCTCCAGGGCAAGGCATTCCAGAAGATACAGAGACCGCCGAAGATCCGAAAGACGACTATTTCATCCACAGCGACAAATCTACACCCGGTGGCCGAGAGAGTGAGGATTCATTTGGCGAGTTGAAGGAGCTTTCTGGGCCGACTGCTGTGCAGCGGGCGCTGGAGCAAGCGAAGAAAAACGAAGATCTACGGAGAAGAGGGAGCGTGGACGAGCGGACGATGAGCATGGGTCAGCCAGGGGTGAGGCTTTTCGTGGCGAATCCAGATATCGACGACTAGCTTCCGGTCATGTTGGCGGTTTGTTATGCATTTTCTACTTGGGCCGGCCTTTTTTTCTATTACTCAGGCTTGGGCAGGCATTCTTGGGGTTCACTTTTGGGCCCGTACGAAAGGCAATCAGATTTGAAGTTGGTGACGACGAGGAATGCAAGTTACGACGAGGATATGGAGGAGAGATGGCCATGAGATTGCAATATGGCATTTTGATGACGATAATGAGAGAGCTTGGACTTAGCTAATAGGGAACCTGCCGCGAGTCGGTGACGGCAGGACCGCAGGTGGATGAGATATCTTGTTCTTGTGAGATTAGGCTAGGCGGCTCTGCTTGTGCACATATGGGCTGGAACCGAAAACCAGTTCGCCCTGCAATGCGAGGAATCACACCAGCGTGTGTGGAATGTGATGATGTACCAACAAACGTGCCTCTCTGTCCTCAGTTGGATTTGTGACTCAATTTCATTTGCCGAAGCAAGGGCGAGCGCTTCGACATGAAGCTAAGAGCTATCCAGTCCTATCTTGAGTCTTCGACGGCACAAGAACAGGTTTGCGATGAGTGCAAAGAGGGGCAATGGTCCTTCTGCAGCTGCTAAGTCATGCCGCTGATGCCGCTGCTGCCGCTACTAATAAGCGAGCCTGTAACCCTTGGTGTGATGACGACACACCAACTAACCGTTAGGCACGCTTGCAGTTAGGCACTCCAGATCCCCATCGGGTTACCCAGGCTACCTACCGAGCCACCTAGGGCACCTAGGTGCCTGGTAGACTACCTGCCCAGGCAGGCAAGCAGGGGCTAGCCCAGCAAGGGCAGTGAGGGCATCCAGAGGGGTCAGTCGATCAGGGAGCAGATCAGGGCACAGTCCTGGTTCCCTGCTGCTCCTGCTCCTGCCCAACTGGCAACTGCTGATGTGCCTGGCCTTTTGCAAATTGGGCTTCTGGCGTGCCGGGGGATTCCTAGGCTCGGATATGACAGCAGCTCATCTCCGCAGGTGCCGCCCCTCTCGACCAAGCGTTAATGACTGCAGCAAGATGCATGCCATGATTCAACTTCTCATCGGACTGCGTGTATTACGCCGCAGTCATCAAGGCCATCTACGCAGCCTCTTGATAATACCTTTCCTTTGCGCTTCTCCATTCGTGTTTCTCTTTTTGCAGCTTTTCCATTGCTCAGCCGGCAATGTCGAACAAGACCCGAGGTCAAGCTCCAGCGCGCTCAAGCTCAAGCTCAAACTCAAGCTCAGGAATGATTTCCAGCGCTTCAAAGGCCCACGCACGTGGGTGAGACGTGGGGTGCATGCATGCCCGGGCATGCTTGGGTTCATGGACGCATGCATCCACCCACCAGCCGCAGTGGGACAATTGCACCTTGGTTCAATGCCAGACTCGACATCTTCACTTGCCTCTCTGATGGACTAACCTGTCTGGCTAGGTCCTATGACTCGTCTCCTGTGCATGCAGAGTCCCCTCAAGTGATTACAAGCGAACTAGGTATGCCTTGGATGAGCGACAGAGGAAGCCGGACCTGGATCATCACCTTGCCCATGCCCTTACCCTCGTCCTTGACCGCCTTTTCTCTATCCAAGATTTAACCGGAAGAAGAGGAGGAGGAATCACTTGCTGCAGTATACCGCGCTGCCATGCGATGCGATGCGAGGTCTATTTTTCTCATCACGTCCTTTGAATGACTTAGCCTTTCTGCTGGTTGAACCTTGCTGCCTGCGCGGAGTTTAGGACAACACAGGAGAAGTTACAGCGCAGTACTTTGAAGGCAATTCCAGTCATGGGTGACCCTTGGAGGGAACTACCTACAAAGGTATCTACGAGGATGCACCAGCTATCTACCTATGGACTAACTCGTACCGTGGGTTAGCATTACGAGGGGCTTCTTAGCTTGAAAGCGGGCCGGAACAACCATGATGCTGCGTCTCATTCATTCATGATTGTCCCGTGCTGCTCCTCGGGAAGTCCTGTCTGCAAAAGGATGGATTAATTTGAGCCAATTGGTGCAAGACCACATTCTAATACCCAGTTATAGCATCTGCTTTTGCAACACCCCTACGAATATGTCCCGCCACGGAGTGGGGAGAACAAGACAGCGCGAAGAATGTCCCAGACTTGGACGGCTTTCTCTGCCCGGCCATTTGTACAGAAAAGGCAGAGAGAAAGTGGGGGGAAAGCACCTTTTCTCACTCGTCCGAGGTGTTTTGGCGAGACAGCACTGCTTTGATGCACCTGGTTATTCGTCCATTTGTCCGGCAGCTGTCTCACTATATGATCCTAATCGAGAGAGCCGCAGCGAGACAAACTTTCGATATATTCTTCTGACTTGACGGCCATTCCACATGACATGTGCCTCGGTTGGAAGCTCCATGTTTTCTTTTTCTGTGCTTCTCACAAGTAAAAAGAAGGCCTGGGAGTTAGTTTCGTGTGCTCTAGAACACTGGCAGCATGCAACCGCAAGCGGAAGCGGGGAGGGAAATCATTCCGCCCACGTTTTTTTGCCCTGCTCCATGCTGTGTGTATTGTAATTCTCCGCGGGGAGAGTGAGACCACTAGATCTGAGCTTCGGGATACTGGTCCTGTTGCCCATTACCCGTACTCTATAGGACGCTGAATGAGGCCTCGCTAAATAGACCCCCGGCGCTCATCATAGCTTCGAATAAGAGCGCGAGCTCCCTGGGGTCATGGAACCACGAGGCGACATGAAAAAATACCATGTTCCTTGTGGCAGCGGCACTGGTCGAGGAGTGTTAATTATAAAATCAAGCATTGACCGGTGTTTACCTCGTGGGTCGAGGAACCTCCGAGTCTCTGGAAGTTTTTGTCTATTCCCACGTGCGCTTCGGGAACCAAAAAGAAAGGAGATAAGACTTGTTGAGCATTAATAGGTCACTTACCAAAACTTTTCTGTGCCAGGTATAAATCTGGAGGATCCAAGTTGTAAAGAGAGGATTCTAGCCACAGGAATACCAATACGGTGGGGGCGCACTCCTGATTTATGCTCCCGTCGAACCTCAGTCTGCCCTTTTGCCTTCTTTCCTCGACCTGTTTCTCGTGACCCGGACAGTTTTCTCGTCGATGCAGTGACTAATTCATTTTCACCCTTCCTTGCCTTTGTCTTCTGAACTCATTTCGTCGGATATGAGATGGCAAGGCTGGGAGGCAATGTGGATTCAATACCGTGACTTGTACACTGCCACCCACCGAATCGTCATGCCACTCTCCAGACCAGGCAGTGTCTTCTCGTCAGGATCTCCTGGAAGATCGCTCCCCACAGCGACGTTCAGGATTGGGAAGAAAGCGCTTCGGGCAAGTCTCTCCCAGTTTCGCCTGTCTTTCTCATCACTCGAGTCATCTCCTTGGACAGCGTGGTAAGGTTTGTTGTCCAGCTGGAATTTGATCGACTGTTTGCTATAATCATCATCGCTGAAATCGATGAGCAGGGTAAAGGTGTGATACTGTTTGCGATCAAAGTCTACAGTTCCGTGAGATTCGGCGTGGTTGCCCATTCGATCGGTATGGTGGATTGAGCCTGTGTGTGTTGCCATCTTGTTAGAGAGGTTCCGCCATTGAATGGCCTGCCGCCCTATTCCAACAAAGCTCGGGGCAGTAAGCTTAGCTTGATTTGTCGAAGACCCGTTGCTGAGCTCCATGATATCCCAGTCACCGCATTTTGGCCTGAAGAAAGGTTCGCCGCGTCACAGACTCCTCCTCTAGCAGAATAGCAGAATGGAGAGAAACGCGGAGCTTACCAATTTTCACCACGACGGATCGACTGGCCCAACGCCCAAGCAGGCCAAATCCCCTGCTGCCGCCGACGCGGGTTCTGGCCCATCTTGATGTTGGCGGCAAAGATCATCTTGCCGTTGTTGTCGCACTGAAAACTGTGGTTGCCATGCAGACGAGCAGAGGTCCACTGTCCGTCAACGTCCTTCGGAGGAACAATACAGAAGTGACCATTTTCCGTCGAGGTACGCATTGTCCGTTGAGTCGGTATACCTCTGCAACTCGTGATTCCAATTGTGGCGAGGCGTTTGTAAGATCCAATTCTTTGGTTCGTGAGGAGAACCGGCTGGGCCGTCAAACTCGTCGGACCACTCCAGGTAAAATCCTGCCATCTCTGGGGCGCGCATTGCGAATAAGAATAAACGGGTGATTTAAATTGTATTAATATGTGGATGAAGAAAGGTCGTTGGATGAGTGAGCAGATATGGCGTGCTGGCGTCTGTGGTCGCACCTGCGCCCACCTGCCTCGAGGGTTGACAGCCAGTCGCTCGGTGGCCGTTAACCTCCTCGCAGCCTGTGTCTGAAATTGGCGAGAGCGACATCCCTTTGATCAGACCAATCGAGCATGTCTCTTCAACCCTAGCGAACGGGAAGGAAACTCGGGGCTGGCGAGGTTACGTCTTTCGGAAGCGCAACTCATACACATTCCTGGAACCTGTCTCCAAGGTATCTCAGAAATCAATAAGCTTTGTTGACCACTACTGGCCCATTCGTCCCCAATTTGCCGCCCGTGTCATGTTCAAATACCAGTTCCACGTGTCCCTCATTGTTCACCTTGACACTGACAGGCTCGCGGAATATATTGAGGGTCTCCAGTCCCGCGCTGGTATGGGGCCCTAGGTATTCCGGCTTCCGGCTCATCAAGCCCAGCATAAGCAATTCACTGATACTATCCCAACTGGTACCCGTGTAGCCGGTGAGGAGGAGTAGAAATATATGCGTCGCGACGAAAACACAGAACACGCCCAGCACTGCGAGTGACAGCTGCACAGTGATGTCCTGGGCATTGTAACCGTAGCCTTGCTGCGACTGAGAGACCACTTGGTAAGTGAGAGAAGAGGGATTTGTCAGTGCAGCATTCTGGTCGATGTCAATCATGACACCGTCATACTGGCTCCAAGCATGAATTTCGTCCAAATATGTGTAAAGGGCCTGCGTATTGGAGTCTTCACCCTCGTGCTGCCTGAGAACCAGGCCGTTGTACCCGAGATAGGCGTAATCCCCGTTTGCGAGCGCCAAAGCGACTATCTGATGTGGAGAAATATGACCCGTGAGAAATTGAAGCACGGTCTGAGAGGCCATAATGGTGGATCGAAGGCGATCAGTCCAAGCACGGGGAAGGTCGATTTTCTGCTCCTGCGGAATGCTGCCGTTGTAATGGGACTCGAGTACGTAGTTGATCTGACTATAGCTGCTGTCGGCGGCGGATGTATTTAGCGTGACATTGGTCCACGTCGCATCGATCATGCAAGCGTAAACCGTCGCCACGTAACTTCGGTCAATGGGCTTCGTGCTCCCAAATACCATGAGAGTTGAACTCCGCGAAGGAGCAGAAGGGGGCAGATTTGTGAAGAATAAAATTGTGCCGTCAGCCGTAACATTTCCCAGCGTTTCACCCCATGTGACGAGATGATCCAGTTGTGCTTCCGAGCTCGGAAAGGACAGGTATGTCCCGTTATGGTCATAGTCGTACAGATCGTTCTCGTTACAAGCACCCTGAACGAGAGCTTGAGAGGTTTTCATTGTCAAGATATTGAACGGAGAGGCCGAGTCTGTTTGCAGGTTCGAACTTTGTTGCCGCAAAACAGACGACATGTCACGGGAAGGAAGAGTCGCCAAAGACCAGGGCAAACCGAGATCAGATGGCGTTCCGAATAGTCGTATACCATTCGAGTCAAGGAAGCGGTATGGCTCAGGGCCGTAGAATTGGCCAAGTTGCGTGATCCCTTGCTCGAAAGCGTCTCCAGTGTCTCTAAAAGCCAAGAGCGTCAACAAGCAAATTCTGATAAGGGGAGCCAAGGACACTTACAGATAGCTGGCTTCGTGAGGGAAGAGTTTATCGAGAGGATTCAGAATATTCAGATATTGACCAGTGGAATGCGTGATTTGACGGGGGATCAGGGCGACTGCTCCAGAAGGACCAACCAGCGCGGCGAGGACGATTGTGGCAAAGATCAAAAGGCCCAAATATGCTTTGCGGTAGCCTCGCCAGCTCTTCGAGGTCAAGGAACCCCAAAACTCCAGAGACCAGAGATACGAGACGTCCGTAATGCGCAAAGGGGCCACGAGCCCACCGAACGGAAGGTCTTGATTCCGAACCATTTGCCAGCGGATGGCATCAAGCACAATGACAGCTAGCGAAGCCTGCATGAGCAATTCCAGCAACTTGGCCCCAAATTGAAAGGCAGTCACCTGGGAGGTCGAGAGATTCCCAACAAACAAGGTGTTGATGTTCAAAACCAGCAGCGTCAAGACACCACCAAGAGGCACAACGTGAGTCAAAAGGTCTAATAGTACAATTCCGCGATTCTTGTATATGACAACCTTCGGCTCTTCTCTGTGTCCCTTCCATTTTGTCAATTGAGGTAGTATCTGGAGCTTTGCTTTTCTCAAAGCAAGACGCAATGCATGACCTGCGCGTTGTGGCACTTTCCGAAGGGCAGACCAGGTCGATGCCAGGAAGTTCTTACGGGGCATGTTGGTTCAGCAAACGCTTTTCAAAGGTGAGACTTTTCGGCAGGGTGCTTGGAGTTATATTCTTCGACAAAAGCCTTCAACGTATATAGAAGAAAGATGGCGGTATATTCTGCACCGTGACTTGAAACAAACCTTTGAGCTAGGGGATAGGGAAGGCAAATATACTTGAGCAAGGTTAGCTGCGCACCTTCAGTGCGGCTCATATCAGTAGAACAATACCTGTCCTTCTGGAAACGTTGGCTCATGGCAGATCAGTTTGTGGTCAAAATCAATCCGAGCACGTTTACTAGTGAGGAACATTGCCCTTTGGCCCCTGGTACTAGAGTCACAGACAGAGAAATGGCACGCCTGACAATGTTGCAGCAAGCATGTCCAGGTATAATACCTAGGTACTGAGTTCGGCTAGACATTTTGGTCGAATCAGAATCCCACGGCCCCCGAAACAATGCGTAGTGGCTGTGCAAGGCTCGTTGCGTCTTCTGAGGGCATCGGCCCGATGGCGCTGGTCCTTTGGGCTTTGCAACTGGGTAGAGGCATGATCAACTCAGGCTGTCAAGGCTGTGCAAGTGAGTCAAAGGCTGATAATGAAGCACGGAAATGGGCTGCTAAGTATTACCATGTCCGGCAAACCTGCCACGATGGAATGCATCGTCTGACGGCTGTCGACGGCTTCCCCCACATCTTCACCTTGATGAGCCTCGGTCGCTTCGGTATTGATCGGGGAACTTCAATCCCCCATGCCGCGGCCACTGCACGCTGCGACGAAACACCAGATATGTAAAGCTCGGAGCAACATGCCTTGAAGCCCTCCGATGAAGATATATGCTTTAGTGGCATTAAAGAACAGGTTGGTCACCAAAGCAGTTAACAAGCAAAGATGACTGCCAGTCCACCTCTGACGGGCGTCCGCGTCCTCGAACTCGGCGGCTTAGCCCCAGGTACTGCAACGCTTCCTTCTCCATTGGACCCAAATGGCAAGGCTGCTCACAATTCGATATAGGCCCCTTTTGCGGTCTGCTCCTCGCCAACTGGGGCGCCAACGTCCTGCGCGTCGATCGGCCGGGCCCAGTCTCCAACAATGACCTCCTGACCAGCGGCAAACGTTCCATCGCCTTGGATCTAAAGAAACCCTCCTCCCTTGCCGTCTTCCTGTCCCTAGCCTCAATTGTCGATGTCCTCATCGACCCTTTCCGCCCTGGTGTGTTGGAGAAACTTGGTCTGGATCCTGAAACCGTCCTGCTGAAGAAGAACCCCCGCCTCATCGTGGTAAGACTGACGGGTTTTCGTCGCGATGGGAAATACTCAGCCATGGCTGGTCACGACATCAACTATCTCGCCGTATCCGGAGTGCTTTCCATGCTTGGTGCGAAGGGTTCTCCGCCTGCACACCCTGCCAACATCCTCGCAGACTTCGCCGGTGGAGGCCATGCCGCATTTACTGGTGTCCTGCTAGCACTGATCCACCGGGCAACAAGCGGGAAAGGACAAGTCGTGGAGGCAAACATGGTCGACGGTGTCAGTTTTCTCGGCACGTTTCCGAGACTCTTGACCAAGCTGCCCATGTGGAATGGTGAGCGGGGCACCAACACGCTGGATGGGGGAGCTCCATATTATGGGTGCTATGAGTGCAAGGATGCGGGCAAATACATGTCCGTGGGCGCACTGGAGCCACAGTTCTGGCAGGAGCTGCTGAAGGGTCTGAATTTCACCGAGGAAGAAGTCGTCCCGGGTAAGCTCGATCGGCTGGACAAGCGCTCCTGGCCGTATATGCGTGAGCTGTTCACGAAGCGGTTCAAGGAGAAGACGCGCAAGGAGTGGGAGGCCATCTTTGACGGGACCGATGCGTGTTGTGCGCCCGTGCTCGAACACGCAGAGATGGAGGCCGCGGGATACGAGCACCGACCCATCGTGGGGCTGACGTCGTCGCCGGCGCGGAAAGTCGACATGCAGTGGGATGGCAAGGCATTGAAGCCCGGCGAGGGCGGCGAGCAGGCGTTGAAAGAGTGGGTGGGCTGGACCAACGGTAAAGATTACGAGGTATCGGCCACCGGTTGCTTTGAAAAGAGAGAAAAGAGTAAGTTGTAGATCATCTCGTCTGTAGGGACCGGGTTTGAGCTTCATATCCTCAGACGACGAAAATCATATGGAGCTTTCAATTCTATGTTTTCTTGTTTTCTCTCACGTACGAAAGATCCGCGTTTTCATCAGGTCGCTATTCTCTTTTCATGACCAGATTTCCCCGTATAGACGCCTAGCTAGTGTACTTCAAATTTCACCACATGCCATAATAAGCTCCAAATCCCGCCGCAGCAGGCAAGTCGTCCGCGTTCAACAGTCCGACACCCTGCTCGAGTAAGGTCGTCCACACCGCATTCCGTGTGCTGATTGGCCATGCCGGGGTATCCCAATACCGCGCGAGGATGCCCTTTGACTTGGCGACCTCGATCTGGCTGATCAGCAGCTCTAACTGGGTGGAATTGAAGGTGGTGCCGTTGATGGCGCCGAACTGGGCGTTGAAATCCGTCGACGCCACGGGCGAGACGGCGGCGGTGATGTTGGACTCTGTCGAGTTGAGTAGCTCCAGGTGGGCGTCGAAGAAGTAGTCACGTTGCTTGAGGGGCTGGATTTGGTCTAGAGGTGTGTTGCCGGTGCCGATGACGGTGACCGGGTTGGTGGTGACGCCCGTGCCGTTGAAGGTGGTGAGATAGCCCGGGGTGCGAAGGGGTTCTAGCGCGCTGACGACCGCGGGCCAGGTGGTTTCGCCGTCGGTCTTGACGTCGATGAACAGAAGAAGCGTTTGGCCTGATGAAGTGTCGAAGACGCCGTTCTTGGTGGGGGAGGTGACGAAGGGGGATGACGGGTTCTGCCGTTGAATGGTATCCAGGATGGGTTGGATGTAGAGCGATTCGAGGGTGCGAGCGGGTGTCAAGGCGGATTCTTCGTGGCCAACATAGAGAGTGCCGTTGTAGAGCCAGACATCGGCCTCGACGGAGGCACAGCCTACGGAGAGCGCAGAGTAGAAGGGCACGTCACGCCAGTAGTCGTTGTGCGAGTGGATTGGTTTCTAGGGTGATATTGAGCGGTGAGCTGAGACTGAGCACAGAGAGCGAAGCAGAGGGAGTAGGGAATATACAACAGGGCAAGGGGAATTTTCTTTGTCTACAGTTACAGAGGTGACAAGGACTTTAAAAAGGGAAAGGCAAGACTCACGGGTACGATGCCTCTGGTCAGATCTGTAGGATATGTGTAGCCATTGCTGTTTTGCGTGTTGGCTAGAATGTTTTGAAGCGTGCTGCTGATGTCGAGGCCCGTTGCCTGTGCAGAAGCTGGCAGTGCTGCAGCATTGGCTTGCAAGCCCAACGAAAGGGCGAGGAGAAAGAGTGAAGACGCCATGCTGGAAACCCCGGATGGAAAAGGAAGCTCTTGGCACAAATATCGGGTGTATCAAGGGTACAGGGACAAAAAAACAAAAAGACTGAGCGCAATGGAAGGACGTCAGTTATATGTTACGAACTCGCCGAGCTGCATGCATGATATAGCGGCAGGAATTGATGATGTCGACAATGCAAGCCAAGGGTTACAAGTTGAGCATCGAGCTCGCGATGGAGAGGAAAGCAGCCTCGTTCGGTGGATGGAGCCAATGGGAAGCTACCGAGGAGCCGGTCGGGGGCGGGAAGAAGCTTGATTGATGTATTAGCATCCAACGGCACGCCCTATTCGGCCTTGTGCCTGGATCTCAACCAGCGATAGGTGGTGGTGGTGGCTTGACCTGTGGCTGGTGAAATTTGTGGCGTGTGGTCCGTATATAGCTTAGTGTGGCTTGGCACATGGCTTGGCACATGGCTTGGCACATGCCTTTGGTTCGATGACGACATGTTCGTTGTCACTCCGGGCCAACCACTGGCATTGATCGAAAATGATGCTTCACTGCTCTTTCCAATCGGTTCCGTGCACCTTCGTTTGACTTTGTATCAAAACCTCATGACGCAGCTGCCACCCCGGACCAGCTGAAATCAAAATCCGTAACAGCCTTGCCAGGGGTGCCAGGTCCCTAGGTACCTAGGTAGGTATTTATGCTTTTCGATCTGAGTCTCAAATTTCCTTTTCTTTCATCTTCTTCATACACCTGCACTTCATCTCGTCTCGTCCCATTTCACTGCTCTCACCAACCCTTTCATCATCGTTGCCATCATCATGCGGTTCTCCGGTCTTCTTCTCTGCTTCCTCGTCGCCGTGGTGCCCGCTTTGGCTCAGAGCAGCACTGCCAATTCCAGTGTCACAGGAAACTCCACGGCCTTGGCGCCCGCTGCTTCAAGCTCACTGGCATCGGTCTCGTCGGAAATTTCAAAGTCCCTCGCTTCAGTCTCCAAATCTGCCGCTGGTGTTGCTGCCTCTGCCTCCAACTCGGCCGAAAACGCTGAAAACTCCATCGCTGCCAGCTTCAGCTCCGCAAAGTCTGCGTTCTCGGCCAGTCTTTCCAGTCTCAGCTCTGAAGCTGCTACTGGCAACACCGCTGCCGCCGCCACTTACTCATCTCTGACCTCGCACGCTTCCAACATCCTTGGCAGTATCACCACCGAGGCTGCCAGTGCTTTGAGTGCCGTCACGAGCCAGGCCGGCTCGGTCACTTCGGCTGCATCTTCCGTTCTCAGCTCAGCTGTTTCCTCTGCTTCAGCAACCGCCTCCTCCACCACCAATGCCGCCGCTGTCATGCCAACCGGATTTGGTGTAGCCGGTGCTGCCCTGTTGGGTCTTGCTGCATTCTTGTGAACAACACGACGTCACGAACGGGATGAGAGGCGCGGGATGGTACACGGTTGGAATTGGCGAGACTTCGAAGCGACATTCAAGCGACGTCATGGCGTTCAGCTCTGGTGAAGCTGGGAGGAGACACATACAAAAGCTCTATGCATTTCCAGAGGAGTCATGGCTTAGGGCATGAGCATACGACAACAGCATACAGGGATCAGCATCTCCAGATTTTACGAGAACTTCCGCCATGAATGGCTGCGTGTGATGGGAAATCATGGGCTAGGAGCACTTGGCGGTGGACACTTAGCAACAGATAATGCAATGCTACTACTTTGACAGCGAATTTGGATCACCGTCCCCTTGTCGACTTCTTGGATTATCCGTAGGCTAGTATGGCAAGCCCATTATTCAGACGGCACATATCTCTCTAATTGTGACCTTGTCTATCTCCTCTTCTCCTGCTCTCGTCTCATCTCGCCCTTGCCGCAATGTTTGGGTTCCTGTTCACCCCATCTCAGCTAGGCGACTGGATGGTTACCTGCGCTGCTTGCCGGTCCCTATTTCGTCTCCATGTGCGTCTTGTCCTCGAGATGCGTCGTGTCTGTGAGCGGGAATATTTCACCTGTGGCCTCGTTCCTGATCGGCTCCGAGGGCACAAGCACAAAGAGCACGCGGCAGGTCTCGGTGCCGACGTTCTTCCAGGCCTGTCCACAGCGGTGATATGAGCGAAGGTGGAGGAGGAGGAGGAAGGGGGGGGGGGGGGGGGGGGGGGGGGGCTCATCA